CAGCAGCCCCCCGCCAGCGTACCCCGTTATCCCGCTGCCGCCGCCCTTCATGTCCCCTGCTTACTACCCGCCAGGAGCGTACTTAGCAAGCCTGCCGGTGTATCCGGTGATTCCGCTGCCGCCCTCGCCGGCGTCACCGCCCCAGCCAGAATACCCCGCTGTGCTGCCCGTACCGCTGTACCCGGAGGTGCCGCTTCCGCCGGACGCCTACCAGCCGCAACAGCCGCAGCAGCCGCAGCCCTCGGCTTCGCCTGCAGGGACCTACGCAACCTATGTAGCCTATGCAAGCAACCCGCCGTCCTACAGCGTCCAGGCACTGCCGCCGCCGTCACCGCCGTCATCACCACCACCATTTTACATGGCTGGCACCGAAGCCACGTCACCAGGTCAGCATCAGCCGTCGTCCTACCCGGTGATAGCTGATCCTGTACCACCTGCCACCTACCCGCCACAACAGCCATCTGGTTCGGACATTGTCAGCAGCCCTGCACCGTACGGTGGATCTCCGCAGCCATCAGTAAGACCGCAACCGGGTTACGGCGGCACTGGCCAGGTCACATCTGCACCTGAACCTGCCGAGCCGTCGCAGGCTCCGCCTCAAGGTCCGTCGGGAGCTCCGGCTGGCACGGACAGCCCAGCAGTCTATCCCAGCCCCAGCCCAAGCCCCAACCCTGCCATTGCTACGCCGCCGCCGCTGCAGTACGCGACACCCCCGGCCTATGCAGGCGACACCAGCGTGCCGCAGCCGCAGCCGCAGCCAAGCTCGTCACCCATGCCACCCGCGACGGTAGCGGGCTACGGAGGTCCAAGCCCTAGCCCTAGCCCTAGCCCGGCAGTGTCGTCGCAGCAGCCGCAGCAACAGCCACCAAGCCCATTCTCACCGGCGCCTGGCTACCCGACAATGCTGCAGCCGCCCTCGGCGCCCACATCTCCCTCATACGGAGACCCCAGCTCACTTGCATCGCCTCCGCCACCGCCGCCGTCCGTCTCCTCCGCCCCTGCCTACACCAATCCCAGCCCCCTACCGTCGCCCTCGCAGCAGCCCGAAACTCAGCCCTCCCCTGCCTACCCCGCCAACCCCAGCCCCCTGTCTCCTCCCTCATCGCCCCAGCTAGGGACACCTCCCTCTCCTCCTGCCTACGGCGTACCCGCTGCGGTACCAACCCCGCCGCCTTCGCAACCGGCGACACCGTCGGCACCCTCCGTCCCAGCTTCCTACCCCAGCTCAACTCCCCTGCCGCCCGCAACGCCGCCGCAACCTCCAGCTGGGCCAGCACCTGGCTACACCGGCCAGGACGCCGTACCGCCGCCGACGCCGTCTTCACCGCTACCGCAGCAACTTGCTGCTCCCAGCACCCCGCTGTACGGCAATGCAAGTCCTCAACCCCATTCGCCGCCTCCGTCATCGCCTTCAGCACCGCCACAAGTGGTTGTTCCGTCGTACGGCATTCCACCTGCGTACGTCAGCTCAGGCTCACCGCCGTCACCGGCGGCGCCGCCGCAGGCTGAATCGTCGTCAACGGCTGCACCCGTGTACGGTAGTCCCAGCCCGCCACCACCGACACCGCAAGCGGAGCTGCTGGCCTCTCATGCGCCGTCATCGCCGGCCCCGGTACCACCTTCACCGCAGGCGCTCATCCCCGAGCAGCCGGCATCACAGCTGCCAGGCCAGGAGCAGCAAGCACCGCCGCAAAGCCCCGAGCAGCAGATCTCGCCAACACCGACGAGCCCGGAGCAAGCCTCATCGCCGCCACCAAGCCCCGAGCAGCAGTTGCCGCAGCCTGCTAGCGACGAGCCGCCGTCGCCTGCGCCGCCGAGCCCCGAGCAGGAGCCGCAGCAGCAGGAACAGCAGCAGCCGTCACCGCCGCCGGCTAGTCCTGAACAGGCTTTGACGCAGCCGCCAAGCACCGTGCAACCGTCGCCACTGCTGCCAAGCCCCGACCAGCAGCCACCATCGGCGCCGCCTGCTTCTGAGCAGGCCTCGCCTGCGCCTGCTAGCCCCGAGCAACCGCCAAACCCTGTGCCGCCGTCACCTGAGCCGCCCAGCCCGGTGCCGCCGTCACCCGAGCCGCCTAGCCCCGTGCCGCCGTCGCCTGAGCAGCCTAGCCCTGCGCCGCCGTCGCCTGAGCAGCCTAGCCCCGCGCCGCCGTCGCCCGAGCAGCCTAGCCCTGCACCGCCGTCGCCTGAGCAGCCTAGCCCTGCGTCGCCGCCACCTGAGCAGCCTAGCCCTGCGCCGCCGTCGCCTGAGCAGCCTAGCCCTGCGCCGCCGTCGCCTGAGCAGCCTAGCCCTGCGCCGCCGTCGCCTGAGCAGCCTAGCCCTGCGCCGCCGTCGCCTGAGCAGCCTAGCCCCGTGCCCCCGTCGCCTGAGCAGCCTAGCCCCGCGCCGCCGTCGCCTGAGCAGCCTAGCCCTGCGCCGCCGTCGCCTGAGCAGCCTAGCCCTGCGCCGCCGTCACCTGAGCAGCCTAGCCCAGTTCCGCCGTCACCCGAGCCGCCCAGCCCAGTGCCGCCGTCACCCGAGCCGCCTAGCCCCGTGCCGCCGTCGCCGCAGCCGCCTAGCCCCGCGCCGCCGTCGCCTGAGCAGCCTAGCCCTGCGCCGCCGTCGCCTGAGCAGCCTAGCCCTGCACCGCCGTCGCCTGAGCAGCCTAGCCCCGTGCCCCCGTCACCCGAGCCGCCTAGCCCCGTGCCGCCGTCGTCGCAGCCGCCTAGCCCTGCGTCGCCGCCACCTGAGCAGCCTAGCCCTGCGCCGCCATCGCCTGAGAAGCCTAGCCCTGCGCCGCCGTCGCCTGAGCAGCCTAGCCCCGTGCCCCCGTCGCCTGAGCAGCCTAGCCCTGCGTCGCCGCCACCTGAGCAGCCTAGCCCTGCGCCGCCATCGCCTGAGAAGCCTAGCCCTGCGCCGCCGTCGCCTGAGCAGCCTAGCCCCGCGCCCCCGTCGCCTGAGCAGCCTAGCCCTGCGCCGCCGTCGCCTGAGCAGCCTAGCCCCGCGCCGCCGTCGCCTGAGCAGCCTAGCCCTGCGCCGCCGTCTCCGCAGCCGCCTAGCCCCGTGCCGCCGTCACCGCAGCCACCTAGCCCCGTGCCGCCGTCGCCGCAGCCGCCTAGCCCCGTGCCGCCGTCACCGCAACCACCTAGCCCCGTGCCGCCGTCGCCGCAGCCGCCAAGCCCCGTGCCGCCGTCGCCGCAGCCGCCAAGCCCTTTGCCGCCGGCGCCGTCACAGTCGGCTGCTGTACAGCTGCCGTCACGCCAGCCGCCTGCTACACCGCAGCCGCCGTCACCGAGTCCAAAGCCACCTACGGCGACCCAAAGTAAGTCCCAGAAACCTTCCGCGCACGGTGCAATGAGTTGAATCCTAAGCCAGCTTTTGCGTGATTCTAGCTTTTGAACGTTGTGAACGGCTTCTGCATTTTCGCCTTCGTACTTACATTCCTCGACAACAATCCTTGCGGCTTCCCGTTTTGTAGACAATCCACAGCTGGAGCAGCTGCGTTCCCAGATTCAGGCGTTGCTCGATCGCATTAACAACAAGACCGGATCGCCGTCCGCAGCCCAGATGAACATGACGGTTGCAACGGCTGCACCTACGCCCACACCGACGGCTGCACCTACGCCCACGCCTACGGCTGCACCTACGCCCACACCGACGGCTGCACCTACATCGACGACTAAGAAGCCCATGCCAACGCAGAGCCAAGCAGCCGCGAACTCCGCGAATCCTAAGTTCGGTGGTGCTCGCCGCCGGCTCCTCCGAGGCGAGGCTCCGCCCCAAGGTAAAAGCGCTTTTGTGGGGAGGGGTGCTGTACAGCATGCAACTAGTGGGCCAGAGAGGATGGTTTCCTCGTTTGGTGTTTCTTGCCGCGATCGGATTGCAGCGGTAATTAAGCTGTGGCTCTTGCTCTTCCTTATACCTCCGGACCTAGCATATGTATTTCTGCGCTATACACGTCGGAACCACTAATGATTTGTGATTGGGTCCCTGCATGCCGACGCCTTTCCGAGCCAGGAAGATGACAGCGTCGCACCGGCCCCAATAAGCCGCCGTGCTCCGTACGGCGCCGCAAGTACGAGCAAGCCCGGCAGTGCTGGTATGCGCCGCCGCCGTGTGTGAAGAACTGCTTTAAAACAGCAAAGTGTAGTACTGTGGTCTACACCGTGATTTGTGGTGTGCTTCTGTCGTACACTTGACGTGCATGTTGTGTCCTGCATCCTCCGGAGCATACGCTAGACCTCTAGTACGTCCGGCGCTCCGGAACGTGCATGGCGTGTGCGCATTGCATTAGGGTAGAGCACCCGTGCTCCCTTTTTAGGGAAGCATTGCAACGGTCATTCTTTCAGGGTAGAGCATGTTGTTGTGTGAGGTAGAGTGCAGTAGAGTGACCCCGTGCAGATCTGGGGAAAGTCGCAGCATGCTGGAGAGGTGCGTGCGCATAGTTCGCTGGTAGGCACTATAGATAGGAAAGGAATGCACTAGGGGAGACCACATACGGAATAATGCAGATGCAGTAGGTATAGGATGGCGGAGGGATGTAGTAGGATGCATGATATAAATGCTGTCAAGGCTCGCCACAAACGCTTCTGGAATATTCTGTATCTTGAGTGTGTGTTTTATGACGTGTACATACACTGCGTGTACTTACAAGTAGTGAGAGGTGCACCGTTACATAAATGTCGCAACTCGGCTTGGGTGGTTCGTCATGTACGTAGTGGCTGCGGACCGTAGCATTGCAGGCGGATTTACAACTACGTTATGGATCTTCAAATGTATGCGTGTGATATACGGACCCATGGGTCAAAAACGAAGCTGGTTAACTTTTGCTGACTGCATGCGACACATGCGTATACCGGTATGCTGGCATGTGTACGATGTTAGCTGTTTACTATGCACGTCTCAGTTTGCTGTTCCCGAAACAATTAGCCTCGCACAGCATTAAGCTGCAAGAAGCATGCAGATATGCTCTCAGAGACCAGGTAGGAAGGCCGCCTTAATTCGTGATTGACATATCAATTACGCCTTGAAGTTGCTGCTAATACCGCCGTACATATTTGTAAGCCGGTCGGCACATACCATCAAAGCAGCACATACGGACATGGTTGTTAAGCAGCACACTCACTGCACAATTCCAGCTCCAGCGTTACAGCTATTAATGCATGCTCAGGCGCCGTCCTTTTGCGGACACACGTACAGCACCGTCTCTGTTCTCTACCAGCTCCTGTTAACCTACGATAACACAGCCAACGCAAGGCCGTGATTGCATCATCTTACCCTACCACCCGCGAAGTAAGCCATTAAATTCATCACCGATGTCCCTCATATGGGGATGCCCAAGCCAACCTCCAGCATGCACCGGGCGCTTTGCAGGCAACCCTTCAATTGCAAGCGAAAGTACGGCGGCGGTACCCAATGAAATCAGGCGCCGGCCCGCACATGCCCGTAGCTGCACCCATCAAGGCGGTGCATGCTCTCCTACGCCCATGCCGCTGCCCTTCTAGTCGCTGTCCGAATCCTCCTTCTTGTCCTTCTTGTCCTGTGGACGAGACGGGCACGCAATAACATTCAGAGCGGTTAGGAACCGATACAAGAGAGAACGTAAGGGTAGCTTACATCCGGGACGCATGCGCAAGCCAAGAGAAGCACGCTGATGACCCTTTTCCCTCCACACCGGTCTGCACATACCGGCATGCAAAGCGCCGGTCCTAAGCCGTACCCACCGCAGCAGTCCGATACCCAATAACCCACCTTCTTCTCTTTCTTCTCCTTCTTCTTGTCCTTATGCTTCTCCTTCTTCTTATCCGTGTGCCGTGCAGACGTAGCAACAGTAGCACCCTGGGAGACAGCCGGCTGCTGCTGAATCGCCGCTGGCGCCGTCACGGCCGTCGCCGCGGGCTGGGGTGCGACTGCCGCTGGTTGCGACGCCGCTACCGGAGTAGCCGCAGGTGTCACCGCAGGCGTCTTGTGCTTCTCGCTCTTCCTGCTGCTCTTCTCCTTCTCCTTCTTCTTAGCTCCATCGGCAGCAACAGCTGCAGGTGCCGTTAGTGCTGGAGCTGCTGCGGGCGCGGGTGCTTGCGAGGGCGCTGGCGTCACCGCCGGCGTTTCGAGCTTTCCGCTCTTGCTGCTCTTGTGCTTCTTCTTCTTCTCGCCGTCGGCTGCTGCCGCCGGCACTGCCGCTGGCGTCACCGCCGGCGGCGCAGCGGGCGCCGATGCCGCAGGCACGGGAGCTGCTGCTGCCGCTCCCGTCGCCGCCGGCGTTTTGGGCACCTCGCTTTTCCTGCTGCTCTTATCCTTATGCTTCTTGCCATCCTTCTCCTTGCCCTTCTCCTTCTTCTTTTCCGTTCCCTTCGCCTCCGCCGCCACCGCCACGGCCGGCGCCGGCGCGGGCGCGTTTTGCCCATTGGCTCCACTGCCGCCGCCGGCTGCTGCGGCACCAGCCCCTGGAGAGCCAGGCACGCCGCGCCCCTCAACGACTGCTAGGGCCTCCGTCTCCATCCGAGCAGCCTCCATGTCAGCCAGGGCGTCTTCCAACCGCTCCAGGGCAGCAGCCTCGTCCTCGGGCTCACCCGCGGCGGGGGCCGCCGACTCGGTTCCCGTGCTGCGCAACAGGGTTAGGCAGCGCGAGATGGGGGCCGCCTGCGGGATGCGTGATTGGGGTGGGGTTTGGTGCCCGGGTGTTGGGTGCGTGCTGAGGCAGGGTTGGGCTGCATTTGCGGAGCATCTGTGAGCATTAGACATGGTAAGATGAGCCACGTGAACGCCATGCAGAGCTCTATGCAACGCAGAAGTTGGTGGACGTGCCAGGGTTGGAAGGCGTACGCATGGCCAGGAAAACACGGCTCCAAAAGTCGCCAATCACGGCCAGACCCTGCCGGGCATCCCTACTCTCAAGGCGCCCATGCCTCCAAGAGCATCTTCCCTGCGTCCCGTGGGCAACACTCACCTGCGCCTCCGCGCCCGCTCCGGATGCCCCGGGACATACGGCCACCACCTGACGAGCTAGGTCGCCGGCCTCCACGTCAAGCCGATAGGTGTAGCCTGACCAGGAAGTGAGGAAGGCGTGGTTTCGGGGGGCATGATGTGTGAGGCTTGGGGAGGAAAAGGCTTCATGCGACCCCATATCCCCAGCCCATGCAAGCGGCGCAGCAATGTGTGCCCTGGGGCCCTGGTCGCATGGGGGAAAAGAAGGCGGGGTGGCATACGAGGAAGCTAAATGGATGCTACTAACCTTCTTTGTCTTGGAACTCTGCAACGGCGCCGGCGCCGCTGCTAAGGTCTATCTCGATGGTGCCTGCTTCGGCCAACACCTGCATCCCCTGTGCATACCACATGGAAAGAGGAACAGAGCTCGGTTTTATAAATAAGCTTTTTGGTACTCCGTTGCTTTCTTGAGGTTTGCTGTGTTTTGGATGTGCGCAGGGAAGGTTGTGATGCCTGGCGACGCACCCAACCATGCTTCGGCTTACAAAACCCACTTTGGCACGTGTCCCTCCCACGAGCATCACGCAGCATCATGTAGCATGACGCGCCCATCCCCTCTCATGACCCGGCTCTTGCTTACCCGACTACCGGGAACCTGTATGAGCCAAAGCTCTTGTCGGCCGGCCGCAACTTCCGCGGGCTTGATGGCACATGTTCCCCGCACTGGCACAAACTCAGTTGGTAGGACGGTCCTGAAAACGCATAGATGAGTACCTTTATGTCCATGCCATGCTAAAGAGCTTTATCGAGGTCTACCAAGGAAATGCCACGTACGCCGGCCGCCGTGCCGACAGGCCCGTCCCGCCCGTTTCCAAGCCCGCATAATTTTCTCACCGGCGCTTTGCGGGACGCTCATCTAATTGGAAACGAACATGTGGTTGCTGCGGCGGCGCAGCAAGAACATTAGCCGCTGCACCATCCTCTGCCGCCGGCCCAGATGTTTTCCGCTTCCTACTAGAGCCGTCTTTACGCGAGGACATCGTTCTGACAGTAGAGTGAGTAACTTAACGAGGAAAGAAGCAAAGATGTAGGCCTTTCTGCCGCTGCACAGTGGCAACTCACGATAATCTAATGTTAATGGAGTGAAAACGTTAAGCGTCCCCAGTGTCGTGTGGGATCCGCGAAGCTCCCAACCGGCGGATAGCGACAGTTGTGGAGCGACCGAAACCAATCCAGCCATTGCATATACTAAGCCGTTAGCACTGTCTTTAACCGCAATCCGAGCAGCTGTTACAGTGGATACCTACTTCGCATGTTTAGGTCAGAAAAAGAGCTTAATTTCAACTTCGCAGCGCAGAAGCACCATATGCTTTTGACAAACGCTGACAGCTTGGTAAACATTTTTACGGCTGAATTGGAGACTGCGAATACTTGTGCAGCTCTTCCACACTCTTCTGACTTCCATCCTATCCCGAGGTTTCACATCTCCACCTCAGCACTGTTAGAGGTCCATTAGCCCGAGACCCTACTCGTATTTGTAAGCGCGTCTGCCCTTTCACCACCCAGCGCAAGGGCCGTAGTTCCGCCATGCGGACTGCCTGGTCGCCTGCCCCTTCTTCAATGTCATCATCCCTCGGCCAACCCTCCGTACGACGACACCCATCAACCGCCTCCGCCTTTTCGCTTCAGCCGCAGTCACGGTCCTTACGACGTGCGGGCAATGCCGTTAGCCTTCAGGCCCGTCGTCCATTTTCTGGAACCCCCCGGCTTGCCCTGAACCGAACGCCGAGCCATGTGGACATCTTCAAGGCCGCGGCGGTTGGGCCCCAAGGATCAAACGCCGCCGGATCCCAGCCCCTCCTGACTCCGCAAATAGTTGAATCAGGAGTTGCTCAACAAAGCTCGGGTGATGGACGTTTATCCGTGGAGGTGCTGCCCGCCGCTAGTCCCGCAGAGCTTCGAGCTGCAGCCTTCCTCCGTGCCGCATGCTTCTACACCTATCCCGCCGGCCGAAGCGAATTCGCGGAACGGGTAAGGGGCGTACATAACTGTACGGCAGCCCTATGTTTGCGCTGTCGTTTGTGGTCGTAGTTCATTGTTTGCTAGATCGTAAGCCATCGAAGCCAGCTGGCGGGGTCGTCCATTCCAGGGATGCTTGCACAAGGCGTGATGCACATACCGTGTGCAACTGCATGGTACCAATGCCCTTTTTTAGTCGTTCACTAAAGGGCTGGGGAAGGACGAGATGCAGCAGCGCTTCCTTTTTGCGCCTCATCACATTCTACCGGGTTCTCGCGCATGTGTGATGTGCGCATGCCGTTGAACCACTCCCGTCAACACCATTGTCAGCGCCGTACACTGCTCCCACACCTGCCGTACATACCGTCCCTGCTTGCACCCGGTTTGCTCTGGTTTGCCGCAGTCCCATCGCCTCATGAAGGCGAATGCGGAATGGGACTCCCTGACCGCCAAAGTCGCAGGTACGTGTCAGGTTGGCCAGCTCAGCTAGGCTTGCTGGGCTCAGCTAGGCATGCTGATCAGTTAAGTAACCTCATCCCAAGGCCAATGGGGCAGGGTCCTTAGTCCCTCCAGGAGGTGTCGAGGTGGCGATTCACCTCCTGCGTGCTGTCCCCCTCATCACTCAGTTCCTACCTTGCTCCCAGGCCGCGATCCCGCCTTTCGCGAGCTGGACGTGACCGCCTTCATCGCCGCTGTGAACGTAGAGCCGGAACAACCAGACAGCAGTGATGATGGAAGCAAGAAAGCAACAGCAGCATCAGCCAACGCAACGCCACCAACAGCAGACCCCACAGCATCAACAACAGAGAGTGAAGCTGCCCAAGGCCAGGTGAAGCCCACAAGTGGCACCGCAGCAGCCTCCGAACATGCCGTACAAATGGATCTGGAACCAAATCGTAGCAACCGGCGGGAGTTGCTGTCGAAAATGCGGTCAGGTCTGGACGCGTCAGCTCAGTTGCCAGCGGAACCAGGGCTCAACCCGCGGTTGGTGGTTGGGTCGTTGGATCTCAATGTGGGTCACTCGTTGCCGTCGGAGGAGCTGGTGGGCCAGCAGCCGCAGGTGCGGGGTTTCGGAGCGCACGATTGGCAGCTGCGGCGCCGGTGATGGTGGGGTGGAAATGAGGTTAGAAATCCCGCATAATGGTGGGCTGGGGTGGGGAAGCGAGCCTTGGTGTCAGCTGTGAGATAACGTGGAACAGCATGTTCATCCCCTCCTCCTCACTCCCGGTACCATCCCGTCCGCACCAGGTGGACCCCAGGCGCCGGCGGGCCTACCTCAGCAACGTGTGTGTCGCGCCCTCCGCCCGGCGCCTGGGGGTCGCCAGGGCGCTGCTGAGGCATGCGGAGGGAGCCGCCAGGCGTGCAGGTGGGGGTGGCATGCCGGTGCTGGGTGCGGCTGCCTGGTGTGGAGGGGGGGCTGGATCCTGTGTCTGCTACTGCTGCGCCTGTGGTGCGGCGGTTGGCCAGCATGCGTGGCTGGCTGGCTGGGCAGGGCGCACTTGGGCTGCCCAGCGCATTGCCCTCCGTTACATGATGCAACTGCTGATGTCTCGCTTTTACTCGCCCCTACCTCTCTAACCAGGGGTAGATTGGCTGTACGTGCATGTGGTGGCCGAGAACACAGCCGCCGTGCGACTGTACTGCGATGCGCTTGGTTTCCAGGTTCGAAAGGGGCGGGCACTGGGCCTGGGGGAAGCAGGCTACTTTAGGCAACGCCGTACGGCTGTGGACTCTTCAAGGAGGGGGTGTGTCCTCATGCCATGTACGGCAAGCTCCATTACTACCCCTTCTCTGACCCCTCGGGGCCGTCGATTTGCACGTCGCGCGCTGTACTTAAAGGTCGCTTGTCGTTTGTCTGTATTCTCACCCCAGGTGGAGCAATCCGAGTCGGAAGGCGACGCACGCTCGCTGGGTCGGCCGCGCCGGCTGCTGCTGGTGAAGCAGCTGGGGCCCTAGCAGCCCACCGCAGCCGTGCCCACGGTTACTGGGGCAACCGTAATTACGGGGCAGACACGCGCAGGTTTTAAAAAGACCGATCTCATGGTTCCCGTTGAAACAGTGGATGCTGAAGGCGAAACTGCTGGCTATGAGGGTGCCCCTAACCGGGGCCAGTGCAGTCCAGCGCGGCGCCAACGCCGGTTGCCTTGTTACGGCTATAGACCTTGCCTACATGTGACCCGCAGGAGAGGTTTGAAGCCTACATTTGCAGTCGCTCTACGGAGCACGAGGTGGGCCTTTGATACCGCCCCACTGGGGGCTAGGAAAGGACGAGTTGTAACGCACCACGTTTGCACCCAAACTCTATACGCCGCAAACGGCATGGCAACCAGTAACTACCCCACAAGGAGCTCAAGGTACACAGCTACATACACAATAAGGAAACGGCAATCACGGTACGTCCCGTCGAGTTCAGAATACGTTATACGAAAGAACACCACAAATGGCAGCGCGGGAGCGACGGCTTTTCCCCAGCCTTGCCGTACGACACAGGCGCCCTCTGTCGCCTGCAGCGGTATTCCCAAGACTCTGAACGCGACAGCATAGCGAGCCGAAATGAAGGAGCGTCACGGTAGCCACCACACAATGGGAACGCACATACAAACGGCAATAACAAGAAAAACGGCAAACACCAAAAGAACATCCTACCAACCGTCCAATTACAAACAAGCCATTATGCAAACTCGTCAATCAGCCCCGCGCATGCATGGACACGGCGTCTGTTGAGTAAGCACTGCGAAGAAGGCCCTACCTCTGCAGGCAATTGCCTCGGCCATTCCAAGAAACCGCTCTGCCATGGGCTTAAGGACCACAAGGGGTAGCTTGACCTCTATAGCCGCAACGGAGGCACACCTGCTCCATGCAGGTAACCATATTGGTTTCGTTATTAGCCCTTCGAAACGACTGCGCATACCTGGCTTTCCTGAAGCCACAGGTCAAGTTCACAGCCACGCAAGAGGATCACCGCAAAACAATACTAAAAACAATTCGCTAACAGCGCTTCACGTCAACGTCAAGCGCGCATATACACCACCATTCCATGCACCTGATGATGCGGCATCGTCACACAGTCCTACAGTCCTACATGCGCGGCTTCTAACATGTCGCTCGCCTACAGCTCAGGCGACACTTCCTGCCACAGGTCGCCAGCACCCAGCCACTCAAGCTCCTCTTTGTCCAGCTTCCAGTAGCCGCCCCGCACGCGGTTGCGGTTGATACAGTCCATATCGCCTCTGCTGCAAGACTCGCAAGTCCCACAGCTCTTGCGGCAAGCCCCCAGGTTGTTAGAGCCGCCAGCCATGAAGCCCTTGTTGTTCTCGCACTCGCCGGCCGACGCCCACTCGCTGCAGCGGGGGTGCGTGTCCACACAGGTGCCGGCATCTGGGTCGTTGTCGGGAACGCGCTGAACCCCGCCCGCTACCTCATTGGGACGGAAGGCAATGTCGTGCATCTGCGGGGAGCGAACGCACCACAATGGTCGAATCGGAGACTTAGGCTGTTGGGTGTAGGAAACTCGAAAGTCGGGTATGGCTGCAGCCACAGTAACACATGCAGCAAGCTCCCCAGCGATGGGGTGTGAGGCTGCCGGCAACCGAACAGCAACCCGCTACAACCCCAAGCATCGGTTGTTGCTGGTTGCTTCCGCGTGCGCCCATCGCAGAGCATTAGCAACTCCGAGCGCCCCTCCAATCATGCATCCAACTCACCCAGACTGGCGCCGCCCACTTGATGCCCTTGATGACTGGGCAGCCGGTGTGCATGCCGGCGGGGTCCATCGTGAGGTTGGGGAAGAACGAGTAGAAGAGCACGGCATCACCGGCCTTGGGCTTGGCAGCTACGTGGCCCTTGGCGCAGTCAGAGAAAGAAACCTTCTCGGGAATGGAGGGGTCAGCCCACACGCTGTTATGAGGGAAGGCCGTCTCGCCGCCTTCCTCGACGTCGGAAAGGTACATCAGGAAGGTGGCCAGACGCCACTTGGGGCCGATGTGGTCCTTGGAGCCGCCCGAATCGTAGTGAGCGCCGTAAGTTTGCCCATGAGCATAGCGCAGTACCTGAACCAAGCAGTGCGTATGGACCATGTCAAGGAAGGGCGACGAGTACGCGGAAGCAGCATGGGGTGCATTCACTTCCGGGGAAGAGAGTGGGTGTAAGGGGACAGGCAAAGAAGTAGTTGTCGTGGGTGTGTGCGGTACGGAATGCCCCCAGCCTTGCTGGGACTTGCCAAGGTTGTACCGGGAGCCAAACAGGTATAACGATGGATGGGGAGGACTAGCTCGCCACACTCTTCTTCGTAACCCACCTGGATGTCCTCCTGGTTCTCGATGGGAAGGTGTGTCCACAGAGAGATGCGCTTCTCGATGCGGGTAATGACGGGATCGGACAGGCGCCGGATGAACATACCGTAGCTGGTACGGATATCGTCGACGACACCCTCGCCATTGTGCCCCACGACTGTAGAACGCTTGAGTTTGGGGGCTGCTGTCCTGACAATGTGGGCGCGCTCCTCCATTGTGAGGAAGTTGTGGAACAGGAAGGCACGGGGGTGAAGGCCGACCTGCTGCACCCATGGCGTGGTGTCCTCGTCGAACTGCTTATGTGGCTCGTGGTGCTGGGCAGTTGCAAAAGTGACAAGGGGGGCATAAAAGGGGAGTAAGTTAAAAAGGCGCGTGCGTTCATGGCCACGGGAAGGCGGTGCCATTCGACACTAATGAACAGTGAGGCTTACCATTACGAGAGCATCTGATATGCGCTCCGAAATTCCTCCCCATGTACTGTCATCCTTAATGCCTGTGAGGATCGCACGGAGAACTCGTGTTCTCAATCTTCGGCACTTCAATGGGCCCTAGCCAGTAAGGTCAAGGCTTCACCCCTAGATGTAATCTCACCTAAGCAATACACGACTTGCAGCAGAATTATGGCCGCGGTTAACGACTTCATTTTTTAAAGTCACAGAAGGTGACCGGCTGTTACAAAGATATCAGCGTACTAGTTGATCCTAGCATGGATCTCTGTGACAGATGTGAATGGAAATAAGTGTCTTTTTTAATTTGCTTTTGGGAGGTCACGTTTGATGTAACGAAAGACGAAGCTTTGCAGTACGGGATGGTACGCCGAGTACATCAACCCGCCCCGTCCGATGCCTAGAAGTTATAATATTTGAAGGTTATTTGGGTTCAATGTATGCCATACTGTAAAAAGCGTGGGCAGCGTCACCCAACCGGATCACCCCTCTGCCCAGTTCAGTGCCGAAGGGTCTTCAACAGACTCCATCTCGAAACTGACACACGTTACTAAGCAATGTAATAAAAACAATGGTAAGGGCCGGGTTTGGACGGTAATATGGACTCCTGTAGGAACATATGATCTTTCTATACATAACAGGGCCAACACCGCTCAAAACTGGAGGGCACATGCAGGGACTTCTCTTGTTGTTTCCATAGCCATCTAAGACATGGTATTGAGCCCTTTTGCTCCTTCGCACCGAAGTGGGCCCACGGGACAAAGACCTGCTGAACATACAGAATACTTCAGCTTGGCTTACTTTGCTCTTGTGGTTCAGTACAGGTACGGAGTAGTTATTGCACCTCGTGTCCTGTAGTCGGCAAACTGCAAATGCTGCCAACGATGGCTGGGTAGGAAGGATGGGGCTCGACAGAAGCCAGATTCTTACATGAGCACCTGTTTTTGAAGCAAACTGCCCCCAATGCGCATGTGGGTTGTCTTGGTTCCCTCCACCACGGCATCTACCAGCTGGCCCATTCCAAACACATTATTGGTACTTGAGAAAGCATTGATGTAATAAATGGGCAGCACCAGCGTGTGGAACCCTGTACAAACAATGCATGCGATCACACAGCGTCTGTCTTAAACGGTTTATTGTGCTAACATGCAAGATGACTGCACACTGGCGCTCCCATCCGCATTCCTACCACGCAAGACGTAACGCGACAAGTTAGTATAGTCTTATGCACTTAGTTAAGCTCGCACCAGGTTGCACTGTGTAAGAAAAGAATACCTAGATAGCGGGGATAACTACGCCCCAGCTGCAAAAGGAAGTGGGTCCTGAAACAAAGTACACCAGAGTAAATAAACACTTTCCACGTCAACTAGGTTCTGCCCAAGCCGTACAGGACATACTACGCATCAACTCTGCCGCCAACAGCACCCCAAGCACCAATCACGGGGGCACCAACAGCAACACCGCCGTGTGCATGTCAATGGCACCAAAGTTTACGAGTCCTCACAGCTCAGACTCCGAAGCAATAAAACCCTTTAACAACACGGCAGTGTCTACGCTGGGTAATGGCTCTAGGACTCCGTGAATCACGACTACAACAGTCTCACATATTTAAAGGCTGCGTCCGAGCACACACTGTACACGTCCTCAACAACATCTAGCAGGCCTCTCAAACCTTTGCTCGTGCTGCCTTAACACACAACATAAACGTTACCAAGGCAACAACGGCAAGGCCGCCCCGCAACCACCGCTTCCATACCCGCAGGCCGAGCTTACAGCTCAAGCGACGCCTCTTCCTGCCACAGGTCGCCAGCACCCAGCCACTCAAGCTCCTCTTTGTCCAGCTTCCAGTAGCCGCCCCGCACGCGGTTGCGGTTGATACAGTCCATATCGCCTCTGCTGCAAGACTCGCAGGCATTGCAGCTCTTGCGGCACGTCCCTAGGTTGTCAAAGCCACCCGCCATGAAGCCCTTGTTGCGAATACACTCCCCTGAGTCCGCCCACTCCCGGCAGCGGGGGTGCGTGTCCACACAGGTGCCGGCATCTGGGTCGTTGTCGGGCATCTGCTGCACCCCGTCCGCGATCTCGCTTGGGCGGAAGGGAATGTCGTGCATCTGCAGGCGAAGGGGTGCAGGTAGAGTAGGGTGCGTCATGCTTGGTAACGAAGATACTAGGACATCAAGAGGGGTTCTAGTAGGTTTCAGATCCCAGCGAGAATTTCCCGTCAAGCTTACTCACCCAGACTGGCGCCGCCCACTTGATGCCCTTGATGACTGGGCAGCCGGTGTGCATGCCGGCGGGGTCCATAGTCATGTTGGGGAAGAACGAGTAGAAGAGCACGGCATCACCGGCCTTGGGCCTGGCAGCTACGTGGCCCTTGGCGCAGTCAGACACGGGGCCGATGCGCTCGGGAATGGTAGGATCCGCCCACTCGCTATCCTGCGGGAAGGCCGTCTCGCCGCCCTCCTCGACGTCGGAAAGGTACATCAGGAAGGTTGCCAGACGCCACTTGGGACCTGGCTCCTTGGAGTTGTCGCCAGAGTCATAGTGAGCGCCGTAAGTCTGGCCGTGTGCGTAGCGCAGCACCTGCGAGACAGAGGTGAGGTGCATGCGGGAAGTCACGGGCGGCGCATGAATGATAAAGGGGCTCCAGAGCAGCGTTTGGGTAATGGGTATAGGCATGGGGAGCTGAGGCATCTCGGGGCGCATACGCCTTGGCAGCAGAAACCAAGGCATGCGTGGCGCACGCTGATTTAGCGCCAGCGGTAAGACCTAATGGGTGGCGAATGAATCTGCGCATCTGCCAACATAGTTTAACCCACCTGGATATCCTCCTGGTTTTCGAGGGGCAGATGCGTCCAAAGCGCAATGCGCTTCTCGATGCGGGCGATGACGGGGTCAGCCAGGCGCCGGATGAACATGCCGTAGCTGGTGCGGATATCGTCGACGACACCCTCGCCGTTGTGCCCCACGACAGTAGAGCGCTTGAGCCTGGGGGCTGCCAGCCTCACAATGTGTGCCCTCTCCGCCTTTGTTAGGAAGTTGTGGTAGAGGTAAGAGCGGGGACGCAGGCCGACCTGCTCCACCCAAGGCGTCGCCTCTTCCTCGAACTGTTTGTCCGCTTCATGATGCTGCAAATTACCGGGCATCAAAACGCGCAACAACAATTACGATACGATATGCGCGTGCACTTGTCTCGAAATGCAACCGAGTTGTTTGAACGGGGAAATGTGGGTATTTCTGGCATCTTAACCATGTTTCACATCTCTAGGTCAGCACGTTCATTTCTGCTAGCGTCGCCTGGACTTCCAGGACAGCCAGGACCTACCATTACAAGAGCAGTCGGCAGCAGGTGATCTGGAAGGCCTCCCCAGTTGGCTTCGTCATTAACACCTAACGAGAAGAATACCGAATGATAGTCGCTATCATAGGACTAGCAGGACCGAAACTCAGTTGGTCAAGAGCAGCGAACAGCACTTACTAGCTCCATGCGCTATAGCAGACAGGCTAAGTAAAGCTGCAAGTATATAAAGGCGCATGGTTGCGCGTGGTAAAGGTAAAAGCGGTCTAATAGCAGTCCTAATCGAAACAGGCGTGTAGACTTTTGACAGTAGGAATAGTCTGAGGAAAGCAAAGGTAGACTATATGCATGTAAAACTAAGCCTGTTAGATTATATATGGTATGGGAGCAGCACGGCTTTTATGTTGGCATTCGTATGGACGGTTGGTCGTGCAGAGGTACACGGGGGACAAGCGTGTACCTCTGGGGTGGCCCGTCAGCTGCCTTCAAGCTGCCCACCATGTTCCCGTAAACGTTACACTCTATAGGTATTAGTGTCCTACAAATGGCCGCAACCGGCGCTAGGCAAGCGAAAGCTCACGTGCGTAACTATTCCGTTCGGGGCCTTTGAACGTGTTCCTTAATCGAGGGCCAGGAGGGCCTCACTTTGTTTAGCATGTATGTGCACGGTATTTGGGTACGGTAATTGCTTTCGCCATAACTCCGGGTATCACTCAAAGTATGCGAGCTCACTTTATTGTTTACCAGGTAGCGGGTTACTAGAAGGGGATGATGCAGTTTCACTCAAACATGTATGCACTGGTCGTAGTGCCTTGCCTGTCCCGCACTCCCCCCTCGCCGTGCTTAACTCCTACATGTGTCGCGAAGCCCATTCCGTTGAAATATCTTTGTCCGCTTTGGCCGTTTCCCGCTTCGTTCCTCCTTTCGCTAAGTCTAGCCCCGTCCCGTGCGTGCAGTCAAGGGTGGTAACCTAGTACGGCATGTTGGTTGTACACGGTTGTATAGTGCTTTCTAGCTGCCCTAATGATCAGGAGCTCCGGTCCCCCTTGTAACTTTCGCATTCTAATGATCTGTGGCGAAGGTCGCAGACGCTAACTTGTCAATGTACAGGCGCTTATGAGGGCGTCTCCAGGGCTGGCAATCGTTGCTGTGCACAGCCGTTGTAAGTCCCCGTGGGCCAGCTTTGCCAATTTGCCATGCTTTACTGAACTTCTGTCGTGAGATGATGGTGCGCCATAACCTCCTCGCGAATTGTCATCTGCAGGAAAGTGCAAAGTAAGTTTGCATGAATTCTGTGCATGGCGACCCAATTGTCCTCCTTTTCTGTGGCTTATAAGTACTCGCTGCCTTTGGTAAATCTGTTACAGCGACATATGAACCGTCTTTTAGCCAGCCCTCATAGTCCTGCGAGTTGCTGCCGCCACGTGAATGGTTAAATGTAACATGCAACCAAAAAAAAAAGCGGCCGCAGCCACACAAGGTAAGGTTACGGTAGTCACAGTGTACTATTGTAAATGCTGACAACAGTTCTGTCCTCAGCACGCGATACATGCAAGCACCAAATGCAAGCATATGGCGAAAGCTGCTTCCTGCAAGCCTTGAAAAGCAGAAGAGATGTTTTATAATCGCAAACACAAGCGTTTTACAAGTGCTCAATAGAAATTGACAGATGGAGAGCAAAGGTATCGTCGCCGCTTCGGACTGTACGAGGGGCAAGATGCGTGTTATTGAACACAAATACTAACTAGCTGTGTCGGTTATACCTGCAGCCATAACAAGCAAAATCTGCTGTGGTGATTTACCCAGGGGTGGGACACGACCAACCACAGCCACGCGCGAAACCTGCCCAACACATCAGCTTGAACCTGACCCAAGGAACAGAACCAAGATCACAATGCCTTCAGTACAGTTATTTAGGCAGGCCGGCATACAACCATTTGGAGGATTGCGGCCCACCCAAGTTGTCCCATCCCGCTGGCGTACTTGTCGACAAATTTCCGCCCATGCGCATTCCATGTTAGCTGAATGTGAACTTCAACGTAGCAACATCAGCCGTAATCTCCGCGCGCATGCACCATCAGTGGCGCAAGGGCCTTATGCAACATTTCAGGTGAAGGCCTGCTCGACGTGTTCAGCTACAAGCCGCGCATGTTGTCAGGGCTCGCTTGGCGACCCAAAAAGCCGGATGGCGATTTCTGCTTGCCTTAAGAAAATGCTTGCATGTGCAGATGCCCCCAGCAGGGCAGCTTCTGCCCAAAGGATTGGCGGTGGCGTCGGTTGCTGCACTGGCAGCCTCCCTCATACTAGGTCTGCCAGCGGAGGCAGCAGCTCCCGCCGCCGATACAGCTGCGTTGTCTATTCCTGGTGAGCCACCCAGCCACCAACCTTCCATCCCTACACATACCTACGTCCTTGGGAATGCAAGAACTGCAGCGGCTACAAGCAGAGGCTGATGGAAATGACAACAGCCATATCTATGGGCGCAGCAAGTAGAGTCTTCTAGGGCATTGCTCTCCTAATCGGCATTCAGGCTTGTCCCATTCCTTTCCTCCCATGGACAGGTATCGTGGGGGACTCGCCTCTCCGTGAGGGTTTTGTATCTGGCTTCCTGCTCATTTTCTTTTCCGAAATTGGCGACAAGACCTTCTTCATAGCGCTGCTGCTGGCGTTGAGGCAGCCCAAGGGGCTGGTCTTTACGGGCACGTTTGGTGCATTGGCGGTCATGACGGTGATTTCAGTGTTGCTGGGGCAGGTGTGTTGGGCAGGGCATTACGGATTGGGGAACGACGGGGCAATGTAAAAACTGGCGAGGACTGTTGATGACTAGAAAAACACGTGGTGCGGGAAATGGCGTGGCATGGCTGATTGCGTAGTGCGGTAGGGTGCCATGTGTTAAGAAAACTGCCATGTGTGTGCTGTCTCAGCCTTTGCGTTTTGGGTATAACCCGCACGACCGAGCACATGTGTGCGTCCTATTTTGGGAGAGTATATGCTTGGCTGCCTCCCTCTTCAAAACACTTACAGTCTTAGTCTCTTAGCCTTACAAGAGCCGTTGCTTGCACTTACCCTGCTGCTGCTTCTCAGGTGCTCCACCAGGTGGACGAGCTGGTTCCGGAGAGCGCCGGCAAGCTGCCGTACGACGACCTGCTGGCGGTGGCGCTGCTGCTGTACTTTGGCATCAAGACACTCCAGGTTGTGTTTCTGGAGGGGAGGTGGTTAGGAGGAGCGGGTGTTGGGAAGTGTGCGGTGGCGGGGAAAACTATGACAATCTCTAGTGCTCTAATCAGATCCTGGGTTGGGTTATGAAAGGCAGCGTCAAACTAACCCCCGTCCAACTAGCTCAGCACAAAGCTGCTTTTTGGTTTTACCTAACCGTTTTCCCCGCCTCATACCCTGCATGTCGCTCAACCACTGCGTCACCGGTACGACACTGCTTCACCAGGACGCCAAGGACGCTGATGAGAGCGCTGCTGAAGAGAAGGAGGAGGCCAAGGAGGTGGTGGAGGGCCTCAAAAACGGTGACGACGCGTTGCGGCTCCTGCTGTCGACCTTTGCGCTTGTCTTTGCGGCGGAGTGGGGCGATAAGTCATTCCTAGCCACCATTGCGCTTGCTGCCGCGTCCTCGCCGCTGGGTGTCACGGCGGGTGCTGTCGCGGGACATGGCGTCGCGACTAGCCTTGCAGTGGCGGGCGGGGGCTTCCTTTCGCAGTACTTTAGTGAGAAGGTGCTGCAGTACATTGGAGGTTCGTTGTTCCTGGTCTTTGCTGGGGCAACCGTGGTAGACATATGCGTGAAGTGAGGGGGTAGCTAGGAAACCGGCCGTGATGGACAGGACGGGATGAAGGGCGTGTGCGCCTTTGAGAAGATACATGAAAGGGGGGGTTTAAATGCAGCGATTAGTTTGGACCTGTACGGGTATGCGGCAGTGCGATGTACAGCGGGCGATGGTGCTTATGCGGCACAGAACGTTTGGCCTTGGTCGAGACCAAGGGGTCGCTTAGCTTAGAATTGTTAGCTAACAAGTAGCGTGAGCACGGTGATCAGTTGAAATGCATAGTTGCAGGCTCCGCATGTTCTGTTTCGGGGAGGCTTCCGTTTCTTACTGGGGCCGGGGCCTTACCTGAAACTTGCTGACAGACATGCTGCTTAAGTACGGCATCATATAGGTACGGCAGCATATGAGGAGGTGAAAAAAATTAGTCAAGAATAGTTGACATTTTTAACAAATATGGCAAGTCCAGTCTTGCCGGGTTACGCGCAATGGCTTCCATTCTCAGCCTCCAGCGCACCGTACAAATTCTTAAGGGTCACACTTAACATGCACACAGCACGACTCATGCTGGTCGCTAGAAAGCACCGCACAAACCAAAACCCTTAATCGTACCAGTTACGAACCTCCTACATGTACATAGAGGATACGGGGCACCATGGCCCCCTGTACTGTCCACCGGCTCCGCACAATCGTCAAATGGTCCGTCGTTCATTGGTCAGTTATCAATTACCAGCCATTCATACGGCAAAATGTCGACAAGTCATCACCGGTTACAAGTCAAAACACCACAGACATTGGTTCTGACAACGTCTGAAGGTCACGTCAGTATTAAGTACAGACTGACAGGCCGGTGTAACTCTGTGTAACCAATGTTTAGGTGATCTGCAGCAGTGCCCACTCAAAACGCCACACGGGAATAGCTACACACAACAGTACAGCCAAATCACAAGCCAGCCTGCAGTTGTACGTCCAACTTAGTTCAGCAAGCGCGGCGAGAAGGCCTGTCCGGACTGGTAAAGGAAGCATGGAATGTACAGCAAACACATTAAGGAGGCCCTATGGATGTTGCGGATAACAGTCGCCAAGGACAGGCCCGACGCTCAATCACTTGCGAGCATAAACGCTATCACACGTGCAGTAGGAAGAGAGCAAAATTAAACGCGCACTCCTGCCAGCTAGTGCCGCAACATGGGACGCAAGGCGCAACGGTTTGGCGTTGATGCCCTTCCAGCGTCAGGCACATAGCTTCACGGGTCCAAAACGATACATGGCATCACTCCACCCAGCACCCTTGAGATCACCCCCCGGCCCTGTAGCCTTCCTGCAGCCAAGCTCCCAAAAACAATGGACGGAACGACTAGCAGCCAGACACCCCCCGACATGCCGGTCACTGCCAGTTGCGTGGCCGCCGGCACAAGGCCCTTCCCCTTCACAAGAGCGGAATGCAATGAAGCTCGGTATGCGCTCCCTATGGCAGCCCATCCGAGGTAACGTGCTGTCCATACTGTTCACCCGACCCAGATGGACAACCGCAAAGTGCAAACCGACAAAATGCATGATTACAGCTATGCCAGACAACCAAGTGGCGTGACTACACATCGGACGTCAGCTATGGAGTAGCATGCCTACATCGCCATTGACAGCAGCGGCGTCCCCCTCATCCACCAGCGGTAGGTCCCCGCCCGCTTCAGCCTCGGGCGGGGCAGCGGGCTCAGCCACTTCAACCTCGGCCGAATCTCGCGACGCGCTGCACACACCCTCGGCGACGTCTGCGCCGTCAATACATTCGCAACCTGTACCGCACCCTGTCGTAGTACAATGAGAAGGGGAGGAGGCCACAGGGCTTGCCGCCACCACCTCGTCCGTGCTGTCCGGTGCCACCGTCACGGACAAGCTCACGCCTCCCTGCGGCTCTTGGTCTTGTACATCGCATGCAGATTGCACCGCGCCGCTTGCAGAGCACTCAGCGTCTAGCGCGGCCGCCGCGCAAGTTGCAAGCGCAAGCGCCGACGCCAGTGTACCGCGCGGCTGCAGACAGCGATGCCGGCAACCTGGGCTGCCTTGCCGCTCTTGTTGTTGATCATCCGCCGGCGTCTCGGCGCAAACAAACTGCCGCGCCTCCTCATTAGCCTCGCCAGCATCTGCCGCATCCTCCTGCAACCACACCCAACGATCGTTGCGGTCCTCATCTACCGGTGTCGTGCGCTGCAGCTCTTGCGGACTTCCATCGCACTCCTGCACCGGCGTCCCAATTGCCTGGTCGTCCGTGTCACCGCCCGTGCGTTGCCGCTTGGCCGCCGCGTCGGCCGCCTCGGATCCAGCGGCCTTCTCATCATGCTCAGGCGCGCCGCCCTCGACGAACTCAGCCGCCGTAACGTGCAGCATGTACGCCTCCAAGTCGATGACCATGCAGCTGATGTTGTCAGTGCTGCCCCGGGCCAGCGACTGCTCCACCATGCTACGGCAAATGGCGGGCAGGCTCCAGCCGCGACTGGCCAGCTGCGTCAGGTACTGCGCAGCCTCGGCCACCGGCCACTTCTCTGTAAGGCCGTCGGAACCCATGACCAGGTACTTGCCGTCCGAAACGTCCAGGGAGCAGACGTGCGGCTCGCAGGAGATGGCGGGGTAGACAAAATCGCCAAAGGCGCGGGACATGTTCAGCCACCGCGTACCGTCGGGAGTACCCATGTATGCGGGGCCCGTGGGAGAGCGGTAAATGGGTGCCCCCTGCGCGGCGATACGGGCGGCCTCGTCGCCCTCGATCTTGTGCTCCTGGATGACCGAGTAGACTTCGCCAGACTTCTTGACCACGAAAGCCGGCGAATCGCCAACATTGGCGGCGATGAGGTGCTTCTGCTTGATAATGACGGTGGTGGCTGTTGAACCTTGGATGGAGCCCGTAGCACGGAAGGCGGCGTTTGTGGTGGAGTAGGCGGTTGTCAAGGCGTCGTGTACGTCGCAACCCGGCTGCAGATGCGCTTGAATGGCGGACAGCAAGTGGCGCTGCAGGAAGGTGGAGGCATCAATGCCGCCATGCCCGTCGTAGATGCCGAGATAGGCGACACCGTCGGCTGTCATAGCCGCTGACCTGCGCGGACGGGGTAAGGGCGGGGTAAGGGGGACGGGGTTAACGACGTGATAAGGGAGGCACGGTAATAGGAAAGGCGCGCGCGCAACCAAATGACAGACATTTTGGTAATCGACTGATAAGGAATGCCGGTGACCATGCTTGCGCGACTAGGCAGAAAACCGGTTGGATCCTAGGTTACTTAACCATTTGCCGGCATATTATTTACAGGGTTTTATACTTTAGAGCGACCCACATCAGTTTACACGAGGTATAGTCACAGGCGCTAGAGCAGTTTCGTGGGGACAAACTGGAACTAGCGCATTTAGCCTTTATGCTGGCGGGAAATTGCCATTGGCGCACCTGTCTTCCATGTAGCTGCGAAAGGAAGCGTTCGGCTCTTCATGGACAGCCACGAACGAACTCGTGCTCGACAAACAAGGCGACGAGGAGCGTCGCGGAAAGCTGGGCGTCAGCACGCACGTGCCCTTGCTCAAAGGATTCGCTGCGTAGGGCGACGAAGGCACAACTGCCATGTGGCCATGTACGCTGTCGGGTCGTAACCGGTTAAGAGCTGCTGCCGCTTGCAAATTTAGGTCGTCCTCCCCATCGTCCGAGTCGCTATCCGGACCCGCAAAAAAGATGCTCCTCCGCTGTCGCTTCCGTCCTCTGTCGTCAACCTACATGTGCACAACCGTGTTCATTTGCGCGCGCGGTGACGGATGCCTCTTCAGGGCCGCGCGGTTGACAGGCTACAACTGCTGACCGCTGGACTACACGCTCACCTCGCCCTTTGGCTGTCCAGGGGCGGTAGGTACATGATCCGCATCATCGTCCAGGTCATCTACATACGGGCAAAAGGCTGCCGGCCAAAGCCCCAGCATCCTCAGCTGCCTTCTTCAAATTGTCTCCTCTGACCTGTTTAGAGCACATATCGCATGGCCGCCAAAAACGTTCGATATATCGTGTAGTTATAATTAATAGTCCCGGGCTTTAAGGACCCGCGCTTGGGCACCTGGCGACTGCAACGTCAACATGGCGCCCTGGCCTTAACAATTACACAGCAACCTGGCATGAATTCCAAGCATAACAACAGTGCAGGCAAAAAGGAAATTTTCCCAAGGCACCTGAAGAAAAGCGCAAAGCTGCCACCTACCAAGTTGGGCTGCCAGGTGGCGTTGCGAGGCGACTTAACGCTCTTGCTCACAAGCGTCACAGTAAAGTGTAAGCTAGTAAGTGCCAGTGCATAGTGTGTGTAAGGAAAGAAAATTCGGCCTTGCGAGAGTTTGAAAGTGTAGCTATGTAGCCCAGGCTACGCCCGACTAATCATTGACTATATGCCTCAGCCTGTGCTACGGGCTAGCAACCGTAACTGAAGATAGAGAGCCCTGCCGGATCGTTTGGCGAAAGGGCATGACTGATTTCCTTTTCCGTACAGAAGCCGGGAAGCTGCCTACGCATGCATCATCTCATCCTTCAACAGGAGCTGCTGAGGTGTATTGCGCTGACGCCTAGCTTCGTGTCTTGGCTAGACGCTTACGATCAGCACCCCAGGAGTATAACAACATTGGCGCGTCGTACAGGCATGCCGTGTGCATTGTGGAAGAAAAAGCTTGGTGGGACCTTTGTATACCACAAGCTATGCGCCATTTGATGAATGACGTTCTGCCGTTTGGCCAGCGAGTTAAGCCGTCGCATACAATACCGCGGAGGCGCGGAGCAACAAGCGCGAAGTGCTTGCCGTATACGTACATACGAATACCTAGCACGACCCAAATCGAAGCCGAGGTAGGACAAAACAAACGGCTCATGGCCTGAGTAGCAAAGCAGCAGACCGCCTCCACGCTGGCTCGCCGGATGGCATGTGGCACGTGCCTTGCTCACCGCTCAGGCGCGCGTGCCTCGGCTCTTTGTCGCCACCAACACGCCCATCATATCAAACCCAATTGGGTAATGCCGGGCAACTGCAAAGCCAGCATCTCGAGCCAGGCGCTCCAATTCCGGACCTGAACGCAGTGCAGAAGCGTAACGGGATAAGAGGTTAAGCTGCAACCGCAGAACCTTTCCCGGCTTAATAAAAGAGTAACGGTTGCTATGTTGAAAGCTCTTTGTCCAGGGTCTTTTACCATAAGGGTGATATCGAAGGCAGGTGAACGGGTCATAACGCTTGTGCCAGTGCCAGGGAAAGGTCACTTTAGCAAGCCGCGCCCGACCCAGACCACAAAGGAGGGGCGCCACACAACACACCACCCTGACCCAAATGGGCTGATGCTACCTGCACCCTCCGACATGGTCACAGGCCATGAAAGCGAGGGGACGCCAACTGAAGTTGGCAGCACCAACGGTTTGACAAGCTGCCAAGCCTGCCGCTTTCCAGACCCACTAAGCAGCCTCCCCCGGACTCTTGTACGGACTCTTTGGTTCCCAACACACTGAAAGCGTCGCGGTCGGTTGGCTCACGCTTAGGCACTTTTTCTCTGCCATACCTTTCCCACGCCGTCAAAAACCTCTTTTGCACCCTGAACCTGACTCACCTGTTGGAAAGCGCTTAATGGAGGGTCGCAGGTATTCGTACTCCGCCTCCAGCCCGTAACGCCGGGCCGTTGGAACCACCAACCGCTCCAAAAAGAAGCCCTGCGGTTGTGCCGTACACAGCAGCCATTGAGCTAGTACGGCACTGTATGGCAGTATACCGGTACCCGCAAGAGTACTACAAATCACGACCTCAAAGGCCTTACGGGCCTTAGGCGAGCAGGCAGGTAACGAACACGCCGTGTACCCTGAGAGATTCCTGCCGTACCTGTACTGCGTCGGTTAGTGGATTCGTACAGTTATTGAAATCCAGGATCGCAACGGAGCAACCTGGGGAGAGGGAAGTAAGAAACAGATCAAGGCGCGAAAGTTTGCGTCAAATTCATATCGCCCTTGGGCTTCCACCACAAGTCCCCGCTGCTCCCCACTGCCGCACTTTAGCTGCAATGCCATCCAGTTATCCTATCGCCTAGCCGTCTACCCATTCGCCCGCCTTTGGCACCAACAGTCAGCCCCTTCCCCACCCTTCCCACCCACCCGGCTTGAGCACCCGATGCAGCTCCCCGAGCGCTGAGGGTATGGACGCCACGTTGCGCAGTCCGTACCCCATGGTGGCGGCGTCGAAGCAGTCGGGCGGGAAGGGAAGCGCCATGGCGTCACCCTGAACCCACCTGGGGGTCAGCAGGAGAGGGAGGGAAGAAAGTAAGGGTGGAGCACTGGAGTCCCCATGCAACCCGGACACCACCAGCACCAGCACCACCTCACCACCGCCATCCCCCACCTGATGTCCGCCGCCCTGCCAGGCAGCCCCGGCAGCGACTGCGCCGCCTGCCGTGCAGCCGCATCCGCCAGCATCTCAGCGGCGAAGTCCAGACCCGTCACCTGAGGAGCGGGTTGGGGAGGGAGGGGGCCATTGAAACATCCTGCATACAACATCACCCCATGCACAACGCCACATCACGACACGACGCGGCCCCTCACCTCGCCGCGCGGCCCAACCGCCCGGGCCAGTAGAAAGGCAATGTCTCCGGAGCCGCAGCACACGTCCAGCGCCCGACCGCCCGGCCGTGCACCGCTCCATTGAACCGCCATCTGCTTCCAAACCCAGTGCTGACCCAGGCTGAGTGTGTTGTTGAGCTGCGGCGGAGGGTGTGGCCGGGAGAGGGGCACGGTAAGTTATGATAGGAAGATCTGGCGAAGACGCCGGGATGCTGCCATGTGCTGACTGGTGAGGCCATGACAAGGGATGGCGCATGGCACCAAGCCGCGTATACCTCGTCATACACAGGGGCGATGCGGTTGAAGAGGCCCTGCCTAGCCGCTGCCTCTTGTCCAGGGGCGAAGGCGCCTTGGGGCCCGGGGAGAGTCTCAGGGGCTGCCTTGCGGGCAGTGAAGGCTCGGAATCGAGATGCGTGGATGCCTCGGTCCAAGCCGCAGGGTATTCGCCGGACGCTGGCATGAGGATGTACTTGGCGACTAGCACTTATATTGTTTGGATGTCCTATTGCCATCATTGTTGGAGAGCGTGTCGCCGCGCGATACAAGCAATTGCCGTGAACCAACTAGTTAAGCGCGAACGAAGCGATTCCTGCTTTAGTTATTAGACGTAAGAATGCAATTGTAACCTGATTGCAGACAGCATGTCTCTGCAGTCCGAATGGCGAACTTTGAGTTGCTGAATTATTTGGAGGCAATCGCAGCGTCGGCGAGGATCTCCTATCACTCTTCAAAGCATCGAAGTATCGTGTGGTGGTGTACTCATGTGGTTAAGCGCCTTTTCAGCGCGACAACTGAGATTCTTGCTACTGCGACTTCTGTCGTCGTGCATCTTCAACTACTGCCACGAATCTTGGAAGCTTGCGGTCGTAAAAGCTTTACCACAACCTTCGAAATTAACAAGCATGAATGATAATGCACGGTCCTCTACCGCGGGAGATTGTAGTAGCGAAGCTTCCGGCAAGGCGCCCATCCATCCCTTGCTGCCAACCATTCCCAATACCGCCCACCCTAAATTCCTCCCCGGCCAAAAACCTTGTAACTACGAGTCACACCATCCGACACCACTGCAACCCACGTACGCCCTTAAGTGTAAAGACGGTTGCGCACCTGCCTAGACCACACCCTCCTTTTGACAACGGCACGCAGCAACCAATGCTCACCAGCTTATCTCCTCGCAACAGCAACCTCTTTCCTCCTCTTCTCCCCCCATCACCACCACCTGCTACGCAGGCTGTTCCTCCACCCCAGCCCTCACCCCAGGCCCTTCTCCAACATCCCTTATCTGCTCCGCGCCTCCACCTCCTAACTCCCCGCTCTCCGCCTCCAGGCGCGGCCCGGCCACGGGTGCATCGCTGGTGGTGTAGTCCGCAGCGCCGTGCAGTCGCGCTGTGGAGGGCGGGTCGAGCAGCGAGGCGATAGTCGCGGCCGCCTGGGCGCCGGCGACCGCACCTGTGAGCAATCACGAGAAGCTGGAAAATTCGCAAGAGCGAGAGCACGCGGTGACAGTGTTAATGTAAAGAATGTAGTCACAGGAACTGCTGCACAACAAAAGAAGGATTTCTTGTAAGGTAGTTTTTGCCTACAAGCTGCCTGTTGGTGCCTTCTTGTAAGTGCCTCTAAACTGCTTATGCTTTCTTATCGTCGCTGGCATCATCACCTGCAGCGGCTCCCAGCGGCCCAGCGATGCCAGCGGAAGCCGCGCCCACAACAGCACCCGCCGCACCCCACTTCACGTTGTTGGGTGCCGCAGCCAGCCCGTCCTTCAGCGTATTTAACGGGTCCATCTATCTTTACTCCCAGCACTCCCACAGGGCTCTTACGGCAAGAAAAATGTCAGGGTTCTATGAGGTGTCGGCTGAGCAAGTTGTGCCAGCGTGTGTTGAGTAACTAAGTGAAGTGTTGAAGGCCGACGTGTGCGAACAGTCTCTTACCTTGCCGACGTATGACCCGTGGGACGGCGTACATGCCTTGGACCACATGGGCGGCATCTTTAGCGCCAAAACTAGCAAAGATTGCAGGGCAGTCTAGCCTGGTCCAAGTTGTGAATCGCTGGTTAATCGGCACATGGTTCTTGACTTCTTGCACAATGAGCAGAAGAAGGAGTTTCCGTCTGTTACAAGGCCCCCGACGGAATTTTGTCACGTGGGCACCCCAAGTATCATCGGGGGGGGGAACAATGGCCCACGCACACAACACCCCCCCTCGTTCGCAGGTAGTAGTGGGGTAGCAGCGCAACTGGGTGTCAGTGCGTGTCTTCGCACCCAACTGTCCTAGGCAATGTCGTACATCAGGACTACAACCAGCTACGGCACAACGTCTTCAACGTCAACTGCAACTCGCAGTACCATACGCAACCGTAAACAACCTGGTGGCAAATTAATCACGTGCCCACACGACGTGCCGGAGGAATCATGTTTGCAATAAATTGTGGAAAAAGAAGCAGCATGGGGAGCAGCGGCAACACAGCCACTACTGGTAAGCGACAGCGTCCTGTGTCAACTGAATCCCGCCGGCGGTGGACAATGCCAGCAGAGGTTGCTCTGCCGGAGTCGCACCTAAACGGCAGCCTAGATAGGCTTCGAACGACAGGCAACACACACGCGCGCGCGCACACATCAGCGCAGATGGCACATGCATGAATGGCGGTCCTATGCGGCCTATAAAGCGTCGCTCTTCTGTCTTCTCGTGCGTTTCCATGACGTGCATATCCATATACCGAACACAGGGCATGTCATGCGCCCGCACAGCAAACCTCCCGTCCATAGTTGGGGACGTCTCAGGCACAGGCACACAACACACTTAGCCTATTGCACACACATCGGGCTGGGCTCCACGCACCACGTGTTAACGTCCTACGCTTAGCGAACACATCGCACGCACAATACTGCCACAAATCGGGTTCCTATAACCCCTCACATACGCCATGCAACCGTGATCAGAAGACCCTATAGGAACCCCCTACAAATGCAAGTCTGAAGTCCCCCAGGACTGACGCGGATGCACGTCAGCCCCCGTCCCCTATACCGTCCCCCATACCGGCAACATGTCACCAGCTGCCTTTCCACCCCTACTTCAGCGCACGCTCACACACGCCCGCGCTCATCGAAACGCGACATCATCTACGTGGGTTGCTATACCTGCGGCCCCACATTCAAGTCACACAACACAGCTGCACGGCGTCTTGGGTCCACGCCGTTCTTCCACGACCCTACCAAACTAGCGTTATCCCTTCCAACGCGGTAGCCATAGGCCAACAGCCCTCCCCTCACCACCACCACTTCACCACCGCCCCCAGCTGTCTCCGCCACGCCCCCCCCCTCCTTCTACACAATACTCGAGGGGTCCGCGGTGGCAACCTGCGACACCCTTGCAAGCGGTGGCAAGCGGCCGCTCGGTCCTGACACCAGCGGGAACAGCGTGGGATCGACTCCTGGTGCATCCAACGCGGATCCTGATGGCTCGGCGGCATCAGCATCGCCTGCATCAGCTTCCGGTGCCGCTGCTGGGGCAGCTGGGGCAGCGGCCGCAGGGCTTGGCTCCTCGGGAGGAGTCTGTGCTTGAGCCTGTGCCTGTGCTTGCTCCTGTGCTTGCGCTGCAGCCAACCTGGCGGCCTCCGCAGCGGCTGCAGCGTACTGCTGCTGTTGAAGGGCGCTGTAGTACGCGACGTACTGCTGATAGGCAGATGGGTCGTACATGGGGTTAACGCCGCCGGCGGTTGTGGCGGTTGCGAAGGAGGCGCCGCCCCAACTGGTTGCTGCCGGCGTGGGAGATGCGCCGGTGGTGGCTCCGGGTGTGGTAGGCATGCTGGTGACGGTGGAGATGGCGCCGCCGCCGGTACTTGCTCCGCCGTACATTCCCGCACCGCCGCCGGTACTTGCTCCGCCGTACATTCCCGCTCCGCCGCCGGTACTTGCTCCGCCGTACATTCCCGCTCCGCCGCCGGTACTTGCTCCGCCGTACATTCCCGCTCCATACATGCCGTACATGCCCGCCTGTAGCTGCTGTTGCTGCTGCAGTTGTTGTTGCTGCAGCAATTGCTGCTGCTGCTGTTGCTGCTGCTGCGCCGCCATAATCGTTTGGCTGAACCGCGCGGCCGGAGACGCCGGCGGAAGAGCGAACACTGGCGCGTGCCAGGAGTTCGAGGGCGCCGCCGACGGCCCGGCGCCACCGGGGCGTTGTTGCAAGGGGCGAAGGGCGCCGTCGGGCCCCAGAATCGCCGCCCACGCAGCGGTGTTTGCCGACTGTTCGTTGGCGCGGCGCGTCTCGGCGGCGGTGGAGGCCCGGGATCTCCATCTCGCCGCCATGGATGCCGTACTGGCGGCATCGCCGAAACCAAGCGGGTTGTACGGCACATGGAACTCTGGCCGGTCGTCCGTGGACCCGAAGAAGGCGTTGGGCGCGGAGGGCTTGGGGATGTGGTTGCCGTACTTCCCGGTCTGCCCAGAAGCCTTGTGCGGGCTGGCGGGGGCGCTTTCCAACGCGTCGGCGGCGGCGGCGCCGTCAACCGCACGGACTGCGGCGGCGGCAGCAGCGGCACTGCTGCGGCTGCCAGCAGCGGCGCCGGAGGCGTCAGCACGTGATCGCAGGGAGGCCGCAAACTTGAGACGGCCACCCTTGAGCATGCTGACGTTGCGAGAGCGGTTGCTCAGAGCTCGGGACTTGACACTGAGCGAGCGGCCGCCCTCGCTGCCGCTGTTGGCATCCTCTCCGCCGGAGCTCGCCGCGCCGCCAGTGGAAGCACCGGCGGTGGAGCCAGCGGCGCCGCCACCACTCATAAGCGCCGACGCCACTGCCGCCAGGTTCTTGAAGCCCTCGGCGGCCTTCTTCATGCTGGCCAGGCGGTTGGGCGGCCCGCGGGGCCTGCTGGGGCTACCAGCGCTGCCGGGACGACTGGAGGCCGCTGACGGCGCCGCTGTGGTGACCTCCGTCGTGGACACCGGCTGTACCTCGGATTCCGATTCCACCGCCGCTGGCGTCCGCGGCGTCGTGCCCTGCTCCTCCTGCTCACCACCAGCAGCAGCAGTCGCACTACCACCAGAGGCTGCGGAGCTCGCAGCTCCAGTGGCTGTTGCCGCCGAGGGCAGCGCTGCGGCAGCAGTGGCGGCGGCGGAGCCGCCCTGTCCGCCGTCGGCAGCAGCAGCGGCAGCAGCATCGCGCTTGCTGGTGCCGGCGGAGGAGGGCCGCGAGGCAGCAGGCGTGGTCGCCGCGGTGGTGGTGAGGGAGGTGGAGGGCGCCGCCGCAACGGTGCCCCGACGTGAGGATCCGTCCTGCGGTGCGATGCGCACTCGGGAGGCGAAGGAGGCGGCGCGCAGGCCGAGGATTTTGTGCACCAGCGACATGGGGTCCTCCTTGGCACCCTCGTCCTTCTCCTGCGCGGGGGGGGGGTAAGGGCGGGGAGGTGGGCATAGGTTGGGGTGGTGAGGGAAGAACATGCACGGCCCTTGAGGAAACCCTCCCACCTTGCATACCATACAACTCGTCAGTTTTCTCTTTACCTCAGCCCCCCCTTTGCTCATCACGCTATGAGCCTTGCCGCTTGGTTCCGGCAGTGCCCCCCCCCAACCACCACCACCCCGGCCGCCCGTCCCCTCTCCGTACCGTAATGTCCTCCAGTGCATCCAGCCGCAGCAGCTCCTGGTTGAATGCGGGTCCGCGCTGCTTGAACACGTGCGCCAGCGGCACCCCGCCGTACGCATAGTGGTGCAGCGCCGCCGCGGCCTTGAGCAGCGAGGCGGCGGAGGCGGCGGCGGAGATGATGTAGACGTGCGGGGTGATTACGAAGCCGGAGCGGTAGGCCACCAGGTAGAAGGCGGACTGCGGGGAGGGAGGAGAAGGAGGAGGAGGGGTGGGGTGGGATGAAGTTGGGGAATGGCAATGGTAATCTGGGGGTGGGATGGGAATGGGAAGGAGCCTGAACCCGGCAGTCATTCACTAACACACGGCCAACTTACTTAACAAATATCCAAAGCTCGCTGCCAGTTTCCTTTACACACCTCACGACCAAGTAGTTTTTAACAAAACACACACCCACACACCTGCACAATCGCCTGCGGCGCCGCGCTGAGCAGCGGCTCCAGCAGCAGCTTGATCCGGAAGACGCGCATGTTTGGCGCCAGGCTGAAGCAGCCAGGCCGGCCGTGCCAGCAGTACAGCGCGAAGCCGCGAATGGAGCGGTTGAAGGCCTCGGGCGAGCCCAGCAGGAAGCCAAGTACGACAGTTACGACGTCCCAGGTGAGCTCGTACGGCAGACCGAACGGCAGGGTGAGCAGCGCGAGTGCGGATGCGGGCAGCAGGCCGAGACCCCAGGCGATGTGCAGCCGGATGGCCCAGCTGACTGTGAAGAAGAGCTGTGGAGCGGAGGAGGAGGGAGAGGGTGAGGGCAGGGTGAAGGGGGTTAGCGGGAGTGAAAGATATTGGCCAGGTCGATGTGTAAACTGAAGGAAGGAATTGAGAAGTAGGTAGGCCCAAGGGGCCCAAACGTACAGTGAGACCCAAATCCTGTCATGACCACACGCATTCATCGCGCACAGGGAAGAGAAGCACGCACCGCATTGTGATGCCGCCCCCAAACCGCCACTCACCAGCAATATGACGCCGACAACCACCGGCGGCGCAAGGCTCAGGCTGGGACTCACGTACGCCGCGATGAACAGCGCATCTGTGGCCACGCTGAACAGATACACGATGGCGCCGACCCGTGGGCCCAGGAACTCCCACACCAACCAGTAGTAGTGCAGCACGGTCTGCAAGGGGTGCCGTACAGGACGCATCTTCTGTGGCTTGGGCGGCGGTGGAGGCGGTGGCCCGACGGAAATGAGTTCCGGCTCCGGCGGTGCTTCATCGGCCTCCTCGCCGTCAAAGCTGCCGCGCCGACTCTGGTCCCAGGCACGACGGCTGCCGGCACCGACACCGCTGTATGACACTTTCCGGGAGGACCGTCGCGCCTGGGAGGTCTCGCGGTAGCGCGCCTCACTCATGCTCTCTTCATCTTCCGAGGATGAGGGCAACGATGCGGCGGCGGCAACAGTGGCCGGCTGCATCGTCGGAGGAGGCGTTGTAGGTCGTGGCTGCAACAACGGCTCCTCCGCCTCTCCAGGTAGAATTGAAGTTCCTCCGTCAGCAGTACTCGTGGCAGAGTCGCGCAGCAGCGCTGGGAGCGGTGGCCGGGTCGCGGATTCCGTACGCGCCACTCCGGATGGTGCTGAGGGTAGGGTCAGCTCTTCCGCAGATGCTGTCGACCCCGCATCGGGTCCGCTACGAGCCGCCAGGGCGCCACGACCGCTGCCCGGCCGTACGACAGGAATCGACGCCAGGATGGCGGGGATGCCCGCTGCCTGCGCCGTGGCCTCCTCCTCGTCGACTGCTCCCGCGCCCGATGCGGCCCTGGACTTGTCGTCTTCTGTGGTGCCTAGTGCTGCCGCAGCAGCCGTCGCACCTCCAATGCTGCTGAAGGCTGAGGCTTCAGCACCCGCGGACGCAGCCTTCCCCTCTTCAGCTTCTGGCGCCTTTGAGCCGGCTTGCCCCTCCGCCTCCACTGCCTCCCCTTCCGAAGCCGCAGACTTTTTGGATTTCTTGCGGGTCACCCGCCGGACGGATGGGGTCCCACCATCCGTTGTTTCCTCCTTGGACTTCTTCGACTTTGTCTTGGTCACTCGTCGGCCTGACGCATCCGTTGCCTCCGCGTCCGAAGTCGCAGACTTCTTTGACTTGGTGCGTGTGACTCGCCGGCTGGGAGAGCCTTCCCGATCTGTCACCTCTGCTTCTGAAGTCGCACCTTTCTTGGACTTGGTGCGTGCGACCCGCCGGATAGACGAGCCCTCCACGTCCGTTGCCTCCGCTTCCGATGTCCCGCCCTTCTTCGACTTGGTCTTGGCCACACGGCGGCTAGACGAGCCCTCTGCATCAGTAGCCTCCGCCTCTGACGCTGCACCCTTCTTCGACTTGGAGCGCGCAACCCGCCGGATAGATGTAGAAGCTTCCGCATCTGTTCTCCCCGCTTCAGATGCCGCTGTCTTTTTGGACTTGGTGCGTGCGACCCGCCGGCTTGGAGAGCCTTCCCGTTCAGTTGCCTCCGCCTCCGTCGTCCCTGCTTCCGAAGTTGCCGCCTTCTTTGACTTGGTCCGCGCTACCCGTCGCATAGACGACGACGCCTCCACATCCGTTGTCTCCACTCCAGACGTCGCAGCCTTCTTTGATTTGGTGCGTGTTACTTTCCGGCTGGGTGACCCCTCTGCCTCCGTTGCCTCCGCCTCCGACGTTGCCGCCTTCTTGGACTTCGTCCGAGCTACACGACGTACGGGAGAAGCACCCTCTGCGTCCGTCATCTCCGCCCCCGTCACCTTCTTCGACTTCGTCTTCGTCACTCTCCGGCTGGGGCTCTTGGGGAGACCACCCAATGCCGCCTCCGCTGCCGTCTTACCCTCCTCCGTCGACTTGGTTCGAGTGCGCGCCACCCTGCGCTTAACCGCTCCGGAGCTTGGACTACCGGCACCATCGCCGCCCACGCTTTCCTCACCCGTGGTGGCGCCACTCACCAACAGCGTTGACACTGCACGGGAGCGCATTTTGGCAGGCTTGCCGCCAGCCGATGCTGAGACCTCCAGCTCTGGTGGGAGCTCCGAAGTGCCGGACATGCGTGGCTGTCGGCCGCCCGGAAGCAGTCCCGAAAGCGGTCCGAAGTTGGTAGAGTTGGGCGTGGAGAGGCGAGACGGCGTGGGCACGGGCAGTCGAGGGAGCTCCTGTGAGGAGGGAGGCTCCACGGCTGCCGAACCCTGCCGTGAGGGTGCCATGGAAGCACCGCGGCTACGATGACGGGGCGGTGTTGAAGGCGACGCCGTGGCACCGGCGCTGCCTTGTTGCAGCGAGGCAACCAGACCAGGGTTGCGGTTCATGGGCTTGTGCGCGCTTTCAAGCGCGGCGTCGGGCGTCGGCAGCATTTGGGACTGCGGCTTAGAGCGAGCGGAGGTCTTACGAGCCATGCGCCGCTGGGAGTTCTTGGCGGCGAGGGCGCGGAGGGGGGTGACGGGAGAACCAGGGCTGGAAGGACCGCCGGCGCTTTCGCCGCCACCGTCGACAGCAGGCCCGCCGCTGCCGCCAGCTGCAGCGGCCGCTGCGGCCTTCATCACCCGCACTCCGAGCTTCTTACCCTTCTTGCGGCTCGGCGAGCCGGGAGAAAGAGGATCGCGGCTGGTACGCGGCTTACGGCTGGGTGACCGCAGCGGGGAGTCCAGGTCCTCCACATGGTCTGGGATGGGCACCACGACGGCAGATGTACGGCGGTTCTTGGCGGCCGCCGCCGGCACGGGTGCCGCAACCGGCCGTGGCGACTCGGCTCCCAGGGTTCCATTCAGCAGGCTGATGGGGGTGCTGAGGTCGGGACGCTCAGTGACAATCACCGGCGGAGGCGCCAGCATGGATGTTCGGCTGCGGCCTTTAGGCCTGCCCGACGGCGACGTCGGTACCTTGGGCGCTGACGGCGACGCAGCACCTCCGTCAGTGCCCTCTCCTTCGCCAAAGCCCACCACCAGCGTGGGTGTGGAGGTGCGCACCACGCTGCCTCCGCCGCCACTGTTGCGAGCTAGGAAGCCGCGCAAGCCGACCGCGGGAACCGCTGCAGGCGCCGTCGCTGTCGGCGTCGTCGCCACGTCATCATCCTCCAGCGCCTCTGCAACCGGACCAGCGGCCGCGGCCCCACCGCCGCCGCCGCTTTCACCTCCACCGCCCCTTTCATCACCAGCGCCGCCGCCGCCGTCGGCGGCGGCGGGGGCGGAGGACGCTGTGACCAAGACCGGCCTTGGTTGCATCCCCGGCAGGGGAACCAGTGGCGGAAGCGAATGCACCGAACCGCTAGGCGGATGTCCAGGCCAGCTCAGCACCCCTGCCGGCGTCAGCGACGCCTGGGAGTGTGGTGTGAAGCGTGCTGAGGGCAGCATGCTAGTCAAGCCCATCACGGGCGGGTCACTTCCGGAGCGCCGGGATGCTCCTCTCGTCCAGTCCTCGGAACGCGTCACTGCAGCCTGAGCGGCGGCGATGGCGGCGGATGAAGCGGCGGCCGCTGCCGCCGCCGGCGCCGTCGGCGGAGCCTCCGGCTCTAGGACGAAGCGCACTGCGGTGGGCTTGCGGCTGATTTCCGGAGCGGGGCGACGGGCAGTTACCTGCTGCAAGCGAGATATGAGGTTCTTTGCGAAGAAGGGAGCGGAGGCTTGCGGTTCGTCTTGATGCTTCCCTGACACCTGAACCAGCGCGGTCACGCCCTGGGCGGCAGCGGCGGCGGCGGCGGCGGCAGCGCGCTTCTCCATCTCTTCATCCCTGCAAGGGCGTTGTTTAGGGCCATTAGATGAGTAAGAACGGTGTACAACGAAACCGGTCGCCAGCTCGCCACAACACACAGCCAGTGTCTTCACCAGTTTCTGGCTCCATTGCCTCATCACATATGGATCCCAACACACCCGTCCTACAGCCCGGCCGACATTCACGACCATCCAACAGCCCCGGTCAGTGCCCCCTCACGGCTCAGCCGCCGGTGTACCCCTTCTTCACAACAACCACCCACCACCCACCACCCCACCACGTTTCACACATCACCCACCTCCGACGCCAGTAGTAGTAGCAGGGCATGGGCAGCACCATCGCCACCAGCAACGTCACAACCGGCAGCCACAGCCCCAGCACCGGGCGCAGCAGCACCGCCACGTTACGCTCGTAGCACCACTCCTCGGGCCGCGCCAGCCAGGCGGTTTCGGAGGGCGCGGCACCGGGCGGCCCGCCCGCCACCCACGTCGCAAAGTCGGCCATGAAGCCGTACATGGGGCGCGGCGGCGCGGAGGGCTCCCCGGCAGGCAGCAGTAGGGGAAGGGTGCTGCTGTTTGAGTTGGAGGCGGAAGTGTTCAAGAGCTTGGCGGTGGCAGTTGCGTTGGCGAGGGAGAGGGTGAAGAGGGCGCGGCCGAGATCGCGGGAGGTGGTGATGTTGTACAGGTTGTGGGGCACGGCGGACTCGGCCTGCTGCTGGTAGGCACGGTAGGCCTGCATGCATGGGCAGCATGGGGGGCGGGGGGTAAGTGGGAGGCGGGGGGTAAGACGGGGCAGGAAGCACGCACACGGATGCATGGAGGCGTTTTACCAGGAAGACACAAAGCGGAGAGAGCAGCCGCAATGTAGGACAAATGTAGGCATGCCCCGGTACAAAGCGCATACCCCGAAGCCCTCATCTAACCAATACCAATACCAATACCACATCCCAAACATGCCGCATCCAGCCCAAGCCAACCCGGCCAACCCCAAACCCTACTCGTCTCAAGTCCCCAAACCCCTCTCTGGCCGCTCCCAAACTTCTCACCCTAAATACGTCGCAGATGCCTCTCAGGTCCTCCGCCTGCACCTCCGGCCGCCGCACGTTGTTCAGGCTGAGGCGGCCGCGCAGGATGGCGTCCACCAGCATCACCCACAGCGCGGGTCGCGGGTGGTAGCCCGACAGCACCACCTCGGGCTCCAAAACCACACCCGTGTCGGCAACCTGGCGGTGGGGTGGCGGGGCGGGAGGTTGCAGGGTTGCGAGGAGGGGGGAGGGAAGGTAAGGCAGGGCAAGAGGAGGAGGCGGGAGGGAAAAAGGGACCGGGAAGGTGTAAGTTGGCAGCGAGGATGATGCAGGGAAGGAGGGAGCGTTAGCACGGAGACGTTAGGAGAGAAGGAGCCTGTGTGAAGGAAGGGGCGGAGGGGGGCACGGGGTAGGGGTGTCCGGGCACAGCAGCTGCGGCGTCCGCCCACCTTGGCCACTTGCAGCAGCACCGGCAGGGATATGCCCCAAATGGACCCGTTGAGGCGGGTGTTGCCGCTGAGGTCCAGCAGCTGCATGGAGGCAACTCCGCTCCAGTCGGCGGGGACGGGGCCCTGGGAGGAAGGTAGGAAGGGCGGGAAGAGGGAAACACACGCGTTCACGTCCCAGTCTCGAGTTGCGACACGCGTCGAGCCGAGCAGGGAGGGGATCCCTGCAGGCTCTGGTAGAGGAGTTTCACCAAGGGTTGGTTTGGCAGGTTGGGCCGCATGGAGCAGGGGCAGGATGGGAGCCACAGTGGCATGCATGGGGCACATGGGCAACAGGAGGGGGCATGTACCGGATTACTCGGGGCTTCCAAGAGCAGGGCAAAGCCAACCCTCCTGCCTGCCTGCACGCACACGCACGCAGGCAGACTCATCCACTCGCTCACTCGACAATCCAGTACGAGCTCCTAGCGGTACTCTCGGCCACGTTTCTCAACACCCTCACTCACCGAGAGGTTGTTGTTGGAGAGGTCCAACTCGTTGGTCGCCAGGTTCATCCAGGCCTCCGGCAGCGCCCCACTCAGCCGGTTCCCCGCCAGCCGCAGCGTGTGCATGGACCGCAGGCGCGAGGGCGGCGGGGAGGGCGGCAGGGGTGGCGGAGGCGGGGAGGCGCTACCGGTGTTGGTCCCAATCTGCAACAGCCCGCGCCGGTGCCGGCGGCGCCGCTGACCCGGCCCTTGCCTGCTGAAACCCTGCTGCTGGTGTCGCCCTTGCTGTTGCTGCTGAGAGGGCAAGCCGGCGGCCTCATCCTCGTCATCATCACCGTAACTGTAGCCGTATGCGGATGAGGTGTGGTCGCTGACGTCCGGTACAAGGTCACCTTGGCTGCGAGGAGAAGGTCGGGTTGCGGATGTGGCAGATGGTGCTGATGGTGGTGGTGACCACTGCTGCTGCTCCAGGCTTCTGCGCAGCCCGTTGTAGTCCCGGTGCGTGGTGAGACCGGAGGGAGTGCCCAAGTCGATGGCCCAGCTCAGGGGCAGGGTGCCGGTCAGCTGGTTGCCTGCGGGACGGAGAGGGACAGAGAAGAAGAAGGAGAAGAAGAAGTGAGGCAGGCTACAGCAAGCGGGTTAAGAGTGGATGACAAGGTACGGTGGTGTTTTGACCAAAGGGGTTGCAATCCGCATGTAGTTATACGGTATCTGCTTGCTGAAATCCTCCTTGCGAATTTTCGGCTTTTCTGCTGCGACATATGCCCCCCAACGCATCAAATATCCAACTCTCTTGAGGTCTTGACCCACCTGAGAGGTCCAGCACCACCGCCGTCTCCAACAGGGTCCAGGTCTCCGGCAACGGTCCGCTCAGGCGATTGTACGACAAGTCAACCACCAGCGCACTGTGCATGTAAAAGGTCGAGGGAATGCCGCCGGACAGGTAGTTGCGGCTGAGGTTCCAAAACAGGCACGGAAAGTCGTAGCCGATAAGCGTGCTGTTGTTACTGCTCTGGCTGCTGCTACTGCTGCTGCTTGCAGTGCTGGTGCTGGTGCTGTCAAGGGTAGTAGCTGTGCTGAGGCTGCTGTTACTGCCCGGCAATGTGCCGTAGATGGTGTTATTGGAGAGGTCTATGGAGATCAAGTTGGACACGGGGATGCCGTCTGACAGCAGCAGCCGGTCTCGCAGTATGTCCACACCGATGGATCCCCGCAGGCCCGCTCCGGAGGCAGCCACATGGGCCAACCTGTGGCGGTAACGCGGGGACATGGGCTTGTGACTCGCATTCCGTAGGCAGGGGAAAGCAGCTAGGAACGTTTGTTGGAGGCTTTAAGGGTGCCAACTTGGTTCTTACGTTGCCGTCCGTATAACATGATATGAAGAAACGGGGGATGATAGAGGCGCGCGAGCAGCAACGATGAGACGCAAAAGCAAGCAGGAACGCAGTACATGACATGCCTACACAGAGCCGTACGCCGTACCTGAAAGGCGTGTAGCCGCCTGACATGCACACTGAGGCCTCAGCAGCAGGGAGGATCTGGAACCCGCCGAACGCGGTGGAGAAGAGTTGCGAGAGGCTGCGGGATTGCGGCGGCGGCGGCGGTGACGAGGGCGGCGGCGGCGGCGGCGAGGGCGGCAACGGAAGCGGCGGCGTTGGCGATGGGGGTGGGGTTTCTAGGGGGGCTCCCGGTTCCGGGGACTTGGGGGACGGTGGCGGCGCCAGCAGCGACGGTGGCGGCGGCGGCGCGGGCGGCGGCGAGGATACATGGGGAGGGGGCGGTGCGACGTGCAGGGAGAGGTCGAGGCAGTAGGTGCTGGCGGGATCGAACATGAGGACCCAGTCGATGGCATTGGAGGCTGTGGGGAAGGAAGGAAACGCGTGAAGGGAAACGGCGGCGTGTAGGGCAATCAGGAGGTGAACACGTATCGTGGGGTGATGTGTGGGTCGCGGAAAGATGTACGAAATTTGCATGCATGCGAATGGGGTCATGTAACCTACGCACATACAAAACCGCGACACAGGACTATGGCCCTTGACTAGCCAACGCTATACTGCAGCCACGCAGGCCTGGATCCTGGAACTCCAAAGCCCCAGCTTACATGGAGGGGGTGGCGGCGGCGGCGACACGCGCCGTGAGGGAGGCTGCGGCGGCGGCGGGCTGTAGATCTTCAGGTCCACGTTGATGTTGGCGCGGCGACTGTAGCCCATCAACACCTCCAACGCAGCCGCCGCGGGGCCGTAGCAGGGCGGGTTGGGGCACAGCAGCTGCGTCAACGCTGGGAGCGGCTGCTCCTCTCCCAGCAGAACACTGTTAGGGGTGGGGGTGGGGCGGGGCAAGGACAGCAAGCGATAAGTAGGGCCCTGGATGGTTTTGGGTGTTGGCGAAAGCGTATTATTCCCTGTACGTTCATTCGTTAAACCCAAACGAGATAATATTCGACAACTTCCTGGCTTGCGCCTTTATAGAATCCTACGTTGCTTGCTTAAGGAGATAAGGACCAACCTGAGTCGCTTCTGCAGCCCCTCGCCTCCACCTGCGTCCGGCTTTCCAAAGAAGCGATCACAGCTGACATACGTATCGTAGCCGCTGGGCGACGGCGGCACGTACACCGGCGAGGGTGTGCTTAGGGCCGCACATCGTACGGCAGTGGAATACGACATACGCGCCGGCGCCTGATCCTTAAGCCGGCATCCTGCCAGGCTTGACGAGTCAAACGTGGTCAATGGCTCCAGCCCCTCATCGACTGTATGGGTCGTGCCATTGGTATCCATGGTGGCGTAGCAGGTCAGGGGGACGACGTCGAGGGTGTCGTAGGTTACGGCTGGCGTGGATGGCGGCGCATTGAGGGTGGGGTCGCCGCCGCCGTCGTACGGCACGGCTGGTGCGTCGAAGGGTCGTGGTGGATTGAAGGGTGGTGAAGTGAGGGGCGGAGGACTGAAGGGAGATGGAGGGAACGACGGCGGTGTGACGGGAGACGGTGGGAAGGGAGGAGGAAAGCCAGGCGGCGCAGGGGGGCGAGGCGGCGATGGCGGCGGTGGCTTGAAGAAATGGCGGATGCGGGCGCTGCAGGCAAGCGTCGACGCGTTGTTTGCGTAGTAGCGGAGGCTGTCGCCGCTAACACGTTTCACGCCCTGGGGCTCGCAAGCAAAGGTGGAAAGGTTGAGGGAGACATTGTTGGGGATGTTGCATTGGAAGAGCACTGTGATGTTACCAGGAAGCAGCTGCGGAATGGCCTCCTGGGCTTTCAGTTCCAAGGTAGCCGCCTCGGCTGCGGCTAGGTTGGTGCCGTTGTAGAACGTGGCAACGGCGCCCGCCGTACGGCCCGGCATGGCGCGGGGGCAGGGGTAAGGCGATGGCGGCGGATGTGGAGGCGGCGATGGCGGCGGTGAGGGCGGCACCGGCGGAGGCGCCGGTGGTGAGGGTCTTGGCGGCGGTGGGGGTGGCTTGGGAAATGGTGAAGGTGGCAGGGGACTGGGTGGACGTTGATGCCACTGTAGCACCTGGCGGCGGCTTCGCCGGCTGACGGCGATTCCGCTATCATCGTTTTCATCGTCATCGATATCGCTAAGGATGGCTGTCAACGTCGCTGACCCCGACGTTGCTAACCCCGTCATCGCTTCATGCCCCTGTCGTTGCTCCGGAACCGCAGCACGACAGAGCGCTCTGAACCGAACGCGTGGCGCCACCGTAGCTGCGGTGGCGGCGCTAGCGCTGCTTGACGCGGCATTGTGGCCGTACGATATGAGCTCCGCCACCCAAGCCGCCACGTTAGCGTCCCCACACGCCGTCGCCTCACTGCTGCCATCGCCATTGATGTCTCCCGCCGCTTCCGCCCCCGGGACAGCCACTCCAGCTGCGTTGGTGCTGGGCAGTACTGCTAGCAGCTCCAAGGCAGCCGTTGCCTCGTAGCCGCCCTCAACGGCTGCAAACCACCAACCGCTGACGTGGCTATCGGCTACACCACCTGACGCCGGATAGTTTCGTTGCAGTACGACATCGCCAACCGACAGGCCAACGACTACCAACTGCCGGCGGCGCGTCCTGACGGCGGCGGCGGCGGCGTCCGTCGGCAGAGCTGCAGCTGCGGCGGTATCCTCCTCCATGATGCATGCAGCAGCCGCATGGCGTTGCAGCGATGTGCAGGAAGGCGCGGCGTACGTATCAACAAGTCTATTTCCAGCAACTGACGCCGGCTGCAGCTCCCATGAGGCCAGCAACGTAGCGCCGAGCACCGTTTGCGTCGTCTGTGCCATCAAGAACGCCGCCGCTGCTGCTGCTTCCTTGCCGACATCTTCGCTAAAGGCAGCTCCCGACTGCTCTGCTGTAAGCCGTCGGAGAGACAGCAGGCCGCCCCGCACCTGTGACACGTCGCTGCTGGGTGTGAACACAACGGGCAGCAGCAGCAGCAACGCTGACGCCGTGTCGCCACCATCGCCGCTACTGCTGTAGCCCTCCAAGGGCTGACCAAGCGCCAGGAGCCGCCCCACGCCTGCCACCCTTGCAGCCGTCGCTACCTCCATCCGCCCAGTGGCTACCTCCGTAAGGATCAGCGTCAGCTGCGGAAACGCCGAGTCGTCTGTGGGAAGGTGCGATGGGGTGGCAGTCCCTGCAGCAAGCAATGCCGTACGGCCCGATCCTATAAGGGCCAGAGACGTCATGACTCCCGGAGCTGATAGCCAGAGTGGTAGCTGCGCCTCCCAGTCCAAACGCGAGGTGGTGATGTTGAGGTTGGAGAGTGTGAGTGAGGCAGGGTCGCCTGTCGGTCGCCCCAGCGCTAGAAGAGATGGCCCCGCAGCCATAGCGGCTATAAGCAAGGACCACTGATCTGCGACGGATAACAGCAGCTGTCCTTCTTCACTGTAAGCTGCTAGAGACCCTAGCTCTGGGCTCCATGTCACCAAGACCTTCGACGGCAGCGTGAGAGCGGGGGTCAGACGCCAACCCCCGGCTAGCTGCCGTTGCCACACCAAGTTGCCGTCCGACGCGCCCGCACATAGAAGCCGCTGCTTATTTGTCAAAACACATGTCCGCCGGCCAGCGCTAGCAAGCGCTCCACATCGCTCGCCACGCTCTAAAGGAATGCTCCATGCTGCACTTGGTGGAAATGTACTCGCTTTAAGCGCGTATAGGCTTTCCGAATTGCCGTCAAGGTAAGGGACACAGTATATCTGCCGTGTTGGGTGCAAAAGAAAAGGCGAAGCCTCCCGCGGCGTCGTCGAAGCCCATGCAACGACAGTAGACCACCCTGGCAATGCCAGAAGCAGTATAAGCGGCAGCAATCCCGCCGCTTGCATAGCTGCTTAGCCTGCTAAGCCTCTCGGTAGTGCCCGGCCGAGTGTCATATGCAAAAGCATTGAATTGAATAGTAAAGAGACGACGTCCAACGTCAATATGATGCTTACAGAACGTAGGGGAAATACTAAAGTATCTATCTATGTTTGCGCTCTATCTCTTGCGTTCAAGCGAGTACAGCTTGTTGGCAGCCGTACTACTTAGATGAGCAAACGCAGCTATACCGCCGAAAAGCATGATGAAAAAACGCAAATTCAAGTAGTCCTATGCGAGCAATATGCGGTTGCGATTGCAACAGGGGCTGGCTGGCAGCCTGACAAGGGAGGGACAGTGAAGGTATTCGTCGTGCAAGCGGCTGCACAACAATCCATCAAAGGGACTCCGTACTGGCCCACCTGCACTAAGATGAAATATGTTGCAATGTTTACATCCCGCAAGCCAGCAGAAATACTGGTTCAAGGTTCCATCCCACATCTGCCAGGATGAACTTCCCTAAGCCTTAAGGGCCAAACCCGTCAAGTCCTCGCAAACTCGCGGCTCCTGCACGTTGGTAACGACAACCCTGTCGCCCAGGCTCTCGACCAACGTGCCATATCCATACCCCGCCCGACAGCTTTTAGCGAGACGTTTACCCTGAATTCCTGATGCACCATCTACATAGCGCCCCACGATCTTTCCCCTAGCACATCCTTCCTGCTGACAATTGTATCTGTAGCTAGAGAATCCGACAGCCTGCGATCATCTTATTCGAGTCTAAGCCAAAGCTGCGTCACCAACAGCTCACCGCCACCCTGCACACCAAGGCACATCCTTGTACGCCCTCCCACCTTTCACCTCCCATTTCCTTTGAGAAACGACAAAGTAAACCACGAAGCCAAACCTGGGAGCCCAGAGTGGGCACCATGCTTTACCTCGCTTTGCCCCCTTGCCTTTCGCCTACAAGTCGCCCTTGCTGCCCCGCCGGAAACCCGTCCCGGCACCCGGCCGAGCCCCTGGCCCCGCCCCCGCTCCCGCCCCGGCTCCTGGCTTCGCCCCGCCAGCCCCAGCTCCCGGTCCCGGCTTCGCTCCCCCTGCTCCGGCTCCCGCTCCGCTTCCTGGGCCGCCCGGACCCCCTGCCGGCGCACCCGCTGTAGTGGTGTTGCCGGTAATGGACATTTTGCCCTTGCCGTACACATCCTGCGAGGGTGGAACCGACAGAAAAGCCCAAGGTTGGGTGCGGCAAAGGTATGGTGCCGTACGATTTGTACTGTCCTAAGCAGCATGCTGGGATGCATGAGCAATGCATCCGGCACACCTCATGGATTGCACATCCTTGCTGTCCAGTTGCCCCTACCAGGTAGCCTCCCCCAAACACACCAGCTAAACGGGCTACCGCCCCTACCTGCCACGGTAGCCCCTCTCCCCACCCAGTATGGTCTTTGAACCCCCCACCCCTGCTCACCAGGTAGTCCAGGATGGAGTCGTGCGCCTCCTTGGCGCTGGCTTTGAGCGCCTCCGCATCTGGCGTGTGCTGGTACAGCATGTACACCACCCCGCCCACCAGCAGCAGCGCAGCCAGCCGCGACAGCAGCTGCGTACGACTGCCCTTTTTGGGCCGCTCGTACGACAGAGCCGGGGAGAAGGCGTCCAGCACGCCCACCTATAGCAGGAGGAGGAGGCGGGGGTTATGTTGGAAACACAGGGATTAAGTGGGATGCTGTGAACAGCGGACCGGCCATATCGGCGGTCGCGCCATGAGTTCATGACGCGTCCCCTTGTATGCTTCTTTATGGTTTCTGCCCTCCCTGGTCTTTGGCAATGTCCACGGCGCTTCGGGCGCCGCAGCTGCACCCACGCACCTGGTCCGACATGAGGTTGGGAAAGAGCCAGAAGGAGTGCCCGGTTGCAATCCACACCGCGCCGAACAGCAGGTAGCGCACGCCGATGAGCCCCAGCAGCACCGACAGCACCGCCATCAGGAAGTACACCAGCGTCATGCGCATCCACCTGGCGTGTACGGCATGTATGGCAAAGTACGGGAGGGGGGCGCAATGGCAGGGATGAAAGGACAGGGAAGGACGGGGTACGACAGCAAGGGTGGTGCGGTCCCGTAGTCAGGCCCGGCGCTGAGGGCTGTGAGCCCCTCGCTGACCAGCTTGGGCTGGACCTCGTCTGCTGCCCGCTCGCCAGGGTGCGGTGATGAATCGGGAGTGCTTGGGCATTTTCGCCTCAAACAGGACAGCTGCGGCCTTGCGGGCGAATATGATTGAGCGCTATTCAACCCACCCGCGCGCACGCCCGTCACATGGTTGCGCTCTGCTTATGGCTGCTGGCTCACGTCCCATCCCCACCCACCAGGGCGCCAGAGGAAACAGGCACGACGCGATGACCAGGAAGGGTAGCGCCACGGTAGCTGCGTAGTACCACATGGAGGTGGGCCTGTCATACGTCCAGTAGTAGAAGGCGCCCTCCGTCCAGCCGCTGCCATCCTGCAAGGCCGAACAATGATTACTACACGTCAGCAGCAGGCATTCCTAGCTGAGCAACTGAGGACACGAAAAGTCGGCCACGCGTGTGATTGGTTACTGGGGAGTGCACTGAAATGACACGGAGGTTAAGGGGGAGGGAAGCCGGAGGGACGTCAGCGGTTTACGGAGGACCACGCACCCACCGGGTGTGGCACCAGGGTGCGAGGGTACTTGACCAGCCTCGTCTTGCCCGGTTTGGGCTTTTTGTATTTACGGTCTGCCTTGCGCACTAGCTTGCGCCGCTGGAAAACCATACAAAGCTCCCCGATCTGGTCATCGACTGTCTTGCCTGCTTCATGAGTCCGCAGTGGATTCATATGAACATCAAAAACTCTCCAGGAGCAACAAGATCAAGGAGCAACTCCTACTCACCCGGCCTTGGGGGGACATGCGCATTTATCTTTTCAGGATTTGCGCGAAAGTATCGCGCAAAGTCCTTGCCACGAAAATATTCAACATGAAGACCCTCCCCAGTAGGCGCCTCTAGCTTAGCTGTGCTCCAAGGAACGCCCCTCTTCTCGCGCAATGAGTCGGCTAGCGCCTTAATCGGGTCGTCCTGAGGATGCGAACCATGATCGTGGGTGACTAGACCTTAAAGCAGCAGAGCAACTATGCAAAATCTTTAATCATGGTTGCAACATTCTGAGAGCTGGGCAGTTGATGATGGTAATCACACATGCTAAGCACTTGATCACCTTTCCAGTACCCATCTTCGTAGCTGGAGCAAACAGAACTTGGAAGATATCCCTCGCAGCGCTAAGAGCAGGCCCAACGAGTCCAAGCGGGTTAAGGAGGACAGCCCCTAGAACAGCATGGCTATTGTCTACCTCCCAAGATACATTCAAAGTTATTTCAACGGACAGAGCCTCGTACCACCACGCACCACCAGCGGAGGATAACGGCGAAGGATCCTCTTGAATTGCCGTACGCTTCGTTGCTGTACCGTTTTCCGCTTGTTGTCATCGGCATCAGGCCCGGGGTGATGGTTTTTGTCCCGATTCCGTTGGAAAGTCACGCCTCGGGTGCTCTAGGCGTCGGAGGCTGCTTGTGGCGCCATATGTCCACACCCCCAACCTAGCTGGTTGCAATCACAGGACATCATCACAGGCTAACCGCCAAAACAGGTTATGGTGCCGCAGGCACCCCTATCCGCAAGAACCCTCGACCCCTTGAGGACTCTTCCCGGCTGCCAGTACTTTCCACCCCATGGAGCTGCATGGAGCAGTCGAGAACCCCTCCCCAGCTGACATAAACCTCTTTGGACCCTCTAGCATTCTGCCTAGCTCCCACCCATGAGCAGTCAAACACCCTTTCCCAGCTTTCCCACAACGTCACGAGTTCTTTCCTAGCTGACTTCTAGCTCCACCGAACACCCTTTCCCAGCTAACCCACACACAGATGATGGCCAGCGCACAAATACACGTAGCACGCAGCAAGCACTCATATTACAGTTGCTGTCTCTCGGTCTCTAACATTGCACAAAGGCCAGCCATGGCGCACAAACTAAAAGTAAGCCATGCTAATACCTTATCACACCGAAGTACATCCGTGGGAGAAAGCTCAAAAATCCTCGGATGCCATGGTGTTGTTAATGCGCGATGCTTCTCACAGTTACATAACTCCACTACTGTTCTCAGCACCTCCTCTTCTCGCCCCTCCCTCTTCGCCCTCAAAAGAGCGCACTGAACATCCCCCCCTGCCAAATACACATACACCCCGGACCAGTTCCTTCAGAAACCGTCACATCCGCACGATCTGCAGCAATCGCCACCGAGAGGTTGCAGCTGGAGCGCCTAGGTCCAATACGCCCGGCGGATGCTTGGGTCCAGACGACCCCGTCCTTACTTCACGCTCCGAGCGTAGTACTCAATAACGTAGCGCTCCAATTGTTGCTCGCCGGCAGTCATCTTAACGCCAACTGAACTGCGGCTGGCATTGCCCGCAACGACAGCCACGGTAGGCTTGACGAACACAAGGTGAGCCGGCTTGGGAAGAGGAAGGAAATGCTTGAGCTCCATGCCCTTCTCGGCACCAGAGCGACGGCCACGGGGACCCATATCCATTGTCTCCTCAAACTCTTCGCGAGCGGCCACTTCTAGGTCTTCAGCTGCGGCGCGCACTGTCACCCGCCGGGTGCAAATGGGGACCCTGGCGGCCGGCCGTGCGCTAGTAAATGGCCTAGCTGCAGCCCGTGGAGTAGTCAACATTGTTGCTGGGCTGGAGGCGGTAAAACAAGGCAATTGGGCTGACCGCTCAGTATAAGGACTTTTTGACGTTTCCTAGCCGCAGAACCACAGTTCTTATCGCCACAGTGGGGCAATCCTAAACGAAACGATGCTAAGAAGTCACACAAGTTGAAGTGAAAGCTTTTTGAGGTAGATCGTCCATAACCACAACCCAGGATTGGGCCGCGCAGGGCCCACAAGACCCTTGTCTGTTTGGTGCACAGACACCCCCGTTCAGCGCATTACCGGGACAGATTTACGTTTGATACATTACTGTAGCATAGGAATGGCGTCAGCGCTGTTGGTAGGCCGGCAGGTGCCCCTGGGCGTGCGGTCCCAGGTGCGGCCACGCTCAGGATCAGACCGTAGATATGCAAGCAAATCCGCCATAACTGTTCAACATAAGCAACGTATGCTTCCTTGCAGAGGCACAGCACGCGTGCGAGCGCTTTCCGCAGCCGCCCGGTTCCCTTCACTCCTATTCGCCGTGTTGTAGCGCGCGCTCAGGTACGCAGCATGTTTTGTAGTCGTAATATTTCGATTCCAAGTGCAATTGTGGCTGTGCTCTCACTTTCGTTCGTGCGGTAAGGGAATTCCTGGTGGGTTCATATGTGTATCCAATTAAGCCATGAGCGCCAGCTTTATGCATTAGCCCTGCATTAACATGACAATTGTATAGACACAATTACTGTATGCGTAGCATTCGCATAATGCCATCAAGCCTGGCCTGTACAGGGGGTGGATGCAGCGGAGGAGACCGCTTCGCTGGTCGAGGCAGATGAGCAGATCTTCGATGAGGATGTGTCGGAGCTGCTCGAAGCCGATGTGATCGGTGAACTGGGAGCCTTCGCTTCGGATGCCGACAGGGATGCCGTGGACGATGAGGACGTCGCAGATTTGGAGGCTGCTATGCAGGCCGCGGAACTCCTTGCCATGGATGTGGATATGGCGACAGCTGCTGGAGTTAGCGCGGAGCTGGATGAGGACGAGGAGGAGAAGCAGGTCGCTGCCCGCTTCATGGAGGAGCAGCTTAGCCTAAAGCTAGCCTCTGAGGACCAGGCCGTAACTGAGGCGGATATGGACATTGTCGCTGCTGGCGTCTCGGCGGAGGAATTGACTGAGGTAGGTGGGCTGTGAAAAGAGGCGGAAAGAAGGCGCGCTTCGTCATGGGTACGGCGAAGGAAACACTCTCCGGGCATGAAGCGCAGGGGGACAGCATGACGACCCGCAGGTAGCGCTAAGGAAGGCGAAGGGAGGGGAGGGAGCTAGGGGAGGAACATCTTAAACAGGTGCATGCATGGACCGCATGCGGTGCATGGGGTCATACCGGTATGTGGTGCATGGGATCTTGGTGGAACAGTAAAGGCCGGTACCGTCGCAATCTTGGGCCTAACGTGGCTGCTAAGCGATTTTTTTCCTACTGTGGGGGTACGTCCTAGTGTAGGCCGTCTTGGGGGTTGCTGGAACTCGGCTAGGGACAGGGGAATGACATGAGGGGGCGGCGCAACGGCTGCTGATGCCACCCCCGGGTCACGTTGGCGACGCTCGGCGCTTGGGGAGCGATGGAGACACGGCATTTGAGGCTGTGGAGTCGTGTTGGGCCGTGAAACAAAGACGTGATAACTGGATCCCAAGGCGGTGACACCTGGCCTGTGGACAGGTGTTGGCGTGCTGCGTTACCGCCGTTCGGGGGTCTACATCTGAACGTCTCCCTCCCCGCTGCCCATCCTGCTTTTGCTCCTCCCCCTCAGATCTCACTGGAGGACCCGGTCCCCGTGATGGCCAGCGACCGCTACGACGAGCGGCCGCTGTCGGCGGAGGAACGAGAGCTCATCCAGCCCGTCAAGCTGTCCAAGGGCGAGCTCCGAAACCTGCTGCCGGCGGTGAGGAGGGGGGTCAAAGACCATACCGAACCATAGGAAGCCACAGGTTGGGGCAAGACAATGGGGATAGGAGCGGCAGGGTGCCACAAAAACAAGTATGGGTTAGCGGTTTCTACCGATACCGAGTCCGGGGTGGCGATGAAACAGCGACCCGCCAGCGACCGAGCTGAATGCTGGCTGTTGTAGTTGTCTACTACAATTGTCTTGATGTCAAAGATCGTCACCAAGGCCCCATATGTGCTCGGGCATGACAAAGAGGCAGGACCGAAAACATATGTGATTAGCATAATACACGCAATGTAGCGAGAAGGGGATTTGTGAAGCATAGATTTACCTATTCGATGGATGGATGCCATTGGAGCCGCCAGCAAATTGCGCGCATGGGCGAAGGGAAGGGCGGGGGTCAGGTGGTTGGGCGGTTTGGGTTTTGGGACGCGGAACGCCCCAACACCCTATCCTTCTCCTTCAGACCATCCTTCTGTCGTTTCCTCCTCCACCCCTGCCAATCCAATCCTCCCGCCCTTGTCAAATCCCCCGTTTCAGGACTGGGACCAGATCAACGTGGATTTCTTCTCCAACAAGAAGCAGGAGAACATCCGGCTGCCCGAGTTCCGCCTAAACGTGCTGTGGACCGAGAAGAACCTGATTGTGGCCATCGACCAGGTCTACTCCAGGGTGAGGAGCGAAAGGGGGAGGGGATGGAAAGGGAGAGGGGGAAGAGAGGAAGGAGGGAAGCGAGGATAGGGAGATACTGGTGCCTCGGTCACCTTCTTTCGCTCTTTCGCTAATTACCAACCCTTGGACATGCTCCTCTTCCCCACCTGCCTCCCTCCTCACCCCGCCTCCCGTACAGGGTCAGGTGAGCCCGCTGACCAACTACTACCTCTGGCCGCGTCAGGACGCCTGGGAGGACCTGCGCGTCACGCTGGAGGAGCGCCCCTGGATCGCGGAGAGGTGGGGAAGAGGGCAGGGCTGGGGGAGAGGGCGGGGCAGGGCTGAGAAAAGAGGGGGAAAGAGGGGCGGGTGGCCGAGTTTTAACTCAGCTGCTGCGACAGCAGCATTAATGAGCCTTTCTTTCTCGTTTTTGCTGGCGCGGCAAGGAGCGCCGCCCTCCGCACATCACTGCCCTCCCTGTCCTCCACCTCAGCGTGCCTAACCCCCTGCTCCCCCTGCTGCTTCCCTCTCTACCCCCTCGTCGCCCCCAGGGACCGCATCATCCTGCTCAACCGCCTCACGCAGCTCATCAACTTCTGGCAGGACGAGGAGGTGAAGCACTCGTTAGAGGAGGCGCGCGCCGAGTTCCCGGACTGCTACTTTGCGGCCGCCTAAAGGAAGGGGAGGCGGGCATGCAGCGCCCTAGAAGCGTAAAGCCGTCGCCCAAGGGCGCAGCAGAAGGAGCAGTCATCGCTTGGAGGAGCTGTGGAGCTGGGGTGGTCGCATGCACCTTGTCGACTTGTTGAGTAGCCGCCCTGGTTGCTGCTGTGGGTCGGGATGATCCTGCCACTCTGCGACGGCGGTGAGAGGCAGGCCGGCCCGTTGTGACAGCGCGTGTGGCGGGGCCCGTGGCCATTCGGCAGGGCGGGGGAGTCCATGCACATTGAGTGTGCTTGCATCGGGTCTTTGCTGAGCAAGGAGGATACGTGGAGACCGTAACTTGTCTCGCGGCTGCACGCTGGCCGTGCGTTTCAGGTTTTGAGACAGCAGGGGTTACACTCGGTGTTTGTGGCCCGCTTTTTTACTTTTGCGAGTGTTTAGACTTCAGGACGAGGAGGAGGAGAGGTGTGGCTATAGGGGCCTCGTGTGGATAGCAGAGGACGAGGAAAACTGACGGGGCTTAAGGGTTAACATAGGGGGATAGAAAGGCACCCTCAGGCGCCGGTTTTGCAGGTCTCGTGGCGCCTCGCTTGCGCTTCTTGCGCCGCCGCGATTTGGGCTTTGGAAGAGCTTTGTGCTGGCGGTGCGTCCTTAGCCTTGTCCTTAAGTTGTCTGTTTTTTGACGTGCTCATTTTGGCATCAATTCACAAGGCGATGACCGGCACTTGGCATAGCAGGCGAACCGCAGAAACCTTCGCCTGTACAGTAACCAGCATGCGTGGTCTCTTAAGGGCCGTGTGCGAGATGGCGCTTCTGTTTTTGCGAAAGGCGTGACGCGTTTTGAGGGGTGTCGCGGCCAGTGGTTGGGAGCACGTTGTAAGCGGCAGGGCTGGGGCAGGGGAATGTTGAGAGAGGCGTGACAGTGCGTGTATGAGAAGATATACAAACCCAGTCACGTGGGTTCTTTTGAAACTTTTGAGCGTTCTGGGAATCTATAGCATAGAGGCATATGAGCAGCGGCCGAAATCCCCGCTGCGTTCATGGCACGAAGGGGATTCAGGGGTTTGTGGGCCGCTGACAGGCGTGTTTGCAGCTTTGAAGCTTTGACGATGCAAGCCCCCTTGGTTGTAAGGGGTGAATGGAACAGCTGTTTCAAGTTTGGCGGCCGTAAGCAGTGTGTGTGTATTACGAGGTCGAGAGCTTGCGTACCGTCATCTGCCTCACGTCTGCGGTATGGAGCGGGCCGTTTTTCCCTGCGTGTGTTACGGCCCCCACCAATGCCGTAGTGCAGCCTACAGCCCCTCCGATGTAAACATGGAATCCCCATGCGGTGATGGGGCAGCCTGCGCAGGTGCAGTTATACGGTAATCATCTTTATCAACAAGAATACATCCAGCAGCCTGCCTAAGCATCCTTTTCAACAAAAAATCAGGAGAAACCCAAGGTTATCCTCCATATACCGAACACACACACGTCAGTTAATTTAACACACGTCAGCGAATCGCGGCCAGTTTTCTCAATACACAGGTCAGCGGTTCACAATCACGGCATCCACGCAGCTCGCCAGCAGCCCCAGCCGGCAAGCGCTCCGCAGAGCCGCCTCTCGCGCGCTCAGCTCGTCCAACACCAGTGCCGTACATCCTGCTGTACGACGATACGGCACCTGACCGTTACCATTGCGATGGGAGAAACTGCTGCAGGTGCTGCTGCTGCCATGCCCAATGATGACGTCATTGCCATGAACTGTGGCGCTAGCTCTGTAATAGCCGCACCCACTGCTATTGTCCCAGCCTCTCCCGCCCACTGCCGGTGTGGCTGATCCCGTTGTCGGAGGTCGTAACTCAGCCACTGCTGCACTTGGCACCTTCCCTGAAGCCGCCGTCGTCGCAGCCGCCGCCGCAGGAGCAGGCGCAGCTCCAGCAGCAGCAGAATCCCGCAGCTCCATCAAGGCGCAAACAGCCGCCGCCAGCTGATGCTGCTCCTCAACCACCACCACAGTCAACGCCGCCGACACCTCCCTTGCACCTCCCCATTCCTCTTCCCGCCCTTCCCCGCTGCCCAAGTTGCCTCTTCTACACTTGCCTCGTGACACCACACCGGCACCCCCCGACACACCCGCCGCCGTCGCCACAGCGGCCGCCGCCTCCGTCCCCGCCAGCCGCTTCAGCGCCTCTACGTTGCCCTCCCGCAGGTGTCTGGTGCACACCGCTACAGCTGCTAGCGACTCCAACCAGCCGCAGCCCGCGTTCTGCAGCACCACACCCACCATCTCCCGCAGAGCCTCTGCCACCGCTCGGTAGCATAACGGGGTGTACATGACCCGTGGGTCACCCTCGCTCTCCTCCTCCTTTATGTCATCTGCTGCTACTGCCACTTGTACTCCTCCCGCCATGGCTGCAGGAGTTGCGGCCGCTTTTACCGTCACCCGTGGCGCTGCTAATGCTGCTACTGCTGCTTGAGAGGATGTCGCAGCCCTGGTGGCTGTAGCTGTAGGAGTGTCTGCAGCGACTGCGCCTTTCGACGCTGCATGGGGCTCCTCCCGCTCCTCCCGCTGCTGCTGCTGCTGCTGTAGCTTGTCAGCACGCTGCGAGAGGTGTTCAGCCACCGCTAGCTCCCATGCACCTGCACCCGGCAGCACTCGGCAGGATCGCAGGGCTGCAATCAACCGCTGGAAGGAGGTCTGGTTTGGGGGAGGTAGGGATGGGAAAGAGGGGACAAGGAACACGGTACCGGTAAGGTGAGGTTGCAAACGGGAATGAGGAGGGACAGGATGAGGGTAACGGCGAGGATGGTGAGGTCAGGACACAGGGCAATAAGGGCACACAGCTCTAGCACAACCCCGGGAAAGGTGAAAGAAAAAGAAGCAGCGAAAGAGGATACAACGCACGGTACGGCACGACATCAGGGGGGGCTCTCGCTACCTTGAAGGCTGCCGCCTGTAGCTCTAGCTGGGCTGGAACGGTGTGTGCCAACACCACTGTAACCCAGCCGGGGCCCCCACGAGGTCCTAGGGAGCCTCCAGGCTGCACTGGAGGCTTCAGCGGCCCCTGACATCGCTCCTGCTGCTGCTGCACCTGCCGTTTTGTTGGTGCCTGCCCTGACGGATCCGGCGCCATTACCCGCAGCACCGCTTCCTGCGCGACATGCCCCTTGCCACCACCGCTTTCACCACCACCTCCACCGCCACCTCCACCGCCACGCCTGTAGTCTCGTAACCCTAGCCCTCCTGCCGCGAGATCCACCCTGGTCCCAGTCGCCAGGCAGTACGGTCCCAGGAACGACAGGCTAGCGGCGGTCGCGACGCCGCAACACGCCGCCGCCGCTTGTACGGCACGTACCCCGACGCCGCCGAGTGCTAGCAGCGCGCCGTCGGTTAGCTGGTGGAGTACGGAGACCAGGCGGTCTGGGATGTGTCCGCTGGCTAGAAGGAGCTGAACGCCGTGAGGACGCAGTTTGGCTAGAAGCCGAGAGGCGTAGGACTCGAGGCGCGCATCAGCGTCGGCTGCGGCGAGTCCGGCGGCGTCGGTGATGACGAGTGACCCGTGGGTCACGTGGTCGGGTTGCAGTGCACCGTGGAAGAAAACCGCCGTGATGGCTTGGTTGGAGCATGACGATGGCGGCGCATGGTTCCCAGCGGATTTGGTTTTGGAAGCGGTGAAGAAGGAGGTGGCTAGGTTTGCTTGAGCGTCGCTAAGGGAAGACAGCGGCACACAGACGCCGCACAGGACGCCCGCTGAGACCTCCGCCGGTCGGCCCATTAGCTCTGACGTCAGAATGCAGCGGTCGTACCGCAGCCTCGCCGCTGCCTGTCCTACTCGCTCGGCAACCGCCGCCAACGACTCTTCATCTTCTTTTTCTTCCACCTCTATCGCCGCCGCTGCCGCAACTTCCGCCGCGACTGTTGGTGACGGTGAGCACGTTGATGAACTCAGCGATGATGGTGGTGGGCGCCGTACCATTGGGCCCAGCAGAAGCAGCGCCGCAGCTGCCGCCAACCGCATTTCCAGCTCGCGTCCGTGCGCCAAGCCTGCTGCTGCCGCGCATACAAGTCGAGACAGCGGGTCCAGCCGGCTAGGCACGCCCCCGCATCGGCTGGCGGCGTGCTGGCGGTTGACCTCACTTGCCGGCACTTCGGCGAGGGCAGCAGTGACGTCGGCGGAGTCGTTTTCCTGCTGCTGCCGCGGCTGCGGCTGCGGCGGCAGGGACGTCATTATCGTTCCAGTGGACCCCGTCGGCGGCAGCGGCACCACCGCCGCTCTCGCCGTCGTCTTCGCTACAGCCGCCTCACATATTTTTGGCCCCAGCAACGCTCCCAGCCGGGCTCCCAGTCGCCCTAGCTCCCTTCGCTGCGCCCGCACCTCCCGCTCCGCCTGCAGCTCCCCCTCACCAAAGAACCAGGCAGCCTCCTCCTCTAGCGCCGCCAACACCTCCTCATCAGCCTCGCCGCCGTCGCCGCCGCTGCTGCCGTCGCCGCTGCACCTGCCGTTACCGGTGTTGCACTCGGCGTTACAAGGAGTTTGGGGTTCGGCAGCAGTCCTGACGGAGAGAGCAGTCCCAAGGTTATTGGTCCCCGCAGCCGCGACGGCGTTGCAACCCCTGGCAGCTGCAGCGCAGCTGTGGGTTATGTCGTGCTCATGTGAACCGAAATCCTCTTCTTTCTGGCTGCTGCTGCTACCACAGCGTGCCGTGCTGCGGTCATCATCGTCGCTGTCTACGTCGCCCGAGGAGGAGAAGGCCGTAAGCGAGCCATGTACATTACGTCCGGCATCCTCTTCCCGCGCTGCGGCCTGTTGCTTCACCGCACCGGCAGCACCGCCGACACTAGCGACAACTGCATCGCCTACAACATACGACTCAAACCAACCAAACTCGTCATCTTCATCGTCGTCGTCCGCAACTCCGGAATCTGCAACGCCGCCGGCATCTCCTCCCCTAGCCGCGGTACGATGGCTGCAGCTACGCAACGATCCGGTCAAGGGAGGAGGGCGCCGCAGACCGGTTCCACCAGCTGCTGTCGTACCCGATGTTATTGTATCGGAAGCTGTCGTACCCGCGGATGTCGTACAGTGCCCTACACCGCCCAATGACCGCACTGCCGTCGCTTCCGCACCCGCTGTTGCCGCTTCTGCCCCTGCTGCTAAAGTCCTAGCCGCCACCACTGCTGTCTCCCACGCCGCCGCAGCCACACCCCCAGTCGTCATCAGCTCGTCAAACCAACCAAACTCGTCGTCAGCTTGCTCCTTCACCACCGCTCCTCTCCCTCGGCTCTGCCCACAGCTGCTGTCATGCTGCTGCATCTGCTGCTGCTGCCGGCACCCTTGCAGCGAATCCTGCAGCTGCACCGGCTGCTCTGGAGCCTCTCCTCTGTCGCGGCCGAGGGACCGCGCGAGCAAGTCTTCTGGTTGGGACAGCATCGCCGCGACCGCCCTGGCGCCTTCACATTCGCCCCCCTCATCCTCCTCGTCCCCGTCACCGTGTTGTTCGTCAGGGCCGCCGTGCTGCTGCTGCTGCTCCTCAATCACCAGCGACATCACGGAGTCACAGTAGCAGCTCAGCTCCTGCGGGCGCTGCTGCCAGCGCTGCTCCGCAACCATGGGGAGCTCAAGAGCGCATGCGCCAACAGCCTGAGGGAGGTACGGTACCAGGAGGCACCGGCAAAAAGGAGAACAAACCTACCTGAAATACAGCTGCCAGCACGATGGCTAATTCGCAAATGAATCCGCTTTATATACCAGCATTCTGGGTGTGTCTCCTTACCCCCGTACGTACATGCTGTACCGGGACTGTTGCCGTACCTCACAGCATTCGCCCACTGCCTGAAGGACCCCCGCCCGTACACATTCGTACGGCAGCCCTTGCTCGTCCAACAGCTGTAATACACGCCCCAGCAGCAGGCCGCAGAAGGTCGCCAACCACGTGGCACCGGAACCGGGTGCACAGCCGTAGCAGGGCGCGTCTTGAGTGGCGGGCGCCTGGTGTGTGAAGGGAGGTAGGGGGGGTAGGCGGAGTGGGACTGTGCACGAACACGTTACTTAGCGGAAAACCAAGTGGGGCAAGCTGGGGCAAGGAGAAGGTTGTAGAGAGAGAGGCGAGAAACCCTGTACTAATGTTATTAAGGAACTTGGGGCAGAGTTATTGGATTTGGTGCGGGCCCGGCTTGGGGTGGGTAAAGTGCAGGAGACACCAACCCGCGTGCATACGCCACGTTCCTGCCCGCTTTGCCGCCTCTGCGTGACCCCGACACCCCACCCCTTAGCCGTTAGCGCATGTCCGCAATTAGAGGCCATTAGAGGCCCACCTGACACTCTAACGTTTCCAGGAGCAGCGTCGTGGCAGTGGGATCGCCCTCCGCAGCAAGCAAAAAGGCTTGGATGGTGCCCACAAGCCCATTTCGGGCATCTGAGCAGCTATCGATGATGCATTTTAAGGCTTTATTAGGCCCTAAGAAAGACCGTGCAACGGCGCAAACAGCTTGGAGCTGTCGGGCTATTTCGTATGGTAACATTGCAACGGTTACATTGCTCTTCGCGCTGTCAATGTCTTAATCTACCAGCAATAAATATATAGCAGTGGAAAGGATACATTATGTTACCACTGGGCCTTTTTGCGCGCTGGTCATGTGCAGATCCGTACAATGGCTCACGACGACCGGTGTCATATAGTGCCAATCTGTGCAGCTGTGGTGTGCAACGTCCAAGTAATACTCCCTTTAAGGGGAACTGCTTGGGCGATAGGGTGCTCTTCATCTACGCTTCCATGGCGAACCTGCGGAGCCCGGTCATGCGAAGGCGACTAGGGCCAGAATGTCCAAACGCGTGCGGGGTCAAGCTAAGGACTTTACAACGGCAAACGGGGAACTTTTAGTATGCGTGTCATGTTTTATTCCAGGGACACCAGACCTCACACCCTCGTGCATGGTTGTGCAACACCTCCGCATGTGCTGTGTGACATGTTGGTGGACGCGAGCCTGCGCGCTTCACGCTTACTACGGTTCGTGACCCCAACGTATCCCCAGCAGACCAATAGCAACACAGGGTTAGGTATAACCCGAATAGGATAACCCGGTTGCCCAGATAGCATGCCATCATTGAACCATCTAGCTAGTCCTCAATGCCTGGCTTTTAACTAATCCTGCACAGCTGAAGGGCGCGCTTGAGCTGTGCACTGTTCGCGCGCACTGTTGCAAAGTACTACTGTAGGGCTGCATGGTGCTGAGTTAAGGGTTACTTGGCGTTGTCACGTAAGAGTTGTAACGTTAGTCTTCCTGTGGTGTAGCCTTGACGACAGTATTAACCTGCTAATGTGTATTAATCAGTGTCAAGGCGGCCAGTTCAACTCTGGTATGGAAGCAACTTGGGTTGGGGTTTGGGTGGATTGGATGGATTCATGGAGGGTTAGGGTCGCGGAGCTTTTGACGCTGGCGACAACGAGCACGGCCACTTTGTCCGTAAAGGGTGCGGCAAAGGGTACCAACTAAATTCGCCTCTAAAACTGTAGGTATCCGGCCTACAGTTGGTATCCGGCCTGTACGCTTGTTAATCGCCCTGCCCACAATCCAAGGGATGTCGCTCCTTGTGCAACGAAATTGGGCAACGCGCTGTGCCGGCAATGACCTAAGTTCTTGTTAGGAAGGCGGACAGGAAAAGTAAAGCTCGGAAGCTGTTGTACCGTTTATGCCTTGGAAGAATGTTTCAGGGAGGTGCTTGGGCAAAACACCAAAAGTATCTCATTATACGGCGCGACTTGGTGGAAATATTCGGTTCTCTGGCCGCGCGGATCATGACCGGCCATGACACGGCCAGGAGCCCAGGATCCGATTGTGGGGCTCGTCCTCGCTGTACGGAGCTTCACAAATCTTAGGCCTGGACGACATAGCGATAACGCCAGACAATTATACAGCTATCTGTACGCAACATACGCACGGTAATAGCCTTGCATTCAAGGAATTGTAAGCAGGCGGTTTGCCATTGAGCGGCTCAGGTTCACTCTCATAACCGGCTGGCGAGTGGAGCTGAATAAGCATCTGGAACCCATTAAGGTCACTGAAGGATCGCTCTGCTGAGCAACAGGGCTGAGGTAAGGGCGATACAGGACCCTGGGTGGATTGCAATTGCGGCCGTTTGGCGCGGCCTATCTACCTGCGCTCAGCACCGCGCTCAACGTCGCGTGTCATACGTTGTTATAGTATGCATTGGAAGCGTTCTAGAGGCTTGAATTGCAACTTCGGGCTGGACGAAGACCGTTTGGGCGCGGGGGGATCGGTCGTTGCTTTAAGGCGCTGACTGCATTCCTTATGCGCCAGTACTGCTTTAGCAAAGGAAAATGTGAGTGACACCAAGCGCTCTAGTGGTGCTGCCGAACAGAATGCCGGTCATAGACTGTGCTTCCATACACCGCTTGCACGCCAAAAAATGCAACGGTGCATCCTTTCTCGCCCCCACACGGCCCCAAGGCAACCAAGTTCTAGGACGCTAGCTTTGCGGTTTGGCGGATCCGCCTGTCAAGGGGCCCCAGGTGTGTGTGAAACGGCATAGGTCGTGCATGCCGGCCGCCTCCTGAATGTCATGCGTCATCTCATTCGCGCATATCCCATCTATCCGTTTCCCACTGCAAGCCCACCGTAACCTGGCAAATCAAGGGTCTGCACGCAACATACCTCCCTCGGCCCTTTGGAGCAATACTGTCGGGCACCATTCAACCCTTCCTTTGCTAGCTGGTTGCATCCTCAACTCTTGTAGAAGTTATTCTCCATCCCGGTTTTACCATTTAATCACGAACGCTCCCTCTTCCATTCGCCCCATCCTTCACTTACGGTTTTGGCATCCCTTTTACCCCCACCCTTCCTGCGCAGGCCGCTTTGCCCGGGGCCCCTCGGTCAGGGGCCCGGAGCACCAGCCAAGGAGCAGCGGCAGCAGCCCCTGCCATGATCACCAATCCCCATGCGGATGCGACCACGGCAACCAAGACTGCAGCCGCAGTTGTAACCGCCACAACCGCCTACCCAACCACCACAGCCCTAACAACCACAACCACCGCGACTAACGGTCGGCCTGGAGGAGGCCTAGGGGCACTCCTACCTCGCACCGGCCCGGATCGCTCCTCCTCCGCTTTCACAGCGTACGTTCCTAGGTCGTCCGCAACACCCTCGGCGGCGGCGGCGCCGCCGGCCCCGTCGCATGCAGCAGCCCTGAACGGTCATGACGTCGCCTCTGCAGCCGCCGCCGCCGCCGCTGGCGAGCCGTTGTCAGCGACCACCAGTGGTGGTGTAGTTGGCGGTGCTGGTGGTGGTGGTGATGGTGGTGCGGCGCTCAGTAACGGCGCAACGGTGCACGGAACTACAACAAGCATTGCGACTCGCGGCCGCAGCAATTCTGTTGAAGTAACGACAGCAGCAGCTCACCAGACGCTGAACGGTGGCAGTAACCACCATGGTCACGGCAGCAACGGTAATAACGGTAATAACGGTTGTTACGGCAATGGTGATTCTGGTCTGGGCCCTAGCCGCAGCCACCAGAGTCGCAGCCAACAGCTGCCGGCGTCGGTAGCTACGTCACGGCGCTTGGAAGGAGGCGGCAGCAGCGTTAGTCCTCCGTACATCCGAAGGCACCACGTGGTTGCTCATGCACCCTCTCAGTCTCACCAGCCTCATCCGCATGCTCATCTTCAGCAGCACCCTCGTTCACAGCTCCATTGGCCGCTGCCTCGGTCCGAGTCGCAGGCCTACAATGACATCCAAGACGAACGCCGGGAACGTGTTGGCCGTGGTTCTTGCAGTCGCCAGGATTTGAACGCGGCCAGTCGTCTGGTTGAGCTTGCAGCCGCAGCGGAAGCTGAGGCAGAAGCGGCGGCGGCAGCCGCCGCAGCCGCCGCAAGCACGGCCGCCGCAGTTACAGGTGCCAGGTCGGGATCTGGGTCGGGGTCTGGATCCGGTTTTGGATCTGGATCGGGTTCTGGTTCTGCTTCTCCGACGAATCTGCTCCCCAAGAGCGACGATGGTACGGCACTGAGGTGCTCGGCCCGTGACATTGACGCCGACGGAGATGATGACGAGGCGGAGGCTGACGCCGACGCGTACGACACCGTTGACGGCGCCGCCGCCGCTGGCACCGCCGCCGACGGCGTCGAAGACCAAGATGCGGAAGACGATCGCGACGCCGACGACGCCGGGTTCTTTGATTACGACGTCGACGTCAAGTCATCAGTGGGTGTCATGACGGCAGCAGCGGCGGCGGCGGGAAATGCAGATGCTGGAGGGCGAAGCCGTGTGCGCGACTGGAGCCGGGGAGCGAGCCCGGTTGCAAGGGGCCACGGCCATGCTGGTGCGGGCGGTTCGCAGCACCTGGCTGCGATGATGCTAGAGATGGCGCAAGCGGGTGGGCGGCTCATGCCTGGCGCCGGCGGCGCCGCCGCCGCCACCGTAACAACAACGACGACTAAGTTGACGAACCTGATGTCAGCGGCACCGCAACACCAACAGCAGCAACACCAGCAGCAGTTGCTACAGCTCCTAGCGGCTCAGCAGCAGCAACAACAGCAGCAGCAGTTGATGTTGCAAGGTGCGGGGGCAACGCAGCTATCAGAGCTGGTTTCCTTACTGCAGGCCGGTGCCGGCACGGGAGGTGCCGGAACGGCAGGCGGCGTCGGAAACGCCTCGGCCGTACAGGTCGCAGCCCTGCACCAGCATCTAGCTACACAGGAGCAGCTGCAGCAGCTACTACAACAGCACCACCAGCAACAGCAGCAGCAGCAAGTGGCGTTGCTGCTACAGCTGCAGCAGGTCTTGCAAGGCGGAGGTGGGCTGCATGGCGGCGCTGGCAACGCCGCTGGGTTGGCGGCGGCAGGCGGTGTTCTCGGCTTGGGCGGTCTTGCAAATACGCTGTGCGGCGGGGGCCTGGCAGGAGTCGGCCCGGGCGGCATGTTGGGCCAGGTTATGGGCGTGCTGGGTCCGCAATCTGTGCTAATGGGGGCTAGCGGTGCTCCTGCGGGCTTAGCGGCCATGCTGGGGAATGGTGGTGGCGGCGGTGGAGGTGGTGGTGCTGGCGTCGCCCTCATGCAACAGCAGCAGCAGCATCAGTTCAGTCTGAACGGCTGTTTGGCGTCTTCTGGGCAGAAGCAAGGGCATGTGCATGCGCAGCAGGTGGGGCAGCAGCCTGGCAGCGGCTTGGCGACTTGTTCTGCTGGAGGGACGCTGCTGCAGCCGCCGCAGACGCATGCACAGCTGCGGCGAGGGTCGCCCACACCGCAGCAACAGCAGCAGCAGCAGCAAATCCAACAGCAGCAGCAGGAGCTGCAACGAGAGCGGAGAGAGTGTGTTAAAGTAGAGGACGAGGAGGAGGATGCGGCCGACTGTAAACAGCAGCAAAAGCAACATAAACGCGGCTCGGGAATCTTGCAAGCTCCTAAACCCCGTCAGCAGCAACAACAACAACTTCAGAATCCAGCAAACCCGGAATCACCACACGAGCTAAAAGAACAACAACAACAACGGCAGCAACAGCTGCAACAAGGAGAGGCACGTGAGCTTCATCTCAAGCACCAACACCAACAACGAGAGCAGCAACAGCAACAAGAAAGGCAACTTCGAGAGCGTGGAGAGGCACACGTCGAGTCAGATCACATGCAAGAACAGGAGCAGGAGCGACAGGAGCAGGACCTGCAACAGCAGCAGCAGCAGCAAGAGACCTTGGGAATCCTAGCACAAGACTGTGAGCAGCCGGCGCCCTCGTCGTCGTCGCCGCAGCAGGCGCAGCACGACCAGCATCAGGCGCAGCCGCAAGCTACCGCTGCGGCTACCGAACAGCTGTCCCCACCTCCGCCAGCAGCAGCACAGTACGACGAGTTTGCTGACATCACTAACGCCCAGCTGGAGGGCGCGATGGAGGGCGAGGAGGAGCTCGAGGAACGAGAAGAGGACGCGGATTCGGAGGCCATGGAGGGTGGGTTGCCAGGGTGTTGCTGGTGTTCATGTTACTGCCACTGCTGCTTACGAGTTTGGTCGTGTCGGCTAGATACACTGTGCTGCGTGTGGTTACGGTTGCAGCGTCTCCTTGTGATTGTTCTTGCTCCTCCTCCTCTCTCGAGGTCTTCTTGCCAATCGCACGAGTTGCTGCTGGCCCTGCTGCGCTACCCTAAAGGCCGCATGGGCCCCTGTGCACCCCTCTCCTGGCTCACATGTTGCAACCCATCTTGACGCCTTATCCCTCAGTCAGTTAGTTGTTTCCTCTTTACCTCTCCTGGACAGCTTGTTGACCTCCGCTTGCCCTGCAATTCTACCGATGTTGACTAGCTTTGTCGCTTGCGCCTGTTGCCTGTTTACCTGCCGTACAGTTGACGGAGGCGAGGTTCCGGATGAGGCATCAGCTCTGGACGAGCGCATGTGGCTGACTCTTGGCGACAACGACACGGATAAGGGCTGCCAGGTACTGCAAAAGGTCAAGAAGTAAAAAACGCGAACGGCAGAACGAAACGGGTGGTACGACGGGTTCCTGACGTTTCTACTGAAAGCAGCATGCAGCGTCCATTGCAAGATGGCCGCTGCATGACAACGCTGGCTAGCGTAGGAAACTTTGCACGCGCTAGGGGTTAGGAGGCGCAGAGAGACCACCTTCTTGATACCCTATTGACGGCGTACCTCCCCTGCACAACCGCACACGCCCTTCCTCGCGCTTTGATAGGTGTCCCTCATTCCGGCGTCGCCGCTACGACTGGCCTCCTGTCTGCCAACCAGCCGACCCGCAACCGCACTCTGCCATGCCGTTGGCGGCGGCGGCAGCAGCGGTGCGGGCGGCGGCGGCGGCAGTGGCCTAAAGCGCAAGGCATCCTTGCTCGGCCCCACCGCTGGGGGGGCTGCTGCTGCCGGCGGCGGCGGCAGCAGCGGCGCATGTGCCTCCGGCGGCAACGGCGGCGGCAGCGGCAGCGGCAGTGGCGAGGATCAGAACGGCTCCGCAACCGGCGAGGGCGCCGACGGACTGTGCAAGGTAAGCGCGGCCTGCGCTAACTTCGCTCCTGCTCCTCATCAGTCATGCACACGACCGCGTAAAACCCCTAATGCAACCCTTCCTTGCTACCGGCGGCTTCCTTCCCTCACGCCTCCTCTCCCCTCCCCTCTGCAAGTCCTCATACTCCGTTTTTCCCGATCCGCCCCCACAACAACAGGCGCCCAAAAAGCCGCGCATCAACTGGAGCCAGGAGCTACATGCGCGCTTCCTGAATGCCATGTTCCAGCTGGGTATAAAGAACGCAGTGCCCAAGACCATCCTACAGCTCATGAACGTGGAGGGCCTCACGCGCGAGAACGTGGCCAGCCACCTCCAGAAGTACCGCATCCTCCTGAAGCGGCACGCGCAGCTGCCCGCCAATGCGCCACTCACTGCGGAAAACCTTCGCAAGCTGGAGTACGTGCAACAGGTGCGGTAGCGTGGGGACCCAAGGCAACGTCAAGGGGCATGCTGGAAATAGGAGGGCAGGAGAGGACTAGGACAGGACAGGACATAACAAGATTGATTGCGTCGTTGTGGTTGTGGTTGTGGTTGCAGTTGGAGTTGCTTGCATGTCATCATGATTGATGTTTACTACACATGGTCGGCGTTAATGCTCCTCCCTACCTCCCTACCTCCTTTACTAATCTGCACCCCCCGCTGCTCCTGTCTCGGCTTCTCCACCACCACAGGCCGTTCAGCAAAGCATGCAGCAAAGCCTGGGTCTGCAGGCAGCAGCAGGCGGAGCCGGTGGCGGCCCGGCGCTTCTGAACGTCCCCCTCGGCGGCCCCGTTGGCGGCAGCTCCCTAAGCTACCAGGACCTGCTGAGTCAGCTCTCCGCCATGACGGCACATGCGCCGCCGCCGGCGATTGCACCGCCGGCGGCAGTGGCAGCCGTAGCGGCACAGCGCGCCGGGGGTGTGGCGACGGCAGCTGCGGTGCCGCCGCCGCCGTCGGCCGCCGCCGTCGCAGGTGCGCCATCGGCGCCAATCGTGCCGCCAGGAGCGGCAGCGACATTACACGGGCTTCAACGCGCCGCCGCCGTCGCGGCCGCGGCAGGCGGCGTCGCCGGTCCGGCCGCCGGCGCTGCCGCAGCTGCTGTGGCTCCCGCCGCCGCCGCAGCGGCGGGTCAGCCCGGCGGAGGCGTCATGGGCGCACTGGCCTCCGCCTCCGCTGCCACTGCCGTACCCATCCCCTTGTGTTCCGTACCCGTCGGCGGCCTCAACGGTCTGAACGGTCTTAACGGCGGTCTCAATGCAGTGATTGGCGGCATCGGTGGGCTCAATGCGTTGAACGGCATCAACGGACTAAACGGTTTCGCCGGCCTAAACGGTCTCAACGGTCTCAACGGTCTCAACGGCCTTAACGGCATAGGGACGTTGGCGGCTGCCGCCGCTGCGGCGGGCCTCAGCAGCATTGGCGGCGGCCCCGGCGGCAGCGGAGGCCTGCCCAACGCCCTAGCTGCTGGGCTGCCTGCCGGTTTGGGTGCTGCCCTCTCAGCAGCCGTTCCCAATGGCATTCCGGGCCTTTCTACCCTAACCGTCAATCCTAACGGCAACACTAACGGCTTGGGATTCAATCCGCCAGTGACGTTGGTCGCGCCGGGCGCGCTTGCCGGCCTTGCGGCCGCTGCTGGCGGCGGTGGTGGCGGAACCGCAATGCCCGCAGTATTGCTCCAGCAACGCAGCCCGATAGCAGCCTCCACTGCTGCTGCTGCTGCCGCCGCCGCCGCCGCTGCTGCTGTTGTCTCAAATGGCACGTTCCATGGCCAAGGCCGACCGCCTCATCCCCAGCTTGGTGCGTCTGCTTCTCATGCTGTCGCCTCGGCAACGGCGGCAGCAGCAGCAGGTGGTGGAGGTCATCTGGCCTCTGCTGCTGCAGCTCCCTCGGCAACGGGGTCTGGACAGGGCCTTACGTCAGCTGCTAGCGTCAACACAGCTACGCACTAAAGTGGCCTCGTTTGCCCGGTGCGTGCGACAGGGTAATCTCCAAGGAGCAACCATTTTCAGTTGTACGACAGGAAAACGTGATGAAGAGTTTAAGGAAAGAAAGAGGCGAGAAGAAAATAGCCTATGGTTATATATTTCTGTTGCGGTGGGAGAGCGACCGAGTGCAGAATGCGATGTAATACCGTTTTGTATGTGTAAGGCGGCGTGCGTGTGTGAGATGTCAGGCACCGGTATGGGGTGCGGTTTTGCATGTAGGTCTACCGCTCTGCACATGTGGTAGGTTGCAACCCGCGGAGGCATCTCAGGTGAGGCACCGGTGTCCGGCCAATGGGCTGTTTGTACGAGGAGAGTGGATCGTCGCGGTTTCCCTCAGTGGGTTGCTAGTAAACATGTTCGGGGCTAGGGTGAAGGGGGTAAGGGGCGAGGTGTGGCGGGATTCAGTGCATGGAGGGCCAGTTACATGATGTGAGTGTGCCTTGGGATTTTGTGTGGTGTGTGGGTCAGCGTCAATTAATAAACAGGTCGCGTTCTCGACTGACCTCGTGCTCGTTTTCCGGTCAACACTGTGAAAGGGGGTTAAGATCGTCACCGGCCCCCAAAAAACTTGTGCGTTTCGGAGAGAAAGATAGAGAGTGCCATGTTCCAAACCTGTTTTACTTCTTCCTTGCAGGTTTGGTGTGGCGGCGGTTTCCGTGTGTGCATTTGAGATGCGAAAAGTGCATGTGGTGCAATGCAAACCTTTCCCAGTTTTCATTAGCTGAGTCGTTTGTCAGTTACCGTTGGTGCGTTAATTGCAACCAACCAACCGGTAACTACTGCGACTGCAGCCGTCAGCGGCTGTGTCGTACAGCGCTGTGGGAATTTTGATGTTTTGTGTACTACCTTACTTATCGCTTTAATCAAGATCGCGTCATTTTGCAGACAATGAGAGGCGCAGTTCCGCTGAGAGCGTGTCAGGACAGGCTGCATCGAGTACAACATGACGGCGCGGCGTGCTTGGGTTGCGCGATTCACATCACATTGACGTGCATGGACTGCAAAGGATTCCAACTGTCGGTTTACCGATGTCGTACCGCAACGACTGTGCATTTGTTCCGCCGTACGCACCAAAGCATTGTTGTTGCTTGTGCGGCGTTGGTATCGGGGCTAGACGTATACATTAAGCTCGGCTGGCACGGGCACAACTTAACTTGGATAGCAAAATTGAAGGAGGGGAAAGGGTTGAAGTTGCTGTGAATGATGGGATGGTGGTGCTATTGCTACATACCAGTGTACCAGGAGTAGTGCGCAGTAGTACCGGGAGTTATGGCGACGCCGTTTGCTCATACGTTGACTATGCGCTACGAATGCAAATATGGACCCAAACCGAGGATGACTACTTGATGAAATGACTGAGACTCGCTTGCTTAAGATTCTTTCTGATACGGATTCGGCCAATCTGTCAGGAAAACACCGGGGTAACGCCATGCCCTGGCTTTCCGTGCTGTGCCATGCTTCTGCTGTGCTTGTCTCGTGCCATGCCTGGGGCTGAGAAAGCGTGAATTACTATTCAGATGCCGATGGGTACGCTGTGCCTTGCAGTCATGTGGGTCAGGGAAATTTGGTGAGGTGGCGCAGTAACAGCCACATAGGTCTCGCCACATAGGTGCTGGTTTCCGTATGCGAGCATGCCGTCCTACCACGTCGCGTATGGAGGTTGGGTAAGAGATACGGGCAACGTCGGATCTTCTGGGAGCTAGTTCTGCCCCTGCTTCTCGCACGGGCATATGGACTTGAGAGGTAGTGGAGCGGGAGAGTCGGAGTGGGAGGGGGGGGGCTACGCTGCAACAGTTACTCCTGGAGATGTCGGGGCTTACATGGCTTACTTGTGTAACCATTTCAGACTCCTAGCATCAAGCCATGCCTGTTTGCATATGGGGCGTGTGTTCAAGCTGCGTTAGTTGTAAAAGCAGGACACGCCGTGCTTCACATGCCTCGTAAAGATCATTGTCAGGGTTTGCAAACTCCTCAGTTTGAATGAAGGACCGTTACAATGGTGCCCTAAAAGGGAACACAGGTGATGAATCCAACCCTACATTGCAAAAGAAACGGAACAAACCGTAAAGACAGCACCACAACGGGCCAACAAGATGGGATACATAGCCCTAAAAGAAACCACAGGAGGTAAACAAGAGGGGAGAAGCCAAAAAAGGGCCCCTCAGCAAACCTCGACAAACCTCATCTTGGGCATAAGACAACCCAAACCGGAAGCCACGAACACACCACCCCAAAGACAGGGCCAAAACAGGACGCTCAACGGCACACAGAAAACCGCCCGCCAACAATACGTAAGAAAGGATGAGAAGGGCCAACCCCAGCCCATCCCCGACGGGGAACACCATCTAGCTAAATGGGTTATCATCCTGTTCGTACTGCCAAGCAATCCCGCCAGGGCATGCAAGGTTGGTAATGTGCAGAGGACACAACTGGCAGGCGGCTAACACTCTTGGGATTGGGGTGTTACTCGATGTTGCGTCACGATAATAGGCGGGAAGTGCAACGGCTGTGCTGGCGAACTCGTATAACGGCATCTAAAGGTAATGCGACGAGTGTACAATACATGTATGTGTGCAGTGAAAAGGTCCAAGATCTGCGTATCTGTTACTTCGAGCCTGTCTGTTCAACATGGCGAACGGCAAGGCGGGCGACAATGGTCATCGAGTTCTAGCCATCCCATACTCAAGTTACAGTTTATAGCTTAACTTCACAGGGTAAAAGGCTCAAAAAACACCAAAATGATGGGGATCGATGGTCTGACTGACAGCAATAAAGAGCGAGAAAACTTGTGAGACTTAAACAAGCCCATTCCAAGAGCGTTTATCCGCATGAGCGGATTGGGACCATGTTGCAGGCAAATCGGCATAGCATGGACCAATTTGCCCCCAGCCGTACGGCACACCATGTGCTTACAAAACGCGAAGATGTTGTATTGCTGATTACTTGCCTTATTCCCCAGCCTTTGCTTTGTTGTCCTAGCGGTTACGTTTCAGCAGTACTCTTCACAAATGGCAACCACGGAGAACGGTGCCACTGAACCATACACGCCGAAGAACATCCTTATTACCGGAGGGGCTGGGTTCATTGCCTCTCATGTCGCCATACGTATTGCTTCGCGCTACCCACAATACAAGGTATCGGATGTCCTAGTATATGCTCGCTTGCCAGATGAGCGCCTAGCTGACCCACACGCCTGGACAGGTTGTCGTTCTGGACAAGCTGGACTACTGTGCTTCTACAAACAACCTCGCATCCATCGCGGATAAGCCCAACTTTCGGGTGAGAAGTTACTGATGTCGACGATGATATCTGCAGCAGACTAATTGCCGCTTACTTGCCCTACAGTTCATCAAGGGCGACATCCAGTCGATGGACCTGATCAGCTACGTCCTCAAGACGGAGGAGATCGACACCGTCATGCACTTTGCCGCGCAGGTGCGTAGTGATCGCTGCACTTTGCTGTTGTGGTCTAGGGCTGACAGCGAATTCTTGCCCCGCCCTTCCTTTTATAGACACATGTGGACAACTCTTTTGGAAACAGCCTTGCTTTTACGCTGAACAACACATACGGCACTCACGTCCTGCTGGAGGCGAGTCGCATGGCTGGTACCATCCGCCGCTTCATTAATGTGAGCACCGACGAGGTGTATGGCGAGACAAGTCTTGGAAAAGATACTGGTAAGACGGAAACCATAATTTTGGGCTACTGCTGTCGTCGTCCTTCCGCCAAAGGGCGGGGGTCAACTTATAATGACCATTGTGTGTATGCTGCTATGGAGGCGCTCAGCAAAAAACTTGTTGTTGGGAAGGCCAGTACCCTCCCATCTTTGATCGCACGACCTAATATGGGTAGACCTATTGTGGGTTTTACGCGTGCAGCCAACAGAGAAGCTGTCCCCTGCACGCTTCCGTCTTATGGGTTGGCGTCTTGTACCGCTGTGTCTCCCCAGCTTATCGTTACCTATCCAGTTTCCCAACCTGCGCACACCCTTGCGTACCGTCGTCCTGATTAGCGCCTACCACCACCGCAGCCATCACATTACTCATCCTAACCCCCTTCCCATCTCCGCCCTGTTGTCACCTCGTGAACCAAATGGATACTAGGCCTGGTGGAGTCCAGCCACCTGGACCCAACCAACCCCTATTCGGCGGCCAAGGCCGGCGCTGAGCTCATCGCGCGCGCTTACATCACCTCGTACAAGATGCCCATCATCATCACCCGCGGCAACAACGTGTACGGGCCACACCAATTCCCGGAGAAGCTTATTCCCAAATTCACCCTGCTGGCAGCGCGCGGCAAGGAGCTGCCCATCCACGGCGACGGCAGCAGCGTCCGGTCATACCTGTTCGTGGAGGACGTGGCGGAGGCATTCGACTGTGTGTTGCACAAGGGCGTGACGGGTGAGTGCGCTGGGATTTACTAGCATACCAGGGCGTCGGGCGTTACGTCCTGCTGGAAAACAGCCGGGCAACAGGAAACGACGCATGCCAGGCCAGGATGCATGTGCAGCATGCGACAGGATTGACATGCACGTCCATTGCTCATTCGCTTCATCTCTCACAGCAGGGCATACGACATCGACTGGTTAGTTTTGCACACAAGAAGGCGTGCTTGCCCCCTTGCCCAAAATCATGAGGTTGTCAACACCGTACAACACATGTCTCATTCCCCGCCCATCCACCCTGACCTGCCTTGCTTGCAGGCGAGACGTACAACATTGGCACGGAGCGCGAGCGCAGTGTGCTGGAGGTTGCCCGCGACATTGCGCGCCTCTTCAACCTGCCCGAGGACAAGGTGGTCAACGTGAAGGACCGCGCCTTCAACGACCGCCGTTACTACATTGGGTCGTCGAAGCTGGGGGCGCTGGGCTGGCAGGAGCGGACCGGCTGGGAGGAGGGCCTGAAGAAGACCGTGGATTGGTGAGGCTTCAGGACGTGGGAGAAGAGAACGGGGTGCACATAATAGATACATATGTGGCCTTCACATCATGCGCGGAAGCTGACATGGGCCTCCCGGTTTGGGATCACTAACAGCCATTCATTCGTGAGCATGTACTGTCCCTCAGCATGGCTGCACTAATGGCCGTCTTCGGGTTTGGCTGCAAAACAGTCGAGGAAACACTGTTCCCCGTGGGGTTTCTTGGCCTTCCAACAACTTGCCATTCTTTCCTCCCCCTCTGCAGGTACCTGGGGCTAAAGAACCTGGACAACTACTGGGCTGGCGATGTGGAGATGGCGCTTCGGCCCCACCCGGTGGTGGTTCAGAACGCAGCCACGGCCTCGGGCACGTTCCTCTCGAGCTAAACTGTTGACATGATGTTGCATCTTCAATAGTGTAGCCTTTAGGGGGACGCCCTCGGGTGAAGCTACTGACGTGCAAAGTTAGACGTCGGTGTGCCGTTCCTAGGACATGACATTTAGGTGTTTTTAACCATATTCTTACGAAGAAGATATAGGAAGGTATCAAGACATGACACTCCGCATTAGGGTGAAGCAGTCTAGGGACGTGGACGGGCGGTGGGTTGTCGTCAAAGGGGAGGTCTTCATACGGCGAGAATTGTAGACCGGCCTTGTGATTGTGTTTGTTATGCATATGGTGTTGCATCGTGTTCTTTTGTGACGCAGCGGTGGCCCTGTGGCTGTGGTCTTGTTCATCAACGTTATGCTGTGCTCATGGCGTCAAGGGGCATCTTGCCTTCCAAACTGCGTGCTAGGACCTCTCCACTGGGGACACGAGCTGGGGTCCATGTTTCATACCAAACCGGGATTTATTCAGGTTAAACTGAATCGTTAATTATCATTTGCAGGATTATAAACAACGCGTTTCATGTCGAGCCGCATGCTGTAATGGGGCATTGGCAAGGGTTGTAAACCCTTAACGTACTTCGCCCTGTGATAAGTGGTAACGGCTCATGTAAATATTCATCGACTAGCTAGCTTGTATCTTACATCCCCGTAAGGATACTTGGAAGAAACCACGTCCATACATGAATTCAGCATATCAGATATCACGTGATGGCGAATCCGTCCCACATGCCATACGCCAACAAACTCAAATGTATCACCCAGAGGCACGCTGCAAAATGCTTGCGCACACGCTTACAAGGCCCACCTCTCAGCCATGCCGTACATGGCATGACAAATAACATTGAAACATTAAAACCCAATTCAGCATTCAGCACCGTACACCCAATATGCCAAATTGTAAGCGCGAACAGCCGGGCAATCCCTTTGTACGTCACCAACGCCCTAACTGGTGAATCCGTTGCTGAAGTTATCAATAATTTTCCCCATCAGCACCGGTACCAGCAACACCACCACCCCACAATACTATCACCAATGCCGCGGCGGCGCTGACGCATCCGCAAGCGTGAGCACCTCCCGATCTCCCACAACGGTGGAGAACTCGGTTTCCCGAATGAACCAGAGCGTCTTGGGGCGGTACAGGGTGCCCCTCAGCCGCTCCGTCCAGCGCTGGCAGGCGGCCGACACCTCTTCCACCGCCGCCCGTCCCAGCGGCTCCGAGCTCACGATCCGCAGCAGCGAGGAGTGAATGATGGTGGCCTGGTGGCAGGAAGGAACACGGGTTTAACGAGGGATCAACGGGAGAACAGGGGGAACAAGGAATGAATAACAGTTAGCAAGGGAGAGGCAAGGGGACACAAATGGGGAGCAAGAGGGACAATGGAGTAACAGCGCATTGCTGCTGCGTGACCGCGGTTACCCGTACACGCCACCCATTTCTTCACACACACCCCTTCCAGGCCCCCACGCACCTGCTTGGTGGAGGCTCCAGGGAAGGTCTCCCGCAGGCGGTGGCGCAAACCTGAGATGGCCGCCCCCTCGCCCACCTCCGTCCACGTCAGCAGCAGCACACCGGAAGAGGCTTGCACCACCCGCTCCAACTGCGATTGGTGTTCGCGTGCCCCGAACGTGTTCGGAACCAGGAAACCATGAGCTCGGAATTCTACCGGCTGTACAGGCAGCATCTCCGTTCGGCCACCGAAAGCAAGGCTGTCCGTAAGCAGCCAGCAAGACCCTTTCCAACCCTTATCGCCCTCTCTTTCAACCATCAGCATGTCCCTCCCAGCTCCCACACTTCTGCCGGCATCCCGCCCTAGCCCTGGCCTCAAATCCCATCCTTTCTTCCTTTACGTTACAAGCCCACACCTACCCTAGCCCACACCTACCCTCAGCACTGGCACGGGTGTCTCCGCCACCAGACGCCTCACGGCCTCCAGCTCCCGCTCCCACTCCGCGGCGGTGGGCAGCCGCCGCAGGTGCGGGGCCAGGGAGAGGTCGGTGCCGCCGTCGGGGCGGGTGGGGTCGGGGCGCGGGTCGGTGGGCTGGGAGGTGTGGAAGACAGTGCAATGGTAGTTACCGCGCGCGTTGGCGAAGACCTGGGAAGAGGCAGGGAAGCACGGAAAGGAGAAGGATGATGACTTGATGCGACTGCAAGCAGGATAAGCGGGACCTTCATTCTTAGCGCAGAGTGCAAGTGCAGCCGTCAGGGAAAAGGGAAGATACGATGGATCACATATGACTCGGCATGTACCGGTAGGAAAAGGGACACGGCGGTTAGGAGGACCATACCGGTATGTACGACAAACGTGATTTTCCTCCGTACTCTGTACCTTGGTGCCCTGAGGCAACCGCCGCATGACGTCAGCCGTTACGGCGGCCGCAATGCGGAGTACGGCAGGTGAGTCATCCAGCGGTACGACCAGCAGTCGTATGGCACCGAACTGCAACGGTGGATCCAGCTCGGTATACTTTTTGGGCCAGGGAGTGTCGGAGGGCGACTCCAAGCCGTGGAACCAGGACTTGAGAGGCTCGATGGCAGCATGGTTGAGGTCTGAGGAATAAGACGTAAGGGCGTGGTGGTAACGCAGGAAATGGAAATGGAATGAAGTAGCAAGCCATGGAAAGGGAGAAAGGGACATGGCCAAGCCAAGCCGCGCTGCGCCTGGAGCCATGACCGGTCATTGTCCTAGGCGAGCCTTCTGCAGCCTTGGCAAGTCCGTACCTTGTGCGGCGAAGTCGTCCGCCATTTTACCGTACAGCGCTGCAAGCTGCCGAGCTTCCTACGATGTGTCAAGAGGTAGTGGGGAGAGACACTCGTTGGTTGGGGGTTACAAACGGTGTAGGTGAAAAGAGGGAGCTTGGCGCGGTGTAGGGATGAGGAATGCTGGCAGAGAGAGAGGCAGGGGACATGCAGGTTGAGACTAGCGAGTACAGGAGCATGGATGCCTCCTTTTGGGTTTAGGTTTGGACAGGGGATGTCTGGAGGGCACACCTGGGATACGGGGCCACCGTCAGGTGGGGCATCCGTTGCTGGCCCATCGACCGGTGCTTGGTGCTGCTGTCCACCGGCGATGACAACTGGCTTGGGGCGAATAGAAGTGTTCCTCAAAAACCATTTGCTGCGCTTATAATAAGATGTGACACAAGGAATATGGGTCAAACGACGACGCAATCTGGCCCGGGCGACAGTAGAGACGAAGCAAGGCAACTCTATTTGCGACAGAGTAGCAACGTTATTTAAACTTAATTAGATAGGAGCGACGCACCTAGCTACCAGCAGTGCTCCGACGGTCGCGGCTGCTGCGACCAAACCCGTTGCAACGTTCAGCCCCGGCATTCTTAACCCCCGAGCCGAACGCAACTTGACGTTGCGCGGCATATGCCACCTGGGAATATGGGATACGCTGTGTATTAGCTGAACTGCACGGTTCAGTTAGTTCGTCATGCTCATGACACGCAGCGTGCCGTGCGGCAGATCATGGCAGAGTCACAGAGAACAGTGCCGGTATCGATTTGACACTATGTAAACGTATCGCGTTTAGCAGAAGAGGTTGATCATGATTTGCGCTTGACTATTTGCGTACTGTCACTTCATATGGTCTTCGCCGCACGGTCGCTAGCTAGGTAGTTTAGCGTCCATTGTGCAAATTTGCAACCGAAAGATGACATCGCCACCGGAAGTTCCCGATTGGGGTGCTCTCGCCACCGCGGCGGAGCCTCGGCCATTCCTGCTCTCCGTGCAGCTTCATTTGCAGTCCTCCAAGCAGCATTACAAGGCGATGCTGCAAAGCCTTGGCGCTGTCTTCTTCAATCAAATTGACGCGGAAAGCAGCCTGGATTTCTTGCTGTCGTGCTTGGAGTTGCTTGTGCTCGGCGATGGCCCTGCCTCCAACAGCAGCGGCAGGGCCCCGCTCCAACAAACGTCCGAGCCAGGGGCACCTCCCGCGCCCACGGGGCCCCTTGTGTCAGCGTCGGTGGGACTAACCACGACAGCGGGTGAATCCCCAACGGCAATGGGCGACGACATGTTGACATCTCCGGCCATGGCACTGCTTGCGGAAGCACAAACAGAATCACTGCAAGCCACCGACGTGGCCGCATTTGCCTCCGATGGCACCCAATCTGAGGGCGCTGCTGCCGACGCCTCGGCGTTGCCCTCGCCATCGGCGCATGTCAGACTTGAGATGACGATGGGACGAAAGCAGGAGCGTCGAGCTCGCCGGCAGCAGCAGCTGCACCAACAGCCACCTCAGTCCCAGCGTTCGCAAGAGCAGCAGCTGCAGCAGCAACGCGACGCCTGGAACGGCACTCTGAGTCACCTGCTGCTGGACCTCTTGCACCAAAACGCAAGGCAGGAAAAGCAACGCCAGCTACGGCAGCAGCAACAACAGGCAACGACACCACTACGCTCGCCACAATCATCATCAGCATCACAACAGCAGCAGCAGGAGGGGCAACAAGAGGAGCAACAACATCAGCAGCAGCAATCCGCGGCGGGTCGTCATCGACTCCGTGTGTTAGCCCTGTTCGATGCGGCTTGCGGTCAGAGCCGACACGCCCGGCTGGCGCTGAAGCTAGCGCAGGCGTTCGAGCTGGAGTGGTGGGTGTTAAGGAAACTGGCCGCGAGTAGGAACGTACTGGTGGTGGGTGTATGCGAAGCAGGGAAGAACGTAACAGAAGGCTAGAATAAGGACGATGATAAGGAGCCCCCTAGACCACCAGCGCTCTCCCTTTTCTCTTTCCTCTCCTCTCCTTCCTAACCGCGAACCCTTCCTCCTTCCTCCTGCTCCCCCGCAACGCCCCCCCGCTCGCAGCACTGACGTACCCGAGCCGGCCTCCCTGGTGGCCGCCGTACAGGAGCTGCTGGGGAACCGAGTAACGCTCACACCGGGGCTGGGGCTGGTGGTGCATTTCCAGGTGGGGTGGGGGGGGGCTGAAGTAGGGCTGTGATGGGGGAAGGGGCACAGGAGGGCTGATGGAGGGAGGGGCCTCACCTGGGGAGCTTGTTCACCAAACCCTGTACCATCGTCACACCCTGCCGTTCCCGCCTTGACACCCCGCCCGCACATCCTACCTCCCGCCGCTGCCCTGCGTGGCTTGTCGGTCGCATGTCGCTACTCCCCCACCCCCGCAGTTTTGCCCCAACCTGTGTTTCCTATGGTTCGGTGTGGTCTTTGACCCTTCAGCCTTGTCACACAGCTCGTTAGTTGCCTCGTCGGTTTCCTTGTGTTTACCCCCCCCCCCTTTCCCCCCCCGCAGTGCCAACTTCTACCCCCATTGCTTTGCCCTAACTTGTGGTTTGGTATGGTCTTTGACCCCCGCAGTCGCTGCTGTGCCCCTGCGTGGACCGACCGGCGCTGTTCTCACTGCTGGTGGCGGAAGGCAAGGAGGCGGCGGCGGAGAAGTGGGCGGCGGGGCTGAGCAGGGAGGACAAGGTGGGGATGAGGGGCGGGGGGTTGGGGGCAGGTTGGGTCGGGCCGGGGCGGGGGTTGGCTCTGATTGGGCTTGCAAGCCGTGTGCAGCCATCCTAACGTTTCGCGTCGTCGGCGCAACTTCCGGTTTCGTCGTCTCGTCGTCTTATCCCTGCCCCTCCTACCTACACCCCTCCCTCCTGCACCCCTGGGCCCCCTCCAGATCGCCTACGTGCAGGCGTGTGTGGCTGCGGACCGGCTGCGTGCGGCCGCCCGCGCCACCCGCCTGTTCGGACTGCAGCAGGTGGGGGGGGGGAGATGAGGGCGGGAGGCGAGCTGGAGCCGAGGCGGCACGCCGCGATGTCCTCCCCTGCAACTCCCTTCCCTACCTGCCCCCGTGCACTGGCTCACCTCCCCTGCCCACCACGTCTGGCTCCTCTCATGCACCCCTCTCCGCACCCGTCTTGCACCCCCCCCTGCCCCGTCCCGCCCCGCCCCGTCCCGCCCCGCCCCGTCCCGCCCCGTCCCGCCCCGCCCCGTCCCGCCCCCCCCCCCACACCACACTTTGGAATTTCTTTTTTTCCCCCAGGAGTTCCCGGACATGGAGGCGCGCTACCGTCGCGCCTCCCTGCGCAAGCTGGCGGGGCGTCGCGTGTGGGGCGTGGCGGCCTCCTTCGCGGGGGCCGACCCGGCCATGCAATTGGAGCTGCTGGAGATGGTGGGTGGGGTGGAGTGTGGTGGAATGGGGTTGCGGGTTAGGCAGGGTTGGTAATGCGCATTGGGGGGACGGTGGGGTGCGTGGAGGGGTTTGGGTGAGGGGCATACATACTTACATACCTTTTCCGCTGTCCTAAAGTAGTAGTACTTCTTCTTCCTCCTCTTCTTTTTGCCTACCTTTTGCCCCTGCCTGACACTCCCCCAGATGATCGAGGCCGGAGAAGCCTCACTGGCCTCCGACTACCTCCGTCGCTTCCGTCTGCCGCCCGCCGCCGCCGCCACACTCGCCGCCGCATTAGACCCCGCCGTACTGGCGGCGCAAGAAGCCGAGCGGGCGGTGCGTTACCTGCAGCTGGATCTGCCGCCTTGCCGCATTGAGGTGGCGGCGGCGCGAGCGGAGCGACCCATGGGTCTGCCGACTGGGGTGATCTGGGTCGACGGACCCATGGGTCTGCGGGCCGCGGCGGCGGTGCTGGCGGGCGCAGACGTGGTGGGGATTGATGTGGAGTGGCGTGCAGGGGGTTTCGGAGGAGGCATGGAAGAGGAGGAGGAGGAGGCAGAGGAGGAGGATGGGGAGGAGGAGGAGCAGGAGGAGGAAGAAGAGAGCAGAAGGGGCGGGCGAGGGAGACGTGGAAGAGGCGGCGGCGGCGGTGGTGGTGGAAAAGCAAAAGAGGGTCCTGCTGCATTGCTGCAGGTGGCAACTAGAGATGCGGTTTTGTTGTTCGACCTTTTGGCGCTTTGTACCCCAGGGAGAGATGTGTGCGAAGGTGGAGGTGGGGCAGCGAATACCGGAATTGGAGGACAGCAGCCGGGTCAAGATCAGGATGTAGATTCAGTTTTGGATCTGAATGCCGTACTGGGGCCGGTGTTCGGACCGGGTGGAGCGCTGGTGCTAGGGTTTGGGCTGGCAGGTGAGCGGGGGGTACCGGTATCAAGTGGGAGGGAGAGGATGAATGAGGGAGCGGGGGAGGCAGGTCTCATGTCTCGGGGCCATGGACTGGCGACATGGGGGCACTGTCCACACCTTTCCTTTCCCTTCCCTTCGGGGCACTTCTCATCTAACTCTTCCCTTCCTCTCGTCTTTCAGCACCCACACCTCCTGATGTGCTACAAGTTACACCTCCCTACCACGCTACCCCGACCCCACCGCAACCCCAACCCCAACCGCCACCCAGGCGACCTATCCAAGCTGGCCTCCTCCTACCCCCACGTGCCCGCATTCCGCTACGTGGCTGCCGTACTGGACCTCTACGACATGTGGCGGGCGCACATGAACCCGGCCAACAGGGGCCTTCGGGGGGCAGCAGCCGCAGGAGCAGCAGGTGCTGGGGGCAGCAAAAACAAGGTCAGTATTGTTACAAGCTAGGGTACGGCTTTTGCATGGGTACGGCCCAAACCTTCTCTTGGTTCATAACCCCTCCCCTAACCCTACGGCCCCACCCCCGCCCCTCCCCCCCTACGTTGATGAATTCCTTGCTGCCTCACGCATCTCCACAGGGGCCTACCACCGCAGCGGTCGCCGCTGCCGCTTCCCAGCCCTCCCCGCCCTCCTCCTCATCCCTGTTGGGCGGCTATCCCCCCGCCGGCCTATCCACCCTGGCTGCGGGTCTGCTGGGGAAGCCGCTGGATAAGACCATGCAGGTGCGTGGGGGCGGGTGGGTGGGGTGGGGTGGGGGTGAATGTTAGGGAGCACATGGGACCACGCTAAACCCACATCCCGCAGAGCCACAGCCCATCTGTCACCCGACCGCCGCCATCCAGGCCTCCTCTGCCTCATGTCCCTCTTCCCCACTGCTTCTTCACGCTTTCACCCTCTCACCCAACTTTCCTGCTTCACCTTTCCACCCGTAACCCGCGTGCAAACACCCGCAGGTATCCGATTGGGAGGCCCGGCCCCTCACCCCCCGTCAGTTGGCGTACGCCGCACTGGACGCCCACGTGCTACTGCGCCTGTGGCAGGCCTTCCATGACGCCATGCCGCCGGGGCTGCCGCAGCGGGTGATGGAGGAGAGGGTGGCGCCGTACAAGGCGCCGGCGGGTAGGGCAGCGGCGGCAGCGGCGGCGGCGGGACAGGGCCGGCGGGAAGGTGGAGGAAAGCGTGGGAGGGATGGTAGCGGCGGCGACGGAGGCGGAGGAGGCTGTAGCGGCGACGGAGGCGGCGGCGGTGGCAAGGGGAATGGCGACGGCGACGATGGTGGTGGCGGCGGCGGAGGGGGCGGCGGCACCGTTGGCGGTGGAGGTATGATTGGAGGAGGTACCGCAGCAGTGGCTACAACGACAGCGATGGGGGCAGGGTCTGGGTCGGGTGGAAGCAGCCGCTCTGGGAATAGTGCGGGCGCCAAGTCACCGCGATGTTCGCAGCATCAGCAGCAGCAGACACCAAGAACAATGGCGACGTCATCGTTGCTGTTCGGCGCTTCTATAGTTGACGGCGGCGCAACGACGGCAGTGCTGACAGCATCGGCCGTCACCACCGCAACCCCAACAGCCGCTGCAACGGCAACAGGAGATGTTAGCGGCAGCTGTGTTGCAGCTGTAGGGCCCATTAAAGCCCTGTCTAAAACGTACGGCAGCACGTCCTTCGCGTCGTCATCATCGTCGTACAAGGTTCCCGGATGCTCGTCCACCGTGACGCCACTGGTGCCGCCGCCAGAGGCGTTTGCAAGCGGCGGCGGCGGCAGCGGAGGAACGCTGCCGCTGCCGCCAAGTGTGGCTGCCGTACTGCAGCGTCACGGGCTGTTGGACGACGCCGTACGATGGCTCTTGCCTGACGCGCCGCCACCGCCGCTTCAGCAGCAGCAGCAGTCTGCCATCTCTGGTTCCGACACACCGCTACCACTGCCACCACAACCGGCGCCAGAGCCCCTGCTTCCTGACCCCAATGCTAACAACACCCTTGCGCCGCCGCCGTCGGCGACAGCGCTGCCCGCTACCGCCACCGCCCCCGACGCCGCCGCCGCACTGGGCGTGCCGCCGTCGCGCGTCGCGAAGAGCGTTGCCGTACTGGCGGCGGGGAAACCGTGGCTGGCTGTCGTACCCGGGGATCGGCGACTCGACTGGCACAAGGCAGGGCGGGGTCCGCCGCCGGCGTCGCTGGCGACGGCGGCGGCGGTGGTGGTGGTGGTGGCGGGACGGGGCTTAGGTGTTAGTGCGTCGTTAGGGATCGGGCTTGGGGTTGCGAAGGCGTGTGGCATGGGGGTGTGTAGGAAGCCGGCTGCCGCCTCCGTCGCCGCTTCCGCCGCCGCCGCCGTCGCCGCTGCCGTCGCCACTCGCCTTCCCAGTGACGCTGTGGCGGCGCTGACGACAGCCAATGCGCGGGTTCATAGGACATTGCCGACCGTTGGCGGCGGCGGCCGCAGCAGCGGTGGCGGCGGTGGTTGTTGCATGCACAAAACCAGTATCCGGTTGGCAGCGAGGACAATTGCTGCTACTGCCGCAGCCGCCGCTACTGCGGCCCGGTGCCATTGCAGGTGTCTTCGGGGTTCGTTAGGGAAGATACGATTGCGGAGGGCGGTTGTGGCGGTCACAGTGAAACCCTAGTAAACCCTAGCAAGAGCCCCATAGCGGTACTTTCTCACGCGCTGTCACACATCTCCTGCCAAGTGCTTCTTACCCCGCTGCTCACCCGCTCTTGCGCCCGTGTCTAACCCAATCCCCCGCACCTCAGGTTGCCGCGGTGGTAGGGGTGTCTCGGAGGGCCCTACGGGTGGCCACCCCGGGGGAGTGCGTGTCGGCATTCGGGTTCGTGCCAGGTGGGTACGACATGAAGGGTTCGTGCCATGTGAATGTGACGGGTTCGTGTGCTAACTCAGGAGGACGAGCGCAAGGAAAGGAATGCCTGATGGCCGCATGTCAAGGGACCGCCTCCTCTTTCTTCACCACACCATCCTACCTGCGGGGAATGTCCCGTTCCCTCCGCCTCCCCACACAGGCACGTTGCCGCCCTTCGGCCACCCCACTCCGCTGCCCGTCATTGTTGATATTGGGCTGGGAGCAGCTGCAGCAGCAGCAGAGGCAGTGGTAAAACCAGCAGCAGGAGCAGGGGCAGGAACGGCAGAGGAGGTTGTAACAACGGTGATGGCAGCATCAGGGCTAGCAACAGCAGCAGGGCTAGTAACGGTTGCGCCGCCGTCCGCCTCCTCCTCCCTGTACTGCGGAAGCGGAGTGCCGTACGCCGTCATTGAGGTGTCGTACAGCGACCTGCTGACGTTGACGGCCGGCCGAGCAGCCGACGTCGCCGCGGGTCCTAATCAGGACTCCTCCGACGGTCCGATGGGTGCTGCTGCTGCCGCCGCCTCACCCTCTCCCTCCCCGTCTCCCTCGCCTTCTCCGTACGCCTCTCAAGCCGACCTAGCTGTGGGCTTCTCATCCACCTCCATCTCTGCCAGCGGAATGTGCACTCCGGAACCTCCCTCCTCAGCCGCAGCCGGAGGCGCAAGCGCAGCAGCGTCAGCAGCAAGCGCAACTAACGGTGGCAACGGCAGTAACGGTCACGGCGGCGCCAACCGTTTTCTGTTGGACAGCATGTTGGGGCGGTTATGTCGTTGGTTGCGTTGCCTGGGGGTGGATGCGGAGTATGTAGGGAGGACGTCTCCGGGGAAGGCGGAGCTGGCAAGGGTAAGACTGGAACAGGGGAGGCGGCTGAGGAGGGGCTTGGGGCTACGGGATTGAGGCCTGGGTTCGGTCCAGCCCTTCATTCACTTTGTTTGGCGCTGTTATCGGTCTGAATCTGACATTCGCCGTACATTTCAGTACGTTGATCTGTGCTCGTGCCACCCGTCCCAACTGCTGCCTACTGCTTCTTCCCATGCTGCCTCTTCCTTGCCCCTTCCAGCTATCCGCACGGGCGGCTCGCGAGGGCCGCGTCTTCCTAACTCGAGACCAGCGGCTAGCCGAGCGACGTGATGTGGCAGCGCCGTACGTGCTGCACAGCGATGACGCGGCGGCGCAATTGGACGAGCTGGTACGGCACTTCAACGTCAGGTAGGAGGGGGTCCATGGCGGAACAACCGTGATGATAAGGAAATTGGCCGCGAGTCGGAACGTTCTGTGATTGACATTATGGGAGATGCCTTGATGCGTCGTCAGCTGCTGATTTTTATCTTGCTGGCTTACACCCTGTAGTCGCCTTGACTTGGCGTTGTCAAGCCAAGGTGGTTAAGTCTCACCGATTGGCGTTGCTTGAGTTGCGTTCTTTGGCTTAGCGTTTTTAGTCACCTGACTCGCTCTCTTGCTCACACTAACTTGCTCCGCTCAGGTTTGACGAGGCGTTGGTGATGTCGCGATGTAACGCCTGCAACGCCGCCGCCTTCCAGCTGGTCAGCCCCAAGGAGGCTGCTCGGCCGCTGGTACCGCCGAGGGTGTTCGAGGTAGGGGGGCGTTGGAGAGGAGGCGCTGGAAGGGGGGGGGGAGGCGTGCAACTGGGGGCCTTGGAAGTGCTGCTGGCCCGCCTCTGTAAGCCCTTCTGTTTTCTTTTTCATCCCTTCTTCTTCTTCTTCTCCGCCTCACCCACCCACCCGCCCCACCAACCCTTCTGGCAGCTGGTGGAGGAGTTCTGGCGGTGCGGCAGCTGCGGCAAAGTGTTCTGGATGGGGCCCAAGTCCGCATCCGCTTTGGAGTTGGTGGGGGGCATGATGGCGCGCACGCAGGGGCAGCAGCAGCAGCCAGAGCAGGGGGAGGGGCAGCAGGGGCAGCAGGGGGAGGGGGAGCAGGGGATTGGGACCGGGGGCTATCAAGAGCAAGAAGGGGAGCAGGGTGGCGGCGGGAGAGGTGCGGCGAGCCCCAGCAAGGCCGGAGGATGTGGTAGTGAAGGAGACGGTGGTGGTGGCGCTGTTGCCGAGGGGGGAGGCAGCAGCGAGGCGGCAACTACGGTGGCTAGGGAGGTGGTGGACGAGGAGAAGGCAGGAGGGGCTCGCACGGGACGGCTCCAGGGGGGCGAGGAGGGGGCGGGTGCCGTACAGGCGCCCAGGTGGGCTGTGGCGGCTGCTGCGGCGCTGGGTCCGTAAGGGGAGGGGAGTGTAAGGGGGGCGAAAGGGGGGCATATCCTGGTGTGTGCACGGGGTGGGGGTAGGAAAGCTGGCCGCGAGTAGGAACTTGCTGTGATTGCCGGAAGATGAAGTCCCCACAGAAGCGCCACAGGAGGGTGTGGGTGTGCGTACGACGGGCATTGGTACGAGCGTACGACGGATACGAGGAGAACAACCTTACGAAGAAAGATGCGTGAGAGGCAACAGGTGTATAGTGTAGCGGTAGTGGTAGCTACAGTGGTGGCTGGGTGGTTGGCCTGAAGCTTGGATCTGTACCATAGATGGTTGAGCGCCTATAAGGCGCAAAAGCAGGTATATCGAATGTATCTATGTATGTTGATAAGAGTGCATGTAAATCGCACACAACGGAAGGGGAGACACTGCTGCGTGCTGTGTGCTGCGTCGTACGTAGGCCAGGCGTCGCAGCAGGGGCAGCAAAGAATACCAGAGGGTCCCTCCACGACTAGCAAACATCTATGCGTGCGCAGGCGCGCGTATAATATGCAAAAGCTTTATGGACTAAGATCTCAATTGTTCTTGCTTTCTATGCACTTCGCAAGCAGTGAAAATGCCGAAAGTTCGACAGCGCTCGCGCGTATGTCAGGACTTTGCAGTGACTCCTTGGCAATCTAAACGTGAAGGCCACAAACCTGAACCAGAAGACGCTTTGTACACCGTAGCAGAGGCGGACCTGCTCGTGGTGGCGCCATCCACAGCAACAGTCTCGCCCAGCGCACAAGACGCAGTTCCTGGATCGCACACCTTCACTTCTCCTGCATTTTCACAACGTTATAACCAGCATCCATCCACTTCTTCGCAGTCATTATACTTTGCATCGCTAACTGCTCGCGAGCCCGATGCCTCGTCGGAGTGGTTTAGCAAGGCGCCTGGAAGGCAGGACCAGACCCAAACGCCAAGCTCAAAACAGACGCAAATGCAGCAGACCCCGGTGATGCTTTCAGCTCCAGCTGATCTTCGCCTTTCGGCTTGGGACGGTTGGGAAACGCAACCGGGCAGACAGCAGCAGCGGCAACCACCATCCCGCCGGCCGGCCAGGGACCTCCGATTCGAAGTTGCGGATTCCGAATCCAAATCCGACTCCGACTCCCAAGCTGACAGCGATGTCACGCAGGCTCCTTCCGAATCCCCATCACACTCTCCTCCACCACCGCAGTCACAAGAGCAGGTGCAAGCGCAGGCACACGAGCTCCTACCGCCCCAACCACAGGGAGCATCCTACCTAGCCATGACTCCTGCCCTAGCCTTCCCCTTGTCAGCCCCAACACAAGAACCAGCAGCACTCGTAACAACAGCAGCAGCAGCAGCAGCAGCAACACGACGCAGGTCAACCCGCGTCCCCGTCCTCCGCGGCCTCTGCCAACTAGCCATCACACCCTCCGGCCGTGGCATGGGCCACATCCTCCTCCTCCCCGCCCCCTCCACCGCCCCACCACCACACCAAGCCCACCCACCACAACATGCCCCGCTCCCAAGCCGCAGCCTACCGCCCGCTGCTGCCGCCACCACCGCCTGCTGCCTGGGCCTAGCGTTGCAGCCTGTGCTACCGGCACCGCTGCCGGATCCCTGCTTCGCGGATGACGACGCCACTCAGCTGCTGGCGGTCCGACTGACGGCCTTTCAGAGCAGCGGCAGGACGGAGACGGCGGGGGCGGAGGAGGGTGCGGTGGATGATGAGGGGGCGGAGGAGGGGGCGGAGGTGGTGAGCAGTGGGGGTGGGAGGGCGCCGCAGCTGGCAGGGAGGAGGACCATGAGGGAAGCGGAGATGGCTGAGGAACGGCTCAATTCGTATGACGTTAGCAGACACAGCGGCTGGGACGGAAGCAACCGCAACCGCGACAGCAGCAGCAGTAGTGGAGGGGGTTTGAACCAGGGTGTGGTGGCGGAGGGGCTTGTGGCTCGGACGGGTGGCGACATGTGCTGTCTGGGTCCGCCGGCCGGGTGGCTGCTGCGGCGGTACTTTGGTGGGGACGACTCCTCGGAATGCGACTCGGATTATGAGGGGGAAGAAGAAGAGGTGGTGGAGGAGGAGGTGGAGGAGGAGGAGGAGGAGGTGGTGGTGGAGGAGGAGGAGGGGGAGACGTGGGGCGGCAGGGATGTGGAAGAGGAGAGGGATGTGGAGGAGCTGTGGGATGATGGAGAGGCTGTGGTGGATGGGAATGAGGGTGCCGGTGGCGGTGGCGGTGGCGGTGCTGGACCCATGGGTCAGGTGGCGGCGAGGGGCCGGGGCGTCGCGCATGCGAGGGCGAGGGTGCGGGCGGGTGTTGGTGCGGGGGTGGGGCGGTGGCGGCTGTGTTTCGAGCCCGAAACCTTACTCAGCGGGGCGGCAGCGCTGCCCAAGCTGAGGGAGTTCGCCCCGCCGCTGCTGCCAGGCGGAGGGGAGGGAATGGAGGGAGGAGGGGAGGTGGAAGGGGAGGTGGAGGCGGTGGTGTGTGTGGGGTCGGTGACGTTGCGTGGCTTGCCTCGGGAGTTCTTGAGGGCTGTGGGTGGAGGTGCTGGGAGGGGGTGAGGCGGGAGAGGAGGGGAGGCGGGGGCGGAGCTTGTCATGCCCCTCATGCGGCGCTTTTACAGTCCGTGCATCAGTCTTTGGTTTGCTGTGGCTTGCTAGGGTAAGTTGGTCTGTCGTAATTGGTAGGCGGTAAGCGGTAGGTCCCAATCGCAACATGGATTGCGCTGCGCACTGCGTTGGGTTATGCGTCTTCTGTTGAATTGATTAGCTTGCGAGGTGAAGGCTGGATGCGGTAGGAGGAAGGGAACTAGAGTGGCAAACTTGAGGGCGCACGCGCGGTAATGCGCTGGGATGAGGATGCTGGCCACAGGGAATGCCGTACACATTTTGAGCCCAGATCTGTATCAACCGTCACTGTGACGTGAACGGATTGCGTAAGGACTGCTTAAGCACCATATTATACGTCGCGTTGTTTAACAGTAGCTTTGCTCTCGCAGTATAATTTTGTAAGCAAGTTCGCGACTTGCATTGCCTCGCCACGCGACACCTTTTTTACAACGTAGCGCCTTTGCATTAAGAAAAACATTAAAGAAGTACAACAATTTAATTTACGGACATGACGCAGCTCAGCACGCTAGGCGCTGACCGAAATGCTTGCTTGCTCGCGGCTCCATCTTCCTTGAGCCGCATCGGCTGCAGCCGCTTAGCTGCCGCGCAGCTGAGGAGGCCCTCTGCAATCTTCAGCTCTCGCAATAATGGTTAGTTCGCTAATAAGTTCAACATGGGATCGTCGCCTCGATCCATCTTGACGTACATACCGGTACGCAGTAGCTCTTGGGAACATGTATAACACTTTCCCCAAACGACGCGCACCGTCTTGCCATTCGTGCTCCTAGATACACCAGGCAGTAGCAACAATCAACTTTGCCTCCCTTTCCCTCTCCTACCCAACCGCTCCCCCGCCGGCGCCGGCGCCTGCGTGTGTTGCCGCCCCCAGCTTCCCCACCACCACCATCGCCAATGCCACCCTCGCCTCCACCGCCGGCCTCTCAACCAGCGTCACCAGACATCCCACCCTCGCCCACCTCCTCCTCCACAACCTCCTCCTCCAGCTCCCTGTTGCAAGTCGCCCTGTCCAACGCCCCGGAGTGGCCCTCCTTCCTGGGCTCACTAGCTAACAGCGGCGCGATGACGGGAACCCTGCTCGACGGCATTCACTCCCGAGTGGGGTTGCAGGTGACCGGGGCAACTGGGGCCCTATGCCTGCTACTTCCCTAATAATTATTGTAACGCCTCACATCACCACCACACCACAACTCCAACCCCCCATGCATGTGCGCCTCAACCATTGAACGCTAAACGCCCAGCGACAACGACCATCCACCCACCAACACCGAACTATCAACCAACAGCTGGCAACACTCAACGCCCAACAACTAACCCCCAGGTGTACGACACAGCCCCCCTGGTACTGGGTGGGCTGCACACCTCAGCTGCAGTGCCCCCGCTGCTGGCGGTGTTTTACTTGGTAGTTGGGGGACTGCAGCCACTGCTGGGTGAGCGGGCGATACCGGGAGGGACGAGCGGATGGCTGGCGCAGTGGTTGGGGCTGATGTGGCATGGGTTTGCTTGTTGGGGTTGCCAATGGGAAGATGCTAGCCATGACTTTGCACGTTAAACTTTTTCTTTCGTCATCCCTTCTGTACTGAGTTAGTTGTTCCGTACTGACCACCAATACGTGTAAACGAATTGTCGTACCCAGATAATCTGAACCCCTCGGAGGCGACGAGTGCCGTACAATCCCGCTGCAATGACGTGGGCTTCGTGGCCCTCTCGTTTGGGGTGTTAGCCGGGTTGCTGCAGCTCAGTGCGACAACGTACGAGCAGGTACGGCAGCTGTCAGGGTGGTACCGGTATCCAGGAGGGAAGAAGCATGTAAGAACCATGGGTCATCCATACCGCGCATGCCGCTTATAGCAGGGTTGACAAACCCAACATAGTGTCATCGTACACGATTTTGCTGGTAACCCGTACTCCGGCATTGTAACGCTTAGGCACACGAGTATGCTACACCCCACCGATACCTCTTAGAGCGGGATTTTATTAATATTAAGGTGAGGTTGCAAGCTTTCAATTTTAACCCATTATCGTACACGCAGGGTGTGCCGTACTGGCAAATCCACTTGGCCCTCGGCACGGCAGCGCTCCTAAACTGGCGGATCTTCGACGGGACCCGCCAGGTATGAGTTCATGCGGTGGTTGGCATCGTTTGTGTTTGTGGCTGTTTCGGTGGGTAGGGTAGAGGAACGACCGTGGTTTTGCTGCGCATGTTCATGATTGTTGGCCTTCCCGTTCGTTCCCGTTCCCTGAACTCTGTACGGCGTGCGAGGTCATACCAGTCAAACACTCCCTCCCAACGGCTCCTCCTTCCCAACCGCACCCTCAGGGACTGCTGCTGGCGGTGCTGTGCGGTGTGGGCGCCCCTGCTGCGGAGGTGCTGCTGCTGCAGCTGGCGCCCCTGTGGCACTACCCCAGGGTGCGGGGCGGCTGGCCGGGGGGAGTGTGCCTGTACGGCAATTCCGGCTATGCACCGTGCTTAAAAACAAAGGGTGGCAAAATTGTCGTCCTCTAAAAGGGAATATTCACGTTCACCCCATTAACGGGAGTTTGGATTCGGTGCGGGTGTTACTGCCCCAACACCCTCCCTGGCGCCGCTGTGTCCTCCCTCCCCCCCCTTCGTACACCCTGCCAGGCTGATGTGGGTGGTGTGTTGGTGTCCTGGGTGCCCTGGTGCTACTTCTTCTACACACCCGCGCTGGGGGCGCTGGGGAGGTGAGATGCGGGGTGGTGGTGAGGGTGGTGGCACGGGGTGGTACGGGGGTATGAAGAGGAACGTAACGAGCTGTATGACGAGTCTTCACCATGGGGGGGAGTGTCAGCTTGATGGGAGGGATGGCAACATGGGATGTTGGCGGGGCTCAACCTGGGAGAAAGGGTGCTGAAGCCGGAGGTGGTGGGGTTAGCGGGCTCGGTTGCGTCATGCCAGGCCTGCCAACACGTGCTCTTCCCTGCATCCGTGAACCCCCTTCATATCGGTACATCCCTGACCTCACCCAACTCTGCTGCTCCCCCCCGCTGCTCCCCCTGCTGGGGCCCCCCGCTGCCCCCCCCCCCTGGCAGGTACCTGTGGAGCACCATGAGGCAGCTGCGGGACTTCAAACACCAAGAACAACAAGAACAGCAAGGACAGCAACAGCAACGGTTGTCAGAGGAGCAACAACCTGAACAACAATAGCAAGTGCGGCTGGAAGCCGGGAACAGCAAGGGAGGGAGCAGCAAGGGATGGAACCGCAAGAAAGGGAGGCAGCAAGTGGAAGGCTAGGCTGCTCCAGGAATTTGTTGTCGAGGGGAACGCTTGGGATTACACTGGCCCAACCCAGCGTGGATTGAGGGGTGTAGCAGCAGTTGGTCAGTTGATTGGTTGCTGCCGCAGCGGGACTCCCCTGATGGCACGTGAAGTGATGTATGTGGGGGCTGCCCTGTTGTGACGGCTTCGTACTCGCCCTGGTGTACATGACAACCTTTTGGTGTACGATAATCAGCAGCCTTGGTTATGGAAGAGGTGGTGGGTGGTTAGCCAAGGGCTTCAAGACGCATATACATGCATGGGCTGTGCATAACCTCTGTGAAAGATTTGCGAAAGGAGGATCCAGTTCCAATCTTAGTACATCCGGTTTACTGCCGCTGGCAAGAACCAGCAACCAGCAACTACCGGTAGACGCACTGCTGTAGTCCATGCGAGCGTCCACATGCGGGCGTTGGACGAACGGCCATCTCTCCTGCTACACATGCAGCTATACATGCGCAGCAGGGGGGGCTGTAAGGCACAGCTCATACATGTCTCAAACCGCTCAAACGTACCGCAGGCGTCACATGCTCAGCAGCTCGGCAGTCTCCCCTCTCCTGCCAATCTCCGCACCGTCAGTTGCATCGTCAAACGTGTCTCATTAGTCTTACCCCCGCACCCGTCTCGTTACCGCCGCTGCATCCCCCAAACTATAGGGAGCACGAGTAGGGACGGGGCACGCCGGAGGTGACGTGGCCATGACAATGGCATGGCATCGCTGCCGTACAATTCATTACGTGAAGGCGACTATGACGGCGACGGCTACGGCATGACGTACGACTCGTACCTCTGATCGAACGCATTCCAAACGAACTTAACCACACCGCCCCCGCGACCCTTGCCACTGCCTTTGCCGCACGCACCCACAGCACCCCCCTCTACCTCCGCCTCTCCGTCTCCTTCTTCTCCCCCTCGCGCGCTCACAACTGTACGGAGAACCTCATGTTGCCGTACAACTTGTACGGCATACGCCCCAATACGACGTGGTCGACCTTCGAGCGCATCTACCTCATCATCATCAGCGCCATCCCCCTTCTCGCCATCCCCTCCCTCACCCTTGTCTTCTACCTCAGCCCCACAACGCCTGCTCACGCCCTCCGACGACAAAGCACGACCCTCCGCTGCCGTCATGCTACCTCCTGCCTCATCGCCTTCCTCCTTCTTGCCTTCCTCCTTTACCTCCTTCTCCTTCGCCTCCACCGGTGTCACCTGAACCCAAACATCCCGCGCCGATACCACATCGCCCTCACACAAGTCAGCCAGCATGTAATGGTGCAACGTGCCCCTGGGGTCCTCCCTTTCCGACCTCTGCCCCGCAGCCGCTGCTGCTGCTGCTGCTGCTGCTTCCGCGCTATCCAACTCCCTTTCAAACGCCGCGCGAACACGCGCCTCCGCTGCCAATGCTGCTGAAACGCCAGAGCCTGAGGACGCCGCTGCGGCAGCCGCCGCCGCTGCCTTTGCTGCCATCCTCGCACGTCGACCGGAACCGTAGGCTTTGGGAGACGTGGGAGGATACGGGGAACCGGGGATTGCAGTGCCGTACGCAGCCTTGGATGATGGTGATGAGGGCGGCGGGGAAGAAGAAGAAGCGGATGCGAATGAGGCAGTCGAGGAGGATGTTAATAATGACGACGACTTGCTTTGCGCTAACAAGCTCGAAGAGGAGCCTCTCCTGGTGTCGTGCGGGGTCGTCAGGGGCGCCGGCGGCGCCAAAACGACCCGTGGGACCGTGGCCGCATTTAGGTAGAGAGTACCTGTGGCGGGATCCAGGGCTACCATGCGACGCAGGCGGCCACCTCCAACTTCACCACCGCCTCCTCCTCCTCCTCCGCTGTTGCTGCTGCCCCCACCACCACCGCCCCCAGCCGTCCTGGCAGCGTGGTGGAGGTGGTGGTGCATGTGCCCGAATGCGACCAGAGGGGTGCGACGGCCGGAGCGGTGTAGGGCGGCTAGGGCGGTCTGCGGCAAGAACCAGGGAGGACGGGTCCGAGGATTTGTGTGCGAATCACCAGCGAAAGGGATGCAGGGTGAGTGGAGCAGGAGGAGGTGTGTGGTGGTCGTCCCGTGCCGTTCACGCACACGCACCTGCAGGTCGGGGTCTCCATGGTCGCCCGCCCCAGGCTCCCAATCCACTCCGCAGATGTCTTGCGGGCGGGCGCCGAGACCCGTGGGTCCGTTGTGACCCACCACGATGAGCGGGTGGTGTGCGGGGGCGGGGGCAGCGGCCTGGGGTTGGTTGGGACGGGACAGGGGGCGATTGAGGTGGGCTAGGATAGAGCTCCCATAGGAGCATCCATTTGGGTAGGGTAGGGGTGCGTTGGGCAGGGTAGGGGTGCGTTGGGTAGGGTAGGGGCGCGTTGGGTAGGGTAGGGGCGCGTTGGGTAGGGTAGGGTTGCGTTTTGTGCTTAGCCCGTGTGAAGGATGTTACATGAAGCATAGAAAGACAAGCTTCCGCAAGCACCGAAGCAGAAAGTTCCCCTTACCCACCTGGACGATACGCCTAGCGCTTTCCTCCATGCTTCTCACGCCGTACAGCCCCTCCATGAACTCCCGAATGCCGCTGAAGTTCTTGCCGCCCTTGGAAAACGGCCGCCCGCCAACCACCGTGTAACCATGCTCGTCCAACCGCATGCTGCCGTACCCCACGTGATCGGATCCAAGAGCCGCTAGCTGCTGCCTTACACCGTCTTGTGCTACAGCTGCTACTGCCTCGTCACGGTTACGAGATGCGGTTAGGATGTCAGCTGCGGTTAGTCGTTGCTGTTGCTGCCGAGGTTGTTGACGGTGGTTGGGGCTGCTCATGGGCTGTAGCATCTTTCCGGCCCGCCCCGTCTGCGTGTACTGCGATAACAACCAGAAGTGGAAATATGAGGTAACGGCCAGCAAGGAGGGTTGCATGGACGTGTCGTTAATCGCTTTGCTAATTGGCACAGGTGCGCTCAAGTTCTGTAGCAAACCGGGCCTCACCCATGCGTCGTGGTTCCCCAGGATAACTGCCTTGCGGATCGGTAGCGACGCCACCTGAGAGAAGGAGAGGCCGTCCAGCATGAAGGAGGTACCGGTAATGAGGAATGAGGGAAGAAGACGTGGAGGAGCACGGACACGGCAGTACGGCAGGATCAAGTGCCTGTAATCACACAGCCTTGGCCGCTGCCCAGACACATGGGCAGGTGTTGCTTGTGCGAATAACAGCCGCAGTCCACACTGCCCTACATGCCCTACATCTGTATACGGTAAGACACACCGTAGGTACGACACCCACCTGCCGTACAAGCTCCACGTTTTCGTTCCCGAAATCTCCCACCAGTAGGGTTAGATCCGGCTTCAGCAGCCTCAGGGCCGCCTCCTCCCGCCCCGCACGCCAGCTACCATGCACGTCCCCAACGATAGCAACCTAATCGGAGGGGGCCAATAGTTAATAGTTAAGTACTACAACGCATGGTAACGAGTTGAGCGTAATAACATAACCATTTAAGTGGAAGCACATGGGCTTTGCCGTACAGGGCATAAACCTGTGTTTGCCGTACCCGCATCTGACCCGGCCGGATCTGGGCGGCATCCGTGGCAGCACTGGGTCCTGCTGTTGTGGCTGCTGCTGCTGCTGCTGCTGCTGCTAAGCCCTGGCCGGCCGTGTTTGCTGATCCTACGGGCGCCCTTGGTGCTGACGCTGATGCGATTGTCCCTGCTGGCGGTACGGCAGCGCCGGTTGTGCCGTTGGCTGTTTCGGTTGGGATGTTGACTGGTGAAGGGGAGGCAGGCCTCACCGGTCTCTCCAGGGCTCCCTGGGAGCTGGGTGCCAGGCGACTAGGGTGGAGCAGTGGTTGCGGATTCGAAGCGGCTGCAGCAGGTACGCCGGCGCATGGGGGAGGGAAGATCAGACAGAAGCATATTTCACTAATTAGTAGGGACGTTCGCAAGGGTGATGGGTATGCATGAAGCTTTCAATCCGGTCTGGCCAACCTATGGGACCCAAGCGACGTGTGCAACCCACGCATGTGTGTGCGAGAAATGGCAGCAGCACCATCCTTCATCGTATGTGGCCGTGCAAAGCTGCCAGTGGATTCCCTCAGACCAGTACGGAGCGCGGCAAGTCGGTGAAAGCATACAACACCCTCGGCTCACCCGTCGGGCCGGAAGTAACCAAGTTGGGCTCAAACCGTATGTTCAAGTGCTGCGGCTGAGCTTGAGGGGAGCGCCCCAGGAAGAAGTTCCGCGCGAATAATTGCATGATGTGCAAGGCAGAAGCTCGCCGCTATCCTTAACACACAGCTTCACTGTTATTTCTCAAGTATTAACATCCGTAACTCTAGCGCATTATACCATCGGCAGTGCATATGCTTCCCTCGGGCCGCATGGCTACCTAGCTGCGCGCTATAAAGTATAGCCTTCTACTGTCAACGCTTATGTAGACAGAGAGTACTTGAAAACGAAGACGATGAAGGCTGGGCCTGCAGCGAGCCGTATGGCAGTTGGTGGTGTTAGTTGGTGCAAGCTAGGAACTACTTGCAACCGAATACCCGAGGCCCAATTGAAGCTATTTCATCTCTATGGGCCCTGCAAATCGTATTGTAGGTGGTGGGGGCGAGGGTCTTGAGGTGGAAGGGGCGAGAATATCGTAGGTGGCAGGGGTAAGGGTAATATAGGTGGCAGGGGCGAGGGTCTTGAGGTGGAAGGGGCGAGGGTATTGTAGGTGGCAGCGGCGAGGGTATTGTAACGTGGCAGGTGCTAGGTCGCGGCGGGTGCTAGGTCGGCGGGTGCCAGGTCGGCGGATGCCAGGTCGGCGGGTGCCAGGTCGGCGGGTGCCAGGTCGGCGGGTGCCAGGTCGGCGGGTGCCAGGTCGGTGGGTGCCAGGTCGGTGGGTGCTAGGTCGGCGGGTGCTAGGTCGGCGGGGGCTAGGTCGGCGGGGGCTAGGTCGGCGGGTGCCAGGTCGGCGGGTGCCAGGTCGGCGGGTGCCAGGTCGGTGGGTGCCAGGTCGGTGGGTGCTAGGTCGGTGGGTGCTAGGTCGGCGGGTGCTAGGTCGGCGGGTGCTAGGTCGGCGGGTGCTAGGTCGGCGGGTGCCAGGTCGGCGGGTGCCAGGTCGGTGGGTGCCAGGTCGGCGGGTGCTAGGTCGGCGGGTGCTAGGTCGGCGGGTGCTAGGTCGGCGGGTGCCAGGTCGGCGGGTGCCAGGTCGGCGGGTGCCAGGTCGGCGGGTGCCAGGTCGGCGGGTGCCAGGTCGGTGGGTGCCAGGTCGGCGGGTGCTAGGTCGGCGGGTGCTAGGTCGGCGGGTGCCAGGTCGGCGGGTGCTAGGTCGGCGGGTGCTAGGTCGGCGGGTGCCAGGTCGGCGGGTGCCAGGTCGGCGGGTGCTAGGTCGGCGGGTGCTAGGTCGGCGGGTGCTAGGTCGGCGGTTGCTAGGTCGGCGGGTGCCAGGTCGGCGGGTGCTAGGTCGGTGGGTGCCAGGTCGGCGGGTGCTAGGTCGGCGGGTGCCAGGTCGGCGGGTGCCAGGTCGGTGGGTGCTAGGTCGGCGGGTGCTAGGTCGGCGGGTGCCAGGTCGGCGGGTGCCAGGTCGGCGGGTGCTAGGTCGGCGGGTGCTAGGTCGGCGGGTGCCAGGTCGGCGGGTGCCAGGTCGGCGGGTGCCAGGTCGGCGGGTGCTAGGTCGGCGGGTGCTAGGTCGGCGGGTGCTAGGTCGGCGGGTGCCAGGTCGGCGGGTGCCAGGTCGGCGGGTGCCAGGTCGGCGGGTGCCAGGTCGGTGGGTGCTAGGTCGCGGCGGGTGCTAGGTCGCGGCGGGTGCTAGGTCGCGGCGGGTGCTAGGTCGGCGGGTGCCAGGTCGGCGGGTGCCAGGTCGGCGGGTGCCAGGTCGGTGGGTGCCAGGTCGGTGGGTGCTAGGTCGGCGGGTGCTAGGTCGGCGGGTGCCAGGTCGGCGGGTGCCAGGTCGGTGGGTGCGAGGTCGGCGGGTGCGAGGTCGGCGGGTGCGAGGTCGGTGGGTGCCAGGTCGGCGGGTGCCAGGTCGCGGCGGGTGCTAGGTCGCGGCGGGTGCTAGGTCGGCGGGTGCCAGGTCGGCGGGTGCCAGGTCGGCGGGTGCCAGGTCGGTGGGTGCCAGGTCGGTGGGTGCTAGGTCGGCGGGTGCTAGGTCGGCGGGTGCCAGGTCGGCGGGTGCCAGGTCGGCGGGTGCGAGGTCGGCGGGTGCCAGGTCGGCGGGTGCTAGGTCGGCGGGTGCCAGGTCGGCGGGTGCTAGGTCGGCGGGTGCTAGGTCGGCGGGTGCTAGGTCGGCGGGTGCCAGGTCGGCGGGTGCCAGGTCGGCGGGTGCCAGGTCGGTGGGTGCTAGGTCGCGGCGGGTGCTAGGTCGCGGCGGGTGTTAGGTCGCGGCGGGTGCTAGGTCGGCGGGTGCCAGGTCGGCGGGTGCCAGGTCGGCGGGTGCCAGGTCGGCGGGTGCCAGGTTAGTGGGTGCCAGGTCGGTGGGTGCTAGGTCGGCGGGTGCTAGGTCGGCGGGTGCCAGGTCGGCGGGTGCCAGGTCGGCGGGTGCGAGGTGGGCGGGTGCGAGGTCGGCGGGTGCGAGGTCGGTGGGTGCCAGGTCGGCGGGTGCCAGGTCGGTAGGCGCTAGGTCGGCGGGTGCTAGGTCGGCGGGTGCTAGGTCGGTGGGTGCCAGGTCGGCGGGTGCCAGGTCGGCGGGTGCCAGGTCGGCGGGTGCTAGGTCGGCGGGTGCTAGGTCGGCGGGTGCCAGGTCGGCGGGTGCTAGGTCGGCGGGTGCCAGTTCGGCGGGTGCCAGGTCGGCGGGTGCCAGGTCGGCGGGTGCCAGGTCGGTGGGTGCCAGGTCGGCGGGTGCCAGGTCGGCGGGTGCCAGGTCGGTGGGTGCTAGGTCGGCGGGTGCTTGGTCGGCGGGTGCCAGGTCGGCGGGTGCTAGGTCGGCGGGTGCCAGGTCGGCGGGTGCTAGGTCGGTGGGTGCCAGGTCGGCGGGTGCCAGGTCGGCGGGTGCTAGGTCGGCGGGTGCCAGGTCGGCGGGTGCTAGGTCGGTGGGTGCCAGGTCGGCGGGTGCCAGGTCGGCGGGTGCCAGGTCGGCGGGTGCCAGGTCGGCGGGTGCTAGGTCGGCGGGTGCTAGGTCGGCGGGTGCTAGGTCGGCGGGTGCTAGGTCGGCGGGTGCTAGGTCGGCGGGTGCTAGGTCGGCGGGTGCTAGGTCGGCGGGTGCCAGGTCGGCGGGTGCCAGGTCGGCGGATGCTAGGTCGGCGGGTGCCAGGTCGGCGGGTGCCAGGTCGGTGCTCGGTGGGTGCCAGGTCGGCGGGTGCCAGGTCGGCGGGTGCCAGGTCGGCGGGTGCCAGGTCGGCGGGTGCCAGGTCGGCGGGTGCCAGGTCGGCGGGTGCCAGGTCGGCGGGTGCCAGGTCGGCGGGTGCTAGGTCGGCGGGTGCTAGGTCGGCGGGTGCCAGGTCGGCGGGTGCTAGGTCGGCGGGTGCCAGGTCGGCGGGTGCTAGGTGGGCGGGGGCTAGGTCGGCGCGGGCTAGGTCGGCGGGGGCCAGGTCGGCGGGGGCTAGGTCGGCGGGGGCTAGGTCGGCGGGGGCTAGGTCGGCGGGGGCTAGGTCGGCGGGGGCTAGGTCGGCGGGGGCCAGGTCGGCGGGTGCTAGGTCGGCGGGTGCCAGGTCGGCGGGGGCTTGGTCAGCGGGGGCCAGGTCGGCGGGTGCCAGGTCGGCGGGGGCTAGGTCGGCGGGCAAGGGCGAGGGTATTGTAGGTGGCAGGGGCGAGGGTACTGTAGGTGGCAGGGGGAAGGGTACTGTAGGTGGCAGGGGCGAGGGTACTGTAGGTGGCAGGGGCGAGGGTACTGCAGGTGGCAGGGGCGAGGGTACTGCAGGTGGCAGGGGCGAGGGTACTGTAGGTGGCAGGGGCGAGGGTACTGTAGGTGGCCAAGGAAGCCTCAAACGCCAACCGTTAAACCGGCAAATCACGGCAACGGTGTTACCAACAACCAACTTATGTTCGCGCCCAGGGCCTTCCTGCCTTAAGCTCAGCTTCCTCTCACTCAAAATGCACACCAACATCCTGCCGACCTGCAATGGCGGCCTAGGGATCAGCGATCCCTCTCATCTGGTTTTGCTTCGCCCTGCATCCCCTGATGCTCGGCTACACCGTATGACGCCGGAGCAGCGTCGCCATCATCCCCCAGCGCAGAAGCGACACCGGCAGCTGCGCGACCCCACCACCTTGGAGAACAGCAATACGGCTGGGTGAAAATGTGATGGTTCCTGTCCGGTGTCATGTGGCTGTCCGGTCATATACCTGTCCGGTTACATGGAGCTATACCTGTCCGGTTACATGGAGCTATACCTGTCCGGTTACATGGAGCTATACCTGTCCGGTTACATGGAGCTATACCTGTCCGGTTACATGGAGCTATACCTGTCCGGTTACATGGAGCTATACCTGTCCGGTTACATGGAGCTATACCTGTTCGGTTACATGCATGCCATATTACAACTTCGGCAGCAGCAGCGGCAGACCAGAGCGGCTCTGGATAATCCAAGGACCCTACTGGTCCCTCCGCTGGGGCGGGGTTCGACGTGATGGCACGGAAACGTCTCCTTGTATATGGTACCGCAGTTGGACTAACCACAATGTCGCCTAACGACCAATAAGCTTGTTCAGGCACGTAGACGGGCTCCAACTACCGGCTCGTTCTTCCACGCATTGCAGCGTGACCGGAACGGCACAAGGCCACAGCCTTAACCGACTTAACCAAAACACACAGAAAAAACAAACAGGATATCCTGGGTACCCACATTTAGATGCTCTGTTCAACATGTTCTTACTAAGGCTAACCTACATGTCGTACATGGCTTGTACGAACCAGTCAACTAGACGATCCTGCGATGCTAGTACCGGTATACGCTCATGAGCGTGCCGTACAACTGCCGCATGCGTACGGGAATGATGTACGACATGGCCGTGGGCAAAAAGAATCATAGTTAATGTACAGTGCCCGCACAGTGCACGAGCAGCACAACCACTTCCATGCCGTATACCAAACCTCTCCTTCCGTGCCTCACGGACACATCTAGGGGGGAACTACATGCATGCAGCTAACCAACAAAATATGGAAGGAATACCCCTGACATCTACAACCTAACATAAAGGGCCACCAATGCCCGGTACTACTGCACTACAGCTGCCTGGCCCGTCCGCACGCGGTGGAAAGGTCTTCAAAGCTGAGCACCCCCAAGTCGCTGAGCACCCCCAAGTCCGGGGGCTGCCCCTTCCTCGTCACATGCAGGCTCACGCAACACGAGCGTAACATGAGCAGCACGCGCACAGAGCTGTGTTTGCGCGGGAAACCATCTTGCATGCGACTCCTGGTGCCCTGTACGGCCTCACATACCCCGCTAGCCATCCATCTCCCCCATCACGTAAGCTCCCTGCACCTTCCTCCATCCCGAAAGATAGAGCGTCACCGCGGCCGCGGAGAAAACAATCGCCCGCTCTTTCCACAGCGCCCGCAAACATTCCTCAGCGCCCGCCTCTACGTCTTCTTCTCACCCCTTTCACAGTAACGCCCGCCCTTCGCCCTTGGCCCACAACCCTTTCCATCCCATACGTAGGCTCTTCAACTGCCGGGTACGCGCCCGCACCAGCGCTCCGCCTGCACCCCTCCGTCGGCTTCCTCGGCTGCCCAGAGCCCGAGGGGCCCGAGCGCCACCGCTTCCTCCTCCGCTTCCATCCCCCTCATCCTTGGCTGCCGCCTCCTCCACCTCTCCCCGGCTCACCTTCCACCCTTGGCACTCCTACGTGCTCCGGGACTAGGCTGCCCAGCCCGGCCCAGCCACACCACGACCCCAGTCCCGTCACTCCGCCCCATCTCCCCCATCTTCCGCCGGCGCCTCCTCCACCTGTCCCCCGCTCACATTCTCCCCCACTTCGCGCCCCTTCGTCCGCCGGGACTAGGCAGCCCAGCCACTCCGCCTCTCCGTCCCTTCGGGCTCGGGTAGGATAAAAGGTGGACGGACAGTCCCTAAATCGCCCACATCGCCTGCCGCTGCCCGGCGCACCCCCACCCGCATCGCGTCTGCAACTCCTGCCACAACCGCTAACACACTGCCTACCCCTCCTCCTCCTCCTCCTGCTGCCATGCACCCGGATCTCAATCTAGTCAGGAACCCAACTACCTCCAATGCATCCTACCTACCTACCTATGCATCACTTGCCCACCCCCAACAACCGCACGACGGCCCCTCACAACCGTACGACGGCCCCTCACAACCGTACGACGGCCCCTCACAACCGTACGACGGCCCCCTCACAACCGTACGACGGCCCCCTCACAGCTGAATGGCGGCCCCGGGGCGGCTGTGCTGCCAGATGTTCCACGCCATCTCCACCAGATCCACCTGAGTGCGGGAGTTTGTGGGAAGAAGATGGTTAGGTAAAGGTAATTGAATGGGGCAAAGGACAAAGGACAAAGGCCGAACGGCAACCAAGAGACAGGCCAGGAATGCAAGCAACTGGCACCAGAAGGTGCACCCCCTGTCGCGCCCATGCACCCGCTTGCACACCTAAGGCCACTGGGGTCCAAGGTCAGTGCCTCACCGCTGCCGGCTTCACAATGTCGTCATGAACCCTCCGGCCGCAAGGACAGCAGCCGCACGCGAATCAAGTGTCCCTCGCTCCCCGCTAAACACCTAACCATCCTATTCCTTTTTCAAAGTGTCATGCCTCTTGCAACAGCGAGCATGGGCCCTTACGCCTTACCTCGGATGGATCCACTCGTCGTACCCGCGGCAGTTGAGATTTGTCGTACTCTTGTTCCCACGCCAGCTGCTCGTCACTGAGGTACGGCACGGGAGGTACGGCAGGCGGCAACGGCAGCGGGTCGGGCAGGGGCCGTCGGAGGCCTTGGGCTGCTCGTTGTAGGGCTTGCTCCCAGGATAGGGTGGGCGGCGGCAGGGGAGGATCGGGGGCCAGGACGTGCCTGCCAAGCAAGGTAGGAGAGGAGGAAAGCGAGGAGGGTGGGCGTGTCGGAGGAGAGCGGGAGGGGGGAAAATAAGAAATGAAATGTGCAGCAACCGAAGTCCCAGTCCCAGAGCGGGAGGGGGAGAGGACGCGCAGTGGGTTTCTTGGTGTGGTTGCGTTAACGCGCGCCCCCACTCGCCTGTATGCGGGTACGTGACCGGGTCCCTCGGCACGCCACTCCATGGCTGCGCGTGGGGCCCCCTCGGGTAGGGGCCTGCGCAAGGGAGGGGAGGGGGGTGGTGGGTAAGGACCGGCGAGGACCGGCGGGGGTACAGGATGACGTACAAGGCAATGAGTGAGCCGCTCCGGCTATACGTCATCTACTCTGCAGCCGACTGGCAGGCCGTCACCACCTTTTCAACCCCCAACAAGTATCGTACGGTTGGCATCAAAGTACGGCACCCGCACCAAACCCTTGGAAAGCCCCCACCTTCCCTCCTCGTCCATATCCGAATCCGAATCCTCCTCCGGCAAGTCCCTCGCACCCAGGTAGCCGGATGCGAGCAGCGTCTCCGTACTCAGGCACTCCTGCAGTACGTCGTACAGCGTACCATAGATTGTACGACACGTTGGTATCACCCATTCTTAACAGGGCACAGGGCATTCTTAACCAGGCTTAACAAGGCACATCAGCCGTGGGAATCACGATTTCGGCAGCTCCTAGTTGCGCCGCAGCCGTGGTTTATACCATTCAGAGTAAAGCTTTGGTAATCGGGGGATTTAGGTAACCCGCGAGGAAACACTGGCCGTGTGTGGGGAGGGGTGAAGGTAGCACAAGGGCGGGCTTTGTAAGCACATACATACGTAGCGGGCAAGTCCGCTCTTAAGCACTGTTCCCATCCGAAACAGGACTCCGTCCGACCCCACCGGAATGTCAAGCTGCAGGGCGGGGTTGCGTGACGCCAGCCGCTCTATGTCGGCCGCCTGCTCCTCACTCCAATAACGGAGGACCTGGAGGAAGGCGGTTCAAGAATACAAGGGGAAAGTGGGAGGTGGCTGCATGACCCCCAATGACGTACTGACGTACTATACTATACTACTACCAACCCAGGACCCTTCTAACGTACATTCCAAAGGAGTGTACGTTCCAAAACCACCATACATTTCATTAACACTGTATATCTGTAGCTTTTTACCCACCTTGTGCATCTCCTTGTAGTTGTGCAGCCAGGGCGGTGGAATGGCGATCTTGAGTTTCCGCAGACCCGGACCGACCCGTGGGCCAGTGCGGTTGTCCATGTACGTGTACCGCGTCGGCGCCGGCGGCGGCGGTCTGCCTTCCATGCGCGCCGTCTCAATGGCGGCGCGATGCAGGATGTCGGTCGCGTCGTACGACTTAATCGGGTAGCCGTACGGATCGCCGTCGCCGGCGGCGGCGGCGGCGTAGCTGCCGCCACTGCAGCCCGATGCACTGGCGGCGGCGCTGCCGCCGCCGTCGCCGCCTGTGGCGGCGGCCTGCGTCAGCGACGGCAAGTCTTCCGTGCGTCCTGCCGCCGCCGCCGCGGCGGTAGCGGCATCTACTCCGTACTCTTGAAGCCTTTGAGCGACCAACGGCACTACGTGAGCGGCGGAGGCCTGAGGAGGGAGGAGGTTAGAACGAAACTTGGGTAAGTCTCCAAGCGTTTCATTTGCAATTCACGCACGGTATCTTTCCGTGCAGCAACTGTCGTTCCCATTCCAACTTCCGCGCAGGAAACCGCAAAACCGCAATCAACGGTCGTAGCTGTGCCCCTGCCATACCATATCTCCCGCCGCCACGAAATGAAGAAACTCTGGCGGCGGCGGCGTCCACAGCTGCCGTCCTTCCGCCTCCGCCGACGTCATGGCCCAGGCTGTCGTCGGAAAATACCGCCGTCGCTTCAGCTCGGGAGGGCCCCCGGCGGTGGCGCCGGCGGCTGACGGCGCCGGCGGCAGCGGCGGCGGCGGCTCAGTACTAGTGCTGGCGCCGCCGCTGCCGCTGCCGCTAGCGTTAGCGGCGGCGTCGCCGCCGCCGCCGCCATGGATAAAGTCGCTGTCCCGTCGAATCTCCTGTCGAACAATAATCCCAAGTGAACACAAGAGTCGTACATCGTACCCCCGGCAATTTACTTCACATCTATCCGTCGCGTGCAAAAAACGAGGGCCCTATTCGGCGTAACTTTATGCTCTGCCCGCTACCGTATGACTCATCATCAACCTCCGAAACCCGTGCCGCGTGCCCTGAGAGGCGCCTTCACAGCTCTTGGGCAACCCGACGCATCACACGGTTATATCCGGGCCCTCCCCGCCCCTCTTCTTCCTCCGCTCCTCTCCACCTTCCCTTACCTCTCTCTCCCAGGCCGCAAGCCGCTCTCCGTTCATGATGCGCTGCAGCCTCTCCAGAAGCAGCCCGTGCTGGGGACCAGGATGCGGAGAGGAGGCGGGTAAAGGCGGGTAAAGCCGAGAGCTCACCGACTCCGAAGCCGTTACCCTCTCCCAACGTCCCTCTCCCCCTGGCTCCCCCCTTCTCCCTCTCGGTTACTGGCATCCATTCACGATTTACCACAAGCTCTTACCCACAATCGCCACTACCATAATCTTTCGCAGCATAGCATGCTTCTCTTCCTTCCCCCTTCCCTCTCCCCACCTAGCTGACTAGTCACCATGCGTTGCCCATGTCATCCAACGCATTGCCTTCCTTCTTCCCCTTCCTACCGGTACGACACCTACCAAGGACGCGGCCACAACAGCTCCCTTTCCACCCTATCCTCCTCCCCTCTTCTTCGCCTACCTTCTCCCTCAGCTGTTCCGACATGGTGCTCTCCCAGAGCTGGGTGTCGTCCGGGAACTGGTACCAGACGGATTGCAGCAGCCGAGGACACTCCTCGGGGTCCCACCTGGGGTCGTGAGCAGGGGGGGGCGGCGGAAGGCAGCGGGAAGTGGTTCGGCATGTCGGGCGGAAACAAACGGTAGTAAGTGTCAGAAATGGCAGTGGGGAGCCATTCGTGCGTTACGCGTTCGGCAAGGCGCAAACCGGATTCAGCAAGGATGGGATCAGGGTTTAGTAAAGACACCCCGACGACCCGCACGTACGCACCATTCGCGCCAGTTTCCCTCCAGGAGGTGAATGCTTCCGGACTCCCGGGGGTTGCGCACGCCGGCAGCACCACCCCCACCACCACCACCACCACCACCAGCTGTCATGGCGGGTGTATCGGTGGCGCTGCCTCTGCCGCTGCCGCTGGCAGCTAGGGCGGCGGCGGCGGCGTCTAGGGCTGCGGATGCCGGGTCGGACATGGGGGGTAGGTCCCGCTGAAGGAGGTTGCGGTCCTCTTCTGAGGGCGCCACGGGACGGGGGGGGATGGGGTTCGGCGAGAGGCGAATACCGGTAAACGATTGCCATGCTGAGAGCCTATGTCAATCTCGGTGTCAGTGCGGTGTCAGTGCCGTTTTAGCGCACCTATTGGGTAGGTAGGTCCGAAACCCACAAGCCACAAGCAACAGCACTCACCGTCTCTTGCCAAGCTCAGGTACTCAGCCAGGGCAGCGTCCACCTGCTCCAATCGCCTGCCCCGGCCCAGGCCAGCCGAGGACCACGCCGCGGCTCCGCCGCTACCCCCGCCACCGCCCTGACCACTGCCAATGCCAACCGCCGCCGCCGCGGCTGCAATGACAGCAGCAGCATCCGCTAATGGCTCAGCCGCCCCCAGCGCGGCGTGGCTTGTTGATGCGGCGCCGCCGCCAGCAGTGCCGTATATCGCACCGACTGGCGCATCGCCTCCGCCGCCGCTGCGACTTCCAAAGACGGAGGGAGCGTCGACGGCGGCGGCGGCGGCGGCGGTAGAGGGAACGGGTCCCTGCGGGGGAGCTGTGAGGTCCTCCAAACCCGCCAACTCCTCGGGGTCGTCTCCGAACATCTCCATGAGGGCCTCCTGCAAGTACGACATGTGTACGGCATGCGTGTGAGTGTACGACATGCGGGTCAGTGTACGACATGCGGGCCAGTGTACGACATGCGGGTCAGTGTACGACAGATCGCACCCGACCAACGACATATGATTGAAAGGTAACGGCCCGCGATTGCCCTAACTCCAACATAACTCACATCCATGAACCCTCCTTCAGTCCTCTCGCCCAAACGTACTGACGTAATCACATTAGCATTTACCCCCCTTCCTTTCAAGCCCTTCCCTCACACCTGCAGCTCGAGTTTCTCCTGGGGCCCAACCATCTGACTGACCCAGTCCTGCGAGCGGCCGTAAAACGACAAACGAAAAAGGGTTTCAAACAGAAGATAAAGCACTATTGAGCGCTGCTTAAAGCGCGAAAGCATGCAAGGTTCGACATGCATGTGGTCCATGCGGGAGCCTTGCCTAATGCCCCCATCGTCATACAACAAGCGCATGCAAACAGTGACCCATGGGTCTCACCCGCAGCATTGCCTGCCTCGCACGCCGCATCTCCTCCTCATCCGCCTCCGCCTCCCCTTCCTCCATTTCCGCATCCGTCACAGGCTCGACGGACCGGGCGGCAGCGGGTGGAGGTGGAGGAGCAGCAGGAGCAGCGGCGGGGTCGGCCATCCCTCCGTCACCGTCACCCCCGTTCACACGGATGGCATCGGGAGCAGCCGAATGCTGCGAAGGAGGTGCAGCTGCGGCTGCCTTGGTTGCCTCGGCGGCCGCATCGAAGCCCTCGGCGCTGCCGACGGCGGCCGGAACGGTCGCGGCTCCGGCGCTGCCGCCGCCGTCGCCTTTGCCGGCGGCCGCGGCGGCGGCGTGACTGGGCCTAGCAGTGGCTGCAGCGGCGGCCGCCTCGTCTGCAGGTCGAGGGTTTGGATTTGGATGAAGCGAGGTGATGTGGAAAGGAGGGCTCAGGAGGTGAGCAAAATGCACGACAGCACTTTTATCCTGGACGGGTCAAACCTAGCATGGGTGTCAACTTCTTCGACGCGCGCGGGCGGCAACGTCTTCACAGACTCGCAAAGCGGCAGCACGAGAAATGCCCTTAACGGTTCTCTATTGCCTGCAGCCAAGCGCTCAACGCCGCTCGCCCCCTCACCCAGAGGGGCTTCAGGACCAGCAGCCCTGTCGGGTGCTCGAGTGGACCGGTGCGTTGGGTCTAGAAACGACCCCAGGTCCCCCTCCTCATAGTCGTCTGAGTCGTAGTAGGAAGATCCGGACAGGATACCTGCCGTACGTAAAGGGGTGAAGAGAAGAATCATAAACCAGAGAGTGAGGGCAAGATCGTATGCATGGGGACCATGGGGTGACATCGCAGAAGGATATGTTGTTATATGAGGCTCAGCTTCTACACCACCGACCCGAACCCAACGTGCTTTCAACACCACCATTCCCCCTGTACAACTGGCTGAGTATTACCGGTAACCGACGGAAGAAGGCCCACTTGGCAGATTACTACACATATCAGCGTGTTAAACCAGCATGGCCCGTCGTACAGTTCCTAATCACGTACCGCCGTACGCTGTACGGCGCCTGCACCCACCCGCATCGGCATCATCCTCATCCCAGTCATCGCATGAGCTGTCGTACTCCTCCTCATTCTCCTGCACATGGCCCTCAGCCGACACCGCTGCACCGCTGCCTCCAGCCACCGCCACCCCGAGCTCCGAAACTGACCCCAAACCACCGCCGCTACCTCCTCCTCCACCCTCTTCGCTACCATCTGCTGATGCCGGCGGCGCCGTTGCGGCCGCCGGCTTCCCCCCCGCTGCCGCTGCTGCTGCATTGGCCCCGGCTGCAAGATCCAAGGGCCCCGGAGCTGCAGCCGACGGTCCCCCCTCAGTAGCAACCGCAACGTTTGCGTCTTCAGCCTCCGGTGATGGGTTGGCGGCGGCAGGCTGGGACACAGCGGCAGCTGTACCAGCCAACGGGGAAGCTAAGGTCGCAGCTAGCGGCTGGGGGTGTTGCGCCGCCGCTGCTGCGTCTGCTGCTGCTGCTGCTGCTGCAGTGTCTGGAAGGTTGGGAGCACCGGCAGCAGTTGCTGCTGCTGTGCCTGTGAGGCCAGCAAGCACCTCTTGGCTGCTGCTAGCCGGAGGAGGTTTCCTAGGGATGGCGGGTTTGCGGCGTTTGGGAGCAGCGGGGGGTAGCACACTGCCACTGCCGCTACCGCCGCCACTGCCACCGGCGCCGGCGCTGTCAACAGCCATGGCCGAGCTGTCGTGCTGGTTGACGGGGGGTGACGGTGGTGTTGGGACCGCGGCGAGAGGTAAAGTGGCAGCAGAAGACTCGGAGGGATCAGGCGGGTAGTCGCCGGAGAAGTTGAGATGGGCTTTCCTGCAGGCGTCAGTTAGCAAAGGGTTGGTGTAGGGTAACAACGGGTGATGTCTATTGGGAAGGGGGGAGAAGTTGGCTCGACTGGGGGCGAGGTGGGGGGAGAGGTGGTACTCACGCGCCGTGGAGCTTGCGGGCGGCGGCGTCGTAGGCTCTTGCCGCCTCGACCTCACTCTGGAAATAGCCGAGTGCTTTGCTCTTCCCATCGAGTACTCTTATACGGGCCTGCCACTTTAGGACCTGCTTATGCCAGCTCACGCCGCGATAGGACGATCCGCCGCGAGAGAAGCTGAACCCATGCGTACGGAACGAGGCTATGAGGTCGTCAAACGACATGGCGTCCAGCTCCGCGCGCCGCTCCGCCGACAGCTCAAAGTTGAGCTGCGCTGCGCTGCCATGCGCCTTGTAGGCCATTCTGCAGGGGGGCAGTGCGGGGCCCGGGTGGGGTGTGAGGGGGCATGGGTTGGGGTGGCGGAGAGAGCGCCTCCAGTGATGAGCACATGGGGTACGGTAGGTCCTCCGGCCAAACACTGTAGTGCCCATGTCAAAGTACTTACGCGTCATACTGTCGGGCAGCCTCCTCCTCGCTGGTGTGAAAATTCCCTTTGATTTTTTTACCTTGTAACACAATTTGCGGCCGCCATTTCTGCACTTTCCCCTCCCAAGACACACCCTTGAATTTCGATTTCCCTGGCATTTACGTCCTAACTGCCGCCACTGCAGGCTAGCGTACTCTAAGCTGACTACATATTGTGTAAGGCTAAGGGTTAATGGAGTGCATGTCAATGTTTAATGCCGTAATGAGCAGGTAAAACTCCAAGGCAGCAGCTCTACGTTGTGTCACACAATACATCTCCATTCGCACCCTGTCGGTCGCCGGGAACCTACAGCAACATCACATCAATCCTCCCTGACCCTAACCAGGGTGTCAACAATACAGCAATCAGGATTCTAAAGACACCGAGAAAGCTTACAAAAGTTAGTTAGCAACAGTAAGCACGTCCTTCAAGAAGTACAGAGCTATAGAAGCGTAAAATGTACAGCTAGAATGTTCCAACTGCTCACAACAGTGAGCTCATGTCACTTCAGTCGTGCAGGTGTACTGCGACAGTACACATGGCCTTGTTATCGTGTGGCCGGAGCACAGGGCAGCGCGCTCGCTTTGGTCCAATGGGCCAGTGAGTACAGCCTGCAGTTCAGGCGACCGGACCCACGGGTCAGCATGGCAGGCCAAAGTAGTGCGGAAACGCAATACAGCATGCGTCATGCGGGCAAAGCTACGGTAGGTGCAATCGTCTGACCAGGTGCTGGGTGCGCAGCCAACATTCGCCGGGTCAGGGTGATCCCCAAGTTGTCCTTGGCCATGAACTCTAAGGTCTATCCGATATATCCTTAAGTTCTATCTGCGCCTGAGGTACATCTATGGGCGGTACGAGAGACTCACCCTTCCAACCGTGGCCCTGGGTGGATACGCAGCGTAAGAGGACAAGCTGCTCTACGAGCCTTAAAGGTTTGTACATGTACCAGCAGTTGCACTTTGGCGTATCAGGGTTCAGCGTGATCACAGAAAACTAGGTTACATGCTAATATGCGGCCTTAGGGAGTGCGTTCTGCACATTGGTGCAATTTCAATTGGTATTGATGCGCTTAACTGTAGTTTTTACAAGCACTGAGCACCTCTTGAACGTTCCTTAAAGCTCGGTGCTTAGCATGTCGGAGCTGAACTACAAGCGCAGCGATCAGGGTGGAGGCACACCTAGTTATTCATCGCAGCAGGCTCCATTCAGGCGTAATAGGTGAGCTTCTGCTAGGTATCGGCTGTGATTCAAGGCGTGACGTTTACTTGCTGAATGGGTACCCCTATGCTGCTCAACAATTTTTATTTAAAGACGAAGTAAGGGTTTTGAGAGCTGACGTGGATTGGTACGAGGTGTATGGCAGCAAAATTGGTCAGGCAACTGTTAGCCATCCACATTACACCCGTAGACCCTTAACAGCTCGCTCCCATTCACTTTACGTTCTTTCCCAACGACGCTACGTCTCCGCACCTAGAGCGGACGCAGAGCGTTGGGCGCAGGTGGTGGCTGACAACGCGGTGTTAGCTCGCAAACTGCGGGACATCGGCAGGGAGCCCCCGGCTAGCTACCACGCGCCCCGCGGCTACCAATCCGTTCGCGGGGGGAAACAGATAAAGCAAGCACGTACAGGTGGGGGCGTTCCCAGGCCGCCTGGGCCTAGGGCCGGGGTTATCGGGTTGTTCCCATCTGTGACCCGGGGGGCTCTGTTGGGCCCCCCCCGTTCCAAAACCTATCGGCATATCCTCCGCTCTCGCCCGTTTCCTTGTGACAGGCAAGCCGCAAAACGGCATGCCGGAGACGCCGCACTACATGCCACCCACCGCTTGGCCTCCCCTGGAGCCCGCACATGAGGTAGGGCGAGGAGCTGGGTAACTTTTTACATGCAGTTCGCTTACACTGTCCTATTGCCCACAACCCTTCATCACTTCCGCTGCACCCTGTTGCGAACTTTTGCCAAGCCGTCACCCTACACACCCGGCTTTCCCTGTGCTGCTGCGTTATGCGCCGCAGATTGTACGGCAACCCAAGGCGCAACGGGAACTTACCGCCTGCAACGCCCACCTCGCCGCAAAGCTCCGAGAGGTTTACCGCAAACACCATGTTGGACATTCCCCCGGGGATGAAAGGGCTGGGATTGCCAACCCTGGCAGCGGCAACAGTTCCTGCAGCAGTGGCGGCAAAGCAGCCCAGGGCAAGATGGATTGCAACGAGCGCTGGGCTCTTAGGACTGCCTTATACGACAGTGCTCTGGGTGCTGCTGTTGGAGATGCTGCTGTTGGGACTGTTGGGGCAACTGCGGCAGCAGCAGCTGCTGCTGCTGCTGCCGGATCGTTCATGGCTGGTGGCAGGACGCTAGATTTGGAGCAGGTACGCACTGGGCCCACGCGGGAAAGAAGCGGGGGGGGCGTTGTGGTGTCCTCCTGCCGTGGATCGCTCATTTCTCATCCCTCCTCCTCTCTTTTGTCTTTTCCTCCAATAGCCTAATGCACCTCCTCATCTCTTCCTCCGTCCCTCACGTGGCTCGCACCACTTCCGTTCCCAACTCGTCCCTCGTCCTTTCCTTAATCCCCCCTTCCTTCCGGCCCCTCTCGCCCTCCCGCCTCCCCCTAGGCCAGTGTGCCCAAGTCCCTTGGAGTTGCTTTGTGCGGCGGCTGCGGCGCCCGCTGCTTCTACGCAGCTGACGGGGTGAGACTGATGAGGTGCAGAGGCTGCAAGGCGGCCTGGTACTGCTCCGAGGCGTGTGCCAGACTGGACTACCAGTCACACAAGGTGCGACATGGGTGGGTTGGGGGGGAATGAGAGGTGCAGCAACTGGAGTTCCAACCCCGTATCCCGATTCATGCAGTGAGCGCATGTTGGTGGAGGGGGTGTACGGGGGGTGGGAGGGTTGTGCGACACGTAGGGGTGGGGGGGGGGGGTAAAGAGGAAACAACTAACTGACTGGTGGGGGGGGGGGTGAAGTACGGCGGCATGGGGGGGGCCGACTGGTATAGGGCCCATAGGTTTCGGAGATAACAGTTTGAGGCCAGGCAGCGGCAGCGGTGAGTGGAGGAGGACGGTACGTTAAGAGCTCCCCAACCCACCGTCGCCTACCCAGTCACAGCATGGTATTTTCTTCCTCCTTACCCCACCGCTTCCCGGCCCCGCTTTGGTCAGTGTTTCCGCGGCTCCGTTTGTCTGCCGGTAATCTCCCACCGCTTCCCGGCCCCTTTCCACTGTCCCAGGCTGTGTGCAAGCACTCATCCACGGGCCACTGGACCCCAGGGGGCATCCGACCCGCGGAGGACTGCTGGGTCAGCAACGCGGCCATGGCAGAGGTACGACAGGAGCTTCGGAGGCGAGCAGCTGCTTTAGCTGCTGCTGGTGCTGCTGGTGCTGCTTCTCTAGCGGTGGCGGCGGCGGTGGCTCGAGTGGGAGGCCCTGGTTGCTGCGCCGCTGCCGCCGCCGACGACAACGACGCGTCTTATAAGCCAATGGGCTCCTGCTCCTACCCTGGTAGTGCTCCTAGTCCGCAGCAGCAGCAGCAGAGGAGCAGTCAAAGGCAACAGCAGCAGCAGCAGCCTGGGCTTCCGCACCAAAGGCGCCGGCAGCAACTGACACCACGGCCGGCGGGTTCGCCATGCGGAGGTAGGTCCTCCTCCGCACAGCCTCAACGTCGGTCGGTAACGGGAAACGTGACAGGGGTGCCTGCACTGGAAGAGGGGGAGCTTGAAGACGAGGCGGATGTGTTGTTTTCGCTGGAGTCAAAGTATAGGGAGCTCCGAAACCGGGAACTGCAGGCGGAACGGAAGCTACAGGAGGTTGAGTTTAGGGCGAATCATGGATTGGATGGACCGCGTCCTTGCATGTTTAGCATGAAGCGCTTTGCGGCGGCGGCGTCAACTGGGAAGGGCGGCAGCAGGGGAGGGGACGGGGCCCGGAGGCCGGCGTCTGCGGGGCCGCAGGAACGTAGTGGTGGTGGAGGGGGGGTGAGCGGCGGAAAAGGGGGAGGAGGAGTGGGGAGAGGGAAGCCAGCCTGGCAAGACACGGCGAGATTTCTTTAAAAATGTGGTGGCGGGGTGTGGTCTTTTGTGTTTATATATTGTATAGCTTGCCCTTTGTATCGACAATGCTGTGATTGTTATCTCTTTGACTACGTCCCAGTTTTGGGCACCTTGTGTATGAATACCGATCCAAATGTACCAATGCCGACGGGTGTTAACGCTGGTACATACATGCATGGGAGGGGTGCTGCTTGCACCGTATGGCAAGATAGTGGTTGTACGCGTCCACACGTCATATGTTATGTGGCCTATGCCCACGTTCTGGTCTTACCTTTGTCAGCCTGAGGCTGGTTCTCATTACTGAGTGCAGGATGCGCGCTTGGAGAGGGCTGTAGGTAACCTGGAGTGATGATTGATACTGGCCACGTCGATTACTCTTCACTGAACGTGTAACCGCTGCCTACTGGCGTACAGAAGTACAAGCGTCGTTTGAAGCCAATGAAGCCAAGGACAATGTTTGCCGACCACTTGTATTCCCCGCATGCAACGCTCCAATCCGCACTTAAGGTACCTTACCGACAATCTCTTACATGTGCCACCGAGATGGGTGGCATTGTAATGTTTTCGTAGGAGGACTATTCAAACCATATTCATACCCAGACCCGCTAAGCGTAACAATAGCAGGCCATAAAACGTTTCAGCGGCATTGCGGTGGCAATACTGTGCACGCCGGAAGATGCCTGGTCACTCCAAGCACTGGGCCATACGCCAGCACGAACAGTCATGACGTCGACCGAGGACGCAATGCATTTAGGTAGAACATTCGACGGTCACAGTATCGTCAGGTGGTCAAGTAAAAACGACCGCAGAGCGCGGCCAATGCCCCGCACATACCCGTGCAAGGACAGCGGGCATACACGTAATACGAACCAACCCCCCAATGCGTTTGCAAACAGGCACGCGGGCACCGAACATCCCACTTTATCTCGTCTCCCTCAGAACCTGTGACCCATCAGTCAGCTCACAGCTGCTCCCCTCATCCAGTAACACTCTTCTATTAACAGTTTTCACAAAAAGGTTTTCAGCCGGTCCTTTATACTTGTTAAGCCAGGACGGGTATACCCGCACAGATCACGTACCACAAACCCCTCTTCCACATAAGCGCCGCGTCCAAACCCTTCTTCCAACAGCACCCCTGTCCCCTCCAAACTACCAGCCACCTCGAATCGCAATCACTCATTGACAACACTATGCTCGCCCTGACATGCACGCACCCAGCAGCAAAGACCCCTGTCGTGCCAAGCCAGTGTAGTTCACCCTACTCCCAAGGCACAGCTAGTAAGGTAGGGAGCCCTGCATCAACTCTTCAGATCCCAGCCATCGGCCCACGCCGGCGACTGTGTGGCCAGCCAAGCCAAGCATACCGTAGTATCCACACAGCAAAACATAATATCACCGAGTGACGCTACGCGGCCCCCGCATCCGAGTTATCCGGTCGCAGCGCTCAAGTTCCGGTACATCCCCATTCGAGTTGTCTTGACACCCGGTGGCGCGCGTCAAGAGCAGCAAGCGCGCGACATCGAGCTTACCGCTGACCGTGTCCGTGGCCCAGACCCTGCTCCGCATCCGGCCTGCGTTGTAGGGGGGGAGGTATCCCAAGTACGCCGTCCGTCACCAAGGAACACATGAGCATGTCCACCTCGTTACCCCAGAACTTACAACCCAATAGCCCCACCGCCTGCAAACCCCTTTACGCCAGCCTGCGCGCTTCACATCACGTTGTGTGATGTAAAAGAAACTAACAAGCTCCCGCCCATGCACTCACCCCTGGTGGCCGTTGGCACCGTGTGCGTCGCCAGCCGCCGCGCCGCCCTCGCTGGCCGCCGTGCTGGCGGCGGCGGCCGCGCTGCCACCGCCTATGAGCCGTGCCAGGAAGCCGACCGAGGGGATGCCGCGCAGGTGGCGTAGCAGCTTGTTGCGCGGCGGCTCCGCCATGTGGCTGATGCGCCACCAGCCGTGACCCGCTGCGTGGTCCAGATCCTTGCGCGTGATCATGCCCACCTGGATGCATCGGCAACGTGGTTGGGTGGACGAGCTGTATAGCGGAATATGGTGGACAGGAGGATGACGGCGCCAAGTAAGACGCCTAGGGAACGCCTCTTGATGCCAAGCAAGCAAGCAATGGTCGCAGCAACTAGCACACCAGCCATGCAGCAATCAGCAGTCACAGCGCTGCAGTCGTGTACCGGCAGTTAGTCCACCATAAACCCTGAACTCACCACGTGGTTGTGCGCATCCACCACCAGCAAGTGTCGCAGACCCAGGTTGATGAACACCTGGTGCGCCCGAGCGGCCGAGCAGTCCTTGCGGATGGTGAGCGGAGACCTGTTCATGTAGGGCCGCAGGTCGATGTAGAGGCTGCTGAGGTCCAGCGTGGTGGAGCCGGCGTGCACGCCGTCCAGCTTGAGCTCGTCCAGCGGCTGCGCGGTGGCGCTGACGTAGCGCGCGTGCGTGAAATAGTGCCGGAAGAAGGTGCGCATCTCGGTCTGCGGGAGGAGAAAGAGCGGAAGAGGGAATTACGGAGCTTATGTGGGAACATGGAAGTGTGCTGGAGGAAAGGAGAAATGCCCATGTTGATGCATAAAGCTCGTGCTTGCTGCGAAGCGGTAGTTGAAAGCCGTGGAACCAGTGAAGCGTATACGGTAGTAAGGGCAGATGAGAGAAGCCCGCCGGACTTTCCTAATCTCCCTTGCACAAGGCACCCTGCTGCCTAGCACATTCCAACCCCGTCCACTCACTTCCGCCGAAATTACTCCATTCTTGTGTAACCCACCCACCCCTCCACTTCCAGCTCTTACCTCCAGCTCCAGCTCCTGCTGCTCGCTGTAGTCGCGGCCGATGGGGCGGCCCGAGGCGTCGCAGAAGTGCCGCCGCTGCAGCAGCACCAGCAGCTGCGAGCGCAGGATAAGGCCCTCCAGGCGACCGCTGAGGGGGTCCACCTTGCTGGCGGCGCCGTTGACGTCTGCAGTAGGCAACAAGGAAAGGAGAAGGTTATGTTGGCGCGTAATCGGTGGCTTTGGGTACTTGTTTGTACGCCTATGGAGGTATGCAGTGAACGCACAGTGACCCCGCAAGCGCTTACCTGCGTTGCTGCTGCTGGTCCCGAAGTTGACGAGTGCCTGGGAGCTGGGCGCCTCCGACACACCGCCCTCCTCCGAGTCCTCGTCCGCAAACACCGGGAAGCCGTTGTGGGTGGTGGTGCGCATCACTTGCAGGATGCGGGACAGCGGCTCGATGGTCCTGAGGGGTTAGCGATGCCCATGATGGGTGCGGAGACTGTTTAACCCCCCTTATGTGAGCAGATGCCGGTTAACGCTACCGCAGGCGCACAGGGTCACATTGGGCCATATTGTGCTGACCCAACTCGCGTGCTATGAATAAGGCATGGGATCAGGTTGGATTCTAAAAAAAGCAAACCCGATTCCCCCGACCCAGATCGCATGCTGCGGCTACGGCACGGAGTCCACTAACCCCGACCCAAATCGCAAATTCCTAGCTTTTCCTCCATTGTTCCACCACCCTCCTCATGACTCTCACGACCGCCCGCACCTGAAGCCATACACGCCGGTCGCCATGATGGCCTCCGCGGTGAGGGTGAACAGGCGGTGCGGCGGCTCGTCGCGCAGCATGTACACGTTACCAATGCGCTCCAGCTCTGACTCGTACACACCGTCATGGTGGATGTGGTGCGCGACCCAGTTGGACATCATGACCGACAGAATCACACCGAACAGGTAGTCGATGCCGCGCGTTCCCTCCACCACCAGCACCACCAGCGAGATGGCGGAGCGGAAGACGCCCGCCAGCATACTGGTGCCGCCCAGGATGGCGTACAGGCCGGGCATGATGTTCCACTTGGGTAGCCACAGGCGCAGGACGATGCCCCAGAAGCAGCCCCACGAGGCACCCAGCTGCGAGGGACAAGCACAGGTGACGTGAAGAACGGGGAGTTGGTTTCAGGTCTTATGGAAGTGCCAGTAGATCCAGGATCCTGGCGACATTGGAACGATGACGTCTTCCATCGCGACGTTGCTAGATACACTTGGCATCCTAGGCAACCTGCAGGGTTCTAAGGCAACCAGGCATCTCGTAGTCACCGGTTACACAGCTCACCAGGATAGAGGGCATGAACAGACCACCGGGGATGGCCAGGCCAGCGCCGATGGAGAACAGGCCCAGGTAGATGGTGGTGAAGAGCGCCAGACCGCCCACGCTGAAGGCCGGCACGAACTTGGTGACGTCAGAGATCTCGTCATCGTGACCCACGGAGAAGAGCTTGATAATGGTGTGGTGCTGCGACGAAAGGAAGAGCGTCGCGATGTCGTTGTAGTGGCCCTCCTCGCAGTTGAACCTGCGACATGGGGAATGCATGGTTTGCCATGAGTGCTTGTTCACAATGTTCGGGCAGGTTCAGTGTTAGGAACGCCCAACGGGCTACGGATGGCTGCCTAGGGCTGCTGCTTTAGACAACCCACACATCCTGCTTGCCCCTGCGTGCAAGCACCTTACCTAATGCCGTAGCCCTCGTTCAACCAGTCGTCGGGGAAGGGCTTGCACTGGCCGGCAGCCCAGCCGAAGAAGTGTCCCACCAGGGAGGTCAGGAAGACAAGACCGATCACCTCCAGGATGCGCAGCAGATGGCGGGACTTCACGGCCCGGACCTGGGGACAAAGAGTAAGAAAGAAGGAGAAACGAAACCTTGACGCTGTAGCTTGGAAACTAACGACATGGGCGTCTACTTATGGTTCGCTGCTACAGACGGGAGCTGTGCACAGGCCCCCAATGAATGCATTGGCGCGAGCCGCTCCCAAGTGTGCCGTACCTTCCAGAGCCACATGCGCAGGCTGTTGAAGGCAGCTCCCAGCAGACCAGCCATGCCGGCGTTGACAATCAGGAAGGGCAGCTGCAGAAGCCAGTCCTTGTTCTCCATGGGGTTGAGGTTGGAGAAGGCAATCATGCCGTGCTGTGCGCTGTGGTCGGGAGGTGACAGCCATGCACGGGAATGTGGGTCAGTAGGGAAGCGGGTTGGGGATGCAGCCAATGGATTTTTAGGTCTCCCAGTCCATGCAATGTCAACATGCAACATGGTAGAAATCATACTACAGTCCACATGTAGTATGGGTTGGCAAGCAGGCTGGCAAACCCAGTGCGCAAGCTTGCTTGCCTGCGGTTGAGCAGTTGGATGGTGAAGGTCGACAGGGTAGCAGCGATGAAGCAGCGCCAAGCCGTCTTGCGCGACCAGAAGCTGCACGCCTCCTCCATGGAGAACAGCACACCACCGACTGGCGCGCCGAAAGCTGCCGAGATACCGGCAGACACACCGGCGGAGACGAACTCGCGGTGGTCGGAGTCGCTGACAATCTCGTCAAGGATTTTGAGCTTCTCCTTGATGTTGAACTCCTTCCTCCGCCCAAAGCAGTTGGTAAAGATGTTGAAGATACCGCCGTCCAGGCACTCTGCATGGCAAGGCAAGCCACGAACTCAGGGTTGTACCAGGTCAGGGCTTAGGATGCCCTACGAGCTGCACCCGCCAACCCGCATAGGTAACACGTGCTGATTCCCGACTCAAGATCAGGGCTTAGGGCCCCCTACCGCTGTGCGCCCGCCAACCCACATGGGTAACGTGCCGATTCCATGCGCTTTATGAGTGCTACTACTCACTGCATTCCATGTAGGTGATGACCGAGGCCACGCAGGCGCCGATGTGCACCATCGGACCCTCAGGACCCATCGGCAAACCGGAGCTGACAGCGCACACAGTGCCCACGAACTTGCTGATAAGTGTGCTGAAGCGGAGCAGGTTGGGCACGTGGTTGCCGTTCAAGTACGCCATCACCAGCGTGACACCACCACCGGCAGAGGCGGGGGCCCAATACTGGACCTGCAGTTGGCAGCACGATTGTCAGGGCACGATGTACGGCAGCATATTTTGGTTTGCCCCTGCAGAAGAACCTACAATAGCGGTCGCCAGTGTCACAAGGCAGCTGCCGATGAGCCAGAACAGGAGGAAGGAGACGAAGGTCCTGGCGGGCGCGTCCTTCTCGTACGTTTTCGCCAGAACGTCAAGCTTCCACTCGGTGATGGCGCCGACAGTCTTGGTCAAGGCCACGGCAAACAACCCCGTAATAATGCCCGTAAGGACTGTCACGAGCATCTTCGCTAAGGTATGGCCCGTATATCTGCAGTCGCGTATTACATTGCCGTAGTCAGAGCGACGTTCGTCATGTGCAAGCACGTGCTCACATGATCCTACCCATAGAGCTTCTTCTTGCCCTCTTTCCGACTCTTCATGCGGTCATAAAACAACTTGTTCTGGATTGGCTCATAGTCAAGCGACTCTGACACGCGACCTGTCGCCGCGGTCTTGGAGCCCAGAACTTTGGCAAGGAAGGAGGTGGCAGAGTCATAGACCGGTTTGGCTGGTGTGGGATTGCGTTGAAATGTAACAGCCCGCCCTAGCATAGGTGTATCATCCTCCTCTCCTGGGTGCGCCATGGTGAGGATTGCCGCCGGGCGGCCGATTCAGTCCTGGTAAAAAAGTCAACACCTCGGCGGACAAGCCGTCCAACTACTAGCTTTGTTGTGTCAAGACCATCTAAATAGGGGATCACGAACGTTAACAACCTAGGTAGAAGGTTCTATGTATTTATTACTGGGCCCGATACGGCAACACCCATGCAAACCAATTCTCCACACGGATGTCACCTCTGGCTGCTATGTGCGCTCCTACCTCCAAACCCATGTTGCAAAGACACGCTATTTGTCGGCCTTCTTCGCAAGTGCTTTGTGAAAGCAATTGCAATCAACTTGGCTGTGTCATTTCACTTAGCAACGATTTCACAATGCTTTGTGTCCTGAAGCCCAAGAGATACAATTCTTGGAACCGGCTGCCTTAGAGTTTACTGTTGGTTTGGCTCAGGGCCTGCCACTTGCGCGGTCATATCTGGCGCCTTTGTGCTCGAACCTGCCCGAAGGGAGACACAATGCTCTGTATAATGTTTACCACGCAGCATAGGTAACTGCATACATAATTCTCGTGAACCGTGGGTCTTAAGGTAGGGCATCATGTCCGCTGCTGGACGACAGAAGCGCGTGGCGGATACCGGTAATCTAGCAAACGCCAAGACTCCCTGAATCCAAACAACGACTGATTGCAGCGAAAAGCCGTATGTGCGGAAACTCATCGCCACCTAGGGGTACGCATCCCGGCCGCGATGAGCAAGGCATCGTTTCTTAACATTCGAGAAAGCGCTCCTCAACGGCCTTCACGACTGCCCATAAAGAAGCATTCTTTTGATTCAGGACTGTGCAACCTTTGCGCGTAAGCCTAGCTACACATCCCATACCGAACTGGCCACATGCAACCTTTCCTCATTGCCACAGACAAAGTTACTGGACTGCGGCATACTGCGAAGCGAGCAATGGTGCAGTCTCGTAATGGGCAATCCTAACGCAGCAAGGTTGGCGAACCAAAATGAGTGATCCTGATTATTACAAGCGAGGACAAGGGACAAGCTTGGGCAAGGAAGCAGCCCCCAAACCCTGACGAGATGCCAACCGTTGCCCCATCCCAGCCTTGCCTCCTACCCAACACCGCATGCAACAGCCGACCAACACGCCGCAGAAAGGACGCACCCTTTCGGCTAGCACGAACAGCACACATCTTTTACTTACCTCAAGGCCAGCTGCACGCTGGGGAAGCAGGCTGAACCAAACAGCTGCCGCATTCCATGTGCTAGAGCTGCTCATGCCTGAACCAAGTCTGGATCAACTGTGATGTCAATTGCATACTTGCAACTACGGCCCAAAGCGCTGTCCAAGCCACTGAACACTGCCCCATCTGTTACTATTTGTCATGCAGCTGTGCGCAAGCTGCGCTATAGCATGTGTGCTGCAACCACGCTGTGCCCCAAACACTGCCTTCCCACTCTTTTCCCCAACTGGGTTGCGCAGAAGCTTACACACCAAACTGCCTGTCAACCGCCTCTGACCCTCTGTCACTGCATGCTGCTCAACGGTCGCGCCTATAATGCCTCTGACAGCTGCTCCGCCCCATCAGTTGTTGCTTGCTGACAAAGCTAAATGCAACACCTGCCTCGCTGGTTTGCGAGCTGTCTGGCGCTGTCTGAAACCTCCAAGCCTTCCAGCATGCAACTCACTAGTTGTTGACCCAACACCAAGTGTTGACGCCTCTACCTGCGCACGTCACGGCGGTCATCGGGCCTGCCGTAAGGTGCAGAGCGGGCTGGCCCAGAGGGGTACCGGCTGCGGTCCGGGCCGCCGGCGCCACCGCCAGCACCGCCGCGGTACCTGTCTTCAGGTGGGTAGTCCGAGGGGTAACGGCTGTCGTACGCGCCGTGGTAACGGCTATCCGAGGGGTAACGGCTGTCCGAGGGGTAACGGCTGTCGTAGCTTCCCCCATATTGAGGCGCAGCGTAGGGGTCCCGCGCGTAGGGGTCCCGGTAGTATGGATCCCGCTCGTAGCCACCCCTGCGCATAAGATGCAGGAGGACGCATGTTAAGACTCATCCCGTTGCGGCTTTAAAGGCACTGCTGTGTCATGCGCGCCAGGGCAAGACACGGAGGGAAGAGGTGCGTGAGGCAGTGCTGGCGCAGGAAGGGAAACACAGAAGTGTGTGATAAGCCCGCTTCACCAGTCCTTTAAGCCAAAGCCAAGAGCGCCACAGAAAAGCATGCCACAGAGCGCCCCTCGTCATTGCACTTACCCGCCGTAGCCCCCATAGCCGCCGCCGCGGTCTCCATAGCCACCTCGCCCATAGTCGTAGCTGCGAGGGTCCCCGTAGCTACCGCCACCGCCACCACCGTAGCGATCATAGCCGCGATCATAGCTACCGCCTCCGCCATACCGGTCGTAGCCGCCGCGGTCATACCTGCGGTCATAGCCACCGCGATCGTAGCGACCGCCGCCGTCCCGGCTTCCACTTCCACGAGTAAGCGCGGACGCTGGCGTTCCTGGCTTAATCTGGTCCTGCGGAATAGCCTCCTTCACGGAAATAGGTCTGCCATCCACATCCTTGTTGTGCAGGTCGCGGATAGCGTCCAGCATGCTCTCGCGGTCCTTGAAGGTAACGAAACCAAAGCCGCGTGGCTTTTGAGTCATTTTGTCTAGCTGAATGACCACGGTATCAGGGTTGTACTTGTCAAACACTGCGGTTGAGGAATATTGCAGTCAGCGCAACTATCGGCCACACACACGCCAGAGATTAAGCCCATGATCCAATCTCGCAGAGCTCACGTTCTCTGAGTCCGATCTCATCCATGCGGTAGGAAATGCCACCCACAAAAACTTTGTGGGGGTTCTCCAGAGCCTTAGCATCCCCATCTTCTACCATCCTAGTGTCTTCACGACTTCTAGAATCCATTGTATGTTGTTGAACTGAAAGAAGGTCTACTTTGGATGCGCCGGCGCAGCGTTAAACGTTCCACGCACTCGTGCGCCGTACAATATGGCAAATACCAAACAGCGTTCATCGCTACTGCTGGACATTCCTTGCGAAAGGCCTTTCCTACATTAACCTATACATGGTACACTCTACGTTAAGAGGCGTCGTGATACCTTGAATAACACCATGTCTTCCGCTAGCTGTTTGCTTCTGCTAGTGCGTGGTCAGTTGCAGCAACCCATATTGACCCAACTCCGTGGGTCATTAGCCTGCCTGGGAGTAGTAGGTGAAAGGGAGCAGCGCTCGTCGCACCCGGTCTGGCGACAGCTTAGGCGTTTCTCATCGCAATCACCTACCAAAGACGCAAGGAAACAGCTCGACTGCACAAAAAGCATCTTACAGGTTTGTGCTATACAGCAAGCAGTTCTTTGGTTTCCAATTAAACGACGGTTGCTTCTGCTTCCCTCCAACCCAGCAAGCGAACATCCTGCAACTCCGCGAAAGCCTCGACGATGAAAGCGAGCGGAGCCTGCACATCCCTTACGCGAAATTCCTTAAGATGATCAGAGCCAGGTCAGTACACATCCTGTTGCCTCAAGGCAGGTCCGTGCACACGCTACCCAGGGCTCATGACCGGGGAGGCCCCGAAGCTCTAGCTCTTAAGTAAGGCCCACCTTCCCCGTTGCAGCGGCGCAGCGCACGACGAAGACGAGGCTGAGGAGGTCGGTCACGCGCTGCACCGTAGTGGAATCGTACTGCGGCACGAGGATACGGTTTATCTCAAACCAGAGGAAATCGTGGAAAAGGTCGTACAGGTGAGGTAATGCCCGCCACGGCTCCCCTCTATGCAACCAAAAATCATCCCACCAACACCCAACCCCGTACTGTCGCACCCAGCCTTCACCCGCACACTGCCCACATATCCCGCTCATATGCTCACATGCATCCATCCCAATTCACACACGCATGCATGCACATGGCGTCTCCCCATGCAGATCCTGCCCGGCAACCGCGAAACGAGCGACCGAAAGCTGCAGGAAATCAACACCGAGCTGGAAAAGCTCGAAGAGATCTACACCCAGCTAGACAAGGCGGCGAACCGCTACACCACTTGGATGCTGCTGGGCGGCTATGTCGTACTCTGGATCCAGTTCGGGGCGTTCTACCACCTCACGTGGGGAGACCTGTCGTGGGACGTGATGGAGCCAATCGCTTACATGATTTCCCTGGGCTACATGCTCCTGGGCTACACCTACTTCCTGGTCACCAAGGGTCAGGTGTTCGACCTGGGGCCCTTCAAGGCCTTCTGGCTGACGCGTATCATGGTGGGTCAGATTAGACCAAACCCTCAGTGTTTGTAGGCCCCTTAGCCTCCTTTCCTTACCCTCTTTGACAGCTGATGCTGCATTGCTTACCCTCTGTGATCTTTTAATTCTTCCTTTCGAAAACCTGTACAGCACATTCCGAGTAGCCCTTTCAACTGTTGCCGGTGTTGCCCTTCCGTCACAACAGAAGCAGAGAGCGCTGAAGCTCGAATTTGACGAGGAGCGGTATCACCACCTGCGCAAGGTGGGGAAAGAAGGGGTAACAGAAGAAGAAATGCCTTGTTGTGGAAGGGAAGGGCCATGCCTTGCCCTCACTTCAACCACTGCCTTGCCCTCACTTGTGGCTGGGTATTCCCTTGTTCCCCCGAACCTGCTGCCACAGCTGAAGGAGCGCTATGTGAAGCACCTGGCGCATGCGCCGTTGAAGCAGCAGTAAGGTGGCGGCTGAGCCAGCAGTTTGGAAGCTGTGGATTTGTCGCTCTTGTGGGGTTGTATTTCCGTGCAATCTGTGTATGTTTATGTGCGGCGCTATGTGGGGCCACCGGTAAAGTCGGAAGGTGGTGGGGCTGCTGACAATGCGAGACCGAGACAGCTACGGCAGCCAGTGCATGGACTGGGGTGTTTTGGGTTGAGAGCTGCTGGGCTGTTTGACCACCATGTTGACCGCTTACAACGTTCCAAGGGCGGGGTGCAGCAATGAGCCTAATATGCATTTGTTGTACCCAACGACATGTCGGCAGAAGGGCGAAAGAGGACATGGAAAGGCACAGAAGGACCTGTAAGAAGGTTCAGTTACTCTTGGTTGGCGGACCAGGCTGCGCTTTGGCGTGGGGTTCCGCCTCGGACTTGATTTGCAGTTTCGTTATGCGATGCGTGGGAGGCGGCGTGATAAGGGGCAGGATTGGTGATCTGCTGGTCGTCTTGTACATAGGATGTCTGGGAAGTGCTGTGCATATGTGTTTCGAGTACATGGAATAATGATTGTTCGGAGGTGGAGTTGCGCCCCTTGTGCGCCTGATGGCATGCATGTACAGTATGCAGGGGTGCGCGCTCATGATGCTTGCGGGCCTGATATGCTTGCGTCCTTGATTGCACTGAGCACTGTGACGGTTGGTGCAGTTAGTCACCGATTGACCGCCGTACTTTGTCCCCCTACAGTGCGATGGGTTTCCAAAAGGTTTAATGATACTGGTGCTACCATAAGCGTGTATCGCAAGGGCGACTTTGGTAATGCGACTTTACAAGTTCACTGGATACTGTGTTTGAGCCCTGCGCCTTTTCTTTTCCTTTATGTAGTCTATTGTGTATCTGTGACATACTCGCGCAAGGATGGATTTAAAGGAAACACCGGCCATGGACGCACATGCCCTTCAGGTGGGCGGTGGTTGCCACACCCCGCCCATAAGCATTCTTTATCTTTACGAGTAATTGTATTGCAGGAGGTTACTGCGCAAGTAATAGCAGCTAGAAAGCTCTTGGAAGCGCAGCGGCAGCTCCGGGAAAGCAACCTCAATGCTGTTCGACCAGGTACAACGCATGCAGCGATCTTGGCATGCGCAACTGTATTGGATTAAGCATCATGCTTTGGCGATAATTCCAAGCAGGCGAGGACGAGCTTAAGCAGCTGGACAGCAGCATCAAACGCAATTCAGCTCTTATAAAGAAGCTCAGGCAGCTCACAGAGGACAATAAGCAGACCATACTTGACGACATCCGCAAAACCAACCAAAGCAAGGTTAGTACCCGCTCGCGGTACTGGGCCGTCGGGTACTGGGCGCGTTGACGGGAACAGGAAGGGGTCGCCCGTCCGAAGCCCCCTGACCACCCCCTGCTTCCAATAGCGGGGACGACGGGGACCTGCTGGAACGGGCCACCTCCCCAACACCTTCCTACCGCCATCCCTCCCCTCCTACACCTCAACCCAACCCACTCTTCCCCCTTTCCCTCCCCCCCTCTCCTCCCTCCCTGCAGTACGTCAGCGAGGCAGTTGCCGCCCTCGCAGAGGCGCCACTGCGCTCGGCGGGCGATGTGGCAGCGGCGGTGGCGGTGTGCAGCCAGCTGCACCGCCGCTATGCGGACTTTGGGGAACACGTGGCGGCAGCGCTGGCGAAGGTCCGTGCGTGTGTTAAGAAGACTGACTGCGAGGCGGAAGCCGCGGAACGCACTGCATTGCTGTTTGGGTGCGGGTGGTTACAGACCACACCGAGCCATAGGAGACCCAGGGGGGGGAGGGGAGGTCAACCTCGGTGCCTGTACATGCCAGCCCTGCTACTGCCGCCCGACTCAAGCCAGCTGCTGAACTCACCCCCCGTCCTCCCCCCCCCCACACACGCACATTCTCATTCAACACATTGGTTACCGTATCCTTCTTTACCTCCCCCACCCCCACGCACGCCCAGCTCCTACCGCTCGCTAGCTTCTTACCTCACCTCCCTCATGCAGGTATTCTCCAGGCCGGCCGGGGGCGCCGACGGCTCCTCCACTTCCTCCTCGGGAGCAGCAGCAGCGGCGGCGGCGACGGCAGCGACGGATCGCGACGGCGGCAGGCGGCGGCGCACCGCATTGCGGCTGCTGAGTGAGCTGCTGGCGGCTGGGGTGGTGGGCGGTGCGGGGCCGCTGCTGGGGCTGCTGAAAGACCTGGTGAGGGGGGCGTGGGTGGGGGGGTCAGGAGGGGCGTGGGTGGGTGGGGGTCAGGAGGGGCGTGGGGGGGGGGTTAATAGGGGCGTGGGGGGGGCATGGGTGGGGGTCAATAAGGGAATGGGTGGGTGTTCGGGTTGGCGCCAGGGGCCCGTGGGGGTTGGGGTGCTATCCATAGGCCGGGCGGAATGGGGTTGGAAGGGGCAGAGGGTCCACTGGAGCAGGCCCGCATAACCCCGGAGGGCCCCTTGCGGATGGAGGAGTGGACACAACCTGCTCACCCATGTCCTATGTATCCATACCGGTGCGCATCCCCTCCATCCCGCTCTCTCCCTTCCTTACTCCCCAACTCTTTTTTCCTCACGCCCCCCCACGCGTCCCTCCCCCCCCCAAACACACACACTCACACACTCCCAGGCTCTGCCCGACTACCGCCGTGATCGCGACGCCGCCGTCACCTCCCTCACACTGCTGGCGGCCTTTGCGCGCTCGGCGGGGGAGCTGTTGCTGGGGCAGCCGCCGGGGGGGGCGGCGGCGGCGGTGCCGCAGCAGCTAGCGGAGCAGGTGCGTGTGTGAGGGGGGGGGTCCAAGACCACACCAAACCATAGGAAGCCACAGGTTAAGGCAAAGCAGGTGTGTGTGTGGGGGGGAGGATTGTGAACGCATGCCGTGAGACCACCCACCCGCCCACCCGCCCGCCCTGCACAGGCTGAGTCGGGTGGGCTACCCGGGGATGTGGCGGCGGCACTCTGCCAGCTGCGGGGGGAGCAGGAGGCGCTGCAGCGGGAACTGGAGGCAAGGTGAGGGGGGGGAAGAGCAGGTAGGGGGCTGGGGCCAAGGTAAGGGGGGGCTGGGATGGGCAGAGCTAGGCCAGGAAGGAGACCTGAAGGGGCGTGGGAAAGGGAGAGGAAGAGAAGAGAGGCAGGTTGTCCTTAGGCCTCCTGACTGCCCCCGCATCCTTACCCTCCTCCCACCCCACCGCACCCCCATCCCCCCCCCCAGGTTCGTGCTCCCCGACACCGAAGCCGCCCAGGTGACCCGGGTACTCGACCGCGCCCTCGACTCCGCCGCCTCCGCCCTGTCCGAGGACCACCGGCAGCTGGCGGCGCTGGAAGCGGAACATGCGGCACTGGTCAACACGCGGGGGGACCTGCCGGCGGAGGCGGCCGCGGAGTACGAACGACGCAGGAAGGTAGGCGCAGGGTGCATGGGGGTTGGGTGCCGTACGTATGGCGACATGGGGTTGGGCGTATACGTGTGCTGCTACAGGAGGGGGGGGTACGGTGTAGTGCCCGTGCGTCCCTAACTACCGTACTAGGACGTGCGTCCGCCTTGCCTTATGGGCGGGGGCCGCTGTGTCCCTCCCACCTCCTCGACCCATGGGTCACCCGCGTCCCCCTACGTCCCCTGCTACCCTGCCCCTTGCTGAAAACCCCCCTCCGCTCCCCTCCGCTTCTAATGCAGAATATGTATCCCTATTAATCCTCTCCGCTCCCCCCCGCTCAACCCCCCCCCGCCTCAACCAGGCTTACGAGTCTCTGCACCGCGCTGTGTCCTCCCTTGCGGAGGGACTGCGCAGGGAGCTGCCGGCGCTGGCGGAGGACGCATTCACACGGCTGGGGGCGGGGGACAGCGCGGGGGCGGTGAGGGCTGGGGGCGGGGGACAGCGCGGGGGCGGTGAGGGCTGGGGTGCGTGTGTTCAGGGCTGGGGGCGGTGGTGAGGAGGTGGGGGAGTGGTGCGGGGAGGTAAAGAGGAAGGGGCTATAGCCGGTACTTGTCGTTATCACGTTATCCCACTCCCCCGTCACCCTGCTTGGTCCCGGTCACAGGGCGGCAAGGACGCGACGGGTGCGGGTGCGGGCGGTGCGGGGGAGGCCTCGGAGCCGGTGTTTGAGGACGCGGACACTCGGGCCTTCTACGAGTCGCTGCCGGAGGTGGGTGCTAGGTGCTAGGCGGGGTCTAGGTGTGTCTGTGTTTTAAATTAAACCGGCCGCGAGTAGGAACGTACTGTGAACGCCGGAAGATGAGGTCCATGTGCCCATGTGTGGGTGGGGGAGGGTGTTATATGTGTGGATTTGGAAAGAGGTCCGGTCTGTACTGCATGCCGTACTGCATGCCGTACTGCATGCCGTACTGCATGCCGTACTGCATGTCGCGGTAGTAAGGCGTGATCTTGACCAAAACCCTGCTCCATTAACCTCCCTGCCTTCATCACGCTCCAGCCCTTCCCTGTCCTCTCCTTCCGCATGCTTCCCCCGCACCATGAGTCGGGATATGGGATTGGGACTCGTTGTTTCACTTTTATAATTTTCCCCCCGCACCCCTTACCCCTCACCTCTCCCAAAGGTTCGCGAGCTGGTTCCCTCGGTTCTGTTGTTCGGTGACAAGGGCGGCAAGGGGGCGGAGGCAGAGCAGGCGGCGGACGGCAAGGAGAAGGACAAGACGGAGGGGGACCCCGCTGCTGGAGGGGCCGTGGAGGGAGCTTCAGCTTCAGTGCTTGGGCAGGTGGGCAGCTGGGGAGAGAGTGTAACGGGTTTTGGTACAGGGTTTTAATGCTGTTGTTGTTACTGCTGTTGTCCAGGGAGGTGAGCCGACAACGGAGGCGGCGGCTGCAGCGGGGCCCTCTGGTGGCGACGGCGAGGGCGAAGCAGCGGGGGCAGCAGCTGCTGACGGCGACGGCGCCGCTACCGCCGGCGGTGACGGAGGTGCTGGAGGCGGAGGTGGCGGCGGTGCGGGTGCCTTGGAGCCTATCCTGGCTCGTCTGGGTTCGTGCGTCAGTCGAGACCTGGCAGACGAGCTGGCTATCAACTTCTGTTACGTCAACAGCAAGGGAAACCGCAAGTGAGAGGGGGTGGGCACAGGGGTTTGGTGCGCTCTTCAGTTTGGTAATACGATCGGTACGACGCTAACTCGGCCTAGTCCCAGTATGTACTGCCTACGGTTCTGCCGCTGCGGCTGCTGCGGCTGCTCCGGCTGCTGCTCCAACCACCATCTCACTTCCCCCACTTCCCTCCCTCCCCTCTCCTCCCTCACACCCCCCACACACTCCCACACTTCGGAATTTCGTCCCCCCCCCAGACGCCTGATCCGGGCCCTGGTGGACGTGCCCCGCTCCTCGCTGCAGCTGGTGCCCTTCTTCGCGCGCATCGTGGCGGTGCTGGCTCAGGTCTTCCCGGATGTGCCGCAGGGTGAGGTGGGGGTGGTGGGGGTGGGAGTGTTTTTTCACGGTGTGGCAGGGTGTGGAGTGTTTCGTTGCTGAAAGAAGCCTGCCGGAATACCCGGCCTTACATTCTACATCCCGCGTCTCTATCTGACGCCCCTACAGTCCTAACGGCCCGCGACCATTAGAACCGAACTGGCCATTTTACGGCAGCTCCTTGCTTGGTTCCTCATCCTTGTGACCCACGGGTCACTCCCCACCTCACCCCACGTGCCTCACCCTGCACCATTCACTCCACGTGCCCTCTCCCCGTGTTTCCCCCCCCTTCCCGGATACCCTCCCATGCCCAGGCGTCCTCTCCGCCCTGGATGTCTCCTTCACGCAGCTCCTACGTCGCAAGGACCCCACCCTCACCGCCGCCTCCCTGGAGCCCCGACTGCGTACCGCACGCTACCTTGCAGAGCTAGCCAAGTTCCGGCTGCTCCCCCCCGGCGCCTTCTTCTCCGCGCTGAAGCAGCTGCTGGATGACTTCACGGGGCACAACATCGACTGCGCGTGTGCGCTGGTGGAGGGGGCGGGGCGGTTCATGTACAGATGTCAGGAGACACGGACCCGCATGGAGAACATGATGGAGGTGGGGTGGGGTTGGGGTTGAGTGTTGGGGGTTGTGGCTGCTGGATCTCTCTTTTCTGCCTGCTCGCCACTGCTGCTATACCATCACATCACCATCAGCACCTCTCCTCCTTCCTCGCGCTTACAAACCACCAACCACCCCGCATGCACCACCACCACCCCACATGCGCCACCTCTCACCCCCCCCCTCCCCCCCCCGCATGCAGGTGATGATGCGACTGAAGAACGCCCGCAACCTGGACCCCCGCCATGCCGCGCTGGTGGAGTCCGCCTACTTCGCCGTCAAGCCGCCCAGCAAGGACGCCGCGCGCAGACGCAAGCGGCCGCCCACCCATGAGTTCATCCGCCACCTCATCTTCACGCAGCTCACGGAGGCGTCCATTCCCTTCGTGCTGCGCAAGCTGCTCAAGCTGACCTGGGGGGAGTACGAGGGGTTCGTGGTCAAGTGCCTGCTCAAGGTGTGTGTGTTAAAATAACTGGCCGCGTGTGTTAAAATAACTGGCCGCGAGGCGAAACGTACTGTGATTTCCGAAAGAGGAAGTCCTCCCACCGAAACGCCACAGGTGATGTGTATATGTGCGTTGGTTGAGGGCTTTGCGGAAAAGAGGGAACCCTGGGCCTGTGGATGCCGGAGGTTGGTAGTAGGGAGGTGCGGGTGGAGGAGAGGGCGCGACACAGGACGGTTTTGCATGGGAGGGAACAGGGGGCGGCGGGCCTATGCGGCCTAGTGGCTGTCAGACAGCTCCCACTACCGTACCCCTTTTCTCTCCAACCTTTCTCTCCCGGCCTCATCTCCGTCCGTTTCCCTCTCCATCCCCTCCATTCCAACCTCCTCCCCCCCCCTCTTCCTCCCCACTCTCCCCCCCTTACCCAGGTGGTCCGCGGCCGCTACTCCAACATCCCGCTGGTGTCCTGCCTGGCTGCCGGTCTGGCGCAGTACCATGACAGCTGCGGAGTGGCGCTGGTGGACTGCGTGATGGAGGACATACGGGCGGGGCTGGAGGCGCCGGGGGCAGGTGGGGAGTGCTAGGGATGCATGCACAGCCTGCATTGGGCTGGATGTAAAGGAGGCGTCAAAACTTGTTGGGCTAGTAGCAGCACACAAAGTACACACAAATCGTGTTGTAGCTCCACATACCGGTGGGCTTGCGGCTGTGCTAGTAACTCCCGGCCCCCGCACCCCCACCTCATACCACCTCATCCCGCAGCCCCCCCAGGCATGTACCAGAAGCGCATGGCCTTCCCCAAGTGTCGGCATCACCCATGGTCCCCCACCTTGACTCCCACCCCTCTCAACTCCACCCTCCCCCCATCCACCGCACCCCCCCCCAGGCATGTACCAGAAGCGCATGGCTGACGTACGGCTGCTGGGCGAGCTGTACAACTACATGCTGTGCAACTCCACCCCGGTGTTCGAGAGCCTCTACCTGCTGCTCACTTTCGGACACGAGAGCCCCGAGCTGGCGGACAGGCTGGACCCGCCGGATGACTTCTTCCGTGTGCGCCTGGTGAGAGGGGCGTGGAGAGGGGGGGGCGTGGAGAGGGGGACGGTGGAGGCGCCTGGCATGCCCTGGTCCTCTTCTGTGACCCGGTCTGTCTCGAACCGTCCGGTTCAACTGTCCTCAACCTCTCAGCCTCCTCAACCTCATTGAACTTTTTAACCACCAAACACCAACCGCCAGCCAACCGCCAATCAACCACCCGGCTGCTCCCCAGGTGTGCGCGCTGTTGGATGCATGCGGGCAGTACTTTAATGAGGGAGCCGCACGAGCGCGCCTCGACCGCTTCCTCACATTCTTCCAGGTACGGGTTGTTTTGTTAAGCGGTGCATGGCGGAGGGCAGGAAAAACGAAATTCCAATTTGTGGTGTGATATTGGTACAAATTGCTGACAAGCCATGGAGGGGAGGAGGAGGAGGGGATACCGGTAGCGCTACAAATTGGAGTGGGAAGGAGCGCGCCAGCAGTGTATTAGACGAGCTCGTATTCACGGTCAGGACCAAACCGGGGCGACACGTGCGTTGACCGAAATCAACACCCTCCTCGGTCGATGCTGCTGCTGGTGTTGCTTCGCGTGTCGTCGCGTCCTTACCTTGCCGTGTCATCCTCCTATCGCTCCCATGCCCTCGCTGCACCCGCTATCCCTCCTGCCCCACGACTGCCCCGACACGGCATTGTCCCCCCCACCAGGCCTACATACTGTCCAAGGCGGCGCTGCCTCTTGACGTGGAGTTCGACCTGCAGGTGGGTGGGTGTCAAGGCAACTGGCTGCGAGTGGGAAACGTGTGGCTTCCCGATTGATAACAAAGGCGGTCACCAGTGTGCGATGTATAGTTTGGGCCACGTGGGGGCCAGACGTGAATTGGAAGTTTTGATGCTAGGCTGATTCGGCGCTGCCCAGTAACTTGCTGCTTTCCTTCTTTTCCAGTAACTGCGGTAAGCGGTTTCTCGCTGAACTCCACCACAATGAGAACGCATGCCTTCCTGCGTTACGCAACCTCGCACCCTCCCATCGCTCCCTCGCACCCTCGCAGGACGTGCTGCATGCGTTACGGCCCTCCCTGAAGCGCTACGAGTCGTACGAAGAGGCGCTGGCGGCCGTTCAAGATATCATTGCTCGGGAAGTGGAGCAGTTTGGGGCGCCGTTGGGGACGATTGGGGAGGAGGAGGGCGAGGAGGACGAGCGAAGAGGCGGAGGGGGAGGCGGAGGTAAGGCCTTGGGCTGGTGTGAGGGCTGGTGGATGAGCGCCCTACGGGTTATCGGTACGGCCGTTTTACGTCTTTCGGCTTTACCTTGATTACTGGTACCGAAACCCTACACACATGCATGCTAGAAAGGAGAAGCGTTCTGCTTGGTTTGAGGTTCGTTGGTGTGTCCTTCCGTCCGTACCGTTTTTGCAGGGCGGGAAGGAAGCCGAGGCGACGGCGGCGTCGACGGTAGTGCCGGTCTTGGCAACGGCGATGGCGGCGGAAGTGACACCGAGACGGACGCGGCAGGGAGGCAGGAGGACGCGAGGAGCCTGGATGAAATGAGCGGCCGCAGCAGCGGAGATGAGCGGTGGGGCGTGGGTTAAGGGGGGTTTAGGGTGCGGGAGAGGAGGGTGCAGGGGGCTCATCGGGGGCTTTCGAGGTCCTAGCTTGGGGTCCTAGCTTGTTTGAGGTTACCGCCCTTGTCCGGCACCTTGTCAACCTCGCATGCACCTGCATGCTTGTGCTTGTGCTTACACAAATGGCTGCAACTCTTGTACAGATCGTTGGACTGCTTGGACCGCTCGTAGTGCTTGGAGTGCTTGGAGTGCTTGCCATAACTATTAGTTGCTGAACCGCGCAGGGACGAGTTGGATGAGGACTTCGAGCGGGAGTGGCAGGCCATGATGGGGGAGACGCAGAGCCGGCTGGGTGGGCTATCGCTTGCGCCCTCGGTGAGTGGGGAACGGGTGTTGTACTGTATTCCCAATAAGGCAAGCACTTACTTATAATTTGGGCCGCGGAACCGCCGTACGCAGTACCGTACGGTCTTTTGCCGTACTATTGCTGTACAGCTATGTGGTACGTACTACGGAGTGGCCGTGTCATGGGTCCTCCGTGTTCTTACTCGCCTGTGCCTCATCGCATATGCTCCGTGTCCTCCGCCTCCGAGCCGCAGAGACCCGCTGCTGCGCCCGTGGCTGGGGCTGCGGCGGCTAGCGGTGGTGGCGGTGGTGGTGCTGCTGGGGGCGGGGGCGGTGAGGCTGAGGGCGGCGGTGGTGACGGTGGCAGTGTCACTCTGCGTATGTTGGTGAAGCGAGGGGGCAAGGACGACCGCTCCAGGGAGCTGCAGGTGGGTTGGGGCTGGGGGCTGGGGAGGGGTCTGGGTGGTGAGCTGGGAGGGGAAGGGAAGGGACCGGTGTGTTGGCAGGTTAACCGCGGCGGAGGTATTGTTGGGCCGTTCAAAGCTGAGAGCTGCGCATCGGCAAGCCAAGGTATGTACGAATGCACGGGTACCCTGCTTGTCCCTCCTGCACGCGCGGGGCTCCTGATTGCTACCGGTACGAATTAACTGCACGTGTCCGGGTACCGGTACCGCCTCTCCTAACTGCCGCCTTTTGCCCCACCTCCTCCTCCCCCATCGCCATCAGGTTCCCCTGAGTGCCTCCGTGGCCCTGGCTGTACGGCAACGGGAGGAGGAAGAGGCGCGGGAGCGGGAGGAGATGAAGCGTCTCGTGCTGGCTGCTAACAGGTGCGTCACGTGACTGTGGCGTGCCGTGCTTGCCGTATATAACCTTCTCTCTGTTACGATGTGCTGTACGTGTTGCGTTACGTGGCATGGCGCCGCCGCTTACAATTTCCTGTGTATGCGCTTTGTCGCGCAGACCCGCGGGACACTGCCACTTAATCACCGTAATCCCGACACATGGAGTGTTCCTATAGCTCCCCATGGAGTTAACCTCAGTTCTGACGCATTTGCCGCCCTTTCCTGCCTTCCTGCGCCCTCTCAGGCAGCAGCAGGAGGAGCAAGCGGCCGCAGCCGCGCAGCAGCAATTCAGCAGCAGGAGCGGCGGCAAACGCGGCGGTTCACGACATTCAAAGTACACGGGGCAGCTGGACATGTCGGTTCTAGACGAGCTGGATCCAACTCCCTCGTACGACGCAACGTACGACAGAGGTGGCGGTTTGGCGGGACAGCAGCAGGCTGCGGGCGGCGGGGGAGGAGGAGGCCGGGGTGGTGGGGGTCGCGGGGGAGGAGGCGGTGGGAGGGGCGGGTACGGGTACGGGCGGGGACGAGGGCGGGATGGCGGGTAGAGGGGTGGGTGGCGTTGCCGTAGGAGCAGTGATGGTAAGCAGGGCGGGTGTAGCTTTGTTGGTGGGCTCCATGTGTGTGGCGGGTAGGGCTGGATCTGTGCGGCGGGCGCTGGAGGTGCCTCAGCATACTGCTTGTAAGCCTGATTCACGGCCATAGGTTGTTGGAGCAGGCTTCGGTTTAGTCAACTGCTTTGGTCAGGCTACATCCAATTGTACAGCAAGGTGCAACTGAAGAGGACTTGCATGACGGACGAGGTGCTATGACTGAGGCCGACGACACATCAGGCCATGCACGGTAGCTGAGTTGTAGTGTCACGTGCACGTGTGTGGGAGCGCCGAACAATGTTATACATGTAGCATGTTCACGGTATGCTTACCCTGGCTATGCTCTCCATTAAGCAACTTGGATGGATCATATGCAACAACTGCGATCCCCGTAAAACGCATGTTGTATCTATACATATCACGCAGAGGCGCAATGCCTTAATCGCAGGTCATAAGGTTCACAGGGGCATTTGCATGCGGGCTATAGGCAGCATAAGACACGGACAACAGTGCTAAGACCGGCTAGGACCCTTACAAGGGTCGACAGGTTAGGACGGAGCACAAACCCCTGTCAGCAAGTCTATTACATGCAGCGCATGCAGTGGCTGTACAGTCCCCCTCGATGCAACATGTCGTACGCAGAAATCGATATATGTACAAGACAATAGGGTAATGAACTTCCCTACATGTCGCAACCCTCACAGCGCGCTATACATCATGGCAAACCGCCTCCACTCCCCAACCCTTACAATCACATCGCCGTTGTTATGGAAAAACACAGCCAAGGGTCCCTAACCCAATGCTATCCCAACGCGTCCGTTCCTACGCATGGCCCCACACTATCATCCACTTCCCGGACCCCTTCCCAAATGCAACGCTGCATAACTCCGCCTTACTTCCGACGTCCGAGACTTGTTACGGACACGGCCCCCCTCCTGAGACCCTGGCGCCGTCGCCCCAGCTGCCACCGCCGCCGGCGCAGGTGCTGACGTTGACGTCGACGCCGCCGCTGACGGCACTGAGGCATCTCTGCCGCCAGCGGACGAGGCGGTCGCATGGCTGCTGAGAGATAAGCCCCATGACATCGACATCGACGGGCCCGCAGCGTCCTCCCATGCATCGGGCGCCGCAGCCGCCACCGCAGCAGAACTTACCGGCGCTGGCGCCGTACGGAAGGTCTCCCGCTGTTGCTGCTGCTGCGGCTGGTGATGCAGCTGTAGCGGGTGTTGCGGCGCATGGGGCTCAAGCAGCGCCATCAACGCCTCGCGAGCCGAGCTAGCAACCGCCTCCGCCGTTGCTGCCGCAGCCGACGGAGGCGACGGGAAGGGCCTCCGCTGCGGCGGTGAGGTGTACCTGCCTGGTCGACTGGGGGCGTTCGCCGCTAGCATGTGGCTGCCAGGTACCGGCAGCGGCTGCAGGGGCTGTGAGGGGGCTGCTGCGGCTGCAGGACTGCCGTGTTGCCCCGCTGCTGCTGCCGGTGCATGCAGGCGGGAGGAGGCGTGGCCGGGCACGGCCGTGTTGGGTGCGCTGTTGGCCTTGGAGCTCCGTTGCGTTGGGAAGGGAGCCGCGTCGGCCCCGTACAGCGCAGGAACCGCCAGGCCGCTTATGCTGCCCAAGCCAAGGCGGGGGTTGTGACCTAGCGCAAGGGGTTCAACCCCGCCGCTGCGGCCCATGCCGATACTCGCACTGCCGCTGGAGCTGGTGCCGCCGCCGGCGCTGCTTTCCCTGCGGCTGCTGCTGCCGCTGCCGTCGCCGCTGCTAGAGCTGCCCAGGCTGCGCAATGCAAAGGAGCCTATCTGCTGCTGCAGCGGCGAGGGCGGTTGCGGAGACACCACGCCGCCTGCAATGGCTCGTAGCCGATCCCTTAACCGCTCGCGCTCCAGCTCCCAACGAACGCGCTCCCGATCTGGGTCGCGAGCGGACCGATCGCGATCTCGATCTGACCCAGATCCAGATGACGTCCGGCCCCCTCGGAAAGACTCTTGCCGAGATTCGCGTGATGTTTGTAACCCTTGCTGTCCATGTGCGTTGGCTTCTAGCTCCGTCTGCCGTTCTGAGTGCGACACCGATTCCCGTTCCGGCGATTGTCTTGACCTGCGTTGTAGTTGGTATGGCGCACCTTGCCGCCCCTGATAGTCACCCAGTGACGCCAACAATGCAACCTGCTGTTGCTGCTGATACTGTTGCGACCTGTTCCCATCTACCGACGCGAAATTCAGGTGCAGCGGAAGACGTGGGCGGGGTTGCGGCTCCGGGGACGGGTGCAGAGGCTGCACGTCATCGTGCTGCGCACGGCTGGTCGCCACTGACCCGTCGGTCACCAGCAGCTCCTCGCCACTGAGTGACGGCTCCGCTTCTAATACGACGCTTTCCCGAGGACGATGCTCCCCCTGCCGAGGAGGCGAATCTGGCAGCGGCAGGGGAGGGGAGGGCGCCCGATGCGATAGATGTGACGGGAAGTCCTCAGAGTGCTGAGGGGGGCTCTCGACATGAGCAGTTGGAAAGCCGCGGAATGCCGGCTGCTGCTGCTGCTGCTGCTGCGCCGAGTTGTCTACGTCGAAGCTGTACACCAGAGACGCCGAACCCTCCAACAACGGCTGCGAGGGCTCCTTTTGAGGTAGCTTATTCAACCCCTCCTCCTCAGCACCACTGCCGCCCACGCCTCCCTCACTGCTGCCACCGCTGCTCCGGCCGCCTTCGCTGTCCCTGTCAAAACACCGTGACGCAGTCCTCCCTGCCAAAGCCGAGCCGCCGGAAGACGCGGGTTGCAGCGTCGCCATTTCAAGCACCTCCGCCTCCGCCGCCGTCACGGCACCCACCCCGCGTTCCGCTACGAACCGCCGTACCTCCGCAACCCGCATCAGCGTCTCCTCCAACTGCCGCCGGTGTCGATTCAACGCCCGCTCCGCCTCAACCACCTGCGCCTCCGCCGCCTGCACACCCGCTGCATCCATCTCCGCCGGCTCCGTGCCCTCGCCAACCTCCTCTTCCTCCTCTTCCCCAACGTCCGCCGACTCCGATGCCGCTGCAGACTGCCCCAACGAGCTTTCCGAAGCACTCGACGCCATGGAATTCTCCAGCTGCGCAACTAGAGCCATGGCACCACCCAACACCCCCACCAACTGCTCCAACGCCGCCGCTGCCGCGGGGGTGTATAGGAAATCATCTCCGCCTCCATCCGCGCCGTTGCTGCCTCCGCCTCCACTGCTCGTTACAGCACTCCCGCTGCCGCCGTTGCTACCGCCTCCGCCTCCGCTGCTGCAGGTCCGCATGGCATTGCTGCTGACACCGCCGCCGCTACCGTCAGCAGCGCGCGTGCCGCTGGCACTGTAGTAGCTGCCTCCGCTGCTGCTCCTGGCGCTTGCCGTACCTCCGCTAATGCTGCTGCCACCACTGCTTCGTACCGGCAGTAGCATTTGGTCGAGGACCTCGTTTATGGCAGGCAGACGCTGACAATGCTGACTGACCTCCGCCAGCAAAGCCTGGTGTAGGGGTTGGCAAGGGCACGTCAAGGGTGCGATGCAAGGGGTGTATAAACGAGGACGCGCGGAAGAGAAGGCCGCAAGAATCGCATCAAGCACCCTATACGCAACTCCCAAGCATGAGTAACACCTTACAGCTTACCGCCCGGTATAACGGCTAAGAAACGGACATGCCATCATGCCCGCCACCCACCTGAATCTGCGCCACCGGACCTCCAGAAGCCGCCCTTGCTGCTCCCGCTGCTGCCCGGCGGCGCCCGCGCTTATCGCTTCGTCGGTGTTCCTTTCCTTCATGAGATGGCGCGGAGACTGCAGGCCTGGACGACTGCGGCGACAGCACTGGTGCCTGAGGTGCCTCTGCCGGCTGCTGTTCCAACTGGCCTTGCTGCTGCTGTTGTTGTGTGTGAGTCACCACCACCACTACACCAACTTGCGACGGAGGGGGGCTTGGCATGGCAGCGGCAGCTGCAGTGGACGTTGTGGGTGAAGCAGCCCGTCCCGACGACGCCGCAGCTCCGCCGTGTGTGGTGGTAATGGTAGAATCCGCGACGAGAGGAGCAGCTGCAGCGGAAAGCCTGGGAGTGGCTACTTGGAAGTGCTGCTCACTAGCAACCGCGAGAGGCGCCGCGGGCAGGATTGATGAGGTACCATCCGCGCTGTAGCTCCCATCCCCGCTGCTTCCTTCGAGGCACTCGCCAATGCTGCCGCTGTCACCGCTGTCTAGGCCGCTGCTACCGGGCGCATGCAGTGCCGCTGCTGCTGCTGCCTCGGCTGCCGCTGCCCGACCCTCTTCATCCATGGACGCATGCACACCACGCATGCGACCCACACGCTCTACCTCTGCAGGTCGTCGAAACCCCGGCGAGGGATTCTCCATGCTCGCCTCCCCTTGCACCCCCTGGCCACCAAGCCTGCCTGCAGCCGCTGCTGCTCCTCCTCCTCCCTCGCCCCACGCCGCTGCTGCTCCCCCTCCGCCGCTTGACCTCCTGCTATCCCACACCCCGCTCCCGCTCCCACTTCCCGCACTCCCGCTCCCGCCTCCACTGCTGCTACGAATACCCACATCAAGACCCATGGCCACAACAGCCTGCTGCAGCTCATACAGCCTCGCCTGGCAGGCCCGCAGCTGCGCACGCGCCTGGTCCGCCTCCGCCTGCTCCTGCAGCAGCCGCTCCTCCTGCAACCGGGAGGCGGAGCGGGCCGCCTCGAGCCTCCGCTCCGCAGCCTGTAACTCGTACATGAGCTCCTCCAGTCGGTCCCGCTCCGTCTGCTGGCCCCGCTGCGCCGCCATCGTAGCCTCCTGCGCGAGCCGCACCTCCTCCCTTGCGTTCGCAAGCTGCTGCTCCAGCCTGGCTACGACTGACCGCTCAAACGCCAAGTCCCCGCGCGCCCGCTGGAGCTCCTCCTTGACCTCCGCAAAGCGTGCGAGCGCCTCCGCCGCCTCGGACGCTGCCGCGTCACGGGCGGCCCGCAAGACTTCCGCTTCAGACATCGCCGCCTCGGCCTTCGCCTGCGACCTTTCAGCTTCCGCGGCGGTTGCCTCTCGTTGGATTCGCGCTGTCTCGGCCTCTGCACGTGCCATATCCCGTTGCGCCTTTGCAATCTCGGCCTCCGCTGCCGCTGCGTCGCGTTGCGCCCGAGCCGTCTCAGCCTCCGTTGCTGATACGTCACGCTGCGCCTTCGCTGCCTGGGCTTCCGCTTCGGCGGCATCGCGACGAGCCTGTGCGTCAGCAAGCTCCGCCGCCGCCGCCATCGCCGCCGACTCAGCCTCCCGCTGTGCCTCCGCCAGCTGCGCCGTCACCGCCGCCACCCTCGCCTCCGCCGCCGCTCGCTGGAGCCGCGCCTCCTCAACCCTTGCCTCCGCCGCCTTCGCAGCCGCCTCCGCCGCCTCCGTCCGGCGCAGCGCCGCTTCTATCTGCGCCGCCGCCACCTCCTCCACCTTCCTCTGCGACTCCGTCAGCTGTCCCGTCACCGCCGCCAGCTTCGCCTCCGCCGCCTCAGCACGACGCTGCGCTTCCGCTAGCAGCTCCTCGCCCGCTGACTCTGCCGCTTCCGCCGCCTCGGCGCGTCGTTCCGCCTCCCGAAGCGCCAACCTGGCTTCCCTAAGCTGCTGTTCGGCATCCATCAACACCACCCGCATGCCGGCCAGCGCTTCCTCCTGCCGCGTCACTTGATCCTTTAGCGTCTGCGCCTGCTCGGTGGCGGCACGCAGCTGCTCCGCTGCTGCCGCCGCCGCGGCGTCGCTGCTCTGCCGCAGCTCCTGTAGCTGAGACTCCAGTCGAGTGCGTTCACGTTGCAACCGCGATTCCCATTCAGCTCGGCTCTGCAGCATGATACATGGCGGGCATGGGATTCAATCTCCGGGTTTTAGACATGCCGGACATGCCGTCAGGTGAACGGCATGGTTAACATGCTGTTACCGCAGCACATCCCCTTTCCTCAGCACTCACCTGTGCCGCCTCAGCCTCGCGCTCCTTGGCCGTCCGCAGGGCCCTCCCTGCCGCCGCCTCCGCCGCCGCCTGCGCCGCGTCTCGCTGCGCCTCCGCCGCCCTCACCGCCTGCGCCGCAACCGCCTGCAACCGCTCCTCCAACTGCTCCCGCGCCTGACGCTCCGCGTCCACCGCCTGCCGCGCGCTCTCCACCTGCTGCCGGAATGCCGTGCAAGCGGCTTCGGAGCGGTCCTTGTCGGACTGCACAGGAGGCCAGCGATGAAACAAAATGTGTTAGCCACCAGGTTAGCAACCAGGTTGCCAAGTCGCCAGAGTGATCACCCAGGTTCCCAAGCAAACAACAGCCCTACACAGTACCTTCCACGCGAGCAGGTCGGTAGCGCCTGCTCCCGCGTCCATCCTTCCTTTGCCGTACCGAGTCTCACCACGGCCCTTTACCCAGCCCCCTGAACCGCACCCCTTTCCCTTGCCTGACCATGCATCACGCCTCTGAATCGCACCCCAACCCAGGTGCCTCAAACCCGCACCTGCAGCTCCGCCACCTTGGCCGCCAGCAGCTCCCCCTCCGCACTCAGCGCCCGCACCTGCTCCGACAGCGCCTCGCTGCGCCGCCGCAGCGCAGCGGACTCCTGGGCGGCTGCACGGGCGGGATAGAAGCATGCACAGGCACCCACACATGCATACGAAGTGAGTACGAGAGGAGGTACGGGATAAGGGATACGGATAAGGGTAAGGACATTCTGCTAGTAAAAAAAGCGCGCATCGGGGCTAGGGAGAAAGGGCCGGGAAAAACGTGCCGCGCCGTGTCTGACGCCCTGATGATCCCCTTGGGTAGTACTTGACAACACACGCAGCGACACCGCACCTTGCTCTCGCAGCTTTGAGAGCTCCGAAGCCGCCGCAGCGCTGCGCGCGGTCTGCTGCACGGTCAGTCCTCTCTGAGCGGCTGCGAGCGCCCCCAACAGCTGTCGGCACTCGGCTGCATCGCGCTTTAGCCCGGAGACGGCACGTCGGGTGGCCTGTGCGTGGGGTGACAGGAAGCATAGTGAGCAGCAGCGAACATGGCACAATGAACATGGGATGCAGTTTAGTAGCACCGCACGACTCATGAGGTGTTGGCAGGCGACAGGTGGGGTGTTGACGGCTCGCAGCTTTGCAAACGGCACCGGTAGCAGCATTGCATGCAGGCGATGCAGCAAATAAAAACGCTACCGCCACTGTGTACGGCACCTGGATTTGGTCATGCTCCCGCAGAGTCCATGTGCCCAGCGTGCGCTCAGTTGTGGACAGGACCTTTGGGATAGGAAGAAGGAAAGGGGAGCCACTAGGCGTCAAAAGGAGAAATGGAAGGGTGGCTTCGTCTTTATGCCAATTAATAAGCTGGAAGGTACGCTTGGAATGCTACAGACTGTCGCCCTGTTCGGTTACGTCTGCAACCCACATGGCCTTCCCTGTCTACGAGTTACAGCACCTCGTGCTACACCACACCTGATGCGCCAGTTGGGGCAGGTTCGCCAGGTCAATCTCCTGCCGTACATCGTCCATGTGCTGCCGTACGGCCACTCGGTATCCTCGCAGCTGCCGCCGCAGTGACTGCAGCTCCTGCTGGAGCCGCTGCTGCGCCGCGCGGCTGCCCTCAGCCTCCGATGCCAGCTGGGAAGCCTGCGGGATGAAAACAGTAACACCATCGAACACCACCGACGCGACAGTAAGCAAGCCAGGCTTACAACAGGCCGCCAAAACAGGATGGGGCTGTAGCCAGCCCAGAGGCACATCAAATCCATTCCACTGAGAAGCCCTACCCCCCACATGCCGCCCCACAAGCCGTCGTACTACAAGCCTACAAGCAGTACCACGTGTCCGCATCACGTGCCTGATTGATGGCAGCCTCCGCGGCGGCCCGTGTGGCCGCCAGCTCCGCCGCATGCGCCTCCGTCAGCTGCGCCAGCTGCGCCCTCATGGAGCCCGCCGTGGCGGCAGCGGCAGCCAGCTCCGCCTGAGCAGCCGCCAGCTCCGCTGCCTTGGCGGCCGCAGCCTGCAGCCCGGAAGGGTGACGTAACGAGTTGAGGTACATAGTGCAAAGAAGGCCTAAGGTGACCTTCGAGGTGTAGCGAACGGCGTTTAAATGGGGCGCAAGATGTATCGTCAAGGGTCAGGTACAATCAGCGTTGCCAAGTACCCATGCCCAGCTTCGAACTTCAGCATGTGCGGGCGGTCCCCATGGTGACCCGAGTCATGCTGCAACGCTGTAGTCCCCACCTGTTGTTCCGCGTTGGCTTCAGGCGACTGCGATGGGAGTCCTGACGCAGGGTCTCTGTCGGAGGTCCCCCTGTCTGCGCCCCGCCCGCCGCCACCGTCACCACCCTTGCGGTGCGAGAGGCCAGGCAGTTCTCGAGCTAATTGCTGCCGGTGGCGCGAGGCACGTGCCAGGGCCTTGGACAGCTCATCCTGGAAAGGGAAAAAGAGGACGAGGGCGAGACAAAGGGAGAACGTCAAGAAAGGTACCCAGGCCTCACCAATCCTGTTTCCATGCATGGTCGCGTAGTGTGACCAAGCATTAAGCGGCCGATCAGAGAACCCCTGAACTCACCGCCAACAGCTGCTCCTGCTGCCATGGAGCCCCTGCCAGTACCAACTGCGCACGCGACGCTGCTCCATGCAACTTCAGCACCACCTCATCGGCCCGCCGTACAGCCTCCAGGCTTTGCTCCTCCCGGGCCCTGCAGGCACGCAGCTCCAAGGCGAGCTGTCGTACACGTAGTCGCAGCGCCGCCGCCGCCGCAGCGGCGGCGTCACTGCGCCAGTGACTGTTACTGCGGCCGTTATCATGCTCCCGGCGGCCGTTACTGCCGCCGCCGCCGCCGCCGGCACCACTGCCGCTGTTGCCATGATCGCGGCGCGCGGGTCGGCCTGGCGTCGGGCGGCCCCTGGGTGGATGGCGGCGACTGGGGTTGGGGCCGGCGCCGCCGCCGCTGCTCCCGCTGCTGCCGTCGTCGCTTGGGGTTCCATGCCACCAGTCGCGGCAGCGACCATGACCGGGGCTTCCGGTGGAGTAGTAGGCGTCGCCATCGCTGTACGGCACAGGATCGTGATCCGGATTTGGGTAATCAGATCCGATGTCGCCCCGCCGTCGACTGCGACTGCTGCCGCTACCGCCACGCCTCAGCTTCCGATCCCAGTCCAAGTCATAATCCATGTCGAAATCAGACAAGGATCCCAAGTCAAGGTTCCTGAGAGAATCCAGCTCCCAGTCGGTTCCCGTTCCTTCCAGATCCAACCCCGCCGCTTCCAAGTCTCTCCGTCGCTCCGCATGGTCCCGATCTCGAGAACGAGCAAGCGATCCAGATCTCCCTAGACTCCGACTTCGACCATGGGTACTGCGACCGTGCCGCTGGCTTCGCTGCTGCTGCAGTTGATGCTGCTCCTGCTCCTCCCTTCTCTGATGCAGCCGCCGTCGCTCTTGCGTGCGCTCCCGCTGCACCGCCTCCGCCAGTCGCCTTCGGTACGACAGCCCTTCCAAGCGCGCGGTCTGCAGCCGCCGCCGCAGCGCCCGAATCTCGCTGCTCTCCTCACTCGCAGCCCCACGCCTCATGTCAGTCGCGGGCGGTGCTGCTACCATTCCCGCGGGCAAGGCTGCTGCCGCCGCTGCAAGCGAAGACGACGCCACGGTTGCCGGATGCGGCTGCAGGTAGTGCTGTTGCAGCATGATCGGAAGCGGCGGCGCCTGGTGTGAAGGCAACAACGCAGCCGCGAGTTGACTCCGCAGCGCCGCTAGCGTCACCGGCACGCCGGAAGCATGCGGCCCCGATGACGCCGTCGCCGCCGCCGCCACCGCCTCCACCGCCGACGCCGTCAGGCCCAGCTGTGCAAGGATGCCGTACACGCCCCGCAGCTCCTCGGCGCTCTTCCGTGCCGCTTCCGCCTGCCGCCGCGTGTCTCCCAGCTGCTGCTCAACCGCTTTCAGCGCCGTCCGCGCCTCTTCCGCCTGTCGCTCCGTCGCCGTCAGCCGCGCTCGTAGCGACGTCTCGGCATCTGCCGAGGCTCGTGCCACCGCTTCAATCTCTCCACAACGCGCCCTCGCCGCCGCAGTCGCCCCCTCCGCCGCCGCCGCACGCTCCTCCAGCCTCCTACGCTGCTCCTCCCAAAGCGTCTGCGCAGCTTGCACCTGCGCCAACCGCTGCCGGAGCTCGGCCTCCGCTGCGGCGGCCTGTTCCCGCATGCGCCGCATCGCCGCCTCCGCTGCGGAACGCTCCGCTGCCATTGCAGCGGCTGCCCGGGCCTCCGCCGCCGCCACCGCCGCTTGCTGGCTGGAGGCCACTTGTGCAGCGTAGCCCTGCAGGGCTCGCTCAACGCGCGAGGTCACGCTTGACCGCAGAGCCTCAAGCTCCTCTTGTAGCCGAGCGACGTGTTGCTCACGCTGCTGCTGCACTCGCTCTAACGCCCGGCCGTGCTTCTTTTCCTGTTTCTCCATGCGCTGCTGCACCTTGGCCAGCATTTCCTGCGGTGGGGCATGCAACCGGCATCCAAATCCATGACCGGGATCCAGAAAACGTGTACAACACCTCCAAGACGCGCCCTAGTGCCGATACGAGCTAGAGCCCCTCTTGCGCATGCCCGTGTTAAGAATGCGGCATGCCGTCATTAACAAACGTACGACAAAACCCTCAGCCCACCTGCAACTCGCTGGCCGTTGCAGCCAACCTGTCCCTCTCCCGTGAGGCATCCTCCAGCGATCCACGCAGCGAGGACACCTGTGCGAGGCGCGCGAGGCAGTTGTGTCAGCCGCATCAACCACCGTAACCGCCTAACTGCCCGCCCCACAACATACCGGTACCGCACGTCTCCCAACACGTCCCTACCCTCACCTCGTTACTGCGGCTCTCCAGCAGCCCCATCACGCGCTCCACCTCCCGCCGAGTGGCCTCCAGCTGCACCTCCAACTCGCCGCTGATCGCCTCCTTGGCAGCGCTGGAGGCGGCGCGCAGCTCCAGAAGCTGCTGCTGCGCGCTTAGCTGCATCTGGGATAGCATAGGGGTGATGACGTGTTACAACAAGCATGGTGTTCATATGTGTGCAAAGCAAAGGACTTTCTGTGCAGGAAGAAGGGCGAGGAGGAAGAACGTGATAGGCGATAGGTACCAAGGTGACGTAAGGAGAGAGTGTCCAACAACCAACCGCTGACGGATGCGGCGGCCGGGTTACCTTTTGCACCACGGCCGCCATCTCCTGGCGATGCTGCTCCTGCGCTTCCCGCAGTGCCGTCTCAACCCGCTGCTGCTCCCGGCGTGGAGCCTCCTCCAGCCGATCCTCAGCGGAAGCCAGGCGGGCAGAGCTCTCGGCGGCCACCTGCGGTGAGCATTGAGGTGCAGCGGGTTAGAAGGAGGGTGAAGGCAGGTGGAGAGGTGGACGTTTGATGGAAAAGAGGCTCAGGTAGGCGAGGTGTCCCAACGCAGACCCGGTGATCTGTGATGCAAACCGTGTGTGTGTTACTGGTTGGCATGCATGGTTGGCAGGAGGGATGGCCACGTAAGACAGGGAAAGGGTTGCTAAGGGGACATGCGTTGTGCCCCACCTGCGCCGCTTTCCGAGAGGCGGTGCGGGCGTCTTCCAGCGCCTGGTGCAGCTCCTCCAACTGCAGAGACAGCGGCGGGGTAGAGCTGTTGGATAGGACACGAGCAGTCCATCACACAAAGCATTCTAGGGCATTCTAAGGCTCTCCTTGGGCCAAGTGCACGGCCTAGCATGCCCCTAGCCCACTTTGTTATTAAGGGACATGGCAGGACATGCAGGCCCAGGAAACAGTCCCGTTGAGGATCCCGAAACTGAAGGCGTCTAATGGGAACGTCTCATCTTGGTCCCCTTACAATCACAGGCTTTACAGCTGCTGCTGTGCCAGGTACCAGGTGCCGTACCTCCTGCGCGTGGCTTTGACGCTGGCGGGCAGCCTCCCGCTGAGACGCGGCTGCAGCCTCCTGCACCACCATCGCAACCAGGGCATCCAAAACAGGACGGAACCGGTAAACCGCAAGGAGTAAAGGATACCAAGCTCACATCCAAGAGTGGATCGCGCGGGGAGGATGGTGAACATGGGAAATGGGCTTAAAAAGGAATGACCACGTTCGTCCTACCCACTCGGATCCAAGACGACCATGAAGCTCAACGGACACCAGGGGGGCACCGGTACGGAACCCCAGGAGTGTAAAGCTGTACACGTAACCTTGGGCATGATTACCTGAGCCGAAATCAGGAGGGCTTCGCGTTCCTGAAGTGCCGACTGAAGCTCCGAAACCTGCCGACTCAATGCCTGTTTTGGGGTAACAGACAAAGGGCAGACCTTCATCGGTTACCGGTATGAATCGCAAGGCAGCATGGCATCAGCGCAGTAACTTACAGGCTCTGAGCTGTTTAAGTTCTTCACGTTTCCTAGGCTACACATGGAATACAACCGTTGCCTTAACCCACAACCCACAGGCTCATGTGCCGACCACAAGCCGGAGCCGATGTCATGTCCCCTGTTCTGCAAACCACGCCATCCCACGCACGGCTTACTGCGCCGCCCGGCACCTTGGTGCCACGAGGCGGGCGTCGCCTTGCTCTAACGGCATGCTGACGCGGACAAACAAACGAACAGCATTCGTGGGAGGAACATGATAGGATTCACAGGGTAAAGGCGATACACCCTAATGAACCATATGGATCAGCGCTCGTACCTGGAACTGTCCCTCCCTGGCGCTCGTAGCCACAGCAGCCTCGCCGCGCTGCACTTCCACATCCGCCAGCCGGGTACGTAGCTCACGTACCTCAGCTCCCTTGGCAGCCAATGCCTCCTGTGCAAAAGTACCGGGCACGCAAAGTCAGCATGCATATGTATACATGCGTTACAGTCACGCCTCAAAACGTTGCCGTACTCCTCCACACGCGTTACTACTCTGCATGTCCCCTCTCACCTCTGCCTCAGCCAGCTGCCTGGCATACCGCAAACGCGCCTCCTCCAGTTCCGCGGCATGTCGTACATGCGCCTGCTCCAGCTCATCCGCATGTCGTACCCTTGCCTCCTCTGCCTGCGCTGCATGCCGACTGCGAGCCTCCTTCATCTCCGCCGCATGCCGGTCAAGCACCTCATCCAATCGCACCGTGCCCTGCCTGCGCACCTCCGCCATCTCCTCCGCATGCCTTGTCCGCAGCTCCTCAACCTCCCTTGCATGCCGCTGCTGCGCTTCGTCCATCTCCACGGCATGCTGACGGCGTGCCTCATCTGCCTCTGCAGCATGCTGCCGTCGCGCTGCATCCAGATCAGCGACGTATTGTCTGTGTGCGGCTGCGAGCTCGACCACGTGTTGCCGTCGAGCCGCATCCAGCTCAGCCGCATGCTGCCGTTGTTGCGCTTCCACCTCCTCGGCATGCTGCTTAGCAGCTGCCTCCAGCTCCGCTGCATGCGCCTCTGCAGCAGCCTGGGCCTGCGCTTTAGCCTCTTGGACGTGCGCCTCGGCCATCTTGGCAGCGGCCTCGGCTGCGGCCCTGGCCTCCGCAAGCGCCCGGGCCACCTGCTCCTCTGCCTCTGTCCGAACCTCAAGCAACCGGGCCTCCGCCGCTTCAGCAGCTGCCATGGCTTCGGCCCGAACCTGCTGCACGGCGGCTTCCGCCGCCGCCACAGCCTCCTTCGCAGCCTTGACTTCTGCAAGTGCTTGTTCCTTGGCTGCCTCCGCCGCCGCCTTAACCTCCATTGATGCATGGGAGTCAATCCTCGCCTGTTGCGCGGCGGCCTCGGCCGCTTCGGTGGCCGCCTTAGCCTCTGCTCTGGCCTTTTGTGCAGCTGCCTCGGCTGCCGCGACTGCCATTCGGGCCTCCGTCCGTACTTGCTGTACGGTCGCCTCCGCCGACTCCTTTGCCGTCTTGGCTTCGGCGCGCGCCTGCTGTACGACAGCCTCAGCTGCGGCCGCCACCTCCTTCGCCGCCCTTGCTTCTGCGCGAGCCTTCTGAACGGCAGCATCAGCTGCTTCAGCTGCCGCCAGGGCCTCTGCCCGAGCCTTTTGCACGGATGCCTCGGCTGCTGCCGCTGCTGACTTGGCTTCGAGCCTTGCCTGCTGCACCGCAGATGCGCCTGCTGCAGCAGACACCTCCGCCGCTGCCTTGGCCTCGGCCCTGGCCTGCTGCAAAGCTGCCTCCGCCGCCGCAGCCATCGCCTCTGCAGCTTTAACCTCGGCTTTCGCCTTTTCCATAGCTGCCTCAGCTTCGGCTTTGGCCTGCTTGACCACCGCTTCAGCTGCAGCCATGGCCTCCGCCCTGGCTTCCTGCGCGGTTGCCTCAGCTGCTTCGGCTGCTGCCTTAGCACCGGCCTTGGCTTGCTGGAGGGCTGCCTGGACTGCCTCAGCAGCTGCCTTGGCCTCAGCCCTCGCCGCCTCTGCTGCTGCTTCCGCTGCCTCCACCGCAGTCCTTGCTAGCGCTTGCGCCTCCTCTTTCACTCGTTTCACCTGTGCCGCCGCCTCCTCAGCTGTCTTCTGCGCAGCTGCCTTGGCTTGCTTGACCTCCGCCTCAGCTGCCTCAATCGCAGCCTGCGCTTGGGCCTTGGTAAGCTTCGCCTCTGCCTCTGCAGCCTTGGCTGCGGCTTGAGCCAGCGCCTGCGCTTCGGCCCTTGCTTGCCTAGCCTCCGCCTCCGCGCTTTCTATCGCCAGCTGAGCTGCAGCCTTGGCCTGCTTTGCCTCCGCCTCTGCTGCCTCAATCGCCGCCTGTGCTTGTGCCTTAACGAGCTTCGCCTCCGCCTCCGCTGCCTTGGCTGCCGCTTGGGCTAGAGCTTGCGCATGCTCCCCAGCATGCTTCACCTCGGCCTCTGCTGAGTCTGCCGCCGCCTGTGCTTGCGCCCTTGCCAACCTCGCCTCCGCATCCGCCGCTTTAGCCGCCGCTTCAGCCATCGCCGCCGCTTGCGCACTCGCATGCTTCGCCTCCGCCTCTGCAGCCTCTATTGCAGCTTGCGCTTGCGCCCTGATGAGCTTCACTTCTGCATCCGCAGCCTTTGCTGCTGCCTCCGCCAGAGCCTGCGCCTCAGCTCGTGCCTGCTGGACTGCTGCTTCTGCCGCCTCTGCAGCCGCCTGTGCCTGCGCCCTGGCCTGCTGCATGGACGCGTCGGCTGCCTCTATCGCCGCCTGGGCCTGCGCCCTTGCTTCCTGCACGGCTGCGTCGCATGCAGCTGCGGCCTCCTCCAGTTGCCGTTTGTGCTCAATTTCAAGCGCAAGCATCTGCGAAAGGGAATGCGCAAAATGGGTAAGCGTAAAGGAGTGCATGTACGGAGCTTGAAAACATGAAGGAACTGTCGCGACGCCATGTGAACAAGCAATGTCCTCATCTGCACTGCAAGCAAACCCATAAAACGTACCCTCTCCTCGCACTCCGCCCTGACTGCCCGCTGCTGCTCTGCGGCTGCTGCCTCCCACTGCTCGCGGTCCTCATGGAACGCAGCCAGGTAGGCAATGCGCTGCGCCTGCTCCTCCGCCCGAGCAGCCTGGTACAGCATTGTAAATGGATGCAAAGGGGACCAACTCGGAGATAGGAAAGGACGTTAGCCGAGTTTAATAATTAACAACGAGCTGGATATAGGCGCTTTTACATGCATGTAAGAAGGCCAGCTCCTAACTTTGCAGCATGCAGGAAGGTAAGAGTAAGCGTGTGTCTCCCCGTCGCCCGCACCTCGAGCTTCTTGCGCTCCTCCACAAACTGCGCCTCCCTGCGCTGCCGTTCCGCCGCAAACTCCGATAGCATGCCGGACTGCTGCTGCTCCAGGGCGCGGATCTGGGTCTGTGCAAGGTAAGACAGGGCGGACAGGGGCGTCAGGCGGCACCCTCGCAACCACCTAATGGGAGGGAGACATCAGCATTAACGGGCACTCGCGCGCTTCCTGTCCCCGAAGCAGCATGCGCTGTTGGAATCACCCGTCCGTCCATTTCAACCAGCAAACAGCTTTCCCGTGGGGGGTTCTTCGCACACCTGAGCCGATGAGAGCTGCCCCTGGAACGCCTCCACCAGCTCCCTGGCCTCCCGCAGCTTCTCCATGACCATCATCTTCTCAGCCTGGGGTCAGAAGGCAGCAGCAGGGTCGGGGGTGGGGAGGGTCAAAGACCATACCATACTATAGAACCCTGAGTGGGGATGGTTTAGTTATCCCAAGCAGAGACGGAAACCTAGGGCTGCACCCAGACTGCGATTCTGTAGCCCTGCGGAGGTAACCGCATGTGGGCGCCGAACGAAACAACAAACACCTCTGCGCAGTAGGGGCTATGGCGAGCAGGAAGGCCCATGCGATTACTGTACCTGGGTGGACGCCAGTAGTGACACGTTATCACCGGCCATCTCCACCTGGGGCCAGGAGGAAACCACGGAGGCGCCCATTGCAGGACTTAAGATTGCCATCTTACGGACATAGGAGTATTAAGCAGACGAGGGACCAAGGTAGACGCTACGGCTCACCCACAGGAGCCACCTGTGGGCATCGTCCAGCAGCTCCCCTGCCCAAGGGAGAACTGCACGCCACCATGCTCACCCCATCAAGCCCGTGTGGCCATGTGGCCCCTCACCTGGCCCTGCAGTGCAGCCACATGGGCGCTAAGCACACCCGCGCGCCGGCCCTCAGACACCAGCTGTGTGCGCAGCGTGTCGATTTCCTTCATGTACGTCTGCAGGGTTGAAAGAGAGAGGCCAGGGGGCTGGGTGGAACGCAAGGTTTGCATGTCATGGCAGGAACTTGGTACGTGGCTATATCGTTACCCAGTCCTCCGCAGCAGTCCGCACCTGCAGGAGCTGCTTGCTCCTCCTGTACTTGTTCCGAAGCTCTGAGGGCGACACGCCCGAGCCGTCGCGCGGAGTGCTGGCAGCCGCACCCCCTGACTGCGGAAGCCACGAAGCAGACGAGGGTGACGGCGATCGCCGCGGCGTGGCCGTTCCACCCGGCGGTGAATGCGGTACGAAGCCGCCGGCGCCGCCGCTAGCAGCAGCAGCACCCCCGGTGTACGCGTATGCCTGGGTGTAGCCATAGTGCTCGGGTGATGGGCGCACTGAGGGCGGCAACTGGGGCGGACCCCTGGGCGGACTGCGCTGTGCGGGAGGAGACAGGGGTGACTGCGGGGACATGCTGGGCGGGCGGGGACCAGGCGAACGGGAGTCTAGCCTGCTGCTGCTGCCGGGTGTTTCCCGGGGTGTTGCTGGTCGCGGGTGACCGGACGATGATGCAATCCTTGCAGCGTTGCCACCAGCAGCAGCAGCAGCACCGCCATCGCCACCTTGGGCGGACGGTGACGGCGGCCAAACTGGCCCGGGCACAGGCGTCGACATGGCGCCAAACTGAGGGGAAGCAGTGTACGGCGTCGTACTGTACGGCATGCCGGCGTCGCGCGGTGTTGCGGCGTTTGAAGTCGTGCCATCCCGAGGTGCCGCGCCGAGATACTGGTAGGGCGTTGCGCTGCCACGTGGTGTTGTGTGGTACGACGCTGCGCTGACACGTGGAGATGCACCGTACGACGTGCCGCTATCATGATGCCGTACAGCGGTGCCGTACTGTGAGGCATCGTGCTGTACGATAGCCGCGGCATGTACGGCACTACGGGAGGAAGTGCTCAGCGATGGCGTCACGGTTTCGCCTTCAGTGCCTGTCGTGATCGCAGCAGAGCGCTCAGTTGAAGGCTCAGTAGACATCTGCTGGGGTCGCGGTTGCTGCGGTGGCAGCGACTGTTGAGGTGCACCCTGCTGGTGGCGGCTGTGGCCATGAGGTTGCTGTTGCTCATGCTGGGGAAGGCGTTGCATGGATGTGTTGTTTGAGATCGGGCTGTACGGGTGTGTGGTGAGATGTACGGCCGTTCCATCGGCCAACCCGCCAAAGGGCCATGCCGGCCGACCATGCCTTGCAGGTGAGGTCACGTAAGCTGACCCAGATCGAGGTGGGCTCCCAGCCGGAGACGGCGTGTGGGTTCGTGTCTGCGGAGTGACCTCCGTGGTAGCTGGACTGCCCCCTGTTCCTGTTCCCGCTGCTGCTGCCGCTAATGCACCATGGGCGCTAGACCAGTGCAATCCGGGTTGGGCATGGGCGCCGAGGTTCGCGTCACCCATGTACGGGCTCATGTTGTCGATAAGGATGTTGTCACCACGCCCTAAAGAGGGGTCAACTGGGCCTGGTCGGGATACAGTCAAGACCATTCCATCTGGGTACAGTTCTACTCGCTGGTGGCTCATGGGCGGCCCTGAGACTGTTATCCTGCGAGAGCCAAAGAGCAGGTCGGTTTCCACGCCAGCTGTGGCGGGCGGTGGCGACGTTGGAACGGCTGACGCGGAGTCCATGGATGGTCCGGTTGCTGACGGGGTTGAGCTAGAGATGCCGAATGCGGCAGTTGCACTGGATGCAGCGCCATGCACGCCCATACTGCTGTTCATTTCCTCGTGTTGCGAGGCCCACACGGTTGCGCCAAACTGCTGGCTGTAATGCTGTCCGGAGCTCTGCTGACGGTCTGCTGTCGGAGGATCGCCTGGTAGTATTGGCCCTTGCCCTTGCCTTTGCCGCCCATCAGCCCGTTCATGTGCCGAAGGATGCACGTGCATTGGTGGCTGAGCGTTGGGGGAAAAGGTAGGGTCGGGTCGCAGCTCCGATGATGCAATGTGAGTTTCAGCTCCAGCTGCTGCCGGGGAAGCATGCAACGGGCCCGGTTCCACCTGAAGGCTAAAGCCACTGTTCCCCTTTCCTCGCGGCGGAGAAGATGGAGACGCCCGCGCAGAACCATCACTGGCAGCATTACTACTTGATGCGCCTGCCGCCCACGCCGACGAATCTACTTTATCCATAACCAGTTTGGGCCAGGTTACTGCCCAAATACAATAGAAGAAAGCCTCATGCCGATGGTCAGCACACCTGTCACCAGTTTGAACGTTAACTAGAGGCACAGATATAAATTAAGTTGCCAGCATGTCGGTGTCCTATTCAATACTGTTTACAACTGCGTTCACTTGTGAACCAAGCGCCAGAAAGTTTTGCATTGACCGTCGTACATGTTGTCTGTGCCTTGCTTGGGCCCGCGCTTGCAGTATGCACACACATGTATTAGACTAACAAACAATAATGTTTGCTGCTCACTTTGTAACATTGTCTAGCCTAATCCCGGCAATCCGCATCCGTTCGCGTCCAGTTGTCCCCGAAACTGAATAGTAAACGCCAACTATCCCAATAATCCCCGCTTTACCTGTTTTTTGCATGCCATGCGGTCGCAGCATGTTGTGTCCAACGGTGGAACACATTACTAAGCGAATGCTTGCCGTACGGTGCTTGGGCGTCGAAAGGGTTGCTTTCATGCTGTCGCTCTTCGGTCGGTGATGCCTAATGAGCCCGAAGCCCTTATTCCTGAAAGTTCTACCACGTGGAGCATGTAGCAGTCCAATGGGATGCAGCGTGCGTGTATGTGTGGAATTTGTAGGGAGCACGCCGTGCCGTATTGTGTGTTGTGACATCGTACTAGGAGGCTGGATACCTAAAGCTTACCCTCACAGGGTGCACGAGTTTGGATAGTTCTAGACTCGAGCGAGGCTCACGACGAGGTGAGCCGTAAGTGAATGCCAGCGCACACGCACAAACCTGGGTCGGGCATTGGCAAGTAAGGACACTTTCCTCAGGGCGGCCGGTTCCTCCTTGCAAACAGCGGTGTGGTGCACTTTATCCGGTACTACCCTGCAGGATGTAAATGCGCGGAGCACTGTGTAGATACTTGACATGGACACCTGCCTAAAGGGGCCTCAACAAGCAAGACCACCTTCGCAGCTGTGTCATCGCTCAACATTCGTCCGACAACAGGTCTCGCCTAGGCCAACATTCGTACACAACCCTTGCAATGGCCTCAACATACGCCCACAGCTGCATATGGTTGTGCGTCGCACTTGAGTCGTTCGTAAAAATCGCATTCACAGCTGCGGCTTTACGTAAGGGGCGAGGGGCGAGTCGTACAAACCCCAACCGAAAATCCCCGCGAAAGGTGGCCAGCCATCAGCTACCCATGTGTATATAGCGAGTCAAGGCAGCAACTCTAATCACAATATCCATATAATAAGCAACCGCTTAGTGCTTGATGACGAGCATGCACCATAAGACTGGCCAAGAACCCGGAAACCCAATTGCACCCTGTGCCCTGTCGCGCCGTTCTACTTCCCGACACCCCATCCTGCTTCCTTCCAGCACCTACCCCACGGCGTTGTGCGCCCCCTTCCACACCGCCCTGCTACCCCGGTACACATCATTCGTCTTCTTCCTTACTAACACACAAAACTACGAAATGCCGTCCGCAACTGCCAACAACCCACGTGGCTGTCTCCCGTACAACACCGGTAGAAGCCAAGTAGTGTGCCACCGACGGGCACCGACAGCAAGGCCCATCCGACTTCAAAAGTGTCTGTCTGTTCGTGCCAGGCATACAAGGGCGGGCGACAGTAAAGGTTGTCCCAGACCATGATCCGTGTAACAACAATACGGCTAGGTCCAGAGAAACACGCTAGTATTCGTACTGCATTGTAAATGCCATCACCTGCAACGAGATAGTCAAGTAAGAGACACGAGGCGAGCGCGAAGGTACGACAGCCCAATCCTACCAGCCTACTACTTTTGTGCCAAACTTAGTTATCAAGTGCTTTCTAACCAGGGTTCACCCAAGGGACAACGGCAATGGCTTTCAACCACCATACAGTCTGTCCCCCTATCACACAGCGCCTGAAGGCCACCCCCCAACTGCCAATACGGTACGGAAGGGCATAAAAACCACCACCTCCTCCTCCTCCCCCAGACGTAGCGTTACTTTTATTCTTCTCCTCGCCGGGATGAGTCGTGGAGATGTCTTGCGGACGCCGTCTGGGTCATCAGATGCATGAGCCTCCAGAGCTGACGATAGACGAGTCCGGGTAGCCTGCTAGTATGGGGTGTCGCATTGGGCCCGGGGCAGATACGGTATGGGTGGCCGGTAAGGACCGGGCGGCCAACGAGCATAGTTAAGAGGAGGTGTAAAACATGGATCACTCTCTCAAGCTGCTGCCAAGTGCAAAGCAAAAGCGATGCTCTCTATTACCAAGCAGAGGCAGAATCGCGTACGATACACAGCACTGCTTTGGCGCACTTATCCCTACCACCGGCCCCCCCCATCCTCGTTGGCGCCCTGCCAACTCCTACCCCCATTGCTTTGCCCTAACTTGTGGTTTCCTATGGTTTGGTATGGTCTTTGACCCCCCCCCATCCTCGTTACAGCTGCTCTTCTCTACGCCCACCCTCACCGTCATGCTGCCAGGGGCGCTGCTCCTGCCGCCGCGCCGTCGCCGCCGCCGCCGCGCGTAGCGGCGAGGAGTGAATCGCGGCGGCCGCCGCTGCGGATGACGAGGTGGAGGCGGAGGCGAGCGGCGAGGAGGGTGCGGAGGAGATGGGGGAGGGGTTCTTGGGCAGCAGGGTGGAGGTGGTGGCTCCCTCCTCCTGCTCGTATGCGCCCATGCGGCGTGCGGCCGCCTCGAACTGCTCCACGGCGTCTAGCGTGTACGACACGGCGAAGAGCTTGCCAGCGACGGCGGGCGAGATGGTGAAGGTATCGCAGCCCTGTGGGACATGGAAGAGAAGGGTCCGGGGTTGGGAGCTTGGGACAAGGGCTGGGAACAACAACCCGGAGGAGGGTCCTCAGCTACCTTTCAACAGTCCCCGGAGCCGCCATGCACCCGCTGCTGGCTACCGCAGTTCCCCTAAACTTGGGAAGCCACCGGTTTCCTTAGGAACGGTTTTTTGGTTTCTCTCTGTGTATCGGTACCTAAGCTGAACCCACCTCCGCTGCCAGGCTGGCCATGGCGGACGTGTCCCTGATGGACGCCACCAGCAGGCGGGTGCGCGCCTGCTGAGCCTGCAGGATGCGGTGCATCTCCAGCACCTCCGTGAAGCCCTGGAGCGGGTGGAGGCGAGTGGTTGGAGACGGTTGGTGGTTGGTTGGTTGAAGGTGGTTGGCGACGGTTAAAAAAGTTGTATCAGCAGCGGCAGTGGAGCGCGGCATGAATGCATGGTACTTTAACAACTAAAACTATGGCAGTGCGTTGACTGGTTATGGTTATGGACTTGTGGTTATGTATTGCTCACACGCATGCGGGGCTTGCAAACGGATGACATGATCCGGCATTGTCGTCATAAGCATGCGTGAACAGGCGACGTAAGCAGCATCAGTAACCGCAGCAGCAGTACGGCAGTACATACTTGGTTGTTGCCGTACGCGTCGTTCATGCGGCCCAGGTACGGCGCCGCGTACTCGGCTCCAATGCTCTGAGCCAGCAGTACCTGAGGGCTGGAGTAGATGCCTGTGTGTGTGTGGAGGGAGGTAAACCGAAGGGTTTGTGAGAGTTGCTTGAGACGCGGGCGGGGACTCAATGTTGGGAATCAGCTGCTCCTATCGGCTGGCTCCTAGTGACCTTAACATCCCTCCACCCACCCCGTTCTCACCAGCTCCTTACCCCGGCCCCCTCCACCCACCCACCCACCCATCCCCTCCACCCACCCGTCATGGTGACCCGCACCGATGTCTCCCGCAGCAGTGCCGCCGCCTGGAAGCCCTCCAGCGTGCACGGCAGCTTCACCTGGGGGGGGGCCGGCACCGCGGCAGGCAGGGGGCGCACAAGCAGTGGTAAGTTCCGACTCTCGCGGCGCCAGTTCCTGCTAACACAAGCGGTTTGGCGACTCACACACAGCAATGCCCCCGGTGAAGGAGTCCCCGGGAAGCTGGAAACCCGCGCAAAACCCGTACCGCCCACACGGCACCACGTGCAACCGCAACCACCCCAACCACCCTGACTCCCCCCATCCCGGCCGCTGCTATTTCCGCAGGGCCCCGGCACTCACCACCACCAGCTCCGGGTTCATGCCGAAGATGTCGAGTGCCACCGACACCATGTTTTGCGTGCTCTCGCCCCACGCCTGGAACTGCATCTCCTGCGCGCCCAGCTCCGCGCCGATGCGACACAGCCGCGACAGGTTGGATAGCGTGCAGCGCTGGCCTGGGGTGGGGGGGACAGGGTTGGGGAAGGGAAGGGAAGGGGGGGGAGGGGGAGGGAGGGAAAGGAGGGAAGGCGAGGAAAGGGGGTCAAAATGGACGGAACCGAAAGGGATGAAAAGGGTTTGGCAGTGGGGGCGGAAGGGGAGGATAGGGGTTCACAGTGAGGTTGGGAGGGAGAGAGAAGGGGTTAGGGAAGAAACGACGGTGAGGGGGAGGGATGGGGGTTCATGGTAGCGGCATGGGAAGAGAGGTAGTGGGGATGTGCAGGCTGGAGATGCGAAGGAGGCTGCGGCGGACAGGGTGTACTTGGTTGAGGGTTTGAGGAGAGGGTGTTGATGCAGGATGGGGAGAGCGGGAGCAAGGGTTCGGAAGGCGTGGACAGAGTAACGGCAGCCCGCATGCAAACCCCGTCTCCCGTTTGTTGGCGCTTACCGTCCTTCTCCAGAATTACTGGGTTGGTCGTGATGCCTGGAGGTTGATGGGGAGGCGGTAAAGCGGGTAAGCAGGTGCTCGCTGACAGCAACGCGGCCGTGGCACCCGGGATGCAAGGGCACGCGCAGAAACCCTTCCCACCGTAGAACATGTTCGTTGACAACCACAGCTCCCACTGTGTGACGTTCGCGCTATCGATGTACAAGCGCAAGTTGGTAAATGGACTTTGCTTCTTCTGAGGATCCCGTCTCATTTTCGGGTCCAGCATAGACATGCAGTATGCTCGGCCAGCTCTACATGGTCCCGGACTGAGTCGGCGAACTTGAGCTCGTCCAGGCCTAGCTGGCCTATTGGTACCGGTAGCATGTCCCTGGAGGGCGTGGCTTTGCATCGTTTACGGCTTCAGGTGTCGGTATCCTACTTTACGTCAGGTAGCTTGAAAACGGGCGACAGCCAAACAGTGCTAATTAAAATGCGTACTATTATTACTTGTACTGACGCGCGGGAAGCGCACAGGCTGCGCACATGTTGCATGTCACGTCGGACGTGTACAGCAAGCTGGTTTCGGGTACGCCTCTACCCTATAACCTCTACTACTGCTTCGCAACCAGCCTGCAACTAGCACAGTAGTTAATGATATCTTGATTACGCTGCTCCAAAGCTCCCGCGACTGAAACCGTGGCCTGAAACCATGCCGGAAATGCGAGGGAGTTAACATTTGGAAGTGGTGGCAGCACGCGGTTACCCGTCTGCCGTTACTGGCACAAACAGCGTAAGAGTAAATCCCCCATGTTCTTGCAGGAGAAGGGTGTAACACGTTTCAGGCCTACCCCTTCGGCAGCATGGGTCTCTCATGGCACGGCGTCAATACAACTATTGGCCTTCAAGCCCTCTGACAGGCGTTGCTTGGACTTTGAAGCACACAAAATGCTTAACTTCCGCCTGACCCTACTTCTCCATCTGGCCAAGGCACGGGGAGAGGTAAAGAGGATGGCAGTATCCTGTGGCACGCACGGGAGTTTGGGCTACCGGTACTTGGATAGCCGCAACGCACGGTGTGAGCATAAATATCCTGCTGGTCTACAGACGGCGTCGTGTGGCAAAGGTGCACCTTCCTGTTGGGGCAATGCTGCAGGGTGTAGGCTGCTGTGCACGACCGTGTCCTGCCCTCGACTCCCTCCTTCCCCTTCACCGTCGCCTTTGCACCGCGCTCCCCTTCCGGTAATAAGCAGAGCGCTTATCAGGCTCGCCTGTGAGAGCAACCTGCAAGACTAGCCCAAACCCTGACACGTCTACACGTAAGCAATACAACAACGTTAATCCTTAATTTAGGTATACCTTAAACGAATGTTCGTTGGTGAAACTTGTAAGGTAGGCCTTCTTTTTGCACGTGAATCGTCCGGGGCGTACGGCGGCGTCAAGTCGCTTTCAGTCCAGTGCCATCCAGGGCGCTACGTTTTGTCAGATCGATGTTGCCATGCTGCTAGCACAATGAGGAGAGTTCAGCACGGCACTGTAACGTCTGAAAAACCACACGCACGTTTCAGTTTGCTGTCCCGCTTCCTCAGTTACCATTTGCCAGCTTGGCACAGATATGAAAACTAGAAAGCCACCAGTACCTCCTAAAGGTGGGCAACCACAGCTAGGACCAGTTGAGGGTCAGCAAATTGCGTTCGAGTTGCATAGTTCATCGCCTCGGAAGTTAAGCGCGTCTGACCATGGAGGCATGCTTGGACCCTTCCGGCCGAGGTCTCCAAGGTAGGTTATATGGTTTATAGGCGGCACATGCCAGTGCACGAATGCGGAACGGCCTAAATTTGCCCGTTAGCACGTGAGCGTAAGAGGCGTATTTTACAAAAGCGTGTAAGGCTTCGTCTGAATAGCGTCTTGGAAGATCCCACACGTGTTTTTTTTTATGGAACTTGGTGCCATCACCCGCAACATGACAGGCCAGCGGAAGTCTACAATGCAGCTATGGCCGAGCTTACCGAAGGCGATGGGCGTGGACTTACGAAGGTGGGTTACATAATCCTTCATTGCTTGTTGTCAGTCCCCCTTCCCGTGGGGATTAGTCGGCCACATGAACCATGAGTCTCAACTTCGCATCCCCGGCACCATCGATTTATAGGTTACATGCTCCTTACGCGTACACAACAAACAACGTTACCCCTCAGGGTTACGCTTCACTTGCATCATGCGGCGCTTGCAGCATCCTACTTATCCTTCTGGGACGGCGGCACTTCACCCATCCAACACTCCCCTTCCCTTCCCTCCCCATCCCTTCCTCCCCTCGACCCAGATCAAGACCACCACCGGAATCAGCCCGGTTTCCTCCCCCAGCCGCCGTCGTACCTTCTCCAGCGTCACGCCGCTCTCCCCCGCCGGCACCTCCATCCTAGACCACAACAGCCTCAGCCTGCGTGCCACCATGGCAATGACTGCGGGCGGTGCCGCCTGCTCCCCCTCCGCCATGCTAGCCACCAACAGCGCCCGCCACCTGTTCTCAGTTCACGAGGAGCAGCGGCTGGTGAGCCCAACGGAGGGCTACCCTGCAGGCGGCTCCCTGCCCAACACCCCCCCGCGCAAGGCCACCTCCGCTCCCGACTCACAGCTCGCCGCCGTACAGCTTCGCAGCTCCCTCAACCCCTGGCGCACGGGGAATGCAGCCCTGGACTCGCTGTCGCCCCTCTCCATCCTGCACCAACACCACCAGCAGCATTACCAGCAAGCCCTGCAACAGCACCAACAACAGCAGCAGGGACCGCATGGTGGGATCTCGCCTCGTGATTATAGCTCGGAGGGCTTGGGAGCAGCGGCAGCAGCAGGAGCCGGGGGGCTGGGATCGGCTGCAGGGGCGACCCCAGCAGGTGCTGCTGCGCACAGCACGCAGACCATCACGCCCATTGTCCAGCCGTCGGTGACGACCGCGGCTTTGATGACTGGGGGCCCTTTCGGGTCGTCACAGCAGCAGCAGCAGCAGGGCGGGAGTCCCGGTGGGGGGCCCTGGGGAGGAGCTGCTAGTGTTGGGGTGGGGCCGGGGGCGGGCATGGGGATGGGAGTGGGGGCAGGCGGCGGGCGGCAGCGGCGAGACAGTGCGTCTTCAACGGACAGCCATAGTCCCGGGGTGAGTGGTGATGTGGGCGGGCAGGGGCGGGGGGCAGAGGCACGCTGTGTACGTGTTAACAAAACCAGCCGCGAGCAGGCCGTGTGTGGGGGAGGGTGTGGGAATTTCGGGGAAATGGTCTAGGGGTGAGTGGTGATGTGGGCGGGGGGGGGGGCTTGGGGAAAGGGTCTGGGGCGAGTTCGAAACAGGGAAGATGGTTGTCGGCAGCTTCTTCCAAGTACAAACAACAGCTGCTTAGACCCAAGCTGGCAGCTTAATACGATTGTACGGCACACTCGTTTAACACGGCTGTACGACAACCCTGCAGGTGTACGACTCCCCCCTGGGTGTCGCCAGCCCCGCCTCGCTGCGCATCACCGCTCTAGCCAGCCGCATCGGCTCCCCCAGCAACTCCCCCTCCACACCCTCCGCCTCGTCGCAGCCGCACACCCCCACCGGGCTGCGACCACGGCCTCCGGGTGAGTGCATGTGGGGCTCCTCCTCCTCCTCTTCAGGTCCTCCTCACAGTTGCTAGTGGACCCTCTTGGTTGGTACCGCCCACTGAACCCCCACTTGCAACCACCTGTAACCCCTCCGTGACGACAACACCTCCCCCTCCCCACCACAGGTGAGGCCCCCACCTCGGCCCGGAGCCGCAAGTTCTCCCACCTCGCTAGCCCCGAGGCACGTCAGCAGTACCCCTTGGCCGCTACGGGTACGGCAGCTGGTTCGACAGGTGGTACGAGCAATGGCGGCGGCGGTACGAGTGCTGTACGGCAACTCAGTCTGGTGGACGATCCGCCTCCTCCCCCTCCAATTCGCACGCTCCTGCGTTCCGCTAGCGTCGGCGGCGGTGGTGGTGCCACGGCTGGCGGCATGAACAGCAGCGTGGTCCCGCCCTCCTCTTCCTCCTCCATCTTGAACTCCACCATGCCCTCCTCCTTCTCCACCACCGCAACAAGAGCAAACACAGCAGCAACGAGCGCTGGCGGCAGCGCTTCGGGGGCTGCCGGCGGCGCTGGAGGTTACAGCCACCCAGGCACCCCCTCCTCTCCGTCCACCTCTGCAGCCTCAGCTTTTGCCGCAGCCGCAGCGGTTGGTGGTTCCGGAGGAGGAGCCGCAGCAGGGGGCGGCAGCCTGCCGGGCTCGCGTCCCTCCAGCAGTCGTGCGGGTAGCGCCCGGCTGACATGCAGGCCGGTGGCGGCGCTGGTGGACGCGGTTCGCTCCAGGGATGATGCCAAGCTGGCGGAAGTGCTGGAGGCGTTGAAGGGACCGCAGGGGGTGGTGCTAGGTGGGTGAATGATGGGTGGGTGTGTGGGATACGGAAATCGGAATGGTGGTGGTGGTTGGGGTTGGTTGGGTGTGTACACGATATTGTGGAACCATGTGTCGGTTGGGGTTCTGCTGGGAGAGCGATTTGACCCATGGGTCGCGGAAACGGTTCACCTGCGTTCACCTGCTTTGCTTCGCCTCTGTTTTCCGTGTTAGCTAGTTTTTCATCGTTGCTAGCAACCGCTACCAAGAGAACGTTTTCAAGAGTTCTTCTCCTTCTGCTTACTCACCCCCTCTCCTCCTTCTTCCGCTCCTTCCCCCGCCTCCAGGCCTGAACGACCTGCACCACGTGACGGGCCGCACTCCGCTGCACGAGGCCGTCATGAGCAACAACATCTCCATGGTCGCTCTGCTGCTGGCGGCGGGGGCGGAGGCAAACAAGGGACACCAAACACAGGTGGGCGGGGACCGCATGGGTGACAACTGACACGCGCCCTGAGAATGAGGAATCAAGCTCTGTTTTGTACGACCCTTAAGTGGCCCTGACCCTGGTGCCTGGCCTGACGTACAATATCTTCACCTTTATACGGTTGAGTCCTGGACTGACATGAACCCACGAATCCATGCGCTTGGTTTCCCAGGGTCCTCCTCTGCTCCACTGCGCGGCCTTTGGTGAGGTTGAGACCATGCAGCTGCTGCTGACGGAAGGCGCCGACGTCAACGCCGCGGACATTGAAAACTCCACCGCACTGCATTTCGCATGCAAGGGCGGTCACGTTGACGCCGCGCGGCTCCTCATCAAGTTTGGCGCCGACCTCCGGGCGCGCGACAGCGACGGCATGGCGCCATTCGACCTGGCGGCGCCGGAGATGTCGCGACTGGTGATGGCGGCGGCGCCGCCGCCGTCGCCGCCGCCGCCGCGACCGCCGTTGTCGAGCGGCGGCGGCGGCGGCGCTGGCCCGAGGCGGCTCAGCGCCGGCAGCCATGTAGCTGCAATGGCAGCGGCTGCTGCTGCTGCGGCGGCGGGTACGGCGACGGCATGTTCTGAGCAGCATACGTCCTCGGCGTCCTCACGGCAGTCATCAGCGTCGACTTCGTCAACGGCACGTGCATTTTCCGCAGCGGTGACGGCATTGGAAGCTGATAGCAGTACGGCATCCGGCAGTAGCGGCACGGATTCGCAGAAGCGACTTGGCAGCGCCGGCAGCGGCAGCGGGAGCGGTGCTAACAGCACCCTTAGCGGCAGGCCGCCTAGCGGCAGCAGTCCTACCGCTCTTGTAGCATCCCTGTGTAGCCCCACTGGGGTGCAACTTGAGCTGGCGAGCAGTACGGCATCTTTCGCAGCTACCACAGCAGCAGCCCCTAGCGGCGGCAGCGGAGGCGGCGGCGCTAGCAGCAGCATGCGGCCCGCCCCACCCCCGGAGCCCCAACTCGGCGGCGCCGGCTCCTCTGGCGGCGCTGGCGGTGGCGGTGGGCTGCGATCGCGCCGGAACAGCGGCACCTTCACTGCCGCCGCCGTTGCGGCGGCGCAAGCGGCAGCAGCGGCGCCGCAGCCTCCGCCGCCTCCGTCACTTCCGCCGCCACCTCCACCGCCGCCGCCGTCGGCAGCGCCGAGCGGCCTAGCCATCGGATCCTCTCCGTTGCACCGCCCGGGAACAACGGAAGGCTCCGCCGTTGGCGTCGGCGCAGCCGGCACTCCGGGCAACCGCAACCTAGCCAGCCCGTTGCTAAGCGACAGCGAGGCGGCGCCGCCGCCGTCGCCGCCGACGCTTCAGCTACCCGGCGGTGTACGGCGGCAGCTGTCCCGTGGGGCGGTGCTGGGGGACATCATTTCGGCTTTCCAGGCGGAGGATGCGGAGATGGTGCGAAGGTAAAAAGGGGGACGGAGCGTCCTGGGCATGCAGCGTCTTGGGGTGCCGTGCGGGATCTTGACTTCTTAAGGTTCCTTGGGACAAGAGTACTAACGTTTACTACCAGCTGGTTGTGGCTGTCGTGTGGTGGGGTGCTCATGTGAATTGGTTTTGCATTACATGGTGTGCGGCAGATGTACGGCGGCCCGCCGTACGGGGTAACCGGTCGTCACCCCGGTATGGAGCCGTCATGGCTCTGCAACCACAGTTGCAACGAACTAGTGCTTTCCGACTGGCTGCTATCGCTCGTCATGCTGGTGATGCTGACGCCGTGCTGCTACCGTGCTGCCATTGTCGTTCCCCCGTTACTCGCAGGTCTCAAGTTCTGCCATCCGCCGCCGGCGTCGATGGCCCCTTGCGGGCCGCAGCTGCTAACGGGGCAGCAGCAGTCCCTTCCATCATAAGCGATCTGGGCTCCGGATCCCAACCCTCGTCACAGCAGCAGCAGCAGCAGCAATCCCAGCAACCGCAACAGGAATCATGTCCGCAACCTGACGTTCCCTTTGGAGTATCAACGACGACGGCTCAGCAAGCCATAGATGAAGAACGACAGCAGCAGCAGCAGCAGACAGCGCAGACAGCCGCCCCAGCTGTTGCTGCTGTGGCGGCGGCGGCAGCGGACGTTGGCTGGAAGCCCCCATGCGGCTTCATGCCGCCTGCGGGGTGCTTGGGCGGAGCTGGAGCAGGCTTGGGTTTCAAGTTTGGTATCAGCAGCAGCTCCGATGCTGATTGCAGCGGCGAGTCCGTGACACCCCAAATGGGTCAACAGCCCCAGCAACAGCAGCGACAACAACCTCCACCGCCCCAGCAGCTGCTGCCATTTTCTATGCCAGAAACGGCAATCATTCGGTTCGGCATTCGGCTTCAAGTACATGGGGACGCAGACAATGACGAGGAGGGTGAAGGCAGCGGCGGAAAGAAACCACCTTCCGCTGACACTGACACCACTGAGGCTGGCGCTTCCGACGTCGCAGCACGACCACCTTCCTTCTCTGCCGCCGCTGGCGTTCCCGCGACGCCATCGCCTCTGTGGCCTCCGCCAGCGGCGGCAACAGCGGCGGGGGCACGTCTGCCTCCGCCGCCGCCGCCGGCAGCAGCAGCTTCCTCCAACGCTCCTGTTGGCTTCACACCCGTACCGGCTACCGGCTTCAAGCCACCACGAGCAAGCAACACCGGCGGCGGCGGCGGCGGCGCTAGCGGCACTACCAGCGGCGGCGGTCTGCCTCCGCCGTACCGACTGAGTGGCTTTGGTGACGACTCGGGTGTACCGCCGCCGCCGCCGCTTATGCGCGACAGCTCGCCGGTGAGGGATCGCGCCTCCTCCTCCGGCGCCGCCGGCGGCGGCGGCGGCAGCAGTACGGCAAAGAAGGCGACAGGACCTGGCGGCGGCTCCGTCGCCGTCAGCAGTCGCCATGCGCCGACTCGTACAAGTCAGTTGGCGGCGGCGGCACTGAAGCGAATGAGCGTCATGAAGGCCAGTGTGGACGATGCCATTGAGGTACGACAGCCCTGTGTTTTCCCTTCCCATCCGCGCCCTTCTCATGCCCATGCAACCCCCTCTCTCCCGCAGATGCGTGCAGCCGCCATGTTCCGTCAGAGCACCGAGCTCACAACGGGGGAGATGGCCTGGACGCGAGGGGAGCTGCTGGGAGAGGGGGCGTACGGCAAGGTAAGCCGTACGGCGTACAACACATCTTATATAGCATCTACCGGTACCCAGGGTTCCTCCATGCTAGTTTTGTGGTAGACTCTGCTGCTACTCTGCTGCTGTGGCTGACTGATAACCCGCCGAGACCCCGCCCCCGTCCTGTGTTAACGATCTCATCGCAGTCCCGGTGTCGTCATAATAGCTGTGCTTTTCCCTTCCCTTGCGCTATACACACATATCCATGCGGCTGCCCTCATGCCCCAGCTCTCAAGCTTCTCATACACAGCCGATACCTGACCTACCTACCCATGCCTCATGCCTCATGCCCACCCATGCCTCATGCCTCATGCCCACCCATGCCCTCGTTCACCCCCATGCACCCTCCTGCCCACCCGCCCGCCAGGTGTATGCGGGCCTCAACCAGCAGACGGGTGAGCTGATGGCAGTCAAGGTACTCACCCTGCTCAGCAAGCATGGCGACAAGAAAGGTGAGGGGGGGAGGCAGGACTGTACGGTTGGGGTCAGAGAGGGTTCTACCGGTACGGTTGGGGTCAGGACTCCGCAGCCCCATACACCCTCTCCTGTCTCTTCCACTTCCTCTCTTATAACGCCCACAATGCAATCTCCGTTTTCGTTTTCTGTCATCCGCATGGTCATATTCTCTCTCTTCCCCCACCCGCACATTAGCTTTCCTTTTGATTCCCCCCGTTCCCACATTGGATATTCTTCTTCATTCCCCGCTCCCCGCTCCCCGCTCCCCGCAGCCATCATGTCTCAGCTGGAGGCGCTGGAGCACGAGATGTCGCTGTACAAGAAGCTCAAACACAAACACGTGGTGGGCTACATTGATGCGAAGTACGACGCCAGCACCTCGGCCTTCTACATCTTCCTGGAGTATGTACCGGGTGAGACAGACGGAGCTGGCTCTCCTGCTGGGTGGGGTGGCGGACGGGGGGCGGGGGTTAGGAAAGAGGAGGAAATTGACAAGAGCTGTACGACATGTAGGCGTCACCACGGGGGGTGGGTGCAGGCATGGTCTAGCCCGGCCCCGGTGTACTGGTGGCGGGGTTAGCGTGCCACCTCCTGACCAGGGGAGGGATGTCGACTGGAGGTATTACTGCTACTAGCCTTATGCGTGTAACGTCTCCCCACCGCTCTCCCCTCCTCTCCCCCCACCCCGACCCCCCAGGCGGCTCCATTGCCAGCATGCTGAGTCGCTTCAAGCGCTTCTCGGAGGAGCTGGTGCGGCACTACACGCGGCAGCTGCTGAGCGGGCTGGAGTACCTGCACGGATGCAAGATCGTGCATCGGGACCTCAAGGTGGGGGTGGGGCCGTGGGGGGGCTGTGGGGGTGGAGGGGGGGGCAAGTTGGTGAGGGGTCGATGTGAAGGGACGCCCCTCCTCCCTGCGTGGTGCCTTTCATTGGCTTTTGCTTCTCCTCTGACTTTGACACACGCTCCCCCCCCCGGCTGCTCCCAGCTCCGACACCTGCCCTGCTTTTCTTCACTCCGACAACCCACCCACCCCACCCCCACCCCCCACCCCGCTCTCCCCCCTCCAGGGTGCCAACGTGCTCGTCACCCGTGACGGGGTGGTGAAGCTTGCGGACTTTGGGGCGTCCAAGGCGTACCGGGACCACACCATCACCGACTGCATGAAGGTGAGGGGGGGCTGGGTGGGTGGGAGAAGGAGGAAGAAAAACAACTGGGGGGGCTTGTGTATGCAGAGGCGTGTAGGGGTGCTTGTCCTTAAAAACGATGGCCACATGATTCTTAGCCAATCGTTGATCTTGGCTAACACGGTACCATAGGACTTACAATCGCCCCTTATGCCAACCATGTGACGCCCTCCTGTATGGTCTTCGTCGCCCCCCCTCCTTCAGTCGGTCCGCGGCTCCGTCTTCTGGATGGCTCCCGAGGTCATTCGCGGCACCGGCTACGGCCGCCGCGCGGACATTTGGTCGCTCGGCTGCACCGTGATCGAAATGCTCACCGGCGCGCACCCCTGGCCGCACCTGGACAACCAGTGGACCGCCATGTTCACCATTGCGCGCTGCGAGGAGGGGCCGCCCCGGCCCGCCAACATGAGCCCCGAGGCTGCGAGGTTCCTGGACAGGTGTCTGCAGTTTGATCCGGCGAAACGGCCCACCGCGGCTGAACTGCTGCAGGACCCCTTTGTTGCGAGGACGGGGGCCGGGGGAGCGGCGGGCGGGGAGGAGCGGCTGCAGCACTCGTTTTGAGGGTGTGGGGGCGGTCTGTGTGGGAAGGAGAGGGGAGAGGGGGTGCGGTGGCAAGAGAGGGGGTGCGGTGGCAAGAGAGGGGGTGCGGTGGCAAGTGGGTTGGCGCGAGGAATGGCCCGGCAACGGCTTTAGGGAAACAGCAGGAGGGGCAGGAGGTGTGTGTGTGGGTGGTAGCCTGGTAACAGTGCTGGCCGCGAGGAGGTGTGTGCGGAGGTGTGTGTGAGGCGTCTATGTTGGCGTCGCAGGGGTTGGAGGACGCTTAGTTCCGGCCTCCATTTGCTGGCGGTAATCGTTCGCGCGCGGATTGGGACGGAGTCGAAGAGTACGGCAATAGCAGTAGCAGTCGCAGTAGCGAAAGGGTCGTTTTGTTTTGTTCTCTAGTCGGTAACGTTTAAGGTGGGTGGTGGGTGATAGAAGGCAAGGTGCGGTGCCCCTGTAACACGGGGCGCATAGTCGCGAGAGGGCTTTGGTGCGTGGGGCGGTGATTGCCCGTAGCGGAATGTTTGTGATGGTTTTGTGGAAGCATCGTTTATTTGCGATGGTGTCAGATGGAGAGGGGGGGGTGTGGAGCCAAAGGGAGCCGTGTCCTCCATTCCAGCGAGCGCGGAACATCCTCCCCCACCGCTCAGCTTGTGTTTCTGCCGTGGCTTGATGGGTGTGGCTGCAGGCTGTTCCTGCTATGTTTCATTGCCCTGTTTTTAGCCTTTTGCAGCAGTAAAGCATCACAGGTTTTCCTTAACAGGAAGAAAAAAGACGTTTCTTTACATGATCAAGCGTTTGGGAATGGTGATGAGGAGTTGTGGAGTTTGGGCTCTGAACTGACGCCTCACGAGGAGAATGATGAGGATGGGGTCATGAGGGTGGTCTTGTATCTGTGATCTGTCTGTGCAGCTAGGCATCCGCGATTTGCCCCGCATTCATAAGGCCCTAACTGTCCCATGGTTCATGGCCGTCATATTACCCATTATCTGGTCGCTCTTTGCCGTACAACTTGCACGGACGGATGCCAATGACGACGTGTTTTGCAACCTGCGAAGCTATGTGTCGCTTTGCTAGCTGGGGATGGATCACAATCCCTCCACTTGTTTGTGTTTTCATGACTGTCTGACTGCTAACATGCTGTAACCTGACTACGTTGTGTTTGGCCGTGAAGTTTAAAGTTAACCACATAGGGTCAAGCTGAGTATTGATCCCTGCGGTTTGGATCCAGCCGTGTGCCGGACTATCGGATTGGTATACCGGCGTACGACTCTTAGAAACTGTTTACAATTATCCGCAGTGTCCCGCAGTGTGTCAATTGCCATCTGGCATCGGTGTCAAGTCGGAAGTTCCATTCCATTCGGCGACTGGAGGATTGCCTCTGCTAAGCTTATTCACGCATAGGCATTGCGGAACTCGGGACGCGTCGTTTGTTCAAGCTATGTGGTATGTGCATGAAGCGAGAGCAGGTTCATGAGCACTGGTTAGAACACACGCGCTCATACTGCTACTTTCTGGAAGGAGTGCCGTCGGGCGCTTCTTAGTCTTGTGTAGGGGACATTGGGTGACTGGGAATCTCAGGTCTCAGGTGGCGTTGCTGCCTTCTGGTGTGTCGTACTTGTGGTTACACATGCGGCGGCAAGTGTCGTACATGCCGTGAGTGAGGATGAGTTCGGAAGTAAGGCACGCATTGCGTGTGGGTCCTGGGCGGAGCTCTTTCACGGTGTCAAACATTGGAAATGTTACCTACCGTCATTGGGAAACATCCATATCTCTAACTCCCGTCTCACGCAAAGCGTCCACATTCCACAGCACAGATCACTCTCGGACAGATACTTGAGCAGCAGAAACAGGCCGACAACAAAGCAACGGCAAATCTCCAATCCTATCCTCAGCCTCCGCCTAGCTTGCCAATCGCAGCCCACTAATACCGAATTGACCCCACTCAGCCATCAGCGCCTCTCTCTCAGCAGCCCAACCGCTCTTGAGCTTGACGTAACGCCCTCCTCCACCTCCACCACCGCCGCCAGCTGCAACACCCACGCCGCCGCCGCCTCCCCCGCCCCGGCTGTGCTGTTGTTGGTGGTGGTGTCGGTGACCCCGGCTGCCCCGGGATAGCGGTACCGCCTGGCCTTCCAACGGTAACGGAACCCCGTCGCCGTCGTCCTGCAAACACAAGTTGTACGATATTAAAGCACACATTTTGTACGTTGTCGACACCGCAGACTACGCAAAATCCCTACCCGTGCAATGGGTGAGTTGGGTCTCGGACGCCGGGTACGTGCAATACCAAAGCATGCACGTTTTCACCATTACCCAATCCTCCCTTCCTTCTTCCCACGCGAACACTCACCTGAGCTACCAGCAAGGGCCCCGCGGCCCGGCAGCCAGGAGGACTGCCGCCAGCAGCTGCTGCTGCTGCTGCCGCCTGGGCGGCACAGACACCAGGTAAGGGGGCAGCGAGGGGTTCAAGCATGTTCAACCGCAGTCACAACCCGACATGCACACACTGGTATCAAAGTACGTTTCGCCTCGCGGCCAGTTATTTTAACACACTGGTGCACCTGCCTGCGTGCATGCACACCTGCCTGCCAAACAACCTTGCATGCTTGCAGGAATGACTCTCCCCGCATCATAGCCCGCATCCCTTACCAATCACGGCTCTGTTCCTATAAGCCCTAGTCGCTTGGCGCCGGGTAGCAGACAACGGCATCTCAACTCAGCCCCAGTCACATGTCACAACACCTCGCAACACCACCATCACCACCACCTACAGAGGAGGATGGCCTCCGCCTCGGTGGGAATGTCCTGCCAGCGGCCCCGGATGGACTCACTGCGAGCGGCGACGTTGACGGCAACACCGCACCGCCGTTGCCACCATGCCCTCCGCCTCCGCCTCCGCCAACCGGCCCACCGCTGCCGCCTTTGACGCCGCGCCGCACCCCACCGCCACCACCGCTACCAGCAGCAGCAGCAGCAGCAGGGGGGCTACCCCCAACAGCGGGGCTGCCTGCTGTTGTTGTTGTTGTTGTTGCAGCTCCGTGTCTCTGCTGCCGCTTCTGCCGCTGAGCCTCCTTGGCCTAAGGGTGCGTACGGCCGTACGACATACCTTATCCTCCGCTCTTGGCTTACATGTAGTGCAAGACATGTAGTACGCCACATGATGATGCATTGCATGTTGAAGCGCAACTAAAGCAAGCGTCCGTGAATGCGTGCGGCATCCAACAAAAGGTATAGATCATCGCATGCCAGTATTAGCAGGCGTTCAAGTGCTGTATGGTAGAGCTAGCAGTAGCTGTCTTTCTTGCTAAAGACAGATTTGTCGTACCGCCTTCTTCGCAGCCTTGCGGGCTGCCTTGTCCGTTGCGCCGCGGCGGCGGGCGGCGGCTGATGTGTGGCTGTCTGGCTGACCCCCCATCTCATCGTCCTCCTCGTCCTCTTCGTCGCTCCCTGCAACGGAAAGCGTCACCCGCACCCGCTTGAAGGTTCCTTCTATTGTACTACTCTGTCGTACTAAGACACAGCGGTGCGGCTACGGCATAGCGAACACGCTGCAAGGCCAAATCTTCTCACTCGGCATGGGACCCACTCAAGGCATCGTAGGGCCCTCATTTGAGTCGTAGGGCCCTCAGGTAAGGATACGACAGATGCCGCAAAGCCCCACCCACCGCTGCCAGGTCTATCCTCCCGATGCGTTTCCTCCTCCGCCTCTCCTTCCTCTTTCTCCGCCGCTTCTGCCTCTTCCTCCTCCTCTTCGCCTCCATCTTCTCCAGTAGCGACGGCCCCCTCATTGGGGCGGACTCGGTCACCAGTCGCTGACCCATGGGTCATCAGCGACGCCGACATGTCGACCACAGTGGACCGAAGGTAAAAGCGCGTACGACAGGCCTCATGGTACGGCAGGGCTGCTACCGCCGAGTACGGCAGTCCGTACCGCTCTGTCGCCTCTAGCGCTGTGACGAGCCCGTAGCGTGGGTTCTGCATGTACGGCAAATGGTGTGTGTCGACAACAACACGCAGACCACTAAAAACACAGCTTAGCAGTACGATCAGCTGCGTAGAAGGGTTTGACACGGAGGGAACTTTTCCATGCATGCAAAACACAGACCGATAAGTAACGGTTAGCGGTTAACGGTTACCTTATGCTCGCAGCCTTCACACAAGCGACACCCCAGCAGTGCAAACGCATATCGGCTGGGAGCTCCACACTCAACGCACAGCGACTGGCGACGAGAGCTGAAACCCGCCTGCAGTACGACAAGCAACATAACCGCGACGTACGCTTTAAACGGGAAAACGGCAGTACGACATAGCCCCGTACGATGCAGATAGCTGTCGTACATAAGAAAGAAGTCGAGCAAAATAGATCCCAAAAGCGGAGCAGCAGCAAGGAGAAAGGTGGAGGCAGAAGAAGAAGGCCCTTTGTAGTCCTCCCGGTTCTCCCAGAGTTCGCTCTCCAGGCCACCCTGCCTACCTGCCAGGTCATCCCGCGAGGAAAGGGCCCCCAACGGAGTGCCTCACACCTCGGCTTCCAGATCTCGTCTGTGAAGGCTGTCGTACGGAGGTATCGGCAGCAGCTGCCCAGTCGAACGGCATCCTCTGCCTCCAGGAAGGGGAGAACCTAGGAGGAAGCGTAATGACGATATACCGGTATGGAGGAGCAGGAAGAGCGGGGATAGGCAAAGAGAGCGGGGATGCGGGATTCTATTTTGAGTGAGGTGCGCACGCGCTTAGTCAGCAAATTGGCATTGGCCAGAGACCATGAGCCTTATTCATTGTTTGCACATCATTGGTGCGACCACGGAACGATACTCGCGTGTCCAGGGCTTGTCCACACATGGATGGACCCTAACGCGTAGCTGAATGCATTCGCCTTTGCGCGATAATTTGGCACATAAAACATCTCGACACTCACGTTTTCGAGAAGGAGCTGCGGAGGTAACAACGCCAAAAGATCGGTGCTGCTTGTAGGGTTGTTGCCATTCTCAAGGTCGTCGCTTTCCATCCCAAAGATGGATCCTCGGCCCTTACAAGTTCAGTTTAGACATTAAGAAAGCTGCAACAGTGCAGAAGAATAGGAGTATATGCCAGAATGCCACCCTATTCCACGTCCGTCGTTTGCGCCCTTTTGAAGGACCACGATATGACAATAACGCAATTACGGTGTCAAATGTTATTCATTGTGTTCAGTACTGTTCCGTAGCTAAAGTATTGCCGACATTGTCAACGCCGGTATAAGCATTTCTTGCCAATATCACGTTGCATGCATGTTGCTCTCCGCACGGCATTTGTGTCACGAGTCCTGAAATGGCATCGCGTACAATACACAGCTAAATTTAGATCCGGGATCAAAGATGCAAAGCCACGTGTCTAGTTCGGATATGCAAGCTCGGCACATTCCCAACACCGGTTGTTGCCAACACAGGCATTTTTAAGGCATTTAGGCATGCGCCTTCCGTTAAGCTTTCAGCACAGGCCTTACTTCCCATTACCTCCCAGCGTTCTGTTAATACCGGGCCAAAAGCCAACTCACGGCTTGTAATCCTCAACCGCAAACCCCTACCCAAGTCCTTTTTTTCATTATATGCACCTCTGGCTTGCACTTCCTGCCCCGCAACCGGGCTAAGTGTTACCAGCGACGTATGCCTTAATAGGATTCCTAGCCTCCCGAAACAGGGGTTTTGGTACGGTGCCGACATTGGGGTTGCTCCCCTCCCTAGCCCAGACCCTTGCCCTCCACAAGTTTGGCTCCCGGTAATATCAACTATATCAACTATATCCTTTCCGCCACCCAACGCAAAAAGACGCCTTACTTATGCCCCCGCCTTTGTATGTAACATGTACAGAACCAAACGCTCACCACCGACCTATCCCTCAACCCCTCCCTTTCACTGCTTACACCTCCACCAAAACACCAGCCACATAACCCCTTGTGCAATCACGACGCCAGGACTAATTCCCCAATAACAGGTCCTCCTACCGGTCCTCTACCTCTACCTGCTCCATCTCCAATGCAAGCGACATGAAAAGAAGCCCCAGCAGCTCCTTCCTCCCTGAGTCGGCCCCCCCCGAGTCGGCCTCCCTCACTTGACCGCTTCCACCGACACCGGCATACCGACAGAACTCAGCAGCAGCTCCACCCACTGCTCCTTTACCACACCGTTCCCCACGGATAATCTCCTACTGCCGGTGGAGAGCACCAGAAACAGGCCCCCCCAAGAAACCGCACCGCCCACCGATACCTCTCTACTGCCAACGAGCCCATGTAGTGTACTCCCCACTGCCAGGTGACTGTAGAGCACCTTGGAGGTCCCCTAAGGACGGGCTTACGGTGCATGGTGCATGTACCACCCCCACCCAGCACAGCCAAAGAAAGCAGCGCAGCCAGCCAGCAGCCCGGCAGCAGGCAGCAGCGGCAGCAACCTAACCCGCATTGCGTGGCATACCGGTAATGGGTAATCCACAAACACCTTGAAACCCCTTCCCAGGTTGAAACGTTCCCAACTTGCCCCAACACGCATCGTCGGCATGTGCTGATTGCACTAACCATCATCATCACCCGCCATTACTACTGGAGTACCCCACCTTCAAAAGCCCCTACAAAATAATAACAACAGGAACATATTCCCCGCTCCGCAGCATCTGGGGAACCGCCAACCTCCGCCCTTGACAGAGGTGACGCCCGTCAACGGAGACAGAGACCCGCGGGTCATCAACCCAGCTGCGTTACTCGACGGCACTATCAGCGCTGCAGCGCCTGCAGGTTCAAGCCCATGGATGAGGCGTTCTGCGCGATGATGGCGGCGAGGGCGGGGTTGGTCGCCAGCAGTGCTCGGAGCTTGTCCGGGTCGCGCAGGAGGGTCTGCGGGTGGCAGGTGCGGCGAAGGAAGGATGCGGGTTGGGGTGCGGCGAAGGAAGGATGCGGGATGGGGGTGCGGCGAGGGAAGGGTGCGAAGGAAGGGTTGGGGCTTAGGGAAAGGGAGAAGGAGGCGGGGATGTGAAGGGGAAGGGTTGGGATAAAGGGAAAGCCAAACCCAGGATAGGCGTAGAATTTCAAGGCCGAACCCAGGATTGGCGTAGGTATTATAGCACCAAAACGTCACAGAAGAAGCCGTAATGACCCATGTAGCAGAGCAGCGGGTGGCCGTAAGGTGGCCGTAACAGCTCCGTCACAGCGACCACCAACTCCATAAGCAGCACATGCAGGACGCAGGAGGCGCCCTTGCAACCGAGTTAACCAGCCATTCCGAATACATGGTGAAGCGCACATGCACAGCCCTAAAGCACATTACCCTACGCGCTTTGACTCACCGCAAGCTGTTGCGATGTCATCCCAGCCGCCGCGGGACCGGGGACCCCGGCACCTGCAGCCGACTGCATCAGCAGCTGCTGCTGTTGCTGCTGCAGTTGTGCAGGCAACGGAGGCGGAGGTGGCAGCTGCTGCTGCGAGGGCTGTAGATCCGCATAAAGCGCATCCCCAATGTCACCCTGCTGCTGCTGCTGCTGTTGGACCGATGGACGCCGTTGCTGCTGCTGCATTCCACCTCCTACTCCTCCTCCTCCGAAACCACCCGTGCCGGATCCCGAGCTGCCGCTCCTAACCGACGTCAGCGCGCTTCCGCCGGATGCCGTACGCCCCACGCCCAGACCCCCGCCGCCGCCTGCTGACCCAGGGGTCGGTGCGAACAGATCGTCGTACAGGGAATCCGCATCCACGCTAGGCAGGGGCTGCAGCGCAGGGCCCCGGAAGCCACCCATGCCCATACCCATGCCCATACCCATGCCGCCGCTGTTGCCGGCGGACGTACTAGGAGGTCCTGGCAGCTGTTGCCCTCCACCTCCGGCGCCGCCGGCGCCGCCAGGCATACCCGCGGGCGGCGGTCCCGGCGGAGGCCGCGGCGGCGGCGGGCCCATCGGCGGCCGAGGGCCGGCCATTGGGCCGCCTGCGCCGCGCGGCGGCGAGGGCGAGTTGACGCCTTGCGCGTTGGCGGCGGCGGCGCCGCCGGGCGCCGTCACCGTCGGAGGCCCCGCAGCCATCCGTTGGTAGTCGTCCACGTGCTTTGACGGCGCGCGACTGCTACTGCCTCGAGCGCGCATGTCGCCGCGGCGGCGGGGCGCCGTCACAATGGGGATGTCGTCGTCAGGAGCGCTAGCGGCGGTGGTGGCGGCGGCGCCGGCCGCGCCGGCGGCGGAGCCAGCCCCGCCGGCGGCCGTGGCGGCGCCGGCAGCACTTGGCTTCGCGACTGCACCGGAGGGCCGTGGCACGTCTCGCTGGCGGCGGCGGCGGGAAAGCGGCTCCGAGGGCAGCAGCGATGCCACAGAAAGCTCCACACCCGGGGGTCCGCAGTCCCACCTGTATATACCGGTATGCATGGAGACAATTAGTCAGGATCAGTGCACATTGTGATGGTCCCATGCCCATGCCGCTTACTTCTTTGCCTTGCAAAGGTACAAACCCCGGGCGTTTCCTGGACTAGCTCCTTGTCTTCAATGGCTACGACCAGGGCTTGTCGCGGCTCACCCTAGAAGAAACCTAACCTTCCCCTCACAGGCCCTCCCCAACCTCAGGCCATAGCCCACCTGGACAGCTTCTTGCTGACGTTGCCACGCACAACACGCGCGCGGCAGTAGCGCCAGAACGACTGAGTCGCATTGTCGCAGACGGCAGGCCAAGCCCAAGCAGCAGCGGCAGCTCCTGCGCCCTCCTCGGCAGCATCAGCGTCCTCTACCGCCGCCGACCCAGCAGCACTGGCGGTTGCCGCTTCGGTCGCAGCTGCAACGGCTGCGACGTAACGCTGCGGTGCTGGCGGCGGCGGCGGGAACTCGGCGTCAATGTCGGCTTCCGTCGTCGACGCTGCCACCTCCTCCAGCTTCGATGCCACCTGTGTGAACGACACACAGCCGATGTAATAAGGAGAACCTCTTAGCAAGGGTATACACCGTAACTGCATGACGCTTTGGCGCTTCCATAATGACTGTTCCTTAACAAATGATTTACAAAATGTAAACAAAATACATGGCCATGTTACAGCCTCGAATGTCCCTCAACTCATCCCCTAACCCATGCGCACCTCGGTGCACGCCGCTGCCACCGTCATGCCCTCCTGACCCATGGGTCCGGGACCCGCCGACGACCGCGCGCTCTCCGCAGACGACCGCAGTCGGCTCGCCGCCCAGCGCAGCGCCTCCACCATGCGAGCCAGGTCGCTGCCGCCGCCCGCACCGATACCGGCCTGCAGGTTTCCGGCATTTAGATACACGTATGCGGTGAGCGTTACAGTCCCTGGGCAGTGTTATCGCCCGGTTACAGGGTATACCTGTAGACACCCCTCTGGCTTACTGCTGCTGCACACACCCGTATTGCCTACCACACCCCAGCCCGCCCGACTGCCCCCACAGCCCCCACACGCTTTCACCCACACGCTTTCCATCCAACCTTCCAATCCCTCTCCCAAACCCACCTGCGCGCTGTGCCACTTGGCCGCCCCCTGCCGTACCGCCGCCCGACCCGCCGGATACGTCACCAGCCCGAAGGAGGGACCCGCCAGCAGCAGCGCCCCCAGGCTCGCGTTGGCGCCCAGGAAGGGCAGGCAGCTGAGCAACGCCGTCACCAGCGCCGTGGCCTCGGGCACGGCGGGGACGTCCTCCTGGAAGGCGGGTGGCGGGGAGGCGGGTGGTGGGAGGTGAGTTGAAGGTGCCGTACGGATTGCAGGTTTGCATTACGCTACTAACAGCCCCAGCATTCCAGCCCAGTGGTGCTGCGGTGTAGCCCGCCAACAACATGGATCATGGGATACCCGCCTAGGCCACCACACCTGCAGTCGCTTCTCCCGAGGTGCCCCCGGCGACAGCGACAGGTCGGGATCCGCCAACAGTCGCAGCGCCTCCAGCGCCTGACCCGCCACCACCGGCACCTCCGCCGCCTCGCCAGGACCGCCGCCGCCGCCACCAGCACCACCGCCGCCGCCGGCTGCAGAGGACCCGGGCATGATGGAGGAGGAGACGAGCTTGTGGATGAAGCGCGAGAGGACGCTGACAGCTCGGGCGTCCAGAAGAGCGGCCTGGGTGGGGGTAAATAGGGGTACAGAATCCGCATTATACTTACAACATACTATACGCCTGGGCGGTGGTGTGGTGTGCGGTGTGGGGGGCTTGTTGGCTGTGCGGGGGCTTGCAAGTACCGATATAGACCGGTATAGAGTAGGTCCACCCGCACTTGCAACTCCCGCATGCAACGGTGTACAACGTGGGTCACCACTCTTATTACAACAGGTCACTCGTGCTACACACACCAGCAGCCCAAACCGCACCCCCACCCCCGCCCCTACCTTGATGGTGGGCTTGTATGCCAGCGGTACGAGCACCTCCAGCAGCCGCCGCGCATCCGTCAGCACCCCCGTACTCGCCGCCGCGCCGGCGCCGCCGCCGCCGCGAACGAGCGCCGCCAGCGCTTCCACCAGCGGAGGCGCCAGGAAGGTTGGCATGCCGCCGCCCAGGCCCGCTGCCTTGACCACCATGCGAACCGTGGCGCAGCGAAGAAGTCGGGACTCCGAGTTATAGCCGAAGGAGAGCAGCCGCAGGAACTGGTTGGATACGGTTTCTAGGGCGCTGTGCAGGGGGAAGGAAGAGGAGGGAGCGGGGGAATTGGCGGGTGGGAGGAGAAGTGAGGGTGAGTGAGGAAGGGGGCAGGGAGGAGCAGGAGAAGGGAGGAGGGCGTAAACATGTTAGGGCGTGTGGTGCGTACCCGGCATGAAAGCAGGCAAGGCCGTGTACGTCTCCTGTCAAGTTTCAACCATGCGTGCGTTGCCCCGCTGAGGAGCATCACCCCTTCTGCGTTCCGGGCGCCCAATGGGGAGGACGACACGACAGGGCCTGTGTTGGCTAACTTGACTGGTTCAAATCAAAGAGCCGTACCGCTAGCCGTACCTTGCCAACTGGGACCTCTTGGTCATGCTGGATGGCGGCGGGAACGTCGCGCTCTGCTGCTGCCCTGGCGTCGGCGGCGGCGGCCACTCTCGGGGACACATATCCGCCAGCAAGCAGATCAGGCAGTAGCTCTGCTCCGGAGACAAACACGTGCTAGCGGGCTCACGCTCCGCCGCCGCCGCTGCCGCTGAGCCTCCGCCGCCCTCGGTATCTCCGCCGCCGCCGCCCATGCTGCCAAGCACGTATGCAAGCCCAAGATGGGCCTTATCAGCGGCAACGTCTTTACGGTAGCTATGTGCGAAACCAAAGGCCGCTGGCAACACGGCGGGCTCCCAACCCGCCTCCAGCCATGCACCCAGAGCCGCTGCCGCTGCGAGCCGAGCTGGCAGCAACTCCTGCAAGCCCGACGGCGCGCCAGGCACGCCTGACGTCCCTGCGGCGGCGCCGCCAGCTAGCGACGCCGCCAGGCTGTCGTACGATAGCGCCGTGACGGCATGCGCCGCCAGCAGCGCCTCGACGACTCCGCGGCTGCGGAGACGAAGGCCGCTGCCGCTGGCGGCGGCGGTGGCGCCGTCGGCCTGCGGCGGCGCATCCGCCATTGGTCGCAGCGAGACCAACAGCGCTGACAAGGCTTGTACGGCAGCCGCCAGCAGCGCGGATGCCGTACGACGGTTTCGGGCACGCTCCACGGCGTCAATCGCGTCGCCGCCGGCATGTGCCCACGCGGCGTCAGAGGCCGTCGCTCGTACGGCTTCCGTACCCGTCCGTACGGCCCGCTCCAGAACCGGTACGGCACCCAAGCCGTACAGCTTGGCCGCCGTTAGGCGGTTGGTTGGGTTGTCGCCACGGAGAAGTACGGCAAGGAGCTCCAGGGATGAGGTGGCGGAGGCTACCCGGTGCTCTGCGGTGCCGCTGCCGCCACGGATGAGGACAATGACGGCACGAAGGTCTAGGACTCGACGGCCTCGTTGGCGTGGCTGGGCAGAAGAGGAACAATGGGCGCGAGGGTACGGCACGTAGGTATACCAGCGAGTTGGGGGAAGAGGGAGTCGTGGGGACGGCGGCAGGTACTTAGCCAATGGGCTATAAGGCATATAACTGCAAGGACAGGCTATGCTGCGGACACGGACGAACAGCGCAGCAACAAGGCAGTTCAAGACACGTCGCGACGGGCATCCGCATGACTCCCACTGCCTGCAAAGGTAATTCCCAGCCAAGCTGGCCTTCCAACCCCTCTCGTCCGGGGTCCTCCTCCCCTCTTCCCTTCTCCCCTTCTCGTCCTACCGAGCTGTCACCCTTGGCCTCCAGCCGCGGCAGCACCTCATCCAGCTGCCGTACAAGCGCCGCCGCACCACCGGACATGAGCGCCACACCCGCCTCCGCCCGACCCTGTACGACAGACAGACAGACGGTTAAAAAAGGTTAAAAGAGTGGACACCGTAACCGGATAGCATCACCATGTAACCGGAACTCCGGCGGACGTTGCGAGCTGCTTCATGCGGTACGACAGATCTGCAATTCGGGCTGGCTCACATGTTGCAACCCATGTTAACGCCTCATCCCTCAGTCAGTTAGTTGTTTCCTCTTTTACCCCCCCCCCTTGCGTGTCTTCCTGTCACACGCACCCTTGTTTGCACTCTCACATGTACTATTCCCCTCCACCCCTTACGGCCCCATGCGCCCCATGTTTCGTCGTACTCCGCATTAAACGCCTCTACTAATCTGGCCCTTCCCACTTATTGTTCCTTCCCAACTGCCGCGCCGCCGCGTCCATAGGAATCCCTTCCACGTCATATTCGCATGCTCTCGTTTCCCGTCTCGCCTCTTGATTACTACGCAACCCCTCCTTAACGCGCCCTGCCTGCTTCTTTCCCTATTTTTCCGCATATTGACAACCGCTTCCTCTTGGATACTGGACCCGCTCCTGGTGCGGCTCTGTTGGTCTGCGTCTCCAATCCTTATGGCCATGGCACTTCTGGCCTCCATCTCCAGGTAAGTTTCCCGTAACGCGTCTCGATAACATTTGTGCTCGTATACCCCATATGCGTGTTGCTTTGCATTTCGCGACCGGCGGCGCGGCGCATGTCTCCCTAGTGTTACCACGCAAGGCGGCTTCTTCCTCAAGTCGTCTCGGTTTACGGTAAGCAACGCTTCGGTAAGTAATTTGAGATGCGTGTCTTTAGAATAGTGTCTCTGAATGCGCTCACTGCATGAGTCGGGATATGGGATTGGGACTCGTTGTTTCACATATTTAATTCCCCCCCCCCCTTACCTGCAGCTCCCGGGCTGTCCTCCGCGCCTGCTCCGCATCACAGCCGATGGCTGCCAGCAACGCCGCCCCCGCGGGCGCGGCAAGCAGCTCGGCCTCCCCGCGAGCCGCGTCAGCAATGGCGCCTGCATGGATGTACGACATGCATGGCATGGGTGCATGAGGGGGTGCACGGCATCGGTGCATGGGTGCATGAGTCATTGAGCCAGCATGCTTGCATGGGTAGGAGCATGGCATGCTTGCACGGGTGTATGAGTGCATGGGTAGGAGCATGGTATGCATGGGTGTGTGAGTGGAGCAAAACATCTTCGAGAGGCTTTCCGTCCGTATACCGTACCTGCGATTGGCAGCCATCCTGCAAGCGCCTGCAGGCGGGTGTCCCGTACTGCCCACAACAGCAACGAACTGCCGTACAGGCTCTCCGGCTGGAAGGTCTGAGAGGAAGGTGACGACCGAGGAGGAGGAGGAAATGAAAGACATATGTCAGGCCGCATGCGGAGCATAGGTTGTCGTAGACGCTACGCGCAATGCGATAGCAGGAGCCCGGTAGAAGCCCGGAAAACGATTTTTCCGTATGTAGACAAATCTGGACAGTGACTGGTATAAATCGCACTCGCATTCATCGACATACCGTGTCACGCTCCTCCTCTTCATCGTACAGTAGGCCCCCCCGGCCGCCTCCGGCCCCGTCGCCACCCCCTTGACCACCCGCCGCCGCCGCAGCCAACGCCTTAGCTGCCCTAGACCTCAGCCGTACAGCCCGCAGCAACGTCGCGAACGCAGGCCGAGAGGACGACAACGCGAGCACTGCGGCTTGACGACCGGGCTCCGAGCCAGAACACATCTGAAGCAACGTGAGGATGGACGGCCCCATAGGTCCGTAGATTGCAGTGTGATCGGAGGACACGACGGCCGCAGAACCGCCCGTGCCGGCGCCGCTGCCCGCGAGAATCTTAACGGCGGCGTCAGCCGTCAGTGCGTCACACAGCATGGCAGCCAGCTCCGCTGCCGGACCCGCTCCGCTGCCGCCGCCTGCGGCGGCAGCGGCCGCCGCCGCGGCGGTAGTTACCGATCTCCGCGAAGCGGGGCAGCCGGCGCCTGCTGCAACGGCGGCGGCATCCGCCGCCGCCGGATCCAACGCCGCCGCCAGCGCGGCGACGCCAGGCCGAGATGACGGCGCCGTTACCAGCGCCAAGCCAGCTGGCGTCGACAGCAGCGGCGCTAGCATCATCCGCAGGCCAGATATGAGTGCAGCATGGGCGGCTTGCAGGTGGGATTGTGCGTACACCGCCGCCTGCTGAGCCGCTGCCGCCGCGGCGGCGGCGTCCGCGCCACCCTGCGCCGCCGCGGCGGCGGCGGTGGCCTCCAGGGCGTGACGCAGCGTGCCCGCGTGGGCATGTACGGCATTCACCGCGGCGGCCAGCGCCAGGAAGATCTGCCGTGATGCAAGCATCTGTAGCGATGGCGCGTCAAGCGCTGGCGGCTCAGGAATAGGCGGTCGGCCATCGCCGCCGGAGGGTTGCCCGATTGCTGCGGCGAGGTGCCCGCTAAGCAGCGGCACCCGATTGCTGCCGGCACCGCCAGGGCCTCCAGCGCCGGCGGCAATCGCCTCCGCCAGGTCTGGCAGCGTCGCCGCCAGCTGACGTAGCGTCATAACCGACTCCATAACCGCCGCCGCCACGGCAGCGGCGGCACTGCCGCTGTTGGCGGCGACGTCGCTGACGGGTGCTGCCGCCGCCAGCGCCGTACAGGCAACGGTGCATTTGCCTGCCAGGTCCGCTACCGTCAAACGACGCATCACGCGCGCAACGGCGGCGGCGACGGCAGGCGCACGTGGCCGTCGGAGCATGACGGTCAGTAGTGGCGTCGCCGCCGACACCGCCGGCGGCTCCAGGCGTGAGGGCGCCGGCGGCGGCTCCGCCGCTGCCGCCCCTGCCGTACTTGCTCCCTGCCTGCCGCCATCAGCCGGCCTGCCAGAGGCCACCGGATCCTCCTTGCCTCCTTTCGTCCTTGGCCGTGACCTCGACCGCGACCTTGACCGAGATCGTAGGCCCCGTGAAGATTTGGTACGCGACTGAGATCTAGATCGGGACCGTTGCCGAGATCTGGATCGAGATCTTGACCGTGACCTTGACCGTGAGCGGGAGCGGCGGTGCTTGTGCCGTCGTGACGATCCGCTGCCGCCGCGCTCCCTTCCGCCGCGACGATCCCGCTCCCGCTCCCGTTCCCGTTCACGATCGCGGTCCCGATCTCGCTCGCGGTCCCGATCTCGCTCGCGGCTTCGATCCTTGTCCCTGTCCGATCTCCGTGAGACATCGGCCCTCCGGTCGCCATCATGGGCCGTTTTCTCGGCGTCTGCACTGCCGTTTGCCACTCCTGTCGACGGCGCCGCCTTAGCGTCAACCGATATACCCACCACCGTAGCAGCGCAGCTGACAGGTTGCGATGCGTCAGCGGGTTCGCTAGCACCTGCTGCTCCGTCAACCTCACTGCGGCGGCGGCGGGCCGCCGCGCCGTCAGCAGCGCTGTCGCCGCCATCATCGTCGTCGCTGCTGCTGCCGCTGCTGCTGCTGCCACTCGAAGAGGAGCCACTGCTGCTGCTGCTTCCGCTACCACTGCTGTTACTGCTGCGGCCGTCGCCCGTGTTTCTTCGGCCGCCCTCGTCATCCCCATGTCCCTCGCCGCCGTCGCCGCCGGCTTGATCTGCCTCCGTCATCGCAGCGTCGCCGTCGCCGCCAGCTCCGCCGTCAGCGCCTTCCGCGGCGGCCTCAGCACCGGCGGCGGCCGCCACGTCGTACTCCTCCTCGCCGCCGCCGCCGCCGTAGTAATCGTCAAACTCGTCATAAAACCCTTCGTAGAGCCCTTGGTCATCTACGATCGCAACGAAGAAAATTTGAAGTTAAGGAAATTGAATATTGCACACACAAGATGGACAACACATACGTTTCCCGCCGCCAGGACCCCCTACACCAGCCGTCACCAAGGCGCATACCGGTATGCAAAAGCAACCCGGCACTTTTATCTTCAGGTGTAGAAACTGACGACACAAACTTCACCCCATCCTACTGCCTGACTGCCTACCTTCCATCACATCTGCTGCCTCCTCAGCGGCACCTCCGCCGCCGCTGCCCGTGCGAACAAGCGCCCCGGTACTGCCGCGTCTCGGCCGGCCCTCGCCGCCGCCTCCGCCGCCAGCCTTACTGGGACTCCCAACCTCACCGCCGCCGCCGCCGCCGCTGGAGGACTGCCGGCGGCGGCGTCCGTCGTCGTCGCCGTCGCCGCGAGCCTGGACGTCACCGTACATTGGGCCGTTGCCGCCGCGGTCGCCACCACCGATAGCTGGAGCTTCGGACTTGAGGCCGGCTGCAGCAGCCGCCACTCCTCTCGGCTTATCGCCTCTCTCCTCCTCTTCCTCCTCCTGCGCGGAGAAATCAAACACATGGATGCTTTCACGTAGGGGAACATGCCAGGGCGCACTAGAATCCTAGCAGCCGGACACCCCAGGCGACCTGCTACGGCCCACGCTCTAAAAGGTGCAACTCCAGCACAACCGCAGTGTTGCAAGCAAGCCGTGCATGCCCACAGCACGCGCTTCCCTCCCCAGCATTTCTCGCGGCTCAACGTATCTAATCCTTAATCATCCGGCACAAAAGCGACATCCGAGTCTTCCTCCTCTGGCCACCTGCCCCGCACCCATCCCCTTCACACAACACACACTTTCCACTTGCGGCCAGTTTCCAACTCACTTGCTCAACACTCCACATGTCCCCTATTCCTCTCTCACCCCCTGCCTCACCCCCCACCCACCTTGACCTCCCTCTTCACCGCACCCTCAGCACTCCCCGCTGCTGCCTCAGCCCCCTCCTCCGTGCCCTCCGGTGCCGGCGGCGGTGGCGGTGGCGGCGGGCGGTACCTCGCGAGCAGCACCTCCGCTGCGGGCGCGGGGCAGGTGAGGGTGAGCGCGTCGAAGCATGCCACCGCAAGCCGCACCAGGTCCGCCGGCGGGTTGGACAGGCACAGCGCCCGGACGGCCTGCGGAGCGCGGGTGGTGGGCAGGGTCAGGGTCAGGGTCAGGGGGGCAAAGAGGAAGGAGCTCTGACGAGCTGTATGACAAGGGCTCACCATGGGGCCAGGGGCAGGGGCGGGTAAAAGGGCTGATGGGGTCGCGGCAGCAGCCGGCACGTGAGATGGGAGCATGCTCAACACCCTTCCCGTCCCCACCACACCCTCCAAGACACCCCGCCCCCTCTCACCTGTCCTGCCACGCCCATGGCCATCAACAGCGGCGCCGCGGGCACACACACGGCCAGCAGCACTGCGCATGCCAGCCCCGCCAGCCCCACAGTCAGCTCCTCAAGCTTGCTGGACCTGAGAACGGGTCGGCCGAGGACGGGTGCGAGTGGGGTTGGTCAGGGGGTGCGAGTAAGGGTCGCCTAGCTCCCAACCCTGAACCCCACCTTGCATCCCACCCTTCTCAGCCCCCTTCTCAGCTCTCCCCCACCCCCACCCCCACCCCGCCCCCCTCACCTGCCCGACGCCAGCAGCAGGCACCACTCGCAAGCCATGTCGCACAGCGACTCCAGCTCCCCACGCCCCAGCGCCGCACCGCCCCCAGCCGGCTCGGCAGCCAGGAACATCTCCAGATCCGAGGTCTGACCTGCAGGGGGGGAAGAAGAGTATCCAATGTGGGGTAGGGTGGGGAGCAATGCGTTGATGATTAGGGGGGTTTAAAACAGACCAAGAGGGGGAGTCAAAGACCATACCGAACCATAGGAAGCCACAGGTTGGGGCAAAACAATGGGGATAGGAGCGGCAGGGTGCCACAAAAAACAAGTATGGGTTAGCGGTCCAAGAGAGGGAGGGGGCGGTTGGGTGTGCCAGCTGGGTGAGACCAGGGAGGTAGAGGCGGAAGAAAACGAAAACGGGAGCTGCTGCATGCCGAAACAGCAGTGTTCATGCATGCCCTCTGCCTAGCGCCTAGCCGCCTTCCTCTCCCTCCCCCCACTTTCCCTCCCTCTTTCCACCCCTCCCACTCCCCTCCCTCCTCTTCCTCCCCTCCCTCACCCGCCAGCGCCCGGCACACATGCTTGGCCGCCGCCATCACCCCCGCCAGCCGCCCCGCCGGACCGTTCGCTGCGATGCGGCCGTGGCTGCGCCCCACCTCCCCGTAGTACTCCGCGGCCACCCGCAGCGCCGCCAGCAGCGCGGGGGGGACGGACTCCAGCGGGAGCAGCGAGGAGCCTGGAAGAGGAGGAGGGTGGGGAGGAGGAGGTGAGGAGGGTGGGGAAGAGGTGGAGGTGGGGGAGGTACCGGTGCATGCACAACACCCAGCAGGGGGACAGGGGTCTCTGGGGGCCAGGAGTCTCTCTTCTTCTCCCTCCCTCTCCCCGCCCTCCCACCCTCGAGGGGCGCCCCTTGGCGAGGCAACTGTTTGGGTTGCGGCCACTTGCAGAGTGTCTCACAGTCGCACAGCCAGCTCACCCGCTGGGCGCCACCCTCTTCTTCTTCTCCTTCCTCCTCTCTCACCAACACACGCAACCCAACTCACCTGGAGGAATAAGCTGCGGAGCCGGCATGAGGACGCCGTCCGGCCACTGCCGCGCCTTACTAGCCTCACCGCCCTCACCACCAGCGGCCTGCTGCTGCTGCGCCCCTACCGACACCACCTCCGGGTGGGGCACCCGCAGCGGAACTGACATGAGCGGCTGCATCAGCCGCGGCCGCTTGGCGGCTGTGGCATTAGCAGCAGCAGCACCGGAGCCTTTGGGGGACTGTTGCTGTTGGAGTTGCTGCTGCTGTTTCCGCAGCAGCTGCACTTCCTCTGAGTCCAGTGGGTGGCCGCAGGAGGCGGCGGAACCGATGGCAGTTGCAACGACCGCAGCGGTGTCGTATTCGGTCCTGCCGTACAACTGAACGTCAACGGCCAGGTAACGGCCGCGCAGGATGACGTGGTCAGTGACCACGGGCTGTGAGCAGGGAAGGGGCGTTGTGTGTGGGGGGAGGGGCACGGAAGGGGTGTGAGTGTAAGGAAAGGGGCAGCGGGCAGGTATAAGCAAAAGACCACGCGGCAGTGATGCTGGCAAGGAATGGAAGGAGGCAATGAGGGTAGCAGAAGAAGACCCAGTACACCTTTCGGGCATCCACCCTGCATCCGAACAGCGGGACGCAGCGATGCTGCACATGCAAGTGCATGCACGCATGCGTTCCACATGCACATGCATGTGCTACAATCATCCACGCTGTCACCCCTTCCACATGCATGCAAGCATGTGCTTGCTTGCACACATGCAAGTGCAAGCGGGTGCCCTACGGGGTGCCGTACCTCCGTTGGGAAGCTGCTGCTGCTCTGTCCCGCTGCCACGGACAGGTTGCTGGGGCACAGCGGCGCGAAGCGGCAGGCGCCCGGGTGCTGTAGGTCGCGAGCAAACACCCGCAGCAGCGGCGCCTGCTGCTGGGGCGGAGGCGGGGACTGCTGGGTGCTGCCGCGGCCGGCCGTACCCGGGTCCGATAGGACGATGCGGGTGACCGTGACGGGGCAATGGAAGCGGACCTGGGGCGGGGGGGAGGGAAAGAGGAGTTGGAAAATTTGGGGGGGAGGGAGGGGGAGAGGGAGGGACAGGAGGGAGGAGGGCAACGAGGAGGTGGTTAAGACAGGAGGGCGGACGAAGGGACTTTGGGAGGCGTGGTAACTAGGAGAGGAGGGGGAAAGGGAGGGAATGGGGTGCGTGTGGGAGGCATGGTGTGAAGGAGGCCAGGTATCGGGGACGATGAAGAGGGTTTAGGAGGGACGTTGGAAGGCGCCACGAAGTGAGGTAACATGGTCAATATGAACTAGCTTAGGATGTGACCGCGTGGCAGAGGGTAGAGGGCTCGCATGTTTCTGCTTCAGCGCTAGAATCGGGTTAGCCAACAGGTCCTGCGTAGACCGCCGAGAAAGTTGCTAACTGGACTAAAACACAGCAACGAGTGTGAAAGCCCTGGCCCAGAAAGGTCTTTCTACGCTGTCCGTAACAAAAGATATCCATTTGGACTGATGTTCGGCCTATTACATATGGGAATATCAACAATGGCTTGCTTTCCAGACCCGATCACGTGCTTATGCACAAGCAGGATAGTTGTCGCGAATTAATCTTACCTCGTTAACATGATCGCCCGCCTTTTCCCTTACAAGGCTACGGGAAAACAGCAAAGATTCCTCCGACAGCAGGGGTTGCGCGACGCTGGCCGCCGGGGCCGAGCTTGCCGGAGAGGCCGCTCCTCCAGCTCCGCTCATTTGTGTGTAATGTTTGCCACTCCGTACCTAAGCTAGCATATCGTCTGTGCTTACGGTGCGGCCTGGGTCAAGCTTCGCGTCAAGGCTGTTTTTCAATTCCAGGTTCACACCCTCAGGCAAGGGCCCCTGTTAAACATGCAGTGGCTCATACCGACATATATTTTATGAAGTATACAGATCCTTGTAACCTGTTCAGTGCGGTCTGTACGCGTGGCACACAGGTACCCCCTTCGCTTCCTGTGTAAGCAGGTTCTTTGAGCCCAAGTAAATGCCTACGCTAACAGATAGCTAAGACTAGGTGTGGCTTACGCGCAAGGTGCAGGTGTACGGCACCTGCTTGACTTAACTGCTGCAACGAACTCAAGATTTTGCAGGAAGGCTTTGACTCCAACAGTGCATGCCTTCTAGAGCCGAAGACAAAGTAAGGCTGAAGTTGTCAAGCCTTTCCGCGCAGTCCTCTTCGTGTTGCCCTCCTTGCTTCTTCATCCCATACACACATAGGCCTCTCCCACGCGCATACACACCTCATCACTTCATCTTCCGACATCCCAGTACGTTCCTACTCGCGGCAGTTTTCTTAACACACCTCTCCCCCAGTGTCATTAGGAGCAAGACTCCGCATAACTTCCCTCCCCATACACGTTCGGTGTAATAGCACATCTAAGAGCTACTGACTACTCAACACTACTTGTTACTACCACCACCGTCTCGGTAACTTCCTCTCCGGTAATTCCCCCTTGGCCTTGTCACATGGTTCGGACTTTCACCTAGCCCCCGCATCAGCCACTATTGGCACCCATGCAAAGTGCCGACGAACGAAGCAAGTGGCAGCACTGTCGGGTAAAGCTTCGTGCCTTCCACCTTTATGGCACGGCGCTGCAGCGTCTGTCCTGACGCAGTGCAGTGGGCCCGCAGGCTGGCTACTTGGCAGGAATGGGGCAGGGTTCCATCCTGTGGTGCAGCCACTGCTGCGTATATCCGCCCAGCTTTTGACCGTGTCTGGCATGAACAGCGGCATATGTTTACCTGTGCCAGCACCACTACCGTACATTGCAGGGTTAGTGCGTATCTGCATGCCATGTCGCGCCTATGCTCGTCGCAATGCTCCCGACATGGGCTGGAGAGGGGGCTCAGGCCCACTCCCAGGCGACCGAGCCGTTGCTATTCCGGATGCGAAGCTAATACCGTAACTAATGAGCCTCAGGATCAGCTTTAAAGGCCTGTGATGTCCGAACTCCGAAGCTCCGAACCTAATGCATATGGTTTCGGCGCCGCACGTGTAAACGTCGCCATGTTCGTTCGTATAAGCTCGTGTGAAGTCATTGTCTGCTACGGAGGTGTGCCTTCAGTTGTTAACGACCGGGGCGCGCTAGTCGCCCGTTTGGGGCATGTGCGCTTATAATGCAAGGGCACAGCAGCAGGAATTCCTATGAAGCTCACCCTCTTCCCCCACCACCAACCGCAATTTGAATTGCGCTGCTGAAGGTGCACCGGCAAAACGCCTTGCTATTATTGGCTTTATTTAACTGGTACTCGCGCCTAAAATGCAGCTGTATCCCTATTCACTGAAACGTGTATTAGAGAACGAGTCTCGAAACGATGTACTTGCTGATGTTAAGACTGGTGTTCAACTGATTTCCAATGGCGCCTAGCGTGGGGTAGGTGGGCGCTGCTACGAGCCAATGCTCCGCCGCCCGCCTTTTCTTACCTAGGCGGCAATGACCAGGTTCCCATTGAGCTGAATACTATTTATGCTTATCTTCTATTCCATACCCGTGATGAACTATGGCCGGTTCCAAACGGTTACCGTAGTCGCAAATGTCATAACTACCGGTAATAGGAAACTTCGGCATGCAAAGAAGCAGCAGGTCATGTCGTCTTACTGTGCCTTATGACGCTAATCGAGGTAATATCCTTCTGGATTGGCCAGTGAAAAGAACCATGGCAAACCGTGTCGGTCAAGCTCCATGTACATACATACATGTGCAAGTACCGGTAAGCTAAGCATTTCAGTAACCGCGGCTACTGTTAGCATAGTTGCCGAGGCTACAGTGTGTCCCCCAAGAGAACGACTTGAGTCTTGGCTACCAGGGCGATCGCCTGTTGAAGGCGATACCAATAAAGCTTCCGTCCAGGAGCTTGGCAGGCATGCGCAATGCTGGTCTGCCGTGCACTACAGACAGCACATCCTATTGCAACGCGTTCCAGCGCATGGGCAGGGATGTCCTGAACGCATTTGGAAGTGCAAGGCGTATAACAACAGTCAGATTGCGCCCATACATGTTAACGCCTCGACGCCAACGTTAAGTGGGATGCGGACGTCTAATGTTCAGTGACCCTGGACTTACATGTGGCCATCACAACACGGCCTTACCCTAAAGTCAACCATATCTCGAAGTTGACTCGTCGAGCCACCGCGGGCACCTTGATTTCTGGCTTCAGATCAGGTCAGATCGCACGGGAGCAGTCGTCGAGGACAAATGGGCTATACAGGGCTACACCTTGCATCTTAACAAGGCTTTGCGAGGAAAGATGCCACACGGTCGGTTAGTTCACTCCATTACCTAGAAGATCGGGTGCGATGTAATTTGGGACGAAGGTACAGCGTTGGCCCGCCTTCCTTCGAGCGCGGCCCGCTCCCGTGCAGACGCACCGGCGCAGTACCTTCCTATTGGCGAACAGCGGTTGGTATTGCGATCGCTTGACCCATGCATCGCACCTACAACTCCTGTGTACGATATATCTTATCGATTACATGTTTCGCTTGGACACTCGTAGCCACTTGTAGCTAAACCGGCGACACATCAACAAGCTTAGGGCATATAGTTTATTGTTCTGCATGCATTGCAAACACTAATCAGACGGCATTATAGACTACGAGGCTCCTTGCTCTGAAGGCAATTTATCAATAGTTTCCGTACGGTGGCGAACGCCGATATGTCAACAGTGCTATATCTTATAGGTCGCTACATTACATAAGTAGTCTTACAGAGTAGGTTGTAGTCCTGTTTGGTAATTAGGAGATAAACAGGTGGTTAAGCCATAGAATACAGTTTAACCCTTGTAGCCCCACGTCGGTTTCTTACCCGCTGTGCCAACGTGACGCTCATCAGTGAAGTTAAGCAGCTCGTGCCAAAAGGGTTGCTTGGCGGTATTCGCCGAGGCGGCGACGACGGCCCGGCCGGACGCTTCCGCGTAGCTCCTGGACTCTAAATCTTCGTAATCAAGCAGGAGGTAAGGTCTTCTATGCTAGACATGCCTAACGCGGCATTTATAGTTACTTGCTGGTTTGCCGCGATGGCCAACCCGTCACACCTCATCCGCGAAACACTTCCTAAACACATATAAACAAAACGTAGCATCATGCACTTGCATTCTTTAAAGAAATATATCTACGCCTGGGCCAATTACCATCGTGGCTAAAATTCTTTATTAAGCCCGAGTCCGCCATCATTTTCCAACTGGCAGGATATATAGCCTTAAGCTTGACAAGCACTTCCGTTTTTACTAGACCTGTGTGATTGCTGCACTTTCTCTGCAACGCCTTCCAGGGAAAACCTTAGTTGGCCATCGCAGAGATGGCCCGCGGCTGGGCCTCGAGGCTTAGCCTGGCCCTCGTAGCTGGCCTGCTATGCGCAGGTATGCTTATGGTTGCATAACAGTCTCTGAACGATGACCACTTGCAAGGTCCTAGTAGACGTTCGGGTAGTTGTTAGTTCGCATCAGTATGGGAAGGATACTGGTATACGCCACTGAGGTTAGTAAGAACGCTAAAACTGACCTATTGCGAGCGCAGTTGCAGTTTCTGCGACGGCGCTGGATCGGATGTCCCGGGATTCCTTCCATTTTGGGCGCAGCTTGACTGCCGTGGACCCAAACAGCGGCTTTCCATACTGCAAGTAAGTATTGCAAAAGGAGCTGAAAGGAGGAGCAAATAGTACTTGCTATCTCCCAGGTCGTATCGATCACTTGCAAACCGTGCATGCTGTGTAGTCCAAGTGTCCAAGTGTACCGTAGCCTGCTGCTTGCCCACACAACAAACATGGGCGCCTGCTGTAGCAGGCGTCCTTCTCACAACTTCCGTACTCTCCACATGCTGTAGGTGTGACACGTACGACTGCACCTGCTCGCCGTACAACTTGACGTACGCTGGGGCCGCACCGGTAAGTTGAGAAGGACGGGACCGGCCTTGGGCCTAGCAGGCACGCACCTAGGGGCAACTACTCTGATGGCCACGCGATGGCAGCATGCCTCCATGCTACGGGCCTGGTCCCCGTCTCCCCGAGTCAAAAAGTAGCATTTTCACTCCCGTAAATTCCATTTCCATGTTCTGAATATCCTATTCGTCTCGGCGGCTCTGCAACTTCCTAAATTGCCAAGCACGTCCTTCATGCACGCACAGGGGCATGCGTCCCTCACGGTTAGCTGCCCCATCCTCATTGACATTGCATGCCGTACACCAGTAATAGAACTCCCTTTGGTCCTTGCACGCGCTCTTTCTCATGCATCATGCATTACAGCATTAGATGCCGTACACTCGGCTGCCCTCTGTGCGGCACTCACCTCCTGCGTGCTACATCCTCCCATTCAGGGCTTGTCAGCTAAATGTACCACTATCACACCACACATTGGAATTCCTTTTTCCCATCCAGGCCGGCAACGGAACAACTCGCTACTGCTTCAATGTGGGTTACCTGGGCTGCCCCAAGAGCCGCAGCTGCTGCCTGGCACTGAAGCAGTCCGTCAGCAAAATCGCCTTCACAATCGGTGCGTCATCTGTGGGTTCAGGTTGTGAAGCACGGTGTTCAACATTAGTACGGCAGCGTAGATTGCCTTTAGGTTTGCCGCGTCACTCGAAGGCAGTGAGGGGTGCGTGCGTTGCCCGGGGGGTGCATGCGCATGCGCTGATTGCCAGAAGCCGCGTTACCGAATCTGCGGTATGGCATTGCGGTTCGGCATGTGCTTAACACCGGTAGACTTCTTAGCAGGTTGCGATGTCTGGCCGTGACTGTTTGGAGGTGACATGTGGGCTGCTGCCGCATGCGCACGTGTTTGGTAATCCATGTCTCCATGGGTTCGTGTTTCCATGTTTGCGTGCAGGTGCTGATTGCCAGAAGCCCTCCATTTCCAAGGTGGAGGTCAACGGCAAGAGCTGGCTCAGCTGGCTGACTGTGGCCTGGCCGCAAAGCACCGGAGGTACGTACGAGCGAGAGTACGACAGACCGGCAGCTCCCCGCACACGCCGTACTTGCATGGTCATGTCCACAAAGGACACTCCTGCTGCTGCGCCTGCAAGCCCATGCATGTCCTAGCCAGTCAACCTGCACAACTCCTAACAGCAATTCCATCAAAGGGACTTCTATGCTGGCTTCTGGGCCTCCCTGCCGTACTATTACGCACCAATTCTCTTCGCCGACTTCCTGCTCCCCTTTCAGGCGCTTTGCGCTGCACAAGCAACCTGCACAGACCCCTTGCACTAACCCCTTGCCTAACCCTCCAATTTATGCATACCCTCAATGCATGCGCCCGCTACATTGCATGCGCCCCCTCACTGCAGTCACCGGCTACGAGCTGCGCGTGTACGACCTGGCAGCCAACGCCACCACCTTTCCCAACTCCAGCATCTGCATTACCGCGAAGGCGCCCTGCTCCAGCATGACCAGCTTCTGCGACCCGGACACCGCCTCCTGCATGTGGGTACGGTAGTGCGTGTGGTGAGGGTGATGAGTGGCATGGCGGAGCTAGGTGTTGGGCCAGCAGGGCCCTGGTGGTGGGGTCAAGCCCGTGTGGTGTTGAGTCCAAACAAGGAGTTTACGGTAGTGATAGGTGACTGTCAGTTTCTTCCTACTGGTTTGTACTTGTAAACATGACACTAACCGTGTCTTCTTGCGACTGACCATCCTCACCTTGCTTTCTTTTTGGCGCGCGTGACGGCCTTACGCTTCCCGGTTTTCCCGTGCTCCCGTATGTGAAAAGCATCTCATCTTTTCCTCACCCTTCTTCTCCCCTCCCAGGTACATGGTCTCGGAGTCCTCTTACGCGCAGAACTGCCCCGTCTGCCCCATGCCAAACTCCAAGTACCTTCCACCGCCGCCGCCTTCACCTCGGCCTCCCTCGCCGCGGCCTCCGCCGCCGCCGCCGCCACCCTCGCCCCCGCCGTCATGTGATTTGTGCGCATGGGTGTATGTGCAGCCTCCCGCCGTGTCCGCCTACCCGTCCTTCACCTTTAACGCCACCTTCTGTTCCTCTATGGGTGCCAACATGGCCTCCTCCCTTAACAACGTAGCCGCCGCTGCAAAGGCAACGCTGCTAAAGTCATTCAAGCTGGACACCTGCTCTTCAGCGCTCAACCGGGCTGCCGGCGTGTATCCGTACATCAGGGTTTGCGGCTCCTTCTTCTCTTCCGCGGATAGCGCGAAGCTGAAAGGGGTCATCGACTTCCTGCAAATGAGCTGGGTCAATTTGATTATTGGCAATGGCCCTTGCCCAGCGCGCTTCTCACAGTACGATTTCCGTAGCGTTGTGGCTTCACCCTTCGGCTCGCCTGGCTGCCTGTACAGTGAGTATCTACCGCCGACGTGCATGGTGCTGCCCCCGCCGCCACCGCCGCCCCCGCCACCACCGCCGCCGCCACCGCCCAGCCCGCCACCACCGCCGCCCCCGCCGCCGCCACCGCCACCCCCGCCGCCGCCCCCACCTCCACCACCGCCCACGCCACCCCCGCCGCCTCCGCCGCCTCCGCCACCACCACCCTCACCACCTCCACCTCCACCCCCGCCGCCACCGCCACCACCTCCACCGCCTCCGCCCCCGCCGCCGCCACCTTCCCCTCCTCCACCTCCGCCCCCTCCCCCGCCGCCGCCGCCACCTCCCAGTCCGCCCCCTCCTCCACCGCCTCCGCCGCCTCCGCCGCCCCCGCCGCCGCCCCTGCCGCCTCCACCCCCTCCACCGCCCCCCCCGCCACCGCCTCCCCCTCCCCCGCCGCCGCCGCCACCCTCCCCTCCCCCGCCTCCCCCACCGCCGCCGCCACCTCCTCCCCCTCCCAGCCCTCCTCCCCCGCCCCCTCCTCCACCACCTCCACCGCCGCCGCCACCTCCCTCACCGCCTCCTCCTCCTCCACCGCCACCTCCTCCACCACCTCCGCCTAGCCCTCCGCCTCCTCCTCCACCCCCACCGCCGCCACCTCCACCTCCGCCGCCGCCGCCGCCGCCTCCCAGCCCGCCTCCACCGCCACCTCCGCCGCCTCCACCCCCGCCGCCACCTCCTCCTAGCCCCCCTCCGCCTCCTCCACCTCCGCCGCCCCCGCCCCCTCCGCCGCCGCCGCCTCCACCGCCGAGTCCGCCTCCGCCGCCGCCTCCACCCCCGCCGCCACCACCACCTAGCCCACCGCCGCCGCCGCCTCCACCGCCTCCACCCCCGCCGCCACCTCCACCTAGCCCACCTCCGCCTCCCCCTCCACCGCCTCCACCCCCGCCGCCACCGCCACCTAGCCCACCTCCGCCGCCGCCTCCACCGCCTCCACCCCCTCCCCCTCCTCCGCCTCCTCCTCCACCTCCTTCACCGCCCCCGCCCCCACCTCCGCCGCCGCCGCCTCCCCCACCGCCACCTCCTTCTCCGCCCCCGCCCCCGCCTCCGCCCCCGCCTCCCCCACCCCCGCCTCCACCCCCACCTCCCCCTTCTCCGCCCCCTCCTCCTCCACCGCCGCCGCCCCCTCCTCCACCCAGCCCACCACCCCCACCTCCGCCCCCGCCGCCGCCCCCGCCTCCGCCGCCTCCCCTACCTCCCTCTCCACCCCCTCCGCCGCCTCCGTCACCGAAACCGCCTTCGCCTCGTCCACCCCGCCCTCCCTCGCCCAGGCCGCCTTCCCCTCTCCCCCCCTCACCCGCACCTCGCCCGCCTTCGCCGCCACCACCCAGACCGCCTAGCCCCAATCCACCACCACCACCGCCACCGCCGCCACCCAAGCCCTCACCACCTAGTCCCTCTCCTCCTCCTAGCCCCCCTCCACCTAGCCCAGGCCCTCCCAGCCCACTGCCTCCCAATCCTCCACCACCCTCGCCACCACCACCCCGTCCACCCCCACCCAGCCCGCCCCCGCCGCCCAGCCCACTTCCCCCATCACCCCCACCGCCCAGCCCTCCCCCTCCCAATCCACCGCCGCCCAGCCCGCCCCCTCCTTCGCCACCACCCGATCTGCCGCCTGCGTTCCCACCTCTGCAGCCCGCTAAGCGTAGACCGCCGCCCCCGCCACCCGCCAAGTCCCCACCGTCCCCGCCCGCACCCCCTCCGCCACCGCCCCTGGTGCAGGTACGTAGCCTTACTTGGCGCATGAAGCAGGCTGCTTGGGGGCTCTGCGCTTAGCGTCGTTAATGATCAATGCTTGAAGCAGCGCGCAGGCAACGTATGTTCCCATGCATGGAACAGGGCTTGTGTTGTTGGTGTATAATAATAAACCGTCATGAAGCTTTACAGCGGCCTTGAAGCGCTTATCTTACCGCGCGCCTTCAACTCACCTACAACCCTCCCTCCCCTCCCATGCAGACCCACATCTGCCCCCAGTCCACGATGAATGTGCCGTACAATCTCTCCAGCCTGACAGCCGTCCGGAGCGTAGATCAGTACGGCAGCCCAGCTATCATGATGTGCACCCGAGTGGCAGCACAGGGCTGCAATGCAGCCGCGCAGTGCTGTGGCATGGATTTCGCAAAGGTGTGTGTGTACCGGTATGGCTGCCAGAGGTTGAGGCTCCTCTTACCATTGCCGTACTACTTCCATGGTGCTGCTTGACGCTCGGCGCGTATACTTGCTGAATGTATGACCATTAATTGCTTATGCCGTTGTTGCATGCCGCCGCCTCCACCTCCTTTCAAACCAGTCCATTTGTTAACGTGGCCTGACAACCGGATACCGTGCCATTGACTGCAATGCAACGCACAGGTGGAAATCATCATCAACCCAGCCTGCAAGAGCGATATCCGGCGTATCACGATCAACGGCAAGGAGGTACCGTACAGCTGGGGTTTCTATGATGACAACGTCTCGCTCAAGTTCGTCAATCTGATCAGGTATGCATGAACACCTTTAGGCGAGATGGATGAAATGATCGATCCATCGTCGTTCCTCCTGCTGCCTAGGTCGTCACGGACCTTGTGCGCCTTGCAGCCTGCCTCTCCTCCTCTCTGCAGTCCTTTGCTATTCCCATCTCTCCCACTCCATTGCTCTACCTCACCCTACTCTACACCTTAGTCACATCCTGCCGCAACCCGCCCTCACCTGGCCCTGCTGCCCTCGCCTGCTGCCCCCCGCCCTCCCTCTGTCTCCGCATCCGCCAACATACAGCTTCCTACCCAGTCCGGATGGAGCCAACCTTTGCTGGTACGTCAGGAACGGTGCGTGCAACAGTCCCTCGACCTTCTGCTACAACGGTCTTTGCCAGGTGAGTTGGCACTGTTCCCAACAGCAGCCAGGACTCAACCACCGTTTATGCACGAAGTCCTTAACGTCGTTGTTTTCAACCACATGCACGAGTCCATCATGCGCTAAAAGCAGCTGCTGCTACATATGCCGTACTGAAAACCAGTTGCAGGCTGCTGTAGATAGCACACCTGTAGCGGCCAGGTTAGGATTATGTAATACAGTTTTTCTTATCCCCGTAAAAGTCGCATTCTGATGGTGCCTTCAACAGGTCCTTTGTCGTTGCTTAGATAAAAACCTCTAAATACTTTCTATCCCCGCAGGCTAATGCATTTTCAAGCGACAACAAGTGCTGCCCTGCGTACGTCGTTTATTAGTCCCGACGCGCGCGTGTATGTGCGCCAAGCAACAAAAATATATGCGAGCACAGCTTACAGTTCGTGCGTGTGTTGCTTGGTGCTAAAATTGGTGTTGGGGACTAGATACTCTGCTCTGTGGGCAAGGCTTCCATCCGTGCAATCCGGAGGGAGTTGCTGCGCAGAGAGGGAATTCCACTCTTCATGGCAATCGTTCGCTCAGTGGTGTGAGTATTGCAGACGATAACGCACATCAAAAGAGCAAAAAAAAGTAAAAATAAGTGTCTGTCGGTTGCCCACGCCACTTGTGTGGGTGCAGGTTGCTGCGTGCGTGACTTGTCTGTTGTAGTACGGTATGGAAAGGCATGATGTTACTAGGCAACATAGGTGAACAGAAGAAAGGTGCAGTGTGTGTAGAGCTCTTATGTTGACCGCAGGATGAGCCAGATAAGATATGTATGCATGTCCCACTTGTGCCGTTGCACACGGGGCATATAGCAGCAGGTGTACTTGACGGGGGCATCGGGGTGGGGTAGGTTGCGTGCATGGTTGAACTTTCGATATGATGGAGTCAAGCTTGGTTTTGAGTGTTGCAGGAAAGGCGTACCGTGCCAAGGCACAAGCCTGTAGAACCCGCTCGCTCCTCGTAATGCATGCATGCCAAACGGCGTGCCAAACGTATGAGAGATGTAGCAGAAGAAAGACCTGGTGGGAGTAGGCGGATGACGGTGACTGTAAAGCTGAGGTGCTGAGTGAGCCTCGGCACACACAATACCGTACTCTCGTACATGTTTGGCTGGTATGCGGATAAATGTGTGAATTATGCCTTGCCTGGTGGCGTGCTGGGTTGGCAAGGTTGGCCGGACATTCTGTCGCGCCCCGTTGCCGGCGTATGGGCGCGACAATTCCTTGTTAAATGGGGCTGCGCACATACTACGCTTGATTGCCTCTGGTTGCTTTTGATGATGCGGCCAGATGTGGCCTTTATTCTTTGCTATTCTCCTTCTTATACCCCCCCAACGGCGTTGTTGCATGGTTAGCGCTCTGGGTAGAGGCTTTTGGCGGCACGTTGCTTACATAGGCAACCGGCAGAGACGTGTCTTACCGCATGGTCTCTACCAATTGTGCAGCAGATTGCGTTCAAATCCTCCCATGCCGTACATTTAGCCGCCGTATCATGGTACTGTTGGTCTGTAACCTAACCGTTGCAAGGTTCTTAATGGGCTACATGGGCTGCACCAACGTTTTGTTTGTTTGTTTGTAATTGGTGCAGCAGGCGTTTTCTCAGAGGCATGGAAGTCCACACCCGCCGTGCATTAGGGCTTAAGCGCTAATGCAGCTTAGAAGCGCAGCCGTCCGTCTGCAACTCTGCATGCTACCTGTTGTGGCGCGTCCCGGGTCTCCATGTCACCTGAGGTCCGCTTGATTGCCATGCGCCTCCAGGGAACGCAAGCAAGCCTACATGCCGCCGGCGGGAACTATTACAAGGGGGGGCCGAACATACCGTACACATGATGAGTTGGGTCACGACTGGGGCAATCGGGGGCTTTGGGAAGTGTGTGGTTTCCTGAACAACAGGTATCATAGGCAGAGCCATCAATGCTGAAACGATGCCGTGCGCAATTGAAGGGCTGCGAGTTACCGGTACCCCCTAGGCGCGGCACCCAAACCTACCGGTACCTCGAGAACGAACGTACCACCCAATTCACTACTATTTGTGTCGCCGCACCGCAGGCAGACGTGTGCCCTTGCTCGGAATGGCGTGGCAGGTAGCATCACATCCCCGCTTCCATGCGTTGCCGATGAGTATATGCACGTATGTACCTTGGCTGACTCAGTATGCGAACCGGGAACAGTAGCAGCACAGTAGCCTCGTGGGTCCAAGGGCATCTGCTGTATGTCGTTGATTGTCTTACCCGTCCTTTCATTCGTCTTTAGCCCGACGAGCATCGCCAACCGGGCTAACATCAAGCTCATCACATGATACTTGTCGGCATCGCTTGAATGGAAATGCACCCCCCCTAGACAGGGCTGCCACTAGCACAGGTTCCCCAATTGCACGGGCAGAAGTTGCAACATAGACTTCAAGAATTGCTGTTCGACAAGTGCTTATAATCAACCTAGCGCACTTAATGGCACCACAGCGCGCATTACATGAGAGTTGTATGTGAAGCGGCTGCTCAAGAAAAAGGAGCGCAAGCGCACGGCCATACCCCAAAAGCAACCGAATCGTTACACCTGCCCGCTTGTTACAGAAGTCAAGTGCACTAGCAGGTGGTCGACATGCCTGGCATCTCCTTGAGTTACGCTCGGAAGATGGCCTGCAAAGTGACCTCGGCAGCAACAAGTCAGCTAATAAGCTGGCTCAGAACGCGGACTTTCAACATTAAATGGGTTATAATAAAGCCCGTTTTGCACTCATGAACAGCCTGCCCACCCATTGATGTGAGTACCGGTACCGGTAGTTGGAAAACGACACTGTACACCAATGTACAAGCTAAGCGCGTCTTCTTGGTTGTACCCCTTATACAACGGGTTTGCGTTTAGCTGGCTGTGGCCTGTTTTGTAAAACTGCGTCTTCAGTTAGTCGGCAACCCTAATCACTAATTGCAAATGCAATCATGCCTGTTTCGTTAACCTGTCTTGAAACATATATATTAGCGGGGTCAACCAAGCACCGTTCGAAAAGCTGCAGAAACGCTACTATCCTTTTGCATTACACCGGTAGTTCCGTAAAAACGCATCTTGGGAGTAAGTTGCAACAAACAATTGTATAAAGGATAAAACCAAAGACGTGTACCTAGTGCATTGATATTCCCAGGGTCAGGGGCGGTCAGAACGTGGACATGATCTCCTGAATTAGCGCAACGTTTTACAGCATTAAAACCTGCGGCCCTGTACAACTCTCTAACAAACTAACAATATAATGGCCATCAGGTTTACCCCTTGCTTGCCACAACGTTCTCTACTTCATGGTCATGCTCACAGTGTACGGCACAGCGGGTGCGCACACCTCGAAGCTTTTTTCAACGAGAAGGAAAGTGCGTTACAAATTACTTGGCCAATAGGGCATTTAAGGCTTGTGGGCCGCAGAGAGGCGCGCACAGGCCCCTGAGGTCTGGCCTCCTGATTGCAAAATGGCCGCCGAGGGCCTTTGCTGGCGCAAGGCCCCCGGGCTGAAGTTAGCAGCGCTGTCGTTTCTGATCATCTCAGGTATGTTTCCCGCTGGTTGCGTCGCTGTCTTGCCGACCTACTGGGGTGCGTCGCATATCCTCGTCGAACCGATCAATTATTGTCGTAATTCCAAAGCATGGCCAAATGCGTGGATTATATTTAGGAGATTTTGGGTTGGAAGACTTCCGTGGCTTTCCTGTTCCGGCGGGGGCTTTAACGGGACAATGTGCCATGGCCTGCCAGAATCTGAACTGGAGAATCATGCGCAAACATGCCGCCATAGTGTATAATCTGTAACTGTCTTTCTAAATTCTTTGCAGTCGTCGCGTTTGCGGAGAGGCCCGGTACCGTGTCCCAAGGGACCACGCGTCGCAGCCTGCTCACAACGGGCAGCAAGTTTCCTTACTGCAAGTAAGTATAATCCCAACAAACGTCTTCCTTGAGCACATTCCTGTCATTTGCAACTCTGACTCTTTTGACGTTAAATTTCAATACTGGCTCCTACCACAGGTGTGACACGTACGACTGCACCTGTTCACCATACACCCTGACTTACGCGGGGTCTTCCTCCGTAAGTATCCTCGAGACTCTTCTAGACATTTCCAGACATTTTTAGTTTTTGCCAAGTCCCTCTCTCACCTGCTATGTTCCCATTAACATGTTTTCTAACAACAGACCGTCAACGGCAATCGCTACTGCTTTACTATCGGCTACATCGGCTGCTCCAGCAACCGAGCCTGTTGTACGGCGCTACAACAGTCCGTTAACAAGATTTCCTTCACAACCAGTAAGCAACCGTATTTCAACTACCACTAACGGTATCAGCTGCGAGACGTTAACTGTGTTATGTTGCATGCACAAAATTGTAGATAGCGCTCAAGGACGTCGGCGATTCATAACTACCAGGCAGTATGCACGATGCATGCATTTTGGATGGCTACCGTGAATGGCGAAGTAACAGAAGCGTGTTGCTGCATTGCGTCCCATGCACGGCGGTGATTCCCGCAGGCTCTGTCTGCCAGAAGCCGTCAATCACGGCGGTGGAGGTGAGGGGCACCAACTGGCAGAGCTGGGTTACTAAGGCATGGCCCATCAATACGGGTAAGGTGGTTGTCGTTTGTATCGTACAGACCGTTGGTGGTTGCTGTCATCGCAGAGGTTGTTGTTGTACCTATGGTAATAAGCCATGGTCTTCATTATGCTTTTGGTGCGTGTGTGCTAGCTGCTAGGGACACTTGCACGCTATTGAACTGCTGAGATGACAAACATCTCCCTGCCAAGCCCCTCTGTAACGCATTGCCGTTGTCGTTGCACCCAACGGCTGCACTGCATCCAGGCTACGTGAGCTCAGGTTGCCCATAATAAGTTGACATAACTCGACATATATAGACCGCATGGCAAGACCGCAAGCAAGGCCCACATCATAACGGCGGAGACTGTCAAAGGATGGACTGGGCTGATGCAGGGAATCCTGATAATAATGGGCATGCGGGTACACGCAGGCACCGGGTACGACATCAAGATCTACGACCTGCCGTACAATTCGACCACCTTTCCGGGCACCACCATCTGCATCACCGCCAAGTGGCCATGCGCTGACATCTCCGATCTCTGCGACATGAATTCCGGCACGTGCCAGTAAGTCATTGCGCGCTTTTGGGACCCATGGGTCGCTTGCTGCCTTTCGTAGTTACCGGTACTTGCAGGCGGCGCCAACTGCTGCCGATATAGCCTTGTACTCCCCTACCTACACACGTGTTGCATCTTGGTAATGGTTTAACCCCTGCTAAACGACATGCCCATGCACGGCCCTCATCCTTTCAGTGCGCTGTCGATGAGGGCATTCGCATGACCTCAACTCGCACACCTACACGCCCACGCTCGATGCATTTGTGCTTCCGATTGATAATGATGCATGTCATTCCAGCTCATCCTGGCTGCTGGCCCTGGCTGCGTCCCGATCCATGGTCACGGTCAGTGTTTCCTCGCGGCTAAGTTCATCTAATCCCCCGCTCGCAGGTTCTCCCTGGCGGAGTCCTCAGACACGGTGTATTGCCCCGTGTGCACCGTCCCCGGCACCGTCCCGCCGCCCCCTGCACTGCCGCCCCTGGCCCCTGCAGTGTACCGTCCCCCGAGCCCCCGTCCCCCGTCTCCTCCCCCTCCCAGCCCCCCGCCTCCCAGCCCCCCGCCTCCCAGCCCCCCGCCTCCCAGCCCCCCGCCTCCCAGCCCCCCACCGCCCAGTCCTCCACCACCCAGCCCGCCGCCCCCGCTTCCTCCGCCGCCATCGCCACCACCGCCGCAGCCGCCTTCTCCCCCGCCGCCGCAACCGCCGCCGCCTTCCCCGCCCCCGCCGCTACCGCCGCCTCCCTCGCCCCCGCCGCCTAATCCTCCACCTCCCTCTCCGCCGCCGCCACGGCCGCCCTCCCCGCTCCCTCCTTCCCCACCCCCTCCTTCCCCCCGGCCCCCCTCTCCTGGGCCTCCCATGCCTCCGCCACCTAGGCCCCCACCGCCCTCACCTTCGCCGCCTAGCCCACCTCCTCCCTCTCCCCCGCCTCCCAGTCCTCCGCCTCCTTCTCCCTCTCCTCCACCGCCACGCCCTCCACCCCCATCGCCCCGGCCCCCTTCTCCGCCTCCATCCCCACCACCACCTAGCCCGCCTCCGCCCTCCCCGCCTCCTCCTTCTCCGCCACCACCCTCCCCGCTACCACCCTCGCCGCCGCCACCCTCCCCACGGCCCCCTAGCCCACGTCCGCCCTCACCGCCGCCTCCTTCCCCTCCGCCACCCAGCCCCCTTCCCCCTTCCCCACGGCCACCCTCTCCCCCACCTCCCTCTCCCCCACCCCCTAGCCCCCCTCCTCCTTCCCCACCACCGCCCAACCCGCCGCCTCCTTCTCCTCCACCTCCCAACCCTCCTCCCCCTTCTCCCCCTCTACCCAGCCCTCCGCCTCCATCGCCACCACCTCCACCGCCTCCCTCCCCCCGGCCACCCAGCCCTCCTCCCCCTTCTCCACGGCCCCCGGGCCCTCCACCTCCCTCGCCCCGTCCCCCAAGCCCTCCACCTCCCTCTCCTCCCCCGAGCCCGCCACCCCCCTCTCCCCCTCCCCCTCCTCCTCCGCGGCCCCCGCCGCCGTCGCCCCCTAAGCCGCCCTCTCCCCCTCCTCCCAGGCCCCCTCCACCTTCTCCACGCCCACCTCGCCCTCCGGTACCTCCGTCGCCCTCGCCTCCATCTCCCAAGCCGCCCAGCCGCCCCCTCGACCCCCCCCGCCAAGCCCCCGGCCCCCGTCTCCTCGCCCTCCTTCTCCCCCTCCGCCTCGTCCTCCGCCCCCCTCCCCTCCGCCCCCCTCTCCCCCACCCCCTAGCCCTCGCCCTCCCTCTCCCCCACCTCCAAGCCCGCCGCCTCCCTCTCCCCCACCTCCAAGCCCGCCGCCTCCCTCTCCCCCACCTCCAAGCCCGCCGCCTCCCTCTCCCCCGCGTCCAAGCCCGCCACCTCCCTCTCCCCCACCTCCAAGCCCGCCGCCACCCTCTCCTCCTCCTCCAGGACCACCCCCTCCATCCCCCCCTCCCCCCTCCCCACCGCCTCCTTCCCCTCCCCCTCCTAGCCCGCCGCCCCCTCCCAGCCCGCCACCCCCCAGGCCCCCGCCACCCAGCCCTCCCCCGCCTTCTCCACCACCCAGCCCACCCCCGCCTTCTCCCCCACCCAGCCCACCCCCGCCTTCTCCCCCACCGCCCAGCCCGCCGCCTCCTTCCCCACCTCCCCCTTCACCACCGCCTCCTTCGCCTCCACCTCCCAGCCCTCCTCCTCCCAGCCCCCTACCCCCCAGCCCGCCTCCTCCTAACCCTCCACCCCCCAGCCCTCCACCTCCTCACCCCTCGCCTCCCAGCCCGCCCCCACCCCTCGCCCCTGCGGCACGCCGCAACCCGCCGCCCTCCCCACCCGCCCCCTCCCCATGCAACGTCTGCGTTACTATTACCATTAACCCGCCAACCGACTTTTCCGGAAACCCCTACTCCTTCGGCCCCAACGTCAGCTGCAGCGCTCTTTCCTCGCTCATTACCAACGGCCTAACCACCACCGCAGCAGATTACGGCGTGGTCATTTCCACGCCCTTCACCATGAAATCCTGCTCCACCGCATACGATCCAATCGCACAGCCGAGGGTTACGCCCACCATGCAAGTGTGCGGCGGGTTTTACTCGGCTGTGGAGAGCCAGAAGCTGCAGCTGGACGTCGGGGAGCTGCTCAAGGGCTGGGTGCAGTTCGTTGTAGGAAGCGCGCAGTGCCCTGCGTACCTGGACGGTTACATTGTGGACGGATTTGTGCAGCCGGATGATGGAAGCAGTTGCTTGGTGGGGGAATACGTGAACAGCTGCTCCTCAAAGGCTTTCCCGCTGCCGCCGCCGCCACCGTCCCCACCAACAGCGCCAGCAACGCCGCCACCGCCTTTCTCGTTTGTGCAGGTATGTATGTAGCCAATGTAGGGCTGTAGGTGCATCCACGTTTGTTAAGGAAACTGGCCGTGAGCTGGTGCGCTACTGTGACTAGTCACAGTACGTTCCCTCCAGCGGCGGTTTCAGAACCTGCCTGCCTGTTCGCGGTGCATGTGTGGGTGTGCGTTTGTATGGAGACGGAGGGATTCCTTGTTGATAAGAGCCCGGCCGTAGATGTGGATAAGGGTGAGGTACGGATGCAGCAGGCATACGGGACGTTGTACGGTTTTACGTAGGTGTACGACTGTCGATAGGTGCAAGAGGCGTGGTCATGGTACACGCTCGTTACTGCGTCATCACTCATTCCCCACACCTAGCACGTCTCACAACCTCATATCTCACTGCATGCATGCGTGCCTTGCCCCCCACCTCTCCCTCCCCCTCCCAATCAAGGCCCGCATCTGCCCGACGGAAACCTGGTTACTAAACACCTGGTATTACCCATACTATATAGTGCTCCCAGCCACCAGCTAAAACCCCTAAAACCCTTCCCCTTCTCCCTCCCCCACGTACCGCAGACTCACATCTGCCCCCAGTCCAATGCCAATGTGCCGTACATTCTCTCCCCCATCCAAGTCTCCAAGGGCAGGGACCTGCAAGGCAACGCGGCGACGGTCATGTGCACAAGCGTCGTGACGCAGACCTGCGACCCCTCAGCTTCCTGCTGCGACATGGACTTCTCGAAGGTGCGTACGACAGTACGTCAGATCATAGATGTGTACGACAGTACGACAGATGCCTACCTGCTGCTGTTCTTGTATGACAGGCTTCTTGCTACACATGCATCGCGTGAAAAAGGAGAAGAGGAGTACCAGCCTTGCCATCCCCTTCGATGCTGCTGCTGCTACTACTGCTACTGCTACTGAGAAGATAGTAGCCCAATCTAGCCCAATCTTAGCCCAATTTATTGAGAAGATAGTAAAGCCCAATCTTGCTTCTGTGTCTTTGTTCGGTGCTTGAAACCTGCCCTTTCTGTTGCCTCCCCTTCTTTGTTACCTGCCTTCCCTCTCTTCTCCCTGTCCCTTGTCCCTTATTCTTATACTCGCCTCCACCCCTCAATCGCTCCCCACCCCGATGGTCCCGTAATCACATTCAGGTCGAGCTGTTACTGAACACGGGGTGCAAGGGTGACCTGCGCCGTACCACCATTAACGGAAAGGACGTCTCCACCAGCTGGCAAACTTACACCGGATTCACAGCGCTCAAGTTCACCAACCTGCTCACGTAAGTAACCCTAGATAAACCCTTGCCTACATACCTATCACCATGTACATACCTACCATACCTACCATGTTCTATATGTCGCCCTTGCTTCACCCGCTCGCAGCCTCCTGTCGAACCCCACCGATGCCACGATTTGCTGGTACATTCGTAATGGCGCCTGCAGCACTCCCTCGGCCTTCTGTTACAATGGAAGCTGCCAGGTATGGGTGCATGCATGGGTGCAATGCATGCATGGGCACATGGATGAAGTCGCAGAAACACGGGCGCGGTAGGATTGTGTGGTGCTTAATAAACCCGCCAAGTACGGTAGCCAATACCGGTAATAATCTTCGCTGCTCCCATTCCGCTGCTGCTTCTCATACCCACTCATCACCTTCTGCCACCGCTCTGCTGTCACCCTTCGCTGCTGCAACCCATCACACAAACAGGCTGACGTCTTCTCGTCAGACAACAAGTGCTGCCCTGCCAACCTTATCTGAGGATGATGGCTAACTGCTGCGGGTCACAGCAGTAACCGAACAATGTCAGCAGCAGCTGTATCATTCGGCGAGGTCAATTACGCGTGTGCGCCATTGCGCGCCGCTACCGACGAAGTACGACAGCAGCCACGGGACCTTACTTGCCGCCGGACCAGCATTGCATGCTGGCCGCCGTTCGTACGGCATGGATGGACCCCTGCCGTACGTCTGATGTTTGAACATGCTTCCAAGTTTGGACATTTGACGGCGACGAGTCCGACGAATATCTTTGCGCAGCCGCTGATACGGAATGAGCATTTGGTTGTGTTGTTCTAGGGTTAGTTCCGCCATCGTGGCCTATCCTGCTAGGAGATAATCCACCTGCGCATTTCCAGGTGTAAGCTGCTGGGGAGGTGTGTACTTCCACGCTACGTGCGTTTCCTGGACTGATGATGTAGTGCCGCTGTGCAAGTGCTGCTTCAACCCCTCTTGTTCGTGCTTGTAATTGTGCGTTATTCATAATTGAAGGCGTACGCAGTGCGCAGTTTATTGTGTCGTAGTTTATTGTGTCGTCGGATTGATGATCGATTATGTTGATGCTGAGAGCATTTGGCTGAGCCGTCGTCCTGCACTAGGTGCGTGCCGGAATGCACGATTACTGTACGCTTTGGCATCCTGATGGAAACTTAGGGAAACTGTTGCTTGACGGAAAACTAGGACACCAGGTCGGCGCGTGATGATGATGATAATTTCAAGCTAGGGGCTCGTTAGGCCCGGACTAGCCAGGACCGCTGCAAAGGCAAACAGAAAGGTGCGTGCGAGCAATCTCGCGGCGGTGGTACGCACTGCATTTACTAGAACGGAGCTGACTCCTTACGTTTTTAGGGTTCTTGTGCGTTCCAGCGTTTATTGTTCGAAGCATGTAGTCAATAAGCAGAGCTCTCTTGGAGCTTTGTTGTTTGTTGCTGCGTTGGTTCGTTGCTGCATCCTTGGTGGTAGTTCGATCGGGTCCGCCTAGAGCCTGGGCGACTTCAGATGGGCCCGATGGACGAGCAAATTCTACTTCCGGCAAACGTCTCCTAAAGCGCTTTACAACAACATCCTTCTATGTAAACGTTCAAAGGTTATGCTGATAGGTTAATTACTTTTTCGGTTTGCTTAATTTCAGTGGACACAGAGCCTAGTACTAGTACAGCGCCATGTCCAGCACGAGTCAATCGTATAAGCATTGCCAGTAATTTATTACAACAGTGTAGCAGAGTAGTTGTATAGCCTGGTAATGCGGCATTAATTGGGGAGACCCCCCGATGGAAGCAATGTCCACTGTACCACGAAGCATTTTTAAAATTCCTTACGTTCCATAAATAGAGCCGATCCTAACGTATCTAACGCGCTTTTCAAGGGGGAATTGGTTGTCTATTTGGGGTGAACGATCTAAGCAGCTCGTACTTGCTTGTCCATCGGGCCCATCTGAACTCGCCCAGGCCTTAGGCGGACCCAGTTCGATCGGTGGCCCGTGTGCGGCAAGGAGAAGTGCCGCGCGTGCAAGGAAAAAAACTAGTCGTTTTTTTGTAATAGTCACCGACCTGCCTTGCCTCAAGCTGTGTCAAGATATTTGGACAAACGTTTTGTTTAGCTAAGGAAAAACACAGCTGTGGACAGTTAGGTTAGTTACATGCTCACAATACTGCAGTGCTTGCCATCATAGCTGCCATGAAGCGCACCGTCGCCAATTAGCCACGCAGGCCATGTCACCTGCCCCTGCTGTCAGACTCAGGACCATGTAAGCAGCCACCAAGTGGCCATGGAACGACCGGCCAGCTCAAGACGGGGCTCAAGGCCCATTGCAGAGCCTGCTTACCACATGCGGAATGCACTAAACCCAAACCCGCAGCCTCGACTCAGGTCGTAGCAACGCTCCCCAACGCGCCATCGCCTCCTGCTGTAGGCCCCTCATCTCACAACGGGTGTCATCATGCACGCGCTCTATTTGCAGCACACTGACGTGCCTTGATCGCTGCAAGCCCACATGCCCAACGCCCCGCCGCCCTGCTCGCTAGCACACGCAGGCCATGCTGGGATGCATGTGGAACTTGGTGGCATGCCAGCGGCCCCGCACCTGCACCTGCACCTGCACCTGCACCTGCGCCGGAGCCTCCGCCTGCACCCCAGCCGCCGCCTCTGGAGCCCCCGACTGCACCCCCGCCTGCGCCTGCACCACCTGTGGAACGCCCGCCGCTGCTGCTGCGGCGGCGGCTGCACCCGCTAGCATCCCACTCCTGCCGCCGCTGCTGCTAGCAGCCCCCCTGCTGACGCCCTCGGTGGACCCGGGCAGCAGCACCACCCCCACCCGACACTCTGCTCCCGAGGGATGCTTCAGGCCGGGGGAACTGTCCTCATGCAGGGTCACACACAGCAGCGGCGGCGGCGGCGGCGGCGGTGATGACGGTGCTGGCGGCAGCGCCGGAGGTGTCGGCGGCGGCAGCACAGCACGTGCCTCACGACCGCTTTCCGGGGCGCCACTGCTGGTGGCGCTTCCAACGTCAAGGCTGCTCCCGCCGTGCAAGGCGCCGAGTACATGACTGGCGGGCGGCACCTGCGGCACCCAACACACGTCCCAGGCCAGCATGGGCGACGCAACGCTGACACGTCGGCCGCCACGTCGGCCGCCACCTCTGCTGCCACTTCTGCCACCTCTGCTGCCGCCACCTCTGCCGCGGGCGCTGTCCTCGCCAAGGCCTTGGCGTCGCGCCTGACGTGGCGGCTGCACCCGGAGCTCGACCCCAGCAGCAGTAGCGCCGTTACGTCGCCCGCGTCCCCTACCCCGTGGCGTTGGCGGCGGTGCTGGCGGCGGCGGCGGCGGCGGCGGTAGCAGCGGCACCGTCCTAAGTACGGAACCCGCCGGCATGCCGCCGCTGCCGTACGGCCCCGCCAGCTCCACCAGCCCTGTGTCGTACGACGTCACCCACAGGCTGCCGCCATCAGGGGAGAAGCGCAGGCCTGAGGGCCGACGCAGCGGGGCGTCCCGGTGCGTGAAGAAGTACGGCGCGGCGGTTGCGTTGGGTGGGGCGGGGGCCGGGACGGGCGCGGGGGCTAACCACGGCAGCGCCGCCGGCTGCAGCTCTACCGGTGCCAACGCCGCTGGGACAGGTGCGTTCAACTCTGCGGCGTTAGCTGCGGCGGCAGCGACAGCAGCAGCGACAGCGGCTGCAGCGTCTACCAGCTCCGCCTCCGCCACCGCCGCCTCCGCCGCCACCTCCGCTGCAGGAGCATCATCATGTGCTGCCGCCGCCGCCGCTGGCGAGTCGAGGCACTCTAGCGGCACGCACAGTATGGCACCGGAAGTGCTCGGCGGCGGAACCTCCGTGTACTGCCGCTGCTGAATGTCGTACGGCAGATCCACCGCGCAGTACAAACAGCCGCCGCCAGGCCCCAGCGTCAGACCCCATCCAACCCAGCCGCTGCAAGCGGTGATCAACGACAATACGACACCACGGCCGTACTGCAATGCGCCGCCGTACGGCTGTACGACAGAACGCGATGCCGCCCTCGGCGACGACCATGTGGCGGCGGCGGCGGCGCCTCCGCTGTTTTTGTACGGCAGTGCAGCTCCGGCGGCGGGGGCGAAGGCTTCAATTCCGATGCGTGCGACGGAGCAATCCTGAGCCGACAGGACGAAGAGGTTATCCTCAGAAGAGCACACGCCTTCGGGAGAGGTCAGCATGGGGTGCTGATCGGATCGGAAGGTAATCAGGATGCCCAGCGGAAGCAGCGTGGTGCCATCGAAGGCAACGATGCCGGGAACGCTGTAGCAGCAGGCGTAAAGGGTGGGGCCGCTGGGCTTGCGGCGCAGGGGTTGCGGGAGGGGAAACGAGCGGGCGCAACCGCCGCTGGAACCTCTAGGGCTCGGGAAGGCAGCCACGTGAGAAGGGGAAGCTGGTGATGATGATGATGGTGGTGGTGGTGACGGTGACGGTGTCGAGTGACGAGCCGAACGTTGGTGTGGGGAACCAGGAGGAGGTGAGGAGGAGGGAGAGGTAGGTTCAGAAGAAGAGCCGAATGCTGGCGTCACGAGCTCGTGTAGAGGAGTCCTGGGAGTTGTCGGAACTGGAACCGGAACATTGGAAGCGGCAGTGGCTGCCGTTGCAACTGAACCGGTTAAAGCGGCTGTTGCAGCGGTTGGCGTTGCAGCTGCGATTGCACCGGTTGCTGCAGCGGCGGTTGCTGCTGCTGCTGCTTGTCGAAGGTTCTCCCATGTTTGCGGTCCGACGGTGACGCCGGTCATCCAGGGTTCAAGCTTGCGTTTGGGCCATGTAAAGCGAGCCCGGCGCTTGCGTTTAAGGGAGGGCGGCGGACTCCAGGTATTCCACATCAGGAGTGTCCGGTCGCTGCTCGGAAGAGAGCCGCCCTGAAGAGGGCAGCCAGACAAGAAGGGGCGAGCGGTTTTCGTGAAAGTGGTATTTATATACGGTAAGGTATCGAGAATCTGGTGATACGGCAGGTAGATCCTATGGTTCTTGCATGGCTGCCAGCTTCCCTAAAAGGATGGTAAAGATGCATGGGAGATGGCTGGAAGGGCTCGCTCGGTTGAAGATGCTGAATGGCATATATCTTCGGTTCCCAGGAGCATTATGAGCGTTGTTTCAAGCAAGCCCAACCCTGCCTAGTCCAAGGCAGGAATTCAGCTTCGAGGGATTGCCACGCACTCTCATCCCTGGCTCAGGCAGGCGCAAGTGGTGCGGGTGATGATAGCGTTGTTGATCTACTAAAAGCCCATTACAAGGTATACTCACTGTCATTATGTCGACCTCAATCAGCCGTCCCGGCTGCGAGCAAGCCACAACCATTGCCATGCGAAATGGGCTATCGCGGAGCTCCAGCATCTCCAGGACTAGCGCTCGTGCCCCTTTGCATGACTGTGAAAATAAAAGCGCTTGCCGGCGTGTCAAGTGCCTAAGAATCAGACGCGCAGAATCAGTGCACTCCTCCAGCAGCTCTTGCAGCTTCATTTGCTTTGTGATTCTACTACACTACATTGAGGAAGATTTAATGACACTTAGCATATTGTTAATGCTCAAATAAGTTTGGTATGGCTCTGCCAACTGATCAGTAATCACCCTCGACTACGGTTACCGGTAGTCGATCTGCAAGCGGCGCTGACTACCTCCGCAAACGTAGCAGACCACGAGCATGGCCACGCTTATTCAGCCTTTACGTATCGCCCTTACATGCTGGGAATCCCTGCGACATCCTTGCATAGGGCGTAACTCCGTACGAGAGCCAGATCATCATCAGTCCGGCCAATCACAACCCCGCCAACAAGGTACAACACTTGCCATGCTGAACCGAAGACCAACCCAACTGGCTACCTTATCCTCCCATGTGGAATGATGAACAGGTCGCCCACATGGGCAATAATGGGGTGCCGTACATCCAGGTACTGCCGTACTGGGGTGCAGCACTGCGGCTCACATAAAGCATGATCTACCGTACCGTACCTTACCTCGCTCCAGCACGCCATTATCGCCCCCATGTGCCTTGACCAACTCACAACGCATTATCGCCCCATGTGCCTTGACCAACTCACAACGCATTGTAATAAATAAGACCAAGGCTTCGCTACCCACTACCGTAGACACTCTTAAGTACCTGAGACAACCGGGACCGCACAAACTATCATTTGAACCACCTTCCAGCCGTACATGCTAACGTGAAGCTTGACGACTACTTGACGGCCTTCCTCTCGTCCATGATCCGGCGCATCTCCTTCTCCTCATTATCGACACCGGTGTTGACCTGCAGTCGAGGTAATACGTAAGCGTCAAGGCAGGAACGTGGCATTAAGTGCAACCGGCGGTAGCCGCACACACCCGCAGACCACCAGCATGGCATCCGTAAGCAGCTGCCTGTACTCCCCTAGTCCTCTGTCCCAACCAAGTAGGGCACCCCTTCGAGCCCCGTTCCCTTCCGGCACATGTAAACCCCAAAGACCCAGAGCTCCCAACCCGAACCCAACCCAGCAGCCGGGCCCAACGCACGCTTACCACAACGCCCGGGCACGACGCAAGCAGCACCCTCATGTGTCCCGGCCCCAGCTCCACATTGGCCATGTTGACTCCCCCCATCAAGCCACGCAGCGGAGCCAGCGCAGCAAGCCAACCCGCATGCGGACCGCGCACCCGTCCCCGTTTGTCGCGCCTGCTCTCCATTTCCCAATCCGGCAACGACTGCCCGCGCCGGCGCTGACGACTCATCGCAGAAAGGCTGTACACACGGAAACCAAAGCCGTAGCCACCGCCGCCACCGCCACCGCCGTACATGTAATCATCGTCATCGTAAAAGTCGTCTTCAATGCCATCGTCATCGGAACCCTCCTCTCCCTCGCCATCATCATCGTCAGCACCGTCGCCGCCATCGGGCCCTGCCTCTCTCCGCCGTACTCTGTGATAGCCTTCGTACACGCCCAAATCGGTAATCCGTACAATTGGCGCAATGTCGTACAGCCGCTCCGCCATGCCGCCCCGTACGTACGAATCGTACGACACATTCGCGGCCTTCGCCAACTTGTGGGCTTCGGTTTTGCCTTTCCTCGACAACGGCCATGCCGCAGCCGCAGCGGCACCAGACGCCGAGGCCCTCGCCGCCTCCACCGCCGCTACCGCCGCGGCATCAGCCGCCGCTTGGTCCCGCAAGGCCTGCGGTACCGGCCTGCGGTTGCGTGCTACATACTCCTCCGCAGCGCCCGCAATCACCCGCGCACCCAGATCCACCATCTCCACTAGCCACGGATGTGCAAAGCTAGCAGCGGCGGTGCTGCCGCCCTCGTTGTCCACCCCGCCGCTAGCGCTGCTAGAGCCACCATTGTCGCCGGCGCCAATTGCATTACCGTTGTTGTTGACGTCATTTACGACTGACGCCGCCACAGCCGCTGGCGCCGGCGCCGCCTCCGCCCCGGCGGGCAGTGTAAACCCATGCTGCACGGCCAACCCGCCGAACAGGGCCAGTGGTGACGATACCCCGCCGTAACGTCCGTGATACCGATAGGTGTAACTCTCCATGGTCAGCTCCTCCGGTACATCCGGCTCCAGCACCAGCCTGGGTCGGCTGGGCGCGAGGGCGAGGCTGGCAGCCAGGTGCAGGGTGGGCAGGGCGTGGACCTGGGGGGAAGGGAGGAGGAGCAGGAGGAGCAGGAGGAGGGGCAAGGGCACAGGAAGCCGGCGCGGGGTTCGTGAGGAGGCGAAAATTCATGAGGAGGCGGATTAACAAGGGAACTAGCGCATTTGGAAGGTGAACAAGCGCATGTGTGTACGACACGCGTGTCCTCTCACCTTCAGCACTCTTAAGTTAGGCGGCAGCGGCACCAGCGGAAACCCTGGGCTGTTGCCGTCGCTGCCGGCGCCACAATCGCCACGTTCCATGCACACTGAGAACGCTGGCGTGGCCACACGGCGGCAGGACAGACGTGTGAGGCATGCCAAGCCCGCCATCAGCAGAAAGTCCTCCGCACGAACACCCAGCGAAGGCATGTCGAGTCCCGCCAAGCTGGCTCGCATGCCGCTGAGGATTGGCGACATGCGCCAGGAGCTGAAGTAAAACCAGCCCGTCGTGTCCGTAAAAGAGGGTGCGTACGTGGTGTCCGAGTGAGGAACGGGCGTGTTGAGGACCAGCCATGTAAGGCCCGTCAGAGCTGACAGCGGTGCGAGTTCGCGAGCCGCATCGTCGGGCGCGTTGTAATTGTCTTCGAAGCAGGAGGTGAGGTGCAGGGATCGCAACCAGGTGAGGCTGGCGAGGGCGGCGGCGCAGGCGGGGGCAACTGCGTGTGTGGATAGACAAAAGGTGCAAACAGGGAGCAAGTAAGCACGGAGCGGTTGAGCAGCAGCTGTAGATCATGTTAACCAAGCCATTGACATGTGAGACGCAAACCCATGCTCCGAGCACCCGTCCGCATTCCGAAAACCCACCAGTGCATGGAGGTCTAAGCCCTTACAGCCGATAGGCTGTTACCCCCTACCCTCTTCTTTAAGCCCTGTAGTAAGCCCGGTTCCTGCCCTTACCTCCCGGCTCCGCGCTCTCATCATCTTCGTATGGGCACGACTTTGTCGAATCCAACGCAAGGTGCTGCAGCCCCGTCATGCACTGCAGTACAGCTCCCCGCAACCGCCGTACCCAGCAACAGCCCCAGGACAGGGACCTCAGCTGGGGCGCTAGCGCATGGAGAAGCGCCTCGGCTAATGCATCCTCGGCGGCTGAAGGAGTATGGATTGAGAGCGAGACGAGAGCGGGAAGGGCGGCCGCAGTGGTAACGGCCCAATCGGCGGGTTCTGAGGGGAGCCCAAGGGAGGAGCTGCCATCTCGAGGATCATCCAGGTGAAGGGATAAGGAGGTGAGGCGGGCGCCGAAGGCCTGGGTGAGTGGCGTGCTGTTGGGCAGGGAAGAGGAGGGGAGGGAAGGCGTCATATGGATTGGAGCAGTTCCCATGGTAAGGGAAAAAAGAAATTCCAAAGTGTGGTAAGGGAGGAGAAGAAAGGGAAAAGGAAAGCGCGTTGGCTGTGAGCTGGAGGGGCGGTGGCAGTGAAAGACGAGCATGTCTGAAGGGCGTGCATAGGGACAGGGGTTAAAGACGTATACGAAATTTGCAGAGTTATCTTACATGAGAGCCCCTGCCGTCAAGCAGGAGTCGCAGAGGGCTTCAACATTTGTGGGTCGGTAGCCTCGATTATTACTGATGAATCCCAATAACAGCTGCATATGACGCTCTTTCTTTTGGGCGCGTTTCTTTCCGCTGCAATGTTTTAAGCTGCACCCACGAAAGAAAAGTCTCTGGCAAACTGCGGCGTGCTGGCTGCGTGCCAACTTGCAGATGGAGCTCATCCTGGTTGCATCCGACGGGCGAAAATGGTCCCAAAGACGAGGAACCGCTTGCATGACAGTAAGCAAGCATGGACCTGCGCCAGTTGGTCCTTTGCCTGATAGAGCCTCTCGCTGTAACTGGCCAGGAGGCTGCTGCTCCATGCTGTATGTAACTTCCCTCAACCGGAAGGGATGCTTACAGGTTCTCTACTTCGGCAGTTGCCATAAACATTTATAGACCTATGCAACGTGAGAAATGCCTACGTAACCAGGAAACCAGCTACCGGTATAAGCAGTTAACCTGATAGCGGCGGCCAACGGGCGGGATATCAGCTTGAAAAGGATGTAGGTGTCATGCCGTCTATGTCTGTAAAGACAGCTTTCCCAAAGCCTTGCTGACAGTTACTCCCAGTCGTGACGTCCCCTCCCTTGCCACTCTGCTGGCATGCTCCGGCCTTTCCTCCAGCCACCCGTGAACACCCTCGCTTCAGCACGCCATTATCGCCTCATGCCGGCTTGCGGATTCACAACGCATTGGAAATACACATGCCGTCGTTGCCCCACAAGACACGCTACAACACCTGCCATTACCATGACCGCACAAACTGAATTAATCACTTTCCAGCCGTACATGCTCCTGCTGCTGACATGCTGCTGCCCACTGCTGCTTTCTTGAAGACATCTTTTACACAGCAAGCGCACGCTTACGTGCGTGAAAGACTGGACGCTCGCAGCGTATGACGCCTTCCTAAGCCCCCGCGCGTCACCCCTCCGCTTGAAATGTATGGACCACGCCGCTCCCTGACTCCAGCTTCCTCAGGATTCAGCACTTCCGTGCAAGGCTTGACACCTACTTGACGGCCTTCCTGTCGTTCATAACCAGACGCATCTCCTTCTCCTCCTTATCGACACCAGTCTCGACCTGCAGTCGTTCGAGGTAATACGTAAGCGGCAAGTCAGGAACATGGCACCAAGCGAAACCGCAGGTAACCGCACACACCCGCAGACTATTGGCAGCCCGAGTCAAAGCAGCAGCCCCGCAGCACCAGCATGACACCCGCAAGCAGCTTTCGGCACTCCCCTAATCCTCAATCACAATCTTTCATTCATATAGGGCGCCCGTTCCCTTCCCGCCCAAGCAAACCCCACAGGCCCAGCAGCCCTACCCAGCAGCCGGGCCCAACGCACGCTTACCACAACGCCCGGGCACGCCGCAAGCAGCACCCTCAGGTGTCCCGGCCCCAGCTCCACATCGGCCATGTTGACCGCCCCCATCAAGCCACGCAGCGGAGCCAGCGCAGCAAGCCAACCCGCATGCGCACCGCGCACCCGTCCCCGTTTGTCGCGCCTGCTCTCCACCTCCCAACCCGGCACCGGCTGCCCGCGCCGGCGCTGACGACTCATCGCGGAAAGGCTGTACACACGGAAAGCAAAGCCGTAGCCGCCGCCACCACCGCCACCGCCGTACATGTGATCATGGTCGTCGTACAAGTCGTCTTCAATGCCATCATCGTTGAAACCGGGGTCGTCTCCCTCGCCGCCATCGGGCCCTGCCTCTCTCCGCCGTACTCGATGGTAGCCTTCGTACACCGCCAGCCTGTTTATTCGTACACTTGGCTCAATGTCGAACAGCCGTGGCACCGGGTTAATCCATACGGACGGGTTGCCCTTCCTCGTCACTGCCGCAGCTGCCGCCGCCTCATCGGCCGCCGCTTGGTCCCGCAAGGCCTGCGGCACCGGCCTGCGGTTGCGTGCTACATACTCCTCCGCAGCGCCCGCAATCACCCGCGCACCCAGATCCACCATCTCCACGTGCCACGGTCGTACAACGCTAGCAGCGGTGGTGCTGCCGCCCTCGTCATTGTCGACATTGACACTAACGCCGCCAGCGTCGCCGATCTCGTTGTCTTGGGCATCATCATCCATTGCAGCTGTCACCGCTGCTGCCGCCACCGCTGCCGCCGGCGGTAATGTAAACCCATGCTGCACGGCCAACCCACCGAAGAGGGCCAGCTGGGATTCTACCTCGGCTGGGTAGCCGTACAAGACGGTGAAGCTTTCCTTGGTCAGCTCCTCCGGTACATCCGGTCCCAGCACCAGTCTGGGTCGGCTGGGCGCGAGGGCGAGGCTGGCAGCCAGGTGCAGGGTGGGCAGGGAGTGGACCTGGGGAAGGGAGGAGGAGCAGGTGGAGCAGGAGGAGGGGCAATGGCAGAGCACAGGAGTCAGGAGGAGGAGGCGGATCTGGAGGAGAGCAAGTCAGGCGGGGTCATAGAAGGTGGACAATCGCATGCATGTGTGTACGACACGCGTGTCCTCTCGTCACCTTCAGCACTCTCAAGTTAGGCGGCAGCGGCACCAGCGGAAATCCGCCAACTGATGCGCCCTTTCCTACACCTAGCACGTTGCCGCCGTTGCCGACACCACCACCACCACCACCACCATCACCGTGCTTCGCGCACACCGAAAGTGCCGGCGTGGCCACATGTTGGCAGTATAGCTTCGTAAGGCCAACCAAGTCCGTCATCTGTAAGAGGTCCTCCACACGAACATTAATCGCAGGCATTTCCAGTGCCGCCAAGCTGGCGCGCATGCCGCTGAGGATTGGCGACACGCGCCAGGAGTAGAAGTAGAAGCAGCCCACTCTCTCCGTGGGATAGGGCGCGTACGTCGTGTCCGAGCAAGGAACGGGTGTGTTGAGGACCAGGCATGTAAGGCCCGTCAGAGCTGACAGCGGTGCGAGTTCGCGTGCCGCATCGTCGGGCGCGTTGTAGTTGTCTTCGCAGCAGGAGGTGAGGTGCAGGGATCGCAACCAGGTGAGGCTGGCGAGGGCGGCGGCGCAGGCGGGGGCGACTGCATGAGGGGCAAAAAGGGAGCAAGTAAGCACGGAGCAGTTCAGCAGCAGCTAACCAAGCCATTGGTAAATGGACGCTTACCAGCATTCCAAAGCACCTTCAGTACCCCAAGCCGTACATGGTTGCACCTCACCCTCTTCTGTAAGCCCTCTAGTAAGCCAGCTTCCTGCCCTTACCTCCCCTCCCCGCGTTGTCATCATCTTCGTATGGGCTCGAGACTGTCGAATCCAACGCCAGGTGCTGCAGCCCCGTCATGCGCTGCAGTACAGCTCCCCGCAGCCGCCGTACCCAGCAACAGCCCCAGGACAAGGACCTCAGCTGGGGCGCTAGCGCCTGCAGCAGGGGTTCTGCGGACTTCTCCTCGGCGGTTGAATTCGTGTGGAGGGAGAGCGAGACGAGCTGGGGCAGGGCGGCCGCAGCAGTAGCGGCCCAATCGGCGGGTCCGAAGGGGAGCCCAAGGGAGGAGCTGCTATCGTGGGGATCAGCCAGGTGAAGGGATAAGGAGGTAAGGCGGGCGCCGTAGGCCTGGGTGAGTGGCGTGCTGTTGGGAAGGGGAGAAGAGGGGAGGGGAGGCGGAAATTGGAATGGATAGCTTTCGTGGTAAGAAAAGGAACGCGCGTTGGTTATGAGTTAAGAGGGGTGGTAGCAGTGCGAGTTGAGCACTGGGCAAACAGCAAGACGCCTGTGGGGTGTTTGCACAGGGGCGGGGGATGGAAGAAAGGGTTTGACATGCGGACAGGCCTTGAAGGGTGCGCTTACATGAGAGGACCTGCAATCAAGCTGAGATCGCAGCGGACTTCAACATTTGAGGGTCGGTAGCCTCGATTACTCATGAATTCCAATAGCAGCTGCATGTGAACCTCTTTTCTGGGGCCGCGTCTGCTGCCGCGGATGCCTTTCAAGCTGCACCCACGAAATAGAAGCCTTTGGCACTCTACGGCGTGCAGGCTGCGTGCCAACTTGCAGATGGAGCTCATCCTGGTTGCATCCGAGTGTCGAAAATAGCCCCAAAGGCGAGGGACTGCTTGCATGACAGTTAGCAAGCATGGACTTGAGCCATTTTGTGTTTCGTCTGTTAAAGCCGCTCGCTGTAACTGACTAGGGGGCTGCTGCTCCATTATGTAATGTTCGCCCGCAACCGGAACAGATATTTAGAGATACAATGCTTAGGCAGTTCTTATAAGAAGGTCTCGAGCCGTGCGATGTGCGGTAAGCCAACGGATGGGTACCCAAAGGAAACAAGATATGGGTGGTTGCACAACCTGAATCGACGTGACGGCCAACGGGGGAAAACAACTTGAACAGAGGAGTTATATGCTATACTGTCTGCATCCGCGAACAAAGCTTTCTCACAGCCCAGCCGTGACGTCCTAGCCCCTCCTTGACCCTCTGGCACGCTCCGGCCTTTCCTCCAGCCACCCGTGAACACCCTACCGACGGCGTGCGGCTTGGTCTGGGCCTGTCCATGCGGGCGATAGCCAAGACGGTATTCTCAATAGCCCGCCCGGACATGAACCCCCACACCACCTGAACGCTTTTGTATGACCCGTTCTCACTAGCAACCTGGGATAACTAATGGTCTGCCAGGGCGCTGGAAGGAATGGCAGATTCTGAGCTGATGCATGCTGCGAGACAATGATAGGCTTCCCTAGTCCGCCCATTAGCCGCGAATTGCCACACAGGGCGGAAGGGGGGTTTGAGGAATGCGTAGCGATGTCATGCCCCATCACCGGTAGCAGCATCTCGGCAACACCGACAATCGCACGAGGTATCAGCAAGGCGCCCAGGGTTTGAGGAATGTGTTAGGGAAACTCAGTGGAACCCTGAGGCGTAGTGATGCATGCCGTACCAGCCGAGCAAGCCAGCACGTTATGCCCTGCACGTGCACGGTACCATAAGTGGTTTCAGATAGCTGGCAGTTATCGGCATAGCTGGCAGGGGCGTGGCGGAAATGATTGGTGCAGGGAGGGGGGGGGTCTTTAGGGCGTTGAGTTGGCGTCTTCCATTCCTTCTGTTACCGGTATATAGAGTATGCCTGCGGCTTATAAGCATCCTGCCGTACGGCGTCGGTACATATACGGCTACGCGCATGCCGTACAGCGGACGTCTGTCGTTCACCTGTACATCTTCCTGCAGTGCCCGCAGTACTTGGAAGCAAGGCAGTGGCTGGGGCAGACGTGGGTGGCCATCACGGAAGGGGAGTCCCCACCTGTCGACAATGCGGCCCTCATGTTTGGAGATCAGCCAAACTCCTGGCAAGGGCACCCAGCAGCCAACCGTAGCCCAGGACTGGTCAAGCTATGGAACGCACTCCGGCTGACGTTCCTGCATGCCATCTGGTGTGCACACCAAGCGGCTGAGGAGGAGGCCAAAACGTCAGCAGCAGTGGTCAAACAGGTGGTGGATGACTTGCGGAGGCTCATGATGGCACAGTTCCGGGTGGCAGCACTGCCGGAGGCTATGCTTGACGCCCTGCCGATGCGCCTCATTACAGCGGAGTTGAAGCAAACGGCCATGGCGGAGTTTACAGCTGTGTGGGCGCACCGGGAGGTCCTATGCAAGGTGTACCGCCTTGAGGAAGGTGGAGCCAGGCTCCAGGTTCGGCTATCCAGAGAACATCCGGTCCCTGTACCAGGGGTAGCTGAACCAGAAGAGGAGTAGAGCCCCGGGGGGACGACCATGGCAAGGAACAGCAGGCGGCATGCAGCAAACAGCAGACAGCAGGCACCCAGGAGCAAGGAGCAGGGAGCAGGGCGCAGGGAGCAGGGAGCAGGGAGCAGGGAGCTGGGCGCAGGGAGCAGGGAGCAGGGCGCAGGGAGCAGGGCGCAGGGAGCAGGGCGCAGGGAGTAGGGAGTAGAGAGCAGGAAGGAGGTAGCAGTGAGTAGGGAACAGGGAGCCGGGAGTAGGGAACAGGGGGTGAGCTGGGGGACGGAGGAGAGAAGAGGTGGTAGAAGAGATCAGGGTGCTGGTAGTGTGGAGCAGAGAGCCAGGAGGTTTAGGCTTTGTTTGGTAGGTAGCAGTTCAGAGGTGGAAGCGTTTCCACTTCTGGTTTTTTGGGTCAGTACAGGCAGAGCTGAGGGTTGCTCGGGTTCCCTGAACACGGGGGTACGAGGGGGTACCAGGGGTCCCTGAACACGGGGGTACGAGGGGGTATCAGGGGTCCCTGAACACGGGGGTACGAGGGGGTATCAGGGGTCCCTGAACTCGGGGGTACGCAGGGGTATCAGGGGTCCCGAAACTCGGGAATGTGTGGGGGTATCAGGGGCCCCATAACTCGGGGGGTTGCATGGGTGTTTTTTCTGTTAACTGTTTTGTTTGTTGGTTTCTTCTGTTGGAGTGTTGTGTTTTGTTGTGGTTTTGTGGTTTTCCTTTCGTAGTCGTTCCTGTGGAGGGAGGCTGTTTGTTTGTTTTCAGCCTTCGGTGGTGGTGGTGTTGCCCCTCGCCTGTCCAGGTGGTCAGAGTGAGGTTTTGACCTCTCAGGCAGGTCACCCGTCCTTGTCCTTGTCCTGTCTGGTGTGTTGTCTGTTGCAGTTCCTTTCTCCTCTGTCAGGTGGGCTTGCAGGTGGTGTTTTCCAGGGGTGATTCCCTGGTATCCAGTGGGTGTTTTTTCCGCTGGTTTTCTTGGTGGTCTTCCTGTCCTTCCTCTGTAACAGTCCACATCGGAAAAAAAAAAAAAAAACCTGTACCGTAAAGCCACCAGACGACGCGACGACCCGATTGGGCCCAAAGAAAGACGGCCAAGAAGAAGGCAAAACGAGTCAGTTTCACTCGGTCGTTGTGGGCCCAGGACCTTCATCCCTGCTGCTTAGGACTGAGGGTAGACCGCTTGCGCCGTTTGTTAGCTGTTAGTTCATCGTGTATTTGCGCTTCCTGAATCCGATTTGCGGGTTGGCTTGCTGCGCTGGCTCCGCTGCGTGGCTTGATGGTGGGGGTCAACATGGCCGATGTGGAGCTGGGGCCGGGACACCTGAGGGTGCTGCTTGCGGCGTGCCCGGGAATCAAGGTGCGCGCTGGGATCGCGAACATGAGGGCGAATTGGGCGGGCAGAGGAGAATTCACCTGCATTGGGGATGGGTTACCGGAAACGTTGCTAGGTGCAGAAACATGGGGGCGCTGTTAGTCCCCTTGCTGTTGCCGTGCAACATCCAGGCTCTAGGGCAGTGGTAAGGTAACTAGCCGGTGGTGTTTTCGTTGCGCTTGGACTAACAGTCGTATGCTTCCCGGATCGCAGTTGACTACCAACATGCATGAAGACCTGGAGGAGATGAGACGTATCCAGGCCGAGAGGAGCGGAGCCGCACAGCTCAGACCATCACGTGACGAGTCGCAAGGTAGATGACAGCCAGCACGCATCACGTGACTGACCGGGTGTGACTCCCCGAGCTGCACGCTGGCTAACAGCAGTTCCACTGGCGGCCACCAGTTGCTACCCGGGGCCGGACGGCGTTGAGGGCATGGGGCTTTGGCAACATCTGCCGTCAGTTGGTACCCGAGGTGGAAGGGGCTGGGCGGGGTTTGAGGGACGTGAAGCATAGATTCAGCGGAGCTAGCGGTGTATGCCGTACCGAGCAGGCCGACCAGTGATGTCCGGCGAGTCGATGTGTGTGGTGCCATGAGGGGTTTCAGATAGCTGAGAGTCGGGCGCGCAGCGGTTATGGAGGTGCAGGGAGTGGTGGGTGTAATAAGCTCAAGGCTTTTTGATTACTGGAAAGCTTTAATCCGCCGTCGTTCTGGTAAAGAGTCTATGCATGCCGCTGTAAGCCTTGTGTCGTAGCGTACAGCGGCTATAGTTCTGTTATACGGCGAGCGTTGTCGTTCGGCAGTTTAGTACCGTAACGCCACCAGACGCACGACTGGGCCCGAGCATGCGAGCAGGGATGCCCAAAAGGAGAACGCAATGGCAGAAAGCTTTACCTCTCCAAGAAGTTGTATTCTTAGCTTGCTGCCAGCTAGCGGACCAATTACCGTCAGCCACTATGCGTGCTGCTTAGTGAGGAGGGGTGACCACTTGAGGCACTCTGTACAGGGGATTCTCACTTCGCCCCAGTTTATAACTGTTAACACTGACGTCTATTTCCGCTCCTCAAGTTACCTCTGGGTCTTGGAGTGTCATAACAGACATGGAGCAGCCTCCTGGTCAATTGCAGCGGGCGGCGTCAGTAAATCAAGGACGGGAAGGCTCGCGCCCATGCCTTCTTTCCGTCTTGCAAGCGGTCCCTTGCCTTTGGGAGCACTTCCAACCAGCGGATGCGACGAGGATGAGCTCCGTCTGCAAGTTGGCTCGCAACCAGCATTTCGCGGGCTGCTATAAACTATGCCTGCGCGGCCGCGATTTATCGTACATCTCTGATGTGGAGCGTGGCCGAAAAATAGAGCAACATGTACAGTGGTTGCTAGCGATGATTAACCGAGGCTACCGTGCCACGCAAATTGAAATCGTTTGCGGTGCCCACCTGAAGGCCTCTCTGCTTATGTAAGAGCGAGGAAGGTTACGCTTGCGGGGTTCACGACTGAGCTTATGTCGACCCTCTTCATTTCTCTCGACAACCCCACAATCCATCTACGCTGCCCTTCCCCATGTCCGAACGCGTACCCCGCCCGCAACCTATGGCGTATCCGTATAACCGCTGTCCACATTACCCCGTATGCTCATATCAAACTACTCAGGCTACACCACTTTCCCTTTCCTCCATCCACAGCACACCGATATCCCGAGCCTTCGGTGCCCGCCTCACCTCCCTATCTCTACACCTGGCTGATCCTCACGACAACGCTTCCAAGGAAAACTCGCTAGGCCTTCCACCCACATCATCTGATTGGGCTCTTCGCACAGCTGCCGCCCTGCCCGCCCTCGTCTCGCTCTCGCTTCACACGGCCTCAGTAAAAGAGGAGAAGACCGCAATGCCGCTGCTCCATGCGCTAGCGCCCCAGCTGAGGTCCCTGTCCTGGGGCTGTTGCTGGATACGGCGGTTGCGGGGAGCTGTACTGCAGCGCATGACGGGGCTGCAGCACCTGGCGTTAGATTCCAGTATGTCCAAAACGTCCGGTAGCGGCCATCACCACGGACTTGGAAGTAAGGAGGAGCAGGAGGAGGAGGGCTAGGGTGGGGTAGCAGGTGCCGGAGGTGCTGAAGCGTCCTGTCGTCGTCAGCGCCGTTGTTTTTTTCATCGTTTCTTTAGTGCTCCCAAATATATCGCACATACAACTTCTGCGTTGACCCCTTTCCTTGCCCTTCGTTGCCAATCCTGCCCACACATGCAGTCGCCCCCGCCTGCGCCGCCGCCCTCGCCGGCCTCACCTGGTTGCGATCCCTGCACCTCACCTCCTCCAGCAAGTCTGACTTCAACACGCCCAAGGATGCGGCTCGCGAGCTCGCGGCGTTGTCAGCTCTGACGGGCCTTACATGCCTGGTCCTCAACACACCGGTTCCGGAACCCACAATCGGGGTCTCCCCACCTACAGAAGATCTCGTCGGCCAGTTCTACTTGAACTCCTGGCGCATGTCACACATCATCAGCACCATGCAAGACAGACTTGTGACGCTAGAGCTCGGCGGCTTGAACCTTCGCGCGGAAGATGTGTTGGAGTTGGTGGGCTTTGCGAGTCTGAGGAGGCTGGTGTGCAAGCACATTGCGACGCCGGCGTTTTCAGTGTGCTTGGAGCAGCACGGCAGCAGCGGCGGCGGTGGTAGCGGAGGAGGAGGAGGGTGTAGCGCAGGAGGGTTTCCGCTGGTGCCGCTGCCGCCTAGCTTGAGAGTGCTGGAGGTGAGAGACTGAGCGAGGCATGCGTCGAGTTGTTATGGTTTTGCTACAATAGCGGTGTTACATCTGCCGCTCCGACGTCCCTTGGCAGGCTGTGACCCATGGGTCAATGGGTACTTCACTTGGCTCATTCCATTCTTTCGGACCCCGCGCCGGCTTCCTGTGCCCCCTTGCCCCTCCTCCTGCTCCTCCCGCTCCTCTTCCCTTCCCCCCAGGTCCACTCCCTACCCACCCTGCACCTGGCTGCCAGCCTCGCCCTCGCGCCCAGCCGACCCAGGCTGGTGCTGGGGCCGGATGTGCCGGACAAGCTGACCAAGGAGAGCTTTTACAAGAAGAAGTTTCAAGTTGAAATATCGTCCTCCCTGGCCCTCATGGGTGGTATTGCAGCGCAGCATGGGCATGCCTTACCGGCGGTGGCGACGGAGGCGGCAGCAGCGACGGCGGCCGCTGCTGGTGAGGTTGGCGGCATCAGCGGCTGCGGCGATGACGGCAATGTCAGCGGCAGCGTCGACTGCGCGAGTGTGAGCACTGGCGTTGGCGCGATCGGCGACGGCAGCAACGGCGGCGCTAGCGGCGAGGCCGACAATGACGAGGGCGGCAGCACCACCGCTGCTAGCTTTGTTCGGCCGTGGCTAGTGGAGATGGTGGATCTGGGTGCGCGGGTGATTGCCAGCGCTGCGGAGGAGTATGTAGCACGCAACCGCAGGCCGGTACCGCAGGCCTTGCGGGACCAAGCGGCGGCTGATGAGGCGGCGGCAGCGGCGGTGGCGGCGGCGCATGCATCGGCAAGGCGTATGCCGCCAGCTGCAGCGGCAGCAATGTCAGCGACGATGTGGAAGAAGGAGGAGTGGAGAGCCGAAGCTGTTAGACTGGCGGCGTTGGTTAAAGTGCCGTACGAATCATACGTACGGGGCGCTACGGCGAAGCCGTTGTACGACATTGAGCCAAGTGTACGGATTATCAAGCTGACAGTGTACGAAGACTATCACCGAGTGGAGATCACTTCGGACGATCCCGCTGCGGTGGCGGCGGCGGCAGCAACGGACGCCCGCGATGACAGCGACAGCTACAGCATAATGAGCAGCGACTTCTACGATGAATTCGATCCTGGTTTCGATCACGATCCGTACATGTACGGCAGCAAATGGTATGGTGGCGAGTTTTACAACGACCCCTTCGATCCATACGACGACCCCTTCGATCCATACGACGACCCCTACGATCCATACGACGACCCCTTCGATCCATACGACGACCCCTACGATCCATACGACGACCCCTACGGTGATTATGACCCCTACGGTGAGGGTTACATGAGCGACGGCTATGGCGGCGACAACCCCTTTGGGCTGCCAAGAGCCAGATTTGGTGGCATGTACGGCATGGGCCGCCTGCACCACCTGCCCCCACCGGATCCTCCGCCGCCTAGGGAATGGCAGATAGAGAACAGGATTCGACGACGCATGGAGTCGGGGCGGGTGCGCGGTGCGCATGCGGGTTGGCTTGCTGCGCTGGCTCCGCTGCGTGGCTTGATGGGGGCGGTCAACATGGCGGTCAACATGGCCGATGTGGAGCTGGGGCCGGGACACATGAGGGTGCTGCTTGCGGCGTGCCCGGAAATCAAGGTGAGCGCGATTGGGGGTTAGGAAGGAATGGGTAGATGCGGTGGCAAGCGGTACCGTCAGACCGCATGACCAAACATGCGAGGACATGGTTGGGGAGGGTAGGTAGGGGCATTTCGGGTCACGCTCTCGAGGGTCACAAGGGTGGGGCCGCTTTGGAGGCCCTTCAGCCTCGCCGTCGTTCCTAGGTTGCAGGGCGCTGGTAGAACGGTTGGCAAATGGCGTCCTGCGTGCTTGGAAGTGACTGCCCCACACTTTATACACCGCAGTTCACCACCGGTCGGCCTGAGGACCACCATGAAATGGGGCGTATCAAGGTCGAGAGGAGCACTGCTGCAGCGCTCGGCGCATCACGTGAAATGCCGGCATGAGCACCGGGTAGATGATACCGGTAGATAGCCAGCACGTGACTGAACGGTTCGGACCTCCCCGAGCAGCGCGCTGGTTTCCTTCCACTGGCCGCCTTCAGCTGCTATCCGGGGCCGGACGGCGTTGAGGGTATGGTGCTTTGGCAGCGTCGAGCAGTGGTCCGCAAAATTTTCCAGTCCGCGTAACGTTGTAGATTCGAGGCTGTTTCTTTGTTGTGCAATGCAAAAGTGACTGGCTGGCATGGGTTATGCAGTAGGAAGACGGCTGTGTGCCCTGTCTTCGTGCATATGGGAGATTATGGTTTTATGCGGCAGGTGCCGCCGGATTATTGGGCACTTCGTTATTCGTTCTTAATTGGTATCGAGTTCCAGGACAGACAAAACAGTGTATGATCTTATTACGCTGCGATGATCAGCATACCGTGTAAGGACACGCGCTAGCTATGGCTGGTCTTAGCAGTCTTCTCATCGCAAAGCCGAACGCTGATACATTACCTCAATGGTGCTTGCCGCACCGTACTATACGGCTGAATGTACAGCACTGCTATGATACCATCACGCCTCTCCTCGATTGCGTTGGGCTTTGGCCCCCCTACCCAAGTCCAGCTGGACACCAACCCAGCTGCTAAATCATACACTGGATCTTCTGGTATCCCGCTTGCATACCACATCAAAAGTATAGCACACATCCACTAATGCGCCCCTGCATTATCCGCGCTTCACCTCGACGCTCTGCTGTAAACGCGCCCAACATGCACAATATCGCCCATACACACCGCTGCAAAATCCTCGTGTCGCTGCACTCTTCTGCTCTCACAAATCTTCGCCCCCACTACTTTCCACCCCCACTCTACCTTGAACACCTGCGGCCCTGCCCTTCTAGCGGCGCATGAGAGCCAGTCGGGAGCTGCCTCGGGCGCCTCGAGGGGTGGCGGCGGCGGCCTTGGCGGCGGGGACGTCCGTGGCGGCGGTGGGGTGTGTCGGCGGTGCGGGCTTGTCTGTCGGGCGCTGCTTCTTTGCCATGCCTTGCCCGATGGGGTCAGCCACGTAGGAGGCCTTGCGCACCCTGCATGGGGGAAACGGGAGGGGGCCGAAGAGGACGGAAGGAGAGGGGATGGTGGGTGACCTTGCAGGGATGAGCAGCAGCACGAGCAAGACAACCGGGCGGCTCAAATACCCAAGCCCTACACAAGAAACCGTCTTGTGCTCAGTGTTCAAGCCTACCTTACTGCTACTTAGCCTAGTAAGGTATCAAAAGCGCATGCGCCGCTTACAACTCGACCGCACGCACTCATTCCTAAGCCCTAACACCCCTAATACCGAACCCCTGACCCTTGCATCAGCATGGCCTACTTTGTCACGCGGTTGCGATCGGGACCCGAATGCTGGCTGTCCGCGATGTACACGTGGGGCTCGTCCGCGGGCTGTACGGCATCCCCCGCGCCGCGCTTGCCGCCGCCACCTGCTGCTGGCGCTGCAAGAGACCCCGTCATCTCGTCACCTGGTAGTACGGAAAAAGGTACGGCAGGAAGGGTTTACCAGCCACCAAAGTACCGTTACTCGCAACTTTATAGGTGAAACAGGACGCTTAAAGGGGTGCCGCACGACTTGAGAGCACGCTCGTGTGATAACGGTAAGCTACATCAGAAGGACCCACTCACCTGCTTGTTCACTCTCCATTCGTGCACCCCGGCTGCGCCCGTCTCGCAGCTCCTCTGCCGCTTGCTCCTGATCAAGTGACCGCCGCAAGTCGTCAACACCGCTGCCTCCGCGCTTGCCACGGCCGGCAGGCTGCGGCTCTGGAGAAGTCTCAGCTGCCTCCACCGCAACTGTGCCGGCACCAGCAGCAGCAGCAGCAGCAGCAGCAGCGGTATTGGGACCCATGGTGAGACCGTCCATGCGCTGCGCAATCATGTCGGCATCGTCCTCGAGCGGTGCTTGCTTGGCCGGCTGCTGCTGTGCGCCCTTCTTGCTGCCGACCCGCGGGTCAGCGGGCGCGGACTGAACGTCGACCTGCGAGTACCACGTGTTGCATGTCGAATAAGCAGCGGAAGATGACACATGAATACTTCCAGCATGGCGAACTTGACGTAAACACGTGAACGCAGATTGCAACCCACCCCCGTGGTCAATTTCTCCCCCCAGAGCGGGGGCTCCCGGCGTCGAGTTTGGTCAGCGGGCTTTAGTTCTCGGTAGTATTTTAGTTTTTCCGACACCATCAGCATCACCGACATGCGTCGTCACTCGTCACCTGCCACTCTTCTTACATCCAGCAACAGCCATTTAAGCAGTTTCTTGAATTATGGTTCAGGTTCGGTCACCTCTGTTTTGTCTGTTTTGCCTGTACTCGCGGTTCACATGCGAACCTATCCCAACTGCTTGCTCTTGTTCTACTCAACTACACACACACACACGACCAAGCACCCCGGCTGTCCCGGCACACCTGCTGTGAGGGCTGCAGCGCCACCACACGGAAGGTGTTGCGCGCCCCAGGCACCGCCACCAGCATCCCCTGCGCCGCCAACCGCTCCACATAACCGCCCAGCGCGGCCTGCGACATGGCGCCGAACTGCCGTACCAACTGCCGCATGCTGACCTGGCTGCGGCCCCGCACGTACTCCACGACCGCCAGGTAGTCCTCCGCCTGTCGCGGGGGGGGAGGGTCAAGTGAGGTCAAATGAAACCATGTAGGGCAAAGATGGGGGGTGGCCGGAGTAGGGGGGAAAATTATATAAGAAATGCAAACAACTAAAGTAGGGGGGGGAGGGGTGAGAAGCAATGAAGAAAGAAAAGCAAGGGCAACCCAACCGCGATGTGGTGTTTGGGGTTCAGGGAGTGAGGGAAGTTAGGTGAGTTGGCGGGAGGCGGAACAGTGCGGCAGGCAGGAGCGTAGAGCAGCGCAGCTGGTTGTGGGATGAATTCAATTGTGGCTGCAACAAATAATAGGTTGTCATTGTAAACATGCATGCGAGTCGCCCGAAACCCACCTCGGGCGCCTCAGTCACGTCGTCCTCCTCGCCGCCTCCAGCAGCGGCGCCGCCCTCCTCTCCGTCCACATCCATGGCGCCCGGCTCACCACCCGCGGGTGGCGCCTGCTGCTTGTGCTCGGGTGCTGCTGCGTCGCTCTTGCCGGACGTCTCGGCGTTGGCTGTGGGGAAACAAGGGATACATGCATTTAAGGTATTACCTACGATTGCCAATGATAACGAGCGTTCAAGCACAGTTCGGCTGGCTTCTGCATCCGGCACAATACAGCAAAGAATGCAGGATGAGATGAACCGACCCATGGGTCACAATAGCATCTCAAACACAACAGGAACAGCGTTTATTAGCAATCGGTGGCTGGTCGCATGTCTCATCAACCCTTTGCTTTTCCCACTCACCCTCCGCCGCAGCCTCATCATGCATCCCCCGGCCAGCCTCCGTCTCAGCCCCGCCGCTAGCGGCAGCAGCAGCAGTGACGTCACCGGTGCGCTCCTCCTCTCCACCCTCCTCCATCACATCTCCACCCCCCTCCTCCTCCTCCTGCTGCCGGCCCCGACGCTGCTTCTGCCTCGGCCGTTGCTCCTGCTGGCCCGCGCTCTTCCCTCGCGCGTCGGTGGCCGCATTCATGGCCTCGTCGTCGCCCTCGGTCGGCGCCGGCGGCGCAGTCGCAGTTGCCGTACCGGCCTCGCCGCTTCCAACCGAACCGGCGGAGGGCTGAGCCTGCGCGGTGACGCGGTCTTGGCCGTCACGGGCGCCATGACGCGCGTCGACGCCTCCCTCTGCAGTTACACGTGCGGTGGGGGTGAAAGCGGTGACAAGGGAAGGTCTTAGGTACCGTATAGGGTAAGGGTAAGGGTAGGGGTATAGGGTATAGGTTACCGTATAGGGTAGGGGTCAAGGGTGAGGGAGGGGCAGCAGTGGTAGCCCGGCCGCTGCTGCTAAGACAGCGAGCAATAGCGATAGCGCTAGTCGCGAGCTTGGATGTGTTGCCGCATGTATTACAGCCAGCTGGCCCCTACATGTGCCATACCCATATACGATATACCCTAATGCGTTATGTTCTTATTACACACTCCCGTGCATGAGCTCTCAACCGCTCAAGCAAGCCTTACCTTCTCCCTCCCCCTCCCCGCAGTCGTCCTCGCAGCTGTCCAGTGTGGACTTGACCTTGAGGCTGACGGAGTGGTGGTCTGTTGCCACTCGGCCCACAGCCATGGAGAACGGCGAGCGCTGCAGGCGACGATGTGAATTGTGAGGTGAGGGAAGAACTGTGTTAGTGAAGTATGCCCAAAACCCTAGTGGGGGCCGCTGTTACTGCTTTCCGTCAGACTGCAAAGCCTGCACCACCACCACAACCACGAGTGCAGATCTGCCGTACCTTGAAGTGTCCCACGCCGCTCTCGTCCACCGGTACGAAGTACGGCGGCTCGTACTCCTCGGGCGTGTGGTCCTGGTACGTCAGCTTCATGAAGAGGTAGCGCTCGGAGGGGACCTTGTCGAGTGTACGGCAGACTTGTACGAGCATGCGGATGAGGCGGCAGACCTGGTAGCGCACGGTGTTGAGGTCGGCCTTCGCATCCTGGTGTAGATGGCGGGATGGGGAGGAGGATGCGGATGCATGCGGGTGGGGTTGGGGTTGAAATGGGTCGAAGTGGTAAACAAGAAGATCCAATGAAAGGACATCGGTTCGTTGAAGAAGGAGGTAGGTTGGGTTATGTGCTCCGTCAAGCACAGGACCTACCCCACCTCCCCAAGGACATATTTCCTCATTAGGCGTTATTATCTCTTCTCCCTATCTCGTCCTGGTCTCCACCTTTCCACCTCTCACCTGCTTGAACTCCCCTTTGTTGCTGCGCCCAGCCCGCTTGCCGCCGCCCTCCTCCGCCGCCACCGCATTCACGTCCATGGACACCTTGCCGTCGCCGTACTTGAAGGAGAAGATGTACTCCTGCGGGGGAGGGCAGGGAGGGCGGTGAGGGCGGTGAGGCGGCGAGGAGGTTGCGGTCGCGGAGATGGACGGCGGGGTTACGGAGGGTTACCGATAACCCTCCGTAACGGAGCAACAGCAGCTGGCACGGTTCTCTACGACAGGAGAAAACCCATTTCCTTATCCCAAAACCACCCAACCCTTACACCCATTCATTTACATCGGTACCGTTACCTCCCCCACCCCACTTGACTCCCAACCCCAGCTGGGTCGCTGCTGCCTTCCCCTCACCTACCTCCAGCAGCTGAGTCCCCTCGGGATCGCAGCTGATGCCGAAGAAGAGGTTCTTCAGGAAGCCGCGCTTGATGGCGTCGTACACGCCGCCCTCCACCCAGTCCACGAGCCGCCGGGACTCGTCGCAGGCGGGCAGCAGCATCTTGATGTGCATGTCTGGGTGTGTGGGTGTGTGTGGGTGTGTGGGTGTGTGTGGGGGGGGGGGGGGACGGTGGGTGGGACATGGGAAGGGTAGGGAGTGTGGGAATTGGGTTTTGGGGATCTGGGTCGGAGTGGAGATGAGGCAGGAAGTGGGTGTGTATGGTCGATCTGCCCAGTCGCGTATGCCTTATCCATTATTTTAGGCATTGTCGTACAACCGCAAGTACGGTAAAGGGAAAAAGATGTCGTACCGTCGAGGTTCTTCATGTCAACGCCCTTGAAGCTCTTTTCGGGGAAGAGGCCGCGCAGGTAGCTGACGTGGAAGATGGACTGCGAGGTGGGGTAGGGGAGAGGCAGGGTCGGGAGATGTGGGGGAGAGTGTGAAAGGGCAGGGGAGCAATGGGGTGAACGTCCGAAACAAGGCCTACCCAATTCAGAAGTACGTGATCCCCATCCCACCCAAGCCAAAGGCTCGAAACCCGCCCGACCCAGATCGCAATGCGCCGCCAGCGACCCAGTTCATACCGGCAGGGAAAGGGGCAAAAGAACGCAGGACTCGCCCAACCCAAAATCAGGATTCGACAATTGCGGCCCGCATCCGGCATCAGGTGGCCCCAGACAACGCACCAGAAGGCACACTCGGCACCCCATGCAGGTCAGACTACCGGTACACCCTGACCCACATCGCACCATGCATTACCCACATTGGAGCCCGACCCACATCGCAAACGCCACCCTGCATGCCCTAACGAGCGACCTCCCAACGCCGCACGCCACCTAGATCCCTCCTCCCAGATCCCGACCCAAATCCTGTCCCACCCTAACTCCCGACCCAAATCCTGCCCACCCTAACTCCCGCCTTTTGCTTCTCACCACACGCAGCAGGCATCGCACCAGTTCCAGCGACTCGGTGTGGCTAATGTTGGACTGGTGCTGGGCCTGAGCCTGGGCGGCTTGGGCGCGACCCTGGAGCGGCGGGGACAAATAAGTTTGGGGTTGAAATTCAGGTGCAGATTGCGGTAAAAAGAGGGAAGGGAAAAAGGGGCAGCTTGGATGTTGAGCAGAACACAGCAAGATACCGTAATAATAGCGGTTGCAAGAGGGCAATCAGCAGCGTTACGATGTGTTTGCCCCGGATGTTGAGCTGTCACATACAGGTTCTTTGAGCCCTGGTAAACGTCGCTGCTGCTCCCTTAAAGTACTTGGCAGGATTCCCCAGCACCCAAATTCCAGTCCTATACACCTTAAGGTTCCGGTTTAAATCTTTGCTACGCCTGGTGTTCCCTAGACGAATCGTAGAACCCGCTTCCCCGTATCCGTTGGCAACATACCATGGTAGCTGCCCGAGGGTCTCAGCTGAGCAAAATAGTTGATGCGTAGAAGCCTTGGGTTGATAATTTGAAGGTGAAGACGGTCTTGGGTTGCTGAAATGAACCGACTGCTTGTCGTAGAAGGTGAGCGGACGGAAGGCAACGACTGATTGCTAGCCTAATATAAATATGTGGGTGTTCACGATCTCAACTGGAAAAGACACAAGTTGGAAATTGCTTCCGTGCGGTCAAAGGCATACGATTTATGACGGCCAGTCGTGGGAGGCCCTCGGCGCGATTCTGGCGCCATGAGACCACCTGGGTTCCGGAGCGGAAGGAAGGATGAAACCCATTTCCTGATGCGCGTTACAAGCGGCTATCTTTTCAGAGTCAATTTCTTTCAGAGCCATCCTTACTCCTTACATCTTAAGGGATGTCGAACGCCTTAGACGTTAGCCTTCCTCTCGCTCGCTCCCAGCTCTACCCAGCTCTTCCATCCTTCTCACCTCCTTCTACAGTAAAAAACAGCGCTTGCTCACAGCATCATCGACGCTATCTCTATCACCATCCCCATCATCATCCTCACAACCGCGCCTTCTTCGGGCCCTTTCCAAGCGCCAAAGCCCGCTGCTTCTCCTGCTGCGCCTCGGCCTTGCGCTTCAGCTTAGCGACCATCATGCGCAGGTCGCCACCGCCTTCTCTCCGCTGCTGCTGCTGCTGTTGCTGCTCCTCGTCTGCGCCCGCGACGCCGCCGTTCGCCTGCTTCTGCTGCTGCTGCGGAGCCGGCTGTTGACTGCGGCGCTTCTGCACCTCCGTAAGCACCTTGTCTCTTGCCTGCAGGCAAAGAGATTAAGCAAAAAAGTTATGACGAAGTAAAGCAACGAGGAAGGGTACTAGGGACAACACACGATGCGGTAGCGGTTGACCGATTGCTACAGGCGTCACACCGATGTAAATCGGGCTACGATGACAATAGCGAACTGGGTCAAACTTGACTACGGCAAGCAACTGAAACCCTTCCACATATAGTACCCGTCCACATAACCCACATGACCCTTGCCCCCAAACTCCTCCTATCTTCATGCGTCCAAATTCCACCAAGCCCTCTCCAGGCCTCCTTCTTCCTCCGCGGGATGCAGCCAAACTCACCTCCATCTTCTTGAACCGTGGGTCGGTCGGATCCAACGCATACTCTGCACTTCGGAACATGTCCGCAAAGCGCGGGTCCTCCATGTTCATCGCAAAGCCCGGAGCCGCCTCGCCGTCGCCCGCCGCATCCTCCTCATCGCTGCCTGCCCGCGCTTTCCGCTTGGCCTCCTTCTTCTGCTCGCGCTTCTCCTGTGGGCGGCGGTACGGCACAGGGCCAAGTCGGTGTACGGCACGTGGAAGGTACAGGGACGGTGCATGCAAAGGGAATAGATAAGAGCACAAATGCCCAAAATGGTTTTGATGATAAGCGACACTCTGCATATAACTAAAAATCCATGACCCAAATCGCACAAGCCGTCGCCATGCACTAACACCTTCCCCCACGACTTTGCCCGCCCCATTTACCCTGTCATTCCAGGCCCTCCTACACATCCCCTCCTCCTATGTCGCCGTACACCCACCAGCACCCAAGCCATCAGCACCGTCCATCTCATCCACCCAACCCAGTCCAGCCCACACTCTCAACCCACCTTCTTGGTCAACTTGCGCTTGCCGCCTCCCGCCTCCGCCGCGTCATGTCCCGCCGGCAGCACCCGGGACTTCACCCCCCGGGCGGCCTCTCGAAGAGCCGCATCGTCCATTAGCAGCAGCTCCAGATCGGCCTTCTCTTGGGCCTTTTGGAAGAAGGTGGGAAGCCATAGGGGGTGGGTAGTGAGCTGGTTAGGAGTCGGGTAGTCGAGAAAGGCATACAGGTTAGGAAGGAAGAAGGTGTGAGTTGAGCAGCACCCCGAAGTCTCATGCAAAACACCCGAGACGCGCAGAACGGGAAGCAGCTCCTGCAAACTGTTTTATGAACCAGATGACCCACGGGTCACTTTGGCTGCTTTAGTCCTACCCAGCACCCTTCTTACCTGGCCGCCTGCCTTGTCCTTGCCCGCCTTCTTGCCGCCCTTGTCCTTGTCTTTACCCGCCTTGCCGGCCTCCTTGCGCCCCTTGCCCTTGTCGCCGCCTGCAGCGGCCCGCCCCTTGCCGCCCTCCTCGTCTCCATCATCGTCATCAAATCCGCCTCCTTCGGCGTCGGCCTACAGAACATGGTCGCGACAGGGAAAGAAAGCTCGCGGGTCCGTGCAAGACATTGGCACGAAAGATGGCGCTACAAGCCCACCCATATGACGATATGAGCTTTGTGGATTGCACGTCCTTCAGAACTATCCTCGCGCCATTCAGTTGGTAATTCGGTGCATCTCCGTGAACCGCATCCAGGGTCATGAGACGCCCATAACCCATCGCCCGAGAGCCGAGAGCCGAGACAAATTTCATATTTCATCCCTGCACAACAGCCAACAGCCAACCCACCTGGTTGAAGAATGGATCCGCAAAGGGATCCTCCCCGTTGTCTTGTTGGAAGAAGGGGTCGTCAGAAGCCACATCTCCGTACAAGTCATCATCACCGTCATCAGCACCACCGCGGCTGCCTTTTCGCCCCTTGCTGGCAGCAGCGTCCTTGCTGGCCTTCTTGGACGCTCCCTTGCCGGCGGCAGCAGCTCCGTCGTCCTCACCCTCGGAAATGTAGTCGTCCGAATCCTCGCTGCGAGGCGCAAGATGGAAGAGGACAGGAGGAGGAGGAGGAGGAAGTGTTAATGGACTGATAGCAGAGGGGAAAGCACACGAGGAGGAGAGGAGCACCGCCACGGTGTACCGGTGTAGCAGAACCGCCACGGAGGGAGCATCCGCAGCTGCGGTCCCGACCTTTGCCGTACAGCACAACCCGCCATTGGCAGCAGCACCGAGCACCTAAGATTCCCAACTTTTCTCCAATACCCCGCGCACACACCACACACGGCGGTTCTGTGGGGATTTCATCTTCCGACAATCACAGTACGTTCCTACTCGCGGCCAGTTTTCATAATACACCACACACCTGTCGCTCAGATTTCGTAGCCGCCCTTGCGCCTTGCGTAGCGCTCGCTTCTCCTTCTTCTTCCGGAGGTACGCCTCCCACACCGTCTCGCCCGCCCGCGCCTTCTCCTCCTCCTTCTTCTTCTTCAACCGCTCCCCGAGCCCCTCCAAACCGCCGTGGAAGGTGACCACCATGTCCACGTCGCCCTTCTTGCCGCCATTCGTTGCGAAACCTGCCGCCCCTGCTGCTGCCGCAGCGCCCTTGCCGGCTTTCCGCCCGCTAGTGCTCGGCTGCCCTGAACCGTTCCGCCGCCCTCCGTCCGCCTCCTCCTCATCATCTTCCTCATCCTCGCTTCCTAGCCAACTCTTGCCGCCCACGCGTCCCTTGGTCTTGGTAGCCTCAGCCGCGTCGTTGTCAGCACCGCCCAGGAGGAGGGCCCTGCGGTGGGTCGAAGATATACCAGAACCCCAGGTAGCCAGGTTAGGGCAAAGCAATGCTGAGGGAGGTACCGATATACATGAATAAGAAAGAAACCGACCCGGCAGGTGGGTGATGAAAGGGGGCGTGCTGCGGGTTTGTGCGTCGCCGGGACGCTGCTTGTAGGGCGGGATGTGAGGCCTGTGCTTGCGCGCCGTTGTGCGTGCTGTGGGTGATTTGGGCGTGGGCTTGTGCCTGTCTTCTTGTGCCTCTTCTTGTTCCTGAACTCGCCACTTCCCGCCTCCCCCACAGCATCTACATGTTTCCCTCCTTCCCCCCTGTACCATCCCCTGTCTCCTCTACCCCCAGTCACAGCACATCCCCACCTGCCTCACCTGTATCGTTGCCGTAGCGCCTCCGCATCCTCTCCGCGCTTCCGCCCGCCCTTGCCCCGCACCGCACCGCCCCCTTCCTGCTGCTGCTGTCCCTCCCCTTGCACCCCCTCGCCCTGTTGCTGCCCTCCCTCCTCCTGCTCCTCCCCCTCCTCGTCCTCATCCTCCTCATCGCTGCCCAAGTAGGCTGCCAGGTCGGCCTCGAGGAGATCCTCGTCCGTCTTCAGTCGCCGACCCTGTGGGGGTTTTGAGGCGGGGTGGGGGAGGAGGTGAGTTCGGGAGGAAGGGAGGGAATACCGGTGACACCAAGTTTTGTGAACAGAGCTGTGGCAACCTGTACTTGGGGTGAAGAGGGGAAGGAAGAAGAGGATGAAAACAAACTAAACCGCTCCCCCTCCCTCACTCACTCACTCCTCTTCCTCCCCCACACATCCGCCCCACCTGCAGCTTGCGCTTGCGTTCCGGGTCCTCCGCGTCCCAGGAGAGCTTGGGGTTGGTGTGCTGCAGCGAGATGTTGAAGGTGGCGGGCGGCTCGTAGCCGGGGGGCACAGAGCTGGCGGAGTCGCGGACCTTGGGGGGGGAGGGAAGGGAGGGGAGGGAAGGGATTAATAGGGATGCAGGTTCCGCAATTGGCTGAATTGGCTGAGTTACAGAATCGTTAAGGGGGAAGGGAAGAACAACCATGCGTTGAATGAGAAGGGCTCGGGTGCGGGTCAGGAACTCTCTCCTCCTCTCTCCTCCCTGTGTGCCACGCCGTCCTGCCTCCCCCCCACCTGGCGTCCCTCGAAGCTCTGCTCGTCCGGCACGAAGCGCATGTCGAACTTGCATGCGGAGCGCTCGAACTCCATGCCGTCGCACTCGTTGTAGAGGTGCAGTGCGGTGGCTATGCAGTCGCACTCCACGATGGCATAATAGTACCTGGGGGGGGGCCGGGGGTGAAGAGGGCGGAGCAGGGATCAATAGGGATACATCAGGATACATATTCCGCATTTGGCTGGGTTATTGGTCGTAGTTCTCATGGTCTCAGGCATGGTACAGTACGTGTTAGGCAAACACATACACATGTACGGTAGTAGAATGTCGTCGTTTCTGAACATCGCCGTCCGCTTGGCTCACCTTAGTCGCGACTTTTCGTATGCCGCCAGTCGCCGCTTGTCTACCTCACTGCCCTCGTCCGCGTCGTCGGTCGCACCGCCCTTCCGCTTGCCTGCCGCCGGTTGCTTCTCTGCCGCTGCTGCCGCGGCCCCTGCCGCAGCTGACGTGGGCTTGAGGATCAGCTGCGCGAGGTTCAGATATGGGAGGGCGAGGGAGGATCCGGGGAGGGATGAATCAAAGACAAGGGGGTTCAATTTATCGGACAGGACATCCTCAAGCCCCCGCGCCTTACACGGCATCAGACCAGCATCAGCCCGCTACCTCGCTAGGCCCTCACCACTCACACGGCGGGCCCAACCGCTCGCCCCTTTTCCCTTTCTTGCCTCTGCAGGCCCTAGGACCCAGCGCCCATGCCCTCACACCTCCCCCGCTGCTACCCCTCCCCCCCTTCCTTTAGCATCGTCGTACGGCTCGTCCGTTTCCTCCTATCCCTCCCCCCTTCGCCCCCCCCCGCCCACCTGCGGCCCCATGGCCGCCTCCTCCGCCATGCGCTGCAGCCCGAAGTCGGAGGGGTACACCGTCACCCGCACCACCTCCGCGCCCCGCGGCAGGAAGGAGCGCAGCACAGCCAGGATGTCAACCGCGCGGACAGCGTCCCAGTCCAGGTCGACAAGGGCCAGCCTGGAGGGGGACGGGGAGGAGAGGCATGGGGGGCAGGGGGAGGGATAGGGGAGGGTGAGACAGGTAAAGAGGAAACGACTAACGAACCGTGTGATGAGATGTCAGCGTGGTTTGCGACATGTGAGCCAGCCCGACCCGCCCGTGAGAGACGGGGGTAAGAAGAGGGCACCGCTCCAAACCGTGTCCCCACCCACCACACCACCCACAACCCGCGCTATCACCACCATCATCGTAGTCCGCTTGCTTGCTCCGCTCCAACCTAGACCCCCCCCCCTCCCGCTCGGGATATGGGATTGGGAATCTGGTTGTCTGCACTTGTTAACTAATTTTCCCCCCTCCCGCCCCCCCTCCCCTGCCGCTCCCCTCCCGTTCCCTTTCCTCACACGCACCCACCTGCGCGTCTCCTCCTGCTGCGGAATGGCCTCCTCCGGGTTGAGCGCATTCGCCCCCGCGCCCCACTCCGCCGGATCCAACCGCTCCCGCCCGTACCCCCCCTCCTCGCCCTCCTCCTCCTCCTCCTCTTCCGTGAGGGGCTCATCGGCGCTGTCGTACTCCCCCTCGCCCTCCTCGCCCTCCTCCTCGCTGCTGTCGGAAGCTGTGGGGATGCGTTGGGGGTTACGGTGAGGGCGGCGGAAGGGAGGAGGAGTAGGGCCAGCTGGTAAGGGCCAGCTGAGGGCAGTGGGGAATGTAGCCCAGAAACCCCCCCACCAACCCCCGCAACCCCAGCCACCCGTCACCCTTGTCTCGAAGCCCTCGCTGACCCCACCGCCGATCCCCCATGCGTCTCCTCCCCCCCTCCCCATGATAGTCTTACCCAGCATGCCACGAGCACGAGCCCAGCGCTCCCGCGCCCTCGCCTCCTCATCAACCTCCTCCTCCTCGCCCTCATCGTCCTCCTCCTCGCTCTCCTCCTCCTCCTCGCCCTCGTCCCCGCTCTCCTCCTCCTCCTCAGTCCCGAGCTCCAGGCCCTCCTCCTCGCTGCCCTCCTCCTCCTCCTCTTCCAGCTCCTCCTCGCTGCCCTCCTTCTTCTTCTTGCCCTGCTGCTGCTTTTGCTGCACCTTCTTTTCCTCACCCTTTTGCTGTTGCTGCTGCTGTTTCTTCTTGTCGCCCTTGTCCCCCTTGCCCTTCTGTTGCTTTTGCTGGTCCCTCGAGGGGCCCTGGGCGTCGACTTGCCTCTGCTTCTGCTGACCCTTCGCCTTCTTGTCACCAGCAGCTGCACCTGCTGCTGCTGCCTGCTTATCCGCCCCCTCCGCCGCCCCCTTGCCACCTGCATCCGCCCCCTCCTCGCCCTCCTCAGCCGCCTGCTGCCGCCACTCCTCCTCGTCCTTCAGACGGTAGTAGCGACGCAGGTCCTCATTGCGCCGCTTGGCCTCGATCTAACAGGGCGGAAAAGGAGAACACACATGTGTTGTGGGGAAGCGGCAGGAGGTTGCATGGAGACGAAGGGAGAAGGACATACACGCACGATCTGGCTCATGGCCTATTTTTTTAGCACATGTTGTCGTGGGTGTGTAGGGTGGCACAGATTGGTGCACAGACGGTGATGAGAGCTGAGGCCCGTAAGACCCGCCCCTTAGTGCGTGTGTTGAGAAAACTGGCAGCGAGTCGGAACGTGCGTGTGTGTGTATGTGCGTGTGGGAGGAAGGAGAAAGGAGGAAGGAGGAGGGGTGCAGCGGGGTGAGCATGGCAGCAGCAGCTGCTGCCCAGCGGTGCCCCACCTTGCGGCCTCGCTTGTCCACTGCGGAGCGAGTCTGGAAGTCGGGGTCCTCAAACATGCCTGGCAAGATGGGTGAGGGGTTTCGGAGGTGGTTAGGAAGGTGGTTGGGGCGGAGGTCAGGGAGGTGGTTGCCTGGAGAGGTGGTGGCCTAGAGGTAAAGGAGGAGGAGGGTAGGGTGATGCTAGGAACGCCGTTGGGGAACGCAAGGTCTTTGCCCCGCCGCCTTTAACCCGCCCGGAGTCAGCCACATCCGAGCCCTCGCTGATGCCACCCGTAACGTTCAAGACGTTAAATGGTTGGGAATTAGGGTACCATCCATCATCCGGGGGTCGAAACCCGCGATTACCTGCGAAACGCTTGTCCACAACGACTTTGTGCTTCTGCTTGGGAAAGCGCTGGAAGCGGGGGTCGTTGTGCATCGCGGCAAAGCGAGGGTCCGCCGCCGCCTGGCCCCCGCCCTTGCCATCTGGTTTGCCCATGGTTGGTGTATATATATGCGATGTAAAGCCTCTTCGTTAACACACGTATTAGACGAAAGCAGCCGGTTCAGGGCGCGTGAAGTGGAGAAATGGAAACAATCGTTAATACTCGTTAGCAGGAGCAAGGGCTTTCCAGCTGCTGCTTTAGCAAAATGCTAAAATCGATAAAGTTGTACACTTTGGTGTATTCGCCGGACTAATTGGGCTGGGTCCCATCATTCATGCAAGGCCCTCTGCCAAGATCCATTCCGAGCAAAGTCCCCTCAATTGGCACGAGCGTACCTCTTCTAGAAGGGCTTTAGGGTCACCAGGGTGTCTTGAAACGTGTCAGAGTGTAGAAATTGTAACATATTAGGCAAAGCTGTGCCGCCACCTTGCGACCCGGAGACCGCGACTTAGCCATGCAGACGACAAGGGCCTCGATGGCCCTCTCAAAGCCGCATCGGCTGGTTCCCGGCATACCAGCGCGCCTGCCACTGGGCTGCTTGCGGACTCGGCCGACCCTTCATCCCATTCACGCGGCTGCGCCTGTGGAGCAGGTCCCAGTTGAGGTAAGCCCCGCGACAAGATAAAGTGCATATGGCGTTCCATGTATAAATCTAATAGCCAATTGGCACTTACGATCATAATCGGCAAGCGTACGTGCGCTTAGGTTCGCCGGGTCGGCAGATTGTGGCTGCGCGCTTGGTTGCAGCTGCGGGACCCCGTCGACTCGTATCAATTAGAGTTTGCAATACCCTTTCAATTCTGTATCGCAGCCCGTCGCTGCTCTTGAAGAAGAGGAGGATCGTAGCACGAAGGCGTTCCCCTATTATGTACCGAAGGACCCGGCCCAGCAGCTTCTGTCCAGCATCCCGCTCGTCCTGCTTTATCCTGGATTTCTAGCTGCTATTGGAGCAACTGGATTTGCAGGCTCCCTTCTGGGTCGTGCAGCGCCAGGTGAGGAGTCGTCAATTCGCATGGTTCCGTGGCCGCCGCAGCGGCATAATCAGAGCATTTCGCACAATGATTGGTTTCACAGTTGTCCTGTCTGCCTAATAGGCGTTGGATCCGCCAGGAGATCCGCCGAACCTGCTGACTGTGGCCAGACGTGTTGAGATTGGTCATGGAAGGCGACGCCTTGCGCTTTCTCACAGCCACGACACGTTATGCTTGGCCCCCGGTCTAGATCACCCAGGGCTTCCGTCCTTAGGCGGGGGTGATTAGTATCCGGTGGATCAAAGACTTGCCTGACCCGGCTCACGATGCCCAGTCCAGCATCCCAGACCCCTCCCACTCCCTCCCTCTCCCTAACTCCCCCTTCTATGCTTGATGCCCGCTTCCCACGTCCCCCCATCCCCCTGGCACCCCCGTTCCCTCTCCCAAACAGTCCTCCCTTCACCCCTTCCTCAATCCCTCCCTCCTTCCTCCCATCCTCCCTTCCTCCAAACACAGTTGAACCAGGCGCCAAGGACATCACATCGTACGGCACAGCGGCTGTAGCAGCAGCTGCAGTTGCGTACGGCTGCGTGATTGCAAAGCGCAAGCGCGATTCGGCGTCCGTCGTAGATCTGTACAACACGCTCGTGGATCTTCCGGACGCCACGGATCTCACGCCCCAAACCGTCGCGGTGGGTACTTCGGGGTGTCGTACACATCTCCCGCACGGCATGGTTTGGTCTGTGGGGTGATCTGGGTACGGGATCTCGGGTTTTGCGATTTGGGTCGGGCGGCCATTTGGGTCGGGCGGGGTTTGAGGGGGGCTGCAAGGTGTGGTGTTTGGTTGGTGGTTGAGGTGGAGAGGCCAAGATAGGGGAGGGGGGCTGGGTCTGCATGCTGTCGGTGTGAGGGAAGCAGGCGGGGGGCGACGTCCCACCTACGCTACCCAGACAGCTCACGATGCGCACGATCCGCAACGTGGCGGGTGGGGGCGGCTGGTGGGAGTGCTGTAGCAGTGGTGTGGTAGCGGTGCCGATGGCGTGGGCAGCAGCAGCAACAGCACTCGATGGCAAGAGGCGGCAGCAGCAGCAGCAACAGAAGCGAGAGGCGGCGACGGTAGCGGCGGCAGCAGCAGCTCTAAAACTCGAGGAGCGCCATGGTTGGGGTGATGGCCGAAAGCAAAAGCAGCATCCCCCGTTGGCAAGCAGCAGTACAGCCATGATGCTGCTAAGGCTGCTGATAAGGCTGCAGCAGCATGGGTATGGGCTAGGCGGAGGTCAGCAGCAGCAGCTGCAGTCGGAGGCCAGGAGTGCTGTCATGTCCGTCTGCCTGCCTGTCCGAACTGCTAGGCGGACATGGAGAGCCGGGGGCGGCAACAGTGCTGGTTGGAGCCCATGCACCGGGCAGGGCAAGGCGGGGTGAAGCAGGGGCGGTGCAGCAAGACACAGACGTGTGGCTCGGCACGGAGCGTGTAAGGAGCGTGAGGGGGGCGAGGGCCGTCAAGGCCGTCTCACCCACCCACCTTCATCCAAAGCGAGGGGTGCCAGCAGCGGTGTGCTGTTTGAGGCTGCGGCTGCTGCTGGCTGCGGCTGCGGCTGCTACGGCGGCTTTTGTGGCATATGGACGCCGCCGAGGAGGGCTGCCCCCTGCCCTGCAGCAGCGTTTGGCAGCAACAGCAGCAACAAGGACAGCTCGTGATTGCCAGCAGCGAAGAAAGCGATCCATGGAAGATCCAAGGAAGCAGCGAACCATGGAAGCACGGAGCTGCTCAGCAAGCTGCCTGCCTGCCTGCTAGGTGGTGGAAGAGGGAGGAGCGACCAGGCTGGGGTGTTGCGGAGGAGGAGGGACCGACCAGCATCCAACATCGGGAAACCCACCGGCCATGCGCAGCTGTTGCTACCGCTGCCGCCGGCCCCCTTCCGCCGCTTACCGCCCCCACCCCCCACGTCACCTTCCCCATTACCCGTTCCCGCGCGGCCATCCTTTCGCAGCCCAGCCAGCATGCTGCTCCCCTGACGCTGCTGCGCGCCCCGCTGCTGTCAAGCAGCAGGGGGGTGCAAGCGGCAGCGGCGACAACAGCGAGCGAGAGCGACATCCGCCGCGGCGCCGCCCGCAGCCGCCGCTCAAGTCCCTGGCTGACAGCAGCCGCAGCAACAGGCAGCAACAGCCGCAGGTAGCGCAGCAAGCACCACAAGCAGCAGGTCCAGACTCCAGGGAGCGCTGCCATGGGGGGGGGCTGTAGCTGCTGCATGTGGGCTGGCAGCCAGAGTCAGCAACCGCAGCAGCATGTGCAGCAACAGTGGTGGCAGCTGTAGCGGAGTGGTAGCAGCAGCCGCAATGCTATCCAGGGGCATGTGGCATGAAAGCGGAGCTGGGGGGGTGTTTGGCTGGTCTGTAATGATGAAAGCGGACAGCAGCAAACGTGTGTGTTGTATGGCAGTTTGGGGGCCGGCCGCTGTTGATGGTGGTGATGGGATGGCCCGTGGGTCTGCAGGGAAATGGTGTTGGGCTAGGAGATGTTGGGGGTTGTGGAGATGTTTGGTTGTGGTGATCCGTGCATGTGTCAAGCGATGTGGAGCGGCATCCTTCCCCTTTGCCCTGCTTAGCCCCACTTTGCCGCGCGCATGCTTGTGTTCTGACAAGATCCCACTACTACCCTTGCTGCTGTGCCGTACCTGCATTTAAGCTTTACCTAACATGTGTCGTATACCTCTGTCGTACATCCGTCTTACCCCGCAGGAGATCGGATCTGCGTACGGCATCAACTTCCAGCGTGATGAGCTGGACGGTCTGAAGCGCATCTACGGGCAGTTCCTGGAGAGCGTCATTCCCACCGGGGATGTGCAGCTCAAGGTGGGGGGGTGGGTGGGGGGGTGGGGGTTGCTGTGTGGGCTGGGTGGGAAGCGTGGGGTGTGGAGGTGTGAGAGCTCGGGGCCGGGTCCTGCTTCGTATGTCCATGTTACCGTGTGCCTTCTTCCCCGCCCCCGCCCCTTTCCTTCTACTACCACTTAACCCCATCCCTATGGATTATCCCCCCCCAATGGATTACTAACCCTCCCTCTGCCTTGTGAACCCCTGCTTTTCTCCTTTTTGTTTTTATATGGTTTTAATCGGTCCATGGTTCTAATTGGTCCAAAATTGACCTCCCCCCCAGGGTGACGAGGCGGCCCGCGTGTCCGCCTTCAAGGAGGCGCTGGGACTGGCGGACGAGGACGCGGCGCCGGTGCACATCGAGGTGGGGCGGCGGCTGATGCGGGAAGGCTTCGAAACCAAGGACCGCACGCAGCTGTTCGAGAAGAAGAAGGTAGGGGGGGAAAGGGGGGGGAGGGGGGGAGGAAGAGGATGGGGAAGGGGCAGGGAGGGAGGCAGGGAGGAGGGAAGGCAGGCAGGGAGGGGATAGCCGAGTGGTCATGGTTTTGGCAGACCGGCACTCTGCAGGCATACTCCGTCTACATTTAGGCTTCAAGGAAGGGTGGGAGGGAGGGTGGGAGGGAGGGTGGGAGGGAGGTGGGAGGGAGGTAGGAGGGATAAGCAACCCCTCTCTTGCATTCCAACTGTTGTGCTTCAGGGAAACCGCTGACCACCCTCCGCCTCGCCTCCCGTCTCCCGTGCTGCACTTCCCTGCATTTATCCCCCGTCCCCTCTCCCCCTTCTTGTCTCCCCCCCCCTCCCCTTTGTTGTTTCACTTTTATATAATTTTTCCCCCCTCGCCCCCCCCCTTCCCCCCTCTCCCTCATAACAGGCCTTCCAGCGGCTCATCTACGTGAGCCAGGTGGTGTTTGGGGACCAGAAGTCCGCCTTCCTGCTGCCCTGGCGCCGCACCTTCAACCTCAACGACGCGCAGATATTCGTGGCGCGACGCGACAACGCGCGCGCCATCTTCCGACAGTTCCTGGAGGCGCGGGGCGGGGAGCTGCCCGCGGAGAGGTAGGAAAGGGGGCCAGGGGGTAAGGGAAGGTTGTGGGGGTGTGTGTGGCGCAGGTGGGGGGTGAGGAGTGGCGCAGGTGGGGGGGGGGGTACAAGGGAGGGAACTGAGGGGGGGAGGTCGTGGGGGACGAAGAGCATGCCGAAGGAGGTGGGATTACTAAAAGTGAAGGGCCATACCACATGCGGAATGTGTATCCCTTTTAGTCCCCACCCCCACCTCACCTCCTTACCTCTCCCATGCATGCAGGCACTTCCTGCGGGAGCTGCGTGAGAAGCAGGTGGCCATCCGGTTGATGGACGAGACGGCGGCGGAGGTGGTGCGGGAGGCGGCGCGCAAGTGGGTTGGGGGGAAGGGAAGGAGGGTAGAGGGGAGGAGTTCAAACTGAATAAAGTGAAGCAGACGGAGAGGGGAGGACTTACTAACCGAATGGCTTGTAGGGTCCGCCAGGGAAGGAGAGGAGGGGGAAAGCGGGGTGCGCAGCCTGTTCCATCGCCAAGCCCCCCCTCAAACCCAACCAAGCCCAACCACTCCCTGCACCCCCCACCCGGGGATATGGGATTGGGACTCGTTGTTTCAGGAATATAATGTTTTCCCCACCCCCCCTAACAGGACCATCGAGCGGCACGTGATGCGCGCTATTGAGGTGTCCAAGGCCACAGGTGGGCAGGGAGGGAGCGAGGGAGGGCAGCCGGTGGGGTGGTGGGGTGTAGGTGTTGGCGGGGCTATAGCGCTGCCCTAATCTGTGGTTTCCTGGTCCGTTATGGTCATAGATCCCCCACCTCCCCAAAACACACCCAACCCTCCCCCCCCTACTCGCGGCCAGTTTATTTAACACACACACGCCCCCCCCCACCCACGCACAGGCAAGGCCCGCGACATCACGCTGCTGGTGGAGGAGATGGATGCGGTGTTGTCGTACAGCCGCAAGCTGGTCAAGTACGGCAGCGAGGACGATCTGGTTTCGGGGCTGGGAATGGTGACGCTGCACGGTGGGGCGCTGGAGGCGGAGGGGAGGAGCCGGGAGGTGAAGGAGGTGTTCAGGTGAGGGAGGGTTGGGGTGGGGGAGGGGGGTGAGACGGTTTGAGGGTGAGGTGGGGGGTAAAGAGGATAGAGGAAACAACTAACGGACCGTGTGATAAGGCATCATCATGGTTTGCAACATGTGAGCCAGCCCGGTTGGGAGCTGTGGGGGTGCGGGGTATGTGGTCGTGTGTCCATCTCTCTCACACCCATTGCCTCCATCTCTCTTCCACCACCCTCCCAAACACCCGCCCTCCCGCCACACACCACATTGGATAATCTTTCTCCCCGCCCCTCAAAACACATTGGGTACTCTTCTTTCCCCCTCTCCCCCTCCTCCCCCCTCCTCCCCCCCTCAGGCTCTACCTGGAGGAGCGTCTGGCTGCTGCGGGCGAGTTCAGTTCGGAGCTGGAGGCGGATGTGGGGCAGCTGTCCACAGTGCTGTGCCTGGGGGCGCGTGAGACGGGCGCGCTGCGGGACGAGGTGGCGGCCAAGATGTACCGCCGGCTGCTGAAGGAGGAGGTGACCAGCGGCAGGTGGGGAGGGGAGGGAGGGGAAAGAGGGGGGGGGACGGGGTGGGGAGGGAGGGGGAGAGGAAGCAACTAGCGAATCGTGTGATAAGGCGTCATCATGGAGGGGGGAAATAATGAAAGGTAAGTGCAGCAACGGAGGGAGAGGGAGGGGGTGTGGAAAAATTACGAGTTACGACCCCCCCTCCCCCATGGTTTGGTATGGTCTTTGACCCCCCCCATTCGGGATAATCTTTGACCCTCCTCCATGCAGGCTTGACGCCGCCGCCAGCCCCGCCACGGTGCTCCAAGCGCTGTGCGACCGCCTTCACTTCCGGCCCGAGGCGGCGCTGGAGCTTCACAAGCAGCTGTACAAGGCAAAGATGGGGGCGCTGCTGGAGGCGCGGCGGGGCGCGGGCGGGCTGACGGAGGGGGACGCGGAGGAGCTGAAGCGCATCCGGAGGATCCTGTGCCTGCCCGCGGATGTGGTGAAGAAGGTGGGGGAAAGGGAAACAACTAATTGACGGTGTGTGTGGGGGGGAGAAGGCGGTGGATGAACTGGGTTGGGAAGAGTGGGGGAGGGAAAGAAAATACACGGTATCTGGATTGCGAGGGGGAGAGGCGGACAGGGAGGTTTGTACCATGCTGTCGTCCGCTCAGCCTGATGACCCATGGGTCGCTCTCCCCCCTTCTTTCCCCACCTGCAGGTCCAGCGCGAGACCGCTGGCAAGCTGTTTGAGGAGCTGGTGGGCGAGATCTACCTTGCTGGCGCCAAGCCGCTGGGGAGCTACGAGGGGGAGCGGCTGGAGCGGGCGCTGAAGGAGTTGCGGCTGGACAGCGATGTGGCGGTGGAGGTGGTGGCGCAGGTGGGGGGGGTGAGGGGTGGTGAGGGGCGGAGGGAGGTGGGGAGGTGGTTTGCGGTTTGAGGCGACGTAACTCTGCTTTGGCCCCCCTCCCTTACCCTCTTTTTCCCTCCCACCCATGCACGCCCTCACGGCTTGCCCTAACCTGTGGTTTCCTACCCCCCCCCCAGCTCGTCAGTTGCATCGTCAGTGTCTCCTTATACATTTTTACCCTCCCATGCAACCCCCCCCAACCCCCCTCCACACAGATCACCCGCGAGCGCTTCCGCACCTACATCACCCAGGCGCAGCGCGAGGGCGGCCGCGACCGACGCGAGTTCGCGTCCTGCATCAAGAAGCTGCTGCAGTTCAACGCGCTCATGGTGACCCCGCTGTTGGAGCGGGTCAAAGGGGTGGACGCCGCCAAGAAGGAGCTGGCGGAGATGCTGGCGAAGGCGGCGGAGGCGGCGGCAAAGGAGGGTGAGGGGGGCGGGGGGCGGGGCGGGGATTAGGTTTACTGAGGGCAGGGGAGGCAGGAAGGGATTACAGAGAGACCCAGCTATGGTGCCCGACACGCTCCTCACCTCACCCCTCATCCCTTCCCCTCCCTCTCCTCCCCCCCCCCAAACACACACAGAGGCTGCTGAGGGTGGTGCCCCCGCGCTGCCCGCCCCCGCCACCTCCGCCCCCGCCGCCCAGTCGCAGGAGGAGACGGTGGCGCAGGTGGGGGAGGACAGCGGGGAGGGAAAAGGAGGGGAAAGGAGGGGGAGGGAAAAGGATGGGAAAGAAACATGACCATGGGAGGGGAGGGAACTTCTGCGCACGACCACCCCCTGCATGTGTTGTCGCTGTGTCTCCCGCTGTCACAGGTCCTCCTGGCCCCCTCCTCTTGGCTCCCTCCTCCTGGCTCCCTCCTCCTGGCCTCCTCCTCCTGGTCAGTTAGTTGTTTCCTCTTTACCCTCCTCCTGCCCCCCTGCCCCTCCCCCCCCGGCAGGTCCGCAAGGCCATGCAAGCCACCCGCGGGGAGTTCAGCGAGGAGGAGCGCAAGGCCCAGAAGGAAATCACCCTCAAGGACGACCTGGAGGCCCCCATGCGCTCCGAGATCTACAAGAACTACCTGATGTATTCCATGAGCGGCGAGACGGTGGAGCTGCCGGTGGGGGGAGTCATCCGCAAGAAGAGCAATGCGCAGGCGCGACAGGTGGGACGGAGGGGGGAGGGAGAGGGAGAGGGGGGAGAGAGAGGCGTTGTGGTTCAAAATTCAGCCGTTGTGTGTGTGGGGTGGGGGGGGAGTATCTGGAAGGGGAACAATATTCATTTATACCGCCTAACCCTCGAGGATTGGGTCAGGGTAGGGTCAGAGAGCATTTCCCGCGGCTCAGCCTAACACCTCCCCCCTCCCCTCCCCCCCTCCCCCCCTCCCCCCCCCCCCTCCCCCCTCCCCCCTCCCCCCCCAGGCTGAGATGTCCCGCCTCTCCTCGCTGGCTGACCTTCTGGGTATGAGCGGCGCCGAGGTGATGTCGGCGCAGAGCGACCTGGCGGAGCAGGCGTACAAGGCGCAGGCGCAGGAGGTCATGCGCATGGGTGAGGGGGGGGGGAGAGGTGGGGGAAGGGAGGGGGGAAAGAGGGGTTAGGGAGGGGGCTGCGTGTGTGTATGGATGACGGCACACCGGCGTTCATCTTTGCTCGCCCCTCTTTACGCCTATAGCTGGGTTTGTCCCCTCCCAAAACCCCCTCGCTGCGAATGCAACAGCGCGACCCAACTCCTTGTCTGGTTCCCCCTGCTTACCTCCTCCTCCTCCAATCCTTCTCTCCAACCCCTCCCCCCCCCTCCTCCCCCCCCCCCCCAGGTCCGCTGAACGAGGAGAAGCTGGCCTACCTGGAAGACATGCGCGGGCAGCTGGGGCTGAGCAAGGAGGTGGGTGGGGGGGGTGAGGGGGGAGGGTGAAGAGCTGGGGGGGGGCGGGATAGGACAGGCGGTAGGGAGCATACACCGCCGCCTACCTGCCTACCTGCGTGCATGCATGTTTGCCCTCCTCACTGCTGGGGCTGTGAACCCGACACTGACACTCCGGGGTAATGCTGAGCCTGGTCAGGGAAACCCACACGTTCTTTTCCCCCCTCCTCCTCACCCCTCCTCCTCCCCCCTCTTACCCCCCAGGTTGGTGACAAGGTGCTGAAGGCGGCGCGTGTGGAGGTGTACGGCAGTGCCAGCGCGGCGGAGGACGGCAAGTGGAGCATAGAGCGGGTGCTGGAGCTGCACAAGGTTAGTGGGGGGGGCCGGGGGGCGGGGGGTTACGGGGGGTTAGGAGGGGTGCTATGAGGGGGTTTGTTCATGAAACCGGCCCCCAGACATTGGGTCTTCTTCTTTCTGATCCCGCATAGCCGTCCCAGCCACATGCGGAAATTGTCTCCCTTGTACAATTGTATCCCCTACACCCCCCCCACCCCCACCCCCACCCCCGCTCCTCACTCCCCGCTCAGAACGGCGGCAGCATTGAGAACTTGATGGAGGAGGTGACGCGGCGCAACCTGTTCCGTAGGGAGGTGGCGAAGAAGGTGCAGGACGGTGAGAAGGGAGGGGAAAAGGGGGGCCCAGGGGGGGAAAGATACCGTAAAGAGAGACTTGGGGGGGGGGAATTAAATAAGTGAAACAACGAATCCCAATCCCATATCCCGACTCATGGGGGGGGGGTCGCAGGGGGGGGGGGGGGGGAAAGAGGGGCAGGGAGAGCCCTGCATATCTTGCCTTTCTTTACCTCTCCCCACCTCCTCAGGGTCTTCAACCCTTTAGCCTATACCCTTCGCAACACCCCTCCCCCTCCCCCCACCAGGCACGGGCGAGGCTGACACGTCCTACTACCTGCAGACCCTGCCCACGGCCCTCGCGCTACCAGCTAACAAGGTGCGTGCTGGTGTGGGGCGGGCTGCTGCTGTCATTGAAGCAAGTCGTCCACATGTACTGTTACCAACCCATGCATGCATGCATGCTACGGTGCTTACCCGCACTGGGCTGGCCAGTGGGTGCCCTTCACCTGCCTACACCGGTACTGCACCCGCCTCCCCACCCGCCTCCTGCTGCTGTACCTTGGGTTTCTTCCTCCTTTACCCCGCCATCCCTCCCCTTCCCTCACCTGGGTCTTCTTCCCCTCTTCCCTCCTCCCCCTCCCCCTCCCAGGTCCGCCTGATCGTGAAGGAGGAGGTGGGCAGCCGCAAGCGCATGCTGCTGGTGCAGGCGGTGTCGCAGTGGCGCCAGCGGCGGCTGCGCGAGGCCGTCACCAGCCTCAACAACCTGCTGTCTTGCGTGGCGCTGCAGCCCGAGGAGCACCCCATTGCGTGGAAGGAGGCGGGGGAGCTACAGGAGGTGTACGGACTGTTCTGCGTCAAGGTAGGGAGGGTGTACGGCAGGAGGGGTGGAAGGGGATGAGGGTGTACGGCAGGGGGGTAAAGGTAAGAAAAACTAATGAACTGGATGACGGCGGAGGGGGGATGGGGATGGGGGTGTACGGCAGGGGAGGCATGGGGGGATGGGCATGGCTGCTCTCACGTGGCGAATAACCGGCTAAAAAGCTACCGGTGCCCCCACTCCAACCCTCAATCCCAACCGCAGGAGGAGTCGGAGGCCAAGCGTGCCGCTCTGCGAGCCGTGTTGGGTCTGAGTGAGGCTGAGGCGGGCGAGATCGCCGCTACTGCCTCAGTGGATGGGGTACCCAAGCGGGGAGGGGGCGCGGCGGGCGCGTTGGCCGCGGATGCTGACGATGATGACGAGTCATTCTTTTGAGCAGCAGCAGGAGGAGCAGGAGGAGCAGCACGAGGAGCAGGAGGAGGAGGAGGTGCTTGGAGGGTGGGGTAGCGTAGCGTGGGTGTTTGGGGGAGGGGTAGAAGAAGAAGAGTAAGAAGAAGTGGGAGGGTAGGGGGTTTGTTGGGGTGTAGACAGCAACAAGCGGGGTTTATGAAGAGGGTGTGAAGAGAGGGGATCTGCAGGTAACTGGGCAGGCAGACAGAGGCTTGCATGCATGCAGGGAGGGCTGGGGTTCGGGAGCCCCACGCGAGGGGTTATGTCTTCGTGTACATTGTCGTACGTTGTCGGGGAACTTGACCGCGTTCTGACAGCAACAGCTTTTCGAGCAAGTGCCGCGGGATTGGGAGGCAGGGAGTCAAGGAGCCGTATGACTGGTGTTGTTGACAACAATCAAGGGGACATGTTGATGGTTGTAGTTGTTGCTGGGGTGGAGGAGAGTTGTTGGTGTTGTGCCCGTGTGTGTTTTATGTACATGCAACTCGCGGGGTGTGTGCGTAAATGCGTAAATGTGTGCGTGTGTGTGTTTCGCCAATGCTGCAATGCGTAGGGTTTTTTTATACTTGGCGTGTGCATGGGCGTGTCTCTAGTTGCTGTGCAAGAATACGGCACATGTGGGAAGTGTTGCGTCCTTTTCTTTCGGGCCCGGGACCTTGTCTTGCCATGCTGTTTTGATTGAATGGGATGGTCCGCGAAACCACTAGGGCTATCGTGCTTGCTGGCTAGATGCGTAGATGCCTCTTTCCTTGCTTGCTATGTAGCTGTTGCTCTCGATTGCACGTTCGGTGTTGTTAAACAGAGCTAAACAGTGCTGCGCGTGTGCGGCCGTGCAACCCTGCTGGGTTTAGCTGGGGGTACGTCCGCAGGCTGCGCAGTAGGCGGGGCTGGGCAGAGGAGGGTAGGGCAGATGGAGGTGGGGCAGGGCAGATGAACAGCAGTTATCCGACCCTTTTTTGCGGGACGTGTTGTGATCAAAGAGTGTGAGCAGAAGAGGTTTTTGAGATTGGGATTGGGTACGTTGAAACGTACGGCAATTTACATAACGACACATAACGGTCAAGCAAGCCTCTAACTCAGGGCCAGCAGCTCACATCTGCGACATTGCTTGCTACCAACCAAGTAGCATACACCTACAAGGGCCAGTGTTCTTACCGCGCAAAAGCCACCAGCCAAACTTCACAGCCAATCAGCCAGCGATATGTATAGTCTTCTCCAGGTAGGGTAAGTTCTTCTCCAGATTGGCGGTATGTCACAACAAAGGGTACGACACCGTTGATGTCCTCTTGACGTATGCTATGCAACACCATTCCAAACACAGCTTTCTTACTTACTTCCCCACCATAACGAGTCCCCTCGTCTGCATGCCCGGCCCGGCACTTGGCAACGGAAGATGAAGAAGAAGAGGGGCAGTTCTGCGCCCTTCCAAAAACACAAAGCACGTTACGCAGCAGGGCCTTCGAAGTACTGCATTGTGTTTTCTCTATTGGCCACACCAGAGACACACTGCGATTGACATGCATGCTTGCAGAACCCACATGCCGAAACAACCCACATCGGGCTATGAACGAAACAACAGCAACGGCGACAACAAACCAGCAGAACGTAGCCTGGGTGCACACCAACACGGCTTTCCTGCTGCTGAGGGGCAGAGGGACAATTGCCGGCACGACTGAAACTGAAACATATGATACAGTGCGTGTGAGGAATTGCTCGGCACAACGGAGACCGCGGCAGTAGTACAATACGGGGCCAACAAGGAGCCAACCAACAACCAATCATAACCCAATTACCAAACAAAAGAAGCTGCAAACGATACACCAGCTAAGACATGCAAATCAGATGCGGTGGTAATGTGTGATGCAAAAGCACTCAGTACTCAAACCGCACCTACAGCTGACCGAGGGATACTGCCGTAACCTCATCCTAACACCCTCCAGGGTTGGTTCCAGGGACTAACCCAGTATGTATGTACCTCCTCAATTTTGTGCAAATCGACGTGCTCCGCTTCAGAGCCTCTTGCCCCTGGCTCTCATGGGCGCTACACAGTAGTACACACGGTACGAACGGTGTACGACATGCCGTGTTGGCTGGTCATTACTGCCGTACATAGCCCCCTGAAAGTACCGTGCTACCGTACATTCCTACTTTACCCTGTTGCCGCCCTCTAGTACCGCTTGGTGTGGAATCTGACGGGGAAGAAGGTAAGGTGAAGGCAGAAAGGGCAAAACCGAACAATCAGATGGAAATAAATATGCTATCGTAATAGGAATATCAACTATTGCTACGATTAAGTCAGGGCAGATACCCTTGCAATGTTGTATATGCATGTCCCATACATGAATGCCATCCCCCTCGTCTGCTCTGCACCCGCCCCTCCGCGCCCCTCCGCGCCCCTCACCCCTCGCGACTGTCGCGCTTGTTGTCCGACTTGTGGAGGTCGCCGCGCCAACCCTGGTGGTGGGGAATTAGGAGGGGGATGGATTAGGAGGGGGTTAGGGCAGGGCAGGCCAAGGCATACAAGTGTCGCCAAGTACAGGTATCATGCAGGTGAATCAGATGTCGGAGGACAATGTTGTGCGCAAAAGCAAACACCAGTGGAAGCAAGCTGTCACGCGCATATGCCAAAGGTGCAAGGACGGTATCGCTTCACGCAACAAAGCAATCCAATGGCAGCACCAACACACGACGTAAGCCACCGGTAATCCTTTACAAGCAAGGCACAATTTCTGATCCTATGTGCGCTTGAATCCAAAGGAGACAGGTTTTGCGATGAAACAGCCTACCGTAGCATCAGGCCATTCGGGCTCATCGGGATTGCCGCTGGGGATGCCAGCTACCACGTCCTTCACAGCCTTCTCAACGTAGCCTGCTGTGCCCTCCTCTTTCTCGGTTTGCCGCTCGGTAGGCTCCAGGGTAGAGCTGGGAGGCAGCGGGGCGTTGCTGACGAAGTTATCCTTGAATGGTTTCCTCGTGTGGTCGATGCGGCCTTGCCATCCGGAGTTCGTCGGGTAGTGCTCGATCTTGCTGTCGTCAGGAGAGAATATGCGAACGAAGGCCTGGGCAACCCTGCAGAGCAGTCGAAGCGTTTGGCCAACACGGGCGTGCTAGGCATGAGCTGCGACGAAGGATGTCGGAAGGGCTAGGAGGAGCGACTGGATGCATAGAGCGTATAAGGCACACCAAAGCAAAAGGTATGTCAGTTACGTTGTATGGCGTATCGGGCAACCTTGGAGCGTTGGTGACGCTCCGGCTACAACACGGAACCAGGCGTAACTGACCAGTCGCTCGCCTCGCGCAAGTTGACGGCCTTCACAACAACGGTGGTTGCGCGGCTTCGCCGTGGTGCTGGTCGGCGCGACGCCGCTTGTGATAAGCGAGGGCAGGACGACAGAGCGAGAGCCATTCGTGATAGGACGGTTGAAGGTTGCGGGGTCTATGCAGGTGTTAGAACACAAGAAGAACAAAAAATTCGAGATTCGTAGTTTGAGGAGTTTTGGTATGATATTTCGACGCGATCGCTCGCGTGCCCTTTATGGGGCAAAATCTTCCGGAAGCGGTACGACAAGATATAACGAGAGTACGAAGCGTTGCTAAACAAAATAACAGCGAACAGCAGTATTTTAGTGTATGCCTGCGTAGGGCGAACAAGGATACAGGGGTATCGCTAACCTTGCGTTGAGCTTTTTGCTTTGGGTATGCTCCGGAACCGTGGCGCGAGTTTGATGGCCGTAGAAGACTGTAGGATTGAACGCAGTGATGACAAAACTAGTACTTTGGTGGTGATCTACTACGTGCCTAGTTGGTTCAAGCCCGCTTTCATCCCTTCGTTACGCCGCGAGCACATCCTTTGGCCCTTTCAGGCTTCCACAAACTGCACCATTCATTCATTTGGCCATCCCTTTGTTAGGATAGCGACTAGCATGGGATTGACAAGACTGAAGTAGACGCTGTGTTGGGAGCGGTTCTACCTTCCTGCGACTTGACGCTGCGTTCCCGTTTCTTCTGACAGCCATTGCACCATCACTGCACCAGCCATGTCAGACAGGCGGCCGAAGCGGCGCTGCGTCTCCGCGAAGTCGCAGGCCCCCAAAGGGCAGATGCCCTCGGCGATTCACTACGTCGGATACGTTGAAGACGATGAGACTCCAGAAATGATTATGAAGAAGTTTGAGGAGCTTGAGCGCATTAAGAAGGCTGCAGAGGCTAGGCGCCAGCAACACCAGGTCCAGCAACAACAAGCTCAAGCCAATGCGCCAGGGGCTGATTCAACAGGCGCTGGCCCCAGCACCAGCGCAGCTCCCGCAGCCGCAGATACCTCCTCTGCTTCGCCAAATGCTGCAAATACTTCTGCGGATGCCAGCCAGCCTGCCTCCCAAGCTCCACTTCCTCATCTCAATTCCCACACAGCAGCGCCTGCACAGAACCCTGCTTCCGAAACGCAGCTCGACGAAGAAGCCCTTCTCGAGGTCTTCCGGCAAACCTCCATTATCAACGTCCGCTCCGCGCTTGCTAACAACGGTGCAGGAGACAATGATGCCGAGTACGGCATGGAGGAGACGTATCTTGCGGATGACATGGGTGACGGAGGTGGCCTCGGTAGCGATCTGGAGGACGATGAGTACCTTAAGGTACGACATCCTTGCCTGCAAAGGAGACAGGACACACTTCGCACATTTGTCATGTACATGGACGCATCCATCAAGATTCAACATGCGCACACACGCCCTTGCACGCTCCGCACGCCCAAATCACAACCTACGTATTCCTCGCCCCTCCTCACATCCCGCTTCCTTCCCTCAGGGCTTCTGGAGCGACGAGGACTACGAGATGGGTGGTGGCGGAGGGGGCAGGGAGGGGGCGGCAGGGGCCCGGAGGCGCAGGGCTGCTAGCGCGGGTAGCGGCCGGGGCGGCGAGGGCGGAGCGGGAGGAGGAGGCGTTCCCCGGGAGGCTAAGCCGCCTCGACCTAACGGTACGGCCTCAATCCCACAGAAAACCATGGTCGGCAGCAACGGAAAAAACAACGACGGGGATGTTTCCCGGTTCCTTTGCTACTCCTCCTTTGCCCTTCCCCTTATCGCACGGTCTGTTAGTTCTTTTGCTCTTTCCGCTCCCTTCTTGACCCTGCCTCCCTCCTTTTCCTTTCCTCCCCCCCCCCAGGCCCCTCCCGCCACGCGCAGCACCAGGTGGTCACCCAGTACAACAAGGACACCAACGCGCTCATCCGCCGCCGGGTGGCAGGCAGCGGGGGAGCAGGGGGAGGGGCGCTGGCAGGGGGGCAGCTGGTGCAGCTGAGGGTGCCGCCGCCGCCACTGCCGCTGTCGTGGGGCCGCACGGTGCGACCGTACCAACCGCCGCAGCCGTTACAGCCGCCAACGGATGCCATGCTAACAAGAGGAGGAGCAGGGGGTACAGCAGCAGGGGGGGCTGCTGTTGCTGCTGCTGCTGCGGGGCCTGATGGGAACAACAGCAGTGACAGCAGCACGGTTAGCCGGGGGTTTGAGACGGCAGATCTGGCCTCCTTTCCCTACGAGCGTGCGCTGGTCGGCAAGAGCTATGTGGCGGTGTTGGTGAACGCGGGGTGGCAGGCGGAGGGGGCGGTGGAGGCATACGACAGAGGGGACGAGGCGGCGGTGATGGCACGGTGGGGGAGGGGGGCTTGGGGGGGGGAGGGGCGCGGGATGGGTGGGAGGGATGGGACGGCGGTTGAAGGGCACGGGGGTGCAAGAAGGAGATGGGGGTGCCTGCCTGCCTGCCCGCCTGCCTGGAGGGCGAGAGCGGAATCATGGGGTTTTGAGCAACACGTGTGCCGTACACCCTTCCCTCCTCTCCTCTCCTTCCCTCTTTTCCTCCCCCTGCCCGCTGCAGGCTCCGGCAGCTGCCCATCCCCCGCCTCTGCCCCCGCGGCTTTGTGTTCGTGTGGGCGGTGAAGGGGCTCATCCAGGGGGTGTGTCGTACGCTGGCGTCCTGGGGCTACGTGTACGTGGAGAACCTGACGTGGGTGTATCTGACGCCGGGGAACGGGGTGGCGGCGCTGGCGGGGCGGCACTTCCGGACCAGCCACGCCACCCTGCTCATGTTCAGGAAAGAAGGTGGGGAACCGGGGTGGTGGTGAATGGAGATAGAATATGTTCTTAATGAGAAGGGGTCCTTGCAACAGGGGTCCCGGTCCCATGTCCATACTCGTCGAGCAGTGAAGGGGTGTTGGTGGAGGGTGGCAAGGGAGGTGTGTGTGGCCCATTTTACGCTTGCTGCCTACCGGTATGTAGCTCGTTGCGTTCACGCCCATCTTCCGCCTGAGGCTCCGAGAACCCATGAACCCGGGTCAGTTTCCATTCCTCTTTACTCTCTCCCTCCACCTTCCTTCCCTGCCCCTCCTCTCCTTCCTCTCCCTCGACCTCCCCCCTGCCCCCCCCCCCCCCCCCCCAGGCGAGGGTCGTGACATTGAGTTGCGGCACCAGCGCAACCCGGATGTGGTGTTCGACTGCATCAGGACACGGGCGGGTGAGAGGGGACGAGGAGGGGGAGCAATGTATACGTGTTTGCCCATCCATGCCCTTCCATCACCTTCCTCCTCCGTACTCTTCCTCTCGCCCATGTTCCCTGACCGTCCTCCTCGCACCCCCACTCTCTCCCCCCTCCCCCCCAGACGGCTGCGGTCGCGAGGTGCCGGCCGAGGTGCTGACCTCCCTGGAGACGCTGCTGCCGGGGGGCCGGGGGGCGTTCCTGGAGCTGTGGGCGATGAGGGGCGTGCGGAGGTGGGGGGGGGAGGAAGGGGAAGGGAGGGAAGGGAGGGGTGCATGGTGGCAGAGGGCGGGGGGGGGCGTGTGTTAAGAAACCTGGTCGCGTGTAGGAACGTGCTTTGACTGCCGGAAGATGAAGTCCCCACAACTATAAGACGTGTGCAAGGGAGCCTTGCAACCCCCGGCTAGGGTGGTTGGTGGTTGGTGGCGGCCTGGGAGCAGCTCGCATCCTGTTGTAGTACTGCTACTCCGTACTACACCTGCCTTGCTGCCGTACAATTGGCTCTCTCTCTTCCCCCCTCATCACTAACCCCCCATGCCTCCCTGCTTCCCACACCCCCGCCACCCTCACCCGCGGACAGGCCGGGTTGGGACCATGTGAGCGAGGTGCGACCCGCAGCTGCCCCCGCCGGGGCCGTCCCCGTTCCCCTCCACGCCGCCGCCGGTCCCTCTCCGTGAGGACTAGCGGGCTAGACACGGTTCCTTTGATGGAATGAGGATGGTAGGGACGGTGGGAATGCAGCATTGCTGGCTCGGCGTGTTTGGCGCGCGATATGGGTGTGCATGTGATGTACAGGTGCGGACCTGTGGAGGTGTTGGGTTTGTGTCGGCTGGGTGTCGTACATTAAAAGGCGCAAGGCAGGAGGCGGCTGGAAACCAGGTTGGGTGCGGGTGACGAGGTATTGGGTTTGTGTCGGCTGGGTGTCGTACATTAGAACACGCAAAGCAGGAGGCGGCTGGAAACCAGGTTGGGTGCGGAACAGGGATTGCTGTGAACGTGTGTGGTAGCGATCTGGAAACATGCAATGGGGGTATAAATGGATAGGATGCGATGCAGCTTGGGAGCCCGGGGGCGCGTGGCGTGGAAAGGTTCTTCCTGGAATTTGGGTTTAAAAACATGGGGCCCCAGGCATATTAATGGGGCCCTAGGACACGAGGTGCGGTGGTTTAGCCGCACTGCTCCCTGTAATAGGATTTGAACATCGCTACAGCAACATCCGTGATGAGATTGGTACGCATTAGTACAACAGAGCATGCGTTGTTAGGAGTTCGGGGGCCAACGGTTGTTACCGTACTCGAAAGTTTGACGTACGGTCCTGTGCCACCATGATCCATGTTTATTCGGACTTAAAACAGGTTATTAGCGAGAGGCTGGGCCGTTGCACTCCTTTCGTTAGCAACTTAAAAATGGATGGGAAGCAAAAAGCTACCGGTAGCCTGCCCCCAGAGCACGATGACATTTACGCAGCGGTGTTCAACCTGGTTGGGCAGCAACGCAATGAGACATACGAGGACTTGACGAAGGTCCTTCCTTCCATAAAGGACAAGGATCCAGCCGAGCTTAAGGAGCTGGTGCGCGCTGTCCCCATCCCAAGTTTCCTGCGGCATGTTGTACACAAAATGCAAAACGTTGTCGCAGGCGGCCAGGCAAGCCCTGCGTGAAATGTTCAAGCCGTCGGTGGATCCCCTGCGGGTGGAGTATGAGCAAGCTGCAGCCGATGTAAATGTTTGCAACTGCCTCTTCGTGTGAAGCACTTTAATCCAGCATCTACGTTCGTGTTGTTATACAGGAGGACGTGGACGACTTGTCCACTGAAGAGGGCGACTGGATTGGTGCCAGCGTGAAAACTGGGGCGGAAGACGACGAGGCGAGTAGCGCGGGAGGATTGCCGCTACGCACATCATAAGCCCCTCCTTTAAATGCGTTTTGCAATCTTGATAACTACTCCTTTATGACTGCTTACTGTACCGTTACACGCAGGAAGTTGATGAGCACGGCATTCCCATCGTTAAGCTTTCGCGTGCCAGCAGCAACTTCATCCTTGACGGCCCAGGCGACGTGAAGGTCGGTTGGTCACAATCCAAAGTATCACTAATGCCACAAAGTAGTAAGGGCAAAATCGTCAACACGCCTGGTCAACCCCGCTGTGGGTCGTCCAACTCCCCTCCCTTTTCCGCTTGCACTCCGCATCCGCCATATCTCTCCAGCCCTTACATATCATCCCACCCGCTCAAACCCCTCCCCCAGGTCGATAATTTCACTCCTGAGCTTGAAGAGGAAGCCGGCAACGCCAACCCAGATGCGAACTCCGCCCCAACAGTGCCCCAAAGCGCCCCCAAAGGCGACTCCAGCAACCCCAGGGTGCCAGGTGGTGCTCCTACGGGCTCTTCTTCCGCCACATCGACATCACCATCATCTTCGTCGACACCCGCAGCAGCCGCTGCTACTCCTGCTGCTGCTGCAGCCACGACCTACGTCCCTACCCTTCTCGCCAGGGCTCGCAGGTCAACGGCAGGTGGAGAGGGCGCGACTGCCGCACCCACAACAACAGCGGCAGCAGCAGCCAGCACAGGCCGCGGTTCATCCGCAGCTGCTGCACCACCTGCTGTGGTGACGCTAGAGGATGAGATTCGCGCGCTAAGGGCGCTGAAACACCCTAATCGTGAAGCACCAGGAGTGGGTCAGGCGGAGCGTTGTGGCCGTGAGGCTGCTGGGGCCGAAGACGACGATGGCGATGAGGATCCGGAGGTCATCCTAGAGCCTTCCAGCCCCCGGATGTCAATGCTACTGCCGCCGGCACCGCTGCCGGTGGAAGGGAAGAGCCATGCAACGTCGGCAGCAGCAGCAGCGGGTGTGGAGGCAGATGGCAGCAGCAGCGGCGATGACGACACCCTTGGCCGCAGCAGCAGCGATGTTGACAGCAGTGGTGGGAGCGGTGCGGTCGTAAGGGATGGCGCGGGGCAGGTGCCTGAGGGGCCAAGCTGCCTGCCGGGGCAGTGTCAGGTGAGCTGGTGGTGGAGGGGGGAGGAGTGGGCTGGGGTAAAGAGGAAACAACTGGGGTGGTTGGGTTGGTTGGCGTCCGTCACCGGCATGCGACTGCGAGACCTGCTTTGCTCCTGTCGGCCCCTCATGCATTCCCATCCGCTCCAGGTCTGGATAAGCACACGTCCCTCCCCCCCAGCGCGTTAGTTGCCTCGTCAGATTTCTTTATTTTTACCCCCCCTCCCTCCCCCTTCCCACATCGCAGGACTCCTCCTCCGCCGCCTCCGAGGAGGCTCTGTGGCGGGCGCTGCAGGGGGTGGACCCGCGGGCGCTGCTGGAGCACATGGGGCTGGCGGGGGGTGAGGGGGAGGAGGGGGAAGGGGAGGGGGACGGGGAGGGGGAAGGGGAGGAGGGAGCAGCAGACGAATGCGTAGGTGGTGGTGGTGAGGACAGCTGTCAGGCAGCACAACAACAGCAGCAGCAGCCACGCCTGGTGCAGCCGGGTGAGGAAGCGACACAGCAGCAGGGGCGGCGGGAGCAGCAGCAACAGGATCCCACTGAGCTGGCGGAAACGCCGCAGGTTGGAACTCCTGCTGCTGCTGCTGCTGCTGAGGCGGATGCTCAGGGTAGACCTGAAGCCATGGCAGGCGGAGAGGGCGCCGGCGCAGCAGCAGGGGTAGGAGGAGGTGAGGGCAGCAGTGCAGGGACCGCGGCAGGCGGCAGCGGGGATGCTGCCGCAGTGGCGGGGCGCCCCGGGGAGGGGGCTGTCAGTGGAGGGGAGGGACGAGAAGGAGGAGCGGCCGGCAGTGGCGGTGAAGCCGGCTGCGGTGGTGTTGAGGTTCCTGCGGTTGCTAAGACGGCTCCTAAGACAACGGAAGCAGCAGCGGCAGTAGCGGCCGTAGCGGCTGTGGCGGCAGGGACGGATGTGCAGGCGAGGACGGAGGCAGCGTCGCAATCCGAGCAGCAGCAGCAGTCGCAGTTGGTGGTGGTGTCCTCTTCACGTGCGGGCGGGAGTGGCGGTGGTGGTGGCAGCGGTGGTTGCCGTGGCGGCGGCGGCGGCGGCGGGACGTCGGATGGCCCCACCTATGAGGAGGTGGAGCCCTTCAGGTGCGGGTCGTACAGTCGTGACTTGCGAGGGGCTTGCGGTCTGGTCTGGCTTGAGGGGAGGAGGAGATGGTGGTTAGGCCTCGGAGGGAGGGGTCAACAGCCACGGTAGCCATCAAGATATGCAGGGGCCTCGCTTGCTGCTGCCGGTATCCCTTCCGCTTCCGCTGTTCTTCCCTCCGCCCCACATGCACGAGAGCCCTAACCTGCCCTCGTAACCCACTTCCCGATCCACCCCAGCCCACCCGCTCCTCGACCACCCTCCCCTCACTCACCCCTCTCACCCCTCAGCTTGGACCCTGACTTTGACTACGATAACGTGGTCCTCACGCCGCGCGAGTTCCCCTACTCGCTGCTGTCGACCCGGTGGGGGGCGGCGGGGGCGCCGGCAGGCGGCCCGGCAGCAGCAGCAGCGGCGGGGCAGCGGTGAAGGGCCCGGCAGGCGCTAGTTTCTGGACGTCCTAAGCTTTTTTATTTATGCTGGGGTTTATGTGGGTTGGACGGACGAGGAGGGAGGGGGCAGGGTGTTGGGGCGTTTGCCGCTGCCGTACCGGTATATAATCGCACATCGCGTGAGCTGGTTGGGAATCGTTGGGACGTGTTTGTACAACTGAATGTGTAGGTTTCCTTCTCCTCTGTCCTGGAATCTGTTTTCCTGGAATGGCTTGGAAACTGGCAACCGTGCGTAATTAAGTGTGTGAGTCGTTGCTGAATGTACGAACATGACGCGGGATAGCGTAAGATACATTATTATATGTTCTTTTACACTGGAACATCGGAGGGATTTGCGGAAAGGTCCCATCCACAGCACCATCCACAGCAAACACTCATGACAAAAAATGCATACATTGCATCAAGGTTTTGTTCAAATGGATCGGGTTTCGTCTCACTGCATGCCGATTGAGTTTTAACAACACTGTTGCCTCGCCACTGCACCGTTTCACGGCTCTCAGCAAGGAGACAACCTTTTGCATCACCTGACATCTATTATGTCCTCATTTCCTGATGACCCGCGGAAGCCCCAACGGATCGCATGTAGGACGGGTACACGTCAGCTTCCCACCCTCCTATCTCAGCGTTCCACCACCGGCTCACCGTCTCCACATCGGAAAAACACACACGTTCATACCCTGTTTGGCAAACACAATGCACTCTACACTCACCGTCACACCATCGCTGTCCTTACGCCAGGTCATAGCTAGGTCGTAACCCCGCTTCGTCCCCCTAATCTCCATCCCCCAAAGTAAAGTATGCACGGCAAGATAAACGACAAGTCACATGCTGCTGCTTTATCCCAACCGCCACCAACCACCATCACAAATATGCAACAAAATGAAACCCCAGGGGCGCCCCAGGACCCTCTCCACTGCAGCTTTCACTGCAGCACCCGTCAAGGATGTGCCAACAGCTGCCCTCACCAATACGAAAGGGCTCTTAGCACACATCATGCGCCATGCTTGCTTGCTTATCAAGAAAACGCTTTCCTCTCCTTATGCGACATTAGCAATGTGCCATAACTTAAGAACATGAAAGTGAGAAAACAACTTGGGCAACTCCTACTGGGGTAAGGCCCGTCAACCCGTCATGCGTATAATAACTTGCGCAGTTTGGTCAGTGGCCCCCTTCCAACACCTCGCTACCTCTGAAAGCTCTATTCTGTATCACACAACCTCAACACGCGCACCCTCTCTTTCAGCCTCCTTCCTGCAGTGTACTTTCCTTGCTTCATACCGCTACCCGCTCCTCCTCCTGACCGCTCGTCGGCTTGTTTGCCAGCCTCATTCCTCACATAGGGTATTCTTCCTTTCCTCCCAACCACTCCTCCCTTCCTCACGCTGCCTCCCCCACACACCTCACTTGGGCGCAACAAAGGAGGTATGCACCACCGCAGGCTCCGGCTCCGGCGAATCCATGGTGGGCGCATTGGCATCCCGCTCCACAGACAGCAGTCGGTTGGGGTTGTTGTCCAACCGAATCCGGCTCTGCCAGGTAGGCCACTCGAAGGTTTCGGAGCTAACCAACGTGGGCGCGAAACCGCTGCCCTCCTCCATGAGCTGGCTGCCTCCCAGCTTCTTCACCAGGTACTCCAGGGGAACCTCGCTGATGACTGAACCGCGCACTCCGGGCTGCACATGCCGCACGTCGATTCCGTTGAAGGAGCGGGTGGCCATGGTTTTGATTTGGCGCGGGGAGAGCGCGGGGACCTGCGGAGGAGGGGATGGGGGGAGGAGGGAAGGAGGAGGGTTGGGATGAAGGAGCAGTAGGAGGCGTGAGAATAGGGCGATGTGGCTGTAGCGTCTGCTTGACCGCGCAAAAAGCTGCCATGCCCTTTCCCTTAATAGGGGCTCGCTCCCTTCACATCGTACCATACCATCATCCACCCCCCACCGCATCAGTTAGTTGTTTTCTCTTTACCCCACACCCACCAGCACCACCACCAGCACCACCACCACCCACCTGCAGCTTTATCCCTCAGTCAGTTAGTTGTTTTCTCTTTACCCACCTGCGGCAGGTCGATGTACGTCTTGAGCCCATTCACCACCGTGTACGCCTTGGCGGGCGCCACGAACTCGATGCTGGTGTCACCGTCCTCCGTGAGCTGCTTGCCCCAGTTGTGGATGTGCACGCCCGTAATTACCGCATAGTCCGCTAGCGCGGGGTCCACCGCCTTTTCGATCAGGTACTCCAGATCGTCGGTGATGGTGCGCTCGGCGACCTGGGAGGTGAGGGAGGGAAGAGCGGTGGGAGGAGGGAAACATAAGTGAAAAGTGAAGCAACGGAGGAGGGTTGCAGATAAGGAGGAGCAATTCGACCCATGGGTCGCTTAGTGATCCTCCCCGTTATCCCCGCTTATCCCATCTGCGTGGGCCCGAACAGGCCTGTCGATTCCCACCTAGAACCATGCACCCTCCAATACGACCTCGAGCTCGGTCCGACCCGTGGGTCGCCTCGTGCCTAACCCCAAAACCCCCTATACCCAGAACCCAAAACCAGTCAGTTAGTTGTTTCCTCTTTACCCCCCCACCTGCGTGAGCCCCGGCAGGTCCAGTCGCTGCACGTCCAGCTTCTCGTAGCGCACCCGCCGCGCCAGCCGCTGCTGCAGGATGGTGAGCTCGGGGTCGAGCGGGTCGTGCACACCAGGGACCTTGGGGGCGGGGGGAGGAGGTGATGAGGGAAAGGGTTGGGAGAGGGTGGCGGGGGGAGGGTTATGGAGTGTACAGGAGTCGGGGGCGTCGCGGGCTGGTGGGTGGGCTGCAAAGCCCCAGCCCGTTGCGACCCAGGGTTGTCGCCCTGTTCAACACTCGCGTTCCTTTCAACCGCCGCCAACCGACCAGCCTCCCCGCTCCGCGCACCTTGCAGCTTCGCTCCACTCCTTCCACCTTGAAGGCGTTCAGGATGGCTAGCAGCGCCCCGCAGGCGCAGGACTGCTTGGGACGGCCGGGCCGGGACAGCGCGCCCATCTCGCCCTCGCTGTTGATGGCGATGTGGGGGAAGGCGAAGAACACGTAGCGCTCGCGACCGCCCTGTGGGGTAGAGGAGTGTTAGAAGTCTTAGAAGGAAGACGTTTATGAGGGAGGCTCTGGGTATCAGGGAGTTGGGCAGTTGGGGGATGGACATGCATGGCGAGCGCAGCTAGGCTAAAGCATAGGAACGCAGGGCAAGGTTTTTGGGTTAAGAGCGTACTTACAAAGCATACAGGAGAGTGGCTGAGTCCAGCCTTCATGCCAGTCACGCCGCAGGTGAGCACACCGCCCAGGCCATTGGTGTTGAAGGATGAGCCAAAGATGGCCTCGATTTTGTCCTTCATTACTTGCGTTGACTCATCGCGGCAGAGGTTAGTCATAGCTGCGTTGTTGTTCAAGGGCAGAGTTGTGTAGCGTGAGGCGGCTGGTATGTAGGAATTGGATACGATGCAATTGCACCTGACAGCCACCCCAACTTACCGATGCTGTTATCGCCGGTAAAACCAAAGCCAGCCAGAGCAACCTGCAGTATATCACACCGACGATTGAAACAAAATGATTTAGATCATGATAGAGGGCTTTTGTCACATCAAAAGGATACCCATAACTTACTTCCACACGGCCCATAAAGTCGTCGACGCCCATGGCGGAAGGAAAGTACCTGGGAGGTTGACAATTGAGACAGCTTGCTGCCAACTGTAGATAGCCTCGACATGGTTATGTCCGCTAGAAAGCAACCGACTGAGAGCAGCTATTTAATTTGACTAACCTAACAATCTCCGAATGGCGAGCAGCAAAGTTCCGCTTAACCGGTGCAGGTGCTGGTGCGACGGCAGCAACGTTTGCGGGGGCCGTCGCTGCGGCGACGGGGTTCGCCTGGGCACGGACTGGAACCATGCCCCTATTGCTGCACTTGCACGATCGGGACGCTTGCATAATACGGACAGGGCTAGCAGCGTGGGAAGGGGTAATGTGCCGCATCCTGCAGTTCGCGCAGCTGCAAGCAGTCTTGCACGAAACCGTCGGGCGCTGGTTCAGGACGAACATCTTTCCCAAAAGTATTATAGGGAGATAGATAGATCGGCAGTGTTACTAATGCAGGATGGCAGGAAGTGCACCTTTCTTAAGGGAAAGCTCCTACGTACGGCAAATCAGAACCTCAAACGGTGGATGGTTTCTGCTTGCATTCCTACTATTTACGGTTATGCGGGCGGTTATGAAACAATTTATGTAACCTTTTCATTTGACGAAATGCTCGCTGGACGGGTTCTAGCTATTTGCGAAGACATGCGCACGCTTACCTAGATCACAATGCATTGGTATGGTGTTTTAAATGCTGAAATCCTTGCAAAGTATTTCCAATCGCCAGCTGCCGCTTTTGCGGCGACTGGCCTGACTAAACCTTTACTTTTAGTCCCCGCCGCTTAGCGCCCTCACACTTACAAAGCCTTATTGAACAATATTAGCTTTAGTAAATTTATCAAAAACATTCTAACCGGAAGAGCGAAGGAGTGTTGAGGCAGACTGGTTACTAATCAACACTGCCTACCCCCAGCGCCACCTGAAGAACTGCAGCCCGTTTTTCAACGACGCCATCTGCCGACGCTGAAGAGCGCGATGCTGTATGATTGCTGAACCAGACGATAGCTGCCAGCTGACCCCGACTCGTGCCTCGACAGTACCGGTACCGTAACACGAACAACCACGCTCTAACATTAACGCTTATTACAACTTGTAACAGCTCGCCACGGTAATATCACCACAGCCCAAAGCTACGGCTCAGCAACGGGCCGATCGGCGTGGTAAAGTGCACCACACTTGGGGCAAAAGGGCGCTACACGACCGTCGTCGTACTAACGCACCCCACGCCCACCTCCATATTCCAAACGTCTAACCAAAATGCCGAGATGTCAAACCTCATGACACTGCGCCCGTCGTTCGAGCTGACCCTGTCTGCTTCCGACCCTGTCTGGTTCTTACCCCGCCAACCCCAAAGGCTCTTATACGCCTTTTTTACATCCCAATTCCCATCGACGGACCCCTTGACCCACAGCACAGCCCCTTCTACCCTCCAACCCCAAAGCCCCCGGCGCATTAAATACCCCCCACCCACCCCATACACACACACGCACACCCGACACAAATCTCCACCTTGGGTACAGAGAAGAACTAGTGTGTTTCTTCTTCTGAACACCCATGCATGCCTTTCCAACACCCCCTTTTACCCGCGCCTCCAGGCCTCCACTCCATACAAGGCACACAAACACAACCGCCCTTACGTTCCCCTAATTTTACCCATATCCTTCTGCTGTCGCCCGCTTACGAAAGCACACACGGCACCATCCAAAGCATCAGGCTATCGAGGAGAGTAAGTAAAGAACTGACCACCACCGCTACACAAAGTCAGTTGTTGCTTGGTCAAGAGTTGTTAGTCGGCGCCTGCGTCTGCTAGCAGAGCTGCTTTCCGCTGTTGTTCCCAGTTAGTTGTGCTTGAATGAATCGGTGCTCTTGAAGGCCCCGTCCCCTCCGTCCGCCTGCATCACAAACTCCTTGGGCATGGGGGGCGGCAGGAAGGGGTCCTCGGACAGGTCCGTGACCTGGGGGGAGGGAGCGACAGGGAGGGAGGGCGGTGGTGTGGGGGTAGAAGCAGAAGCAGCAGCAAGGGAGAGAGACAGAGGGAGTAAGAGACTGCATATGGCGGTCTCGGGACGAGGAAGGTTAGAGTCAACGCCGCAACCCCAGGCCCCCCTCTGCCGCAACACCGCCTCGCCATTCGCTGTCCACGGCCGTTTCGTACGGCAACACAATACATGTCGTAGGCTCCTGTCGTACCCACCCACCTGTTGTGTGGGGGCAGGCGCCGGGGAGCTGCTGCTGCCGCCAAACAACGACGAGAAGAAGCCGCCGCTGGAACCAGCCGCCTCGCCACCCATGTCCGGAGAGGGCATGCCCGGCATGCCTGCGCGTGCGTGCGTGCGGCACGCGGGAGGGGAGACAGAGGGGAGACAGTACGGCAGCACGTGAGGGCGTGAGAAAGGAACCCTTGATTTGATGGGCCAGCATGTCGTTAGTTTGGCAAAATGCCTGGGACGCAGCGAGTCACCGGGATGTGCTGCATCACTGCGCCATATGTTGGCTGTGCTTAGAGGACTGGCAGAGATGGCATACGGAAGGTGGGGATGTAGGAAAGCATACAAAAGAGCGGTGAAACGCACCTCCTGGGGGTGGCATGCCTGGGCCCATGGGGCCGCCTGGACCCATGGGTCCCGCTCCCGGTCCGCCCGGCATCCCGGCCATTGCAGGCATGCCGGGCGGCGGCGGCGAGGTGAGCTTCGTGAGCGCCACTCCCAGACCCTCTATGAGCGCCTGCGGGGGGGGGGTCGAGGAGGGGGAGGGGAGGCGGAAGAGGGTCAAGTCCGCTACGTCCCTCAGGAGCCCCCACTGCTACCTTAACCCACCATCCAAGGATTTCTTTTCGACCCAACCTCCAGTCCCCAACCTCCAGTCCCCCCCGTGAAGCCCCACGTGCAGCTGCCATCCTTCTACTCCTCCCACACCCGTTCAGCCCGTGTGCGGCCCTCCCAAGAGAGCACACAGCAGCACCGCCGCTGCAGGGCCAAGCAAGCCTCATCAGGGTCATCACCCCAGGCAGCCGAGCCCCGGGATCCGGGGGCCCCCCCTGCACCCATAACGACCGCTGCCATTGACCCATCGGAACAGGCGACCCATACCCTTCATCTCTTCATGCTCCCAGCCCTCACCCCCCGGTCCGCGCCCCAGGCCCCCATGCAACCTCATGGTGCAGCCACATTCACACCGTCAGCTCTTCCTCTTCACTCCCACCGCACCGCCGCGGCGCCTCAACAGCAGTGCGAACCCCCCTCCTCCCTCCGCAGCCCGCCCCGACCCAGCCGGCGCCTCCCCAGGAGCTGCACCCTAAGACTTGTGTAGCTTCCTACGACATGCTTTGGTTCCTCTTTATCACCCCTGCAGCCCGCCCCTCCCCCGCCGGCGCCTCACCAGTAGGAAGCCCCCGAATGCGGCGCTCTTGGCCGCCGCGCCGAGCCCGAAGCGCAGCTGCAGGAAGCCACCGGTCAGCGCACCTGCACCGATGGCGTTCCAGGGATCTTCCTGCAGGGGGGAGAGGCAAGGGGGGGCAGGGAGGGAAAGGGAGAGGGAGGGAGGGAGGTTGCGGGAGAGGTAAAGAGCAGGAGGTGTGGTGTGAATGATAGGGGGTGTAACGTGTGGTGCGGAGATGGAGGAGGAAGGGTTGCCGCAAAAAAGAAGGGCTGGCATGTGGGTCAGACTTGGCTTGACCCAGATGAGTAGGCTGGGGCTATACCTGTTGCGGTAACCCAGTAAAACTCTGCTACACGATGCTCCTCTCGTGTCTCTTTCCAAGGTCTCTCGCTAGGCTAAGCCGCCTGGTGGACCCTACTCCTACCCCGCTGCCCCCTTACCTTCTTGCGCACATATTGGAGACCGCAATCGAAGAGTGCGAAGCTGAGACCCCAGTTGGCGAAGCTGCCGCCAAGGCGGGGAGCCTCTCGACGGACGGTCTGTGGGAGGGAAAATCCAGAGCGGGTTGGTGAGAAACCGTTGCAAGCTGAAGTAACATAGCAACGCAGTAACTAAAGCTTAGAGTTGTTGGCTTTGTAGTTGGGAATCCTGAGGGCATAGCTTGCTGTAAGAGCGGTCTTCTAGAGGAAAAGAGAATGCAAGTCGAGAAGGGTGGAGCAAACAGGTAAGTCAACATAGGGAGCGGCGCCGCTATCAAGTGACCATATGCGACAGTGACGGCATATATATCCAACGCGTCGGCGGCGCTTTTAGTCTCGGCATAGCCATCGTGTCGGCGATCAATCAACACCAAACCAGCCCCTTGCGCTTACATGTCATAATGCAGGGTCCTACCTCTAACCCTCCTCGGATGCGGTAACCGGAGGGGCTTTGCTTAATCCCCTTGACAAGGTGCCAGATGCCGCCGCCCACGGCACCCATCGCGAACGCTCCACCAATGTCATTTAGGATGCGGTCTGGACAAGGCTCACGCTTATGGTCCACCATAGGCTGTCCTTGCTGATTGTGGGCCATCTTTATGAGAGGGTGACTGCCCAATCACCAACAAAAGGCACGTTACTCTAGGCGAAGGGCAGAGCAAGCTTCAGCGCTGGTCACAGTACGCTATGCCTAAGCGCAGTAATTAGCGCACTGATGAGTTACTAGACAGATACGCGCTGTAATTGGCTGAAGGCAGGTTGGCGTAAGATGGCTCCTACAGAAAGCAGCGCTATGATTGTCAACCGCCGAAAGGAATTTACAAAAGTAGCGCTTAATGCTTATAAACCGAAGAGAGGTTCAGCGAAAGCCGTTGTTGTACGGCGCCGAGGCTCGGCTGGCGCAGGCGCTGTTTCAATGCTAGCCAACCTTGCAAGGCTTGACGTGTTCAGCTCTTTCCACCGCAGGGCCTGAGCAGCTAGTCTGGTTCTGTAACCAACCTGCGTTCAACCACTGCGCCTTTGCTTGCGCCACCGCCTTCATTTAGATTAGGAGCGTCAAGCAATCCATTTATACCTTAAGCCTCATTTGTTGTGAAAAGCTTTCTAAGTGCCGGGCTTTTAGTCCGGGCCGGGCTAGATAATGGGCCCACCAGGCGGCTTTGGCGGCCGCGGAAGGGGCCGCGGCGGGTTCTCTTCGTCCCGTGGTCGCGGTCGTGGACGTGGAGGTTTGGGTCCGCGCGGAGGCGGTGTTGCAAAGAAACCTGGCGGCGGTCCTGCAGCAAATGGCAAAGACAACAAGCACCGCTCTCTTAAGAACCAGATTCGGAGCGTGGAGAGGCTACTGAAGCGGGTGAGAGAGGGACCCGGGGTTTGGTGACTGGGACTGCGCACACATGGCGCGGGGGTTTGAGGTTGCTGGGGCCGTACGGATTGGGGCCCTAGGGGGACACATGCGGTAGCTGAGGGCTCCCGGAGCCTGCTCGGACTCTCTGAGGCCCTTACCAAAAGCGACTTCCTAACTCGCCGAACCGCCCCACGTTTGGCTCGTAACAGCTGATAACAAAGGCGGGGGAATGAGCGAGCAACGCACGCAACACCCAGACATCCCGCACATGACTGGTCAGAACTGAAGCGCCTTGACCGCGTTAACAAACAACTGAAGAAACCAACCAACCAACCAACCCCTGCAGGAGGGTATCGACCCACGGGTCCGTGCCGCCAAGGAGGCTGAGCTCGTCGAGCTGCAGGCCTCCCAGGAGCAGCACCGCAGGCAGGAGCTGGAGCGCAAGTATGCCGTACGGTACCACAAGGTGCGGCTGTCGTACGACTTACACGGCACAAACAAAGCGTACACACCGACCCAGTTTTCTTTAACACACACACCCTGCACCCACACCCATCATCCTGCTATCCTACCATCTCCGTTGGGCTTCTCCATTGGGCACCCGTACTCGCAGATCAAGTTTTTCGAGCGGGTCAAGATCGAGCGCGCCATTAAGCGACTGGAGCGGCGGCTCCAGGGCGGCACCGGCGAAGACGGCGCCGGCGCGGCGGCGGAGGAGGAGGAGCAGGAGGAGGCGGGCGGACCTGGCAGCGAGGACGGCGGAGGGGAGGCGGCGGCGGCGGAGGAGCGGGCGGCTCGGAAGGCGGAAGGGGCCATGGACCCGGAGGCTGTTCGAGCCAAGCTGGCGTCGTTGAAGGAGGACCTGATGTACGTCATGCACTTCCCCAAGGTGAGGCTCCGTACCACACGGGTGCACCGGTGCCTAGGTTGTGGGGTTTACATGGCCGTGTTGCGTCGTGTGCCGCGGCACGCACGCCGAGGTATGTGTTTTGCTCTCGGAGTGTGTTTGGGGGGTTTACTCACGGACGTAGTGGCTGTGCCGACGTAGTGGCTGCCCTGGCTGCCCTGCCTATCCCGCCTGCCTGCCCCGCCCGCCCGCCTGCCCTGGGTTGCAGGGCGAGAAGTACGTGTCCATTCTGCGGGACGCGGAGGACCCGGAGGCGCAGCAGCACCTGCTGGTGAGGGAGGAGAGGGGGAGGGGAGGGGGGGAGCGGCTGGCGGAGAGGGGAGTGGCTGACGGCTAGGGGTAGGGGTACCGTGATCCGTGCGAGCCTGCGCATGCAAGTATATGCATACGGTACCAGGGCATGAAGGGTAGGGCGTTAAGACTATTGATTGCTGCCCCTGCTGCTGCTGCCCCTGCTGCCTCACCCCGCTGCTTAATCCCGCCAACCCTCCGCCTCCGATTACAGGCTGAGCGCGAGCGGCTGCGTGCGCTGGTGCGGCGGCAGCTGGCGGAGGTGGCCGCGGTGACGGAGGCGGATGAGGGCCGGGCACTGCTGGGGGAGCAGTCGCTGGCGACACTGCCGCTGGCGGCGGCGGGGGCGGGGGCGGGTGCTGGAAAGGGTGGAAAGGCGGAGAAGGAGAAGGCGCCTGGCAAAAAGGACGCAGGGGCAGCGAAGGCGGCCACGAAGCAGGCGGCTGCGAAGACGCAGGAGGGAAACGGAAAGAAAGGGAAACAGCCGGCGCAGCAGCAGGAGGAGGAGGAAGAAGAGGAAGAGGAGGATGACTTCTTTTTGGCGGAGGAGGGGGCTGGTGCGGATGAGGAGGGCGGCGAGGGCGCTGCGGGTGTGGTCCCAGGTGAAGAGGAAGAGGAGGGAAGCGTTGATGGTGATGACGAGGAGGAGGAGGAGGAGGAGGATGGGCGGCAGCAGCAGCAGCAGAAAAGCGTGAAAGCTGCTGCTGCTGCTCCCGGCGGCAAGGCAGCCCGGGCGGCAGCGCCCGCGACTGTTGGCGGCGGTCCGGCGGCGAAGAAGGCACGAGTGGAGGAGCAGCAGGGGCAGGGGAAGCAGCAAGGGAAGCAGCAGCCTGTGCAGCGGAACGTTTTTGGCGCGTTCGGAGGCCGCGCCGAGGGGGCTGCGGAGGAGGAGGAGGTGGACGACTTCTTCCTCATGGAAGGGGACGAGGGCGCGGACGCGGGAGGTGGTGCTGCAGCAGAGAAGGGGCGGGGTGGCAGGGGCAGCGCGGAGGAGGAGGAGGGCGGGGCGGTTGTTAGTGGGGCGCGGCATCAGGCGGCAGCAGCGGCAGCAGGGGGGAGGAGTGGCGGAAGAGGAAGAGGAGGAGCCGGAGGACGGGGAGGAGGGAGAGGCGGGAGGGGTGAGGGTGGGCGAGGAGGGCGGGGAGGTGAGGTCGGCCGTGGCGGCTTTGGAAGGGGTGGTGGGTTTGGCGGTACGGGGGGACGAGGGGGGAGGGGAGGAAGGGAAGGTGGACGTGGGGGTGGTGGTTTCGGAGGAAGTGGTTTCGGAGGAGCTGCGGGTCGCGGGTCAAGCGGCAGGGGTGGGGGTGGTGACGGTGGTGGCGGTTGGGGCGGTCAGGGGCCCCGACAGGCACTCGCGCCTGCGGGAGGAGCAGCTGCGGTGACAGGCGGAGGAGCAGCGGCCGGAGGAGCAGCGAGGTCAGGGCCGCCGGCGGATCGGAGGCAGCAGCAGCAGCAGCCTCGTGGGGGCTTCAGCGGCGGCGGCGGAGGCGGTGGCGGTGCGGGAGAGCAGGAGAAGCAGCCCCTGCGGACGCGTGCGGAGGGCGGCCGGAAGAGGCGGAAGTAGGGCGAGTACGGTAGCGGGGGTAGTAGCGGGGTGGTAGGGTGAGGAGGGTGTGTAACGGCGGCGGGTTGGGAGCGGGGTGGTGATCAGCGACTTGGCGGCGGGTTGGGGTCGGAGGAGGAGGGAGGGTTGTGGAGGGCTGGGGAGTTGGGGGGCGGCAGGTGTGGTTGGAGGCTGGGTGGTGGTGGTGGTGCTTGCTGACGTGGGTTGCTGTTGTGGCTGCGGCATTCGGTGGGTTGGCGGTATGCGCAGCAGGCGGGGGATATGGCTGAGGACGGCAATTTACGGTAACAGGATATGGCAAATTGGGCGTGTGTACGACGGCCTCCCATGATCAAAATGTCCTAGTAAGGACCACCTCCATTATAAGTTTATGACTCCTGGGAGTAGTGTGCCCCTGGTAACGTCGGTAACCATATAACGGCTGTACCCATGTAACGTTTCTATGCGCGACCAGCTGTCAGTATCACGATACACGTCGTGCACCGCTTCCCAAGAATCCCAACGATGAGTGCCACTCGTACTGCGGGTACTGCCCGCCGCTCGGCAAGCAAAGCACCCGGCCTGAAGATGTGTACGCGCATCGCAAGCAATCTAGAAAGTAAAGAAGATGAATGAACACTTCAAGAGCAAGAAACAGAACGGAAACAAACAGACATGTATGGAGCCATGACACCCCCCCCGGCCCCACGCAAACCTCCGGTTATTGTACAAGATCATATGCGGCGGGCTCCGAAACACCCACCCCCTCACCACCCCACCGCAATTACGGTCAGTCCCGACAGTTAGTAGTTATTACTCTTTACCACACCACTTCGCAAACCACATGTTGCAAACCATGATGACGCCCGCCTTATCACACGGTCAGTTAGTTGTTGTTTCCTCTCTTTTTATCCCACACCGCAAATAAATAAATAGAGTTAGTCCTGGGGTCCAAAGTGCAGTGCGGTGCGATTGCCTCGCAGCAATCACCGTCTAAAGTGACAGCTAAAGGGCCCTCAGGAGCAGCAACAGCTGCCCCAACAGGATTGTACAGCAAGGACAGCAGCAGGGAACTGTACAGCAATAACATTACGGCTCATTAGAACACAATACCGCACACACGGCTGGGCTGGGGCCTTACGATTCCTGGGCGTTGCCTTGTACGGCAACCGCCAACCAACTAACCAACCGCCAGCATGGGAGAAGCCGAGGATCCACAGTTGTCCCTAGCTTCAGACCAAACTGCCACGAACGCCACCAGCATGCGCTCCCGTGCGTCTCAAGAAGACAGCAGCAGCAGCCACATAACATGTCTTGCATGCCGGTAGGTATCATGCATGCACAGCAAGTAGTACGGTAAAACACCGACTTAACATCACAGCACGCTTAACGGAACCAGCCCCCCTCCCTCTCAGTCCCTCACGTCCAGCTCCCGCTTCAGCTCCCCCACCACCTCCTCCACCACGCGCCGGTCCCCCAGCGGCGCCAGCCGGATGTAGGCGGCGAACAGGCGGCGCAGGTCGGCCTCGCGGTACAGCCGCCCGGACAGCACCTCGCCCAGCAGCGCGGAGCGGTAGGCGGCGCGGTCCGCGGTGGCCAGCGCAGCGGAGTAGCTGGGGAGGGGGGGAGGCGAGAGGGAGGGGGTGCGGACAGATATACCAGAACCACAGGTAAGATTAGGTAGGGTCAGTAGCTGGTGAGGTGCAAAGGAGGTATCCTAAACCGTAAGCCTACCGCCCACAAGGGATACCCCGTCGACAAAGATACCTTTACCCCATCCCATACCTACAACCACAATCACAGTCACAATACCCACAGCACTCCCCCCCTGGAACCTCCCCTTCGTCCCACCTGGACTTGGGGAAGGAGGCGGGCAGCGACTGGCCCACACTCCACCCCGCGTACGAGTCGCCACGCCGGGCTGCAGCACGGGCGGAGCGGGGGCGGCAGGGAGGCGACAGTGCACCTCCTCCTCCTCCTCCTCCACCACAGCTTGTTACCGGCTTGCGACCCGCGGAGGCACACCGGCCCCGTGCTGCCGCCGCTCCTCCTCCATGCACGGCTGCCGCCCCTCCTGCTCCCAGCATGCTCGCTTCAGTTCCCACGCAGGGGTGGGCCTCGCTGCGGGCCCAAGCGGGTGCGGAGGTGGGGCGCCAGGCGGCAATCTCCTCCTGCGCGTGGGATAGGAAATGAGGGTGGTTGGGTTGGGGAGGAAGGTAGGATGGCGCGTGGATTGCATGAGCCCCCACCATGTTTCCCCCCCCCTGTGGTTTCCTATGGCTGCCTCTTTACTCCAACCGTCAGTTTACCCCACCCCACCCCACCCCATCCCACCCCCCGCCCCGCCCCCCACCTTTAGCATGTCCTGGTAAGCGTGTGTGTTTCGGCGCAGGTAGACGGGGTGCGCGGAGGGGTCCCAGGGGTCCTGGTGCCGCTCGGTGCGCGAGTAGTGCTCCTCGATTCGTCTGTGTTGGGAGGGAGGGGAGCGGAAGGGGGGTTAGGGTTTGGGTTGGGCCGGAGGGGGAATGCCGGCGAAAGGGCAAAAGGCCACATGGGGGCTAAGGCGCGCGGCTTTTTGCCCTGAAGAGGTTGCAGCGAGGGTGCAAAGCGGCAGCTGAACACATGGTCGGATGGACCTGGGTCGGGTTACATGGTCGATGTAGCGCATGTAGCGCAGTGTAAAAGTATCGATAGAGAGAGGTCTGGAGGTACCGCAGCGTTACAACGCTTGGGGTGGTGGGACGTACCGGTGCATGTGGTAGATGCGATTGATGTGCTCCACGGCTGACAGGTCGGTTGCAGCTCGCCGTGCTGAGCGGTTGCGACTGAGACGCTCAGCAGCGGTCATGTCTTGGGTTAGGTGCTTGACGGCAGCTAGCTCGATGGTGGATGGCTGCAAGGCGTTAAGGCGCTTCTGCATGTGGCGGTACTCATCGATGATGGTCTGCGCACCGCCAAGGTTCTGGGCGGTAGGCGGAAAGGCCGCCTTGCCGCGGTCGCGGCGTAGGCTCATACTTGGGCTGCCGGCTTGTCACCAGCTCCACAATTGCTTGCAGCTGGTTTCCGACGCCCAATGGCGAGGTAGCGACCCGCTGGATAGCCACCCGCCAAGCAAGCTCAAAAGTGTGTTAATGCCGGAGTATGTGTCACGGCAAGGCAAGCTGGCAGGCTTCGAGCAGCGATGCTCCTGTATTCCTTGCTGGGGCGGTTACTATCCCAGAAAGCCCGGTGCCGAGCTTTGTTGATGTAAGATGCACATACTTGTCAAGGCGGATAACAAAGTATGAACAAGCTCGCTAGTATGCCAACAGCGGTACAACTGCTACTGCAAACAAGTTTCTAGAGAAAGGGGCTGGCCAGTTTTGCGAAGAAGTGATATGATAACTTAACAAAATGAGTTGGGTTTGTATGGAGCTCTGTAACTGTGGCCTTACGCAAGCAGTCTATCCCTTTGTTACGCAGAGCTTTGCAAAAAGAACCTGAGAGAACAGATGTAAATCTGGTATCGTTATTGCAGCCAGCACGTGATGCCCGTTAGTGTTGCTGCTATCGAAGGTTAACGGAGGCAAGCGCACCCGTCGTCGTACGGCTGATCAAGGAGAAATGCAGGATTCCCGAATCCATGGGAGAACACCGTTTTCGTCCTATCACTGTGCCCATTGACGAGTCCTTGCACTCCTTGTAACACGTAATCGCGAGAAACAACCTTTAGACCGGGACGGAGGATTCAGCGACAAAGAGCTCGAGAATGCCGCTGGTGCTTCGGCACATCAAGGGACTGAAGTAAGCCTAGATGCACAGTTTTGCTCGAGGTACCGGTTACGCCAGGAATTATGGGTGCAAGCCGACTCTTTCCCGCGGCCCTCTCGTAATGTGCTCGTCCCACAGTGGCTCCCTGCTGGGCTCGGTGAAGGCTATACCTAACGCTTCAGGCCCCTACACCATCGCGCAAGTTTGCGGGGGCGCCGTTATCTTGGGCAACGAGGTGCGTTGGGTCGCGGTGTCTCGGCTCCGCGCAAGCCATCCACGCTGCTGGGCAGGAACCGTGCCTGCACTCACCGCAACACTGCGCCATAACACAAATACGTACCAGGATTAAGCCAACGGCAACAAATTACATATGCTAAAAGCCTTGTTGCCTTTTCGCAAGTCAGTGCTACAACACTGAGCTGTAGTAGCTGCAGCTGCTGGGCCTGCTGCTGTGTCGGTGCCGCTCTAGCCACTTCACGCCGCATCGCATATGCCCTGTACCGCATCGTGGCATACCCTTCCCAAATCTTCTCACCCCTCCCTTCCCTTCTCGCTTCCACCCTTCCTGTCAGAACAACCAGGCGCCCCAGCAGCTGCTGAGGGGCCACGACGATGCCATCACAGCCTTCGCAATGTCGGTGAGTCGCTGCAGGGGTAGTTGACCGGGTTTGGGTCGTTAGATTGCGTTAGTGGGCGTTCGCCCGACCGCCAAGGGGTGTACGGCACAGCAAGCCATTCCACGCCTGTTCGAAATGAGCGCCCGCACACAACCCCTTTCCCTACCCCGCCCCTGTGCCGACCGTATCCATTCACACCATGCCCTGCCATGATGGCATCTATCCCAGCCCTTCCCATGCCACCCCGCTTCCCCGCTACCTCGCCACCCCGCCCCACTCCACGATTCGCCTCCCCCATATCTGGCATTGGGACTCCGTTGCTTCACTTTTCACCTCTTTCCTAGGGTTCGGAATGGTCTTTGACCCCCCTCCCTCACCCCCGCACCCCCAGCACGGCGGGTCGCTGCTGGCCACGGGTCAACGCGGCGCTCGCTCCGACGTGGTGTTGTGGGATGTGACGGCACGCGCCCCGCGATTCAGGTGCGCGCCACTGCACCCATCCAGCGCCACCAGCGCCCGGGTGCCATGACGCGCTGCATGCAAACGCTGTTGGAGGCGCGTTGGGGGCTATGGATCCTGCCGATCCCAACCATGCAAACCAGCCTGCACGCGACGCCCTCTCCCGCTCCAATCCTCCCTCTATCTGTTTCCATCTCCATAGCCAGGAGCTTGTCGTCTTGTTTGCCCTTCTTGTTCAACACGTTAGGACTTCTTCTCCTCCCACCTCTCCCCACCTCCTGCACAGGTTCCAAGAGCACGACGTGGAGGTGGCCTGTCTGGCCTTCTCGCACGACGACCGCCTGCTGATGTCCGCGAGCTGTGTCAAGTGGGTGCCGTACGGCAGTTGTTGCAGCAACCGCCCGGGGGTGGGGACGGAACAATTAATGAGAAGTGAAGCAACTGGAGTCCCTACGGGGTTCCAATTCCATATTCCGACTCATGCAGTGAGCGCATACGTAGACAGGAAGGGGGAGGGGGATAGCAGCTGCATAGCAGTGGCAGCATCAGCTCTCTGTAGCTCTTGTGCCCTAATGGAGACTTGATTCAGCAGTGCATGTTGCCCCCCCTTTTCCCTTCCCTGCATGCACGCTGCAGGGACGCCAAGCTGTTTGTGCTGGACACGGGTAGCGGCAAGATCGTGTCAAAGCACAACCTGCTGCCTGGAAAGGTGGGTGGGAGTCAGAGAGAGAGAGAGAGAAAGGAAACTCGCCGCGAGTCGGAACGTACTGTGATTGCCGGAAGCTGAACAGAATATTAAAATAGCTGGCCGCGAGGTACGGGTAGTGGGGGGGGGCCGTGTTGCGTGCATGCATGCATGCATACCGGTACAGCTGCTGCTAACCTGCCCTACCAGCTGCCCTACCCCAAACCCTGGTTAGTTAGGTCTACCGCTACTAATTAAACACACGCACATAACTCCAACCAACCCACCTCCCTCACCCTCACCCCCTCGCAGCGTGTCACCGCCGCCGCCTGGTCCCCGGTGCTGGGGGGCGGCGGGCGCACCTACACCTTCGCCACCGCAGCAGCGGAGGAGCTCACATTGTGGAGCCTGGACCCCTTCTCGGGGCAGATCAGCGGCCAAAAGGTGGGGCCGGGTACCGTGCGTGACCCATGGGTCATCTGGATAGCTCTTGTTCGCTCGCTCGGTTCGGCAAACCTCCCTACGAAAACGGACACGGGCACGGACACTGACGCTGAAACGCACGCATGCACACGCCTCTTCCGACAATCAGAGTACGTTCCTACTCGCGGCCTGGCTTTTCTTAAGACATGCCTCTCATGTGTACGGCATCGCGTACGGCACATCGCAGGTGGTTTTGGGTTCCGTGCGGCGGGAGTACAGCAGCCTGGTCTTCTCTCCGGACGGCGCGTGGCTGTACTGCGGTACGGGCAGTGCTGACGTGGTAACGGTCAACGTACAACGGTTAAGCGTACAGGTATGTTTTCATTGAAGCAACGTGGATGGGATTGAATGCGGGGTCCGTGTAACGCCCCAATTTGAAACAATTCGTTCGGCACGTGTCTGGGATATGGATTCAGGGCTTTGGTGGATGTTGGCGGACGAAAAATGGACTAGGCGCATTTTCCCCTTCAGCATCTGAAACCCCGTGTACCAAGCGACTCGCCTTAATATCCACCTCTTCCCTCCTTTCCCGCCCTCCCTCCTTTCTTCCTTCCCACCACCTTCAATCCCTTAGATGGCTCATCCCGTCTGCAGCGGCGGCGTCGGCGCCCTCCTCCTCCTACCCCCCACCGCACCCAATGCGCCACTCACCCTCATCGCTGGCGGTCGCGACGGTTCGCTTTCCACCTACGTTCCGGCGGCGGCGCCCGCGGGGCCTGCGGCCGGTGGCGCAGCCGGCGGCGGCGGCACTGGCGCCGGCGGCGCGTGGCGCGAGCTGCGACCGTTCGCGACGGTTGGCGGCTCAGTGACGAGTCTGACGCTGACGAGCGACCGAGGCGGCTACCTGGTTGGGACGGCCCAGGGAGGGGTGTACAGGTGTGTGGAGGGCCCCGGTAAAAGAAGAAGACCCAATGTGTTGAATGATGATGTGGATGGTGGGTGATGAGGGTTCCGGGCGGCTATCAGATGACCTTTCCCTGTCAACTGTCCTGTCTCGTTGCGCGTGCTCACGTCCCCACGCACTCCCTCGCTCTCCCCCTCCCTCCCCCACCTCCCCACCTCCACCCTCCCCACCTCCACCCTCCCCACCTCCACCCACCCCTCCCCAGATATGACCTGTCTAGCAGCCGCATGCTGCCGCTCAGCCAGGCGCAGGCCGCCGGCCTCACCTGCGTGTCATTCGCGCCGGGGGCGAGTGAGGCGGTGGCAGCCAGCTGCGTGGACGGGTCCGTGGCGGTGTGGAATGTGCAGGTGCGGATGCGCGCGCGCGTGTGTGTGTTAAGCAGGCGGAGTGAGCCGGGGGGAGAAGAAGGGGAGAGAAAGGGGCGTGCGTGCGTGTTTGCGTGCGTTAAGAAAGCCGACCGCGAGCCTGAACGTACAGGGTGGAACATACTGTGTGTCACGTCGACTACCCTCGCGCAAGCCCCCCACACCATTCCCTCACCCACTCCATCCGCCTCATATCTATTTGGACCCCCCCTCCCCCCCTCCCCCCCCCTCTCCCCCCAGGACTACTCCCTAGAGGGGCGGGTGCAGGAGGGCGCACAGGCGGGTGGGGCGCTCAGCTGCGTGCTCACTCGGGACGTCATCATTTCGGGTGAGGGGGGCTGGGTTCTTGGGCTGGGTACTTGAACTGGGCTGGGGGGCCATGGCATGGGGGCCTGGCCTGCATGGGATGGCGCGCATGGGGCATGAAGGCTCAGGTATACGGGTATGCAGGTTGGCGTTTGCTGAGGGCAGAGGGCGGCAGCTGCCGTACAGATACTCCCCCTCGACACCTACCCGTCCCCACCCACACCCTCACCCTCACCCGCGCCTGGCCCCAACCAATCCAACCCAGGCTGGGGTGACGGCACCATCCGCTGCCACTCCCGGACTGCTGCTGCCTCCTCCTCCTCCTCCTGCACCCCGCTATGGGTGCTTCCGGGGGCACACTGCCTCGCATCCTCGGTGGGGGTCACGGCGCTGGGACTGTCGGCCAGGTGAGGCAGTGCCGTACAGTCCGCCCTGCACTGCCTCCCTCTCCTCGTCCCTCTCCTCCTCCCTCTCCTCCGAGCCTCCTCCGCACACGCAACAGTCGACCTGTTTTCTTAACACGCCCAGCTGTCATCCCTCCCTCCCTCTCTCTGCCACGTACCATGCACGCACGCACGAACGCTCACCCTAAGTTGCAATGCATCATCAATATTATTATATTAAACACCTTGGGATTCGTCTCTTTCCCCCACAGCGGCAATGTGCTGGTGAGCGGCGGTCAGGGGGGCGAGCTGCGCGTGTGGGAGCTGCGCTGCCGGGAGCTGGCGGCGCACATGAAGCTGCACTGCGACCGGGTGACGGATGTGGCGGTGACGGCGGACGAGGGGCATGTGGTGAGGGATGCGGGAGGGGCGGGCTGGGGACGTGCCTGGTAAGGCAAAACGAACATATGTTGTGCGGATACATTGCGGGGGGGGGAAGCTACTGGCAAGGCCGGGAAAGGGAAGAAGGGAACAAGGCGCGACACACAGAGCGGCAGGCAGAGCAGGAAGAAGAAATACCACTCTCGCCTCAACTTCACTCAATCCATGCACAGGCATTGGCATTGGCCATGCAGCCCACCCTCACTCCCAAGTCCTAACCACCGTGCATGTCATGTGCCCCCGTGTCCCCCTCACCCCCCCACCCCCCCACCCCTCCACCCCCCCACCCCTCCACCCCCCCACCCCCAGGTCGCTTCCTCCGAGGACCGCTCCTGGAGTCTGTGGGACGTGCGCGGGGAGCGGCCGCGAGCCTCTTGGCGCTGCCAGGCGGCGGTGCGGGGCCTGGCGGTGGCTCCGGACAAGGTGAGGCTGAGGGGGGGATCAAAGGGGTGTTGAAGGGAGGTATGAGCGTGTGACCCATGGGTCAGACGTGCGTGTATACCCAGGTTATGTAAGCTACACATAGTAGGAGTGCTGAGTAAAGGGCCCTTCCAAAACCGCCAGTGATGGTCTTGGCAATGAGAATAGCGAGCATGATGATGATGACGACGTAAATGCACTGACAAGGTGCTACCGGTACTGCTCCTACCCGTCATGACAGGTTTCGGTTGCAACGGTTTCCTTGGACCGCAAGGTGCAGATGTGGGATGTGCGCAGCCCCGAGCCGCGCTGGACCAAGGTACGGCGCAGGGCGGTGTCGTGCTGTTTGTGTGTGGGGGGGGGGGTTCATGTGTGCGGAAGTGGTGTGGTTAAGAAAGGGGGGGGGGTACGTGTGCATATTTTTGCGGCATTGTTAACAACGGGGAAAATGGTGCTTACAAGGGGATATAACACGGGACAGCAGCGACTCATTCTTGCCCCCAAGCACCCATCACACGCATGAATTACCCACCCGCATGAATTGCCCATTCATCCATCAAACCGTCAATCGACCAATCCATTCCTCCACCCGCCCAGGTCGAGGCCCATGCGGTGGAGGGGGGCTGTGTGGCGGGGGACAACCGGGGTGCCACCTTCGCCACCGGGGGTGCTGACGCGGCGGTGAAGGTGTGGGATTGGCGTACGGGGGCCGAGGTGGCCTCAGGCGCCGTACATACGGCTCCCGTGACTAAGCTGTCGTACAGTCCGGATGATCGTACGATTGTGTCGGTTGCCATGGATGGTTCCATGGCTTTCTGGCAGCTGGTTTGATGGGCTGGGAGGAGGGGAAAGAGGAGGAGGGGAGGAGAAGTGTGTGACCAAGACTGCCGTACATGCAACATGTTATTGCTAAAAAGAGGTTTGTGATTAAAGAAGCACAATCTTGCGTGCTGAGATAGATGTTGAAAGAGAGCTGTTATGCTCTGCGATTTGCCATAGTACTTGAGTTGGGATCGAGGAGTTGTTGCGGAGGGTTAAAGTTTGGGAACGCGCATCGGCAGCGCGGTTACGTGGATGTGGGTGTGGTTGTGGATGTGGGTGTGGTGTCTCTGCAACGCGGCACGCCCCGCCAGGAATGCCGCGGTGCAGTGACCACCCTTGGCGACAACAATGATAAGCCCATTCGTGCTGCCATACCAGTATTTATACCCGAAAGGATGGGGTTTTGACCCTTTTGAGGCGTGCGGCCCTGTTTGTTGCAGGGATGCGGTAAAGGGGATGCAGTAAAGGGGATGCGATAAAGGCCCAGATGGCGACATTCTTACGGTACTATTATCCTACTCTGTGCCCACATGTGATTGCAATTTCGACTGCCCCGGTTGCTGTTGGTGTCATTTGTCTTTTGGCACTTTGATAGGTCGGATGGGGCGGCGCTGTATGTGGAAGAGCAAAAGTGCTTCTGGTCAGATGTGGGGCATTATCTTTGGGAATAACGCTGGGTCTGGGGTATCGCGGTCATGATGATTTATGTTCATAGCGTGCGAGATAGCTGGGGTTAAGTTGAGACAGGCAGAAGGCTCTCTCCGAAAGGAGATCAGCTGCCGCAGTTTAGAAGTACTAGATTGGATAGAAGATTGGAACGCTTGAAACAATTTTGTGGGTTAGGTGTGGGTGCGGGTAGCAGCTGCTGCGGCAGCAGCATGTACGTATGTACGGCAGAATGCATGCAAGGAAGGAAGCATCGTACCCGGCTGTTGTGGTTGAAGCATCTGGAGCTTCGATCTCTCTCTGCCTGTGTTGTTTCGGCAGATAAGCAGTAAATCACACGATGGGGTGTTGAGGTTTGAGGTATTGCAAGAGCTTATGCTTTGTAAGTTGCTGCGTCCCAGAGATGGGACTAAAGACCTGTACCGTCGTTTCTACCGATTTCTGTTCGGATAGAAAGAGCAGCCGCTCACACATTTGTCTCGCCTTAATAAGAATCTTATGCGGTAGGAAAACCCAGATGGGCCGTGTGAAACAGTCCACTTTGACACTGTTACATGTCGGCGGCAAACACACGCAACGCCCCGAGTGTGCTGTCTGTCCCTCACTCCTCGTTGGGAAGGAGGTTGATGAAACGCCCATGGGCTGCTCCCCACGCGCGCTACCGCACCTGCGGCCCACCACCCCTGTTGTCAGTTAGCTGTTTCCTCATTACCACCTCAGCCTCCCGCCCAGCCCCTCTCCACATGTCGCAATCAACCACCACACCATCATCAAGCGTCAGGGCATAACCCCGTAACACGTGTTCTCAGGCCGTTCCAGATCTTGACAGGTGGTCATGTACGTCCCTGCAAGAAACGTATCATGTGCGGCACACACACCCCGGATGTCTGAACACACTCGCTTCTCCGAGGACCCTAACCCCTAGAAGACTCTCAACCATGCACATACCACTTTCGAGCAATACTCCTCTCCTGCCACCGGTAGATCCTAAACCCCTCCCTGCTTCTCGCCCTCCTCATCCTCCCTTCCAAGCAAGACTACCTCCCAATCAAAGACAACCGCGCCAAGCACCATAACCCAGCGATGCTGTCGTTCCCGATACACGTAACGTTTAGCTTGTCAAACGCTAGTAATCGCGCAACTAACCACGTCTGCATGCGGCAACCAATTTTTAGCTGCGCCAGAAACCGCCTAACAACGAGTCCTTTTCCGAATGCGTGGGAAGAACACCCGAGTCGCCGCCAACACCGCCGCCCCCGCCACCAATCCTGCTGTTGCTTCCGACCGCTCCGCCACCCATGCCGCCGCGGCCGCCCAGACCGGCGCCGCCGCTGCTGCCGGCCGCAGCCCCTGCGCCCGGGGAAAGGTCGGCAAAGATGCCGTCGAGGCCTGACGACTTGCTGCCACCCCCGCCACGAGTTGGGGTGGCGTACTCCACAGTTGGGCTCTTGTCGTACTGCTGGGGGAGGGGGGTTAAGACGGGTAGGGGGGCATGAGAGGACGTGAGGTTGGGTACGCTAGGGAGCAACGTACCGCTAAGCGGAAGAGGCGTGGCGGACGACGAATGATTAAGTAGAAAACGGTCGCATGTTAAGCAATTCACCACAATCAAGCACCAAGCTTTTCCAAAAACTGCGAAAAACCTCTATCCACAAACCCCGACGCCGCAACAACACCCCTCCCGCATCTAGGGTACGAAAACATACCCTAGATGCCAGCAACGACGCCTTGGCCGACGACGTGTCGAGTCCGGCCGCCGCCGCCGCCGAGGGCATCAACCCCCCGCCGCCGCCAGCACCGCCCCCCTCGCCTCCACCGTCTGGCAGCCCAGTCCCACGACCCAGCCAGCGCGCCGCCGCCGCTGCCGCGGTAGCCGACTTGAAGCGCGACGCCGAGGAGCCGCCCGCAGCCGCCGAGGAGCCGCCCGCAGCGGGAGCGGCGGCAGTGGCCCCCGAAGGTCGCTGCGGCGGCGGCAGCGGCGGAGGCGCCTGGCTGGCTCGTTTGTTGCCGCCAAAGAGCCCCAGGAAGCCCTTCTTCTGCTGGTGCAGGCGGCCTGCGGAGGGTGAGAGGCCGCGAGAGAGGAACCAAGGCACAACAGTGTAGGCGAGAAGAGGGGGTATCGGTGGGAGAGAGTGCAGAGAGAGTTCGCGCTCCATTCATCCATCCATCCCCCCCTGCCACCCCAGCTGGCGAAGCCTACATGTCACACAGCTCGTTAGTTGCCTCGTCAGTTCTCCTTATCTTCACGCCCCCGCCACCCCCACCCCAGCTCCTTACTTCGCGGCCCCCCCACAATGTCCGGGAAGTCCAGATCGAAGAAGGCGGACGTGAGCACCTGGGGAGGGTGGAGAGGCAGGAGGAGGCGGTGCAGGATCGGGAGGGGGCAGGAGGAGGAGGAGGCGGTGCAGGAGCGGGGGGCAGGCGGGCGTGAGGAAAGGTGTACAAGTTGAAAGAAGAAGGGAGGGATTGGACCGACTGGCGAGTGGATTTCAAGCCATGTTGTCTCCTCTCCTCAGGCCTCTTCTCCCCCCCCCTTCCGCCTCCTCCCCCCTCCCCACCTGGCCCAGCGCGAAGCCCTTGCTGACCGCCTCCCGCTCCCGCGCCACCAGCAGCCGCCCCTTCTCCGTGTACGTGTCGTCCACGTCGTCATCGTTGGAGAACTTGTACTTGGAAGACACGCAGCTGAGGGGGGGAGGGGGTAAATAACAAGGAAGGGGGAGGGGGAGGGAGGGAGGGGCAGGGGGCGAAACACTCACATTTCCCATTCACAGCATGGCAACTTGGCTTCCTTCCCCGCCCCGGCTTTGACACGATGCCCTCCCCACGGCTCACTTCTCATTTATCCCCCCGGGCTGGTTGGCATTCTCATTCACCGCATTGGGGATTCTTCTTTCTCCCCCCCGGCCCCCGACACAATACCCCGCGCCCCCGCCCCGGCTCTGCCCGCCCTCCCCCAGCTCACATGCCCATGATCCTGTCCCACAGGTTGAGTGCCGTGATGGCGCACTCCACCACCAGGATGAGGGGCAGGTAGGTGTTCAGGTGCTGGCGCAGGAAGCGGGGCACGTCCATGGAGCCCATCTTGTCCTCAAACACCGTGCTGGGGCTGCCTGGGGGGGAGGGGGGGGAATAGCGCCAGAATAGCGCCAGAATAGCGCCACGGCAGCCGAGCAGTATGGTGGCGTGCGTAGAATAACATACTGGTGCGGTACCGGTGCTGGTGGTGAGTAGGACGCAAGAGGCACTCTCGTAGGGTTGCTCTCGTTGGAAGAGCAACCAACTTTGGTAGTTCCCTATGGGTTGGTGTGCTCTGACCCCCCTCCTCCACCCGCCCTCACCCGCACCCTCCTCCACCCGCCCCTCCCCCCCTCACCCGCATCCCTGCTTGTCATGCGGATCATGTGGTAGAAGTTCCAGCAGGTGGGGGCGGCGAAGCGGCACATCAGCGTGCCGTTCTGCATGAAGGCCGACCCAATGGTGGCGCGCGGGATGAGCTTGTTGTAGTCGAAGGCGGTGATGGAGAAGAGCGCGGCGTAGGTGGCGGCGCAGATGTAGGCCTGCGGGGGAAGCGGGGGGGGCGGGAGGGGGGAGAAGGGGGGGGGTGTTCAGCACAAGCGGGTGTTAAGGGTTTTGCGGGATGGGCCGGCCGGCTACCATGTTTGGACCCCATGGTGAAGCCGTGTCATTACAGCGCGTCCATTGCCTCCTTTTCACCCATTTTTACCCCCACCAGCAGCAGCGTGATGAGCTGCACCCCTCCCTCCCCTCCTGCCCCCCTTCCCTCTCCTCGCCCCCACCCTCGTCCCCCCCACCACCCACCAGCGGCAGCAGCGTGATGAGCTGCACCCCGAACTCGCTGTTCTGGCTGCCCTTGATCAGCAGCGACAGCGGCGAGATGTCTACGGGGGACACGATGGTGGCCTCCGCCCACACGATCAGCAGCGACAGCCCGGCGAAGATGACGGCAAGAACCTGGTGGTGAGGGGGAGGGGAGTTGGGGGTGGTGGTGGTGTGGGGGGTGGGGGGTGGGGGGATGGGAACGGGGGGGTTTGGGTAGGGAGAGGGGAAGAGTTGCTTTTGCGATGTTGGACACATCCTGTGTGCTTAATACCCCCTGCCAGAGCATTAAACACCCAAAGGCAGCCAACCCAAAACATCACGCACCCTCACCCCCACCCCCTCACGGTGAGTGTTTCCGCGGCGGCTCAGTTGATCCAACCCCCACCCCCTGCTCCCCCCCACCCCCCTGCCCCACCCTGTGCCAGTGCGCCCTCAGCACGCACTTGTAGTACCACACCGCCCGCTTGATGGGGCTGCGAGTGGGCTGCCGGGGGCTGAAGTCCGCAAGCTGGCGGCACTTGACCACGTCCTCCAGCTCGAACGCCTCCGCCATCACCTCCTCGTACAGGGCGCGGTCGCCTGGCAGGGGGGGAAGGGGAAGGGGAAGGGGATACATAATCCGCATTAGGCTGGATTATAGATTGCGTGTGTGGGGGGAGCTGCAAGCGGGTGGGTACTAACGAGATCGGGGCAACCGGGGGCCACTGCCACCCTTGCTTAGTCTTGGAATGGCTTACCGTAGTACCTGCGGCGGCTTGCCTGCATATACTACCCGTGTACTTGATAGCCGTGTACGCACAGTTCCATGGCACCCTATTTCCCTAACCCTTGCATGTGGAGGCATCCCCCCTCCTGTCCCCATCCCCATCCCCCTCCACCCCCCCTCACGCCGCCCCACCCTTGTAGGTCGAGATGGCGTAGAACATGCGCCTCCTCAGCGCCGCCAGCCCCGCCACATCGTAGTTGTACTCCAGGTCCTCCGCGTTCATGGACTCGATGTCAATGCCGCCCAGACCCCCACCCGCTCCCCCGCCGCTGCGACCGGCTCCCAGGCCGCCGCCGCGGGCAGCCAGGTCGGAGGGCTTGATGGGAGACTCCTGCAGGGTGGGAGTGGGAGTGGGGGTGAGGTGGGGGGGGGGAGGGAGGAGGAGGAGAGCCAATGTGTGTTGGCAGGCAGGAGACAGTACCGTAGCTGTGATGAGGTGGGTGAGGTGGGGTAGGGTCCAACGGGTGGTCGAGGTGATATACCCCCTTCCCCCACATTAGAATTTCTTTTTCCCACCTTCTCCACCTTCCAACCTGTGGTCTCCTATGGTTTGGTATGGTCTTTGACCCCCCACCTTCTCCACATGCTCCCTGCCTACCCCCTCCCCCCACCTTCTCCACATGCTCCCTGCCTACCCCCTCCCCCCACCTTCTCCACATGCTCCACTATAATGTCCATGTACTTCCTCAGCGGGTCGTGTCGCCGCATCTGCCGCTCATTGGCCGCGATGATGGTCACCACCGTCTCCAGCTCCGCAGTGCTCTTCATCACCGCCTCCGCGTACTTGCCGGCCCTGGGGGGCGGGGAAGGTCGGGGGGGAGGGAGGGGGAGAATGGAGGACGGGAGAGGCGCAAGCACGCGCTCATGCGCCCTTTGCCCCCGACTCCATAACCCCTATAGTGAACCTACACCCTTTCCCCTAGTGCCCATGCGGCTTATGCGCCCCTATGCTAATCCCCTAGTGACCACCTGACCCCCACTCAGACCTCCACAGCCACACGGACCGAAACCCCACGTGTGCCCCTTCCCACCCAACCCCCCCTAGCACCCACCTGTGCGCGCACCACTTGAGCTGCCGCTCCGGGTCCGCCTTCCACATGTTGCGCGGGATCTCCACCTGTGCGGGAAGAGCAGGAGCAGGAGGGGGAGGAGGAACGGGGCGCATTAAGGGGTGCAGCGGGACGCCATGCAGAAGGGGCATCACATAGGGTTACTACACGTGCGGGGCGTGCTGTGGACGGGTGCATCCTGCGGGACACGCCAAACAAGCAGCGTGTCCTTGTTGTTGTGGCACCTCCCCCACCCCCCACGCCCCACGTCCAGCCCACCCCCATCACACGGTTGGTTAGGTGCTCTTCCTCTTTACCCATCACTCCCGTTGCTTCCCGTCAATTCACCTCCCCACCACTCGGGGACCCACTCACCAGGCCGTACCCCAGCAGGATGATGCTGGCGATGAGACCTGCGGGGCGCCACATGCACCCCGGGTGCACAGGAAAGCGTGTGTTTGTGTGTTTTGGGGGGGGGGTCAGGGCGTTCGTATGGAGGTGAGCGAACGAGAGGAGTCGGGCAGCAGAGGGCCAGCATACCGGCGGATATACCGGTATGGAGCTATCTTATTGGGGTGCCGTACAGCCCCCTCCCAGTCGAGTTTAAATAAATACCTTCCCCCGCCCTTCTCACCAAATGCGTTGGAGAGGCCGATGCCCAGACCCACGAGGCCGTCCAGCGTCATCTTTTTGGAGATCAGCAGCGCAGCAATGCCTGGTTGGTTGGGTGAGTGGGCGGGGGCAGGGGAAGAGAAGTGCGGGGGTCAGGTCTCAGGTGGGGCATTTGTGGGCAGGTGAAGAAGCAAGAGCAGGTGAGCAAGAGGGGAGGGAGGAGCAGGAGGGCAGGCGGGGAAGGAGCAGCCCGACCCACCTACGAGCCCCACAGCCGCCACGGATCCGTACAGGATAGCGTTTTCCTTCAGGCTGGTCAGGCACCTGGGGGTTGGCGACACGGCACACGGGGGTTGTTGTTGAGACAGCTGGAGGGAGCCGGCATCACCAGCCGGCAAATAACTCAGCAAGCATACCTGCAGCAAAAGCAGGTTATGCTATGGTGCGGACATCAGGGCCAGTACACCTACCTGGCGCATACCGGTTGCAACGCAACACCCAGCAGCCCATCCCTCCATTGAGCAACACCCCTCCAACGCTGGCATGCTTGTAGTTTTACCCCTCCATTGCTCAGTTCACCGCCCTGCTCACATTCCCACCTCCCTCTCAGCCCAACCCTCTTCCCCTTCGGTCTCCTCCTATCCTGGGGCCGCAAAGCCATGCAAATGAGTGGACGGGTCCAGGATGGCTTGGATTTACTTACTTGCCCTTCACAGTGAAGTCCCCGGCATCCGAGTAGTATTGGAAAAAAGGCAGCAACAACCATGTAAGGATCTGTGTAGACCTGTGGTGTGGCATGGAGAGGAGCAAAAGTATTTGGGAAGGCGGGCAACATACCAGGTCGGGCTCAAGCCAAATGCCCAAAATTCAGCCAGCTACCGAGCGCTCCGTCACACCACGTCAGGGTTTACAAGGAACTGCGGTAGCCTACCAGAATGCTACGTTCCACATATAGCCCAGTTCCACCGGCTTCTTGTTGTCCAGCGTCGAGAAGACATCCAACGGCACGATGGCCACCACTGCCATAGCTGTCAGCCATGCGTACGCGGTGGTAACTTTTACTGTAAATACGACCGATTTCGCACAGTACCGTCGCAACCTGCGTAAAAATCACTTTTGAGTTCGTCCGCAACTCAAATGTTTGGGGCTTTGCTGCCATCAACGCTTACAGCAAGAGAATTGCCCCGGAGACCAGGATCATAGAGAAGATGAAGAAAGTCCACATTTTTGCTCACGGTTCGTCAGCAGTAAGTAAGAGTTCTTGAAGGCTCCAATTTTCCTAACCAAACAGGACAACTAAAGCCCAGATATGCTGCATAGAGGTCATATCATGCATGGCAAACGTTTCGATAAAGCCGAACGTCTAGGACCCTTCTGTTCGGTGGAGAAAGTCGCACGATGCCCCCAAAGCTTTACCCGTTTCCAGATACTACCGCAAGATCAACAGGCGTCAAGGTCTTAATAAGTGTATGTGCAGAGCAGATCTGCAGAGCAAGGATGCTGCGTGCGTGCGTGGGGATACCATTGACTAAAGTAAATGCCGTACAGCTGCGGTCTTGCAGCATCCATGGCACAATGGGACAATGCGCGAGGGCCATCATTGTAATGACCGACGTATGCATGCATTAGGAACGGTTTAACTTGGAGGGGAAACGCGGAGGCATCCAGCTCCTGTGCTGGTTTGGCAAGAGGGCAAGAAGGCACGAACAGCCTGAAGGGCTAGAAGGGCTACTACGGCCCATAAGGACGAATACCTTGGGCCCCAAGTCCTCAACCCGCAAGCCACTGCCCCTAACCATAAGTATGCCTGTAGGAAGCTAGGCAGCAAAACGTACGAAGCTAGACAACCGGCACGTGCGCCAGGGGTGTAGGCCTTTCAAGGTACTGATAACGCTTATCGTGCCTTCAGGTTTGAAATCCCCACCCATACCCCCACTCCTCTTTGCGACACACGGCAAACTGCTCGTAGCCCGTGTGACATGCTCGTGTGACTTGCCCGGGATGGGGCAGAGGTAAGTCGCTACTTATGGCACGCCAGCCAGGGCTGTAGCTTATAAGCACATATCGTTACCATGTTTTCCAGAACTGTCACCTACGGCAGCATTTTGACGCTCTAGCTAAACCGGGTCTAACGCTTGCGCGCCTAAGGAGCGGGGCAAAGAGCTTCTATGATAAACATTTAGTCCTTTTAGCATCCATGAATGAGGGCAACTTCTTTTATTTATGGCTGCATGGGCCGGTTAGGCCGTACTGTTTGGGCCGCCTTAGTTCTGCTGTGGCCTCCTTTACCGGCTTTACGCAGGTGCACATACTTCCGAACTGCCCACGACAAAGCACATAAAGAGATAACTCTAACTGTTGCAGCGTCGAAACTTGTGTTTAAGAGGCCGTCGGAGTGTGAGGAGCGCTCGCGCCTCCGCTGCGCCTCCAGCCCACCACTTTGCCTGTCTTTCGCGGTCTGGCTATGCAGACAAAGCATATTGGAGATGCAGCCTATTTTACCAGAGCACAGCTTGAAGCTACCAACCCAAGTAGGCGTGAGGGAATCGATGCGGTCGCCGAGGCCAGGTGGCGCTCCACCACATCAAAGCTTGTTAAGACGGCAATTAAAACCCTTAAACTGTAAGTTCTACGGGGACTTTGCCGCTACCAAGTCAATAGCCGCCCGATCTCATTATTCTGGACCCTACGCCCTGGGCCGGTGCTACCACCAGACCTGACTGGGTCTACGAGACCTCGATGAACTACATAAACCGCTTCTTCTTGACGCGGTCTATCAGCAAGAACGACCGGCACGTAAGTCCGGGGCGGGAAGCTGGGTGGCTACTGGAAGAAGTTCCAAGCGCTGTAATGCGCTGGCCATCCACGCTGTTCCCATGATAAGTCTTCCTGTACTCCGCTTTGTGATTGCCATGAGCTGAGCTTGGCTTTGATGCCTCTCCTCCTGGCGTCACCGCAGCTGGTGGTCGGTGGCGCCATTCTGCTGGCTTCGAAAGTTCAGGAGAGCCCTCGCTCGGTGCAGGACGTCGCGTACGTCCTCCTGCAGCTTAAGAATGCCAACAAGCAGAAGCCGCAGCAGGGCCCCGACCAGGTCTGTCTTGGCACATACTTCCCTTTGCGGGTTGAAGGCGCTTGTTTGGTTTCCATGGGCACTTTAAAAAGTCATGGCTAGCTGCCTCACGAAAGCCTTACACGATAACGGGTAGAATTAGCCTAAACGCCTTTGGGCCGCGTCCCACTTGCGCTTCATCCAAGTTTTTGCGCTCGAGGAACCTGCTTGGGTGACCTATAAGCGCACTTGGCTGCCCGCATGCGTTGACAGACCACATTGGAGCAGTTTATGGAGGGAGTCGTGCTGGCTGAGCAGGCCATGCTGTTCTCCATGAACTTCAACCTGAACGTGGAGACGCACGTCAGCCTGGCCCGCCGCCTCCTTGAGCCGCTCGACCTCTGGGCCAAGACCAACCCGACGCCCGAAGAGGCCGAGGCAAACCAGTTGAAGCTAGGCCTTTACTCGGCCATGACGTTCTTCCTCAACGACAGTGCGCTGACCAACCTGTCGCTTCAGTACCCGAACTCCAAAGTTGCGCCTGTGGCGCTGGTCATGGCAGCTAAACGCATCGTGGCATTACGCTATGCGGGCAAAGAGATTCCCGCGCAGCTGCAGCGTGTTCTGGCGCTGGCCAACGATGCTGAGTGGTTTGCCTCCAAGGGGCTCACTCTGGAAACCGCTGCAGGTGGGGGAAAGGGCCTAGCGTTGCGCTAGACGTTCTCTTCGTTACTTGGCATCGATATTAAGCGCATGCACTTGGTACAAACCCAGAAAGTATCAGCCCGTACATAGTCGAATGTGCTCTGTCAGGGTCCACACAGGTCTCCTGTAATGCGCTGTTCCTCCTGATTGAGCATGCATGCCGTCCTTGAAACCTTGCAGGAATCGAGTCGCAGATTAACGAGCTGTACGCGACGGCGCCGGCCGCCCCGGCCTCCAACCAACAGCAGCAGCAGCGCCAGCAGCAGCAACAGGCGTCTCAGGCTGTCCGGAGCCAGCAGGTAGCGGCCTCAGCGTCCGCACAGCCGCAGCAGCAACAGGCACCGGCGAGCGCATCGGAGGCTTCACGGCAGCAGCAGCAGCACCAGACGCAGCAACCCCAGGCTGCAGGCGCCCTGGCAGCGCCCCAACGGCCGTCTGACGGCGGCAGCGGCTGCGACGGGGTAGGTAACGATGGGAGAGGCGCCCCCGCATCATGCCCGGATGGGCAAACGCAGCAGCAGGCAGCGGGGGCTGCGACGTCCTCCGGTCTCCCGGTTGCTGCGCCCATGATGCAGCAGCAGACGGGGCATATGGAGGAGGCCACGTCAGCAGGTCACCTCCACCCCAATGCTCCTGACGCCTGCTGCTGCGCGGCGCCCCAAGCCCCTGGTTCGCCCCCTGCGGCCGCCGCGGACCACACCGCCGCGGCCACTGCGACCCCCTCCTGCAAACGCGAGGAGCAGCAGCAGCATGGGTACGATCATGAGCCGCGGCAGCCCACGTCCTCGGCCGCAGCAGGGCCGCCGGCTGCCGGGGCGATGGCAGGCGGCACGCCGGAGCAGCCGCACCCCCCTTCCCCGCATCCGCACCCCCACACGCAATCGCATCAGCACTCCCCCTCCACGCTTCACCAACACCCCGCACAACCGCACCACCAAACCCCTCCTCTTCAGCCACAACAGCAACCTCTTCAGCCACAACAGCAACAGCCATGCAGCGCTCGGAAGCGCATCAGCGATGGTGACGAGTGCTTGGCGGGAGAGCAGCAGGCGACCTCAGAACTGCACCCCTCGCCGCAGCAGCAGCAACAGCCACTCCAGCAGCAGCATCCCGAGCAGCAGCACCGCCACGACGGCGGCGGCAATGTCGGTGGTGGCATGCACGAGGAGGATTCCGCCATTGAGAATTGCAGTCCCAACGGCCTGACGACGGGCAACGCCTCAGGCAGCGGCTGCGGGCATGCCGAGGGTCAGCCCGAGGTCTGCAGCCGCGCCGACGCGCTCAGCCAACAACAACAGCAGCAGCGGTGCACGGGAGGAGCGGCTGCGGCGGGCGTGGGTGTGATGGGTTGCTCTGGGCAGTACGCTGCAGGGCAGGTGCAGCAGCCCCAGCAGCAGCAGGAAGGGCTGCTGCGGGGAGGAAAGCGCGGCCGCATGGAGGGAGAGCCTTCTTCGGAACTAGCGGAACTGGAAGTGCATGGTGGCAGCAGCGGTGTCGAGGGAAGAGACGGCTGCATGTTGATGATGATGATGCCGCCAGCGTTCAAGGCCCGGCGACTGGAGGAGGCCGGCGCGGCGTAAGAAACGTGCAGCTAAATGCCTTGTGGATGGAGCTGTGTGGCTGTGTGTGTTTGGTCGTTTAGCGGGCAAGACCGACGTATTTCACAGCGGGCAAAGCAGTGGCAGATCACGCGGTCGAGGCATGGATGGCCTGCATGCATCGTCTTTCAGTACTTGCTGGCGTGCACGGGTCGTGGCGTTTGGTGTGCGCCACGACGCGTAGCAGCAGCAGCAGGTCGCAACCCTCATCCCCCTGGCCATGCCACGTCCAAGGGCTTGTGGGGACACCGAGCACGAGTCTGGCAGGGCTACCAGCGCCGACGGTACACGACGCGCCTGGTACCTCCCTACGCAAGCATTCGTTCCTTCCAACACTTTTTGTCATCCTCCCACTGCGCGTGAAACTGTGCCAGCATGGTTCATGCTGGGGTGGTGTGCTAGGCACAGATGAATACAACCATCAGCTGCGCCCCCTCGGCCCTTCACCCATCATCCTTCCCGTCCTGCCTCCTGCCTCGTTTCAAAGATAACGAATGCGAAGGTGCCAACAGCCGTATGGACACCTGTCAGGTTTCTCAGGGTTCGTGGCCTTGTGAATTCCCTTTTGGCGCCTTGCACTTGCGCGCCTTGCGGTTTAGCGGCTGGCACCGCAATCTTGCAGTTTCCACCGTGTTTTGTAGTGGGAAGTCTGTGATGGCAGAGTCACCACTGTCGCTTTGCGGGTGTTGTGCATGTATGGGTTGTTGTCGTGTGTGACGTGGCCTGCCACGATCAGGGGACATTGCAGCGCTGCCGGGTGTGCATCCGCAGATTGCCTTGGGTGAGGTTGAGAGGAGAAGAGAGGAGAGGGTGACAGGGGACAAGAAACGCGTGTTACGGCGGTAGTATGGAGGCCTTATGGATGCGTCTGTGATTGTGGTGTGGTTGCATTTTCGGACTCTGCCGAGGCTACTTACGGACGAGAGGAAAGAGGGTCATGAGGTATGATCCGCATGAGCATTACCCCAAGGGCGGTGCTGCTTGGTGCCTGTGTTGCAAGCTCTGAAGGGTCGTTACAGCCATGGGGGCATGGAGGGCTTCCCGAGCAGATTCGGTCTGTGGATGGGGGTAAGTAGACAAGGAGAGGTTCTCTCTCTGTCTGCGTGCGTGCGCTGGATGGGACAAACGAACGAGGACATAGCCGGCTGTGGGTTTGGCTGGAAACGGTTGGAACACACTGCATCTTTTCAATGTTGTTGGGATGAACGGTATTGGAAATACCGGGCTTTCCGTGGGAGGAGGGCATGCGCACCGCCGCTGGTGCTGCGGCCACCACCACCACCACATCGCCGCTGCTGCTACTGCTGTGCCTATAATTTAAAAAAACTAAATAGAGTGTTTATACACGGGCACTGTTGCCTGGTGCCTTCCTAGATCCGATTTGTAGACGTGGTGACCGGAGTTGTCGATGATTGTTTGTGGCGGCGTCGCTTCTGTGGCCCCTTCCCCTTCCGGGGCCCTTGGCGTCCTCCTGTCAAAGAGAGATTTCAGCAGGCCATGTGGGATGTGCATCCTTTCAGAGTATATTTGGACGCACATGCGTGGCAAATTGTTTGGTTTTGTGCTTGTGTGTAGAGGCATAGACACGAGAGGTGTGAGAGATTAAAGATTTCCCATAAAAGTAGGACCGAGCAAACCGCTTACTATTTCTTGGTGCAATTTGTTGCTTTTCTTGTACGGCTAAAACAAAACCATATAGGTCCTCAGGCGAGAGGCCCTTATAAAAAGAAGTCCGTCGTCGGTCCTTTCATGGTGGCGCGGACAAGATTAATCTTACTGGCTCGTCTGTTTGGGGGAACGGAACCTCAACAGCACAGCAGCAGATTGTGAAGATGCGGGTGGCTTTTGCTTGCAAGCGTACGGTATGTTGCTTTTCCGTGGATGTCGGGGTGGTGGCAAACCAAACATGTGCTTTGTGTGCATGTGTGTATGTTGCATTGAAGGGGCGAACCAGGACTGCTTGCCCCATGTGTGGCGTCATAGCTCGAAGGGAGCTGTAAGAGTAACCCACATGGCCAAGTTGGGCCGCGATTGCTCTTCGCCTTGCCTCGGCTGTTCATCGCCAGTCGTTGTGGTGCAGGGCACGCAGGTTTTAAGCACTGACAGGAGCTCAAGAACACGACATGGCAGCACCGCGCAAGCGCCTGCCGATGCGCTTCTTGCATGCATCCAGTCTGGCACAATGTGTCAGTCAAGAGCCATAAGTCAGGGGTACCGGCTAGGGTATGCAGATGAATAAGCCAGCGCTGGCAACGTGCGCGCAACCCCTACGCATGCACAACGATTAACTCGACAAAGGCAAATGCATTCGTAAAGCAACAACCCTGCTTCAACCAGCACACGCGCAAAACCACCGCATTACAACGTCCCTTTCCAAAGGCACCCATCAACTCGCCCCGTCCACCCTCCACCGTTGCCCACCTACCCACCACCCTACTCCAATCGTCCGCCCGCTCGTACCTCACCCCCCCATGCATCCCCACACTATCTTCCTCCTTACTACTGCCCTGTCAAAACAGCAGCGCCCGCATCCCCCGCCGCTGCCCCTCCTCCCTGCGCCCCTGCTCCCGCAGCCCCTCCTGGCGGCGGCCCCAGGACCTTCCTGCCGGGGTTGACCAGGTACTGGTTCTCCGCCTCCTCCGAGTGGTACACGCAGCTGACCTGCGGCGAGGAGTCCAGCTCGCCCACGAAGGCAAAGGTGTTCATGGAGCGTTTGCAGCTCTCCACCTGAGAGGGCGGGAGGCGGGGGGGGGGGGTTAGGAACGGGTTATGGAAGGGGGTACAAAAAAAAGAGACTCTGACGAGGCAACGAACGCGCTGCATGGCAAGGGGGTGCTATGGAAGGGGGTGGGGGCGCGACAAAAGGTACACTGGAAGCAGCTGGAAGTCCACGGTATCGGCCTCGGGGTGGTGGGTGAGAGCCGGGGAGCAGAAGGCGAGGGAAGGAGAGCGCAGCGAGGGCAGTGGGGGGAGCCCTTGGATGGGCACATGGGCTGGTGCGAGAGGGTGATGCGGCGCGCACAGGTTGCCTAACACGCGTGCGGAAGGGGGCCCCCAGCCGGAGGAAAACGGAGACAAGCCTCCAAGGGCTGCAACGGCCCACCTGCTGCTGCGACACCAGCTTCTTGTTTTCAAGCACTCCCACATTGCTCCTCCGCAGGATGCAGCCGGGCTTCACCTCCGGTTGCGACACGTACACGTTGAAACTGGGGCGAAAGAGGATGGAGGGAAGCGGGGGCAAAGACATACACGTTACTACCCAATGTGTTGAATGAGAATGGCAAGCAAGAGGAGGAGGGGCGTAAGGAGGAAGACACCTGAGCGAGGGCCTTAAATGGCACAAGCCACTGTATGCAAGGCATAAGTTTGCGGTAGTTCACATGAGGCCACATGCGCGTGACATCTGAAGTTAGGACGATTGTGGTTTGGAATGGCTCTGTTGACACCGACATGGGGGCACCGAGGAGGGGCCACGCAAAGACTCACGGGTTGAAGGACACGAACAGGCGCTGGTCAAACGCCATGGCCGAGTAGCCGTACGCCATACACAACTCGGAGTTTGGAGTGCGCCGGTCAACGATTTCCGTCGAAGCGACGTTGCTTGGCGATAACGTCATGTTGCTGTCAAAGAAAACTCCGATGCCCCTGCAAAGAAGTTTAAGTTTCGGCGGTCGAGGTGTGGTGGGTATTTGCATTCAGCATCAATGGAAGTTAAGACCAATTGCGATAGCTCAGACTTACAGGCCAGTTATAAATGCTGCCGCTATTAAAGCACGTGACAAGCTGTCGCCTCCGCTGTTGTTCTTGTTGGGTGGCGGATTGCTTGGCGGAGGAGGCGGCATGCTTGGCTGTCTAGGGAGCGACGATGGTGGCGGCGGGTAATCATATGGCCCTGATTTCCAATTTGGCAAAGTGCCGGTTGGAGGTCCTGAAGGGCCTGTCCCGGACCCGCGCGGGTCCTTCGCGAATTGGGCCGTGCATGCGACACCGCCTGAACGCCGTCCTCTCCTGACGACTACTGTCCCATAGCTGGTACTTGCTTCATTAGTATTTTTCAGTAAGGAGGCGGGGCTCCGATAGCAGAGCCCAGACATTTGGCTAGGAATGGCAATGTGTGGTTTCCGGCAGTGGTAGGTTGGCTTTGAAATACTGGGAGAAATAGCTTTGCATACGATAGAACGCAAAAGTACACCTGTATCATAAAAGACGACTGCTCCTGTTGAATTGACTTCCGACGGTCTAGGGGCTGGGTAACAGGAAACTAACCAATACTAGCGCACGCATACCGCACTTGCTTTGATAACCCTATAGTATCGCGACATGCACATGCATATTTGTTGCAGGGGCTTCGTCTAAGCTACAACCACGAGATTGTATGAAGTCTGCTTCGGCACCTGTAAGCCCAGAACAAGTTGTACATGGCCAGAACAGCGTACTTAACGTATGCAAAGAGCATCGGCATTACAAGTTAAACATTTTGTTAACCAGTCTTCTTACTAACCTACAACGCCAACCGTCCCCCGGGTCACGAGACTCGCGGCCCACTTCCCAAGCGTCGGCAGCCGTAGTTGCCTGCGCCCTAACACCGCCTATAAGACCATTCCGCCATTTTCAGGGCAGAATTTCGCAGCATTTCGGAGCCATAGTTGTATGGTGGCAAAGAACAGCCAAGCAGCGTCGTCGCTCCTCCGGAAGTTCGAAAGTGCTACGGATGGCTTACTAAGCAGGACGGGGACGCTGCACAAGAAGAGAACCGCAGCGATGGATGTTCCCTTACCTTTACCTGATTGCCAGGTTCGCACACCAACCTCTTACCGGTTTTACAAAGCCGCGCCGCCGTTTCTTGCAGCTAGTAGCTGTCACCTGTCATACACCATGCCGGAATACTGCCCTCACTCCCATCCTCCCAACACCACAAGTACCGGTTTGTCGTATTAAGGCGATACAATGGCCGCACGTTGGGCGTTATTACCGTGGCTCTCGTACGACAGCCATGGTAGTTACTTGTTTACTTGTAGTTACTTGCATGACCGTCCGTTAGGTTGGAAGATGTTTTTTCACGGTCTTGGTTCTAAAAGGCACACACCTTCTACCCCACCAAACCCTCCAAACCCTCTCCTCGCCCGACATGCCACTCAACATTCATGCATGTTGCAAAAGCATTGACGCATGATCTCCGTAACGTCACCCAAACACTCACTTTGCATGCAACATACCGTACCTGCCGTACCACGTACAGGTACGGAACATGCATGCCGTACCTGAGCCGGTTCCGGTTCCATTCATGCCGGGAGCATGCAGACCGACCCCACAGCAGCCGGACAGCCATCATCAACCCACATCAAACCATATCACAAGGGTCACAACCCAACAAGGCGGTTAGGACATCACCCCCCCTCCTACGGACGGGTCGGGCTGGCTCACATGTTGCAACCCATGTTGACGCCTTATCCCTCAGTCAGTTAGTTGTTTCCTCTTTACCCCCACCCGCAGCCGCACCCCAGGGTGACGGCAATCTAGCACCAACCTAGCACCAGCAGCAGCGGCAGCCGGGGCAACACGTACAATGTACCCCATCGCACGTAATGACGCACGCGCGCTCAGTAAAACATGCGACAATGGGGGGAGGACATGCGTGTTATGCTTGGTGTGTGTGTTGAGGGGATGGCGGGAGAGGAGAAGGTTTGCCCCCTCCCACACACTCCCATTCCACACACTCCTCTCAGCAGCCGCCCCAAAGTGCCCCAACCCCACCAAAACAGGTCCCAGAAAACGAACATTGGCACAGGGCCACAGGCTATGCCAATTTGTTGTAAGTTCTCAGCTTTACCCAGCTGTGAAGAATAAACAAGCAGCGCCAGCACCAGCACCAGCACCACCAGCACCTCGAGCAGCACCAGCACCAGCAGCACCCCCAAACTAGGAGGCCTCAACGCTGACCCAACCCACTAAACAGCAGCACTCGTCAAGTGTTTCAACACACACCCCCATGTACACACACACACACTCAGCGTTACTAGCAAATCACCATTGCCACCAGCTCCCATTCCTATCACCAAATCACAAACCACCACCACCACGAGTCCCCCTTCCGCACCTCAGCTAATCCACTCCCGCCTCACTGCCACCCGTCCCCACCCCACCATCCGTCACCCCCCCTCCTCACTGCTGCTCCCCCCCCCTCACTGCTGCTCCAGGTTGCGCACCACCGCCTCCGTGAAGCGCAGCAGGCTGCCGCTGCCGCCCACATCGGGGGTGAGCTCGGAACGGTCGCCGTCCATGTAGACCTGGGGGGGGGAGGGGGGAGGGGGAGTTGGTGGGGAAGTTGGTGGGGTATTGCTTGTGGGTTAATCGCAGTTGTTTCCTCTTTACCCCCCGCCTCACGCTCCCACCTGCAGCACCGCCGCCTCCAGCCTGTCCGCGAACCCGCCCAGCTTGATGTGTCTCAGCAGCATGGCAGTGCTGAGCAGAGTGGCGGTGGGGTTGGCGACACCCTGACCCGCCAGGTCCTTGGCCACGTGGCGAGCGCCCTGAAGTGTGTTTGGGGGGTGGGGGGGTGGAGGTGGGAGGAGGTGGGAGGAGGTGGGGTTACCATGGAGTTACTCGCCACGGACCGGGTAACTAGTAACGTGTTGCTGTGTGCCACAACTGATGCTTCCTCAGCCCTCAGCCGCCAAGCCGCCAAGCCCCTCGCCACCACCCTCACTCCATCGTTAGTCGTTTCCTCTTTACCCCCACCCCACCCTACGTCATCCAGTTCGTCAGTTTTCACTTATTTGCCCCCCACCCTACCCCTCAGTGTCTCTTTATGTTTCACCCCCCCCCCCTCACCTGCTCAAACACCGCCACCCCATCCCCGATGTTGCCCCCCGGCACCACTCCGAAACCCCCGCACAGCCCCGCCACCACATTGGAAACCAGGTTGCCGTACAGGTTGGGCGTCACCATGACGTCGAACTGTTGGGGGCTGCCGTACAACGACAAGGGTGATCGTACATGTACGACGAAGTAGGGAGTAGGGTGTTGTACGACAGAAAGGGAAAAGAGAAGGGATTAGGGTGTAGGATAAAATAATATGCGTGGGAGGCACCAGGAAACGAGCTCCAGGAAACAGGAGATTCCCCCTTTCCCCCTTGCACCCATGCCTTATACTCTTTCGCCTTTCCCCCCTTTCGCAAGCTGCTGTATGTCATACATACATGTATAGCGTTTCTGTGTGGTACTTCATCTTCCGGCAATCAAAGTACGCTCCGACTCGCGGCCACTTCTCAGAAACACCCCTACCACACGGCCAGCTTTCTCGAAACACACACAGTTTTCTTAACACACCCGCGGCCAGTTATTTGAACACACCCGCCCCCCCCCCGCGCCCCCCCCGCCCCCCTACCGTGTGACCAGCTGCATGCACGTGTTGTCCACGATCACCTCCTCGTACTGGATCTTGGGGAACTGCCTGGCCACCTCGCGACACGCCCTCAGGAAGGTGCCGTCGCCCTGCTTCATGATGTTCGCCTTGTGCACCGCCGTCACCTTCTTGCGGTGGTTCAGGTAGGCGAACTCGAATGCGTAGCGCGCCGTGCGGTGCGACTTGGCGAAGGTGATGACCTTCAGGCTCTCAACAACCCCGTCAATCACCTCGTGCTCTGAGGGGAGCGGGAGGGGAGGAGGCAGGGATGATAGGTAAACTGAGCCGTGAGGAAACACGGGCCGTGACCATAGGTGAGGTGAGGGAAGGGGAGGGGAGCCGGAGGGGAGCCGGAGGGGAGCGGGAGGGGAGGACCACACTGTCAATCACAACATCCTTTCCAACCAAGGTAAGCAACCCACGCTGCAGTTTTGTTACGTGGTTCTGTCACGATGTCACCCACCCACCTAGTCCGCTGTACTCCCCCTCCGTGTTCTCGCGGATCACCACAATGTCCACATTGTTGTGGCGGGTGGGGATGCCGGGAATGGAACAGCCGTGAACAACCTGGGGGGAGGGAGGAAGGGGGGGGGGTTAGGGAGAGGGGCGGAGGGCCGGGTTGTGTGACCCATGTGTGACCCATGGGTCAGCCCCGCACCCGACCCCCCAATCCCCATTACTTCGACCCAAATGCAGGCCCAGGCCGTTGCAAGGGCATCGTTTACTCCCCAAGTAAGCGCTATGCCGGTACCCCCATGACCCATGGGTCACATGTGCCCATTCCACTGCGATAACCCCCACGCCCCCCCATTGCCGTACGTTGACGTGCAGGTCCAGGTCCTTCCTGAGTTGCACGTTGAGGGATTGCGTGTTGGTGTTGTGCTTCAGCAGGGGCGTGAAGAGGGTTCCCTGTGCGGGGCGCGGGGGGGAGGGAGGGAGGTGGGGGCGGGAGGGTTGAGGAGGATAGGATGGGGGGGTTCTGGTGGGGGACATGCATTCCGAAAGAGCAAAGGGAGACAGGAATGAAAAGCGGCGAAAAATGACAGAGGCCCTGGCTCCCCTGCCCCCACTCCTCCACAGCTCCACAGGTTCCTTGTTCTTGTCCCAGCTTGTCCCCTCACCTCACCCTGCTGCACGTCATCATAGCCGGATCTGCCCATGCGGTCACGGTCAGTGGTTCCTCCCTGGCGGCTCGCTTTACCTAATACCCCCCCCCGCACCTTGAGGCACACCCCGTTCCTCCGAATGGAGTCAAGCACCTCCTTGGGCACCGAGGTGCGCGGCACCTTGCCCACGTGCGTCTCCTCGGACCCCGACAGGTAGTCGAACCTGGGGCGGGAGGAGGGAGGGGGCGCATGTGTTAAGAAAAGTGGCCGCGAGTGGGAACGTACGGGGATGCCGGAAGCATGTGTGTGTGTTGAGAAGGGAGGCGGGGTGCAATCAGTTCATGCCCCTGCCCCTCACCATCCCGCCCCCTTATCATTTACTTTTCCTCCCGCTCTCCCCCCCTCACACCTCTCCCATGTGATGGGTGCCCCCATGGCCGCCACCACATCCACCACACTCTTGGTGACCTCGGGGCCGATACCGTCGCCGGGGATCAGCGTGACCTGGGGGGTGGGGTGGGGGTGGGGGTGGCAAGAGGAGGAGGTGGTGGAGGCGTGCGAAAGAGGTGGAATGAAAGGTATCTTCGTGTTGGAGGCGGGTGGTGGGTGGAGGGTACTAGAGGGGAGCGGGTACAGGTGAGGGGGTTTATGAGGTGGAGCGGTTCATTCGCTTCGCAAGCAGGGATGGATGGAGGGTTCAGAAAATCGGAGAGGGGCGGTTGGGATACAGTCGGGGCGGTTGGGACGGATGGAAGTGCTGAAGTAGGGTTTGGGGATTGAAGTAGGGTTGTGCTAGTTTGCTGGGAAAGTTCAAAGTCGTTTGGAAGGCGTTAACCCTCGGTTCTGTGCCTCTGTTTGAGAGATGACGGATTGTGTGCGGGTTGTGTTCTGGCGGCGAGCGGCAAGTAGCAAGAATGCGAGAGACGACGTAAGGGGCGCAACTGGCTATGACGGTTATGTTAGCAGTCGGGCTGCTCGTTTGTTTTTGACACCTACCACATGTGCTTCTGCATCCCCTGGTGATGGGAGGTAGGTGTTGTAGCAGCGCGCCTGCGGCGACAACCAGCAGCACGGGGAGCGCCATGTCCATTAGCGTCAACAAACCCGAAGGGCTCCGTACAGGTAAGTACAGGTTCGTAAAGTAGAAGGGCATTCCAGGGCATGTGCCATGCTGGAATACCTGCTGGAGTAAGCTGTTTCCGCTGGAAGCCCGGGCCAATCGCCCCAACCGAGCGAGCATCTTGCAATCGATTTAAGCGTTCTTAACGGTTGGGCCTGGATTATGCAAGAAGACAATAGCCGATCCCGAAGCGTCAATCTTAAACACGGAGAAGCTGTACTTGAAGCATAAGCGGAGTAGTAAGCCCGCCGGACGACATGTACGTCAAAGCAGACCAAAGATCATGCGCCCGGAGCTTAGGCAATCTCCTAAGTTTTGCGGCTTCCTCTATTACCATTTAGAAGTATGCAACTTGCAGCTGCTCAGCCTTGGAGAAGCGCAAGGCCAGCTTGCTCGACATGGCAAAGCCCTGGCTGCAAGCCACATGCATCTTTGCTTTCGCCATCATACTTAATGCCTAATCATAACGTCAGCGCTGTTACCTACGGAGCATCGTCTCGGCGTGTGGCGGCCGCAGCTGTCCGCGCACCTAAGCATGCGTACGGCGGACCGGAACCTTTTGGCACCGGCGGTGGCATTTCGCAGGTAGGCCAAGCACGTAAGAATTGGCCTTGAAGCCTGCCTGAGTCCACCCTCGCCTTATTCCACTTACTGCAACACATCACCCAATTGGCCCCGGATGGCTAGCCATCCATCCCTCTTGCAATCCCTCCCGGCTGTGCTAGGCCTGACAGTACACACGCGCACATCTAATCTACTGCGCGCGCACGTTTGTGACTCTCTTTGCTAACTAAGGAAGCATTAACGTCAGCCATGCAGGCCTTACGCACGGGAGTCAGTCCGTCCCAATTCTTTACACCCCTAGCCTCTTCAGCTATGTACCCCCAACCGCTCGTCATTCCAAATACGCAGTGGGAGCGCGAAGCAACCGCCTTGCTCCGAAACCACCTGCGAGTGGAACGCGAAAAAGAATGGAAGCGTGTACGGCACCAGCTGATCCGTCGCGGTACGACACCCTTGGACGAGCAACATCTCGGCCCGGAGCGTGCTGCAGAGATTGAGCAGACTCGATTGAGGGTAGGGTGCGGGGCAGGGAGGGGGCCAGTGTACTTGTGTATTGCCGTACACCGTTGCCGTGCATTAGCTGAAGTGTGCCCCGGTATGAGTGTTAGTTCATTAAACAACGTGTCCGATCGTTGACATGTTTTGCGGTCATCACACCATGCAAGCACCCTTCCCCTTCCTCCGGATCTCAGGTTCGCTTCGCCAAGTTCTGGGGCCTTATGCATGAAAAGGACCGATCCTGGCAGTACGACGTTGTCGTACACCTTTGTACGGCACTCTCGCCGTACAGCTGCAAGCGGTACAGCTCCGTGACCGCCGCCACCATGCAAGGCATCCTGGCGAAGCGAGAAAAGGTGTGTTGGGTACCATCTCCTGACCATACCTACTTGCAATTTACCACCATCATTGCCAAGATCGCATACCGCTATGCATTTTCACAGGTCTGTACCGGTATGTTGGTTACCTTCGCTTTTCGTTAACCGCTTCCCCCCAACGCCCCAACCCCCACACGGCCAGGCCGAGCGGGCGGTTCACGAGCAGCGGGCGGCAGCCGGGCAGCTGAGGCGCCGCATGACAGCCGCGGCAAGACAGGTGGGGAAAATTATAAATAAGTGCAACAACACAATCCCAATCCCGAATCCCGACTCAGACAGGTGGGGGGTGGAGGGTGAGGGGGAAAGATAAATGAAAGCGAAGCAACGGAGGCGGGTGTGCGTGTGTGGATTTGTGGTGTAAGTGTGGCTGCGTGCCAAGCAGGCGTCCGGGCTGTGAGTGTGTGATTGCGGTTACCGTTCCGTCCGGGCTGTGAGCCTTGTGGGACTTGGTCCTTGCAACGTACATCCCCGCGCCCCCACACACAGATGCAGTACAGCGGGCGGCCGCTGCCGGCGGAGGTGCTGAGTCAGCTGAGGCGGCGGGTGGCTCAGGTGGCGGCGGGGGCGGGCGGGGCGGCGCGGGAGCTGAGGAGGTTGCGGGACATCGCACGAGTGACGTACCAGGTGGGGAGTGGGCTCGCGGGCGGGGTTTGAAAGAGGGATAAGGCAGGGAACGGTGTTTTTTAACACACCGTGTAATGAGGCAGGTGGATTGGTGGGCGGTATGCCGGCTGGGGGGGTCTTATCTGTCTGTCTGCCGCTGTAATCCCTTCGCTCCCTTGCAGTCCCCCTTTCCCTGAACTGCCCCCTTTCAAGACGCTCCAAAAGACCAAAACTCCTCCTTCCACTGCCCCCTGCTCGCGCCCCCTCAGGACCGGGACTACGTGGGTCACGTAGACGCGTTGCTGCCGCTGCTGCAGGTGAGCTGAGGGGGGAGGGGGAGAGGAAGATGCGGGTGGTGAACTGGTGATGGGCGGGTCAACACTACCCAAGAAGAAAGCTAGGCTACCAATCAAGGCAATGTGCACCGACACAACCCACCTGCATGCGTTCCTCCCCACTACCTCCCCTCTAGCTTCCCACCTCCTCTACCGCGCCTCACCTCCCCCTTCCCTCCTCCTCAACCCCTCCCCCTCCTCCTCCTCCGCCCCACACTCTCTCCCCCCCAGGAGACGGAGCAGCTGGGTGACGTGGCGCGCAGGCGCATGCTGCCCGAGCTGGAGGGACTGCAGGTGGGTGGGCGGGGGGGAGCGGGGAACTGGGCGCCAGGAGTAACGCACTGTGCTGTCTCCACCAGACCCTATACCCTTACTTCAATAGATAGATTCTGTCGATCCTATGAAGTTTGGTCCATCACTTTGACTCCCTCGCTTTGTTTAGCGGTACTACCGCCAAAGCATGGGGGATTCTTCTCTTTACCCCACACCTCCACCTTCCGCCCCACCAGTCCGAGCTCACCTCCCTGCAAGCCGCCCTGGCCGAGCGGCAGCTGCCCCGAGACCGCCTGATGGCCTTCCTGGATCAGCTCCGGAACCGGAAACTAATGATAACCTGCTGTTGTACGACAACAACAACAAGGGCTTCGAAAGAATCCAACACCGCAACAGGAACAACACCAGACATGGATGAAGGAGGGAGAGCAGCAGCAGGGACGGCGGCAGCAGCAGGGGCGGCGGCTGCAGTTGAGGTGGTTGAGGGCGGCTGGCCGAATCTGACTCCGGATGAGGCGGTGTGTTGGCGCTACCCGCCCCTGGAGTACTACTGGGGGGGTGGGGCGGGGGCGGGAGTGGGAGTGGGGCTGGCTAGGAGGGGTGGCAGAGAGGGGGCATGGGATTGGAGAAGGGAAGGAGGGGGAGAAGGGGAACAGGAGGAGGAGGAGGGGTATGTGGGAGGTGGAGGCTGGAGGAGGGGTGGCGGTGGTGGTGGTTGGGGAGGGGAGAGGGGACAGCAGGAGGCGGGGGAGAGGGAGATGGAGGCGATGATGGCTTCCTTTGATGATGCGGGGGGTGAGGGGGATGGGGGGCGGGATGGTTGGAGGGATGAGGGTGGAGGGGTTGGTGGTAGGGGAAGCAGGGATGGTTGGGGTTGGGATGCGGGACGTGAGGGGCGAGGCGGCGCCGGTGATCGCTGGGCAGGGGGTGGCAGTGCGGGTTGGGGCGATGTGGGTTTCGGAGCGGACAGGGGGAGCGCGGGAGAGCGGTGGAGTGAGGTGGGTGGGGACGGAGGAGCCGTGGGAGGTGGTAGCAGGGCGAGGACGAGGGGTGGGGCAGGGGCTGGCGCTGCGAAAGGCAATGATGATGGCGATAGTGGTGGTGGGGAGCGACCTGCACAACTGCTGCCGGGACTGTTCGATTGATATTATCGATAGTGCTCTGTGGCAGTTTGATGCCGTTGTCGACTTCCTCGCGCAGCCATGTCCTCCGCCATGTCCGTAGTGGCACTCGTGTTTGCAGCACGATCGACGACTTTGCAATAACACACATATTTGTTCGTTTTGGTTAATAATTACTAACGCTTGACGCAAATGGCGCAACCCACGGACTTTCCAAGTTGCCGTAGGCCGACCGCAAAAATTCCCCTAACAGGTAACCACAGTTCTTTGCAATTCTTTACTTCTGAAGCCTTTGAAGTAAGCCATGCAGCTAAACTATATATAATGTGTGAATTTAGTGCTTGCAATTGAATAAGATGGAGCCAGCCTCGATTAGTGGACGCAATTTGCTTGCCGGGAGCGAGCTTGCTTACCTGAACCGTGTATCGTCTATAATTGGAAGGTATGTAGTAGTTAGTTGGCATTTTGCTGTCTTTTCCGCCGCCGAAGACCCTCACGGTGCTCAGCGCTGAGACACTATTCTCGCTTACCTTCAGGTTCAAGCATGCACGCGAAGTACTGGTGCATCAGGTATGCTTTTGGGTTTAATTTCGCTGCGAATTCTGTTCAGTTATGCCACTCGCGAGTTGCAAGCTGTGGCCGTGATAAGCCGACGGTTGTGTTACGTGCCATGTCCGTAATTATAATAACAAATGCAATCGAATAAATAATTCATGTCTCACTGCGAATTTAGCTGGTTTCTCGGTCGCATGGTCCTGCGCAGAGGACCGCTTTGCCAAGTAGCCCAGCTGCTCGGCTTCGCCGGCTTTGCCGGCGGCATAAGCACGGGACGCAATGCCTGTCAGGCTCGGCTACCTCTGCGACAGGGACTCTTCGGTCTCCTCCAGGCGCAGCGAGCTCACCACATCCCCTGGTCGTCGCCAGTGCGACCAGCAAAGGAAAGCCTTCCCCAGTAGCTGCGTTAGCGGCGCTTGTTGAGGCCAATGCCTGGAGCGCGGAAGACGATTCCACGCGACTACGTCATTTAGCCGCTGTCGACACCAATGGACCGCTGCTGCAACATGTCTCCATCGGCGCTGGCAGCCATGCCAGTGCCGTACAAACGGCCAGCGGCGCCGGCCGCGTCATCACCACTGCTGCCACTCCACCGGTGTTAACACGGCCGGTGACGTCACCCGGAGCCACGTCAGCAGCACTCGCTATTCCTGGACGTACGACAAACACCAGCGCTGCCGCTTCCGCTGCCGCCTCCGCCGCAGCTGCCCTAGCGGCGCTGCCTTCCCGACGTCCTCCCGCCTCCGCCGCAGCAGCACCCCCGCCGTCAGCACCTCCCGGCCTCCCTTCGTCGTACAGCCCCCTCCGTACAGCCCCCAGTGCCGGCCGTCCCGGTGCGGTTGCGGTTGCTGTCGTTGACGATGTCCTCGACATCAGCCCTCCAGACGACGTCTTTGACCTTGACGACCGCAGCTACGATGACCTCCTGCTAGGCTCTTATTCCATGTCTGCTTCCCAGCCGCCGCAGCAGCGGCAGCAGCAGCAACAGCAGGCGTCTCGAGTGCCCCAGGCTCCACTGCTGCCGCCCTCGCGCCCGACAGGCATCTCAGAAGCGGAGTTGCGGCGCCAGATGGCGGCGTGTGCGGATTGGCCCGAGGTGCAAGCGCTCTTCCGTACACTCATGAGCAGCAGTAGCAGTAGCAGCAACGGTACAGACGGCGGCGTTGATATGAATGGTACGGCGGCGGCTGGTGGCGCTGTCATCGGCTCCGAATGGGCTCCGAATGGTACGGCAGCCGCTGCAGCGGCACCAGCAACCACACCAGCAACCACACCAGCAGCAACAGCAGCTGACGCCCTCCGCGGCCGGCAGCTAGTTGAGATGGTACGGCACCTGGCCCGCATGCCGCGTCGCCGTACATTCGCCAAGTTTGAGGACGAGCGGTTGCATGAGTTCGTACTGCAGGTGGCGGAGGCGACCTTGCCGTACCTGCCTGCATTGCACAAGGTTGGTTGGTTGGGTGGGTGGGTGGTTGGTTGGTTACGTGTGTGGGTTTTAACGTATGTGTCTCCTATAAGACGTGTATCACGCGTGGGAATGGGAGAAAGGGCGGGCGCTCCGCTCCCCGAGGCCCTTTCACTCAACGTGCCAAGAAAACCCACACGCATCCCCCCACCCGCCTCATCCTCCCGCCCTCCTCATCATAACTCCCATCCCCCCCTCCTTCCCTCCCTCCCTCCCTCCCTCTTCCAGACCGACCTCTGCGGGCTGCTGTGGGCGTTCGGCCGGCTGGACATGCACCCGGGGCACCTGTTTGTGGAGGAGGTGTTGGCGCTGCTGCAGCCGCTGCTGCGGCGCTGCGGACCCACGGGTCTGTCGCAGACGCTGTGGGGCCTCGCCCGCATGGGCCATCTGCCCTCGGATGCCTTTTTGGCCGACTACTTCGCCTCCTTTGAACGCTGTCTGGAGCCGTCCTCCTCCGACCCTAGGAGTGGTGGTGGTAGCGGTGGTGGTTCCAATAGCTGTGCTACTGCTACAGCTGCCCCGGCTGCTACTGCCGCAGCTGCGAGTAGACAAAATGGCGGCGGTAAAAGAGGAAGCAGGAGCAGCAAGGGTGACGGTGGTGGTGGTGTCGATAGTTGCAGCGGTAGCAGTAGTAGTATCCCAGCAAGCGAAGGCGCAGCTCCGGCATCCTCCTCTTCCTCCCATGGAAGGGAGGACACCGAAGGCGGAAGCGAAGGAGGCGGAGGCGGTGCTGCACGCTGGGGTCACACGTGCACCGTGAACCCGCAGCATGTGTCCAACCTGCTGTGGGGCTGTGTGCTGTTGAAGCTGCGGCCGCCGGGGGGGCTGGTGGCGCGGGCGTTGGAGCGGGTGCGGGAGACCATGCAGGTGAGTGGGGGGAGGTGGCGGGGGAGGGGGGGGGTACAGGGGTGCGGGGGTGGTGCAGGTGGTATTGACTATGGGCGTGGCAGTGCGGCGCCAAGGCGGTTGTGATGCTTTGGACTTGTTGTGTTGAGCTAGGCTTCTCTTCCAACACACCTCTTCCTCCCTCCATGCACTCCTCTATGCTGCTCCATTCCTTACCCCCCTGCTGCGCTCCCCCTGCCCACCCCCCTTTCCCTCCCTCCCTCCCCGGCCCCCAGTCCGCCTCCCCTCAGGCGCTGGCGCTGGTCTGCTGGGCTGCCGTACAACTGCCGTGCCACGCTGGAGCGGCCCAGCAGCAGCAGCCCCAGCAGCAGGGGGCCGAGCAGCAGCCCCAGCAGCAGCTGTCGGGCTCTGATCGGCTGTTGCTGCCGGAGGGATGGTGGCGGGATGTGGAGGCTGCGGCGCTGCGGCTGCGCGGGCAGCTGCGGCCGCAGGACGTGTCGCACCTGGTGTGGTCCATGGCTCGATGCGGGTACCGGCCGCCGTACCGCTGGTTGCACCTGGTGTGCTGCCAGGTGCACTGCCTGCTGGGGGAGTTCAGGCCGCAGGTGGGATAGGGGGGGAGGGAGGTGGGGGAGGGGGAGGTGGGGGGCAAAGAGGGCTTCTTGGGGTGATTGTTGAGGGTACGGGAGGTAGCTTCAGGGCGCTGCTGAAGCGGTGGTGGTGGGATGGGGGTGGGGACTGGGAGGGAGGTGGGAAGGTGGAAGGTGGGTGAGGCGCGCAGCCCCCGGCGCTGGCCGCATGCAGCTCCCCCTTCCATGCCACCTCCCCAACACCCCTTATGAACAACACCACCTCCCCGCCCCTCTCCCTTGTCTCCCCTCTTCCTTACTGATACCCCTCCTCCTCCTCCTCCTCTCCCCCCCCCCAGGAGCTGTCCAACCTGCTGTGGGGCCTGGTACACAGCGGCTACCGGCCCGCGTCCGCCTGGCTGACGGGGATGGCGCAGCGGGGGCTGGATGTGATGGGGGGGTTCAAGGTAAGGGGGGTGGGGGGGGGAAGGGGTGTGGGTAGGGGGAGGGAGGGGGGGATATATGAGAAGTGCAGCAACTGGACGCCCAGGGGGGGGGCGGGGTGAAGAGAAAGAAACGGTGAACTTCGACGACCGTTGGTTGGGGGCGGGGGGCGGAGCAGGACGGAGGGCGGGAGGAGGAGGAGGAGGACGAAACAATCCCCCCCCACCCGATGTCACTTTCTCCTCTCAGCCCACCTTCTTCATCCCACCTCCTCTACCACAAGCCATTCAATCCTTTCTCCTCCTTTTCCACCCAATTCCCACCCCTAACCTGCACCCCCCCCCCCGCCCGCACAGGCCTTTGAGCTGGCGGTGTTGCTCTGGTCGCTTGCCTCCCTGGAGGCGGGCCCGCTGCTGCCGCCCACCTTTGCCCGCAGCCTCTTCTTCCACTCCGCTCCCAAGCTGGGCCTCTTCAATGCCCAGGTGGGGTGAGGTGCGGGGTGCTGGGGTGCTGGGCTGGGACGTGTGCGTTGGGTGTGGTGTGGTGTAGGGTGGGGTGCGGAATGCGGAGTGGAGGTGAGCAATATAACCCCGCACCTCCTTTTCTGCATGCTCACCTACCCAGCCATCCCATCGGACTCCTTTTCCACCCCCCTTGAGTCGGCCTCACCCCACCTCATCCTCACCCCCACCCCACCCCAGTTTTCCTTATTTTTACCCCACCCCCCACCTCACCCCCACCCCACCCCCCACGCCCCCAGGACTGCTCCAACTTCCTGTGGTCTCTCGCCAAGCTGGATCTGCGGCCGCCCGACTCCTGGCTGGCCGCCTTCGTGGAGGAGAGCTTCAGCCAGCTGCCGCGCGCCACCCCGCAGCACCTGGCATGCATGGCCTGGGGGTTTGCCAAGCTGAGCCGGCTGCCTCCGGAGCCGTGGTGGGACAGGTGGGTGGGTGGATGAAAAGATCATATAAGTGAAACAACGAGTCCCAATCCCATATCCCGTGAGCGCATCCCGAATGCGTGAGCGCATTCGAAGACACTATCCTAGAAGCACGGATGTGCCGGGGCGGTGCCGTGGGGGGAATGAGAAGGAGGTGAAGCCATACGCTGCGACAGCAACGTCCCTCCCTCCCGGCCCCACTTCGGGTACCCCTCTTTTCCCCCGCCCTCAGGTTCTTCCTGGAGAGCCGGCCGCTGCTGCTGAGCTTCAAGTGCTGCGAGCTAGCCATGACGCTCATGGCGTTCGGCATCTGCCGAGTGGCGCCGCCGCGGCAGTGGATCAACCAGCTCATGCTGGCATCGCATGCAAAGCTGGAGGTCTGCAGGTGAGGGTCGGTGGGGTAACAGAGGAAAGGAATAACTAACCGTGTGATGAGGCATCATCATGGTTTGGCACATGTGAGCCAGCCCGGGTGGGTGGTGGTTGGTGGTGGTGGGACTGGTAGTGGCGGTGCTGCAGTGGTGACTTCCAAGTGGTTTTCAGACGGTGAAGCGCTTATGTTGGTTAGCTGTGGAGCTGGTCTGTTTAGAGCTGACCTACAACATGCAGCTCGTCCTAGTGTGTACGCATGTACTATGTATCCGTACGAGCCAGGTGTGTGGGTTTGGGTTACCACAGTGCATTCCGACTCGCGGCTTTTAATGTACCCTCCGCTGTACGGCAACCTTCCATGCACGCTGCCCCACACAGGCCCCAGGAGCTGGCCAACATACTTTGGGGGCTCTGGCGCATCGGCTACCGACCCGCGGGTCACTGGCTGGCCACCGCCGCCGATGCAGCCTCACGCCATGCCGTACGCGACGCGTTGTCGTACAGGGATCTCGTCACGTTGGATCGCGCCTTTGCAAGTTTCGGAGCAACGCTACCGAAGGAGGTGCAACAGGCTTTAGAACGATCCAAGGAAAAGGAGGAGGCGGCTCAACTGGAGGCTGCTGCTGCGGCTGCTGCTGCGGAGGCGGCTGGGGCGGAGGCGTCAGCTGGGGCCTTGGCTGACCTGGACCTGGCGATTCTAGAGCTGGAGGGCTCCGCGGAACGAGAAGGAGGAGGAGGAGTCAAGGAAGGGGGAAGCGACAGCGGTGGCGGTTTGGGTTCGCAGCCTTTACCGGTATTACCGGCTGTGGCGGCTGCTGCTGTGGCGGCTGCTGCTGCTGCTGCTGCTGCTGCTGCTGCGACACCTGCCACTGCCCCAGCTGTTCTGGGTGCTGCTGCTGTCTCCGTGGGCGCCCCCGTGGTGGGCGGGGTGCGTGCGGGGAAGGAGTCGCAACCGGCACACCAGCCAACACACCAGCCAACACAGCAGCAACAACAGCAAAGCCAGCAGGCCATGCCGCAGCAAGGGAAGCAGCAGCAGGGGCAACCCAAGCAGCAACAGCAGCAGGGGCAAGCCAAGCAGGAGCAGCAACCCAAGCAGCAGGAGCCGCTTCAGCAACCCAAGGAGAAGCAAAAAGGGCAACCCAAGCAGCAGCAGCAGCAGCAGCAGGCGCAACCCAAGCACCCTGCTGGCAAACCGACACCACAGCCGCAGCAACCCAACAAGCAGCAGGGGCAGCAACCCAAGCAGCAACAACAACCCAAGAAGCAGGAGCAGGTGCAGGGGCAAACCCAGCAGCAACAGCCGCAGCAGCAGCAACCGAAGAAGCAACCTGAACAACCAAAGCAGCAACAGGAGCAAGGTAAACCGACGTCGCAGCCGCAGCAAGGGAAGCAGCAGCAGGCGCAAGCCAAACAGCAGCAGCAACCCAAACAGCAACAGCAGCAGCAACCTAAGCAGCAACAGGCGCAAGCCAAGCAGCAGCAAGAGGGGCAAAGCAAGCAGCTTCCTGCCAATCCGACGCCACAGCCGCAGCAGCCCATGCCACAGCAGGGGCAAGCCAAACCGCCTCCGCCTCCGCCGCAGCAACAACAGCAACCAAAGAAGCAGCATCAGGGGCAAACCAAGCAACCGGAACAAACCAAGCAGCAGGTGCAGGGGCAAACCAAGCAGCAACAGTCGCAGCAACCCAAACAGCAACAGGAGCAAGCTAAACTGACCTCTCAGCCGCAGCAGACAAAGCAGCAGGGGCAAGCCAAGCTGACTCAGCAAGAGGAGCGACCCAAGCAGCAACAGCAAGCCCAGCAGCAGCACGGGCAACCTAAGCAGCAGCAGCAGCAAACCAAGCCCGTGCAGCACACCAAGCAACAGCAGCGACAACCACACGGCGCGCAAGTCATACAACAGCAAACACCTCTTCCGGAGGCAGCGACAATGGCTCCTCCCTTGGGACAGCTGGCTGGCACTGCCGCTTCCTGCATGCCTCCAAGTGAGGGAGCGTCACCGGCGGTGGATGCACTCGCCTTGATGCAGCAACAGAGCTCCTCCGCGGGGGTCTCCCTCGCACTGCCGACGCCCGCCACTTCCCGCTGCTGCCTCCCCGCTACCTCGTCCATCCCCATCACCTCCTCCTCCTCCACAGCTGCTGCTGGAGCTTCAGCTTCTGTTGCTGATGATGCTGTTTCTGACGCTTCTGCTGCTGCTGCTATCCCCGAAGCTGCCCAGACTTCAGCAGCTGCTGTCGCTGCTGCTGCTGCTACCGGTGCTGCCGAGGAGACAGCGGCGGCTGCTCCACCGGCCTCGGGGGCGAGCAGCGCGAAAACCGGTGGTGCGGCAACGTCGCCGTCACAACATTATGCACAGCTACAACAACCGCCACCACCACCGCCAGATGCCGCTGCGACGACCGGGCCTAACCAGGCTGCAGCAACAGCGACGGCCAGCGAGGGCACAACCGCTGCAACGGCGGCGGCAGCAGCAGCGGCAACCGCAGCAGCAGCAGCCACCGCATCTGTCGATGTTGGCTGCGAGAGGGAAGGTGGTGGTGTCATCATCGTCACTGTCGACGCCGCCGGCGACACCGCGGCTGCTGCTGCCGCGCCTGCGCCGCCGTCCCCGGAGGAGCTCTCCAAGAAGGAAAGTGCGAAGGATCGGCGACGGAAGAAGCGCCAGGAGGACCGCCGGGAGCGACGGCGGCCGGGTGCCGCAGCAGGCACCAGCAGCAGCAGCAGTGTGGCTGCCGACGCCGCTGCGGATGCTGACGCGGTCGCCAATGTCTTATCGGAGCCGGCGGATTTGCAGCAGCAGGTGGCAGCAGACGTGCCTGCTGCAGCGGGGACAGGGGCACCACCGGCGTTGGCGGATGCCAGTGCGGCGCCAGCAGCAGCCTTGGGACAAGAACTGATGAAGGCCGAGTCGGCGGTGCTGCTGCCGCCAGCAGCGGGGCTGGCAGGAGGCGACGCGGCCTGTTGCAGCGGCCTGCCCGTGTCGCTGCAGCCCCGTCCTCCGGCATCATCTCCTTCTTCACCTCCGCTTCAGCTGGAGCCTGCTGGTGCTGGTGCTGGTGCTGCTGGTGCTACTGCGGCGGCAGCGGCAGCAGACAGCAGCACTGCCGCTGTTCTGCACGAGCATGCGGGAGTAACAGCTGCTGCGGTGAATGAGTTGATTCAACAGGCGGCGGAGGAGGAGGCAAAGGCTGCTCGCTTGGGAGGCGAGAGCATCAGCGCTGCCTCCGGCGCTGCTGTAGATGATGGCCGGAGTGCAGGAGCAAAGGGCGACGGGGAAGTGTTCGTGCGCCCGTCTGCGGCTCGTGCCGCCGCTCGGCAGGAGGCTCGTCGACGTGCGTTGCGGCAGGGGCTGCGGCAGGAGGTGGAACCGGAGTGAGAGTGAGAGAGGGCGCCGCGTGTGTGTGTGCTTAAGCGTTGTAATCTAGCCCCTCTGTGTGTATGTATGCAATGGATGAGCTGCAGATGCAGTTTGCAAATGCTCCTGGGTTGATTGGCGTGGGTAGCTGAGGGATGCTGGACCGGCGGGCAGGTGGGCAGGCAGCGGTAGAAGTCTTGGCAGCAACTGAGCGGTGTGGAATGTAGCCATGAACAAGACGGCCGGGTGAATGGTGGCCTCTGGCTTGTGATGGCGCTGGTTGGCTCTCTTGGCTTGCGGTGATCTCTGACTGTGAGGCTGATTGGAGTCATGGCTGCTTGGCAGGACTCCCATGCCGATGCTGGCCTCGTCCGTCAGGAGTATGGGGGCCTTCTCTGATGGGGCCCAACGCAACAATGGGTAATGCGGCATGCATGCAACACCGCCATTGGATTTGATTGCTGTGTACAATGCAGTACCAATGCAGTACAAGCAGGTGGCAAGGAAACAGTCGACACAAGCACATGTGACCGCACTGCCGCACATGTTACCGCACTGTCGCAGCCGCCGCTGATCAGCCCTCTTGGGTGGCTGTTGTCTTTGCTCAGCTTGTCAGCCCGCGTGCCGGTCATAACCACGTGCGTGTGTAGTTCTTAAACCTGAACCGCCACAGGAAACACTGTCTGGTCCGCACAACCTTTTTGCTCGTTCCCAAGCATTCGCAGGAATAATTGACGGCACCCCTTAATTCAGGACCTCGTGGCTCGGATTTTTAACGAGAAAAAAATCGGGTCCCAGGGTTGCTACATGATTAGGAGGCCATGGTTCACATGGCATGGTGCTGGCAACGACAGGGTGCAGGGATGCGTGCCTTGCATAAGGTGCTGTTCGGAGGCACAGAAACCTGGCTTTCAGTTGCAGCGAGAAGGAAGTCGGGGCCTGGCCAGACCAGGAATGCCACTTGGGTCCCATGGAGCGGGCCAGGCCAGGCCGTCTTTGATTGACCTATAAGCAGGCGCCCGTATTTGGAAAGAAACTAAGATGCTTAATCGCGATCAAAGGTTGGGAAAGGTACTTCCGCGCGCTTCTTACGTAAGTTACAGCTATTGCATTCTACGAAGGTGGGTCTCTTAAATCTTCATGGGCCAATGCCGCTTGTGCAAGCATCAAAATGCGTAATGCACCATGGCTGACTTGCAACCAAGTGCTTGCACTCTGTCTACACTTTGTAGAAAGCAGGCCCTGTACCGCGTTTACCACAGAGACACAGAAGGTCTAGCGGTTAACAACGATTGCACGGGCACTTAGGACAACGTGAGGAAGTTGACGGACATGACGGTACACTGTACGAAAGACATGTGTCAGGCAGCAGCCGACGCAGTAGCATAGTACAGTCCACGACTTCGGAGCTAGCAGGTGGGTTGCTATAGGCCGCAGTAGCACAGAGTTCCTAGCCCCTTGCGAATGGCGAAGTGGCCGCTGACATACTATAGGTAGCGAACTTGGGTCGCTATACCAGATAGTGACCTTTACTTTTCATACCTATTTTGCCTTTATTAAAGAACATTTGTAATATCTGTTTACAGCTGTTACTCAACCTATAGATATTCTTGCTGATTTTGAAGTGTTGGCTCAAAGGCTGTTGTAGCAACTACTCGACTTTCGAAGTCCCTGACAATGTATTTCTGTAGAACTCAATTACACACTGCTGGGCTAGTCACATTGCTTGTACTTTCCCTTGCGTTGAACTGTCAAGCTGCTCGACCAAGCGCGCCATGGATCGGGGCGGGCGAAATCATTGGCAAAACTCGCCGTCTTCTCCAGACCACTGGCGCTGAGTGTATTGTCAAAGGTATGCCAACAATCCAAACCGCCGGAGTGTAGGCTGACAGTAAAGGGTGTTGTCTTGGTTACATTTAAAAGCAATTTCCCGGGCGCTGCAGGCACTGCCAAGCTTGACATCACAGGAGGCATGTACTTAAGAGGAAGTAACGGGCTAAAATGGTCATTAGCCTGGTCTTCTTCTCCAGCGGGCGTTGGCGCGCTCGTGGCAGGTGCGGGCAGCGAAGTGGATGGGTCAATGGAGACTAGCGCTGGCCGCACTGCGGTGCTGGATGGGAAAGAAATCTAGTCACGGTGCATCTCCTTGGCCTTTAACGGTTAAAACTCCTGATTGGGTCGATTTTATTCTCCGTTGTTAACGGCGGCTAGGGTTGACCGGCGACGCACGGGCAAACATACTTCAATTACTTATCGAGGTGTACCAATTAAACTATTTACTGCCCATTAATACCTGCTATTTGTTCTACGTGTTGCATATGCTACATATATAGTTTTTCTGCCCTATCCTGCTAAGGCGCCGCGGTCTTCATCAAGCACCGCCAAACGACTTCCTTCGCCCATCTCACGCCTTTCCAACCATGTCGCCGTTATCGCCATTCATCCACCCCCACACGCCAGGCAATCGCCTCAAGGTGGATGGCAAGTGCGACAAAACCACCAAACCCTTCACGCTCTGGGCCAGACGCATCACACTAGTTGCAGCGGGCAGCACAACACCAGGAAGCGGCAGCAACAGCAGCAGCAGCAGCAACAGCACCAACACTTACAACAGCAGCAGTACTTCTGGCGACAGCTGGTGGTACGGTAATGTTACAGAGTTGACCCTTCCTCCTGCGGTTCCTCCAAGCTCTCCTCCACCACCACCACGCAGGGTGGGTGAAGGGCGGGGGTCATTACGGGGGAAAGAAGGAGACGTAACACCAATTGCTGTTGGAGCTGAAGTGGTGGTCTTTGGTGAAAGAATCCTCGGTGAATGGCTGCAAGTGACCCGAGCCGAACATACATAACATAACCGAATAACTGACCACGAGGCGGAACGTACTGTGATAGGGTGTGTTAAGAAAACTAGGGTGTGTATGCGTGTGCCAGCAAACGGGCGAAAGGGCATCCATTCCATACCCGGTTGTGCAGCCCATCCCGGCAGCACCCGACCTCTGCACCCCTCCCTCGCCTTGTTTCCGCGGCTTTACAGGTAGCCAGGCGCCTTCCACCGCCCCCAATTCAGACAAGCGACGCGTCCCCACCACCGCCCACGGAGCCCTCACAACCGCCCTCGCTGCCGTCGCCGGCGCCGCCGCCGCCCTCGCCGCCTCCGCCGTCCCCGCCTCCCCCACCTCCCTCGCCGCCACCACCGCCACCTCCCTCACCAAGCCCGGGGCCGCCGCCTCCTTCCCCACCTCCGCCTCCATCCCCACGGCCCCCACCATCTCCCAAACCCTCACCGCCTCCTAAGAAAAGCCCCCCTCCCTCTCCGAACCCGCCACCTCCGCCTCCCTCACCGTCGCCGCCGCCATCTCCCTCACCGCCACCTCCCTCGCCGCCTCCTTCAACTCGGCCGCCTCCGCCCACTGGCGATGTGGGTGGCCTGTCGAACCTGGACGCCTGGCCACCTCTTCCGCCCGCCAGCAAGACGGTTTACAAGCTGAACTCATTGGTCATGGCGATGGATTTGTGCGGCGAGAACGCGACCACCGACATGCGTGTAGTGCAGGTGGGTGGTGGGTGCGTTCGCAAGAAGAGCAGCGAAGGTGTGTGCCTTACGCGAGCGGTTTGAGGGAGGCGCAGTTGGAGGTTGAAGCTAGGGAAAGAGTATGGCTGTGGTTGGGTGCATATGCAGGCTGGTGGGATAGGAATGAGCTGGGTAGGAAGGGAAGGGCAAGGTAGGGTAGGGTAGGAACGAACGCGCCGCCGGCACCGTGTACCGCAAAAAGCCTTTGCTTTCTCAGTTTTGCTCGTCGGTAGCAGTCCTATTCTTTACTGCTGCTTCTCTTACTTCGACAGGAAGCATGTGCCCCTCTGAGTCCCCCCTTTCTCGGCTTCTCCCTTCTTGGGTCTGTCTGTCTGCCTACACGCATGCACGCACACAGGACCTCTGGTCGACCGCCCTTCCCGCCTTCTTCTACAATGCATCCTTCGGCGCCGTGACCGTACCCGTTGACCCGCAATACAACCGCGTGTTGCACACACACGCCAAAGTGGACTGCTCAGGTGGGCCTTGCCCTGCCGTTAAGATCAATAATGCCGCCATGTCATCATGGAATGGATGATCGCCCTCATCCTCATCATCCATCACATCCCTCACCAACATCACACCGCCACACCCGCCGCTCTTACCGACCGCCGCACGCCCCCGCCACCGCTGCCACCGCAACTTGTCTTTACAGGTGTGACCTCCAAGGGCGTTCCGTGGAGCGCAACCGGCTCTGTGGACGACGTGTCGCGGCTAGGCTGGGCGGAGGCGGCAGATGCCTACGTTGCCAAGGTACAGTTGGCCGTACACAGTTCAGTTGCGCGTCCTCGGTTGCATTTGTTGTGATGTTATTCTCCATGTCATAATGCCATACATTTTATACATGGCTTAGCACTTTGACTCTTTGCGCTTTGCGTACACGCTCATGTGCAGCTCTCCCGCCACTCTAACGCCACAAAAGCGCCTGTTTGTCGACAAGCACATGTGAATCCGTTTGTGGGTCGGTTGACTCTACAACCAACTGCAATTACCGCCCCTTTGCCTCCTTCCCCTTTACGCAGTACTTGGGTGTGGACCCCAGCCAGTATCACCACCGCATCTACTTCTGGCCGCCCAGCCTCCCCGCCGTGTCCTTCGGAACCACCCAGTGCCCCTTCGACCCAACTGCAATCGTTCGAATTTGGGGTGGCGGCTACATAGGCGCCTTTGGTAAGCCCCCGTCTCCTGCTGCTGTTGCTGTTGCCGCCGCCGACACAGAGCACGCGTGTCCTGCTTTTGCTTCTCGGTCATATGGCGTGCCAAGTGACCCGTGGGTCACAAAACACATGCAGCCAGCTGCAGAGCGTGCATCCTTCCTCACACCCCTACAAGCCTTGCCCACCCGCCCCTTGTCGTATACCTTACCTCATCACTCATGTATGTCGTACCCTACTGCCCCCTCGTGCCGTGTCGTACAGTTAACATGGACAACATCGTACATGAGCTGGGTCACAATCTTGGCTTGTACCACTCCAAGGCCTATAACGACCAGGGCACGATCGACGAGTACGGCGACACGTCATGCCCCATGGGCGATGCGGGCGCCTTCCCGGTTCACTTTAACGCACCTCAGAGCATTGCGCTGGGCTGGACCAAACCCCAGGCCGTGCTGCGGGCCAGCAACCTAGCAGCTGGTGAGACAAGGAAGACCCGTGGGTCGCAACTGATTAACTGCCGCTATGCATTCGCTCTGAACGCCTCCATGCATGGGCCCTGTTCTACCTACCGCTTCCCTCCTCCTCACGTTCCTTAGCTTAGCGCCTCCTCAGTTTCTTCCTCCGAAACCACCCCGGCATATCGATACGCGTCCCTCTCCTGCCAGGCAAATGGAACAGCTACAAGCTCCGAGGCATCGCCGACTCGCCCGTCAGCTCGCTCCAGATCTTCCCAGACAGCTGGATGGCGTTCAGTGCCTGGACCTACCACGCTCAGATCTACGTCAGCTTCCGACGCTACTTGCCCAACAACACGGACTCCGCGCTCCGACCCCAGTACCGCAACAAAGTCCAGATTCACTACTTTGCGCCCAGCCCGCTGACCGACATGTGTGTTTCGCCGTACCTGCTAGCCACCCTGGACCCCGTGTCTCAGCCCGTGTGGCCCCGGCCCGGCAGCAGCTTGCCCCAAGACAAACTGTCACCGCTGCTGGTGGTGCGTGTGAGCCAGGTGGACGAGACTGTGGGTGCGGCCGTCGTGCTGGTTTGCAGGTAGGGAGGTGCTGTAAGGGGTGGGAGGTGCGTGTCACGGATGGCTGTATGGCCGGGAGGGATAAAAACAAGGAAACTGATGAACTGGTCGGGAGGGCCAATGTGGGTCCAATGTGAGTGCCCTGTAATGACAAATCCATGAGTTCAAAGGGATGATGGGTTCGGGTTCCGGGGAAGGCCGTGTCGATGCTCCTTGTTTGAGAGGGTACTCCTCTTACGCTGTCCTGCGGTACGGTGCAGCTGGTGTTGTTGTTGTTGTTGATGCTAGTCGTGACACTCACATGTGCTTCTGGCCATGACTGGTAACCGCAGGGCGCAACAATCCGCAAAGGAGACGGGAGCCCAATGTTACGACGGTTTGGATAACGACTGCGATGGATTGGTGAGTCAAACGTGGTCCTGTCAGTACAACATACGTCGGTCGTCATCAGCGTGATTCATGATTAGGACAGGGGGAATCAAGCCATTGAAATTGCGCATGTAGCTGCAGTTGCGAACCACCTGTACACTGCAAACGTTTTTTTCTGACTAAGGGATTCAGTTACAGGTACCTGCCGTACAATGCTCAATAAGAATATGGCACGTGATGCATTTGCCTGCTCAATGCCTGACCTTTGCCGTACGCTTTACCGAATCGCTGCATCTCATTGCGTATCGCTGCCGGCCCCCCGCTTGCCCTGTCTCCTCAGGTCGACAACTGCTGAGAGGGCAAGGCGTCCTTGCAGCGCTTCTGCTTCAGTCATCAACCGAAGAGTCTCCATGCCATGCCCTTCCTGACGGCCATCATCCCAGCGTTCATCGAGAATCGTTATGCACCATGCCAATTAATGTGCCGTTTTGGTCAACGCATGATAAAGGCTGCCACGCAATTTGTATTGAATGGCGACTGATTCGTCCTCATCATCCCCCAACAGTCGAGGCAGAGAAGCCATAGCTTCTAGAGTGTTGTTTGCTAGTTGAGTGGTGTTTGATGGTATGAGAGGGATTGGTGAGGTTGGTGGTTAAATTTGCTGGCCTTAAAGATATCTAGCTATCTTCCGAGATCAATGATTGGAGTAACGTTTATACACCCGAAGAACGTAAATTAGGTCCGGGTCTTCGTGTGTATATCTCGTCTTAGGGTGAGGTTGATACGTTGCTCGTTGAGCATTGCACCACATTTTCCTATTTTACATGACTGCTCCTCTTGCCGTGAACATCCTAGCGTCCTTTTATCCACATACACCTGTAGATGTGTTAGGGTTGTTTGGGGCCTTTAACGTTTCAAATTTTGGTTCATTGTTAGATGGGCAGTTTGCAAAGCAACAACATACCATGAAGATAAGAGAAGAAATAAGGCATTCATTGCTTACACCTTTGGTTCTGTGCCGTCTTCCATCGGCTTGATTTTTCTTCAACCCTTTCTTGACATCCTCTCACTGTTACAGGTGCGGCTGACACACTGCCGATATTTTGTGTGCTTCCGTATACATGCAAACGATTATTCGTAACAACGTATGTGGGCTGTGAGCCCTGATCCAGTGTGAACCCAGATGGGGCATCGTTCGTACATTTTTACGACTTGTTGTGTCGTCACTGTTGTATGTACATTTACGTACTGTGTGCGGATTCAGCATTGCAGCTTATCTCGCAGTGTTTTAACGGGCATACTACGTCGTCTGATCATCAGCACCAAGCCACACAGCTGCCGTGCACCATGCCGTGCATGCGCCCTGCATGTCATTGGGCCCTGGCGAGTACCTGTAACATCCAGCAGGTGTTGAGTGTTCAGATGTCCACGTGCCCACAAGGCGTGTCATAAGCGCATTGTAACCAACCGCTGGCCTAATAAATACACGCTCATGTGCCATGCAAAGCCGGGGTTAGTGCAAGTGGCAGAAGTAAGGTGTGCTGTTGTACAGGGGCACCGGTGACCCATGGGTCAACGTAAGCGCGTGTGGCCCCCTGCACTCTTTCCTTGGCTCCCTTACGTACAATTAAGCGGAAAAAATATACAGCAAAACACGGTGTCGTCATCGCCACATTCGGTTTGCCATACCGGATGGCTTGCCATAAGGATGGGGGCCTCCTCCCTCCTGTGGTACTCCTACATAAACTGGACACGCGGTCAGCCGGCAAGTACCATACGGCCGGTGTCGGGTTGCCACTGAATGATGCGTGTCCTGGCACCACGCCCCAAGGCACGTGCACGCCCGCACGCGCACCCCCCTACCAACCCTCCTGCTAACCCTGCCGGTCCCCAGCACACCCCAAGTCCCCCAGCCTGTAGGTCTGCGTCCCAACTCAACCCAACACATCGAACAGCACATAGCCACAGCAACAACCTACATGTATGCATGCATCCCCTTCCCACTACCTGCTTCTTCCTACTTTCTACCTCCGCCGCCTCGCCACCTGCCCTAAAGCGTAATACTTCCTCTTCCCTTACCCTCCATGCATTTATCTACATTTTCCCACCTCCTCCCCCTAGCCTCCACCTCCCCCCTAACACGGCGTCCGCTCCTGCCACTCCCGCACCCAGCGCCACATCGCCCGGTCGATGCGCACCGCCGCAGTGGGGCCCCCCGGAACACCCGCCGTCAGCACCGCCCGGAGCACACGACGACCAGCCACCGACCCACCAGCAGGAGCAGCAGCAGATTCCTTCTCCGCTGGTCCACTGCTGCTACCGCCTCCTCCACCTCCTCCTCCCTTGTGGCCACTTGCACTGGCCGAGGTGGCGGCAGGTGGCGCCTTTTGCAGCGAGGGCGACGGCGACGGCGGCGGTGAGGGCGGTTCGTACACCCAAAGCGGCGCGCCCGATACGCCCGGTCGTCCGCGACAGTTGGTCTCAACAAAGTTATGGTTGTCGAGGTCAGCCAGGTACCTTCGACGTATGGGAAGGGGAGTTGGGGAGGGTTTGTTGGGGAAGGTTTGTTGGAAATGGTTTACCAGATTAGCCATGCATGCATGCACGCATGCATGTAAGAGGTCCTCACAGGCATGGCCGCAACCAGGGTCAGTAGCTTGCTTTGCTGCGGTGACCCCCTGCCGCCTATTACACCTCTTCACCTGCAATACTGCGCCCAAAGCACGATGGGTGTGGGATAGCCAGCGTAGTTCAGGCAGGGCGCGTCCTGGCCCAGGACAGTGCGGTTGCGGCTGCTGCCCCTGCCGCCCCTGCCCCCACCGGCATCAGCTGCGTTGTTATTGGGGCTGCCGCCGCCACCGCCGCCGCCTCCACTGCCGCCGCGGCCAGTGTCACCGTCGCGCCGGCCGGCAGCAGCATCCACCGAGGGGGAGTCGCGGCTGCTGCTGTCTCCGTCGCTGACCTCGCTGTCACCGTCACCAGCGCCACCACCGCCGCCGGCAGCGGTGCTTACTATCACAGCTACGCCGTCAACCGTCGTCACCTGGTTAATAGCGGCGCGGTAGGGTAACGGTGCGTGTGGGGACAGAAATGCCAAACTACGTTCATCGCGGATGCGCGGTGGACTTAAGACTTTCAGGGTGATGCTACAACAACAGTAACACAACAGAAGTCTAGCACCGTGCATGACCACATCACTCATTCACTGAAGTCCATCATAGTCTATGCCCTGTAGTCTCTTGCTCCCATACTTGTCAGGAAACACGGGTCCTCATCTTACCCGGTACGCTGGGGGCTCAACCGGTGGGTCCGGGGAACACACCACATCAACAACCTCCTCCCCCTCGGCAACTGCATGGCTGATAATGCTACTGCCGCTGCCTTCACTGCCGCCCTGGTTGTCCCTGCCAGTATTGCTACTGCTACTGCTACTGCTACTGCTGCTGCTGCTTAAGCCATCGCTGCTGCTCAACCTCCTGCCGTGGCCCCGACCCGGGGCCGCAGCGTTACTGGTCCTGTTACTTGCGACGGTAGCGTTTGCGTCGCTGCTATTGCTGCTGCTGCTGCTGCTGCCGACGGCACGAATGCCGGCGTCGCTGCTGTTACGCTGCACTTCTTGAGCTGCACCGCTGCTGCCCGCGCTGCTTTTACCCCCCCGTCTTCGGGCAGCTCGACAATGGCCAACGGCGCTGTCATCGGCCGCAGCCACGACAGGCATGCTGTTCCCTTTTGCGCCTTGACCCACCATCGTCCGCGCTGGGCCAGCAGCAGATTCCGTGCCTGCTTCTGGGATCTCAAGTTCAAAAAAAGGGCCCAGCTCTGCTGGCACGTTGCGAGACAGTACGATGATGCCAATGTCGTACGATGGATCCCCCAATCGTACGAGCTGTGGAGGTACGATTGCCGTACGGGAGGAAAACGTGCCGTACGGTGCATCTGAACCCGTCCATCCAGGTGTGAAGTCCCACGACTTCACCGGCTCCTTGGTGCTGCTACTGTTGCTGCTAACGTTGTTGCTGGTGCTGTTGTTGTTGCCTATTGCCGTGGTGCCGGTTGTAACGTTATTGCTGGTGATGCTGTTTTTACCGGTACTACTGCTGCTGTTGCTGTCCTTCTGGAAATCGAAGATGCAGTGTCCGGCTGTTAACACGTGGCAGGCGCTGATGAGCGCGCCGGTGCACCTGTGCGCGTGGGCGGGAACAGCAAGAGTAAGACCTTGGGGTGAGAACGCGAGAGGATTACACACATATGTACACGCATATGGACGGCATTGTGCGGCCTACCCCTGCTTCACCAGCAGCAGCAGCAGCAGCGGCGCTCTCTATACCGTACCGTACTACATCCCCCTCGCCTCACCTGTCCTCTAGTGACGAGGACACAAGCATCCCTATCGCCGCCAGCGACTCGTCCCCCCGCGCCCCTGCTGCACCCCTCGTCCCCTGCTGTTGCTGCTGCCGTTGCTGCTGTTGCTGCTGCCGTTGCTGCTGTTGCTGCTGCTGCTGCTGTTGCTGCGGTGTTTGTGACTGCGATTGCGACAGGGGCGGAGAGGATGCTGACGAAGGCGAAGGTGGTGATGCTGCTGCTGCTGGAGTTGACGGGGAGCTGCTGTTCAGTCGCTTTTGCCGGTTGTTGCTGCGCTCTGCCAGCAACCGCAGCGCCGGGTCGCGGTCCCGCAGGCACTGCCGACTGGCACGTAGCGACATCATAAGCGAGGAAGAAGAGGAAGAGGAAGGAGGTGATGAGGAAGAAGAGGAAGAGGGGGTGGATGAGGATGAACGGAGGGGTGGGGGAGGCGGAGGCCCCAGCTGCTGTAGCACCTTTGCCACCACCTCTGCCGCGGCGGCGGCCGCTGATGTAGAGCCGTCATCAGGAGCTACGCCAGAAGTGCTGTTGTTGCCGTCACCACCACCGCCGCCGCCACTGCCGCTGACACTGCCAGCAATGCCGCCGCTGCCGCTGACACTGCCAGCAGTGCCGCCGCCACTGCCGCCGCCGCCCTGAACAGAAGCGTCTGTAGAGTCTGTTGGGGGTTGGAGCTGAGTGTCTGGGAGGACAAACACGCCTTGGAACCGCGAGGGTGGTGGTGAAGGGACTAATCCGCCGCCGCCAGCACCACTGCCACCTCCGCTGCCTCCGCTGCCGCCATCTCTGCTGGTGGTGGTGGTGGTGGTGGTATTGCTGACGGTGCTACTGCTGTTCTGGTTGTCGCTGCTGGCAGCTAGGATAGCCCTGCCGTTCAAACGCCTTACGAAGCCGTAGGCAGGATGCAGCGGCGTAGCTGCGGCGGCAACTCTTGCGGCAGTAGCGGCGTCAATTACGGCTTCCTCAACAAACTTCGTTATCGGTCTGCTGCTCTCATCACCGCCGCCTCCGCCGTTGCTGCTGCCGCTGCTTTCAGCATTGTCATCATCGTCGTCGTACAGGATGATTGCGGCCCTCGCCGCCCAGCTGTCGAGAATGCTGCCGTGGATGGATCCGGAAAGGGTCAAGGCTGCTGGAAGGTTACTTACGGCGGCGGCAGCAACAGCAGTTGGGACTTTCTGCCATTCTGGGGCTTCCGAAGCAGCAAGCGCTACGGGGTTTGGTTTGGGAGCAACATACAGTTGTTCTTGCAGCCAAGCTGCCCCTAACAAGGCTCGGTGCATGGCTGTCTTGGCAACTGCTGATGTAATGTCCCCATCGGCTGCGAGATGGCGGGCGGTTACAGCGTTTACCGGCAGCAGAGTCATACAAGTTACCAAGAGCAAAAATAATGATGGACATATGGCTGATTGTGAAAGCCGCGGCCGTGTTGTTGGCGCAGCCAGCCAACACATCTTGCGGACCGATGGAAATGACATGCTCAGCGTGAGTATGTCCGCGGAACGACTGGCACAGTAGGGGTATGGTTCTAGCTGGTCCTAGTGCAGCAAGGTAACTTGGGCTTTCGGCAAGTGCTTAGCGCGTCCTGAACCGTAAACTGTACGCCTACAAAGGTCCCATGGGTCGTTTGCTTTGGGGCCTTTGGCTTGTAGGAGGCAGCCAATCGGACATTGAGCCAATCGCGGACGCCTAGTGTGTTTCACTCAGGCATAGCCGGAGCTCTGGTCACTACGGCTCAGTACCAATGTTCGTTGCCGTGACTATACGCATAGGGCACAAGCTGCGAACTGTTGCACGCTTTGGATCCCAGACAAACCGAGCCCTTGGCCCCAAGGGCCCCCAACCCTGCTACTTAGTGCAAGCGATATGCTGAATCACGTTGTAATGCAGGGGGCAAAAGGGCCACGTATGGCATTTCGTCATGTCCTTCCCTTCCATTAGCAGCGGCCTATCCAACAATTGCGCATGTTTTCAAACGTATGATAAGAAGTAAGGTTTGAGCTTATGTTGTGGAGGAATGCAATTGAAAGATATCACATTATCCGAGTGTTGCTCATGCCGACGGCTTAGAGCCGCTAACGCAAGGAAAGCGACAAAGATCAACTCGTAAATATGCAAAAACATCTTCTAATATAATGTTAGAGTGCGTTTAATGGTTACGACCCCAAATACATGACGGTGGCAGGCATGACGCAGCAGTGATATTAGACATTACGTTAAAGGCATTTAACGACACAATGCAATTAAGCTGCTTAGCAGGCCGGAATGGGTGCGTGCGGATTATGGGCTGTGAAGTGGTTGAATGATTGCCGTATTGAGCAAAATTACTTTTGAGGAGCCAGTCAAAACTCGCATAGCACATGCAACATGATTACCCATTTGGCATTCCTACGATGTTAGCAAAGGCATATTACGGGGTCAGGACTTTTGCGTTGCGGTGAAGCGACTCTACGGGAGCCGTTGCCGTGGGTGCTGTTCGGATTCACCATTCAGGTTGTAAGATGTTGCCCATACGGTGCAAAGCACCTGCAAATCGACAAGTTGGCGGCTCGCGCTCGCACCATCGGCGGGTGCGCGCACAATCGTCGGCTGCTTCCGGACATACTTGCTGTAATACCCGGCCCATCTCATTGGTGTGATCATGCCCCAATGCCGCAGGTGATATGCAAGGCGTTGGGTAGTTACGGGCCTTTGTCAGGTCAGTTCAGTAATGCAACTCCTTGCTGTTTTGCGTTCGCCCATATTGTCTGCACATTTTTATGCCATACTGCGCATTTATCATGGCTAAGTTATCGGGGTTTAGCACGCTAATACCTTCCCATTCCACAGAACGCGACTATGCACACCTGGAGGCCGCTGCTCGGCTGTCGGAGAGCGCAGCAGGTGCGTTGCCCCCACCCCATCGCGCCTTCCCCCATGAACCCATTGCCCATGCAGACATAGCTTGGCCACTGTTAGATCAGTGCGCATTGCGTGGTTCCCCATCCCCTGGCGTGTTTAGGCACCTGACTTTGCAGCCTACAGCAGTGCACTAAACGGCAGCGGAACCAATCACTCCTTGCAGCGCAATGTCTGCGTTCTCCAATTACCACCGCCTCCACCACCTCCTCCTCCTCTCTGTCATTCCCCGCCCCTCAACACACCCACCCAATTTGTTTCCTCTTTACCCACCCAATTCCCACCCAGGCGTCACCCAGCCGCACCCCAACGCCGCATGCATCCTGGTGGCGCCCGACGGCCGGCGGCTGGCGGGGACATACCAGCGAGCGCAGGTGAGTGTGTGAGCGCCGGGGGGGGGGCTGGCGGCGGGAAGGGAGGGTCGAGGGAGGGAGGACCGAGGGCAGGGGGAGGGAATGCGGCAGGCATGCAGCATGCATGGGAGAGTGGGAGAGAGGGGAGGGTGCATGGAAGGACATCGGCAGCCCTCCACGCACCAGCCCATGCGCACCCCTCTCCCTCCCTCACCTCCTCCCTCCCTCACCTCCTCCCTCCTCACCCTCCCTCCCTTACCCTCTCCAGGGCACCCCCTCAGCAGAGGTCCAGGCGGTCTCCGCAGCCGGCCCCGCGGCGCGCGGCGCCACCGCCTACCTCAACCTGGAGAGCGGCGACTGTCACGGGGAGGCCGCTGCGGTGGAGGCGCTGGTGGCGGGCGGAGTGGCGCGGGTAGTGGTGGGGCTGCGGCACCCGCTGCGGCACCTGCGCAGCAGGGGGATAGCGGGGTTGCGGGCGGCGGGGTTGCGAGTGGGTGAGTGGGGCGGAGGAGGAGGAGGAGGAGGAGGAGGAGGGGGTTGGAGGAGAGGGCACAGGGCTGTCCGTGTGGTCCTGCTTCCTTCATGCTCCCTTCATGGTCCATGTCCTGCTCTTCCGCTAATGCTTTTGACCACCACCAAGTCTCACCCCGAGCTGCCATCCTGTTGTCCACTTGGCTCTTCATCTCAACACGCCCTCCTTTACACGCCCTCCCCAACAAACAGACGTTCTGGCGGACGAGCTCGCCATTGGTCGCAACGGCCTCCCCTCCTCCTCTTCCTCTTCCTCCTCCACGTCCTCCTCCACCTCCTCCTCTCCCGCCCTCTCCGCCCTGGCCGCCTGCCTCGCCGCCAACGAGCCGCTGCTGCACCGCGCGGTGCTGCGGCGGCCGCTGGGGCTGCTCAAGTACGCGATGACGCTGGACGGCAAGATCGCGACCAACCTGGGGCACAGCGCCTGGGTGTCCAGTCCGCAGAGCAGGTGAGGAGGGGCCGATATGGGGGCGGCGCGGGGCGGGGCGGGCGGGAGGGAGGCTGCTGGTGGGAAGGCCTAACGGTTCTAACTCCCCCCAGCTTCTACGACTCACCCCCATCCCAACCAGGGCCCCGCTTTGCTGGGACCCCCACCTTGCTGGGACCCCCACCCCCCACCCCTCGCCTGCCCCCCCTCGCCTATCCCGACCCACCCCCAACCCAGAGCGCTCGTGTTCGAGGCTCGTGCGCGCTCGGATGCGGTGATTGTGGGCGGCAACACGGTGCGGCGAGACAACCCGCGCCTCACCACTCGGCGGGAGGGCGGGCACACGCCGGCTCGACTCGTCATGTCGCGAACACTGGACCTGCCAGAGGTGCTGCGAGGGGGGGCGGGCGGGCGGGCGGGAGGGGCGGGGAAATTATATAAGTGAAACAACGAGTCCCAATTCCATATCCCGACTCGTGGGGGGAAAGAAGAATACCCAATGTGTTGGAAGGGCGGGGACGGGCGTGGGAGGGCAAACGGGGGGCGTGGACGGGATGGGTCATGCGGCTGGCCCTGGATCCGCACACCGCTGTCGCGCGATCACCACCGCCCGGTGACGCACCGGTGGCTGGTTCCACACTCGCACCCTATCCCACAGCACCACTACCAACAACACCATCGCACGCATATTACAGTTACAGTTACAGTCTGTACGCGTGTACAGTGTGGCATGTATGGCGATCATGCCCGCAATGCATGCAACCCATGCGGGTGGAGGCCTGGAGAGGTGGAGGCCTGGGGAGCCTTGTGAGTCGTGACATGGCTAACATCTCCTCCTGAACACCACCACCACCTGCACTGCACTGCACACACGCACGCACAAGAAGTCAAGATCACACAACACTTTCGGTGGGGACATCACCTTCCCACAATCCAATACGTCCGTCCTCGCGGCCAGTTTCCTTAACACACACCCCCCCGCCTCCTCGCACCGCCGCCTCCGCAGGACGCCAACCTGTGGGATGTCACCCTCGCACCCACCATCGTGCTCACCCAACGCGGCGCGCGCAGCCGCTTCCAGCACGCGCTTCGTTCTCGCGGCGTGGAGGTGGTGGAGTTTGACTTCCTGACGCCGGAGAGTGTCGCGGATTACTGCCAGGAGCGGGGCTTCCTGCAGTGTTTCTGGGAGTGCGGGGGAACGCTGGCGGCACCCACCATCGCCTCGGGGGTAGTGCACAAGGTACGGATGATGGGTTCCACAGTGGGGATGGAGGGTCAAAATAAGCCAAACCATTGGTGACCAAGATTCAGGACAAAGTAACGGGGGTGGGAGGCTGAGGAGGGGGCTGGTTGTGAGTGCTTGATGGATGGGGGATCGACAGGTGTACTGTCGCTGTGAGACTTTTGGCTGAGCTGGGAGGTGGATAGGGTATTAACAAGTCACTCTAGCGGTAGCCACAAATGAACGTAGGCCTTTCCCTTTCTGCTATTAACCGACCTTCTCCCTCCTCCTCCTCCTCCTCCTCTTCCTTCTCCTGAACATCCTCCTTGTTCCACCCAGGTAATGGCCTTTGTTGCTCCCAAGATCATCGGCGGCCTGCGAGCTCCCACTCCGGTCGGCGAGCTGGGCTTCGTGGAGATGACCCAGGCAGTGGAGTTGGTGGACACGTGCTGGCAGCAGGTGGGACCCGACCTCATGATCACCGGATACATGCCCTCAAGCGGCGGACTGTGGGCGCTGGAGGCGACGCTAGAAGCAGCCGACGAGGCGACAGCGGCTGACGCCGCCGCCGCCGCGGCGACGTCCGTACATCTACCGTCAGTGGCGACGGCGAGTGCGGCGGCGAATGCGGCGAGTGCAGCGACGCAGTCCGCGGCGGCGGCGAGTGCGGCGCCGTCGTCATCGCAGCCGACGGCCGCCGCCGCCGCACTGACATCCACGTCGATTGCGGCGAAGCGGCGACGAGGCTTGGGCGGCCCTCAAGGCCGCTCCGTCTCCTTTTACAAGGCATGGGACCAGTGGGGCGCGCTTTCCAACTTCTCACCTCACCCCATTACCATGCCCGTAGACCCGTCGCATGTCCTTTTGGCTTCCTCTTCCGCCGCCGCCGCCTCGACTTCCATGGCCGCCGCCGCCACCGCTGCCGACTCGACAATCGCCGTACGGCAATGGCCCAGTGTGGAGCACTACTACCAAGCGCACAAGTTCTCAGGCGGACACCAGCCGGACGCGGCGGCGGTGATGGAGGCCATTGCGGCGGCGCCGTCGCCCGAGGAGGCTGCGCGCATCGGTCGCCGTACGGAACGCACTCGCCCGGAGCTCCTGCGTCGCGACTGGGCCGCCGCCAAGGTCACATTCATGCATGCCGCGCTTCGAGCCAAGTTCGAGACGCATCCGGGGCCGAGGGCCATGCTGCTGGCGACGGCAGGGTCGGCGGCGGCGGCGGCGGCGCCGTCGTCAGGGACATCGGGAACTGCTGCCGTTGCCGCCGCTGTCGATGCTTCGCATCAACAGCACCAGCAGCAGCAGCAGCAGCCGGCGGTGACGACGCCGGGTGACGGCGGGTCGGCGTGTTTCGAGCTTGTTGAGGCGAGCCCGCATGACTACTACTGGGGGGCGGGCTACGAACGGACGGGGCAGAACCGGCTGGGGCGGTTGCTGATGCAGGTGAGGCAGGGCCGGGAGGAGTGCAAGTCCCCACGTGAGAAGGGCGTGGGTACATCGTGTGGCTGTGTTGCTGCAGCAGCAGCTGTGGGGTTTGTGGGGATGGCGTACGTAAGAGTGCTTTCCGTGCTCTCTTCACTTGCTCCCGTCGGTTCGCTTTTGAATGACTGTATTGGACTGTAAAGGTATCGTATTGGGTCATTGTTCGAAACCCCGCAGCTGTCCTGTATGTCGACTCCAACTCCTAATCCATCCCAACTCTCTTCCTGTCCTGGAAAGGTCCGAGACGAGTTGCTGTCAGAGGCGTGTGCTGCGGGATGCAGCGCCGACACCGCCTGGCGCCATGAGGAGGCGCTAGCAGTGGCGGAGGCGGCGAGCGCGGCGGCACCTGCGTCGCGGGGTTGACGCGCGCCGGATGGCACGTGCGCGGATGACACGGATGGCACGCGCTGGGGTCTGGTGTCTGGCACTTGAGCCCTTTCACCCAACACCACTGATACCGAGTAGACACGACGCCGCTGGCTTCCTTCCTCTGCTGGTGCCATTCAAGGTGGTTCAGGGGATTGCGGCGTGGCTCTTCTTTCCGCATTGGAAACGGCTTTCCTCATTGGAAGCACAGGGTCTGAGGGTGGGGCTGCTGCATCATGATGCACACCCATGCAGGTCCCTGCTGTGCGGCATTCAGTTCGCATGATGTGTGCACTCCTCATGTGTGGTCTTCGCGGCGCTGGGGTGCTGCCTGGGCTGTTGTAGGTAGTAGCAGCGGGTGCAAACATGCGGCGGCATGCAGGTAGGTGGCGATATCATGTTGGCATTAGCAGCATGCAGTTAGGAGGCGCGTGCGTGAGCGCGATTTGAGGGTTTGCACTGGCCTGGCGAGGCGCGCGCGCGCGGGGGTAAACCAACAATTTGCATTTTCGCCGCGTAGTGGCAGCAACCGGGCCTGTAATGTTGCGTGGAGGGAGGTTGGTTGATGTTCTTCTTCTTCTTACGGACATGCGGCGAAGTGAGAGGACACAACTTCCCTGAACAAGCCTGAGCGATTCTTGTCGAGGTCACAGCGATGGCTGTGGCTGTGGTGGTGGTGGTGTTCGTGTTCCGCGCAACACATCAGGACACAGCAGGGTCGCTGCTGATGGAGGGATACATGCCCTTCGGAAGCCCTTCTACTAGGTTTGCAGCTGTGAATGCGAGTCATACTGCAGGATGGATGGGACGTGTGACAAAACCCATCGGCGGCGGCGGCAGCTGCTGTTCCCCTTAACGCCCGGCTGCTGGGGTTGGTGCTGAACGTCACTCGGACGCAGTGCGTGGTACGAAGTGCGTGTCAGTTGGACTGATTGAGTTCCATCGTACATGCCGCAGCTGCGTGTGCTTCTGTTTGCTGTGCTGTGCGCCACCACGTGTTTTCATCATCAGGAGTGATGTAGCGCAGAGGCGGGTAGGGGTCCACACAGCAGTGTCTGCATCCAAGGCAGGACAAGTAGGAGTAGTGCTTTGCCTTCTTCTCAGCGTGCGTGCGCCAGGAGGAGGAGGAGGAGGAGGAGGACCGGGAGCTGTGGCGTCGAAGGTGCACGTCCCCGCGTGGCACGTACGTGTGCTTAGCCGCGGTGTTATAGTGGTGGGGGAATTCATCCCGAATTTTAACAGTTCTGTGTGTCTTTTAACGTTTCTCATGTCTCGAGAGACCATGTAAGCAGGCAGGGGCGTCATTCACACGTCGTCACACCTGCAACGCATTGTAAGCAGCTCAAAACTTATCTGCTGCTGCGACCTACCGTACCAAGACCTTATCCTACCTAGAAGACCGTACTGATCCTCGGCTGCACGTACGACAAGCTGCATGCCCCGGCATGCATCAAGCTCTACAACATTACACCCGCTCCCTCAATCACAACAGGTACGGGACTTGCTTTGGCTCAGCACCCGATTACGCAGGACCAGCAGACGTGCCTACTGGCAACATATCAACATCCGCAACCCGCAGTTGCTTCCAGTCACCAATGGCTGCAAATGCGAAAAAGATATGTTTGCAGCAGTAGTCAGCTTTTACATCCGATTGCTGGCAGCGGCCACGTGTTCCCCGCGCACCGCTAGCTTCCTAGCAACGCTGCCAAAGTGGCTGGCCTGCGGGTTGCAGAGCAAAGGAGGCCGGCGGGTAGGGGACTGTACGGTTAGCATATGCATGCATGCATGCGCTGCCCGCAGGGCGTGTGTGCAAGTGCGTGCACCAAGCTATCACCTATCACGCCCCTATATTGCCGTCCCTCCCGTCCCTCCCTCCCACTCCAACCATGCCACTCCCTACGCATACCCTTACTTGCTTTCTATCATACCCTGATCCTCCAGCTTCCGTTTCGTATTCCATGCAGCCACTGCCCCCGTAAAAGAGGTCAGTGTTTATGAACAGCGATTACGGAAGGCCAGGTTCCGTAAATGGCAATAAGAATACGGAGTGTACCACCCACTTAATACGGAAGCTTAGACCCCGGTTTTCCCAGAGTGGTACAATTGCCGTACGTAAGCATCTCCTCCGTACGCTTTCCTCGCTAGGAGGAACATCACTTAATCCCGGCGGTAAGTCATCAGCTTGTGACTTTATTTTGGTAAGCCAGCAGCACCCACCTACTCACTTGCAACCCAGTGTGTTCCTACTCGCTTCCAGCTTTCGCCACCCACCTGCGCCCTGAGCGCCTGCATCTCATCCTCGGAGGGCAGTCTAGAGCCGTCTGCTCCCGCCAGCGAGGCCGCGCCCCAGGGCGAGCCGCCCTTGGCTTCCCCCAACCCGAACATGATTCCACCCGCGCTGTAGCCGGCGGGCACGTAGATCATGCCTTGGGTCGCCAGTTGTGTGACTGATGGAGGAGGTTGGGCGAGATCCGAAAGGAGGGGATAGCGAGAAGGTTATTATCGAGAAGGTTATTAGGAATCAGACATGCGAGAGGAAACGGGGCTGAGTGATGGCAACTACACTGCGCGTTGTATGGAGCTTGCTGAGTTGCATGCATCCAAGGTTACGTGCTTACTTGCATCGGGTCTACCGTATATGGCGTAGCTAATAAGCTACTCAAAAGGCTGGGTTATGATTTCAAGGATGCATGCATGTATGATACCTACATCCGCGCGCAAGATAAACCGTGCGCATGCACCTCCACACACAATCCGCGCCCTGCCAACCACTTCCGTACCCCCTTACTTCCCCATCTACCCGCCATCATGATTGCCATCTCCTGTCCGCCCGCCTGGCCCCCACAGGAGGTGAACAGGGTGACGGGCTTGCCGTGCAGGGCGCCGCTCTGCCAGAGCTCTGCAGTGGAGTCCAGGAAAGCTTTCATGGGGGCAGCCATGGTGCCGAACCTGCTGGGAGAGACACATCCCCAAGGGCAGCCGTAAGCCATCAGGAGTGTTGTGATAATACTACGGATATTATTAAGGCAAGCAAAGCTGGGGGCTATGTTAGGGCATGCAGATGACCCACGGGTCACATGAAGCATGCAATACCGGTAGCACCATTGAAGCGACTAAGATTTCAGAGGTATATGCATTCTAAGGATCATGTACGTGAATACCTGCTGCAATTTCCTTGTGCTTCGTGCATGAACCTCTCCATCCTCCTCCTCGTGCATGAACCTCTCCATCCTCCTCCTTCTGCCTTTCCTCTTCCTCAACACTTCCTGCTCCTCTTCCTCGCTCACCAGGTGGGGAAGCCCAGCACCAGAGCATCCGCATCCGACAGCATGCGTGGGTGGATGATGGGGTCAACCTCCTCCGCAGGCGGCCGAGACGCCGCCCCAAACGCAGACAGCACGTTTGGGGGCATGATTTCAGGCACCTGCGGACCCGCCCGTACCCGCCGGATGGAGAAAAACGTTTGGTAACTTGACCTGAAGTTGCTTGCTGCTGACGAGCGCCGTGCGAGGAATTATTATTGGCGTGGAGGTGATGAAATATAGCAGATTGCTGCACTTGCGCCGATGTAAAACCAGCGCTTAGCGGAGCGGCTTAACCAAGTCTCACGAGCAACAGCGCGACCCACGGGTCTGCTTATGCTTTTCCAGCTCGTCAAAGGGCGCTTTAGCAGTATGGTTACCTGGAAGAGTCGTGCTTCAATGCCACCCGACTCCTCGAGTGCCGTCTTAAAGGCGTGGGCAAGCGTCCTAACGTGCCCAAGGTTGCTGTAGTAAACTACATACACCTTTGCCAGGCTCATGGTTTCTATCGTTAACCGCACCCCCAAAAGCGTATTTGTATAATTGCTGGCAGGGTCTATGCGAAAGGGAGACAGGGTAAAGCCTGCAATTGAAAGCCTGGAGAGCCCGTTGCGCAGTTATCTTTTATATTGCTCTTCTTGACGGAATCTAGATGTTAGTCTGGTGCAAATTGGATGCCAAAGGCTAACAGCTGTCCGCAGGCTTGCGCAAGTGCGGTTACCGGGGCATCCTTGTACAGCTGCCGTTGTGCGCGTCACCGTAATGCATGAATCCAGGAATGCTCTGTTCATGCCGGAATGAATGAAACTTGGCCACATTACACAAGGTTCGGCTGCACCCCAACCTGCCCCAGGAAGACAAGGGACGGTAGAAGAGTGGACACCGCCGGCCAAGCATGCACGCCATTGGTGCACTCGACGTTGATCTGCCCTAAAGCTACCGTATGACATCAGGAACAAGCAGCAACAACGCAGTCTTTCCCATATACATCACGTCTGGTGAAGTTCTCATTACTCACTCGGTGACACGGTTATTGGGACCACTGCGCAGCGGTGTGCATGCACTAGTCACCACTCAAACACGCACTCGGCATGCCGTCTTAAACAGGGAGCCCATTATGGGCATGCGACACGTCATTTGCATAAACTTGGCCCGTCAAGCCGCAGGGCCCGTACAGCAGGTTATTGTCTCCATGTGGTGACAACCATGTCCATTTCGTCAGTAATGGCGCTACATGCCACACCATCTTGTAGTTCCAAAGTTGCATCTCATCAGTAAGGACCGACCGTAGCTCACAAAACCGTTGATCAAGGTTAAACAGCAGCGCAAGCCCAGGCCCCCCGACATACCCCGACGCGCAGGCATGCTGACAACCTTTGCCACGCGGCAAACCCAGGGGTGCAACGCAATTCGCAAGGTCATGCACACACACGTTTCGCCTCGCGGCCAGTTATTTTAACACACACGCAACAGCAGTACCGATAAATAATATAGAAGTCACACGGGCGACGCAAATGATGCGAGCACCCCACCATTACACTCGGTCCAATCAATGGCCACCTTCATAACAGCTTCTGGCCTCTCATGCTGCCAGTTTCTTGGCGACCTCTCCAAAGTACTTGGCCTGCGGGGGGTTGTACGGACAAAAAGGCAATGTAGTATAATGTACAGCACATGCCGCATGCAGCACGCTGGCCAGGCACACGACAACTCAGCACCAGCTAGCACGCGACAACTCAGCACCAGCTAGCACACGACAACTCAGCACCAGCTAGCCTGTCCCCTGGGAAAAAACACAGTTCACGAGCGTAAGGAATCCTACCAACCTCCCCACCCACCTGTGCCCTCACAGCCTCCAGCTCAGCCTCTGAGGGCTGTCGTGAACCATCACCGGCGGCCAGTGCACCCGCGCCCCAGGGCGAGCCGCCCTTGGCTTCCCCCAGCCCAAACATGACTCCACCCGCGCAGAAGCCGGCGGGCACGTAGATCATTCCGTGGTGCGCGAGTTGCGTGACTGCGGGCCGCAGGCATGGGAAAGAAGGCAAGCCAGCACCATCGGACGCCGGTGACGGAAAAGAATCAAAGGGCCCAGCATGTACATGGAGAGTCACCACCCGATGGACCGAGCTACCAAGCTAGACTAGGGTACTAGTCATGTGTCCGGCAGAAGGTGCCTGACAGCTGAAAGGACATCGCTTGCACCCAGATGGATGTGAATGGAATGTAGATGTCTGCACGTACGGGCGTAACCCTTAACCAAGGTGGCCTACCCGCAGTCATGATGGTGGTCTCCTGGCCGCCGCCCTGAGAGGCGGTGGAGGTGAACAGCGACGCGGGCTTGCCCTGCAGGGCGCCCTTCTGCCACAGCATGCCTGTTGCGTCGAAGAAGTTCTTCATCTGAGCGGCCATCATGCCGAACCTGCAAAGGAGGCGCAGAATGTGGGTTGGACATGAGGACATAGCGTGATATTGATGGTCTGTGGGGCGCTTCAGGCCGAGACGTTAGCCCCCGACTTTCGGTGCAGGGGTGGTTGTGTAGCGGAATGAACTCACCGGGTAGGGAAGCCGAAAACGAAGGCATCGGCGTCGGGCAGCTCGAGCGGGCTGAGGATTGGCACATCCGACTTGGGTGGCGCGTGCATCTTCTCAAGTACCTCCGCAGGCAACGTCTCCGCAACCTACACGCATGATGGAGTGTGCTAAGCCTAGTCCCAGAGCACCCGGAAGGTCTTCAGTTGCGGGCAAAGTGCTGTGGTTGCTCTAGGGGATGCTGAGTTCCTCCGCGGGACACGTAAATAAGAAATGGGGACTGTGGGACCAGATTATACGGTCAGACTAACAAGCTGTACCGCACCTGGAATAGCTTCACGTCAACGCCGTCTACGGTCTGCAGGGCAGACTTGAACTCCTCGGCCATCCGTGCGATGTGGCCATAGGTGCTGTAATAAACAATGTACACGCGCAGCTTCTTAGCTGCAGCAGGAGTTTGAACTGCATCGCTGCCTTTATCCTCCATGGCCTTTTCTGTCGCAGCGTCTGCAGTTGGAGCGCCGGCGGTTTCGGTGACAGCTGGCTTCGCTTCTTCTGCGCCAGCCGGTGGAACAGGCTTTGCCGCGGCGGGCTCCTCAACGGCATTGGCTTGCGAACCACAAATGTTTCCCATTCTTAGGGGCTAGTGGTAACAGTTGGCACAGCTTTGACCTTGGAGAGATTGGTCAACTATGTCTTTAGGCTCTATGTCCTTGCGTTGATGTAATCAGAAAGGTTCCTAAAAAATGAGTTCAGTAGAATATAGGGTTAGTATCAGTAATTGTGAAATTCAGAGGATGTCATACCCACTGTACGACACAGTAATCAGCATCTTGGTGGTCGTGAGGTGAATGGTGCTGCGGACTTGGCAATGGCTTGCAACAGCACTATGCATGATGTAAGCCCCAGTGCCTGCGGTCACATCGGTCTTGCGGCTCGACGTGACCGACATGTTTGGACGACAGTCTACCGAAGTACCGATGAATGCGCTGTTTATTGCAGATCTGGACCCCCGCATGTTCCGACTGCTATTGTTTTGCTGTCAAGGGTCGCAAATGGAGGCAAATCTGGGCCACACCCTCAACCATACCGATAAGTTTCAGTGCTCTGGATTTTGACGCGCCCATGAACCCAACAAATATTTGGATGAGGAGCTGCGACACGGTAACCTACATGTGCCAGCCGTGACTGCCCATTATGTCGTACACCAGGCCTGCCATGCGGATTCGTCACCCCGGTTCTGCTTATCCTGTTTAACCAGGGGTTCACGCAGATAGCTATGAAGCAGTGTGAAAGCTGCATGTTACCCTAAGCTTAATGGACTTGTGTTTTCATGCAACCAAGGGCATGCGGGACCAGATGTGGCCTAGGGTAGCTTAAGACGCCTTTGAGCGGATCGCCAGGCGGTCTGGGTAGTGGTCTTGCCAGCACTCATGCAACGAAATGACGATAACAATTCTAACCGTTTACATCCTCAGCCGAAATGCTTATGTACATGCCCAGGCATGTTAGTCCGAGGCTTTACAGCTGTTGCCAAGGCTTTACAGCTGTTGCCAACTGGTGATGTCCTTCGCCCCCATAAGCGATAGCATGCAACGCCAGTAGCCGACATAAAAAAGTATAACAAATATACAACATCCAGTTTTCTTAACACAACATCCTTTGCATGTACTTGAGCCATGTGTTGGTACACAAACCCCGTGCTGCATACCGGAAGTCGACTACACGCATAACTCTCATATCTCAATCATACGCTACACGATGTCATACAGATCACTAGCACGCTCGACCCTCGGGAGGCGTCCTGTCTTACGCCTTTAGCTTCTTGGCGACAGAGGCCAGCTGCTTGCCCTGCATGCAGCAATGTGGTAAAATAGGGGAATGCGGTCAGATCTGCGCACCTCTTTCTCATCCCCCTACTAGACAACCGTCATGCGACAAGACGTCACCCTGCTGTTGGTTGCTTCCTCTTTACCCTGCTGCTTCCCTCGCATGACTAAGAAGGCACCCATACCCACATGCACACCCCTTTCATGCTCCATGGTAGTTCATTCTTCTCCATCTAGCACCCCTGATCCCAACCCCTTCCTCCCACCCAACTTACCATGACCTCGCACTGCAGCAGCTCAATCTCGCTGGGCAGCCTGGAGCCATCGGCGCCAGCCAGAGTGCCGGGGCCCCACGCCGAGCCGCCGCGGGCCTCCTTCACGTCAAACATGCCGGGGCCGGCAGCAAAGCCCGACGGCACGTAGATCATGCCGTGGTGCGCAAGCTGCGTGACGGCCGTCATGATGGTGGTCTCCTGGCCGCCGCCCTGCGAGGCGGTGGAGGTGAACATGGAGGCGGGCTTGCCGTGCAGGGCGCCCTTCTGCCAGAGCCCGCCGGTGGCGTCAAAGAAGGCCTTCATCTGGGCAGCCATCATGCCAAACCTGCGAGAGCGGGAGCAGTTGTGGGGGTGGGGAAGTGGGTGCGGGGCACGTGGGAGGAGGGGTTGCGGACGAAGCGTCGTTGGGAGGTGGTGGAACGCGCTAGGGGGTTACAAGGAAGCGAACGCATCAGCACGTGAAGGTAGGCTGGAAGAATGCTTGTCAGGTACCTCCCAAACCCAGGAGGGCTGGAATGGAGCTTGCATGTTCGGCAAACCCCGGTAACGCGGCGTTACACCAACACAGCATCTCAGCAGTACGTGAATTACCTCGTCGGGAATCCAAAGACAAAGCCGTCAGCCTCGGCGAGCGTGTGCGGGTCGATAATCGGGTAATCGGACTTCGGAGCTGCGTGCAACTTGGCCAGCACCTCCTCCGACAAGGTCTCCGCCACCTGCAATAGCGCAGAGCAATGTCGTTTAGGGCTGCCAACATGGCGAGCAGGACAAAATAAAGAAGCGACGCAGAAAATGGGCATGGCTGCTCTACAAAAGAACAATATACACAACATACCTGGTAAATGGTAGCCTCAACGCCTTCTACAGCCTCCACACCCTGCAATCACAGCGATGGGAGCAGGCTGGCCGGTAAAAACTTGTTCCTCGTTAAATGGCCGGTCAAAGGTCGACAGTTTCGAATCCCCTGGATTATGCCTGCTGACTAACCTTCTTGACTGCCTCGGCCATAGCCTTAGTGTGGCCATACGTGCTGTAAAAGATGATCCAAACCTTGACAGCCATTTTTACAGGTTTCCTTGTCTACGACGAAGCACTTCAAGAACTACGCTGATAAGGAAGCTTGGTGACTGTAAGCTTCTGAATTCGTTGCAGTGTGCCGGCTTTGAGCAATCGCGGAGGAGGCAAGATGACTGTACGGCATGGTAATCCAATTGCCAGGCATTGTCAACCTCCTAGAAGTGTGAGTCACCGTTCTCTATGCGACGCATTTACACCCTTTTCCCCTTCTTGCGTTACAGGATTCTGGGTTCAGTCGTGGAGACGACAACCTCCAGGTGTCGCTAGAAGATACCTCCGCGAGGTATCTCAAATACGGGTATATGAACCCATTCCTTTTGCTTAAATTCACCCTAGATTCTTTTCACTATATATAGACAAGTAGAACACAGCGTAAGCTGTTATCGGTAGATGGGTCGCTGCTTGTGTGCCTCGTTCGAGGGTCTTCAGCAAGAAAATTTGCATTGTGGATTAGCCTCAACAAGACAGCTACGAAGATGTCCAGAGTTCGGGTATCTGTGACTCTTCGTTCTGCATGTCCTTTTGCTTACGAAGGAACTAACCGTCTGGGATGGTCTTGCTGGTGTTGCCACTTGTAAAACTTTGTTGGCGGGGCATATGCGGCATCACACCCACTTTGCCCCTGTAGAAGATGGGGGCCGAGGGGTATGGGCTGCAGCGTCCCAGCGCAGCTTGTCACAGGCGGCCTTGGGCCAAACAGTCAAACCGTCTGCGGGTACATTTGACACATGCAATTCAAATATATGGTGACGAGTCAGGGCGTATATCGATGGCCAGTAATGACGCTCGACCCGACCATGCGACGCAGCGGCGACCGACGCGACACCCTTGCTTGCCTCGACCGTACGCTAAGCGGTGCGACAGAATAGCTGATCCCTAAATGAGCATTATAACGTGCGAACGCCATCTCAAGCAGCAGCAGTTTACTTCAGGAGTGCTGACGCAATCCCTATAGTTTATTTTGGTCCCACAATGGCTACCTGGCAACGACTGCTAGCTATGATGGCTTGCGCAGTGCTAGGTTGTTGCTCTGCTTTGCCATTGGAGCACGGAAATGCAGCAGCCAGGCTTCCAAGGAGATTCCAAAGAGAAACCCCTGGTAAGCCTGGCCTTGTTAATTCATGTAACCGCCACTCGTAACCGTTGCCCACCATAGCACAGCTTAGCAGGTATGCATGTAACGGGCGTCCCCTTTTCCGCTTTGGACAGCTCCGGCCACCCAAGACGAAGTTCTTGTGGAGCAATGGGACGACATCTGTGCAAAGGATGACAATGACATGCAGAAACTGTATGATGAGAACCTGGAGCAGGCAAGAGGTTGATGTGGCTTAATTAGGCGCTTGCATGTTCCTACACACCGGAACGGAGACTATCTGTCAAGAGGTGCATGTGACGGATGCATACAGCAGCTAGCGCGCGCCCAAGCACCCCCAAGACCCAGGCAGTGAGGAGGACCAAACGAACCAGAAGGCCCTGGAATACCTGCTGATGCTGTACAACTCGTTCTCCAGCAAGTTCACAGCAGCATTGCACCATTCTGTTGCGCCGTGACTGTTGCTTTGCAGTTGCTTTACTTCGCATAGCCAACTCCTTCAAGACAGCCTCCGATATCTTGTCGAGTGACACGCATGTCTCTTGCTTGTAACGCCCGCTACTGGAGTGCAGGATCTCTTCTACTGGCGGGAATTGCTCCAAGGAAACAAGCTGAATAAGAGCCACCTGTTGCAGCTGTTTGACGACTACGGCAGGGCGAGGAACAACAACTTGGGCGCTCCCTCTTACATTAGGTAAGACCTTGGGGTGAGACAAGTGACCAGCAAACCAAGCCAGCAACATGAGCCCAGCAGCGGGCACCGCCAGCAGCAGGGCATGCGTGCAGACCTGCTGCTTGCAACTCTTCCTATGTCCCATGCATGCATGCGCGCGTGCATTCACCGTTACAGTTGGTTCCCTGCCATGCATGCCACATTTACATCCGACGCTACAGCTCCCAGCACAACGTTGTACTCATCAAGGACAACCACTGGTACACGCCTTTCCGGCCTTTCGAGTACGACACAAACTGCACTCGAGAGGTACGACACGGCTCTTTCCTTGTGTCCGTGACCGACCCATGGGTCAACGCTTTGCTCCGCCTGTTACATACGAGTGTCGTTATGAGCAATGTGTCTGATGATGTGGCTTCAGGAAACTTGGTGTGATGGTCGCATGATGTACGCCCAGTGGTCTTTCGAGCGGTGGACCCGGGCCCTTGGCATGACCTTTCCGGACGTGGTCTTCTTTCACGACATTGGCGATGCAGGTGCGGGGTCAACGGAGTGTACGGGACTAAGGGCGCGTGGGTTGTGTAGTGGCTGGCATGATGGGACTGGAACCGCAATGGTGAGGTCACGCTTGCATTTTCTGGTTGGTTGTCAGCCCTTTTACCGTGATCATTCAGCAAGTGCTGCGTGCCCTGCCATCATGCATGCTGCCTTCCAGGTGGATGCCTCGGCAAACCGTGCGCAGGTGCGTACTGTTTGCAGAGGATGAGGGACGCAACTGCGTGCGTGTGACCCATGGGTCCATGGGGGCGGATCCGCATACGCATGGGCGTATGTATGGCATTTAGGCATTGAACGGACAGAAACCGATACTGCTGTTTAGTGCGACAAGCAAGCAAGCAAGGCCAGACTACCGTGCGTGTATCATGCATACGTCCTGTGGGTATGTACTGAAATAACTGAATAGGGCAATCCTCTCGGGATTACGGTATGCACGGTGGTGTTTGTGGCCACACGATACGTTGGCGGATAGTTAGTGCTACCGATATGTAGCGTATCCTGCTGCGTGCTCATTTCCCGTCGGGTGGGAGCGGGGTTCTGCGGGTCTTGTGCGTGCCGAGCGAGCGCAGCCAACCTCCCTGTCTATGCTTTATGATTGCATGAACGTGCACCGAACGTGCGCGTCACAAGCAGCACCTATGCTGGCCTACTTTCGGCAACGACAAGAGATGGGGTATCCGTGGAAGATCCAAGCCACAACTGGGTAAGACGGTGTGATGACCGCTTGCAAGTGCCCGTGCAAGTACCTTCACATTCACCACACGGCCCCTATGGGTTAATCACTTATGCCATACCCCATCAGGGACAAGACCATACTAATGCCCAGCATTTACTTGGATGTGGGCCGAGATGCCGTCAACGGACGCCTGCAGCCATACTCCCTGTACTCCTTCCCTTGGGAGAAGAAGATCAACAAGGCTGTGTTCAGAGGAACAGGGTACGTGCGTATCGGGACACGCATGCATGCGCGTATGGAGGACGCATGCATGGTACGTGTCAATCGGCGACCACCGGTACCTAGGGGCGCCACTTATCTCCGAGCTGCTGGGTTTTGCTCGCGTCAAGCTCTCGTCCCGTGCTAATCATTGCCTAATTGCCGACACCTACCCGACCCAGATGGTGCCATGGAGGCAAAGTTGTCGCGTGCCCTCGCCGGTAGGTGACTATCTAGGGCAGCAAACACCTGCATGCTTTCTTTCTTACGTACAGCAAGCTTTACCACGGTACGTGTATGAGTTGCTTGGGCAGTACTCACCAGCACTCAACATCATCCACCATCATCGTCGGGATTGTCGCTTAATTGTCGTACTGTACAGCGTTGCAGTTTATATTTACCTTTGTTGACCAAGCAGTACCTTTTTTGCCGTACCCACGCTGTTACGTGCCAGGCACCTTGCGAACGAGAGCAACTTCAACGGTCACAATGACACGCTGGACGTCCAAATCACTGGTGGGTCGTCATTGCTCGTGCGTTGATTGTGGCATTGGTTGACCCTAATCTCACTCAACCTGCGGGTGCGCGTACCGGTACAGCCGAAACGGCAAATGAACATGTTGCTGGCCCTATAGCAGTTGCACCAGGTCTTACCCCGGGGTTACCGCCCCACCTACATTACCGATTTAACTGCCGAGGGGTAACCGACCTTCCCTCATTACCCCCTCGTCAAGTCCTCGTCAAGGGTTCGTTTCCTCAAGGGGGGTTACAGGGGCATGACGAACCTCGGTAACCGAGATGCCTAACTCAGCCGTGTTACCCCAGGGTAACCAAGTCTGTTCGGCCGTCTGGAGTCTGGGGCCGCAAAAGCGCGCGCATGAATCCACCGCGCACGCTCAGTACTGTACGAGTTCCAGCCATGACATTGCCGTCTTCTACCAAACTAATCCTCCACAATGCCATACATATGATCCTACTTCCATGAGATGCCACACACGCGCACGCATGCCGCACACATGCGCACTCCTGTCACACGCGCCATGCCTCAGCTATCCTCTACCCAGTCATAATCACCATGGGCCAGCTGTAGTCAGGTTTACATTGCTGGTTACTTCCAGAATAAAATTACATGGCTTGCAGGCTGGGTTGGGCCCCCCATGCCGTACCAGAGCTTGTCCATAAAGGACCATGCGCGCTACAAGTACGTCCTCTCACTCGACGGTGAGGTGGTGTCTATCATCGTTTGCGTCGTGGTACCATGTACGCTAGCAGCCTAGCGCATGCACGCACGCGGGCATCTCTCCCGGCGGGGAAGGGGCTTGCCGTTCGTCCAGGAATTTATAGCGAGTAAGCCGCGTAGCCGTACTGAGTATCTGTGTGTTGTGGCTGTGCGCAGGCGCGACAGCTTCCAACCGGTTTGCGAAGCTTCTTGGAACGAATTCAGTGGTCCTCAAGGAGGGTAAGTTGTGTTTGAGGACCGACACCTGGCCACGGTTGGTTTAGCTTGGCGATGCACAAGCTATTTGCCGCATGCACATATGCCGCTCCTGCTTCCACTCCAGTAACTCCCTCCGCGCCTGCTGCTGGCTGGAACGCAGAGTCGGCGTACATCGGCCATTTCTACAGGTACGGAGAAAGCCTAGGAAGCAGGGTGGCCTTACTCTTCGTGGGAAAAGTGACACATAAATTGGATTGAACGAAGCTTTAGCACGGCTCGGGAGTGTAGCTTCCTACATGGCACCCATTGCATCCAGGCGCAAGGGGCTGCTGCTGCAACACAACCCGCAGCATGCATGCAAAACGCTGACGACGCGAGTACAAACGTACCCAAATGCAGGTCTGTCCAAGCATATGAGCACTACCTGCCCATCCTCTCACGGCACCCAAACGATTGGCTCGACGTGTTTGACACCTACCGAGACCGAGACGTCGAGCTGAAGCGCATCGTGAACAACGCACAGCGCTTTGCCGCCAGGTACTTGTGCGACCGGGCAATCGCGCTGTACTTCCGACGTGCCTTGGTGCGGTACAAGGAGCTCTTTAGCGACATGCAGGACTTCATAGACAGCGATATCTGGCCGCTGGTGCAGGAGAAGCAAAAGATGAACGTAGATTTTAAGGAGTACAAGGCTTCGCTGCCTCACTAACTGCTGTCCCAAGCAAGCATGCACGCACCTGGGCGCCCACGGCGGTTTGTTACATGGGCATGAATGAATGACCGTTACATGGGCATGTTGATTGGCATGCATGCGATTTCTAACGCGGTTGTCAAATAGGCGGAGCATGGCAATACTAGCAAGAGATGTTGTGCGGGGATAAATGCATGCATGGGCATGCGGGTTAGTTGCAGTTAACGGGACTCCCCATGTCCTCTCTATACCGTATAGGACTATTGCACGCGTACTCAGTCCGGATGAGCATGAGGCGACAAACTACTGCGCTTTTGGCGAGATGGGTTGGTTTCGTTGTGGCAACATGCTGCGTTGGTGCGTGAACGCTGGCTTGTATGTCCCTAACTACTCCAAATCCTACCTGGGCTTCCCGGGCTTGCTAGCTGGTCAAGCAAGGGCTGGGTTGCGACGCCGGACATGGGTTGGTAGGGCTTGTGCATTCAGTGCACAAGACGGCCTACTTTGTACCGGGCGTCAGGCTAGGCATATGTATAGGTCACGTTCGTTCGGGTTGAAGGCCGTGATGCTGCGTAATCGACCCATGGGTCACTCGCTGGTGTCGCCGCTGCATTTCCCTAGCTATGGATTCTCGGAACCCATATCCGTCGGAATTCGTCCTGGGTTGAAGGAGGTGCTGACACTACAGTACAAAAAAGATCCCAGCGCTCCGCCACTATACAACGCTGGACAGTAAGGTCTAGGTGCAACATGCGTGGAAAGCAATGCATGCATGAACCCGGGCGCGCGACCAGGTACAAGGGTGGTGCAGACTGCAGAGTTCAAGTAAGCAACATGGCTACTGGAATAATGTCAGTTGAAGTGCTGGAGTTGCGTTGCAACCGTCACGGTTTATCGGCGCTAGTTTCCGTCCATTCCATCAACGCTGCACTACATAGCTTGAACTTGAGACATATGTGCACTAGGTGAGAAGAAAGCCGGGCACCAAAGCGCGCCAAATAAGCAAGAGCCTGGATACGAGTGTGCTGCTGTCCGTCTTGTTACCCGTAAGTCCCCTGTGAGCAAAGACGTCGCTGCTGCACGTACGTACATTGCAACTGCAGGACAGGTATGGCGCTCGTTCGCAACGGTCGTTGCCGACGATGGTTACCGGTACACGCGATGATGTGGAGTTTCAGGCGAATAATAACGCGAACACGCAGTACTATTAGACCCGCAAACACGCATACAGGAAGCGTCACAGAGTTGGGTCTGCACGCTGCTGTGCATCGTATTAAATACTATTGCTTGCTTGGTTAAGCGACCTTGGATCCCAAAAGGCCAATGTAAACCTAAATCGTTTAACATTTAAAAGAACTAAATACCGTTATGGTAAATGGCCCAACAATACCACCAGAGGGCTGGCCGATGCGACGGCAGCTTGCTTTGCCTCGATAGTACAAGACTCCTGCTGCTTTTGCTGGAAACGCCGATAATACAAATGAATGCTCCAATAGCAGCAGAATACCTCATTTTAAATTTTTTTGTTAGGCCTTGCGCTGGCAGGGTAACATGCACAGTTACTAGATAGATAGTTCCGTCGCTCGTGACGGTCCCTTGAAATTAGTTTCGCTGGACTCAAAGCCATATTACTATTATAAAGGCTTGACCTTTATACGGTAGGAACTCTTGGAGCTCTTCAGCTCTCAGGCTGCCATGGCTTTGCGCCGATGGCTGGTTTCGGCATTGGCTTTTGCGTTTTTAAGTTGCTGGGCTTTTGCAACTGCCGGCATTGTCACAGATGATAATGTGCCGTCATTATACCCAGGTGAGCTTAGTTCGTGTGCGTGGGACAAGGCGCGGTTTGCCAAAATGGCATGTGACCAACCACTTACGCCAATGCGGCGCTTTGGACTGGGCTAGCAGAGTGCTTGCACGGCTGACGTCAGGCACCAGACCATTGAACTAAGCGCACGGGGTGCATCCACTAGGCCTCGGGTCACGTCAGCAACCCAAGACAACGGACATGTCGTCTTGGAAGGCACCAAACAACGGTTCCGCCCATAAACCCACACACCGCCGCTGCCGTTCCGCGTGTCTCCAAAACAACACAATCGTAATCCAATAGCATTCAGGCCAACAATACAGTTGTATACTGAGCTGGCCCTGAGCAACTTCCACTTGACTTACTTCCACCTAACTATCCATCCAATCCATCCCGCACTTGCAACAGCAGGGGAGCTGCTCGTCCAAGACTCGCGGACAATACTGGGACTCCAATCTGAACATGTCGACAAAACAGCGACCAGCTCATCGTCCGGAACTTCCGAGACTGAGGGCTTTGTTGAAGCGGACGACGTACACATCATCCAGGACGACGACCAGGCCCCACGCCGCAGCCTCATCCGAGTCCAAAGGGATGGCAGGCGGGCATACCGTGCAAAGGCGATGCGCGCTCAGGATCTGGCCTGGAGGCATGGACGAGCCCTTATTGCTGAAGGCAAGCCGCATGCATGCTACAGTACTTGTAGACGGGTTTAGGTGGCGGTATGATGATAACACAGGCCGGCCGCCATACACATGCTATGCACAGAGGGTCAATCACCTTGATTATTCACACTATTGTTGGTTGACAAGGCCACTCACCGCAACCATGTATCCTAAGCATTGGCTTTCCGGCTACCGGCACTCGTGCGTTCCCTAACCAATCTACGCGCCCCGCGCCCCTCCGTATAATTGTTCCCACCAGGCCTTGATACCGGTACAACTGCCGGCAGCCGAGCCAATGATGCCCGTCACGAGGGCACCGTTGAGCAACACGGGGGGAGCCTGCTTCCGTTACAGGGTGGCAGCGCAGTACAGCAGGCTGCCGTACACTCCATGACGTACTCTGCCGTACAAATGACTGCAAGCGGCGATACCAGCAGCAGTGTTACCGCTGCTGCAACTGCTGCTTCTCCAGTTACAGAAGCGGATGACTATTCGTACAACATCTACGATTGGAGCCAAAACCCAGATTACCAGTTCGATATACCTTCGCCCTTCATCAAGGCTGAAGGCGCCGCTACGACCGGAGCTAATAAGGCACCGTTAGCCGCAGCCTTAGCTGCCATAGGCAGGCTTGAGGATGAGGTAATCTGGCAACAGGTGTACGACGAAACGTACAATCAACTACTACAACAGGCGTACGCTGAGGCTGCTGGCGACATGGAACAATCGCTGCCGTATGATTACAGTTTTCCGGACACAACTCCTTACAATGCTTTTGGCAATGGGCTGCAGCTTGATGGGCGAGATCGGGAAGGTAAACATGCACACCAAGACGCCGGTAGTAGTGGGCCAACGGCGGCGGCGACGGCAGCCATGACTGCGACGATGGCGGCAACAGCAGTGGCGGATCAGAAAGCCCGGTCAGCAGTGGTGAACGACGTGGCAGCAGTGGATGATGCCTTCGAGCAGGCTGCTAAGGAGTTGGACGCGGTTGACTGGCTGCTGTACTACAACGACGCGTTAAGCTCAGGGAGGGAGCGGAAAGCCGAAGCAAAGGACGAAATGCAGCACAACCTGCTGGAAAGACTGTCAGCTGCTGCTGACGAGGCTGCTGCTGTGAAGGACGCGGTGGAGGTGGACGCAATCGATGAGTGGCTGCTGATTTTCGGCGACAGGTTGAGTCCCCAGGAGCTGGAGATCGCCGAGTTAGAGGACGAAATGTGGCGGCACTATCTGCAAACAAGGGGCTCGGACGAAGATTACGCTGCTGTGAAAGACGTGGCAGAAGATGCCGGGGGTGGCTGGTCGGCAGGAGCAGCTAGCGGCCTGGAGGCAGCAGAGGCAGCAGGAACGGTTGGCGTGCTTTCCGATACAGATTGGTTTTGGAGCGAGTATGACTTTTACGGGTACGGCCCATCATGGGATGAGGAGTGGTGGATAGATTACGTGGAGCGCGCTGGGTTGCGTGCCGCTGCTGAGGAACAGCAGGAAGCAGCATGGCTGCTTGGAAGCAGCAGCAGCAGCAGCAGCAAGGTCGCCGCCGCTGGTGGCAATGCCGCCGCAAGCACAGCAGCTGCTGTCTATTCCAGCAGCACCGGTAGCAGCCAACAGGAGCCTGGCGATGGTGTAGCTGTCTCTACCGCAGCAGCGTCTGCTAGCTCCCTGCCTGCTGACAACTCAGCAGCAGCAGCGGCGACGGCGAAGGATACGACTACGGCAGCTGCAGCATCTGCAACGGGTGCTGCTGACGCAGCAGCAAGAGTGCGGCGGCTGGAAAAGCAAAGGGTGCTGGGGCTGTGGCAGGCTATGCACGACTACTTTGGTAAGGGTCCTCTGGACCCGGAGCTTGAGGTCAGGTACATAGAGATGTACTACGAGTACAATGACCCGCAGCTGTTTTGGGACGAGCACTCGAAGCGTGTGTCGGAGGGTCGCATTAGGGTTCGCCTTTCGACAGACGGACTATGGAGTGCAGCGGACTATGATGATGGGGGCTACAGAGAGGAAACGACCGCTGTTGGCGCCACCGATACGACAACTGCTACTACTGCTGCCGATGCATCCTCCCCTGATGGCTACTTACCTGACAACGCAGCAGCAACAACAGCAGTGGGGAAGGGTACGGCGGCTAGGGCAGCGGCAGTGTATGATATGGGACCTGCGGATGTGGCATCAGCAGCAGAAGAGTGGCGGCAGGAACAGGAGCGGGTGCTGGAGTTGTGGCGGGCTATGCACGACATGTTTGGTGAAGGCCCACTCACCCCCCAGCTTGAGGCCGAGACCATAGATATGTATTACAATGACCCGCAGCTGTTTCAGATGGCTCATGCGGCGCTAGCAGCGGAGCGGCGCAGAAGGGAGGGCGCCTTTTCGGCAGGTACGGGCCATGGAGGGGAAACGATGGCTGCTGATATCGTCACCAGTGCAAGTACTACCATTGCCGCCGCTGTTGGTCCTGCTGCTGCTTCGGCCGCGCAAACCGGCTGCGACGACTGCGTTCCTGACGAGGATTATGAGCGACATGAGCGATTCTGGAACACCTTGACAGGCGAAACCGCGCGGTTGTACCAGCATCATGGTGCTATCGTTCTAGAGGTCCCTGTTGCTGACGCTCCTAACCTGCACGCTGCAGGCGGTGTGGAAGCCGCCCTGGTGGAGTCCCGTGATGATGACCTGGACAATGCTGCTGGCAGCAGCGCGGGTGTTGGCGCTGCGCCGCATGGCCGCATGCCATCTCTCCTGATGTCCAGCGTGGCATGCATCCTAGTTCCCCTAGCCTGCCCGGGAGCTGCCGTGATCATCGCCGCGGTGGTCCTAACCTACTGGAAGCGAGCTCGGGGATCTCGTTCCGTTGTCGGCAACAATAGCAACTGCATTGGCAGGATTGCTCGGTTGCGCCGCCGCCGCCACCTGAACCCTCTCCCGGGCGACGCTTCCGTTTCCGAACCCCTCCTACTTACAGAAGAGGAGGAAGCAGACAGCGAGCTAGGCAACGTACGGCAGTATCCCAGCTGGCAGTACGGCGGCTTTGGCAGCATCAGACAAGCGGCACATGCTGCAGGCGGTTATGGTAGTAATGGCGAGACCCGTGACCCATGGGCCAAGAAGGACAGCAGCTGGCTTCCACCCTCTCCCGTCAGCCCCCCAATTGCTGCCAATTGCTGCCAACCATCCGTGACGTCAGCAGTACTGCAGCCAGAGGCGGCAGATGACATGCATGCGACCAACCTCATGCTGCGTGTTGCGCCACAGTGCAAGGTATGAAGGCATGCAACCCTCATGCGAGGCTAATCTCGTCATTGGTGCTCACTGGATGGTTTGGTTGAAGTCCGTTAGATCACACGTACGATGGTACGCATCATGTAGTACAGCAGTAGTCAGCGGTCAGGTTTGTGGCGGGAGCTTAGGAAGTACACCATGAACTGCTGCGGTATGTTTCTGCCTCTTTTTACAGCGAGGGAGGGAAAATAGCAAATTGTATGCCATCTTGTTTCCGTTATGGTACCGTACATACATACACCGTTGATAGCGTGGAAAGCTTCACGTTATGTATGGGCGCTGTATCCAGGTGCTCGTTACTTGCATCATGTACAGTAGCTTGCATGCCGTGGTGGAGATGGCGGTAATGACATGCATGGCGGGGTCTGCTGCGACCCTATGCAGCTGTTTAATTTACCGTAGTGCACGCCCTTGGTGGCCTAGCTAGCTAGCTTGCTTGGCACGCACAGTCCTTTGCATGCAGTAGTGCACTCATATTGTCATATATATATCGCCGGTAGATATTGCAGCAGAAATACTTTGCAGTCCGTGGTAAGCCATTCTGGAAGGATGCTTGCTTGTACAGGACAAGGAGGCTTCTTCATATCCAAGCACACCGGTGTACGGCATGTTATGTACGGCATCCGTATCGCTGCCGCCACCGTACGTGCATTTCGACTCTGGCTTGCATCAGGCTTGTGCCACCAGTTGGCAGTGGCGCAAATGTTGAGCTCGCAACCAATGCAAATTGCTATAATTGCATGAAAGTTACTTCACAGCGTGTTTGTTCTGTACTGGGCGCTGTAGATAGGGGCGGTGTTTGTACTCTTAGCCTGAAGTAAGGGGTCACAGTGCTGTAGGACTCTGTAGTGGATTTTAGGAATTGCAGTGAATACCCACACAGATGGACGTGTAAGGCGAGAGGATTGGGCGTCATGCTGGGCATGTATGAGTCGTTTGGGTTGAAGGCAGTGATAGATGCTGTGAAACCGACCCGTGGGTCACTCACTGGCGTCGCCGGCTAAGTAAGCTGCATTTCCCTAGCTGCTGTGGATGGGTCTCGGCATTAAACAGCTCTCCGTGTAAAACGTTTAGGTCCTCTGTACAGAAGTACCTTGGCCAGAATCAGGCATTCCGCTGCATATGTCAGAACGAATGTACCCTGGCCTTCGGGATATGCATGCTGACACGCATGGCAGTACGTCCATGATTTCCAGCACTCCGCTACCTTCATTTATACACGAAGCAGGCAGGGGTTTGACAGGAAGCATGTGTAATCCCAGGTATATCCTAAACCCTAACCCTAAGGTGCGAGATAGCAAAATTTTTTACACGCAACAGTCGGATCAAAGAAGCAGTTGAAGTGCTGGAGTAGTTGCGTTGCAACCGTCACGGTTCGCCGTTGCAACCGTACGTACGTCACAGTTTACCGACATCGACGCTTGATTTCCGTTGCATAAAGGCTTTGATTCAAAACTTTACAAATACCTCGTTTCAGGTCCTGATTATAATTGTGCTATTTGTGATGGGGGCTGTCCGACAGCTTTGCCTCGAACGTACACTACTTCTCCTGCTCAGGCCTGCTTGGGCCTACCTCATCGGGCCTACCTTATCGGGCCTGTCCGGGCCTATCTGATCGGGCCCGCCCCGCTGGCCGATAGCAGAGTTAACGCTGTTCCGGTTTCGAATGCTCGCTCTAACGCCCTACCTTAGCTGCACGCATGCAGCAACATTGCCAGTTACCATTTGCAGTAGACAATACAATAACACAGCGACTCAACTTCGATACAGTAGGTATCGTTGGCGCGGCTCAGCCCTTATCAGTCTGCAATGGCCTCGCACCGATGGCTGGTTTCAGCATTATTGGCGTTTGCTTTATTAAGTCGCTGGGCTATTGTATTTGCGGACACCGTCGCAGACGACACATCTGATGCTCTTGCAGCAGCAACAGGAGAGGTCCTTAATGCTGCCGTGAAAGACGGAACGCCCTCCTCGGCGGACGGCGCGGAGGTGTTCCAGCACTATGACGTTTCGGATTCCCCTGCTGACCTAGACGCTGCGGCGGCAGGCGTGGCGGAACCGGCTAGCAGCAATCAGAAAGATGGGGAAGACGCGACCGCCCATACCGCCATCGCTTCTGATGATGATTTTGCGGCAGCAACGGGGCCGGTTCTTACAGATCAGGAGACAGACGAGATGGTGTTCTCGGACGGCCCGGAGGAATTTCAGCCCTATGACGATCGCTACGAGGTTTGGGATCCTCCTGCTGCTGACCTGAACGCTACAGGTGTGGCGAAATTGGCTGTAGGTTGCCTGGGAGCTGTCGTGGTGATTGCCGTGGCGGTCGTAACCTATTGGAGGCACAGTCGGGGGTTTCGTTCCGTTGTCGGCAACAGCAGCAATTGCATTGGCAGGATTGCTCGGTGGCGCCGCCGCCGTCTCAACCCTCTTCTGGACGACGCCTCCATTTTCCTACTAGAAGCAGAAGCAGAAGAAGAAGAAGGAAAAGCAGACATCGAGCTCGGTACTGTACGGCATGATCCAAGCGGGCTGTACGGCTTTGGCAGCAGCAGGCATGCGGCCCATGCTGCCGGTTGTGGTAATGGCGGGACCAGTGACCCAAGGGTCAGTAATAAGGACTACAACTGGCTTCCACCCTCACCCGTCAGTCCTCCAATTCCTGCCAGTGTCGCATCAACAGTGCCGGCTGGGACCGAGCCGTCACCAGTACCCGAACCGCCGCCGCCATCGCCGTAATGCCGTACTGTGGTGCCGTACTGCCGCCGATTGAGGTTACGGCAGCCGCGATGAGACCACTCGTGACTCGTCAGCAGTACATACTGCAAGCGGAGGCTGAAGATGACATGCATGCGACCCACCTCACTCTGTGTGTAGCGCCATAATGCCGCATTTGTGCACGTTATTGATTTTACCGTAGCTGACTACTGTGGTAGGTAACAAGGGTCGGCTACATGTTGGGTCACGCAGTTCAACTAGTTTGCGGGTTCCTGTTGGGAGCTAGGGGTTCACACTCGTGCTGTTTTCATGCGTTCCAGACCGTAAACGTGCAGCAGTAGGAGTAATTGCGTGTTTGCGCTGTGTTACATGCATACATCGTCGGCAGCCTGAAACACTTTTTCTGTGAGCTTCTGTGAGGTTCGCTGTATTGATGAGGTGCTTGTTTGTTACATTAAGGTACGGTATATATGCATGCATGCGCTGGTGGTGATGATGGTGGTAGTAACAAGCATCACCCACGTACGGCACAGCGGTGGCCTAGCTTGGCAAGCTTGCATAGCCTTTTGCACACAGCAGTGCACTCAAGTGCCAACTACATTGCATTCCGTGATCGTGATTAGCCGTGTTAGGAGGCTGCTTGAAGGAGGAGGCCAAACTGAGAACCAAAGTATGCATTTCGTTGTACGATATGTGCGGCATCGGTACGTACCGCTGCCATGAAACACGCTCAGTTACGACTACAGCAGATGTTGCCACCAGCAGTTTTCGGTGGCACAGGTGTGCATGTTCATTGCGATGAGTTTGCCCCCAGGGAATTAAGAAACACTTTTGAATACTCATCAGTTGGCAGGAGGTTAGCTGGAGGCTGTAGAGCGCAAAGGCAATAGCGCATTGGGATCGCCCCTAATGAAGACTAATAGTTCAACTAGGGCCCCAGCCAGGGCTGTGTATCATGTTGTCGTCAGTTGCAGGATGGGGTATTGTTGTTGCATCCGCAGTGAGTATATACCACACACGTTGATATGAGAGGTGCGTGCATGGCATGCCGTACCACACGTACGTGCATCAACATGTGCTTGTAACGAGCAACAGTCTCGCTGTGCTGATCCGTACAAGGAAAAGACTCTTCGCTCCCGACAGGATAGCAAGGCTCCGCCTAGTGGTCGCATGCCCTTCGTTTCTTCAAGTACGTACCAACCCGCCCGAAATAAAGACAAGCGCACGCATGTATGCACACACGCGTCCTGTCGTATTCCGTAACACGTACTCCGTACATGCATGCATCGGTATGCATGATAACCTCCCACGCTTCGCAGCTGTGGTAACCACTCAACGTAAGCATACACCAGCTGCCAGCCCGCAGCAGTTTTTATTATGTTATCGGCTTTGGTAATCGAATAGAAGCATGCACCTTGGATGAAAGCCAGCCGCAGCGATCGAGCTCGCTCGGTAACATGCATGCAAGCGCAAGCACGGGACCTATCTACACGGATGCGAACTCTCGATCCCACTGCTCGTATCTCGCAGCCTGCTCTGACGACACAGATGGCCGCAGTGACCCACGGGCCACCTCGAGATCCATCGCCGACACAACTGCGGTACGCGCGAGCTCTCCGCTATCCGCCAGACGCCGAATGTCGGCCGCAGATCGAAGTATCACCATGCTCTGTTGTTGCTGTTGCTGCTGCTGCTGCTGCCCTTGCGGCGATTGCTGCTGCTGCTGAGACAGTTGTTGCTGTTGCTGTTCCTGGTGTAGCTGCTGTTGTTGTGTTGTGGACGGTGCTGGCAGTTGCGGCAAGGAGGAGGAAGAGGAGGAGCAGCTGGGGGTTGCCAAGCCGCCGATTTGGCGCCGTAGTGGAGCCATGGCAGCATCCCTGTCGGCGGTATGAAATCAGGAACATGGTGAACACATACCGGACACCGCGGTAAGGCTTAACACATCTGCCATTGCTCCACCACGCACATAACAGACATAACCCTTCGTCATAACCAACCACCAACCACGCAAACCCCACAGCCACCCGCCGGTACTACCTGCAAAGCAGCCGAATGTCGGCCCCGCTCAGCCCCTCGCACGCTGCAGCTAGCACGGCCAAGTCCACATCGCGTGCCAGCGTCACGCCCCTCAGGTGCAGCCGCAGCAGCGACTCGCGCTGCGGGGCGTCCGGCAAGCCTATGTGGATGCGCTTTTCTAGCCGCCTGCGTAGGAGAAAGAGGAACGATGAAGATGAGGAGGAGGACGAGGAGGAGGAGACAGGAAGCGTGCTAAAAGTACAGGTGATGAGCAACAGCATCAGCAACAGCGATGGATACCGCACCAGATGAGGATTGATGCGTATGCAACTCCATGGCAGCTAGCAGACTTTACGTGCGCGACACTAAGGAGTCAAACAGGTGGAGGGATCTGCCGTACGTACCTGCGAAGCGCTGGATCCAGATCCCAGGGGCAGTTGGTGGCTGCAAGCACCATGACACCCCGACCGCTGGCCAGACCATCCATCTGAAAGCAGCGCAGGTTGGGTAACATTGGGACAAATAGGATATTCGATATGACTCAAGAACTATATATATGTGCTCAAGTTGGATACGCGTACTGTAGGATTTTGTACGGTCTTAGAGGCTGTGCAGGTGCGTACACATCTTGCCCACCGGTACTGATGGCTTCCGTTCAGCTATTGGTTGTTGCCGTACAGGGCCCATGTACGACATGCAAAGAGTGTCGTACCTGTTGCAGGAGCTCCGCCTTAAACCTCCGGCTGGCCTCATGCTCCCCCTCGCCTCCCCGTGAGCCACCTAGCGCATCAACCTACGAGGGGGTCGGGGAAGCGGGGTAGAGTGCAACTAATAAGCCGCAATGAAGCACTTGAGGCCGTGAAGACCATAGAAAGACCGCTAATCCTCGCCTCCTAAAGACCCAGCCATGAAGTCCGGAGACGCGGGAGAAGGTGAAAAGCCGGTGGCAAGAATGGGAGCAATAAATGGAGGAAAGAATGAAGTTGTTGGATGAAGAGGAAGAAGAGGACGGAAAGCAGGAACATTCGTCCTCTCGCTGATGCGTAAGTTTATAAAAGGGGATTGGGTAAACGTGCAAATGAAGTTCCGATACCAAATGCAGTCCCGACAGGCCAATTCGCTCGGAAGCCCGCATCGTACACATTCCTAGATTTCCTACCTTCCGCCGGTCACGCCATCAACTATCACACGCACATCCGCCAATCGCACCCACACCGCACCTCACCTCACCTCATCAATGAATATGATGGCGGGCGCATGCGCCTGCGCTACCGCAAACAGCGCCGCCAGCAGCTTCTCGCTCTCCCCTCTCCACTTGCTTGTCAGGGAGGAGGGGCTCACCTGCGGAGGCGGAGATAGAGGAGCGAGGTGGGGTTGCTTGGAAGCATGTACGTGAAGTAAGGGGAAGATGGGTTGGGGACATTTGGCGTCGATTGTTAGCACGCGGGGAGTATTCCATTAAGCACGCGGGGTGTGTTCCACTTCTAAGTAAGCAGGCTCTCCCACTTCTGTTCTGAATCACTCACCGCGAAAAAAGCGCCTCCCACCATGCCCGCAACTGCCTTGGCAAGCAGCGTCTTGCCGGTACCCGGCGGCCCGTGCAGCAGCACGCCTCGCCATGGCTCACGGATGCCTGCACGCATGCATGCAGGTACGCATGCGGGGCTTGATTGTCAAGAGCCTAACCAGGTACATACGATGGACATACTGCTAGGGTAACGAGTTGTTGTAAAGGAATAAAATGGTAACAACCCGCAACGGCAACAACCCCTCCTCCCAAAGCGGTGAATGGGACAACACGCCTGCAGTCAACAACCGGCAAGCCATAACCCCACACACAACACATACACCCTTACTCCAAATTACGTGAAACACTTTGCAAGGAGTTGAGTACCTGTGAAGAACTCCGGGATAATTAGCGGAAGCGCCACCGCCTCATGCAACAGCTGCTTGGCCCGATCACAACCCGCGATGTCATCAAACGTGACGCCTGCAAACAGGTTTGCTTTACCGGTATTAGCGCTTTGCAAACACAGCAGACGGCTCTTGAGCACCACATGCGCGCAAAAGGGCTCAGAACGGGGATCATGAAACCGCACTCGCCGTCATACCGGTACACGCATGCACACACGCACAGCCGCACCTGTGTCCCAAGTCACTGCATCCCGCAGCACAGTCTGCGCTAGCGCCGGATCAATCCCCTCCGGAACCATCATCACACGTCCGTCCGACATGGCAACAGGAAGCAGCGCCCGAGGCGGCGGCGCGTTGCCGCCCACCGCCGGCGATGCAGCATGCGGCGATCCCATGACGAACATGCCGCCGCCGGGGGCTGCCGTACTGGGGGAAGTCGAGGCCATGCAGGGGGGTGCCGTACAGCAGGAAGCCGCTGAGGCGGCGGTGTTGGTGGTTGCACCAGGGGATCGGAGGGCACCCGCGCCTGTGGACGGCGGTGCCGCGGTCGTCAACATTGCCGCCGTTACCCTGGTCGTTGCGGCGTTTTCGAAAGCCGAGTGGGCCTCAGCCGTGACCGCTGCGATTGCTTCTAACACGGGGTTGGCGGACGGCTGTGGGGTTGTGAGGTTGTGGGCAGGGAGCAGGGAGCAGGGCTTGTAGGAAGGCAAGGGAGGGTTTGGGGCCATGCTAGCTGAGCAAGGAACCTAGTGCACGTAGGTGGAACATTTATCGCAAATGAACATTCGTTCCAAAACTTCCTGTCTACCAGAGACGTCAAAGCAGAACATCACGATGACGGTACGGTTTACGCGGACGGGCAAAACATTGCAAAACAGCAGCCTCCCAACCTAGAACACCAATGGGTTAGCGGAGGCAACTGGGCTGTAGGGCGAGGAAGGGTTTACACTCACATAGCGAGGGGCGGCGCGGGAACGCTCAGGCAACGACTGCTGGTGCTGCTGCTTGTGAGGCGGAATGTTGCGTTGATGGGGGTGTTGCAACTGCCGTTGCTGGTGCTGGTTCCGAAGGCGTGTGGGGGAGGGTGCGGCTCCCCGCGGTGGTACTGAAACAAGGTGGCCCCTGCAAGGGAGAAAAGGAAAAGCGGTAAGAAAGCACCAGCATCAGCAGAAGCACCAGCATCAGCAGAGGCACAAGCACCAGCAGAGGCACAAGCAGAAACATCAGCAGAGGCATCACACAGCGGAAAGAAGGTATACTACCATCAGTGTCATTGCCTTTGCCACCATCACCACGGTTCCCCCATCCTCTCTTTTCTCCCCCACCGATATGGAGTTGGGACTAGCAGTTGCTGCATTTCTTTGTAATTTTCCCCCACCTCCCTCCTCTCCTTCCCTTCCCTTCCATCCTCCCCGCCCACCCACCTGGACGGCGTGGAACCCCGCTGCTGTGACGCCTGCGAACCGGCAGCAGCAGCGGCAGCACTACCACCACCAGGCGTCACCGCCGACAATGCCGAAGAGGAGGGGCCTCCCGTGTGTACGACACCTGCTCCCGAGGTGCTAGCGGGCACGATACCATCACGCCTCAGAGCATCCACATGACCGTAGCTGCTGCGCAGGGACGCGTGCCCCGCCGAGGCGTCAGAGCCCGATAGCGGACCTGATGCTGCTCCCACCCCCGGCAGGCTGCTGCTGCTGTAGGTGCGAGGGTGGTGCGGGTGCGGCTGATGCGAGTGCGGGTGCGGCTGCTGAAGGGGGATACGATGGGGAAAATACGGGGGACGGGGGACCGGGGGAATGGAGGAGAAGCAACACATGCGGTTCTCAAACCCTTTCCGCGCAACAGGACAAAGTGGCCTTAAGAGCTATGCAAGGGTGTCGTGACCGTGGTCGTACCTGGGTGCGGTTCCCGACACGTGCGGAGCCAACCGATGGATGGTAGGATGACCTGGTTATTGCGGCATTGTTGCTGCTGCTGCCAGTACCCCGCGTGAAGGCTGGAGCCGAGGATCGAAATGCCTGCACAGTCCATGAGCCGTTGCGGTATTAAGCGGTGGAACCAGAAGCGTGTGGTTCCATGATGCAGGAAGGGATGGATAGGCAAGGAGTGCAATTGGGACGGACTAAGCGGGAGCTCAAAGGAAGCAAAGAAAAGAAACGCTCCTCGCCTCAACATGGGGCTTTTGCATGGACGCGAAGCGTCTATTTTGCGCCGTTGCATGATGTTGCTGGTTCGACGCCGGACCAGGTATCGCGAATGTACCTGTCCGCCCCCCTTGTTGCCGCCCAGACTGTATCCTTGGGAACGCGCTGTCTGTATACTTGCATAGATAGCCTGCATGCAAGCCGCATGCAACCATTCGCCAGTCGCGACTCAAGACCCACTGCGAGATATCACGTGGCGAAGGCTTTTTGCTCTACAAATATGGCATACCCTTTGCAGCTGTGGATCATCCATTACGAATGGCCTAACGAGAACTGCAGCAAGGTCCGCGAGTCGTCATCGAGTATTTCTACAGGACGCCATTATAAGGAAACACATGCGCCAGACGTCAGGTAGCGTTATCTCTATCCGGACAGCTATTGCAAACGACGAGGCAAGTAGCTGTCGTACTTTCACGTGTATGTAGAAGCTTGGTAATCGGAGTATCGGACCTTCGGACGAGGTACTGTGCCACCCCAATCCTACCGGTTAGCAGGCGGCCTAAGGGGCAGGACGACGGACATGCTGCTGCAACCTTGAGCTCTGGGTGGGATACCTTCACATGGGAACCTGCGAACTTCTGACGTTTCACGCCTTGGCTGGGTGGAGGGCGTGGAGCGTATTGTACGGTCCAATGCGTACCGTACTGGCGCAGGGAGGAATTTAGGAGTCTGACGACCCTCCTAATGTACTCATGTTTTGCAGCATCATGCTACCCTTGCGCCACGAGGCAAACTTCAACACACGGTTCTTACATGTGTGGGTTCACTCGTGCAGGCATCTCTTGCAGGCATCGCGCCTTGATAGGAACCATGTGCTACCATTACTTGGCTCCGACAAGCTCTCCTCCATTGCACGCGTAGCAAAACGTCAGCAGCAACTCCTACCCACAAGCGGAGCGGCATGTAAGACCAAGACATAACCTGGGTCAGCAAGTGAAAAAGCTGCATTCATACAAAGCCGTCCTTTCAGGAAGCCAGAGCCCACCACCTGCATTTACCAGGAGCGCTAGGGCCGTTTTCGCCCCTCGGGCATGCACCCTAATCGCACGACAATGTCGTCTAAGTAGCTCGGAAAAACCCAGTTCCCACCCCTACCCATTACCCGCGGAAGTGTTACGCTGCACAGCTAGTTCAGCAAAGCAAAACATGTGACCAGAAACGCGACTACCTACAAGCCTGGACAAGGCCAGCATTGTATACCTGGCACCTGACAACGTATCCGAAATGTCAGTCTCATTCATTTCTGGTGATAATCTAGAATACCCAAGAGTGAGTAACGGCGTCAGTGCCTCCTTGCACCCTTAAGAGCCCATCATGTCGCACGCCGTCAAACAAACAACCCCGCCCACGGAACAAGCATGCACCAGTCCTGCATCATATCTCGGTGCGCACGCGGGCAAACCCTTGCTGCAATGAAGGGAAGGATGTTGGGAGCACCAGCAAACCCGTTCCCTATCCAAACACGTCCTGTCAAGTAGCCTTCCTACCCACATTCGTTATAACCCTCGCTTGCCCGGCCCTACTAAAGCCGAAGCTCGACAGGCCCTCCTCAAGGCCCCGCTATCCTTCCCCCTCACCCAGTGGGCTCGCGTCCCAACCGGCCAGCGGCTCCCCTCCTATCCTTGCCTGCCCCCGAGGCTGCTACAGCCGCTGGCGTGGCACCAGGCGCCACGAACTCACAGGGTCGCCACCGGCAATCCTAAGGCGGGGCGCTACGTTCCCTTACCAGGCAGACCCATTGCCACAGCCGGAGCTGCAGCCAGCAAGCGCTAGCCCCCGGAACAGCGCCAGCCCACCGAGGCTCGCCTCGCCTGTGCCCCCTGCTCTGCAGCTCCATGTTCCCAGGCTCACTGCAGGCCAGGAGAAGCCGCCCGGGCTGCTATCCTACACACGAGCTACCCAGCAGCTGCAAGCAGGCCAAGCCACGTCGTGATGCCATGTGGCAAGTACAGCAGCTCCTCCGAAGTGTTGGTTCATCTTTCCGCAACAAACGCCGCAGTGACTGATGCATGACCGCTTTTCGCTGTCCACATTGCGCGGCTGCTGCTGCTGCTTTCGGTTGGCTGCTGCTGCTGCTTTCGGTTGGCTCCTGGTGACCGCCTGCGTAGCCACGGAAAACCTGCTGTCGCTGTTGCTGCTTGCCGCCGGCGCCGCCTCCACCGCCGCTGCTGTTGCTGCTCGCCCATCACCCATTACCGTCCAATAAGTCACGTAAGCGTACCCACCTGCGCTGCTTCCAACCCCCCTCCCTCCGTCAACCCACCCCCTCCTCCATACCACACCTGCGGCACTGTCTAAAGGCTAAACTTGGTCTTAATGGCGTCCATCACCGCCCCCAGGTCCTCCCTGACCTGAACCGGCGGGTTGGCGAATTGGCACGTCATGTTGGGAACCGACTTGGAGTGGTACGCCACCTTTGACTGCGCAAACTTGAGCCCATGTGCGGTGCTCACAACCACCGTCCGGTCGTTGGGCCCAATCACTTGCCGCTCTCGCAGCTTCAGCAGCGCAGCAAGCGCTACACCCGTGTGCGGGCAGTTGAACATGCCGGTGCGATCCGCCCGCGCCGCCGCATCCATGAGCTCATCCTCGCTCGCCTCCTCCACAATGCCGTTGGTGTCATTGAGCGCCATGATGGCCCGGTCAATTGACACCGGGTCGCCGATCTGGATGGCCGACGCAAACGTGGTCTTGGCCTTCATCGCCTGGTAACTCTCCTTGATGCCCGACACGCCGTTGGCCTTCTGGAAGGCTTGGAACAGCGGGTTGGCGTTCTGAGCTTGCGCGCACACCAGGCGCGGCATCTTGTCCACCAACCCGAGCTCCTTGCACATCTTGAAGCCCTTGTAAAAGGCGTAAATGTTGCCCAAGTTGCCGCCCGGAATGATGACCCAGTCGGGCACCTGCCAGTCAAACTGCTGCAGGATCTCAATGGCAGCTGTCTTCTGGCCCTCCAGGCGCAGGCTGTTCATGCTGTTGGCCAGGTAGATGGGCGTCTCCGCGGTGACCTGCTTGATGAGCCGCATGCAGCCGTCAAAGTCCGTGTCGATGCTCAGCACCAGCGCGCCGTTGGCAATGGGTTGCACCAGCTGCGCCAGCGAGATCTTATCCGCGGGCAGGAAGACGATGGAGGGGATGCCGGCAGCGGCGCAGTAAGCTGAGAGCGCAGCCGAGGTGTCGCCGGTGGAGGCGCAGCCCACGGCTGTGATGCTGCCTGGCTTGAGCTTGCGGATACGGTTGACCTGGCTCACCAGGACCGTCATGCCCAGGTCCTTGAAGGAACCGGTGTGGCTGTTGCCGCACTGCTTGACCCAGAGGTCAGTCATGCCCAGAGCCTCCCGGCCAAAGCGCTCCGCCCAAAAGAGGTTGCTGTTGCCCTCAAACATGGAGACGATGTCATCGTCCGACAGGCCCTGTCGACAGCGCGTTAAGGAGGGGGAAAAGAAGAGTCAAACCTGGGCAGTGTTGCGTGCTTGCGTGCTAAGGACTCGTTTCGGGAATGGAGGTTGATGGGGCCAGCGCTTGGGCTGGGCCGAGCACTGTTGGGCAGGCTTCAGGTGTGAGAAGGCTGGTGAGCTAGCAGTTGTAGGTATATCCACGGGGATTGCAGTCGTGGCAGCAAACATTTCCAGCTAAAGCAGTTAATTTGGCATTTGCAAGACACTTCCATAGATTCGACGAAAGCACCGTCCATTTAAGACTCACCGGCAGCACCCATTCCTTCTTGCTCCATACACCCGAGCCAAAAGGCCAGGCAGTTGTACCCACACGAGCATCAAACAAAGACCGCCAGTAGTCTGGGCCATACTGCGCCAGAGCTTGCATATCGTGGTGCACGTCGAGCAGGCCGCCGTCCCGCGATCGGTAGACCACGTCGTCTAGGCTGTAAGATTCCCCGGACATCTTGCTTGATAGAACATCGGTGAAAGGAACAAACTTGGCATTAAAGGTGTGCGCCTTGTCGAGAGGCACTGTAAGAGGAGGGCATGGGGCAAAACTCAGCGCCGGCGCCGGCAACCCAACTAAAACTAAGAGCGACCGTAAAAAGGAACATATAGAAACTACAAAATAAAAGCAAAACAAGCGGCGGTTCCTGTAAGGTAGGAAAGCAGGCAGCCCTGTCGGCTGCATGGCTGAGACCCACCCCGCAGCATAGCCTCCCTCCTGATGTCCGCAGGCGCGGCTGTGGCGTATACACGCTGCACACTACGACTGCATGAAGGCAGCATGGCCTGGCGAGCGCTGCTGCGCAGGGTCGGTTGCTGGAGAGTCTGCATGGTGGCCCTTATAAAGCAGCAGCGCAAAGCGCTCCGTAATGACGCCACCTCAATTGTTCCAGTATAACTCTCAAGAATTGAAGCTGCTTGCAGGCCAATACGGCTGAGAGCTAAGTTGGCCCGGTTTCGGAGACACCAAAATATTGATGCAATCTAACTGCCAGCACCTGCGGCCTTGGTTGCAATCACAGTTCCATGCGTATTGCAACTTCATCCATCCAGCAATCCTAGGTTCTTGGATACGTCCTCTCTATCCCTTACCCCTGCTGTCGAACCGCATTGTTCCCGATGGCTTTGTTGTCATCGCCAATTCGGCATGCCACGGCGTAGTGCGCTTCCCTTCTTCCCGTTTAGCTGCAGGCGGATGCCTGGACGCTAGTTAACGTGCTTCCTTGCCGTAGAGCGAGAAAGGAACCCGTAGGATTAAGAATACGACAGCATGCCTCGCAGCGCATTGACTCTTAAACAGTTGTTCATAAGCAATATCCAGCCGTCGCCCTGTCCGGACATGCCTGGCAGGCAGTTAGCGGAGTGACGACTGAGCCAAGCCCCCACGTAAAAACATTCCACCGCGCTTACGACAGTAACGGCAAGCCCGGCTTCATTTGTTTAGCTCTGTGCTGTTGCCGTTACGCCAGAACAAGCCCTACAAGGCATGCTTCTTACGCACAGGCCTCTCATCCCTCAGCAGCTCTAACCAAAACCCTAACCAAAATCCCAGTAAGCCAGCGCAAATAATAGATAACATGCTATACAGATCTCGCGAATTGCAGGACAAGATGTCGGCACAACCCTGCTCTTGCAGCAATAATCCGCAACGTGAAACCCGCAACCAGAAACTCACACTTGTCGGGGCAACAATTAACAAGGTTTCCCCGGACCCACAACTCAGCCTGCAACATTAAAACCCCCACCCCACCTCAACCAAACGCATCCCTGAAGCAGCCGGATGCAGATGCCTGTAAAACAACTCGTCCTTGTACGTGTGTGACAAATACCGCCAAAAAGATATGACGAAAGCGCAGTACATGGGTCAAGAAAGGTGCAGTCATAATAACGCCGCAGTCCGGCACACGCGCATTCGCAAAGATGCAACTTCCTTTTGCGATCGCCAGCCAGACCAGCCTTGCCACTGCCGCAAGCACTGCCTTGTTTCCCTCATAAGACCTATGGGTCCCAAGCCATCACTAATGCAGACTACCGAAAAACGGCACCTTAGGGCACCCAAGAAGGCACAACATTGATCAATATGGAGGAGTAGTAGACGACTACCCACCAACACCACCCACATGCCAAACACCTGCTACTCACAATCTCAACGACACCCCCCCAAAAGGACGACAACCGCAACAACAACAACGACAACACACCCGCAGGTGACCCCAAAATCGACATGGTTGTGAGGTAGGCGCTCCGCTCACCTCAAGCGAACGAGCGCACAAGCCAAACCCCGTGTCATGACATGTGACAAGAAAAACCGTTTATGGCAGGGGTTGCTGGGAGCACCACCAAAGCGTGTGTACCCACAAGTCCTAACGCGTAAACCTCCGCAATCCATCAAGCGCTGACAGTCAGCGCTGCTGGACTGCTTGTCCATTTCAGTGGTCTCATTATGCCAAGTGCCACATCCTGCGCGCCAGGGGCCCTAGCCAGCTCACGCGTACTGCTGCATGAACTCGTTGTGGAACTTCTGGAAGCGCTCCACAAAGGAGCTCATCACCTCCTCGCGGGGCAGGATGGTGGTACGCAGGTGGAAGGTGCCATCCTCCTGCAACAGCACGGCCGGCAGGGAGAGGCGGCGGTGAAGCAAAGCCCGTGCGCAAGCACTACGAAATGGAGCCCAGGCAGCAAGAACACGCATGCGTGCCAAGCTGACCTGCTGCACATGCAAACAAGTGAGCGTACCCCAACTGTTGCGCCTTGAACCCACCGGTAACACATACCGTACCAAGGTACCATCACTCGGAACAACACAGCAGGAACATCCACACGCACATGTGGCCACACGCCAACCCACGAGCCCCGGCCCACCTGTCCAAAGCCGCTACCCGGCACGGTGGAGATGCCGGTTGCCTCCAGCAGCCTTAGGCAGTAGAACACATCAGGCGCCTTGCCAGCTGCCTGGGCCGCCTCGACGGCCTTGGGCGGCAGCTTGATCTGCAACGTCCGAAAGAGGAGAAAGATGGCCACATGACGACATGAGGGAGGGCCATAAACTGAGCCAACACATGAGCTAAAGAATGGTATACACATGGACGGCTTTGTGCTTTTGTCTTGGCTTTCCTGTGCCGTACGTACCAAAGCTATTGGCGCGCAACCACAGCAACGCGTTAACAACTATTACAACATCTACGGCTGGGTTATGTCTCAGTTGGTAGTCCCAGTTGGCACCCCAGAGCACAGGCGCCCCCAGCACAGGCGCCAAACGGTTGGAAAGACAGGCCTTGTATGTAAGGGTGGCGAACAAACGGAGCAAGCACAGGGATCGGCGCGGGACGGACGGACGGACGCACCCACCTGCGGAAAGCTGTACATGGCTCCCTCCGTGAAGTTGCACACCACCCCCGGCAGCGAGTTGAAGCCGTCCGTGACCATGTGAGCGCGGCGGCGCAGCGAGGCCAGCTCCGAGCCCTTCTCCTTCATGAAGAGGTCGTACGAGGGCTCGCCTGCAGGGGCAAGGAAAGCGCCGGGAACGGGATATGAGAGAGCGTGTTCCCGTATCGTCCCTTCTCAAGAGTGGTTGCCAGTAGGCACCTCCAGAGTTTCGTGACTAGCAAGGGCGACGAAATCCGCAGTATGGAAGCGCCCAGTCAAAGGGCGCGTCCGGAACCGATTCTAATGCCTCCCCGTCCACGCGTGGCCATCTGCTCACCCGGCTTTGGCGGGTTGACGAGGCAGGACAGGGCGACCTGGCCCATGGTGTTGGGCGAGAGGTTGATGGATGCGCACTTGTAGACCTCCTCAATGGCTCCAGGGTGGATGTTGGTCATCTCAACGTAGCCGCCCCGAAGGCCGCATTCACCCGCAGTGCCCTAAGGGAGACATGCCATCAAAACGTAAGCAAGCGTGCCCTTCTCGTCAATACTTTCATACTTGAAAGTTCCAGGACCCCATGGGTGCTTTTAAATTCCTTAAAGCCTTTGGACGGAGCCCCAACACGCACGGACACATACCGACGTTCCGACTCGCGGCTAGTTTCCTTTACATGCACCGATGGACCCGTGGGTCACTCCCTGCCCACCTTTGACACCGTGTGGAAGGACAGCAGCTCCACGTGGCTCCTGTACGGCTCCCCCATGCTGTGCAGCACCTTCTTGGCGCTCACAAACGGCCGCTCGTCCTGGTACACATTCTCCTGTGGCAGTGCACGCAGCAGTGCTAATCGTAAAAACAGAGCCGTCTAAAAAAGGATAATACCGGTGTAGCCATCCAAGCTTACCCAGGAACTGACAATTTCATGCAACATCAAAGACGCTTTCAACCACCAAAGTTCTTCTTCCTTGCTTACTTCAGGCTTACTTTCTACTCAAACCGGGCCGCACCCGCACCTGGTACACCTCATCCGCCATCAGCACGATGCGCTCCTGGTACGCAAACTCAATCAGCTCCCGCAGGTTCTCCTCGCTCAGGCACTGACCTGCGGGAGGGGGGGTGGGCAGCGGCAGTGGGAGTGTTGAGCGGCTCCGAGTTGTGGGGTTTTCAAGGGTTTATATGTTGTTCCATCCGTCCATCTCCTCCTCCCTCCATACTCCCTGTGCTCCCGGTCCCTTTACAAACACAGAGAAGCAGACGCTCCCTGTGCTCTCTGTTTCAGTAAAGCTCTAACTTTACGTTGCAGGAGGTGCCTACCTATCTCCCAAACCCCTCCCGCTCCCCCCCTCTCACCCGTGGGGTTGCCCGGGTTGATGAAGACCAGTCCGCGCACCAGCTTGCCCTCGTCTCGCGCCTCCTTGAGCGCCCGCCGCAGCTCCTCCACCTGCAGACCCCACCCGCGCCGCTCGTCCAGGTAGTAGCCCACCAGCGTGCCGCCTGCGGGCAGCGGGGGAGGAGCGGTGGTTGGGGGGGCCGGTGTGGAGAGGTCAGCACATGGTAGGAGTGGGCGGCTGGACGGTCATCTAGGGGGAATAAGTCCGCTGTCAAGCATGGGTACACCTCGCTACTGGCCTCTTATTACAAGAGGACTGCTTGACAGCAAAGGTTTGCTGGGAAGGGCTGGGAGACTGGTGGGCAGGCAGGCAGGCAGGCAGGAAGGCGGACTGGGAAGGGAGGCAGGCAGGTGGGCAGGCAGGGGCTCCTCAGATGCGCCTCTCTTACCGTAGAGCCGGATGGATGCCGAGTAGAGGGGGTACTGCGGGATGGGCACCATGATGGAGTCGCGCTCGTGGCGGATCATGGCGTTGAGGCACAGCCGCACGGCCACGGAGGCGCCGTCAGTCAGGAAGATGTGCTCAGGGTTGGAGGGCACTCCGTCGCGCTTCTCGATGAAGCGCGCCACCTCCTCGCGAACCATGGGGTTGCCGCGGCTGTCCGTGTAGGCGCCCACACCGCCCTTGAAGGCAGCCAGGATCTTGCGTGCGCGCGCAACGGCGTCTGCGGGGAAGAGCTCCTCCACACGCGGGTTGTCCAGCAGGAAGGGCGCTGCGCATAGGGCCAGGACCTTGAGGGAGGAAGGTAGGAAGGAAGAGGGAGGCAAAGGAAGAGGGCGAGATGGTGGGTAGAGGGGGGATAGGAGTGGGGCTGATGTTGAAAGAGTGATGTGTGGGCAGAGGTTGTTGGCCTCGCGGTATAATAGCGGCTGGGAGGAAGGACTTCCTCCCAGCCGCGGATGCCCTTGCGCGGTGTTGGGAAACAGGTGAGGTGGATAGGTTGTTGACTAAGCTTGTAACCATCCGGTCGATGCAAGCCGTTAAGGCTGTGAATGTTGGACCCAAATGCTCAAATGTATCCTACATGCCAACCCCTAAACAAGCCAAGACACCTGCGTCTGAGCGGCACCGCCTCTGGTCAGTACGGCTAGGATGCAAGTGACGCCCATCCAACGACAGCTGACTTTGTCGCTACGCAGTGGCTGATGCAGTGCCCGGCAAAACCGCTTTCTACCTTACAGCCCGTTCGATTCTGAAGTAAGTGTTTCCCAACCGCGCAACATCGGCGCACGTCGCACCTGACGAGGGAAAGTCAGAGGCTTGGCGCCAAGCGCGTGGGGATTCCCAACTGCAAATAGGGGAAGCAGCAGCATAGTATACCTAGGTTTACTTCCGATGCAAGGCGAGGCAACGGTCGCCCCTTAAGCCTTGGACCCACGCACGCACCATTTGTGAAGATAATCTCCTTCCCCTCTTTCCGCAGCTGCTCCGCGCGTAGATACAGCTCGCCACGAACAGCATATTGCGTCTTCATAACGTTTTCGTTCAGCAAGTGCGGATGCAAGACCTTGCCGTCCTTATGGTGCAAGTCTTCATCTCTCGTTTCAGTTGGCTGCGGCATTGCCGACTTGAATCGTGTACCTCCGATGCTCCATGACGGGGAAAGTCCCTTGTTGCCAGCCCTGAAAACGGCGGATACTAGACGAACAGCTTCTTTGCGCACCATTTTTGCGAGTCCTGCGGTGTCAAGTGAGGAGGGTAAGAAGGGAAGCGTTTTCTTCAGGAAACAGCGTGTGCAGTAGTAGTTTTTCGTCCAGCCGTACCACGGCAAACAGGTGCCACCAGGTAGGCCTAGGCCGCGAAGGCTTTTTCAGCTTCCTGACTGCGTGCTCTGCTGACGTCTATTAGGCACGATTGTTATGACGTTGGCCGCGTAGCCGCTTAACCAAAGTTGCCTGAACGTTACTCATGGAGGACAATGGTACAACGTCAGAAAATCGGCAGCTCGGGCATGGCTCGAGCAGCATATGGGTATTCGGCTATGGAAGCCTTATGCACACTCCAAACTTCGCTTTTGCACAAAGGACAGTGGGCTACATTAAAGGCTATAGACGTGTCTTCTGGCAGGTATTTTCTGTTAGCGTCTTCCCAAGAAGGCTGAGGAATTTTGCGACGCTGAGGGGACGGGGGCCGTGGAGGTTCGGGGTAGGGTAGGGGTCCAGCTCCTCTGTCTGGCAGTGCCCTGCAAGCTGCAACGGCCTGCTGCACGGCATGCTTGCCCGACCAGCAGCTACCAAAGGCATGGCTCTGCACTGCGCTTCCTCAAGTGTTGCACGCGCTCCTCTATCGTCTTGCTCGTAAACGTCTTATGTGGGGCTGAGCCATTATCTGCAAGCCCGGCAGTGCGAATTAGCCACAACGGGAAGTAATGAACTCCCGCCGTGGCAAAATGTTGTACCGTTGCCTTTTGTTGTATAGCTATTCAGCTAACCGCCAACAGTGTCGTCCTCTGTTAACGACAGGGCTCAACTGACCACCGCGGGACGCCTAAACGGCCGGGCCGAACCGTAACGCTTACAGCCGACAACGATCCCTGCGCCATCACATGGGGCGTAGCCTACCAGCTTGCAGGCTCGCCAGAAGAACAGGCGACAACCCTGTCGTACTTGGAATGGCGGGAAAAGGAGTACGACGTACGGCAATACGTCGACATTTGCCGTGCAGATGGCAGCGTTGCCATACGCGGCGCGTTGGTCTACATCGCGAGTCCTTCAAACCGAAACTACTTGGGTCCGGCGGATCTCGGCGACATTGCCGTACAGATCGCTACTTCAAAGGGCCCTTCCGGACCCAACTACGAGTACTTGTTCAAACTGGCGGACGCAATGCGGACCATGCGAATACCGCTGGACGCAGACCTGCATAGCTTGGAGGAGGCTGTACGGCAAGAGCTATCAACACGCCGTACAACGGCCTCGGTTGCCGGGACCGGCTGCGATCTGGCCTCACCTGCCCTAGCGGCAGCGGCAACGTCGGCAGGCCGGGCATTGCTTCGTGAAGATGGCGAGCAAGTTGAGGACGATGATGACGAGGAGGAGCAGGAAGAGGAGGAAGAGGTGGTGGAGTTGGATCACCATGTGGACTACCGCAGGAGGCACCAGCAGGGGCTGCGGATGATGCAGGCAGGGCACGTGAGCCAGCAACAGGCTCAACCCCAGCAGCACCAGCAGGAGCAGCGGCAGCTGGAGCAAGCCAAGCAGCAGGGCGAGGAACGGCAGCAGCAACATGGGCAGCAGCAGCAGCAGCAAGGGGCGGTAGTGTGCGGTGGAGACTCTGTTGGGGGCTGCAACAAGGGGGCAGGGGAGGGCGTGCAGGCGTATGCGGTGGAGGCGGTGTGCTGCTCCAAGGGGGCAGCAACTGGGACGCCGGCGGGGTCTGAGCCGGGTTGACGGGCTTGGTTTGGTTGCGGATATTCCAGCCGGTTTACGAAGGGGATTTTTGAGTGTGGCGGGAATACTGGTTGGGTCTCAGAACGGCTACAAGTGTTCTTGGTCCGTGTGAATAAGGCATGTCCGTTTTAAGTTATGTTAGAGTATATCTTCCTCTGCATGGTTAGTTAATTGCTTCCGTCTTGCGCATCATAAGACGTTTAGCTATGCCACGGCATTGTACTGTATTATTGTGCTACTTTACCATGCTCTAGTGCATTTGGTCATGCCTGATGACAGATTCATGTAGCATACCTTCACCTAGGCTGGCTTTGACTACTTGCCATGCACCGTGTACCATTGAACCTTACTTGAGCCATACTTTGGGTGGTATCGGATATTGTCAACAGAACGGCGTTTGCAGCCCGCTTTTCTGCGGTCATGACAAATCCCGCCATTGTCATGCGAAATAGTGTTTATCCATACAATCGTGAGTCGCAGATGGACACTGCGCTCCCAAAGTTCCGGCGTCGTGGTCCCATGCAGCCAAGTAGCCATTAGAGGATGCGCTCAAATGCACAGAAGGCCTTATGCGCAGACCATACAATTCACTCATGGGTCACAAGGCCATCAAACACTCCACAGCACACACTCGTCTCCTCAAGGAAATCTTCTCCAAAATCTGGAATAAGGTATTTGAACGTTGCACCCTGCTGCATACCCAAGCATGCTGCAGCACCACATGTCCCTGCTCAATTCAGGTATGCACCACATCCTAACCAAGCAAGTGACCCGTGGGTCGGTGCAGTCAAGCCCCTATGCATGTCAAAAGTGGTGCGCCAGCTGCTTACAGGCGGGCCAGGTCGTTCTGCCACACGGTGGTGGCCCAGGGGTCGGCCAGGTGGGCAGCCAGGTTCTTGAGGGGCGTGGTGCCGGTGGTGTAGGCCTGCAGGCGTGGCACAGGAGGCATACATGCGCGGGGTCAAGCAAGGGCAAGACCTCGCGCTTGCCGTGCATCTCGCCCCGCACAGAGCGCATCCAAGGTCGGTCCCCAGCTACGCTGACAGCTCGCTTGCAGCAGTACACCCACCAACCCACATCCACCCACCTGGGCAGCGAAGCCGGCGAAGGCCAGCATGGCCAGGCGGCCGTTCTTGATCTCCTTGGTCTTCAGGCTCTTCATGTCGCCCTTGGACCAGCCGAAGGGGTCGTGGAAGCCGCCGGGGTAGCCGGGCTCGTTGCCGTCGGGCAGCTTGTTGCCGGGGAACACGGGGTCCTGGTTCACGGAGCCGGGCTTCAGGTAGTCGCGGTAGCTGCGGGGGCGGAGGGGGAGGACGGGGGCAGCGGGGGAGGTTGAGGAGGATCAGGAACGAGGGGCGTACAGACAGTATCAACGAGAAAGCATGGAACCATGGATTGGGCAGGAAAGGTATTCACATACCCAAAATGATCCATGCCACAGCCATACACCCATGCACCCCAAGCCAAGCCAACCAACCACCCTTCCCAACAACCACCACGCCATCATCACGCCCGGCCCCAGCTCACCGGCGGACCTCCACCCAGCCGAACAGCAGCATCTGCACGATGAACAGCGTGCTCGCGGGGGCAAAGTACTCGAACTTGCCAGCATCGTACCAGGCCACGCCGGCGCCCGGCCAGGAGATGCCCAGGTTGGCAGCCAGCTCGGGGAACAGGATGCCGGCGACGGCGAGCATGGCGAAGCGGGCGTTCATCAGCTCGGCCTGGGCGTACCTGGGAGAGACAGAAAGGTGGTTCCGGTAGTTGAGGGACAGGGAGAGGTGGGATGACGGATGAGGTTAGGACGAGGAGCCCAGGATGAGCGTATTGAACGACTTTAAATTTCAATAACGTTGCTGGTACTAGGCAATACGGGGCACGCTGGCTGTTTGCACCCCCAGGGCAACCCCTGTCTCTGCCGAGCTAGTGCTAGCGGCGTCAGGGCCGTGCCACCCAGCCACGACCCACCACTTGAGCTTGCCGGCATCAGCACCCAGGCGCAGGGGGTCGAAGCCGTAGTCCTGTGAACCGCAAAGGACAGGTGGACGGGGACGCGTAAGGAGCAAGGAGGCTGATGAGAGTGAATTTGGGAGAGGTAGGGTACTGCCCAGTATCGGGGACAAGCCCATACAAGCCCAGTGCATGTCCTGTTGGCCCGGCGCCACGACCATCACCACAACGCTTCTGATACCCAAAGATTAAACTACCCCCGGAATATGCACAGTATGATGCCCTGATGTACCTTTCTTTACCACCCAACACACACTGGTTCCATCTGAGCCCGCCCTCCTAAACACCGTACCCGCATCCTCAAACCCCGCCCTTCCCCAAGTACCTTCCTGCTCCCCTGCTTCCCCTTCTCTGCGCCCCCTCTCCCTCCCCCGCACCCTCCCACACTTACGCCGGGCAGGGTGCCATCCAGGTATCCGGGCAGGGTGGCGCCGGGCATCCAGCTGGGCAGGCTGGCATCGCGGGGAGCACCGCCCTAGCAGCCCCAAGGGAAGGAAGGTGGAGAAGGACAAGGGAAAGGTGAGCAGGGCTTAGTAAAGGGTTGGGCCGGAGCCGGAGTCTTTGGTGGCGTTCGGCAGGACATCAAGAGCGCTGTCGGGGCTGAGGAGGCAGTCGGGAAAGCAGGACAGGGATGAATGCTGCCTAGGTGTGATCGGAAGTTAGGCAGACGGAAGATTAGGCAATGGAAAGAAATATCTGGTTGAAAGTGAGGCAGAAAGGCTGAAAATGAGTTTAGGTTACCTGCTTGCTCTTCCAGGCATCGATCCAGGCGCGGGCCTCCTTGACGTTCTCCGGCGCAGCCGTCGCCTGCGCAGCAGATGCAATTGAAAGACATGCAAGAGGGCGGTCAAGGAAATCGTCGGTCCGTGTCCAAAGCCCGCGCACTGCACAGGTAATCATAGTATGAAACTAGGAGTGGCGATAGTACTAAAGGCTGCCCGCGGCCATCGCCGAACGTGGGCGCTGACCAAGTCAGGAGACCATGTCCGTGCTTGCCAAAGATGGATACGACTAAATCCGTAATGGGCGCGTTCGATCTGCAATACATGCTGTGTCCTGTATCCGGTTTGTGCGCGGCCGCGCAGTCGTGTAGCGTGCAAGATACAATGATGCTCCCCAAGTGCAGCCTGCTCCAGCGGCCCCCGGGCAGCGCCGAGGCCATAGATCAGGTGCAGGTACGCTAACAGTTATTAGAGTACTAAAAAGCAGCTGTATACCATGCGATTCTACTTGCCTTCACCGCGACGCTGGAGCGGCGCGAGGCGGGCTTGGCAGCGACGCCGAAGGCCGACGACTTAGCAAGAACGAATGCCATTTTTTCCAGATAACGGGGAGACAACGTGGCCTGCGCGCCTGTGCGCAAATGAGGGTGCGATTATGTTACGACAGATCGTGGTTCTGGAGCATGCAGATCGTAATGTGTCTTCACTTCCTTTGCAACCTCACAGAGCATACACACAGTTGGTAGCATCTGACTAGCTTGGTGGGCTTTCAAGCTCTATCGCGCTGCCCCGCCAATCAACGGCTTGCATCTGCGATAGACCTCTGTGGCATAGCCTTACTGTCCTTCGAAGCTCGCACATTGCTATAGCTTTTGTTACCAAGCCTTTCAAAAGATCCTCAGGCAGGCGTTTCATTATTCCGGCGTGCAGCAAATGCCTTGGGTTCGAAGTAGGAGCTCTTCGAAACGCACTCCCTGTGACCTTTGGGAGAATGAGGCAAGGGGCGCAACCTGTTTCACCGTATCTCCAAGCGTGGGTGAGGGTCAAGAACGCTGCCAACCCGCTGGGGACTGCGAACCAAGGGTATTTGCCAAGCCAGGCTTACCAGGCCCCCAAATGCACCGGATTTGTTCGTTCCCGTTAAACGGAAAGTTTCTTAGCAGACCTCCGTGGGGCAGGTGGACCATGCAGTACGGTAGAACCCCTGAGCCGTCAGCAAGGAAGCCGCGTTCTGCAGGGCGAAGATGCTTAACATGGGCTTTAGCATGTAGCATACTGCATCCAGCCTTAGGGCCTGAAACACCTAGTTTAGGCGCGTATGGGCCATCAACATGAGCATCCCAGACCGGCACAGCGCCTGCTGTAGTGTCTACGGAGTATGTACGGCTTGGTGACAGCTGCATTTGTGTCGCCTATAAGACAACCCCCCTTCAGAGCAACCCCGGGCCAGGTAGCCGGGTACAAAGGCAAGGACACAGCCCACAAGCTGATCCCCAGCTGTAATCATACAGGCCGTGAAACTACGCCTGTCTGTGTAGATAGGAGCAGGGCTGGATAGAACGGGCTGTAAGACGGGCTACAACGGCAAAGCCCTGGTTACGGCTTAGTGGCTGCTTCAATAGTTTGTAAGGAACCTTGGGTGGGGACAGGGGGACAGGGCGTCGTTGATAGCCTCTGCCTTGCCCTTCGGCATGAAAGCGTCAGGCCTAGGTTATGTCGCTTGGGAGGAATTAACGGATTGTGTATACGACATCGTGCTGCGACGCTAGGCCTGGCCATGGGTGGTGGTCTATGTGGCACACATCCTGGACTGACCCAATAAGGATGGACCTGACAGTACGCAGCGAAGCAGTAAGGCATCCTATTGTTTGCAGAAGGGCATTGCAAATCCCGGTCACATCAAGGGACCTGGCATGAACGCGTGGCAAAGAATGTCGTTGCATGCATACGCTGCTGTGAGAGAACCCAGCACTACGAGGGAGGTGTGGTTAACTGCATGGGTAGCAGGGTTGATACCACCAATCCGGTGGCCAGGATGGCAAACGCCTTGATTTCGGCATCTACGAAAATACGTACATGTCCTGGCAGGTAGCTGAGCCCCCTGCATGCCTTGCTTGGCTAGCCACAGCCACGGAGTGCGCGGCAGTCGCGCTATACCATACGGACCCGCTGCTAACGATGCAGGACATAACTGCACAGTCCCTATTTGCTTGCACACACGGTAATCATGCAGTCCCACGCCGTACAGACTGTCAACTCTATATAATATTTGACATGTGAAATGGCATCCCGACACAGCCACGCAGTTTGCGCCTGACATGCGCATGTGGCACCTTCGCGATGTGTGCTGGACAACGCCCTTCATGCTGCCCACGTGTGCTGGACAACGCCCTTCATGCTGCATGTGCGCGTTGATTTATCCTTGCTACGCTGCCATCAAAAACACAAACGCGCTGCTAGACCTCCATGGGTATGGTGAAAGCTTGTAGTCCTTCAGCGACGCTGAGACCGCTGAGACCCGGAACGCAGCAATGCCGCTGTGAAAGAAAAGACGAATAGCTTGCTCAGATTACGTTCATGCATGCTCGACTAGAAAAGTAATAGCCAGCTTGTTCTCCTACTTAACTGTCGCGCACAATAGGAACACATTTTATGGGGTGACGAAAAATAAGCGTCCAAAAACAGCATCGAAAACTTGAATGCTAAAAAACTAATACCACACCTTGCCTGTTGACGCGCGCTTTTCAGCATGATCTTTTGGGCCTTGCAGTACGACAGATCGCTTGCTGGTAAGGGGTCAGCACCACCGTGGCGCTGTTAGGGGTAAAGGTAACCATTTCAGCCGGTTTTGTGTAACGTGTGCCGGCTGTGGCAGAGACTTTTGCGCTTAGTTTTTAGACATGGCGACCCTCCGCGTGACTGCTCCTGTGACGGCCGTGCGCGCCAGTGTGCGCAGTGCAAAGCCGATCCTGCCTGCTCGGGCTTCCATCAGGGCTTTGACTGTCCGCGCTCAGGCGAGCAAGGAGCAGGATGCCTTCAAGGTGAGGGCCTCTTCTAGCACGCGCGCCTATAAGTCGTAGCTCAAGTCGCGCTTACCTGCCTAATAGATAGGATGGAAATGCTCATGAGGACTCTAGGTTGGGCCGGGAGTTGGCCTTAGCACAGTGTCATGGAAACTTCGCTTTCCTGACACAGGCAACACAATCCAAGGCTTGGCCTTCCAAATTCCACTTAATATAATGATATATAAAGCGCACGTTCACGCATGGTCCTGACTTTGTGCAAGGGCTTTACTTGCTGCCTGACGAGCATCCTCGCCCTGCAACACCGTAGCCCGCGCTAAAGCTCACATTCTAGTTAGAGATGTCTCTAATTGTTGTGGTGTGCCCTTTACCAGTTCGGCACCGTTACTGCGCTGTCCACGGTCGCCTCGTCGTGGATGCTGGCTGGCCACGCGAACGCTGCTGCTGAGCTGTCGACCATTGCTGCCAGCGACAACCGCATTGGCATCATTGCGACCCTCTTCGTGCCCGTTCTTGGCTGGGTGGCGTTCAACATCCTGGGCTCTCTGCAGGCGCAGCTCGACCAGATGAGCGACAAGAAGCGCGCTATCCCAGCTGCTATTGGCCTCGGCGCTGCCGCTTCGATGCTGATGGCCCAGTCGGCTGACGCCGCGACCGAGATTTCCACCCTCGCTGCCAGCGACAACCGCCTCGGCATCATTGCCACTCTGTTCGTGCCCATGCTTGGCTGGGTGGCATTCAACATCTGGGGCTCTGCGCAGGCGCAGCTTGACCAGATGAGCGAGAAGAAGCGTGCTATCCCAGCTGCTATCGGCCTCGGCGCTGCCGCTTCGATGCTGATGGCTCAGTCGGCTGACGCCGCGACCGAGGTCTCGACCATTGCTGCCAGCGACAACCGCATTGCCATCATTGCGACTCTCTTCGTTCCCGTCCTTGGCTGGGTGGCGTTCAACATCCTGGGATCTCTGCAGGCGCAGCTTGACCAGATGAGCGACAAGAAGCGCGCTATCCCAGCTGCTATTGGCCTCGGCGCTGCCGCTTCGATGCTGATGGCCCAGTCGGCTGACGCCGCGACCGAGATTTCCACCCTCGCTGCCAGCGACAACCGCATTGGCATCATTGCCACTCTGTTTGTGCCCGTGCTTGGCTGGGTGGCGTTCAACATTCTGGGCTCTGCGCAGGCGCAGCTTGACCAGATGAGCGCCAAGAAGTAAAGCTGGAACGACTTTTTGCAACAAGGACCCATGGGTCTGTCGTGATAGCACCTTAGGAGTTTTGTTCCGTTGCCTGAGTGTAGGCGTGGACAAGTCAGCGGCGTAGGTGCCCTGGAGTTAAGCCGCGCTGTTGCTGTGTCCTGAGTTGTTGGACTGAGGGTGTTTGCCTGGCTGGCCAGACTGGTTAAGTGTCAAGGTTGAGAGGTCAAGGTGCATGGTACCATTTAGCACGCATGGGGTTGCTGACGGTCCTGCATTGCTGCAGTTTTCCTGGTGTGGCGGCAATGGCCTGCTTGTCGTTCCAAACTGATTCGTGGATGGAGGGTTGAATCGAGCCAATTGTTGTGTTGATTCTGTCTGGCGAGTAACGGATGCCATGCAAGCGGTAGGCATCTTGCCTTGTGTAGTGCAGGGAGAGAAGACTCGGACGAACCATATACATACATGTTAGATCGCAGCTCTGTTCCTGGCGTATCTCCCCGCCATCACCCCCAATAAACCACCCTGAGAAGAGAATTTCAAGATCGTTACTTATTGAAGTGCAGCTGCCAAAGGAGCGTCGTGGTATGTGCCAGCCTCGCAACAGGCCTTTGTCGGTTGTCACAAGTGTAACTAGAGTTCCCATGAGCTATTTGGGGCACATGAGCGTCAAGCTCGGCATGTGGGTTGGGCTGAGTGTAGGCGACGCTAAACTAAGGACTAGCACAGCAGCTTGCCAGCATGCATGCTTTCTGCGGATTGTTCTACCGTCCCGTACCGCCCCAACGTGGGTAAGAAGTAAACAGCGACTGGGATTAGGCAAGGATTGAAGAGGGACAGAGCAACGGGGTGACTTCCACCTACCGGTATGTCTCGACTTTCGAACCCTCGCAGGCCAAGATGTGTTCTCAGGCCTGCACACGAACCCTGTCCAGCATATCCCCTTGGGTAGTATGCTGCTATGACAGATGCAACCAGTACATGACAGGAACAATAGCTAGAACGGGCTAACTGCGTGGTAAGGGTAATGGAGGGTGTTGCGGATGAAGACGTCGGTGCTCTGCATGCTTGCATGTCCCAACAGGCAAGGCAAGCCAAGATCCAAGCCTGTCCTAAGGCGTGTAAAAAGACTTACAGCGCGTCATATATACAGTATTTGGGCAGAAGAAAGCAGACTTACCATATGGCTGTTGATTAGCTAGGGCCTTCAACGGAAACGTTGCACCATGAGCTAATTGGATCACAGTTAGCCTACGAGTGAACGAAAAATGTATGCGATAACTATCAGCCATCAGCCTAAATTGTTGAATATACTGTTGACCATTCGGTTACTTCAACGGACGGTACGGCTTGGGAGGAAAAAGGCGCGAAGCCATTGCTGTTAACCTGGCTTTCAGCAAAGCGTATTGGACCCTTGGCAGGTCTTGTTCCCTCATACTTCTTTATCAACTGACAGGGACAGCTTTGGCCTTGGGCGGTGCATAGAGTGAATCTTTTCAACCATGGCGAACTCTTACCCTAACCACAGCAAGGACGCCGGTGGGTAATTCCAGGCTTATAGTACATACTCCGTTCCTCAATATCTCTAACTTACAGAGCGTTCGCATTGTTGCTTACAAACGCTCTTCCGATGGGCTCGAACTCGACCTTGCAGAGCTCTGCGAGAAATTTCTGAGAAACTTTGACGACCCTGAGGGAGATGGCAAGCTCAAGTACATGCAGCAATTGGTGCGCACTTTGATTTTGACATCGGTCGACGTCGGGATGGCTCATTCGCAACTTGCCTGTCGGAACAATATGGCTAAGCTTCGCCTGTATGCATCATTGGTTGGCTTTAGCGCCCCGAAAGTCTGTCAACTACATGAACTACCTACACCCTAGACCCTACAAGGTTGAGCAGTCGCAGCCCCCTGCTGACCACCTTTTTCACCCCTTTACCCTGTCTGCTCCCTTGCGCCTGCGCCTACGCACAGCAAGAGATTGCCAACCGTCGGAGTAAGGTGCTCTCTATTTCTCTGGACGACGTGGAGGCGGTAGGTGTACAGAAACTGAGCAATCCGCTTATTGTTGCTGGGCATGATACACCTATCCTTAGCGGGACTTGCCATCGTTTGTTCCAATGGCTTCAAGGCCGAACCACAGGCTGGACCGAGCCTCTAAAAGAAGATACATGTAGACTAATGTGTATGGGTAGCCGTACAAGTTTGACCGTTCCTCAACCCTTCCCTCCCCGTGGTGATACCATGGGTACCCCCTTCACGCAACCCTCAGTTCTTCTCGGTCCCGCCGCCGCCACCAGAGGAGCACCGGCCTCACTTCGCCAATGAGATTGAGCGCAACACACGCACCTTTCAGAAGCTCATGGCGGAGGCAGCGGACCGGCTCATGCCGGCCGCGGATGTCACGGCGGCCAACGTGAAGAAAGACGTGTACGACATCCTATCAGAACACGTAAGGCGGGGACGGGGCTCCATGCACTCTGCAGCCGCTCGGGGCCTGACGTTTCTTAGGTTGTTACCGCTGAAGGGGGTTACCGCTTTTCTCTTTCTGGACCTGATTTGGCGCATGCTCGTGCTCGGACTTCATCTTGAAAGACGAGTGCTCCTGCTAAGCATGGTTTATGGCCCCTTTCCGTATCGACCCCTTCCTGCAGCGGAAAATCATGGACAGCAGCGCTCGTGCGGTCGAGGCGGTGAGTGCAGGATGGGGCTGAGTCTGCACGCAATGGCCACTTTAGGCTAGTGAACCAATGGCATGCCGGTTTGCCTCCAAACAAAGACCCCAACATGTCTGCTTTGTTGACCCCACCTGGTCCTCGTCGCACCCGCCTGGCTCCTCTTGCTCCGCCCCGCACTACTTACCATCACTTCCTCTCCCGCTTCTCTCCCGCTTGTGAACCACAGCAAGCCACCGGCCAAGCCAACCACTCGAAGGGCTCTGGCGCCATCCCCGGCACCGTCCGCGGCGGCTGCCCTGACATCTTGCTGCGCCGCTTTGACGTCTACTTTGAACCGCGCACCAAGATGCCCGCCACGCCCATGCGCGCTGTGCGGGCCACCCATCTGGGTCACCTCGTCCGAGTGCGGGTACGTCCCCTGTGTTGCGATGTGGGTCGTACTGTGCATGCATGATGTCACGGTTACATGGCGACCATGCGTGTCCCTTCATCGCTCTCACTCGCCGCCCTTGTCTTTCCTAACTCCTTCCTTCCTAACAACCACGCATGGCGTAACGTCGCCATACGCCTAGCTACCCCCAAACCTGCCTCCTGCCACCGAGTAACAATGTCGCCTCCGGTGTCTCTTTCCCCCCAGGGCGTTGTGACGCACGTGACGGACGTGAAGCCGCTGGTGAGCGTTGTGGCGTACACGGACCCCGACAGCGGCTTTGAGGTGTACCAGGAGGTGACGGGCCGGACCTTCAAGCCGCTGGACAACGACTCCAAGGAGGTGAGAGCAGGGCGAAGGAGGGCGGATTTGGGGATGCAGCGCTGACAAGAGGACTGGGAGAAGCTTGCTGCAACCCGAAGGAGGAAGTTCGCGGCTTGCGGCTTAGAGGAAGGGGAAGGGCTTGTGTTGTGAAAAGGGGTTGTGCATTTAGCTACCCTGGTCTGTGCGCGCCGTGTGGCTCAAGAGGTCGATGACTCTCCAGAGCAGCTCATTTACGGTTCGGATCCGGATGCCGTACTGCATGCAGCGTGCCAAGGTCAGCCGCAAGATGCAGCCCGTCATGGAGACCCGTGGGTCCAAGTTTGTCAAGTTCCAAGAGGCTAGGCTGCAGGAGCTTGCGGAGGAGGTGAGCGCCAGAGGGAAGGGAGGCAACAAAGGTTTCATTGACAGCAAAACTTAAAAAACCTTACTGACGTACGAAGCACCAACTCAATGTCGTGACAGCAAGGAATCTCCATGTGCTTTGCACTTGGCAGCCAACATGCGCCATGCATCGCAGACAGCATGCGGCATACCTCCCGTATACTTGGCCCCCACGCAATATGACACCGTCCTTGTCTTCCTTTTTACTCCACCTTCCATCATGTTTCGGTTCCCCATCGTGCTCCGGATCCCAGGTCCCCGAGGGCGCCACTCCCCGCACGCTGTCAATCCACCTGCTGGGCGAGGTGACTCGTACCATGAAGCCGGGTGACGACGTGACTATCACCGGCATCTTCCTGCCCGAGCAGTACACGGGATTCAGGGCCATGCGGTAAGGACTGAGGTCTGGGAAGGGCTTAAAAGGATAGGGGAGTGCCTTTAACCTTTACCCTAGGGAGGAGGTCCGGGTTAGTAGGAATAGGGCTCTGCTGTTTCGGACGTCGCCAATTATGTCCTATGATGGCAGGCCAAGCATCGTGCGTGTCAGCCTTAATGAAACGTAACTTGCCCGATAACGGTAATTTTCCACCGCCGCAGTGCTGGTCTGCTCATGAGCACGTACCTCGAGGCACACAACGTCGTACAGTCCAAGCGGCAGTACGGCAGCGCCTTTGAGCTGAGCGAGGCGGAGGTGGCGGCGATTGAGGCGCTGGGCGAGGGCGGCGATGTGTACGGCAGGCTTGCCCGATCGATTGCTCCCGAGATCTTCGGCATGGAGGACGTCAAGAAGGTGAGGGACGGAGAACACCATTAACATGAATCCGCCTGCATGCATCATCTATTGTATCCCCTCATTTTATCACTTGCTCCTTACTGTTGACCCACACCTTCATCCGACCCGACCCACATGCGACATGCCCCACGTCCCCCCCTCCCAGGCTCTGCTTCTCATGATGGTGGGCGGCCAGACGCGCATCTTCCCGGACGGCCTCAAGCTGCGCGGCGACGTGCACATGTGCCTCATGGGCGACCCCGGTGTGGCAAAGTCGCAGCTGCTCAAGTACGTCAGTCGTGTCATGCCGCGCGCGGTCTACACCACCGGCAAGGGCTCCTCGGGTGTGGGTCTCACGGCAGCGGTGCTTCGAAACCAGGTGGGGAAGAGCAAGGAGGGCCTGGACAGGCTGTTGGGGTGACCATGGAACGGATAGCGGGCCAGCTGATTTGGTTCTCTAAACGGGCGACCGTTTTGAGCGTACGTTACTCGGGAGCGGTGTCTGGAGTTACGTTAGTGCATGTGGGTTGTGCATGGGCTCTAGGCTCTGCCCTTTGTCCTTGTGTTTGGTTTCTTCTCTCCCAGTCCGTATTCGCTATGTAGTCCGTTTCCGCCATGTGACACGTATACCCCACTTTGTAGCCCGTACTCGCTGTGTAGCCCGTATCCACGTTTCCCATATAACCTTCCTGTCCTTCCAGGTAACGAAGGAGCTGGTGCTCGAGGGCGGCGCGCTAGTGCTGGCGGACAAGGGCGTGTGCTGCATCGATGAGTTTGACAAGATGGAGGAGGGCGACCGGACCGCCATTCACGAGGTGAGGCGGTACGACAGAGGGGTGCAATGTCGGCTTGGCCACGCCTCCCATGTTTAAGGCCAAGGCCCCGTTACCCCAGCGTTACCACACCGCATTTCTCCGTTGGATCTGACACCAACGTGTACAGTTTTGGGCGTGCTATCCCGCATGGTCCATACGTGGCTGGCAAGCGGTACGAACACTTGTAACACTCGTTTCTATGGGTTGCCCGTTGCCGTGCGTGTGTCCGCAGGTGATGGAGCAGCAGACGGTGTCCATCGCCAAAGCCGGTATCACCACCACCCTCAACACGCGGACAACCATCCTAGCCGCCGCCAACCCCGCGTACGGCCGGTACGACAGGCGCCGGTCACCATCCGAAAACATCAACCTCCCAGCGGTAAGTCCTGTCACAACCTGTTTGTTGCAGCGTTTTCTTTTCCTTTTCCGGCTACAAGAAGCTGAAATGGGAGTACCCAGCATACGGCTGTCCTCATTCATGCTCACTCCTCCCGCATGCTGGATACCGCAACGTTCTCATGGTAGTTACCTGACTTAGTGGCGGCCATTGGTGATATAACCCCCAAAACCTTCCGTGTTGCACCCAGGCGTTGCTGTCGCGTTTCGACCTGCTTTGGCTTCTGCTGGACGAGAGCAGCAAGGAGCAGGACACGCGCCTCGCCAACCACATTGTGCGCCTGCACGTGCTCGGACGGTGAGAGGCCGGTCGGGTTGGTCGTACGCTCGTACCGCGTACGGCTATGGGGATCTCGATGTACCTTGAGATGAAGTGCTCTCCATGCGTAGCTGCTTGGTGGCTCTGCCGCTACAACCCTCTCGTCATTATGCTGACCCACTACCTCGCGTGTGCCCCTCGTCTCCCGCGTCATTCTTCACAACGACAGCGCTCCCGCCCCTGAGGCGTCTGGCAGCGGGGACGCCTCTGCCGCGCCGGTGCCGCTGCGGCTGCTTCGCGCCTACATCGGCCAGGCGCGGCAGTACGAACCGGACGTCCCCGAGCAGCTCACGGGTAAGACTCGGAGGCTGCACAATGTCGGGGCGGCTGCATTCATGGCGTGCATCACGATGTTGTACTGGTATACAGGACCCGGGCATGTATGAACGCTGACAAGTCCTTCCATTGACCTCTGTGCCGGGCATGTATGAACGATGTTCCCTTTTTCCTCCCTTTCTCTGCTTGAAGAGTACATTGCATCCTTTTACGCGGAGCTCCGCCAAATGGAGAAGGCCGCTCTGGGTGCCGCCGCCACCTACACCACTCCCCGCACGCTGCTGTCCATCCTGCGCCTCAGCCAAGCGCTGGCCAAGCTGCGGTTCAGCAGCCTGGTCGAGCAGGTGGGAACACTGATGGGGTTCCATCGCGTCACTTCAGAGCAGGTGTTGGGCAGGTGGGCTAGATGGAAGCCATTGTCGTGGACGGTAGCGACATCTGCGCTGGGGGCTTTTTTCCTTAACTTGTCAGCGAATCCATGCCCCCTGTAGAGCGATGTGGACGAGGCCCTCCGCCTGATGCGGTGCAGCAAATCCTCCCTGGAGAACAACGGACCGGGCAACAACGCCGGCGAGGGCGCATACGAGGACGCCGTCAGCTTGGTGTACCGCCTGATCCGGGAGTACAGCAGCCGTACGGGCCAGCTTGAGATCCCGTACGCCAAGATCCAGGAGATTACAAAGAAGCACAACGTGTCGGTGAGTGCTGCAGCGTTCGGTTACCGGTTGCCGGGTTGCCTTTGGTTGTTTGGGGTCACATGTCACATGGTTCACAGAGACCGTGTGCTGTAAAAGCAGCATCTCAAACAGAAACCGTAAAGGCGTGGTTGACGTGCGGTGACAATTTGTTCCACCTTCGCTGTGCCTCACTTCTTTTTCTTTACACCTTCGCGGTTCCCTCACCTCCGCAGCGCGAGGAGATTGAGGAGTGCGCCAACGAGTACGCGCGCATCGCCCTTTGGACCGTGGAGCGGGACCAGCAGGGCAACCCCGTCTTACACCTCCAGGTGCGTCGCAAGGGGTTGCATGGGGTATGCAGCAACTGCAGCTGCTCGGATTTTGCAGCGAGACTAATGCTGGAATGCAGTTACCAGGGGATGCTTGCCGTTATGCACCACCATGCCTGTCTGTACGGCTTTCATTTGTTACATGTTCTGAGGTGTCCCGTGTGTTGTGCTGCCGCAGATCAACGACGCGGCCTTTGCGTAACTGCTGGCTGCAGCAGCTCGGGGTTATCGACGTTGCTTGGGAATACCGGTGGCAAGGGAGTGTGTTCTTGCGGACCCATGGGTCGTTGGCAGCGGTGGCTTTAGGGCGCAACTGTGGTCATGTAACTATGGTTTGCAGTTCAGCTAGTGGGGCAGTAGTCAGAAAGCAAAGCGCGACTGTATACGAAGGCCAATGCCTGAGCGAGCCAGGATAGACGTTTAGGCTAGGTTTGGTTAATCGTTTTACACGTGCGGAGACTCTCGGACGTTTAGGCTTGACTAGGATTGCCGTGCTGGGATGCAGGATTGTGGGCCTTCCTAGCTTTTGTGGCGGGTTCGTGGCTAGACACGAATGGTCGGGCGCCAGCGGGGCTACGTGATTTATGGCAATGACTACCAACGCTGCCATGGGGTGTCATTCTGACAACTGGATACGTTGCTGGTTAAGGTGTGGACTGGTGCGGTGCCGGCCATGGAGGAGTCGTGAATGTGTCTCTGGCTTGGACTTGACGACTGTGAGCAAGGGCTAAACCATTACGGTTGCAGTTGTGTAGGATAGCCGTAGATTGGCGTTGCGGTGGAGGACACGAGGCTTGTGGGAAGCTGCCATCGCAGTTCCCAGATAACGTCAAGCTCTGGCTGAATTCGAACAGCAAGCAAGCAGGGCGCTTAGTAAGGCTTATTGTACGACTTAAGAGTGCAACAACAGCAGTCAAAACAATCCGAAATCGCGTCGCGCAGACTGTGGCTCATGTGCATCATTACACCGCCGTCGAGGTAAACGGCGATCGCTAGAATAGTACAAACAACGCACGCCTCTCTCCACTTGCCCGCCAGCACCTACCACACCGCACAACCATAACCACTGTCAATCCTTCGCATGCGGCTACGATGCGCGCATTCATGATCACTGGCGCAGTCCCGGTCAATGTGGCTTCAGCTCGGCCCCGCTCTTCACACCTGCTCCTCCACTCTCCGTATTGCTTCCCTTGCCTCCCGGCTTGCTGCCTGACGACCCGGCCGCAACCGCTGCCGGTGGCAACGCGGAGGCCACATCCTCGCCAAAGGTGGTGGGCTTCTCCTTCTCCTTCTCGCGCCGTCTGTACGCTGTGCTGCGAGGTTGTACGACCGCAGAGCCGTACGCGTCCCAATCGCCGGTAGGCTTCTGCGAAATAGGAGGGGGGTACCAGCGAAGACATGACACACGAGACAGAGCAAGAGGGTCCGCAGGTAGGGGAAATCTCAGCATCAGTACCTTCACGATTGCACCGGCAAGCATGAGCTCTTGCCCGAATGCCACATCCCAAACAATCACGACACCACATTCCACTCCACATCAGCTCATGAGGGCCACCCTCAGGCCTCACACCCCCCCACACACACAAGCTAGGCCACCAGCCCACCCCCCGCTCACCTTTGGCAGGATTGCCTCGTGCTGTCGCCACTTGACCAGCGCGTAGATGCCTCCGATCAGCAGCGCCAGCGCCAGCAGCGTGCACAGCGTGATGGCTACCACGGCTCCGTCGCTGAGGGTGCTGGTTTCGGAGGTCACCACGGACACACTGGCGGGGCCCAGCAGGTAGCTGGGGGGACGTGGGCCGCAAGGGGGTTGAGGAGCAGGGGGGTGAGGAGCAGGGGCGTGAGGAGCAGGAGAGCAGATTCAGTGGAGACAGGGTTAGAGGGGTGAGACTCGGTAGAACGGGGTTGGAGCGTTCATGGAGTGCAGTTTGCTTACCGATGGGCGGCGGGCTACGCAACCAAATGCGTTCGGCCACCAAGCTCGGGCAGCATCCATTGCCGCGGACGTGTGCACGACGACATGTGAAAGGCATGCGCCCCCCAGCGGCCCGAGTACCGGTAGCCAGCACAGCCCACTCGTGAAACACATGCGACCACTGCCCAAAGTACAGCACCACTTTTGCATAGTTACGCACCTGCTGTACGGCGAGCCGCTAAAGACGGCGGTTGTGTTTTCCGCGAGCAGCTTCTCCAGCGCCGACACCTGGCTCTCCGTGGCGCCCGCGGGGACCACCACACGTATGTCGACGGAGACGACGGTCTGCGGAGGAGAGCCATTTTTGTGTCACCATGGGGAGCGAGGTTTTGCAGGTGGTTGCAGGGTGTTGCTACTTGTTGTAGCAGCAGCAGCAGCAGCGGCGGATACACGCGTACCACACAGAAAACATTTCCTCAGGATCGCTCACAGCTGGGCTTTAGATCCCCTTTTCTGTAGCAAATCGTCTGGGTACACACCAATTCTGTCTTTCGTGCCCTGCTGCAACCAACAATAACTTACCTTTGTGTTCGTTGTATCGCGGCTGATCTTGTAGATGCTGCCTGTGGAGTTGGTTTCGGAGGAGAGCAGCAGCAGCGCCGGAACCATGGCTCCCAGGGAGGTGGTGAGCGACGACTCCAGGGAGGACGTCAGCGAGCTCAACAGCGTTTCGTTGGCCTTGAGTGTGTCGAAACCGAGCGACATGGAAATTAGCATCTTGAGCTGCGTGTCAGCTGAGGCGGGAAGGGGAAGGCGGGACGGGTAAAGTGCAGGAAGGTGGGAGTTCGTTAAGAATTAACTGGGTGCAGATACGGGCAGAAGCAATCAAGAAGGGTATGTGCCATCCGCGCTACGTAAAGCGTGAAACCGAGAGCTGGAAGTAGGCATACGTGCCATACGTGCCGCAAATTTGGGGTGCAAAGGTGTGTATAGTTACATTACGTCAGCAGAGGTGGCTGTAGCGGTGACAGCGACAGCTGCTACCTACATGTAAGCTTAGCTCCCGTCGTGTTCAGCGGCGGCGGTGGCGGTGGCGGCGGCGGCACCGGCGGCGACGGCGGCACAAGCGCTGACTGCTTGTACTGCATGATAATGTGCTTCCCGAACTTGGTGGTGTTGCATTTGAGTACATTGTTCACGGGAATCCCCGAAATAACCGTGCCATCCGAGCCGGGTGGGTAGCCATACGCCTGGTAGTAACCGCCTGTAGTACAGGTATACGGCAGTTAAGGGCACAGTAGGGAGTGTAGAGGGAGAAAAGAGGACTTCGCATGAGCGACGGCATTTGTTGCGATACCCGTTACCTGTACTACTTTTTCCGTGTAAGACCGTCCGGCCGGCCAACTTACCGCTGCCGGCTGTTTATCGTTGCTGCTTATAACCCACCAATTCCACGGTGTCATGCTGCGCGAATGCTTTGCCCTCAGGAGTACATTATACATACTAGCAAACAGTACCCGTCACACGCCACCCTGGTGCGGCATCCGTACCCGTGCCGGTGCCCGTGCCCGTCAGACCCAACACCCACCAATCACACTGGGCTCGAGCCGAATGCACACGAAGGACCGAGTCACATCCGCCGTAGAGCTAACTGGAATAGCGAGTTGCGCAACGCAAGGGCTGCTTGAGCTGCATATGAGTTGATCCTGCTTTGCTGGGAACCCTGAGAGCTGCAGCTCCACAACGCCTGAGATGAGCTGCAGGGAAGACACGCCAGCACCGAAAAATACGTTCGGCCAGTTCAAAGTCGAAGCGGTGATTTCCGAGGTGTTGGTGTGGTAAAGCAGCGAAAGGCCGAGATTGCCGGCTGCAGCACATGCCGCGTTGGATGAGCACCAGGTTGCGAAGGCGGAAGCGGGGAAAGCAGCGGACGCGGAACCATTGGTAGCGCTTGAAGGAAGCGTTGCTAGGAGCTGGCGGTGGGAAGCGGAGGATGGCGCATCGAAGGCTTGGATGAAATGGCATCCACTGCCGTTGTCGCTGCAGTGACTGCTGCTGCTATCAGCGACAGCGACGGCGTAAGGGTCTTCTGTTAATGTACCGCTGTCGTGGTCTCTGGCCGCAAGGGCCACCCCATGTGGCGATAGGACATCTGCAAGGGCATTGACGTCGGTTGGAATTGGCAGGACCAATATGGCCTCGACGCCTCCAGCTGCCCATACTTGCACGCATCTGACGCGACAGGGATTAACGAACAGTATGGAAAGCGCTCTTGCTTACCAAGTCCAGGGCATGCCAACACAAATGCCACGGACAGAAACAGCAAGCAGCGTTGTTTTCCCTGTGAAGGAAAAGAACAAGGTATAACGATACGTCCAAAACCATCCGTGCAAACAGCGCAGCCCGCACCAAAATTGCCCGCCCGGGGGCTCGTCTTGACGTAAGCTGCACCATCTACATTGCGCTAAGGAGTATATAAACACAGAGTCGGTGATTAGTTGTGCTTATTACTACTCAGAAATATCGTCTCAGTTCTTTTCCGATGGCTACGGGAATCCTTGGTTTAAAGCGTTAGAGCCTGTCAGCCCCCTGTGGATGCGAAAGTGTCTAGTGCGTGACGGCGACACAGCTTAGCGAAACAATTCAAGAAACCACCCGCGAGTGCGCATGTAGACAAGGTTTCGCCTTTGGTGTACGGGCACGGTTATAATCAGCGCTAGCATGGATGCTCCCCGCTGCCCGCTCCCAGCAACCCCTTTTCCAGTGCTCCTCACCTCTTCGTTACAGCTGTCTTGATGCACTTATACAACCTTCAATAACTACTGCGTACAAGTCCTGGCCATGGTTCGGACAAAGCAGCACCAACTCATATCTGCTACGGCGCTGCGTTGACTGAGGTGGATGACGCAGATTACCTAATCTGGGCTTTTTGCGTTGGCAATTCTTGGTCATGGCGCTGACCTCCTGCATGGACGGGAGCCACAAGGCCCGCACCCACAACATGTACTGAAGGTGGCCTTGCGGGGGAGCGTGGGCAGCTGCAGATGGCTGGAATGCAGATGTGCCATCCTACCGCAGATAAGAGTTTCCACGCTAGGAGGCCGTCCACATGCGTCATGCCGTACAAGCACCAGGCAGCAAACCACCAACCGCCCTGCATCGGTCTTGCCCCATTACAACCCGGCGGTTGACATTAATGCAACCGCCATCGTTCACCACCTCCCGTTGCCCAGAAGCACAGAAGCCACCCATGTGCCTCATTATACAGCTTGAAGGTCAAGGCTCGTCCCCTTGCCTATTGCAGCCCTTCCTATTACAACTACGGATATTATCCCTCTCGGGACTTTTTGGAATTGTGTTCTGCCGAAGCACCATTTGGGACCTGCAGTGCAAGTACGGCAGCAGTACTATATAGCCGTCACAGCCCACCAGCCCGTAGCAACGTAGAATACAACCATGCGACAACGGTAACCACACTCCCCTCCTCGCACCCTTCGTACCGCTAGCTCTTCAGCTCACAACGCATGGCAACTCCGGCTCACGCTGGACACTACTGGGCCGCTAGCCTCGCTGCCACAGGAGAACAGCATCGCCATCTTCTCGTTAGTACTGGTAAGCATTCCACGCTTGACCCTCGCCTCTCCACGTCACTCCTCTTCATACGGCCTTAGCATATT